CAACCCCAACCCCAACCCCAACCCCAACCCCAACCCCAACCCCAACCCCAACCCCAACCCCAACCCCAACCCCAACCCCAACCCCAACCCCAACCCCAACCCCAACCCCAACCCCAACCCCAACCCCAACCCCAACCCCAACCCCAACCCCAACCCCAACCCCAACCCCAACCCCAACCCCCTAAAATCTTATTTTTTTTACTGATAAAAAACAGAGATTAGCAACCTAATAACTCAATTAGAACATTAGCTTTTGTAATTATTACATTTTTTAATGCTTGTTTTTAATTTATTTAAAAAAATTAGATTATATAATAAAAAATACAAGAAATAAAGGGTATTGAATAATAACATCTAATTTTAAAAGACATTTTTTTAATATTTAATGTATTTTTATTTATATTTTCTATAATAAAAATGAAATTTGTAATGAGGTTATATTGATTGCAATTAAATAAATTATATTGAAATTGTAAATAAGTAAGTAATTATATTAATAAAATATGAATTCTACTAAATAAATACATATCCATATACACGAAATATTTATCATCATTATTGCTTTTGTTATTATTACTAGCTTTCATGCATTTCTTATAAAGGAACATGAAGTTCTTCTTAATTAAAATAGATGCCATCTTAGTTTCTTTTTTCCCAATCTAAAGGCTTGAAATCTTCTTTGTTATATTTATCAAATCTTTTGAGACAACAGTAGTAGATCAAGTAAATAATCAGTAGGAGAATAACTAAAATGATAATTACAGACCACCACTGGTTTACAAGTCTTTTTGGAGTAGAACACACATTTTAAGGTATTATTGATTAAATATCTACGAACCAGCCATCCTTAGTTACACTTAGTTTTCTAATTTAAACAAGGTTTGAATACTCATTATTTTATGTCAAAGAAGCTGCATTGGAGATATATAATTTATTATAAAAGTATTGCAATTGATTTTCAGGAATATTATCTAACTATTAATCGTGCCCAATACCAATTACATTTCTACTATTAAACATGAAGTCTAAGGCATCGGTTTCCCATCCATTAAAGACTTTGGTATTTTAGTTAGTACGAACAAAAATAATTGAATCAGATGGTATTTTTCCAAAATTTTTCTCCCAATTTTTGATCAAATCGATTGTAAATAAAGACTAAGGATTACTTGTTAGTAAAGAAGTCATGTCTATTACTTGAAGAGGAACAAATAAATTGCTGACTCTATAATTATCATATAGATTTGGAGGAGGTGTTTGTGGGTTTTGATTTGGATTTTAAAGTATTCTCATAACTGTTTAGGATTGGTTATTTGAATATTAAGATAAACCAATCATTTATTTTGTCTTAAGTATTTGATAAATGTCAATGAAGTTAGCTACATCATAGACACATGAATCGGAAAGTACTTACCCTATTGTTATTATTAAAAGTGCTATCCTTAACATACTAATTGATCCAATATGAAAAATATTAAAAATTTATGATAGAAAATCTTAAATATACTTACTATCCTAAGCTTTTCTACTTATTAATAACAAATTTTTTGATTATTTAAAGATAAAGAAGATTTTAATCGTAAATAATTTTAAAAATTGTACTTTATTTAAGTAATTAAAATAAAATTATCAAATAAAAATACATGCATGATATGTTATTCTTACTATTTAATTTAGTTAGAAACCATTCAAAATATTATTAATAATATTATTTAATTCTATTCCTATTAAATATTTAATTGAATTTATATTATTTATTTTATTATAAAGCTGCCAATAATTATGTGAAAAACGAAGAATATGTTGTTAAATAAAATAATTTATATAGGTCTAAATTCAGTGAAAATGCTACTTTGGAGATATTAATGAGCTTTATAAGACAAAAATAGGTTATGAAGAATTAGTGATAATAATCAAAATTAATTAATAAAGTATCTTTATAAAAAACAAATTATTTATTAATCAAAGTAGAAATATTAAAAAAGTAAACAGTTAAATAAAAATGGGTAAAATTGAAATAGAAAGCGATTAATCTGATAATGAAATCGAAGTTGAAGAGCAAAAGCCATCAAAAAAGTAGAAGGTTGCTCTTCAGAAAGTAAAAAAATCTAAGATTATTCAGAAAGAGAAAACCAAAAACCAATCTTTGTAAGAAAGAATGGATACTGAAAAAAAGAATGAAAATAAATTTAAAGGATTATAAAAAGCAACCAATTAATAATAAGTTATCAGAAACCCTGAGTTATACAAAAAATTTATAGAAAAAGTTGAAAGTAATCCTAGCTTGACTCATTTAGTAGAAAGTTTTAAAGGATAAGATAAGTCTAAAAATGCAGCAACAGCAGTTTAAAAGAAAGCAGTCCTGTCAAGAGGTTAAAGAAAAAGAGCTGAAAATAAAAAGAAGATTTTGAAAAAAAATGTAATTTAGTTAAAATATATTTTAAAAAATATTCAAAATTATAATATTATCAATAGCTCTTTAATGAATATTTGAACAAAACAGTAGAAAGTAAGGGAGAAAGTAAATAAACTTATATTTTACATTTTATATTTTATTAATTTACTTTAAATAAATAAATAGCTGATATTGATTTAGATGCTTTGAAGTATGACTTAGAAGGAATAGAAAAAAATTCAAAAGGCCAAAAAACCTAAGAGAAAAAATAAGATTTAACAAGGGGTGTTTCAAATAAGAAAAAACTAAAAACTAGGTATATTATTTAGAATTTTTATTTTAAATCTAAATATTTTTTAATAATTATCACAGCAACCGTGATATCTAACAAGTTTAATAGATCTTGTAATTTAAGCCTTTCCTTAACGACCCTCTTAAAGCCATGAAGGAACACATTTAAAATACTTTAAAAATGCAAAAGAAAATGTGAACTTGAAAAGCTAAATTGAGAAATTAATAAATTAATTTATAAATACAGGATAATAAAATTAAAATTCATATTAAAATAGTTAAATAATTTATTTAATATCTGTAAGTAAATAGATATATATAGTTAAAACGCTAATAATATAATTTTAAGGAATAATTTAGTTAAAACCATTAAAAATAGTTTTTATTTTACATTTAGCAATTTATATAAATAAATAATTTATTTAATTTATGTTAGCCAAAATATAATTAAAAAAGTAAAAATAGAATTTTAAGGCATAAAAAAGTTATAACCATGAAAAATATTTTTTATTTTACATTTAGTTATCTATTAATTTGAAAAAATAAAAAATATATTTAATTTACGTAAGTCTATATATATATATAATCAAAACACAAATAATATGATTTTAAGATATAAATTATACAGTAAAAACTTTCAAAAATAGTTTTTATTTTACATTTAGTTATCTAACAGTTGTATAAATAATTTAAATATATATATTAAAAGCGTTACATTTATATTTACTATATTTTACCTAATATTATAGTTTTACTAGCATTTATTAGTTAGTTTATTAGCATCATTAATAAAAATAAGGAAAATTAATTATTTTATTTTAAAAGTAATTTATAAACACAATTTTAATAAGCTTTATTATTTAGTAATATATTTTAATAATTAATTATTTAGGTGTTTGTTTTGTTAAATACTCAATATTGATTAATTAATTATATATTTATTAGTTGGTTTAGTAGTTTTTGTTGGAAAAAACTATAGTTATAAATTATTAAAAATATGTTTTTGAAATTTATTTATTTATAAATATTTGACTTGAAAAGATGGTAGGTAGGTAGGTAGGTAGGTAGGTAAATAATGAAATTTTTTTTAATTTTAATGAGACATTAGGAAATGAATTGATTAGTTGGTTATTCAATCAATCAATTAATTAATTAATCAATCAATCAAGACTTGGAGGATTTAGAATTTAATTAATTTTTAAAGATAGTTATTAATAATTAACAATTTTTACTATTTTCTTTCTCTTTGTATTTTAGGGAAAAGTATTAGTCCTTCTTAATTAGCTTTTTGTCATCCTGTTTCAAATAATTAGTTGAATCTTCTATACAGATTAACAGCTTTTTCCATGAACATTCTATAACTTTGACTTCCTAATTATTTAATTTTAAAATAAATATTTTTTATTTAAAATAATATAATTAATTACAATTGCATATTTAGTTTTCTAGCACTGTATCTCTAAGCCTGGGTTTAAAGCCAGACTAAACTTTAGAATATTAGTGGAGGATTCAAATATTTTTATATTATATTAACTTATTTTCTCTAAACTAAAAAGATTTTAAATAAAATCTAAATCAACTTAATCTCTTTTATTAAATTTTTCTTCAACATGTTTTTCTTTTCTTTGGGTTTATTGTTTATTCTTTTAATCTTACTTTTGCAATTTGGAATCATTATTGTCTACAGAAGACTCACTTGATCTCTATCGTGGTTAATTTTTTTTATCCTTAAAATTTTAATTTTTTTAATCCAAAGGAGATTTTAGTTGTGCTTTTGATAGTGGTGATTACGATTTTGATTTTTCTGGTATATTGTTTTAGTGATTTTTAGTGTTTTTATTTTTTTAATTTTTCTTCTATGATGGTATTTCATCATCATCATCATCGTCGTCTTCACTTCGACCTCTTTCTAGAGATTTCCTTTATTAACTTTTAGATTTTATTCTTTTATCACTTGAAAAATTTGAGTTTCTATTAGAAAGCTTTTTAGTACCTGCTGATTCTTTCTCATTTTTTTCATATTTTTAAGATTCAGTATTTTTGAGCATTTCTGTGTCATCAGCTTCTTCTTCTTTAATTTAATCAAGGCTTTTGTATGACTAGCTTGTATTTTTATTAATAGCTTTTTTATTGTTTTTTTTGTGGAGTCTTGGTTCACGTACATCTGAAAAACCAGGTACAGTATAGTTAACATAATCAAGTTTTTCTAAGCTTTAATCCGTGATAATATAAAGTAAACCTTCTTTTCCATACACAGCCCTTTCTCTCCAACTAACAAGTGGCCTTATTCTATTTCTAACCGGATATCTTCCATCTTTCCCAAAAGATGAAGTTTCTGCTTTAACTTCAACTTCAATTTTATTTTAGAACCCTTTTGCATAAAAATCTTCATACTGTTATAATATCTACTTAGAATTATTCTTTTAAGATTATTTCCTGATTATTTTTTTAAGCTACTTAGAAGTTGATGTTTGAGAACTGACAGAGCTCACTTATGAGTTATTTTGAGATTTTTTCTTTTACTTTTTATTATTTTATTTTCCTTAAATACTGTCATTGCTTACTTCGGTTTCAACATCTGATTCCTGAGCTGATTAAGAATTATTTCTAAGTTTTTAAGGAGTTATTCGTTTTCTTTTTGGCCTTCCTGCTTTACGACGGATTAAATTTTCTTCAGGTAAATTAAATTAATCAATAACTCCCTCATTTTCTACATCCATTTTCTTATTTTAGGATGATTATTTATTTTTCTCAAAACTAATTTCTTACTCAACTATCTATAAATGACTTCCTTATTATTCAAAATAACTCTAATTTTACATTACTTCCATATTAAGATCATTATCAACATTATAGCTATGAGAATTCAAATCATATTCATAATTTTATTTTTGATCTGAGTCAACTTTCATAGTAGGAGGAAGAGAAAGTTTATTTTCTACATTTATGTTTTCGTTATTAACCTATTAAACTATACAGTTGTCTAATAAATCTGAATTTTTTTCTTTTTAATTTGAATTTTTCTCTCTTTAATTTACATTAATTTCATTTTAATTTGAATTATTTTTTTCTTAATTATTTTTATTTTATTCTAAATTAGCATTTTTTAACTTTGTATTTTAAACATTTTAGGTAATTTCATTTTTTTCTAATTATTTTAAATCATTATTCTCATTTTAATTAAGCTGATTTTCTTATTAGTTTAAGGTAATTTTTTACTAATTATTAAATCCAGAAATTCTTTTTTGATTATTTTCTTGTTGATTTGAGAATTGAAAGTCAGTTGAACCCCTTTTTTATTTAATGTATTGATCTATGAGTAGTTTTTTTTATAATTCCTCATTAGTTTCTAAGTTTTTACTTTAATTTGCACTATCACTTTGTTCTTTTATCTACAAAGAAATATCACTAGAATCTAAGCTCACTCTATTTTTTTTAAGCTATTTAATCTTTTATTACTTATTTTTTGCTTAAATTTAAATATCTACTTGATCTTCTACACTCATATCCTGAGTTTCTTGTAGTTATTTTTTTTTATTATTTCTTTAGTTTTTTTTATATTAAAAATTTTAATTAATTTCTTCTTTTTCATCTAACATTTGGTTTGGCTTTAGCATTTTAAGATTTTATTAATTCTCCTATTTCTAATTATTTTTATTTGGAACATTTTTAGATAAAATAAAATCTTCATTTTCATTTTACTAACCTCGAACTTCGTTATATTACTCTGATTACATTTATTTTTTTTCATTTAAATTTTATTTATTAGGATTAACAATTTCCATAAAGTTGTCTAAAGATTTATTTGCCATTTCATTTTTATTTTTTCTAAACGAGTCTTCATTTTTATTCGATTGTTATGTGTTGATTTCTTGGATTGGACTTATTTTACCAAAATCATAAACATTATTACTTTTTTTATCACTTTTATTGTAAATCTTTGATTCACTTATGTCTAGCAAATAGCTATTAAAACTATTAGAATTATTCATTTTCTTTCTTTGTGATATTTAGCTTATTATTTGTTTGTTTTATTTCAGTAGTTGCTATATCTCTTCTTCTTCTTCCTCTTCATCATCTAAACCAATATTTTATTCATTAAAATTCTTTTATCTATTGTTCTAATTTTCAGATTTTCTTCTATCATCTCTAAATATTGAGTTGCTTTATTAATTTTATTGACTGATTTCACTCTCTGAGAGAGTGATTTCGAAGTCTTCAATATTTTTAGTAAAAGGTGTATCATCCAACGAGGTACCTTGCTATATACTCTTAGCTACTAATTCTGGAGGTAAATTAGAGAGTTATCCAAGTAATTCGAAATCATCTAACCTGTCTGAGCTTACATCACTGCCATTATCATTAATTCTCCCACTAAATCTACTTATTTTAGGTATTGAAGAAAGTGCTATAGAATTTCTATACTTTGAATTCTAAGACCTTTAGAGACGAAAAGAGCTTGTTTTTCGATTGTTCGTGGAAGGGATTTCAAGTAAATTACTTGTAAAAGATTTTAACCCTAAACTAGATTCCTTCCTACGGTCTGACTTGTTAACATTTTTTTTACTCGTTTCAAACAAATTGTTATTTTCAGCTTAGATTTAGTTTTGTTAGTTACGTAATTTTTTAGATTATTAATTGCCATCAATACTCTTTCTATCATAAAGACTTTATTCTGGACTAAGATTGAATTCAAGACTATCTCTCTTATTATTGAAGAGCTAAATAATTTAAGAATCATCTTATAAATCACTGATGCTACTAACTTTTAAGTCCCCCTTTTGTTATTCAAAATTATCTGAGACAATTTCATTTTAATCGCTATCAATTGATAGTCCATCCTATTGAGCGAAATAATCACTCAACCTTTCAGTTCCATCGTAATTTAAACCTGTTTCTTTCTTCTTTATCTGCTATCCAGTTCTCCTATAACCATTTAAAAAATAAATAAAACTTAATAATATTTTCAATTTAAAATACTTGCCAACGTTAACTCCTTTTTTAGCATTTACAATTAATTTATCTTATTTATCAATCTTGATATTCCTAGTTTATGTTTTAGACTTTTCAAGAATTTAGCGACTATTGTTCCTGCTTTGGCTATTAGTGGACTTTTTTTGTTGCTTAATTCTACTGTTTGACCTATTCATCAAAAGCAACTGTAAAGTCGAAGAATTAACTCAATAATTTGTATATGCGTTATCACCTACTTTCAATTAGCTTGCTTCTAAATATGCTATATTAATTCGAAATATTAGCTGAAAAGCAAAATATAAATTAACAATTACTGAATATAAACAAGCAAACAAACAAATCTCAAATTTTGAAATTGAAAATTATTTTGGCAGAATTTTTATTTAATTTTTGATAGATATTCTTAAGTAATTCAAAATTTATTCAATTAGTAAGTTGGCAAATTCTACATATTATTGATTAGAATTTACTTAAAAAGACACAATAATTCTTTTAAATCAAAAATGGATAAAAATTTCTCAAAAAAAATTATTTTAATTAATTAATTTTCATTTAATAAAATGTTTAATTTAGAATTATCTTTGGAATTTGATTAATGAAAATAATTCAAATAAAACTTTTTCAATGACTAAAATGCTTTTTTTTAAAAAGATTTTCTATAAAATAATTTGTATTGTATTTGCATAATAAATCTATTTTATTAATTTTCATTTTAAGTTAGATAAATTGTTTTATAAAAAAATATACAATAGTAAATTGACTGCCATACATAGTTTAACAGCCTTTAAAAATTCCCTTAAAAATAGCTAAGTTTTTTATACAAAGAATGATAAAATAAAGCAAGCACTATTTATTTATTTGCTTAATAGTTGATTGATTATCTGCACTTTATAATGAATCAGTCTGTTTCGTATCCATATTCCTTTTTAAATTTCTTGGAGTCTAATTTTAAATAACGAGCATATTCCTTATCGAAGTTGAATTCCTTGTTGGGATTCTTCTCTCTGAAAAGCTTTTCTAAATTTTATTCGATGTTTTTCTTGCTATCGTTAACTTAAATCTTAACAACTTTATCTAAATCCTAGTAAGATGAAGTGATTGCAGTAGCGAAGTGAGTGTTAATCTTTTCCATAAAATCATTTCCAGTAAATCTGCAGTCAGGTTCCATAAAGGCACCTCTTCCTGGATTCATGGGATATACAAATCCTAAAGAAGGTTAGTCCTAATAATATTGTTAGAATTATGTTCTTCTTGTAGTGGCTCCAGTGTATGAATCAACATCCATGTCTTACTTTATTCTAGAAACTAATTATTCACGATTCTTTTTATAGAAGTCGCTGGATTCTGAATCTCTGTACTTATTGTTAAGCACTTTGCGAATATCGATTGAGCTTCTAAGTTCCTAAATATTACTCTTTAATAATTATGTCTTGACTAATTGTCTCATTTCTCACCTATTTCTACCTTCTTATTTTTCTAAATGAAATAAGTCTTTCTTTGTCTTTAATTTTTCACTTTATTTAAACCTTAATAAAAAATCAAAGGGCATAAAATAATCAAACTTAAGAATTTCAATCTATCCTTCACTCTCATCCTGTTTAACATATAAATAAATATATATCCTTCTAAACACTAAAAGATACGAAAAATATAAGTATGTATGTATCTTTATGCAATAGAATTATAAATTATAATTTTTAAAAATCAAAATTTATCACAAACTTCTTCATTTAAAATAATAAATTAAGATTTAATCAATTTATTTTGACTATTAAATTTGATTTAATTTCAAATATTAATTAATGATAATTAATTGAAAATTTCAACCAAAAAAATTGTTTTTAAATTTAAATCTGAAATAATAAAATTATTTTATTAATTAAATTGTTGATTTTAAAAAAGAGTATTTTGTCATATTCTTTTTGCTTGGATATGTTAATTAATCAAATTTTTAAAGAATACTAATATTAAATTATAAAGTTATTAATAATCCTCACTCATATAAAGTCAAATAAAGGAATTAGATTTTAATTATAATTTGCTGATTACTTTTAAAAGATATTTCTGAAATTTTAATTTATTTATAGGAGTAAAAATGCTAAAATTTAAATTATTGATTTCTTCTTTTTGTTAGGCTGCAGAGTAAGATAAGGTAAATCTTAAAAAAGTATTCGAATTTTTTTATTTTAATTTAAATTTACAGAAATTTGAATGTATGTTGGCACAAACATAATTTTAAATTGAACTACTTTATATAAATCTATATATAGAAATAAATTCTATAAGAAAGAATTATAGATAAATAGATCAAATATTAATATTTGCTTACTAGAAAAGGCTTGTAAAAAAGCAAAAAAACAATTTTATAAGAATTTTTAATTTGTCTATCTCAACTGATCTTTTAATTTAATTAATTTTTATAAAAATCACTTAGAAATTCAAATAATTGATTATTTGTTTACAGTGATTAACTTTCGAAATTATTAGTTCGATACAAGCGATGGCTATTTTTATTAATTTATTTATTTTATGCATTTAAAGAATTAAAAATATTTTATAAAAAGACTCTGTGGAGTAGTAACTTGAAATAAAATTAATCTATTTGTAATAAAAATATCCTTTTATATATTATAGGATAAAAGAATAAATATATTTAATCTAAATTTAGAATATATTAATTCTTTACTATAATTTGAAATTCAGTAATGAGAGTATATCAGTAGAACTATGTTACGCTGAAGGATGAATATATAAAAGATAAAGATAGAAATGCCATTATCAATAATTATAATCTTTTAATAGAAAGAAGTAATAGCTTACAATACTTTTAAAGAGAAAACATAATAAATCAATCAATATTTAATAATTATAATTATAATATCAGTAAATAAATTAATAAATAAATAATCAAAAGCAAACAAACAAACAAATCATACTAAAAGTTAAACTAAATCTCTCTCTTAATATATAAATAAACACTCAAATAAATACTAAATATTATTACTATTTTGGATAAATAATTATCTTTAATGTCTGATTAGTACATCCAAGACACAGAGCTTATAACATCTGAAACAGATACGTCTTTAAATTATAATCTAAAAAACGTAAAAGCCAAAGACAAATACCCTTGCTTTGTTCTATAAAATTCTGTTAATTTCAATAACTTAAACAGGGATGCTATAAACATCAATGCTCGCAAATCAAGCGCTATGTATATTGGTAGATCCTTAAATATGAGTATTGCTAGCTAGAGCACACTTGCTACTTCAATGACTCGTAGAACATCTATTTAAACTAATCTCATAAGATAGAAAAACTATAAATAAATTCTATCACAAAGTGACATTGATAGTTGCAACTTTACAGAAAGTACTAATACTAAAAGAGTTTATGCATAATAAAATAGTGTTATAATGAATTAAATAGATAATTTCATTGAAAATAATGCTATTAACTAAAATAACTAATAGGATGATGCTTTTCTTCACATCATAAAGAATAAACTTAATTCTAAATAGAGATTTGAAGATATTTATGGAACAAACGGCTCATCTTAAAGAGACAGATAATTAAAATATAAATCTAAAAATTAAGTTAGATCTTCATAGCTCAATGAATATTGTGATCGCTCAAGTTAAGGTAGCAGCGACTGTAGCACTGGTTGCATTACTGGAGATTAATCACATGATAATTAAGTATCTAACATATCAGAATATTAATCTTTAAAACAAAATCCCCCACTGCCTTAAGCTGAAGTAAAAGAAAAGTAATTTAGATCAAAATCAGTTCTAGCATCAGCTAAATTACCCTAGATCAAGACACAGAATAATGTCAAAGTAAGAGATCCTCATATTTTTAATTAAAAAAAGAACAGCTCACCTTAAATAGTCAAATACAATTCATAACAAAAATAAATATCTTGCAGTTTTTTGGAAGAGCAAGACTCCAACTCATCAATAAATCAAATATAATTCAATTCTCCCTAAAAGCTACGCAGTTAAAGTAAGTATTAAACACCTAACAGAGGAGATTCAAACAGAAAGCTTATTAAATAAGGAATTAAGATTGAAGAAAACAGTTTTGTTGCATAAGAATATTTTAAGCTTATTTCTGGCAAAGAGGATTCTTAGCATTTATAATTTATCAGAATAAATAGAAATTAAATAAAATAATATCTTTGCAATATTTACGATAGCCACTCTGCAGAACTACTAATGAGCTTTGTTGATTTACCTTAAATTATTTCCTTTTAAAACTTAATTAGCAAAATTGAATAATTCGCTAACTGTTCTAATCAAGAATTTTGTCTCTTTGCTTTTTTAATGTAAATATTTTTATTTTTTACCTTACAGTTTTAATTTAATTAAATAATCCCATTCAAAATATTTTTAAATTTATCAAAATTTTTTAATCTAAAATCAAAAATTAATTAATTTGTTTATTGGTTAATCTTAACTTACAATTAATTTTTTCTATTTTTTTAGACTAATTGTAAACATTTTTTTATCTCAAAGACTAAACGCAAATTTTAATTATCAATAAAGACAAAAGAATTTAGTCTTTTTTAACTTTTTAAGTAACTTAAATTTAATATATTAGATATGACATTAATAATGATGGATATATTTGCAACCAAGATCTCTATAACAGATGGAAAGCCTCAGACAATTAAATGGGGTAAGAAGATGTGAATCATATAGTTAGATATGCACAGTATTAACTTAACAACCGTGAATAGGCTAATCAGACTATTAAGCTTCTTAGATAACAATAAATAGTTAAGTAGGATTTGGATGAGTTTGCTAGCGATTAAAACGAAGACAATGAAGCATTTGAATTAGAAAATTCTATCGTTAAAGGAAACAAACACATCTCTCTCCAGAGATATAGACAGTTAAAAAGCAAAAAATCTATGAATATACCTGAGATTTAATCAAGATAATACACTTACTATTTAAAAAGCTTTTAAGTGCAAGAGCACTATTCTAACTAAAGACTAATTCTTGATGAAATAGGCAATTATAAACATATAGAAAAATCTATAGTCTGTAAAAAAGTTTAATATAATAAATTGACTGGTGACTTTAATCTAAATTTTCAGCACTTTTGTGAAATATTTAGGACTGAAGCTCCCAAAATTGTTTATGATATGATTGCATCTCTCACTGGTTACATGTTTAATGATATTCACTATCCTTATTCAGAATAACAAAACTTTTAATAAAAAATGATGACTTTCTAAAAATAATAAATTAAACAATCTGAATAATAACAACTTAACAAATACAATTTGCTTGAAAATAAAAGTTTACTAAAACACTAACTCGAACAAAAATCTAACATGGAAACTTATAAAATTTAATTTTCTTAAATGCTCTCTAACAAATAATGATTGAATTATAAATTTTTCTACTAAATATAATATTAAATTTTGCTAAATTAAACATCAAAAAAATAAATTAAATTATAAAAAAAATCATATTAAAAAATTATTTATTTATTTCTCTAAAAAATGTCTCATATTTTATATTATCTGTAATTAATTAATTTAATATATTTCAAATAAAATATACAAATTAATTTTAGTTTTTCCTATTAATTTAGATCTTTGTTTTCCAAATTTTTTTAATGTTTCAGGTCTTATATGAATTTACATTAAATTTGAAATTATCAATATTTTAATTAAAAATCTTCAACAATAAATAAGTTAATAAATGAATAAATTAATGATTAAATTTGCATATTTAATAATTATTGATTATTGATTGATATAAAAATTTTAAAATATTAAAATAAATGTTATTATTTTATTATTTTTAAGTAAAAAAGAACATTATAAAATCTAAAAAGTATTTAAAAATATCTTCTTTTAAATCTTTTTCAGATTGATAGATAGATAAATTATTTATGAATTATAAGATAATTAATAGCCATAAATTTGATAATAAATAATAGCCAAAGATTATAAATTAAGATAAGAATCAGATAAATATAAATTCAATTATTTTTTTGATATAAAGTGTGAATATTTTACCTTCTTTCATTCAAAATAATAACTTATTTTTACTGATTTCTATCTTTAATTAGTCAGTATTAGTATGGGTAGTAAAACTAAGCTAATTTAAGCAAACTGGTTTATTTTCTTCGCATTTTTTTTAAAGAATGTGTTTTCATGTATGATTTTATTATTTTTAGATAATTAATTAATTTAATTAATCATAAATTTTTTATCAGAATGGCAGTTATATGATTAAGCCTTAACTAATAGTGTGACAGCAACTGATCTGAGTTCTTGGAACTTGACTCCTTCATTATATTAGTGCACTTTACTAACAGGAGCTTAAGAATACTGTACACAATAAGGTTTTGGTTAAATTGGATAAAATCAGTATCCTTATAAAAGATACGATAACCTTCCTCCTCATGCAGCAGTAATCATTGATCTTTCAATACTATTTTAAAATACAGCTGCCCCTCCCTTACCTGCTAACCTTCAAGATTAAATTTAAGTTATTGTTGATGGTTCAGTTGTATACAAAAAAGGTAAAACTATCAATTTATATATCATTAAATTATAATTAATACATAAAAGATTCAACTAATTAAACTTGTTTGCTTTTTCAAATTTTATTTTTTTTGAAAACATTCTTAATTAATTTTTGACATATCAAATTTCCTACAAAGATATATATATGAATTATTCAATTAAATTAATTTATCAGGATATAAAAATTTATCTGGTTGGATCACTAACCCTGTTTGCACAAGTATTTATGAAAGCATAGACTATGTTGCAAGTAGTTATTTGATTCATAACAATCCATCTTTACAAGTTAGTATTAGAAATAACTTTAACTAAAATGCCTTAACATAAAGCAAATTCACAATAAGAGATTTTAAAATATTCTTAAATTTGTGTGACTCATCATGTGTATCATGTCAAAATACAACCCCTAATATTTGTAGTTCGTGTTCTTATTTTACAGGTGCCTATCTTGATCCAACATCTCAAAAATGTGTGTGTCCGACTGGATATTATATGAGTAACACGTATGTTCTTTATTATAAATATTAACATGTTTATTCATAACTTTTCAAAAAACATTTTTTATTTATCTAAATAACTTTTTAACAAATACTCTATGAGTAAAAAAAATAAATAAGAATTCAAAATATGTTTAAATATTTACTTTAATAAATGCAAATATTCCTTATGTTGTTTACAATTTATTTTACAATAGATTGGTTTTTTAACTTTTTTAAAAACCATATTTTTATCTTACGTTTTAATGATTATAAAAAATGTTTTTCATTTTAATTTTAGATTATGTGTTGCCTCATGTCCACAAAATACAGTTGCCTAAAATGGATCATGTGTATAAATATGCGACCCTATAAATTGTTTAGCATGTTCAAATTAGACAACGTGTACTTCATGTAAACTCCCAATGCTACTTTAAAGTGGTTAATGTGTTAGTATCTGTTCAGCTGGATATATGTAAAAGACAGGAGGAATATGCTAATAGCTATCATCTGTATATGCTAGTAAATAAATATCAAAGTTAAAAATATAAAATAAATCATAAACTAATATAAATAGATGGGGTCACTTTAGCGGCAGCATTTAATAACTTATATTTTAATTAGTAATACATAAATAGTCTTGGTTATACTATTACTAAATTAGGTCCATCTGCTACAACATACCAAAATGATATTTAATTTAGTTATTGTGGACCAAATAAAATACTTGGAGGCTATTTAACTCTATCATCATATTCTATACAACAAACATTTACAAATATTCCTGCTCATTCTAAAGCTAGAATATATTTTAAAGCATTCATAATTGGTAATATTTATTTTTATCATTTTCTATTTCTATTTTCCTGAACAAAACATAATTTTATAAAAGACTTTTAAATTTATTTTTATTATTAAAATGCTTTTTATTGTTTGTTTTAAAAGATTAGATAGCAAATAATTTTAATGATTTTATAAAAATAATCAAATAGATAATTGGAATAATGAGTAACTTTAAGTAATAATTGATGGAAACTAAACAAATGTTTCTTTCAATAATCTAGATGGCTCATAATAAGGTTCAAATATATGCGGTTTAGCTACTGTTAATGATTAAATTTATGAATTTGATACATAAATTAATCATACTTCCTCTACTTTATCTTTAACGATTTAAAGTATTCTTGATTCAAACCCTGATATTAAAAGCTTTGGAATTAAAGACCTTTATGTGATTGTTAGCGCTTGTCCATAGTTTTGCTAAGTGTGTACTGCAACACAATGTACTTAATGTATGCCAGGCATGATCTATTACAATTAATGTAACTAATTTTTAACAAAAATATGTAATTAATTGTATATTTTAAAATAAGAATGCTATCAAAAATGTCCAGATAGTCTTTACTTCAACGGAGCAACCTGTGTTGGTAAAATTATAAAATATTATTTAAAATTACAATTTTAAATTTGATTTAGCTTGCAACCCAGCTTGTGCAACATGCGATCCTGCCATTTAAAATGGAAATAATTGCTTAACATGTTAAAATAGTAGAGTTAATAATCCTCCATACTGTGGATGCTATAAAGGATTCTATGACGATGGGATCAACAAGAATTGTTAAGGTATTTATTTATTTATCTTTTAAATTTTTAAATGACGAAAAATTAAACTATTTTAAAAATTTTTAAAAAGCATGCAGGCCATTTTGCATTGAATGTACATCATACAATCAATGCAGTTCTTGCTAAGGTAATAGAGTTACTCCTCTTTGTACTTGTCCAACTAACACTTACGATAACAACTAAGCAATATGTGCATGTAAAATTATTATAGGATGATAATTAAATAAATAATTTATTTATTTATTGTAATAGAATGCAATTATTTTTGCAATGGCTGCACAGGTCCCAGTGTTAATGATTGTATAGCTTGCTAGGGAAATAGAATTTTTCCAGGATGTAGCTGCCCTCCAAATACTCTAGAAAATGGAAGTTCATTAATATGTCCATGTAAATTTTAATATTAATAAAAAAATTATTTAATAAAAATTTTAAAACAGTATGCAATCCCGGATGCATATCTTGTTCTATCATAGCAAGTAATTGTAGTGGCTGTTCATCAACAACTAGAACAGGTACTGATTGCCATTGTAAACCTGGAATGATGGAAACATACTAAAATGATTGCATTTGTATCATATATTTAAAAAATTTAATAATAAAAACAAGCAAAAAAAAACCCATTTTACCTAATAAAAAAGAATGTAGTGTCAAATGCAAAACATGTTCAAACACTTAAGATAACTGCAATGGCAACTGTGCTGGAAATAGACTTCCACCAGATTGCTCATGTCCCCAATATTACTATGATAATAATTAGCCTTTTTGTGTTCGTAAAAATTTTTAGTTATTTTTTAATAAATAACATTTTTATAATTTGATATTAAAAAAAACATAAAGCATGTCCCTATTAATGTGCTAATTGTAATATAGCAGGTATTTGCACTTAGTGTTCTTCTATAAGAACAAACTTACCTAATTGTGTATGTCCAACTGGTTACTTTGATTCAGGTGTAGCTGACTGTTAAAGTATATTACATTTTATAATTTATTCTACAAAAGATTTAAATTAAAACATAAATTTATCAAAAGATTTTAAATTCTTAAAATAAAATTTGAAATTTAAAAATAAATTTCTTAATTGATTTAATAAATTTATTAAAAAATAAGAAATATTTTATTAGCTAAATTTCTATTGCCAATATTATTTTTTTAAGCCTAATTTCATTGATAATAAAATTAATATTAACTCAAGTATGTTCTAGCAAATGCCAATAATGTGTTACTAGTTCAACTAACTGTACTGTCTGTGGATTAAATAGATCAAATCCCCCAGCTTGTGGCTGCTCACCAGGTTATTATGAAGACCCTATTTCATAAACTTGTTTATGTAATTTATTCAAAATATTTTTTTTGCAAAATTCAATTTTGATATAAAAGAGTGTTATACTAATTGTGCAACATGCACTGGTAATTTGCAGAGCTAATGTTTAACTTGTTTAGGAAATAGAATAAATGTAAATTAACTTTTATTCAATTTATTTACATTATTTTATTACTTATTTACTTTAGAATCCTCAATGTAACTGTCCTCCATAAACATACGATTCAGGAACTGCTGTATGTCCTTCGTGCTATAGAGGATGCACTTCTTGCTTTGGGGCTTTATAAAATTAATGTATTAGCTGCACAAATAATAGATAGCTTAGTGGTGGAAACTAATGTATTTGTAAATATGGTTATTATGATGATAATTTTTCATAAGATTGCTTATAGTGTAGCTACAAATGCTTAACGTGCAATAGCTTTAGTGTTTGTACATAATGCGCAGCTAACAGAGTTAGTTTACCAAATTGTGATTGTCCTTAAAATTCTTTTGAGATTAATTAACCGAATTGCTTGTAGTGTCCATTTAAATGTCTTTCTTGTGATTAAATTACTATGAAATGTATAACTTGCAAAGGGGATAGAAGCTTATAGCATGACTGTCTCTGCTAAGGCAATACTTTCGATGATGGGATCAATGTTAATTGCTAACGTAAATATGAAATATTATAAAATTTAAATACATTTAATATTATAAAAAAAGAATGCTATAAAACTTGTTAAGGTTGTTTTGGTCCTGGTCCCATGAATTGTATTTAATGTAAAGAATCATATTAAAAATCTGACAATGGTATCTGTGTTTGTGATGTAAATGCCTACGAGGATAATGGTTTATGTGTTTGCAAGACTTCTTTTGTGATGAAGAATTCTATTTGTGTATAAGATGACAGTAATAATCCTGGAAATGAAAATAATTAGAATTAAAATTGTATAGTTTAATACTGTAAAATGTGTTATAAAAACACTTGTTTGTAGTGCTAAGACAATAGAGTTCTAATAGATAATAAATGCGTATGCATTAATGGATTCTATTAAATAACTTAAAAGGGCTAAACATATTGCTAACCATGCTCTTTGCAAAATTGTAGTTATTGTGCTATTGAAGATAAATGTGAAAAATGCAATGATGGTTTTGTACTAACAAGTGATTTGAACTAAAAATTAATTTGTTTAGAAGTCAAAGTAGCCACATATTTTGATTTTCCAAATATTTACATTTTTTATATATTTTTGTTTCTATTTTTAGCTGGGGTAATACCAATTATCTGTAAATAAATATATGTATTTGCCTCAAGTAGGAAAAAGCAAGAAATATTAGAAAGTAAAAGGGAAAAGCTAAAACATCCATCTGAATTTCGAAAAGAAAGAGAAAAATATTAGTAAAGAATCCAAAAAAAACAAATAAAATAAAGTAAAGATTAACAGATGGTAGATCACCTTCTAAATTCTCAAGGGTAAAATAACTAGGATGATGTGTTAATCTAAAAAAAGAATGTTTTGGATGCTGATAATTAAAATTCTATAAATAACTAAAATCAAAAGAGTTATTTATTAAAAAAAGATGAGGAAAACAGCTTGAATAATTCATTATCCTTGTAACCTAGAGACATAATTGAAAATAAAAATAATTTTGAGTAAATGTAGCATTTAGACAATTAGAATACTGATAGAAATAATTTAGATTAATTAAAATAATCAGATATGTAAGATAACAATTAAAAAAATTAATCTAAAATAGATTAAAGTATACTATAAGAATCTAATCTCTTATACTCTCGTTAGTTTAAATAAAATCTAAGCAATTCTTAGAAAAATTTAAATCACTAATCACTATCTAAGTTAAAGAAGCAATTAGTATCATGAAAAATTTAATATATATTTATTTATGTATTTTAAATAAATAACAACATATTTTAATTAAAAAATATTCATTAAATAAATAAAGAGTTTTTTTCAACTTGTCAAACATTTTTCTAATTTTATATTCTATTTATTTTCAAAGTAAAGCATTATAATTTAAATATTTTATTTTTCTATTCATAGTTAATATAAAATTATTAAATCTCTTTATTCCTTTTTTGATAGTTAAAAAATTATATCATAATTTTTTTTGGATATCAGATATTCGGATTTCCTAAATCGAAATGTGAAATTTTAATATTTTTAGTAACATATTTGTTTATTATTTAAAAATATTTTATTATTTTTTATAAAAAATTCTACGGTATTCACTTTAATTACATAAACAAAAATATATTATTATTATTTTCTTAAATCTTATTAAATATTTTTATTTAAAATATTTTAATTTTTTACATATTCTTACTATTTTGGTGTCCGTTTCATGCCAAATAGATATTTTTGTAAATTAAACGCTTAAATTTAGTGATTTCTCGAAAGTCAGACATATATTATTAACAAGGAATTAAAATAAAGCAGATAAACAGTATAGAAGAAAATAATTAAAAATTTTTTAATTCATAAAAAAAATAAATTCAAGATTAAATGTTTGATTTTTGATTATTTCAATTTTTTTTTATTACTTTTAAATTGTTTTATTTTTAACAAGAAATAAATAGTTTTTCATTTAAATTAAGTATAATTACCAAGTTTTAAGTCGAATTTGAAAGTCAGTTTTTAATTATAAATAGAACATAATTAAAAATTTCTGAAACCTTGTTTGGTTTCCTCGAAATACAATTACGAGTCTAGAGGTTTAAAAGTTTACGGTAACAGTAGCTTTAAAAAAACTATCCTTACTTAAATGAAACGATGAAACAAATGAAATCAATTAGTTAAAGAAATATTATAGTTAATTAAAAGATAATTCAATCTAGCTATACTAAATATGAGAATATATAAAAAAACTAAATAAATCTCCAAAGGGAACATGCTATAATTACATTCTAATAGATTCATATGATATTATTTTGATTTATAAATTAAGATATTTTATAATAAAAATAGAATTTGTTTTTTGATATATTTTATTACAGTAAGTAGTTGAAACTATAAAGAATACAGACAGACATTTTTCAAAAATTTATTAAGCATCTAATATATATATAAATGCAATTTTAATTAAAAATAATTTTTTTATTTCATATAAAAAAAAGCAAACAATCTTCAAAACAATCTGTTTTTGAAGAGTGATTAATTGAGTTTATTTAAATTCTAACCTAAGAATTCAATATCTAAAATTTACATCATTTTCAAGTAATTGTTATTTTCATATTAATTTTTGAGCATTAACTAAATGAATTAACAAGCATGATTACTTCCTAAAATTTCCTTTTCTCCTCTAAACAAAGTATTTATAAGTTAAGTATCTATTTTAATATCACATTAATCTATTGATGATATTATTTTATATATTTTTTCTTTTAGTTTTATTGCTGGTTACTATTTGGAGTTGCTTGATTAATGTTTTTTTATGTTATTACTATCTAAATTTTTCTTGAATATACCAATAGGTTCATTTGTAAATAGCTAATTTTAATATTTTAGGATTATTGATAAAGCTAATCTGCATGCTCTTGAACTTAAATATAGACTATCAGAAAGAAATTTCGTAAAATTTTATGAATTTTGAATAATTTATTCATCGCTTAAAAGTCCATTTATTGTTTAATATTTTTTAAGGTTTTCATGAAGAACTAAAGGAGTAATTGAGATAACTATCAAAATTATTGAAATATCATCAATGTTGTTATCGATCTAAATATTCTTATTAGCAATTCTTACAGCTTAGAGATAGCTAGTAGTAAAAGTTTTAACAAATCCTCTAAAATACTAAACGAATGATGATTGCATTTTTTCATCATTTGGAAAATGTAATTGGACATTATCAATTAGAAGCTATTCATACTATTTCTGAGACTCTGTTTGTTAATAAAATAAAATACTTTTAATAGCAGAATGACTAGTTTCCTAATTAGTGGTTATCTATTAATATATTTCGAAAGAGTTGTGATAAGCATATATTCTCTTAAAGAATTAAAACTATTAATAACAATTTTAAGTTGTATTATTATTTTGGATATCATCCCAATTAACTAGGCAATTACACAACTTTATTTGAGTACTTTTAATCAAATATAAAGGTTTTATTATTAAATATCCATCAAATTGATATGTCTTTGACTTGTTTTCTTATAAACTAACTTATGAGCAGATTGCACAATTTACATGCTTGAAGTCGGCAACATCTCTCTATTTTATTTGTGTTTTATTTAACTAAATTCTTCTTAAGTCATTTTAATTGAATGGATTAGTATATATACTACCTATGTAAAGCATAGATTTTTCTTAATCTCCAAATATTCTTTATTTGAAATTATTGAAGATAACATCAAATTTTATCATATTTTCTTCAGTTTCTTAATTTATTTTGATAATTATTCTTTTACCAAAGGCATCTCTTTTTTCAAAGAAGCAAATAGTATCTCCATAATAATCAACAAGCTCTACTAAATTCCAATGTGAATCAATCATAATTTATTCCTTATTTTAAATTTCTAAAATTCTCTTATTGGCAATAATTGAATATTTTTGTTTGTCTAGAGATGATTTCTAAAGCTAACTCATATTCTAAAAAAGTGGAGTGTAGTTAATGTATTGTTAAGTAAAAAAATTTTTTTTCTAGCTTAAAATCTTTAAAATTTTTCTATCTATTTTTAACTTTTATACATAAAAATTGTTAATTTTAAATTTAATATTATCAATAAATATGTTTCCTTTATTATCTAAGTAGTAATTTTCACTGTTGCAGAGGATTTTTGATAATCCTTAGAAATCTTTAACAATTGGTTCATAAAGGATATCATTTTAATTGGAATGAAAATCTTCTTTTGATAATAGCACAGGAGTAATTAGACTAATAAAATGTTTTGAGTAGCTTGAAAGGTGTTAAAGATAATTAAAATTTTGAAGAATCCAACTTTTTTATGCTTCATTTAAATGCAAGGCTATATTTTTTAAGAGTACTTTGCATTCCTTTACTAAATCAATGTGATCTTATTTCAGGTACTAAATTAGTATCAATCCTATTTCTATCTGTTTTTATGTGGAAAACTCTTCATTTAATAAGCTTTTTAATTGACTCACAAAATTTTAGCCTTGAATTTCAAGATCTTTTAAATTTAACTTAAATCTGTAAAATTTATTCTAGTATTTCATTTTTTTAAGCTATGTGTTAAATTAAGAAATTAAGCTTTGCTGATTAGTAAAGTGACTTTAATACTTTTCAATTAGTTCTATCAAAACAAAAACCTTGTTTGTTTCACTTACATATTCATAAAAATGGTCAAAAAATTTGAATATAAATTCAGCTGATGTTTCTGTTAAAACCTAGTCAAAATAATATTTTATGTTATTATTTCTACTTACAATCCATTGAAATGCTTTTAAACGGTATTTATAATCCAGTTCTGTTTTTAGAACAAGCAAATCAAATGAAATTTATGATAAAAAAGGAATTTGAAGAGAGCACATTTACTTGTGATATTCAATTTGAATTCTCCACTCTTTTTATATTACTTCTTTCAAAATACTCTGAAATAGTTTTTAAACATTTTCTCTAATTTCTAACGCTTCGTTTTCTGGTATTAGTTATAGCAGACAAAAGTCTTAAACAGAAATAATATATTAAATTGCTTCCTAATCTTAATGTTTTAAGAGACAGTTTATGAATTAAATTATTAATGAAGGAATACTTTAAAAATGTTGATGTTTTTTAATTAGAATTATAATCTCTGCAATATGAAATTTAATCTTTTCAAATTTACATTCATTTTAATTGACAACATTTATTAATAATTCCACTGTTTATTTTATTATCATTTCTTGAAACATTTTATTATTTATGCAGTCAATTTAAAGGTTGCATTTTTCGATGATTTTACTTTTTAATTTTTCATTTTTGCTAATAAGATCGATTGATGATACTAGGTGCTCAGCAATGAGTTAAAATGTTTATTGGCTGTGGCAGCTTATAAGCAAAGAATATATGTAATCAGTTTCTATCTTAATAAATATATTTACATCTTATTTAGATTTATTCATAATATCTTTTATTAATCCTTATAAATCTTTGCACAAATCAGACGCTTATTGTTGCATATTTGAAAATATTTAACTCATTTTAGCTAATTCAGAATATATTTTCATCTTTAGTTAAACACAAAATGTGGGATCAGATTGAACATTCTGTAGTAAAAAATTTTTTTCTTCAGTTTTAATTGAGTTGATTATCTTTTTTTAAATATTATTTTTGATAAATAAGTTTTAAATTTTATTGGAAGCTTTTATCAAATCCATTAATGAGTATTAAAATTATCTATTTTGTAAAGAGCTCCATTTTCCTATATCACTTGCACATTTTTATATGATTTCCTATTAAAAGCATTGACAATCAGCATATCTTAATTTGCTATACTACAAAATACTCAATTTTTATAAAGTTTGAGGGTCTACTTTATAAAGATGCTAAAATAATTCATTTGATATGTAAATCTTAAGTGAAACATCTTCAATGTTTTAAATAATTTCATCAATATAGTTGAAAATTAAATCAAATAACTTCAAATTAAAAGGCAAATCAAGTAAATGATTAAAGAGCAATATTATTTATTGAGGATCAAATTAACTCACTTTTGACCTTTAAAATATGCTAATATAATTTATAATTACATGAACATTCTTGGTTATTTAATCGTTAGAAAGCTAATTTTAACATAGGTTTTTTATTTCCCCATCAATAAAAGAAAATATTTTATTCTTAAGATAAGTTATTTGATCTTTCTTTAACTTTATTAAAACAATATCATCGATTAATTATTCTTTTATTGAATCACTAAGTGTTTCTTTTTCACTTTGATATTTTTTAATGATCAAGTTTTCAAGTATTTGACATGAATTTTGTTAGTCTTCAAAGGAAGAATTTAAAACAAAGCGCTTCTAAAATTCAAAGTATTTATCTATTTTGAAAAGAGGTATGAAGAAATCTATGGTTTGGATCAAAAGAGAATAAGGTAACGAAATGCTACTAATTATCTAGAATATTTCATCGTGACGATTTTAAATTATTTTTTATTCTTAATCAAAATAGTATGAGAAAAAATTTTTCAGGAGAAATTTCAAAGAATTGACTAAGTTTTTAGAATTTTATATTAAAAGAATTTATATAAAGAGATCTAGAGAAAAGTAATGGAACCTTCCATCTTAGTGAAAGAGAGAGTCTAAATAGCTTATTAAGTTTTCAGCGTTATTTTCTAGTATTTAATAAACATCTGTCTAATCAGTTTTTTGATATTCTAAATTTGTATGATTTTTCATAAATTGAATAAAAGAAAATAATAAATTATGTTTGATTTCTTCTATCGAAGGTATTTTTTAAATTTATTTTATAATATCGCTTTAAAAATACCTAGGAAAGACATTTAATAAGCTAAAATAATATGTTATTAGCTATTCAAGATGTTGAATTTAAACCTGATGGTTTCCATATTATTTAATCAATTAGATTATATCGGTAAATAGCTCGCAGTTAAATTGTTATTATTATTTTTTAATTAAAATATCTGTCTAAGCGATGAGGATTTGTTCTTTTAATTATTAGTCAGAAATATTTGTCAGTAGTTCCATTAGGAATGGTGTTTTAATTGTTTGGCAATTTAATTTGTAAAACTTATAAATTAACTAATCTCTATGGGTTTAATTGTTTGCATACTAAATAATTAAGTTTATATAATTTGGGTATTCTTTAGCTTCTTTTTTTAGACATTGACTGCATTCCAAATTATCTAAAAGGATATTCTTCATTTCATCTGTAAAAGTTCTCCAAATTTGCAAAAAATTTGGAAAATCTAATACGTGATTAGCAACTATTTTTACCAGTTCATGCAGAGTTGCCTAGCCTTGTTTTATGTGGATATAATTTTGACTGTTAAGTTACCTTGCTTAAATAATTATCTCAAAGGCTAAAGGAAGTAAATTTTTTTAGTAATGAAGCAAATACTTTGTCATGCTATTCAAGCATTGATAGAAGCTACTTAAATTGAAGCTATTTAAATATTTAAGAATTAAAATCATTTATTCATGTAAAACTTCTTCATTTTATCTCATAATTAATTCATAATTTTAGCAATAAAAGCAGTCTGCTTGCTAATTCATATCTTCTGATTCAACATTTCTGTCTTGAGTATTCTTAAATTCATCAGAGTTTCTTTTAGATTTAGTAATTTTTTGTAAATTACTTTAATAACTTATTTCTGTTTCAATAATCCAATCAAATATTTTTTAATAATATTTATTGTTAAAATCAAACTAATTTTGTAATTATTTTATAATTATTTTTAATGCAATACTTTTTGTATAAGTCTCTGTCTCCTTTTTGTTTAGTATATCTAAGATACTTTACTCTAAAATATTCTGATCAATATAGGAATAAAAATTAGCCATATTTAAGCCTAATGACTTATTTATCATTTCTTAGACAAACTTATCATTCTATGCTTCATGTGATTAATTAACCTTTAAAAATTAATCAACTTGTTGAATACACTTGAATTATTCTTCTTATTAGTCATTCTAATTTTATATTTTTTAATCCTTTTTTGATTAACTTTTTTAATTAAAATTTATACAGCATTAAATATCTTTTTAACTATTATAATATCTTTCGACAGAATCAACGTCTATTGCAAAATTATAATTTATTATCTAAATTTTAATTTCTCTTAACAAATCTGAGGTGTTATCAAATCCCTCAAGCAGAGACTATATTTTCGAAGATATTATTTGGCTTTTATAACCTGAATGCATTAGTTCATATTTGAATTCATTCAAGTTGAATAAAACAATCAAATCAATAAAAATTTTAATTTAGTTTATGTTAGGAATCGTACTATCGATAATTCTAATTTCGTTTTCTGATGAGTTATTTATATTTCCAATCAATTGCATCAACAGCTTAACTTTTTAGATAATATCGAACTCAAGCATTCCTTCTATATTGCAACTCATTGAATACCAAAATTCGTCTAAAATTGATTAATTTCCCAGATTTATAATAATTTAACTCATAAATTTTAGAACTTGCCGCATTCTCTCTTCATTTCTGTGCTGAGAAATATAACTAATAACATTTTTTTTTTTTTACTTATTTCCACTCTAGAGTTTTTCTACAAGATATTCAGCCGCTAAAAATTCTTAAAACAGCAAATGAGTAAAGCGATATACTTTTTTATCATAAAAGACTTATTTAATTAATCCAAAATTAACAAATTGATCTAAATTTTTAATTAAATAACTCTCATTTTGCTCATTTTCATTATGATTTATTGTAATTGCGTCATCTTTATCAATTTGACTTTCAATTTCTAAAATTTATTCTGTTTAGCATGAATACGCCAACTGCCGAATTAAATCGATTTGAGATAGCTTTTATTCATTTTATGATTAATTTTTTAAACATTAATCTAATTTTTCAAATAACATTTGGAAAAATAGTCTATAGAGCTAATATAATCCATCTATTTTTAAAGATTATAAATTATCTTTAATTAAAGAGACTATTTAGCAAAGCATTGCCAAGTTAGCAGGTATCTAAGATATTTTGTACAATTGTTTATTTTCTATGATTATTTTGTATAGTTAAGCTTAAAGTATTTATTAATCTATGTGGTTTTCAATGTATTAATGTATTTAAAGCTTATTAAAACCGATATTCTCTAAAATTATATCAAATTTATTTTTCCAGTAAATTGAAAGTGTGTTGGTCCTTGAAGTCAAAATGATATTCTGTTAATCAAATATTTACTTCAAAATCAAGCAAACTATATGATCTTCTTAAACAGAAGTAATCTCATTAAAACCATCTATCAAAAGTAAAATTTTATCATTGTACAGCTTGATATCTTCAGGTTGTATTTATTTCTATTGACCTTAATTATTAATCATTAAAGAAACATTTGTATGGATAAGAAATTTGAGAGGATTTATTTAAAACTCCTTAGAATATTTTTAATCAATTATATACTGTTCAGCCCATGTTTAATTCAAAAGAGTTTTAAGGGATATGAAATAAATTTCACTAAACCTGTCACTAAGTATATTTTTTTGGCTCCATTAATGCGCAATGTATTATATTAGTGTTGTTTTACCAGCTCCTGCTTAGCCTTGTATGAGTATCTTGCATTAATAACTTTGCTCAAGCATACAAAAAATATCATCAACTGTATAATATTAATTTTGAGTTCTAAACTAGTCAAGATATCCTGACTTATGATGAGAATTGTCATCAAATATAGCATCTTCCAAGCTAAAATAAAGGGATTATAACTCTTTTTAAGAACTTTTTAAAAAATTTTCTTGTAAGCATGGTATAGCATTTTCTAAATAAGGTATTTATTTCAAAGGATTTGAGAATTCCTCTTTTTAAATTACCTTATTTTCATCATAATCGAACATGCTTATTCTTTTTTCATACATTTCAGATTTTAAAAAACTTTTCTCCTGTTTAGTTGCAAAGTTCTATTAGCATATTTATTTTTATATTTGTGAATCTTTTTGAATTTTTACTTCTTTGTTATTCATTAATTATAAATAAACTTTAATTTAAGCTAATCTCCTTTTTTCTTTAGATTATTTATATTCTAATTATATTTTTATAATATTTGTTTGTTATTAAATATTCTTACTAATTTTTAAATTTAATTAGTTTTTTATAAATGATGCATATATTTTTTAATTATTTGTAATAAGAATATTTTCTTAAAATTTAATCTGATTTAGTTATTATTATAATTTGATCATCTAATTTGCTCAAAAGCACTGTTTTACTCGATTAAGTCATTTACTAAGCATTTTAATTTTTTATTAAAAAAAATAATATAATAATTCAAATAAAAAATTAAAAATAATTTTATTCTTTTAATTAAATTTATTTAGTTCATAATTAAATTTTTATTAAAAATTTTATTCATTTCATTAAATTTAGTTCATAAATAAATTATTTTAACAATATTTAAAAAAATTTTAACTTTTTGATTTAAAGTACTTTTTATATACTCTTATTAAATTCAAATTAAAATTAAAAAATAAATCTAAGATAAGGTATATATAAATATATTTACACATGAATTAACTAACTCAGTATAAAAAAACATCATAGTTATTTATTTATTTATTACACAAGTAATTTATAAATCATAAAAGATAAATTCAAAATTCACTTTCATTTTCTTCTAATTTAATATCTTCTTCATCACTATCTTATGTTTAAAAATAATTTGAAAAACTATTAATAAGATTGAATTGAACTAGTCTTTTCATTTTATGGATTTAAAGGTTTAACTTTTAAAAATAAGCTTTTTTTATATATAATTCCCTTTTATTAAAAAAAAAATTATATTTATTAAAATTAAAAAAATAGAAATCAGATAGATAAAACACAAATTTATTTATTGTTTAGATAATGGTTTATAAACTTTTACTTTTTTTATAAAATGAATATTGAAAACTATTATAAATTTACCATAAAAAAAGCTTCAAAATTAGAATGCTAGTTGATTTTGTTAATTTTGAAATTAAATCTTTGAAGCCTTATTCGCCAATTGTATTGCTACTTTAAAATAAATAAATAAATATAAAAAATTAAAAGTGTTTTATAAATTGTTTTGTTAAATAATTAATCAATAAAATAGATAGATAGAGAGAGCTATGTTAGTTTGAAATTATTTTTTAATTAAATCTAAATAAATTTTTTAAAAAAATATATGATAAAAAATAAATAAATTAAATTTACCATAAATAAAGTGTTAAAAAAGAGAGCTTAGAGCATTTTGCTAATCCAAATCCTAATTCTTATGCACTGAGATGACTAATATTAGTTTTACTTTTGAAATAATTTATAAATTTTAGTTAAAAGAATAAATAAAAATTGAATACAATCAAACAAATATTTCACTTCTCATTTAAAATAAAATGCAAAAAATGTATTTGAAATAGTTGCAAAAAATTTTATAGATTTTTTCAATAAAATAATATTTTTATAAATGATAATTTTACTCTAATGTAAGCTTCAAAGTTGAGAGATTTCTACACTATGCCAAAGCTTAACCAAAATCTTATCCACTTAGATCACTAATTTAATTTTATCTTTTAATAAATTTAAAAATAGAAAATGAAAGTGGTCATACAATCAATTTAAATAATTTTGAATAGATTGAGTATTAAATATTATGTAAAGAAAATTTGAAAGTTTTCTAAAATGATAAATTAAAATAAAATATTAGAATACGAAAAATCAAATGATAAGTTTGAGAGTTGAGAACATTTTTGTAATCCAATTACTAAATTCAATAAACCCTATCCATTAATTAAATTTTCACTATAAATAAAAATATAATTTAATAAATAAATATTTCTTGAAAATTAATAAAAAATATTTTAAAAATAAGCCATAATAAAAAAATAAAGTTGAATATTGATTTAGAATAATTAACAAATTGAAATTTTTTTCCTGGTAATATAAACCAAAAAAACTAAGTTACCATAACTCGATACTCAAGCATTAGAGACTGTTACATCTAGATAAATCTATACCTAAGTCTGATACTCCTTTGCTACTAATTTCATTTCCACTAAAAATTAAGAGATTTAAAATTAAAGAATAACTCATTAAAAAGCAACAATAATTAAATTATTTTACAAAATTTTTTTTAATTTTAATAAAAATATAAACAAAATTAACTTTAAATTAAGAATCAAAGTTGAGAGATTAGCGCAACTTGCTAATTCAGAACTTAGCTATTATATTCTATCATCACCAATTTTATTGTGACTAGAAAAATAAAGAAAGATCTTAAATAAATAACACAACATATTTTAAGCATAAAAAAGTAAAGAATCTTACTATAATAAATAAGTAAGAGAATAAATATGATAAAAAACCCTTCAATTCTAAAAAATTTAAAAAATTTGAATATAAAAATACACTAAATTTAAATCTAAGACTTAAAGATTAATGTTCTAAATTAATCCAAAGAGTAAGCTAGATGTATCCTAATCCCCAATTTTATTGCATCTTTTAAATTTTATTTAAAAATAATTAAAAATAGTAATAATAAACAGTTCAAACGCAAATAAACTAAAAAGTGATCGATAAAAAATAATAAACTTATATAACTACAATTTACTTTAAATAAATCATTTAACTCTAAAATTATTACTTTTGTTATTTTATTAAGATTGAATAATAAATTTAATTTACTCTAAACCTAGAGTCAAAGAATTGAGTTTATTGCATCTTGATAATCCTTCAATTAAGCATGATACCCCTTTACAACGAATTTAAGCCCAACTTTTTACAATTAATTTATTAAACAGCTGTTAAAAAATTATAATTTGACTTTTTTCAATCAAAATTAATTTTATTAATTTCTTAAATTAAGCAAGCAAAGTTTTCAATTAAATTATATTTACCCAAATAAGAGCTTCAAAGTAGAGAGGTTAGTGCATTTGGATAATTCTTAGGCTAAATCTTGTAAACCTTAATCATCAAATAACACTCTACTTTAATTTTAGTTAAGTTGTATGTAGTTTATAATAGATAAAGTTACATGAACAAATAAAACATTTTTTGATTTTATTCAAAAATAAAAACAGAAAAAAAAACTCATAAATAAATTTAAAAATTTGTTTATTTAATTTTTTTATTTTGTTTATAATGAGTAATCAATCAATCATTCATAAAATATTTTTAAAATATTAAATTAATCTACTTAAAATCAAGTTTTAAAGTTGAAATTTAATTAAGTTTAGCTAATCCTGAAACCATGCTTGATATGCCATGAGAACTAATTTTATTGTACCTTTTATTTATTTATTTATTTAATTAATTAATTTATTAAATATTTGATTGTTAAAGAATAAATTTTTTAATTAAACTAATTTTTATTTACTATAAAAAAACTTTCAAAATAGTGAGCTTTTGGCATTTAGCTAAATTATTTCCTAAGCACGATAAACCCTAATCCCCAATTTAATTATCCCTTTAAATAAAATTTACAAATAAAAAAGATAATGTATTGCTTAAATAATAAAAAAGGTATCTTTATTTTGTAAATTTAGGTTTGAAGATGATAATTACATTTATTTAAATGATTTCTTTTCAATTGAACAAATTAAAAAGATAGATTTACATTAAATACAATCTCAAATTTGATAGATTTGTACACTCTCCTAATCTTTGGGCTAAACATGATATACCTTAATCGCTGATTTCATTTTAACTAATAGTAAAATTAAAATTAAATGAAAGATTAATTCTATAAGATTAAATAAAAATTCAAAGTAATTTCTTTCTAATTAAAAAAATTACTAAGCTTTTACATATTTTGAATGATTTTTATTAAAAATTAATTGGATTATTTATTTTATTAAACTAATTGTACTCTAACATTAATAAAAGATTTGAAAGATTGACCAATTTAGATAATGCAGAGCCTAAATTTGTGGAACCTAAATTGCTAATGTTATTGTATCTTTTATAAAATATTGGAATATTATTTTTTATGAATTCTTTATAAAATAAATTAATTTAAAATAATAAATAATTTTAGCTGCTTTGATTGATTGTAAAAAATATAAATAATAAATAAATAATAAAAAATTTACACTAAATTCAGAGTTAATATTTAAATACTAGCACATGTTGCTAATCCAGAAGCAAAAAGTGAAATACCTTCATCACCAATATATCTTTCTCTATTTTATTTTATTTGATAAATTAATTAATAAGGCCATTGTTAAATGATCTATTTTAAAGGTATTATTCAAATAAAAATATTTTTAAATGCATACAAATTGTAAATTCCTTACTTATTTACATTAAAAATCTATTTTTAATACATATTTGATAACTAATAAATTCAATAAACTATTAAGCTTACTATAAATTAAACACGGCTCTTTAAAGATTAGTATATTTTTGTATTCCTTCACCTAAATTGGATCCTTCTTATTAATCTAATGAAGGTTGTCTTGAAAAAAATAATAATTAAAAAAAATTAAAAGTTAAATTTGAAAAGTATCTATTTCAAAAATGAATCAATGTACATATGTATTTCCTCTAACTTCCATAAAAATTAGAGTACTTTATTTCAAAAAATTGATAATAATTTGATCAAAAAATAAATTACAGTTAATTATCAAATACTTTACTAGCAATACAGTAATTTTTGAATTAAATATATTTAAAATTTTAATTAAAAACAAACTAATTAAGTGTATAAAATTTACTATAGATTAATTTTTAGGAAAGTGCAATCATATTATGAGGAGCTTAGAAACTTTTATTTATATAAATTAAAAATTTGAATACTAAAAAGATAAATTTATTAATCACTTCCTAAAGAGTTTTGTAATATTGCTATCTTTGTTATATCATTTTTTTTTTTGTGTAATTGAAATAATGAAAATATTTAATTATTACAACGCAATTAAATTAAAAAATTATAAGATAAATAGAGAAAGCAAATATTTATTTTCATTAATTTATAAATTTTAAATTATGTTTTTATTTATTTATAGTTATTTTTTAGATAATAATATCCTAATAATAAACAAATCTTTTCTATTAGATATATTTTATTATTAAATGAGTTCATCAAAAGAAAAAAATTTTTTATAAAATTTTATTTTTAATTTTCTTACAAACATGTAAAGACAAACAAACAAACAACTTAAGAAATCAGAAAGATACTTATTTACTTACTTACTTACTTACTTACTTACTTACTTACTCATTTTTAATTTAATTTTATTTTATCATAAAGAATTTAATTTTTTCTTGCAAGTTTCATATTAAGAATTGAACTTAATTATTGAGGGATGAGATTATTCATATAAAAATGGCATTATATCTTCAAAATTTTAATAAAATTCAAGGGCTAAAGGTGTATTTCCAAATCCTTGAAAGCAGATTAAAATTCTGTCAATGCAATCTATCATGTCTTAATGTGTTTCTTCGTTTTCATAATAGTCTAAATCCTTCATGGTTTTTAAAGCAGAGTTGTAATAGTTGATGGCAACCTAAAATTATCTAATTTAGTGATAAGCCATACCTAAACCGCTTTAAACAATTGCTACAAATTCGTTTGGATGACTGTAAATATTTATCATAGTAGGAAGGGATTTTTCATAAAAAATAATAGCTTGATCATATTATGCACTTTCAAACAAAACTTAAGCTTGGTAGTTTAGTATTGTTATATAAATTTCTTCTTTTAAATTAAAATGCTCTAAAAGAGAGATTAATTGGTTATTTTTTAAAAACATATCCTCTTATTCTAACTCCTTACTATATTAAAAGGCTGTTTATATATCTTCTATTATATTATTTTTTTATTAATCATCTGTAATTTTTTTACCTTAAACGACTTCAATTACTAAGTCTATAAATTTAAGATAAAAATTATTTTCAGTTTAATCTAATTGAATCATCGTTGTCATCAAATTATTAATGCCTATTTCGAAAATTTAATTTCCATAATCACTAAATTATATAAATACCCTTATAAGTTATGTATAATATAACTCACTTTCCTAGAATTTGTTTGATATAAAGTAAAAATAAGCCAAACCATTTAAGGAAACTATTACTGCCTATCTTTAATCTATATCTAATTCACATAAGTCTTTTTCTTTCGTAGTTTCTAAAAATTTAGTAAAGTAGATTATTGATTGACTTTAATCATAAGTGTCAGGCTAGCAATAGCACATACCAAGCTTAAACAAACAGTATGGGTAAAAAGCCTGATAGAGTGTATGTTTTTTATTATTTAGATTTTCTAATTCTTAAAGAGCCTTTGAGTGGTAAATTATAGATTATTTAAATTAACCTTTATTATCAAAATTAACACCTAAATATGAAAAAGTTTTTATTTTTATAAAACAAGTGTAAAAGTATTAGTTATTTTTAAGTTGCTTTTCAAAAAATTCCTCAAGCTCTAAGAATTCCTTTTCTGCTGATTCAAACTATCCTAATTCGAAATAGCAACAAGCAATTTTGAACTTAGAGTAAGCAAAATTAAAACTTTAATTACGATTTTCTGAAGATTATTGTTTGATATCTTCTTGAAAAAATACCAAAGCTTTCTTGTATTATTTCATATTATAAAAGGATAATCCCAAATTAGCCCACTATCGTTCAAATAATTTTCCTAATTTTAAATTATTAGATATTGTTCTTATAAATTAGATATGATTTATAACAATTGAATCCAAGTTTATTTCAGTAAATATTTGAGTAATAAAGAACAATGATTATAAATAATAATAGCCAAGTGTGAAAAAATCACTTTTATTTAGGTTTTAAGTTTAACTATATTCAACATATTTTTAATAATTCTAAGCATGGACTTTCAAAGAGTAGTAAAAGGATTTACTTATATCATTATGAAAATATTCATAGGCTAAAAAAGTGTATAGTTAACAATTATTCTAAGATTCTGCTCTATCTTCAATTTAATCTAAATACTTAGAAAAATCTACTTTTTTAAACATCTATTATTATAAATATCTAATTGCATTTTCAAACAGTTCTTCATTTTGATGATCTATTTCTTCCGATATCTTCATTAAAAAGCTAGCGATTTTGTAAACAGTCTCACAATTATTTTATTAATTGAAGACTTCTACCAAGCTGTATAAAATTTCTAAAAGAGAAGTTAAATGCTATGAAAATTAAATATTTCCTTGAGTATTTTTGAGTGCAGAAAAATCAGTGTAAATTTTTTCAATTATTTCATTTAAAAGCTGTTATTCTGATTTTTTTTAAATAAGGAGCTGATATCCTCCTTAAAAAAGCTTTAATTAAAACCAAATAAAATGAAATGTGATCAAAGATTTTAAGCTGAAGTTAGTTTCTCTTTCTTAAATAATCTGCTATTTATTTGTTTGCTCTTCAATCCACACAATAAATTTATCTGCGTAGCTTTTTTGTTGCGATTCTACTATTGAATCAGATAAAAGAATTAAAATATCCACACATTCTTTTCTATTATCTTGTTAATCCTGTAACATATTACAAAATATAATATTATTTAGGTCCTTTATGAATTTTGTTTATACTCCTCTAAACTTCTCATATAGCTCTAATACCTGTTAAATAGTTCTACCCAATTAATATATGTCTGCTTTATAGTTTGTAAAGTATTCCTCAATCAACTGCTCAGGAGCACAGTATTTCATCGTGAAACCCTTATTCTCTGCAAGACCGTCTAAGAACTTACTAGAACAACCAAAATCAGAATATATATAATTTCCTTTTCGATTGATTAAAATATTATCTGGTTTAATATCCTAATGAAGTATATTATATGATCTCATTTCTACCAATCCTTACACTAAATCAAAAACTATTTTGAATATTTCTTACTCAGTGAAATTAACATTGTTATTTCTTTTGCTTCTAAGTGTATCTGTAAGACTTCCAGAGCATTTTTCTACAATAAAAACCCCAGTGTATATATCTTCTAAATAGATTGAATCATAATATTTGATAATATTTGATGCTTTTTAAAATTTGTTAACAAGCTCAAATTCTTCCCTTATGTAATCGTAAGTATCTTAATCTGAAGAAACTATTCTTAACACGTATTCCTTTTCTTAATTTGTATCATCTAAATATGTTCCAATAAGAATGTCTGCTTGTCCTCCAGATGTAAGATATTTAGTTATTTTGTATCTTCGTCTATATATTGCAACAAAGATTCTTTCTATGTACTTCTTGTTAGTACATTTTACTTAATTTTTTATTTACTCAATAAGAAATTTGTTTTTAATTATTATTTCTTCATCTTTTAAATCCTCTTCAATAAATTTTTTCTTCAACTCATCGCTTATTTATTGAATTAATTATTTATTGTAATGATTTTATTCGGATTACTTTAAATTTTCAATTGCCTCTTCTAATTAATCTACCTAATTGATTTTAGTCTATTTCGACAGCATTCTAAGTTTATTTTGATTTAAATACTCGTTAAACTTCATAATACTCTTGCTAATTGCCAAATATGCCTTATTCCTATCTATTGTTATAACTTAATCAATTTTCATATAAGTATCTTCTTTTAAAATATCAATATTTTAATCATTTATGACTTCATCAAAATTTTCACTGTCTTCTTCAATATCAATTTTTGTCAAGTCATCTTGCATATTTTGTGCTAGCTTTTCTTAATTTTAATATTAATTAATTTTTTTTTAATGTTTTATTGATGTCTAAGTGAATGATTCCTTTGGCTAACTAAGCATTTATTAAGAAGAATTAAATTATTCTTTTGATTAATTATTTGATTCGTTTGAAGAAGTGAATGAATCTTTTGGTTAATATTTTGATTCGTTTGAAGAGTTGCAAGAATCTTTAGATAAAGCATTTTATTCCTTGGAATTAGTTTATGATGGATAAGAAGAAGTCTATGATTGATTTGAAGAAGTATACGATTTATTTGAAGAAGTATATGATTATTTGGAAGATATTGTATCTGATTGATTGGAAGAATTATATTATTCTTTAGATGATAAAGATAAACTATTTGATTTAGAAGATATTGAATATTCTTAAGTATAGTCCTTTCCATCAGACTAAGAAGACGAAGTAATTTTGCCAATTGATTAAGTACTAAGTTTTTGTTCAATTTCATAGGATTCTGAATTTACTTTTTATACTACAGAATAATCTTTTGAGTTTGCATTTGCAGAAACTTCTTGACTTGATTGAGCTTATATTATTTAATTACTTGCTAGTTTATTAGATTTAATTTCTTCCTATATTTTATTGCTCTGATTTGATCCTTTTGAAGATTTTTTGTGAATAGTAATGTAATTTGATTCTTCTTAACTTTAAAATGTATTTCCTAAGCTACTGTCATTTTTAGATTAAGCAAAATTTGCTTTTTAAATTGTTTTGTCAGATAAATTGCTTAATTAATCAGCTGAGGAATTATTTTAGCTTTTAGATCCCTTTGAAACTGTTTTATCTTTAAAAAAATTTTAAGAACAATTTTCTTCCAAAACAATAAAGCGCTAATTTAAATATTTATCAGAGTCATCTTTCAAATTGTTCATAACAGAGTTTACTAATTCCCATTTATTACTTCTAGGCTATTTCTTTTTATTCAAAATATCTGATATTTCCAAGAGTTATTTTAAATCTTCTTTTGATATTAAAAATATATTTTTTTTATAAATTATGGAAGATAAAAATATAGAAAAAGGTTTATTTTGTTCGTTTTTTGACTGATAAAAATTCATTCAGAAAAATAATTTTTAGTATACTTAAATTGATAGTTTATAAATATAAATAAATAAGAAAATGAAAGCTAATAATTGCCTAATCATGATTATTAATTATATTATGTTTATTTGCACTTTTTAGCTTATTCATAAAACTTCTACTTTGAAATAAATAAAGTTATTTACTCTCGTTTGAACTATAGCTACTTTCATGTTTAAAATTAAAATCAGATTTTTTTCCCTCATCTATCTACCCACTGGTTGCAGAGTTTAAAGATTAATTTTAGATTTATTTCTCTGTTTATTTCGACATTTTTTTTATTCTTTAAGAATATATTAATCTTATATATATATATATTCAAATTATTTTTATTAATTAAATTTCTTTTTATTAAAATCTTTAACTTATTTAATACTATATAAAGCAGTAAATATTTTTGAGATCAAATAAGATTTGCAAAGGTATATTATTTAATTTTTAATTAATAATGTGTCTATATCCATACAAATTTTATTATATCAAAAAATATAATTCAATGAATTTACTAACTCTATTTGTTTTATCTTTTAATATTAAAATCAGTATACCAACCATTCTACAAATTTAAATGCTATAAAAAATTACAACAAAAATATATTTTTGAATAATTTATATTTTTAATTTTTTAATAAAAACAAATAAAACTTTTTATTAAAATTAAATGAAATTCATTTAAAATAAAAAGAATCAATTATGTTTAAAATAAATAAATAAATAATACTCCAAATCCATCCTTGTAAATTAATTTGTGATTTAAAAATGTTAAAAAATGAAAATAGTTAAAAAAGGAATTTTGAAATTGAAATATTTAATTTATTATTTTTACACTAAAATAAATGAAGAGAAATACAATTAAATTCAACGAACACTTAAAATTATATCATCAATTGCATAACTAGCATCACAAGAGTCTTTTTTTAATTCAGAGCCAAAAGTAACTTCTATTTCATTATCACTGTTTAGAAGAATCTTTTCAAATTTACTTTAGCAAAAAATTTAATATTGAAAAAACTAAAATAAAATAAATTTACATATTTATTTAATCAAATTAATCATTTCCACACACTGATACTCCTCTTGAGTTATCTATGCTTTTGCTCCAAACTTATTAATTAATAAAAATTTTATTTCAATTTATTTCACACAATTAAAATTTAAATACTTTGCTTGCCATTAACCTAAACATAAAGCTTTTCTCCTTCCCAATTATCAAAAGCATGAAGAGTTCCACTTAATTTTATCTGAGTGTGTTCTGGCAAATCTTTAAAAACTTTTGTAATTTACTAAGAGGAAACTTTACAATAACCACCATTAAATTTATTTTAAATTAAGTTTTAGCAGCTGTTTTGCTACAATAAACTCCATTATCCACTTTGATTTGCATTATGAGATTCAAAATCTTCATGTTCAATAAGTGACCATTAAGTTTAGCCTAGTTTGCAATATTTAAAAAAATAATTAATTAATTAAAAATGCAGTGAAAACCTAATTGATAACTATTAAATTATTATAAAAGCTGTATGTAGACTGTTACCATAAATTAAATATTTTTTTCTTTATGGTATAAAAATAATTGCATGTAGGAATTCAAAATAATGAAAACATAAAGCTATACCATTGACTTTAAGAGCAGCAATATTAGCTTTATCACCTGCAGTAAGCTTCTTTGTGACAATTTTTCCAGCAATAATAATAGAATCTTCTGAGTTTAATGAATGAATAGAATTAATATAAAGATCATTAGTTTATATGCGAGTAGATTCAGTAGTTTTGCTGTATAAATTTTCAGATATCTTTATTTATAAAATTTAAGTAAAATAATTAGATTTTGTATTATGCATGAGAAATTGATTACTAAAATATTATCTTTTGCAATAACTTTATCAATTTTAGAGTCTTTTTTTACGATCATTTATCCTTAAATGAGAGTATCCTTGTTCATATTTATTATTTTAGCAGCTTTACATTTTATTTTTTTATACAGAAATAGTAAAAAAAGTGTTTTTGTATTGATAACTAAATTACCTGCTTCTTAAGAAGAATCACTCTCCTATCTTATTTCAACAAGTTATTTTTTTAACTACTTTAGGATAGCAAGATTTCCTAATTTTACTCTACTGTTGAATGCATCATTTATGATAATAGCCACTAAATCATAAATTATTTATTAAAATAATTCAATTAATAATTAATTAATTTACATGCTTTTATAGATCCGCTAAGTTTGTTTAGTTTCTAGCTAGGATTTTATGCTGCTTAAACATTTGTAAAGCATAAAAGTGCTAAAAGCACAAAAATTTTTGCTATTGTAATTGTGCTTATTTTCATTTTGTTTTAATAAAGACTTAGCAATTAATTAATAATTCTATTTGTATTAATTATGTTTTGAGATTTATCGTTTTTAATAGTTTTAATAAGATAGTATTATGCATTCAAATTAGTGCTATTAAATACAAAAGATTGAATGAATTAATTAAAAAATTTGTTTTTTTTTGTTTTTTAATTGATTGCTTTTCAATCATAAAATATTAAATAAATATCTAATTAAGGTGATGAAAAACGAATTAATCCAAAAATTTATTCAATTTTCAACAAATTTTTAAATTAGCATTTTCACATTTAAAATTAAAATATTTCCAAAATTAAAAAAATATTTTTTGCAAGAGAATTCAAAATTAATGTTTGCAGATAATTTAAATTCAGAATAATCAAAAACTTAAAAGAAAGCAGTAAATAAAAAGTTTTTTTTTTTACAATATTTATTTAAAATAGTTTTTATTTATAGAAAAAATTTTCAAGGATCTCTTAAGACTAATTAGTTAGGAAGAGTGTAAGGAGCTTCATAGATCTTTTCCTAAAATTTAGAATAAAAAGTAAATAAATAAATAAATATTGATGATAAATTAAAACATATATATGTATTTATTAGAATATTTTTGAACAAAACAATCTAAAAAATTACTCTAAAGATATTTCCGATAATAGGAGTAATTTCAACCCATACTTAGAAGGTTACTTCTTAGCCTAATAAATTGCTGTAGACATCTCTAAGAGCATATTCATGTCTTGAGTTTTTAATGTTAAGCTTGTTTGAAGGTAAATTAACTTTTTCATACTATTATTTAATAAATATTTGAAATTATACAAAGCATTTAACTAATAAAAATGTTATACATATTTTTAAAGAGGGCCATCGAAGACAGTAGGTTACAATTATCTTTAAATGTGAGAATCCCAAATTATGTTTTCAGATAAATACTATTCATATTATTTTTATAAAATATCAATTAGAATTTCTATTTTAATTATTCATTTCTAAGAAGCTAATTTTTTTATTAAACTCTTTGTTATTTTTTAATCAGTAGAGAACTTATCAAAGCATATATCATGCTCAATAAAAATAAGGGATGTGATAAACTCTCAGAAACAACTTCATAAAAAAACTAAATAAATAAACTTTAAAATTATATTGAATAAGCTATAAATACAATATCACATTGCTTATTTATTGAGTTTGTTTTTAGTTATTTCATATTTTTTATTTTGTTATCAAATAAATAAATATTTATAATTTAACATTTGCTTAATATCTTTATATGTTAACTCTGTTGCATATTTAATATTTTATTTATTTTCAGATATTCCAAATTAATAATTAAGCAAGATATAATTATGATAAAATATTTTTATTCAATAAGAAATCAATAGATTCACTTTTTTTTCGTTTTTAAGAATTTATTATTTAAATTTTTTATGAGTAATAAAAAAGATATTTTAAACTTTTTGGTAAATTACCTTTCCATCTTTGCTCTTAAATTATACGTTAAGGTAAACATAAGCGAATTTTGAGTTCCAAGTTAAGTAATTTGTTAAATCTAAAATTATTTTTTTATAAATTTTTAATATTAGCAAAATATCTTTTCAATCATACCAACTCCTATTTCAAAATTAATCCAGCATTCTTGCCATCCTCTTTATTGACTATTAAATCTAATATTGAAAAAAAAAAAAAAATAGTCTTTGAGTTTTTGTGTCTGCAAATATTTATTTTACAATCTCCTAACTTAGTTTACATTAAAGTTAACTACGGGTTCTCCTTTCAAGTGGAACTATCCAATAAAGAGATTTAATCCTGAAAAAACCACTGTTTTCATATTTATTAATTTATTTGAGATATTTTGATTTATTAAATAAAGTATTAGTAATTATTACACAACACCATTCCTGTAAAGAAGGTGATTTGGTTTAATCTATTTGACATATTGTACATTTTATCAAATTAAACACTAAAAATTAATTGCTTTTATATGTCTCTCTTTTGCGAGTCCTTATTTACTTGATTGCTTGCTTGTTGTTTATACAAAGAAACACTTAAATGAATATTAATAATAATTTTCAATTAATACTTATAAATATTATTGTTTTTAATTTGATATTATGGATATCTTTCAATTTGATTACGTGTTAATTCCAAATTTATTTACATTTAATTTTCAATAACTTTATAAAAATGCACTTGATAAATTATTTCATAAAAATGGTTTTAATTTTTTCATTTTAAGTTTTTCAGAATTTCATCATAAAATTGCATAAAATAAAAATATTCCAAGCAAAATAATTTTTTTTTAGACAGAAATTAAAAAAAGTTTGTATTTAAAATTTAGAAATATCTATCTACCTACCTATCTATCTGATCAAAAAAATCAAAATCAAAGCAAAGGAATTTAAGTAATTAAACAAGCAATTAAGTATGCATGTATTCAAGCAAAACAAGGAATTAAATTTTTATTTGTGAGAAATAAAAAATAGATTTATAAATACAAAAATATAGAAATTTATTGCAATATAAATAATGTTACGCTTAATTAATGCTTATTTGTTTAAAATGTTATAAAATTCATATTAGAAAAACTATTGAAATTTTATTAGTATTTTTTTATTTATTTATTTTAGTTTCAACTATTTAGCTGTTGTTTTCATACTATACCAGCAATCAATCGATTTAATTAAAAATTAGAAATGAGGATTGCATATGAATCAAGTTGAGAATTAATTGTTTATATTTAAAGTATTTAATTGTTTTTCGTTTTATTGTTTCCCTCATAAATAATTTATTCCAAAAATAATTAATGAATGAATGAATTTATGTATGTATGTATAAACTAGACAGGCAACAAATAAAGATTTGCCTATTTATGAACTTTTTTAGTTTATCTATCTATTTATCTATATATCTATTCTCATATTGTTTTCCTATCTCATAAGAAGAAAAATTTCTTTTTATTCTTATCAGCATTAAACTGTTAATATAAATCTTCTAAGTTTTACTAATTTTTGTCCTTAAGGTCTTTTAAGCGCTCTTCGTATGATTGCTTTAAATCTAAATCTTTTGATGCTTCTTTGAATATTCTATTGAATTCGTTTTCTTTTGAATTTTCTTATTTTTTTTTCATTACATTATCTACAACCATATCAATCATTTACTTAATTGAGCCATTCTGGCTCTTGCTTTCACTTTCAAGTAAGAAATATGTAAATAATTTAAGCTTTTCTAGAGTTTCTTTATCCATTAAAACATCATTTACTGTAGAGCCCAAGGTAGCAGTTAGTTGACTTTTACATCTCTCGTCAGCTATTGCATTCTTAAAAAGCTCAACTATTACTTCAGTTACCTCTGGCTGAGAAAAGGTGTATTTAAGTGTTTCAATCAATTCTTATTTAAACTCTTAATCCCTTACTACTTTTAGGAGCAAATCTAAAGTATGTTTAAGGGTTTCTTCGTCTTTTAATACATCTATAACGAGTTCTTTACCGAACACTTTACTTTCTTCCAAAAATATAGGATTTTTTATGCTCTATACAAGTAATTATAATACAGCATCTAAAACTAATTGTCTCTTTACTAAATCCTATACAAAAATCCCACTTTCTCTTTATACTTCAGTATCTTAAAACACTCCTGTTATCAGCTGCTTGCCAAAGCTCTCAGCTATTTTAGGTAAAGGTTCATTTTTATCCAAATTTTTTGAAAGTTATTTTAACATTGAATGATAACCATTAACCAAAATGGGTTTATAAATAGGGAACATTAGAACTCCTCCCATCAAAATGAATTTTCCACGGTGAGGACGCATGCTAGTTTTAAACAGTGCCCACTCGTCTTCTATCTCTAAATATTTCTAAAGCCACTTGAAAGGCTTAGGTCTAATTCTATTAATGAATTCAAATATTTTAAATTTCATGTTTCAATGATGTAATTTTCAGAAAGCTGATATAAATTTCTCTAACTAAAACGAAAGCTAATTCACTATTTATATGAAAGAGGAACTAAAAACGTAGTATTTGCTAATTATTTTCTGAAATGTTTGATACCCTTTTTCAATATTGAAAAACAAATTGTTTATTTTTGATAAATTAATCTCTGTATTTTGTTAGTATTTATTATTTATTGGCTGTTATCTAGATAGATGTTTGATACTAACTAAATAAGATTTTTGCAATTTTATTAACTTAAAAATAAACTTTAAACAAATTATGCACATAACACACATACTTTTATTTCCAAATATCCTTTCATTTTTTTTGTATTTGAAATAGAATAGAGAAACTTCTCTTTTTTTCCTTAAAAAATTTCGCATTTATTTACTTAAATTCTAGATTATTTTTTCTAACAAAAAAAAACTTGATAACAACCAAAACAAACTAGTTTTTTATTTATTTAAAATTTATAAAACAGTCCTCATATTTTATCAAAAAATTATTTTGAACATTATTTATTTGTTAAATATATATCAATCGATCGATTGTTTATTTTTTTTACTTTTTAAATGCTTTCTTATCTTATTTAAATCTAACTAATTAAAAAAAAATTATTTCATGTTACTTTTCTCATTTCTTATTCATTTTATAAAACTTTAAAATTATTAATTAGCATTATAAAATTTAAAGAGTTTTTAAATAATAAAATTTAATCAATCTGATTTAATTTATTTTACCTGAAATATTTTATCTGTGTATTAGATAAAGCCTTAATCTTATTATTTGTGTCATTTCTTGGAGCAAATAAGATATCATTTATTTTTTTAAATTCAAAGTTTTTACATCTTTTTATAGTGGGAACTACCTCTCTAGTTTGGGTTAAATATTTTTGCTCAAAATACTTTTTTTTGAATAGCATTTGAGTATTTTATGTACCTTTTTATATCAGGTACCTTTGAAAAACGTCTTTCTTTATAAGTTGGGTAAATAAATTTTTTGTGTCACAAGGTATTAAGAAGATAAATGGGATTGTATAAATTATAAGCAAGCAGAAATTATTCCATTTGTTAATCTAAAAGTATTTTTGATTACTTAAAATATTATTAAAAGGAAATATGTAAAATTAAGATATTTAAATGAATAATTACATTTTATTAAATAGATTAAATATTTCTCATATTAATTATGATAAATGTGTTAAAGTTAATAACACTATTTTATTTTCTCTATTTTATTTATAACTCTGAATATAAATTTTGATATATTAAAATCATATAAAACTATTAAACGGTGAATAACTAATTTATATAATTTGCAATATTTTTAATTAAATAAAAAGAATTGCAAAATGAATTATAATTATTTTCAGAAAATGTTATCAAATATTTTAAAAGTAAGAATATAAAATATTTATTTGAAATCTATCAAAAGCAAACAATTTTATACATTAATTATTATATATATATTTTGAGTATTTAAGAGATTTTCAAATTATAGTTTGATTTAAATCTATGATGTAAGTGCATTTAAACTTTATTTAATAATAACACTTTTTTCTTTAAATAGTTATAAGTTATTTATTTAATAAGAATTATTTTTATTTATAATTTTTAAATAATTTAATAAATTATTTGTAGCCAAATTTACTTGTAAAACAATTTAATCGTAAAATTAAATTCAAAAATTATAAAAAATTTTGTTATTACTAATTTTTACTTTAATATATGCATGCTTTTTATTATGAATTTACTGAATCTATATTTAAATATAAAAAAATCGTATCGTTGTAACGCTATTACTAAATTAGAATTTTATAGATGAGTGAAATACAATATTAATTTAAAAGAGAAAAGCCCTTTTACTTAAGAAATAATGGTAAATAAATTTATTTTGATTGATATAATTGATATTTTAAATAAATTTAAGTAAAGTATTTGGTATTTAGCAGAATAGATTTGATTATAAAAGGATTTAATTTTGTGGAAGATGATGAGGATGAGTAAGTAAATTTAATGATTCAGGATTGCCTAAAGATTAATTACATTAATTAGAGTGAGGATAAATGTATTTTTTTATTTTTAATTGAATTTGAGTGGATCAAAGAATAAATTTCTGATTTTTGATAGATCATTTAGATTAGTCTAAATTATATATGTGATTGTAAATAAATGTGAGAAATAATGATGTATAGATAGATAACATTAGTTTGAGAGAATAAGAAATTCAGTAAAATCCAGCAAGAAATAAGATATTGCTTTAAAATTAATAGATATTGTAAACTTAATGTGCTATTTAGGGGAAAGTTTTGCATTTATAAAATAATATGAGAAACAAATAATTCAGTCAATAATTTAGCCAATCAATCTTTAATATTATATTTTATATTACTATTTAACATTTCTCTAAGCAGTAGCAGCTGGCACATAAAGTTATTAATTAATGAACATAAAAACAAGAAGAAAAAAAAATAAAAAACCTTACTAAATTGAAATTATTAAAAAATTACAAAAAATAATTAATTGATTTTTTTCAAGAAAAAAGAAAGTCAAGAGTTTGTTTGACTTACATTCACAATCAATACAAAAGCAAATAAATATACAAATAAAGAAACATATTTAGACCAATATTTTTTAGATATCAGTAAAACAAATATAGCAAAGTAGCAAGCAAGCAAGCACACTTAGTTAGTTAGTTCTCATTTTAAAATTGATAAAACTCAATTCAAAATTTAAATATAATCTCGCAACGATAAATGAAAAGTATTATCCTCTTTAAAAATTATCTACATTTATTTATTTTTTTGGTTGATTTGATATTTTAATTATGTAATTTTAACAAATTAGGCTCTCTCTCTTAATAGCTTAGTCAAAAAGGCATTAACGTCAGCATTTACAATCCTCAAACTATAAATCAAATTAAGTAAAATAGTTTATATCACCAATCTGCTGAAAAACCAAGAGTTAAAACAAACGGAAGCTTACACTCTAGCAATAACTAAAGCTTGGCTTTAGAAACCTAACAAGGATAGGCATTTAATTAGGCTTTAGCTTTTTCAGCAAATCTATCATCTGGAAAAAAAAATAATTCCTAGACAAATTTGAGCAATCTAAAAACAGCAAATCTAATCAGTTAGCAATAAAATGTTTATACAGGTATAGGGAAAGGTAATAGCAGTGCTCAAAAATAACTTAGTCAATAATAACAGTTTGAAATCCCAAAAGACATTTAGTCTCTTCTCCAGAAAAAAATGCTAAGTTAGCAACATAGAAGGGCAGAATCTACCAAACTTGCATATATGAGTAATTAAATAAAATATTTAATTTTACATTTTTTTGCTTTACGAATAATATTTGCTATGTTTAGATCGAAACATTCCTAAAATTGTTCTAATTAACTCATTCATTCATTTTTAAAGCGAAAATAGTATATCTACTAAAAAAGTGTAAATAAATGACTTAGCAAATATATAATAATTTATAGAACATAATTTAATATTTTAGATGAAGTAAGTTCGAGTCAAATTAATTCATTTTTCTAACACAGTTAATATTATTATTATTATTAGCTTTAAACCACAAAAGAACTATGTAACAAATTACAAACATCATTTCTAGTAAAATATTAAAAATGTAAAACTCGAATACATTTTCTTGTTAATAAATAAAAAAATATATAAGAAGAAAAATAAGGATAAGTTCGAATCCTAACTAATTAAATTAGTAAAAGTGAAAGATCCTTGAAAAATATTTGAATTTTAATTAATTTTGAGTGAAAAAGATAGAAAATTAATTTGATAAATCAATCAATATTTAGAATAAAATAACGCAATAGATATTATAAAATATTCTGTTATTTACTACACCACTATTGATTTTAATTATTTATTTATTATTTAGTTGCTTTTTAATAGCTATTTTAATAATCTCAATAGTGAGTTTCTGGCTTTAAATAAAGATAGATAATTTAATATAATATTTCTTTCTTTCTATCTTTTAATTATTTTTGATTTTTCATGCTTTTAAATTAAATTTATCTGTCATTTAATCTCTTTTCTTATTGAAATGATTAATTTTCATGATTTTTATTAATTTTTTTATTCATTCATGCAATTCATGCATGCGTCAATTGATATTGATAAATCAATTATTTTTTTCACCAACAATTAAATTATTAATCAAGATATAATTTATAGCCTAGCTAAATCGTTCTTTTAAATTAATTAGATTAAAATCTCAACTCTTTTTCCACTAATGTCTCATCATAGAAGAAAGGTGATAATAATTTTGTTTTTCCAGAAACCACTGACGATAGCAACCTTCAATTGCAGACAACTACCAGTTAAATTAGTTCTGGAGGGCCAAGTATAACAGTTTCATAATCAATGACTGGCTTAAAGTCCTCAAAAAATAAAACAGAAATGCATTAACAATACTACTCAAATCACACAAAAATGGAAGATAATATTTAAAATGATATTTAACTTATTGTCTCACCTTAAGTTTCATCAAGATCTGGTTAAAATTAAAACTCCCCTTTTTTATGTGCTTAACAAATTCTTTCTAATAATAATAATAATCACTTTTCATCTCCTCTACAACTGACACCAAATAGAGATCCCAACGATGGAGGGAGATTTTTCTTAAATTTGGCTAAAACTGCTGCCAAGACTTAGTCTAATGAAATTCCTTAACATTTTTAAAAGAGTAGCTCTGTCATACAAAATGAATAAGCAAACTTTTAAGAATTAACAAATAAGTAAGAAAAAAGAATTTCTGATCATAAATCTTAAAACAATTCTCCTATCAATAACTTCTTTTTTGGAGATGGTATCGTACCTCTTTCTGCATAAATTTAAAAGAATCAAAGCATGAACTCAACCTAGTTGCAGTAAATATAAACTTCATAGTTTAATTCACCATACAAATAAAGCATAAAGCCAACAAAAGTTAAAATATGTGAACCAAATAATGTTATTCACTATGAAAAAATGTAACCTATTAAAAATCAAAATTCATATTTATAGCTATAAACTGAACCAAGTGGACACTCTTACAGCAAAAGTGTTAATTTAATGTCTTCAAGAAGTGAATTGAGTGATACTGAGACTAACACTAATTAATAATTACAAATAGTTAAATAGCCTTATCCCTCTAAACCTAATTTGGAGAGGTCTCAATAGCAATTTATAACCACTTCTCCTCCAAAATTACCATAATAAATAGATAATATAAATAAAAGCAATTAAAATAATCAACACGAGTTAGCTCTAGTACCTCCTAGCTAAGAAGAAGCTAAACAGCAGTTTTAAAAGATTCTTTCCACACTCTAAATCTAAGATCAATAAAATCTCTTGCAGGAGTTGACTAATCTTTACTCTTAAATATTTGTAATATCATTTTTTTAACATTTATCTCAGCAAAATTTATAATTTTTTTTATTAAACTGAAAAGCATTTGGAGGATTAAAAACCATAAAATTAAAAAAAATAAGAGCAACAAGTACAAATTTAAACCTAAAGTATTAACAAATAATATCAAACTTCAAATGGAAACGATTCGACTTCTACTTCCTCTTTGGATGATTTGCAAGGATCTTCAGTCAAGAATAAAAAAAGTAATACTTTATTTGTTATTTTAAAAATCTAAATAAAAAGAATTTTAAATGAAATTTTTAAAAATAACAGCCTAAGAAGAAAAAGAAAGAGAAGAGTTTTTGAAGCAAGAGGAGAGAGTAAGTTTGGAGCAAAAGGTACTTCTTGTAAATTATGTAGATATAAATTAGGATGAACTTTTCAAGCTAGTTAGAGAATATTACTAAACATAAACAAATCAGCAAAAAAAATATCTAAGCATAAGATAAGAAAAGATTTCATTACAAGAGCTCCTTTCAATTTAAAAGTAAAAAAACAAATTATATTTTCATTTACTATATATAGAAATTAATTTATTTAAAAGTGCACTCGAATGAATGTATTTTTTTTAATTAAAAATAAGATTTATCTAGGAAAAGCTGCTTGAAAGAATAGATCAAGAGAAAAAAGCAAGATTGAAAACAGAGGAATAAACCAGTATGATGCTTTTAAATTAAGAAAAAACCATTAAAGTCATGGTAAATTAAATTAATTTCTACAAATTGAATGAATATTATTTTTTATAATCAATTAGGAAACTAAATGGTAATAATAGTATGAATCAATGAGGAATGGTAGTACAGCCTCAGGAAATTCAAACAATTTTAAGTAGCCTTCTCCTTAAGATATAAGCTGTACATTAATGGATTCTAATTGAAAAAGTTGAATATATTTAACAACCAAACAAACAAATCAGATTTTGTTATCAAAAGAGAGAAATCGATTCAAATTCTTTTTTTGATTAAATTATACTAGTAGTGGTAGTAGTAATCTTAATGCCTGAATAAGTTTCATTCAAATTTTTATATAAAGCTAAATAAGCCTTGAAATCTCATAATTTATTGAATATATATATTTCTAGCTTTGGGTAGTAAAGGACTCAAATAATTTTCTCTAAACATAACTTTTTCCTTAATAATAATAAAAATAAATAATAAAGAAGAGGACAGAATATCAATCAGTTACATATTTGATCTACTCTAAATAAAAATGAGTAAATCACTTAGATAATAATTTCTTTAGAATGAATATGTAAGTAAGTGCAAATAGTTATAAAAATTTAACACTTTAACCAAATAATTAAATTTACAAATATATATCAAATTTTATTTCTTTATATTTATAGCAACTGTAACTTCAAAAAAAATAAAAATGTGTGTATATATAGATTATCTAAATAATTTAATCTTTCATTCATCATATTTATTCAGCCAGTTGATTATTCACTACATTATTTTATAGAGCTCCTTTAATTATTTAAAGCAAATACTTGAATTTTATGCAATTATATTAATTATTAGTACTTAAAAGCTTACTAATACAATTTTATGTGCTGATAAATTGGTTAAAAACTTCTACTTTTTTTAGTTTATATTTAGTTTTATTATAATAAAAACAAATTTATAAAGAATATATGAATATTTAAATGTAATCAATCGCCTAATATAAAAATAATAGACAAAGCAATTTAATATACCATTATTTGTTATTTTAAATTATCTGCTAACATTAGTTTTTTTTAATATGATTAAATTAATCAATATTTGATTTACATTTGAATTTTTTAAAGTTGTATTTAATATTTTAAATAGGGAAAAAAATTTATTCTGCTTTTTTTTAACTATTAGAAGTCTTTTGTGTTAGTTAATTAATCTAAGGGTTTTAAACAAATAAAAAGAAGAATTTATATTATAAAATTACTAATTATTGTATGTGACTAAATTTTATTAAAGTTGAGAAAAACAAAGAAGTAGGAATAGAAAATTCAAATATGTATACAATAATCCTAACATTTATTTGATAAAAATAAAATTAAGAAAAAACGCTAAAATTTAAATAGCATGAAATTTATCAAACAAAAACTAACAAAGAGCCTAAATTAATTGATTGCCAATTATTACAACCTGAATAAAAATAAAACTGAAAACTGTACTGATATTTTTTATAATTTGTTAACAAACAATTGGAAGTTAATTATTTTGCTTGACATATTTATTGTATTTATAAAATTAATTGAACTGTTGTTTATGCTCATTTCATGTTTGTTTTTGATTATTTTCAAATTCTTTCAGTATTGTTCAAGATTATTTATTAGTCAATCAATTGATAATAAGATAATATTACAATATTATTAATATAGTAAATAGAAAATATTGATTAAAAGGAAAAAAAACAAAACAAAAACACTCTTTAGGAACACTTAAAATTCAAAAATCATTTATAAACTTGATTCTAAATTTTAAAATTTTTATTAGGAATAATCAATCTCATTTTGTTTAATTTAGTTCATTAAGTCTTCTATTAGAAAGCTACTGGAGATTCATAATAAATAAGTAGAAGTAGAGTCATAAATAAATTATGATTAAATACCATTCAGATTTAAATATTTATTTTAAATTATGCACTCATTCAACATTTACTTCCTCTCACTTTTCTTTAACAGATACCACTCAAGCAAACATAATAGTATTTACAATAAATAATTAAAATTTTTAATATTCTGCATATAAAGACACAAAAGATAGAATGAAATAATGAATAAATAAATAAATAAATTCATAAACATTCTTGCACCAATCACAAAAAAATGAATGCTCGTTGAGTTAAATATGAAGACTTGACAATAAATTTTTTATATAAAAATTGTTAATCATTTATTTTTGATACTGATTTCACACATTGTCACAGAAATTTTTGTTTTATTTGTGTTTTACTCACTATTTTTCAATGTTTATTTGATAACAAATTACTATGGAGGATTCATATTTCTTCAAATTTAGATTTCACATCAAAAAAAAAAAAACTTATGATCATAAAGATAAAAAGCTATAGTAATAATAAATAGAAAAACAAACAGAAAAAATTAAATTAAAAGACTTACTAAGAATATAATAATTATAATAAGCTCAATCATAATTTGACAAGATCAATTGTCTTTATACTTCAATATTTAAAATGATATCAGTCAAAAAGAGGGAAGATACATACCTCTAATCTAACATTTAAAGTGAAAATGACATCAGCTCTTCTACTAATTAGTTTATTGAGAAGCTGTTAGTTGATAAAGAGGTTTCTTAGTCTCTTGCTAAGCACTCAATTTCTTAAGTAAATTAATAACAATAAGGCTAGAAAATTTTATAAGAAAGCTAATCTTTTGAGTAGTAAAGATAAATTGAAGATAACTAGAGCAACTCAGAGTCTCCAATCAGAAATAACTTATCAAACGAAGACTACTATACAAGATAAAATGCATGTTCTGTATCAAATGAACAAATGCAATAAGAAGAGTTTTTAAATCTTAAAAGCAAATAAGAAAAGAGTTCTTTTAGTGAGAAATTAGAGCTATGCAAGGAGAGTTATGCTTTACGAAATTCTTCTCCTTTTAGTTACTCTGATTAAATGCATTATTCTAGAAAATCAACGGCATTGAGTCTTTACTCAAACCAAAGCGACTCATCAAAGGCTGTCAATAATAGCAGTAATACCTAAGAAAATGAGAAGAGTTCAAGTAATTCATAACAAGACGATTCTTTAAATAAACTAAAAAAGAATCTATTTGCTAATTCTACTAATTGCCAAAAACAAAATTCAGAAATAGGAAACGATAATGAAAGAGTACAGTCACCCTAATAAAAAAATTCATTTGATGACTATGTTTAGACTTCACCTTCAAACTCAAGCTCAATTAAGAATTCTAAGGAGAAAATAATTTTAATATAAAAACCTTCTTCGTTTTTATCTTCAAAGGAAAATACTAATTAAAAATCTAATACAAGTAATATATTTTAAATTAATTAATCTACTTCAGGAGTGTCTCAAACTAATTCCAAAGATGAAAGTGAAAATTCAAATGAAAATGAAATGAATTGTTGTTACTAACTAAACTCTACTGCTCGTGGTGAATAACTGTTCTAAAATTTCCAAAAAAATTTTAATTCTACTTTGGCAAACAAAAACAGCAACTAATAAATTTAATATGAAGAAGATTAAAGTTTTGATAAACCTAAAGATATTTAAGAACAAACAATTAACAATTAAGATAGTAACAAATAATCTCTAGAATATGATAGTGATCGCGTTTATATGGCATTCACTCTTTTGATGCACAGTAAAAGCTTTGCGTCGCAAATTTAGTAATAAAATCCTCTATAAAATGAGCAAGGAATTAATTTTACTACAGAAAAAATAATAGAAGAATTAAATTAATTGGATTTCTCTAAGCTGGAAGATGGCTCTTTAAAGCAGGATATCTTTAATGAGCTTTGCAAAAAGCAATCAAAATAATCATCTGAAAATGAGATTAGCCATGAATAGACAGGTAAATAAATATTTATAAAATTTAAATTATAAAGTGTGGCATTTTATTTAATTTTAGAAGATAGATAAGATGAGGAATATACCAGCTTTGATTAAGAAGAATAGCAAGATAGCTTAGATCAAGATATTGCTGGAGGAGAATAAATTTTATCATTTGAGAAAAACAATGAAAAAGAAGTAGATAATTAAAAGCTAAATCTTGTCTTAAGCCTTAATTCTAATGATTTTTCATCAATGAAAGCAAATATAGAGTTTTAAGAAAAAAGCCCAGAAAAAGAAGACAATTTAAACTAGAAACTTTTTTATTCAAATAATAAAAAATATTAATAAGCATAAGAGTGTAAAGATGCATAGGATAAACTTAAAATAAGTCTCGAAAATTTAATTCAGTCTTGCTAAGACAAGCAAAAAGAAGATTTGAAATAAAAAATAAATTCAGAGTAATCGAATAAGAAGGGATTTTAATTATCAGCCAGTCATCTCAATTCAGTATCTAATTTATTTTATAGTATTTTTTGCAAAAAAATTAAAAAGAACCAACCGACTATCAAAAAAACAAACACACAAACAAACAAACAAACAAACAAACAAACAAGATAATTAACAATAAATTAATAAAGAAAGAAATATGAAAATGAAATCAAAGAATTTGTGAATTTAGCTTAAATAATTTGTGTTTAATTAAAAAATTTATAAAAATAAAGAGTTTCAATATTTGTAATTGAAACAAATTTATTTTGTAAGATACTAAATCTTTTTATTATCAATAGAAAAGAGGTATTCAGATAAGAGAAACAATCAGTCTCAATAAATCTCTCTTAATTTAGCTTAAGTAATCTGATTCTTTGATTAATAATAATAATCAAATAGCAAGTGATAAAAAGTAGAGTAAATTTTCTTCTACTTAAATACTTTAAAATTAGAACCAAAATGCAGTAACTCTCAAAGATTCTCAAGACACTCTTCCTTAATAAAATAAATTTTAAGATGCGTTTATTTACTCCACTCCTGATAAATCAAAGAAGTAGCTCTTTTAATAGACCAAAAATAACATTAAAAAGAGAAAAATAAGTGATATTTGCAAATATAAAAAAATATCACCTAATAACAATTGCGCAGTAGAAGTTTTAACAAACTAATCAAATCCTTGGGCTTATAAAGACTAAACCGCTTTACAGGTAAAATATAAAGCTATATCTTCAAATCACAAGCAGTAAATTTAAGTGATCGACTTAAGGGCGCTTCGCTTGGAAGAAGAAGAAAAGTACGATGAAAGTGAAGAAGAAATAGAAGAATTAAATAAGCAAATAAAAGTGAACAATTAAATTTAATGGAATGAGCACATTATATCTGAAATTGAAATTTAGAATTCAAGCATAATCAAAGACAAAGCAGTCTCTAAAATTCCAATCTAGTGTCTAAGAAAAGTAGACTCAAAGTAAGAAGAATAAGTGAAAGCTTAATAAGAATAAAAATCTAATTCAAAATAATATGAATGCTTGATTGATAACGCAAATAGCTTATCTAACCCTAATATATAGTGTGATAAATAAAGATAATTTATTATCAAATTTGGGGATTAAATAATAATCAATAATATTCAAAACACCTAAACAGATCTTATTCAAAAAAAAAAAAAATTTTTTAAATAAATCAATAAATCATAATAGTAATTAAATATGTAAGAATAGGATAGCTAACTTAAAAATATAATATGTTTAAGTCAAATATTAGGTTTAAGCAGTAGCGTAGAAGCACAATAAAAAAATTAGTCTGATGAGCAAATTTTGGAAGAATCACCTTTAGGATCTCCATAAAGTATAATTAGTGATATAAAGAATAAAGAAAATAATTAAATTTAAACAAACGAAGATAATATTATGCAGTCTATTTAGCTGATAAATCAAATTGCATCGTTTAATCATAATGTAATCGCAAGTTTGTAGCCTGAAAAATCAAGTTAGTAGTCGAGTGTTATTTCGAAACTGGATTAGGAAAATGCCTAAAATGAATTAGATGAAGTACTTAGTAATTTAAAAGTTAACAACTAATGTTTATAATAAAACAAGCAATCATTAGAAGAATATTTAAATTAATTAATTTCAGAATAAAGTTTTGATTAAGGAAAAATAATCAACAATAACAACAACAATAATAACAGTAATACGAATAATTTAAAAGATAAAAAATAAATTATAATCAATAGTTCGCAAATAAATAATAAAAAGGAAAAGTAAAATTCACCTTCAATACAACAAAATTCTATTGCTAAGGAATTTAAATCAAAGGAAAAATTTGATAAACTTAATTTAAGACACAGATCAAAAAGAATTATGGAAAGAAAGTAAAAGCAGTCCTTGCAACAGCAACTTCTTGAAGACCGTTAGTAACTACCATCATCATCGAGAGACTGTGACTAAATTTTTGAGAATTAACTTTAAAACGAAGAATGTTCATAATAAGAAGGACATGCTGAAGATAAATAACATTCAAGCGAACTGAGTGAATAATCTTATTCACAACAACAAATGCAAAATAATTTAATTAATACAAAAATTAAAAATAAAATTGAAAAAAATTAAAAAAAAGTGAAAAACTCAAAAATAATTTATGGAGGGCCTGCTCCCTCTCCTAAAACTACGCATTTGGCAGAAATTATTATGCCAGAAAAATATGAGCAGTACCTTGCTCAAGTTGGTGGCATATCAAGAAGTGGCACAATGTGCTCGCAAACTACACAGCCATTGTATCCTGCTGTCCTTTCCAAACAAAATTCTAACTAAAGTTCCTTTTCTGTGAACGAAGAAGATTTATAATAAAAATAATTCGATTAATAATAGTTACAACAGCAATAATAATATTAAATTCAATCAAAGGCTTAGAAAAAAGCAGCTTTGAAAAAGAAGAATAAACTAACTTAAAATATTGAATAAGTTTTCTATGATGACGATGATGAAAGTGCAATTTAAACCAAATAAAAAAGAAAATCAAGTAAAAATACAGACGAAAATCATGATGATTAAATCGATGACGAAAGCAGCGCTGGCTCTGCTGAATAATTTGCAAAATGCTCTGATGGCAGTCAGTCTAAGAGCAAGTTTGATACAAAAAATCTTGTTAAAAACTTTTTAAATTAATTTTTGACTTTTGTCTAATCAGAAGAAGAGGAGTAACAAATTATGGAGTTGTTAGGCATAAATGATGCCTCTGAGCTTAATGAATATAAAAATATTCTCAAGTAATTCTTTAAAAACAAAAAGTTTAACAGAGCTCTCCTAAAAGAGTTTGTTTTCATTGTTGGATACAGGAAGTTGTTCTTGCATTTTCTCCAAAACAAAGCGCATAATTGGATCATGCAAGGCAGAATGAAAGATAAAGCATCTCACTTGAGAGCACTATAGAATTTTATCTACATCTGTTAAAATTTCACAGAAATCAAATCATGGAGATTCAGATACAACTTCGTCTGAACAAAAAATGACCTCAAATGATTTTAATTTTGCCATGAATTAGACAAAAAAATAAATCCCTCTTTAAAATTAACACATTAAATACAAAGAAAGAAAGATAGATTGATAAATAGATATCTATCTATATATCTTCAAATTAATTAATCGCAATATTTCAATAAATAATCCTTTGTTTATTTATCTTATAAAAAAATAAACAACTACTTGATAAAGCTATAATAAATAAATAAATCAATCAATGAAATTAGTTTAATCAAAATAAAATCTATTAAATTTACATAGACTATCTATCTATCAATAAATAAATAAATTAATAATAAAATCAAAATACCTTTCAAACTATCTATTATTACTTGTTTGGCTTGAACTTTAAAATGAAAATCAAAGAAATTAAAATTAGAGCATAAATATTTAAAAAAAGAATAAACCGCAGAACTAACTTATTCAATTATTGCAACTAATTCAGAAAAATATTATAAAAAAAAATAATACCAATTCAAAATAACTTTTGTTTTTAATAAGGATTAATATGTTAAAAGTGTGTGTCGTCTACTAAATATTAATCATTTACATTTACTTATAATTCTTTTTAATTCCATATCTTAAATTATCAAAATAAATATGTACTTTTTTATATTTGCATTCATTCTATTTTTTAATTTATTCTTTCAAAAATCTCTTCTTCTTCTTTTTTTCTTTCTTTCTTTCTCAATACAAAATCTGCATGCCTATTTATTTCTACTAAATTTTTTCTTTTAATTTTTAAACAGCTAATACAAATGTTCTTTTAAATTTTGTTTAAAATAGTAATTATATTTATTTTATTAGGTAGTTAGTTAGTTAATTAATTAATAAAAAATTTACTAAGACAGATAGGTAGGTAGAGATCTCTGTTGTATGTATGTATGTATGTATTTACTGTACTGTAATTTATTTGAATTTCTTATTGAATTATTTAAACCTAGCAATTATTAAAACAAAACAACTTTAAACAACATTCAAAATTGCATGAAAATTTTTAACTATTAAAAAATTTCTTTTAATAGTTTGTTTTATTAGTTGGCTTTTGCTATAAACATAATTATAAAAACTTCAAGAAATTTAATCTATTTATTTATTTAGTCATTTAAAGAATTTAATTGAATTAAAAAACCAAAGTAGAAAAAACCTTCAATCCTCATTTTAATTCTTTTTATACAAAATGTCTGACCTTAAAGACACAAAAATCAATGGAAAATTTCTTATTGGTTAAAAACTTGGTTCTGGTTCTTTTGGTGATATTTATTTAGGTAACTTCAATTTCTTTTAAAATAGCTTTTATAAAATTATTCTTTGATGTAAAGCCACTAACACAGAAACAAAAGAAATTGTTGCCGTCAAGCTTGTAACTTATTAAATAAATAATATTTTAGCAGATCGATATAAGCCACTCTTTTATAAAAATAGGAAGATAGCAAATCTAAGCACCCATAGCTTCTTTTTGAAGCAAAAATAATGAAAGCATTACAGGATAGAGGTATTTTTTTTTCAAATAGTAATAAAAATTAAATAGCTAACTTAAATATTTTAGTTGGTATCCCTAAATTATATTGGTTCGGTCAAGAGGCAGGCTGTAATGTTATGGTACTTGATCTGCTAGGACCCTCACTTGAAGATCTTTTCAATTTGTGCAAAAGAAAATTTTCATTGAAAACAACTATCATGATATGCGATTAAATGGTATAAATAAAATTTTTAGATTTCAAATCAGCTTTAAAATTGAATAAACATTTAGATTTATATGAGATAAATTCTATCAAAATTCATCTTAATATTTATTAATTAGATTTAAAGAGTAGAAAGTGTACATTATAAGAGTTATATTCATAGAGATATCAAGCCAGATAACTTTTTAATAGGTTTAGGTAAAAAATCAAATACAATTTATGTGATTGACTATGGTCTAGGTAAAAAGTTTAGAGATTCAAAGACTCATTAGCATATTCCTTATCGTGAAAATAAAAACTTGACTGGTACCGCTCGTTATGCTTCTATAAATGCTCATTTAGGTATAGAATAGTCTAGAAGAGATGACTTAGAAGCTATAGGCTATGTGTTAGTTTATTTCTTGAAAGGTTACCTACCATGGCAAGGTATTAAAGCAAACAATAAGTAAGAAAAATACAACAAAATTATGGAAAAGAAAATGTCTACTCCAGTAGAAATTCTATGCAAAGGATTACCTAGTAATATATTTATTTATTCAAAAATACTATGAGTTTGATATAATTTATTGGCCACTTTTATTCCTCTCTCATTCTGATTATTTATTTTTATTATTATAAACTAGTTGAATTCTCTACCTATTTGAATTATTGTCGCTCTTTGAGATTTGAAGATAAACCTGATTACTTGTATTTACGTAAGATGTTCAAAGAACTTTTCTATCGTGAAAATTATGAATGGGATTACATTTACGATTGGTGTCTTCCTATTGGAGTAAAAATAATATTTTAACTTAAATCCTTAATATTAAATTTTGTTATTATAATAATTAAGGGTGAAAAAATTACTAGCTATTCAAATGGTAAGATCTCTATTACCATCAACACAAATCCTCCTTCTGCTTAAAATCCTCCTGTTACCCTTCATATAAGTAATAAATAAATAATAAATTTAATGTTTATATTTTTTATAAAGAAATTTGTATTTTTTGTTAGACGAAAATGTTATGAGCAAAGGAGATGATAAATTTATTAAGAGTGAGTACATGAAAGATAAATTAGAACAATTACAAGGACTTGATAGTTAGGATAAGAATGAAGCTCAACAAGATAACTTGAGAGTAGATAATAATCCAATAAAAGATCATAAAGATGAAGAAGGAGGTCATAATAATCTTTCTGGAGAGAATAAAAACAATGTTTCAAATGCTCCTTCTGAAGGAAACTAATATGGTGCAATTGATCTAGGAGAAGTTAAAGTCGATTTAAATTAAACTCCTTCATAAGGAGCTATTGATTATGGCATCACTCCAGGCTATGATCTTGGTGGAGCTTATGCACCTTATGGAGATTATGGAAATGCATTTCAAACTCCATAATATGAGTACAACAATACTGAAAATAACAACATCAGCAATTAAAATATAGAAAACGATGGCAAAGATACAGTTTTTAATATGAATAATTGATTACAGAAAATTAAATACTATAAAATGTAAATAAATAAATAAGTAAATAAGTAAATAATATATATTATTGTTTTTCTAATAATTTATTGTGATTGAATAAATTAAATTAAATATTGAGACTATATAATTATATAAATCGTACTTCAAAATAAATTTACTAAATTGAAATAGTTAGACCAGCCAGCCAGTTTATCAATCAATCAATCAATTATTTATTCAATCCATATTTACATATTTAAAATTATACTTATTTCTTGCTTAATATTATAAATATTTATTTACTAAATCAGCTATTAAACTACATGATTACTAGTTTTTTAAAATTTGATTGTATATATTTTTTAGCAAATCTATGATTTGCTGTGATTCTCATCTTAAATTTAAAAATTAATAGCTTTTTTAAATTATTAAGTTTTTTTACAATTTCTAGTTAATCCACACTTGAGCTAACAGGATTATATCTATATTTAATAAATTATCAAATTAAAATTTAATATTTTTACTCAAAAAATAAATTTAAGATAAAAACTAAAGATTTTTAAATGAAAGTAACCTATACTATTTTTTTATCTTTTTATTATTTTTAAAAATAAAAAATTTAGTAGAGGTAGGTACTTACTTTTGATGAAATATCTGTATTGATTTGTATTTAAAATTGCATAAAAAGATCTAAATAAATATTTACGATAAATCTATAACTAAATTATATAAGTTAAAGAGTTAAGAAATAGAATCTATCAGCTGATCAACATTTGTAATATTATTTGAACTATATAAAATAATTTTAGGATTTAAAATTAGTTTAACATATAAAATGTATAAAAATAAATAAATAATATTTTTTTACCAAAGAGAAAGTGAGAGTTAAGTTAATTGTGTTTTTTATTCTATCTATTTAAAGGCTAAAGATCCAATGTCTAATATGTTATTTACACTATTATAACCAAAATTATTTATTTAAGGGGAAATAAATAGCTTTTAATGAGAAATTAATTTTACTCTAAAGTTAAGTCCAAATATTAAAGCTTGTCTGATTTATTAATTGAGTTTACAAATTTTTAAATCCCATCAAATTATACATTATTAAAACTATTTATATATCATATGTTGATTAATTTAACAAAACAATTAATTTATGGTATTACGAAAAATCTAATTTTAAAGAAAATAAGCAAGGAAGTTCAGCAACAGCATCCCCTATGTCAACAACTGAGTCAGACTCTAATTAATTTATACTTTAAGAAGTCAAATATCAGTATATAAATAAAAAAAAGTACTATAATTCAAGAAAGATTCTTTCTAGCAGCTTCAATTTTGTAATATTGTTACATAATAACTAGATTCCTTAATAAGTGAATTAATTTGACCTAATTATAATTATATATTTTTGTTTGATATGATTTATTTATTTTATTATAATATAAGAGAATTTGATTTATAAATACCCTAAACATAATTCTAATCTTTTAACTTTCTAGCAATGTGACAAGCATTACCCTATTTTCTATAATCCATTATTTTTTATTGAAAGCCTCCTTTTTTCAGAAAAATAAAAAAATTAATATTTAAAAATAGCTCAATAAATTTAATTACTGGAAATTGAGACTGAGTTCAATAATTTAATTAGACTAATTAAACGCGTTATTTAAATTTTCAAGATGATATATAAAATCTTCACTTCTATATTTATTTTTTATCATAAAAGAAATAATAGTTAAAATAGTTATATATAATTAAATATTGAATTACTCAAAAGAGATATAATAATGAGTTATTTATTAATACTATATCATTTTTTATGATAATTCCTCTATTAAGCTTTGAGTGCTTCCTTTAGATTTACTTAATATGTAAAAAATAATATCTTTTAAATGATGTATAAGCTATTAACTGAAAATTAATTTATTTACTTAATAACTAAGGAAATCTATTTTCTATATGATGTAAATTAACTGTCTTTATTTATTTATTAATTAATTATGAATACATTTTTGCAATTTCTAAATCATTAATTTAAAATTTACAATATTCATGTTTAATTTGATCATGTTAACAAATACTAGGAATGATTGAATTTTAATGGCAGTTCCCCATAAGCAAGCAATCTGATATTTTATATTAAAATAAATATTTTCAAACTAAAACTTATCTAAATATTAAATATTTTTTAATTACTCTTTATATTTATTAAAATACAATGTCTTCTTTTTATCTTATTTAAATTTTTACTAATTCTTCGAATTATGTTTAAGCAATTTATTTTTATAATTTTAAGAGAATGAATTTTTTTAAAAAGCATTAATCTTTAAATAATTTTTTATTTTACTTTTAAAAAGTATTAAGAAATAAAATATTTTAGAAAATACTACAAATTAAATTAAATTTTATAATAATTGAATTTAAAAAAACTTCTAAGTTAATCCCTGTTTCAAGAAATCAAATAAAATATTCAATTTATTCATAAGTATTGTTTTATCATGTTTAAATTGAAATTACTTACTGTTATACTAATTCTAAGATTAAAAATATTTTAAATCATTTCAATTTTGTAAAAATGTTTAAAGTTAGAAATTTTGAATAAAAATAAGCTAGATGTTTATATTAAGATTACTTAAATAAGTTATTTATTAGCAAATTGTATGATATTTGTTTTTTATTTTATTTTACTAATCATTAAGTTCTTAAATTCAATGTTGAAAATACTATTTTCTTAGATATTCATAAATTAACTAAGTTATTTCAGATTATGAATAAAACTTAATTCATATGTAAGTTGACAAAGATATGATGAAATTTTTTTATGTACTTCACTTATCTTTTTGTAACCATATAAACAAATTGAGTTAAATTTTCAAATAAAAGTTTTATAATTATTATATTGTGTGCTTATTGTTTCTAAAAGTAATTTTTATTTTCTATTTGAAAAAACGAAATAATTAATTAATTAATTTAAAAATTTCTTGCTTAGATATTAAATAAGTAGATTAAGGCTAGCTTTTTTAATATTAAAAAGTTGGAAGAGCAACCTATAATTCTAAATGCTCAGAAATAAAAATTCAAATATATTTAAATCATTTCATTATTGTTAATTGAAATTAGTTTTTATATTTGATTTTAGCCTTTTGATAATAAATAATTAATTTTCTTACTAAATGATCTATTATTTTTAATAAAAATAAATATTTTTACAACTTTTATTAAATTTATTTATCTTCAATTTATTTTAATATTATATTTGTTAGAGATGCTTTTCAATTATCTTTATTTAAAATTTTAATTTTATATGATATTTTTACCTAAAGATTTATTAGATTCATACTAAAATAGTATGCAATTTGGTAAAGCTTATCAATATCTCTAAAATAAATGGATATTTTTAGTATTAGTTTTTGGTTTTGGCCTTTATTTTTTGATTTAAATTAAATTGTATTTTTTATTTTATTTTTATTATTCTTAAATCCTGTGCATTTTTTACAAGCCCAGCTATTTAACCCTCAATGAATAATAAATAAAAATATAAACGTATCTGTATTTTTATTAATTTTTGTTAAGCATTTTAAAATCAAATATAAAGAAAATAATTACGATGTAGAACAAAAGAATTTTCATAAATAATATAATAATCATCTGAAGTATCACAAATTATAATATCATTCATTAATGGTTTGTTAGTGATATTTCAAATGCAGTAAAAGTTATAGTAAAAAAAAAATTATAGATTCTAATTTATATTTTGTAACAAAATTTTTTTTTAAATTGAAACAAACATTTCTGGCTGGATATTTTTTGATTTCAGGATAAGTAAAAAGCGATTTTAATAAAATATTTGCATTAAATAAAATAATAAAAATGACTATAAATAACGAATGTTAGTAAAGAATTGACTTCTTTTTTAAAGATTTGTAAAAATAAAAATATTATGAATCTAGTTATTATGAAAATCAAAGCATGGCTGTCATAAATACTTAAACAATAAAAAGTAATTAATTATTAGTAAAATAGTTAAATAATAGTATCAAAATAAGGAATACAACACAATTACTATAAAAATTATTCCTCCATTAAGTTGAAAACCGTATTAATTCAAAATTATTTTAGAATATTATTTCTGCATAAGTATTTAAAAAAAGATTGATATTGATCATTTATATAAAAATAAATAAAGATTTGAACGGAATTTATTATATTTAGTCACAAAAATTAATTTATATACATATGTTTAAAAAAAACTCTTTATATTTTTAGAAACAAATAATTTACTTTGTAAAAAGATTAATTACATCAACATTTAATTATATTATATATATTTTTTTTCTTTTTTAAATAAATTATTCTAGATAAAAAGAAAATGGAGTAGATTTAATAAGACTAATAAGGATTGATTTCATGGTACTGTTATAATGCATAAAATGTGTGGGTACCTTACAGCGATAATATCTAAATGTGCTTAGAAGATTGCTTTTAGAAATATCTTAATAACTAATAGTCTAATCCTATTGTATAATGTTTAATCAACAATAAAAATTATATAATTGATGTTAAAGAAAACACTTAAAAGAATAAAAAGACAGGCACTACTAGAAAGATTCTACGTATAGCTGATGACAATAAATAATAAGTTTAATAGTTAAATGTATCTATCCAATAGTAAGATTAAAAATAACAAAAAAACAATTCTGTATGGCAATTTTTAGGAGATTTAGGATGGAGAAATTATGATGAAGACAGCTAAAAGCTGTTAGTAAAAAAGTATAATTAATATAAATTAAATCCAGAAAATGAATAGTAAACATTTTAACTATCAATTGCAGGTAGTATCTACAAAATAAATTTCAAAAATATGACTTAATAAAACTTAAAGTACCAGACAATTAGACAAATTAGATTATTTTAAAATGTTAATCAGTGAATGAATTAATAATTAAATACTTGTTTATATTTGTTAGTAGTATATATAAGTATTACTTTTCTTTTAAAAATAAATAAACTGTCTACTTTTTTATATTAAAATTAATTACCATTTTTCTGTATAACTTTTTGATTGGAGGATTATCAATTTATTATCAAATATATTTAGTAGAAATACATTCATTTTGTTTTATTTACATAATCATAATAAATAAATTTCTTTGTTAAATATAGATGGATACTTAATATATTACAGCAAAATATTAACTTAAAATAAATAAATAAAACTTTTTACTTTTTTTAATTAAAAAGACACCATTTTTCAATCAAACATTTAAAAGTCGAGTGTCTTAATTAAGGAGAATTTACGGTATTATTCAAACATTTTATATTTATTCATCCTTTTTTCACCAATTGTTTATCATAATAAATCAAAGACAACTAATCTTTTTGATTTACGACACTTGCTTATTCCTTTGAATTTTTAATATTCATTCATTGAGTTAGCACTTTTATAATAAATTTGTGTAAATTATTAATAAATATCAAAATAGAATAAACTTTTAAATTAAAAATTATTCTTTAAATTAATAAATAAAATATTATTAGTTGAATAAAAAAGATAAAAAAATAAAATAAATAAAACATATCAAATAAATTCAAAGAGATTTTTTGTTTTATATTCATTTTTTTTGTTTAAAATATCACAATCCAAAACAAATAAACTGTTTTTACCTAAGGTCAAGTGTCAAATTTGAGAGATTAATGCAATTTGCTAAAGCAGAACCTAAGCCTGATGCACCCATTGCATCAATTTAATTGTAACTTTTTAAATATTGAAGAAAAAATATATCATTAAATAGTTAATTAGAAGGAAAAAATGGAGAAAAAATATGAAATAATTAGATTAATTAATTGATAATAAAAGCAAAATTTGAAAATAAAATGATGAGCTAAATTAACAAAGAAAGAAAGAACAAAAAAAGCAAGCACAATAAAAAGAAAAAGAAAAAAGAGCTTTATTGTTTTAAATTAGTTTTTATAATTAAAAATATCACAATCCAAAACAAATAAATTGTTTTTACCTAAGGTTAAGTTTCAAATTTGAGAGATTAATGCAATTTTCTAAAGCAGAACCTAAGCTTGATGCACCCATTGCACCAATTTAATTGTCACTTTTTAAATATTGAAGAAAAAATATATCATTAAAATGGTTAATTAGAAGGAAAAAATGAAGAAAAAATATGAAATAATAAGATTAATTAATTGATAATAAAGGCAAAATTTGAAAATAAAATGATGAGCTAAATTAACAAAAGAAAGAAAGAACAAAAAAGAAAAAGAAAAAAGAGCTTTGTCGTTTTAAATTAGTTTTTATAATTAAAAATATCACAATCCAAAACAAATAAACTGTTTTTACCTAAGGCCAAGTTTCAAATTTGAGAGATTAATGCAATTTGCTAAAGCAGGACCTAAGCCTGATACACCTTCATCACCAATTTTATTGCCACTTTTTAAATATTGAAGAAAAAATATATTATTAAATAGTTATTTAGAATGAAAAAATGAAGAAAAAATATAAAATGATAAGATTAATTAATTGATAATAAAAGCAAAATTTGAAAAAAAATGATGAGCTAAATTAACAAAGAAAGAAAGAACAAAAAAGCAAGCACAATAAAAAGAAAAAGAAAAAAGAGCTTTGTTGTTTTAAATTAGTTTTTATAATTAAAAATATCACAATCCAAAACAAATAAACTGTTTTTACCTAAGGTAAAGTGTCAAATTTGAGAGATTAATGCAATTTGCTAAAGCATAACCTAAGCCTGATGCACCTTTATCATCAATTTAATTGTAACTTTTTAAATATTGAAGAAAACATATATCATTAAATAGTTAATTAGAAGGAAAAAATGAACAAAAAATTTGAAATAATAAGATTAATTAATTGATAATTAAGGCAAAATTTAAAAATGAAAAGATGAGCTAAATTAACAAAGAAAGTAAGAACAAAAAAAGCAAGCATAATAAAAAGAAAAAGAAAAAAGAGCTTTGTTGTTTTAAATTAGTTTTTATAATTAAAAATATCACAATCCAAAACAAATAAACTGTTTTTACCTAAGGTCAAGTTTCAAATTTGAGAGATTAATGCAATTTGCTAAAGCAGAACCTAAGCCTGATCCACCTTAATCACCAATTTCATTCCAACTTTTTAAATATTGAAGAAAAAATATATCATTAAATAGTTAATTAGAAGGAAAAAATGAACAAAAAATTTGAAATAATAAGATTAATTAATTGATAATTAAGGCAAAATTTGAAAATAAAATGATGAGCTAACTTAACAAAGAAAGAAAGAAAGAAAGAAAGAAAGAACAAAAAAAGCAAGCACAATAAAAAGAAAAAGAAAAAAGAGTTTATTGTTTTTAATTAGTTTTTATAATTAAAAATATCACAATCCAAAACAAATAAACTGTTTTTACCTAAGGTCAAGTGTCAAATTTGAGAGATTAATGCAATTTGCTAAAGCAGAACCTAAGCCTGATGCACCCATTGCACCAATTTAATTGTCACTTTTTAAATATTGAAGAAAAAATATATCATTAAATAGTTAATTAGAAGGAAAAAATGAAGAAAAAATATGAAATAATAAGATTAATTAATTGATAATAAAGGCAAAATTTGAAAATAAAATGATGAGCTAAATTAACAAAAGAAAGAAATAACAAAAAAAGCAAGCACAATAAAAAGAAAAAGAAAAAAGAGCTTTGTTGTTTTAAATTAGTTTTTATAATTAAAAATATCACAATCCAAAACAAATAAATTGTTTTTACCGAAGGACAAGTTTCAAATTTGAGAGATTAATGCAATTTGCTAAAGCAGAACCTAAGCCTGATGCACCTTCATCACCAATTTAATTACCACTTTTTAAATATTGAAGAAAAAATATATCATTAAATAGTTAATTAGAAGGAAAAAATGAAGAAAAAATATGAAATAATAAGATTAATTAATTGATAATATAAGCAAAATTTGAAAATAAAATGATGAGCTAAATTGACAAAGAAAGAACAAAAAAAGCAAGCACAATAAAAAGAAAAAGAAAAAAGAGCTTTATTGTTTTAAATTAGTTTTTATAATTAAAAATATCACAATCCAAAACAAATAAATTGTTTTTACCGAAGGCTAAGTTTCAAATTTGAGAGATTAATGCAATTTGCTAAAGCAGAACCTAAGCCTTATGCACCCATTGCACCAATTTTATTTGAACTTTTTAAATATAGAAGAAAAAATATATCATTAAATAGTTAATTAGAAGGAAAAAATGAATAAAAAATATGAAATAATAAGATTAATTAATTAATAATAAAGGCAAAATTTGAAAATAAAATGATGAGCTAAATTAACAAAGAAAGAAAGAACAAAAAAAGCAAGCACAATAAAAAGAAAAATAAATTAGAGCTTTGTTGTTTTAAATTAGTTTTTATAATTAAAAATATCATAATCCAAAACAAATAAACTGTTTTTACCAAAGGCCAAGTTTCAAATTTGAGAGATTAATGCAATTTGCTAAAGCAGAACCTAAGCCTGATGCACCCATTTCACCAATTTAATTGCTACTTTTTAAATATGGAAGAAAAAATATATCATTAAATAGTTAATTAGAAGGAAAAAATGAACAAAAAATTTGAAATAATAAGATTAATTAATTGATAATTAAGGCAAAATTTGAAAATATAATGATGAGCTAAATTAACAAAGAAAGAAAGAACAAAAAAAGCAAGCACAATAAACAGAAAAAGAAAAAAGAGCTTTATTATTTTAAATTAGTTTTTATAATTAAAAATATCACAATCCAAAACAAATAAACTGTTTTTACCTAAGGTTAAGTTTCAAATTTGAGAGATTAATATAATTTGCTAAAGCAGAACCTAAGCCTGATCCACCTTAATCACCAATTTCATTCCAACTTTTTAAATATTGAAGAAAAAATATATCATTAAATAGTTAATTAGAAGGAAAAAATGAACAAAAAATTTGAAATAATAAGATTAATTAATTGATAATTAAGGCAAAATTTGAAAATATAATGATGAGCTAAATTTAAAAAAGAAAGAAAGAACAAAAAAAGCAAGCACAATAAACAGAAAAAGAAAAAAGAGCTTTATTGTTTTAAATTAGTTTTTATAATTAAAAATATCACAATCCAAAACAAATAAACTGTTTTTACCTAAGGTCAAGTGTCAAATTTGAGAGATTAATGCAATTTGCTAAAGCAGAACCTAAGCCTGATGCACCCATTGCACCAATTTAATTGTCACTTTTTAAATATTGAAGAAAAAATATATCATTAAATAGTTAATTAGAAGGAAAAAATGAAGAAAAAATATGAAATAATAAGATTAATTAATTGATAATAAAAGCAAAATTTGAAAATAAAATGATGAGCTAAATTAACAAAAGAAAGAAAGAACAAAAAAAGTAAGCACAATAAAAAGAAAAAGAAAAAAGAGATTTATTGTTTTAAATTAGTTTTTATAATTAAAAATATCACAATCCAAAATTAATAAACTGTTTTTACCGAAGGTCAAGTGTCAAATTTGGGAGATTAATGCAATTTGCTAAAGCAGAACCTAAGCCTGATGCACCCATTTCACCAATTTAATTGCCACTTTTTAAATATTGAAGAAAAAATATATCATTAAATAGTTAATTAGAAGGAAAAAAATGAATAAAAAATATGAAGTAATAAGATTAATTAATTGATAATAAAGGCAAAATTTGAAAATAAAATGATGAGCTAAATTAACAAAGAAAGAAAGAACAAAAAAAGCAAGCACAATAAAAAGAAAAAGAAAAAAGAGCTTTATTGTTTTTAATTAGTTTTTATAATTAAAAATATCACAATCCAAAACAAATAAACTGTTTTTACCAAAGGCCAAGTTTCAAATTTGAGAGATTAATGCAATTTGCTAAAGCAGAACCTAAGCCTGATGCACCCATTTCACCAATTTAATTGCCACTTTTTAAATATGGAAGAAAAAATATATCATTAAATAGTTAATTAGAAGGAAAAAATGAAGAAAAAATATGAAATAATAAGATTAATTAATTGATAATAAAGGCAAAATTTGAAAATAAAATGATGAGCTAAATTAACAAAAGAAAGAAAGAACAAAAAAAGCAAGCACAATAAAAAGAAAAAGAAAAAAGAGCTTTATTGTTTTAAATTAGTTTTTATAATTAAAAATATCACAATCCAAAACAAATAAATTGTTTTTACCGAAGGCCAAGTTTCAAATTTGAGAGATTAATGCAATTTGCTAAAGCAGAACCTAAGCCTGATGCACCTATTTCACCAATTTAATTGCCACTTTTTAAATATGGAAGAAAAAATATATCATTAAATAGTTAATTAGAAGGAAAAAATGAAGAAAAAATATGAAATAATAAGATTAATTAATTAATAATAAAGGCAAAATTTGAAAATAAAATGATGAGCTAAATTAACAAAGAAAGAAAGAACAAAAAAAGCAAGCACAATAAAAAGAAAAAGAAAAAAGAGCTTTATTGTTTTAAATTAGTTTTTATAATTAAAAATATCACAATCCAAAACAAATAAACTGTTTTTACCTAAGGTCAAGTGTCAAATTTGAGAGATTAATGCAATTTGCTAAAGCAGAACCTAAGCTTGATGCACCCATTGCACCAATTTAATTGTCACTTTTTAAATATTGAAGAAAAAATATATCATTAAATAGTTAATTAGAAGGAAAAAATGAACAAAAAATATGAAATAATAAGATTAATTAATTGATAATAAAGGCAAAATTTGAAAATAAAATGATGAGCTAAATTAACAAAACAAGAAAGAACAAAAAAAGCAAGCATAATAAACAGAAAAAGAAAAAAGAGCTTTATTGTTTTAAATTAGTTTTTATAATTAAAAATATCACAATCCAAAACAAATAAACTGTTTTTACATAAGGTCAAGTTTCAAATTTGAGAGATTAATGCAATTTACTAAAGCAGAACCTAAGCCTGATGCACCTATTGCACCAATTTAATTGTCACTTTTTAAATATAGAAGAAAAAATATATCATTAAATAGTTAATTAGAAGGAAAAAATGAACAAAAAATTTAAAATAATAAGATTAATTAATTGATAATTAAGGCAAAATTTGAAAATAAAATGATGAGCTAACTTAACAAAGAAAGAAAGAAAGAAAGAAAGAAAGAACAAAAAAAGCAAGCACAATAAAAAGAAAAAGAAAAAAGAGCTTTATTGTTTTAAATTAGTTTTTATAATTAAAAATATCACAATCCAAAATTAATAAACTGTTTTTACCGAAGGTCAAGTGTCAAATTTGAGAGATTAATGCAATTCGCTAAAGCAGAACCTAAGCCTGATCCACCTTAATCACCAATTTCATTCCAACTTTTTAAATAAAATGAATAAAAAATATGAAATAATAAGATTAATTAATTGATAATAAAGGCAAAATTTGAAAATAAAATGATGAGCTAAATTAACAAAGAAAGAACAAAAAAAGCAAGCACAGTAAAAAGAAAAAGAAAAAAGAGTTTATTGTTTTTAATTAGTTTTTATAATTAAAAATATCACAATCCAAAATTATATACTAGTTTTTCATTTTATAAAATTAAAATTTTTAATATTTTTTATGAAATTTTTTCTATCCTAGATTTTTAAAATTTATTTTTTTTCAAAAAAAATGATATGTTATGCTTTCTAAAAATTATCTTTATTTAAAATGTGATTTAGATATAAATTAAATAGGTATTTCACTATAGTTAATTAGGAGGAAAAAATGAAGAAAAAATATGAAATAATAAGATTAAATAATAATTAATAAAATTAACAAAAAATTAAAAAATATGAAATCATAATAAAAAGAAAAAGGAAAACAAATCAAATAAATTAAAAGAACTTTAATGTTTTAAATTAACTATTATAATTAAAAATATTATAATATAAAACAAATAAATAGCTTTTATTAAGTGTAAGTTTTAATAGCAAAAATGAAGAAAAAATATCAAATAATAAAAAATGAATAATAAGTAAATAATTAAAAATTGAAATGAAAATTAAGTTAAAATTGCTAAAAAATTCAAGTTTTAATAAAAATCAATGAATAATGATGATAATTTCTTTTATAAATAATTTATTCAAACAAATTTAAAATAAAATAAACAAAAAATATTAATAATAATAAAAATAATATTTTTTAATTAAATATACCTCAGATCAATATGGAGAACCTAATGAGATAAAAATGAAGAGCTTTTAAACTTTTTTATTAATTTATATAAATTTAAAAGTTATTAATAATAAAATTAATAATTACTTTTTCTAATTTATAATATTTTTTAATCTATTAGATCATTTATTTTTTTTTTTCAAAAATATTGAATAGCAGTTTATGAAATTTAATTAATAAATTAATTATAAATGGATAAAAAGAACAAATAAATATAATAATTAATTAATTATCAGATATTGATTTATTTATTTTGTTTTATGAAGAGATATCACATTCACTATTTAAACTTAATATTTTTATTTTAAACATATACTTAAAAATATAGTAGGAATTAAAGACGGCCAGTTATTTATTTAGTAATATTTGAAAAAAACCTGGTAGTTAATGTTCTTAAGTATTATAAAAATAATGTTAATCAGTAGTTTTTTCAATAGATTTTAGTATATTTTTCTATAAATTTTAAGTATAACCTTCTAATACCAAATACACATCATTTATATTTGATTTAATTCATATCATAATTGATTGTTGTCTATGAAGATTATCTATCTATTTATCTATCTATCCTCCAAAAAATAGGCACTTATTAAAATTAATTTGATATATTAATTAAATTTATTGATATCCTTAAAATTAATTAAATTTCCATAAATTAACAACTATTGAATATTTTAGAAAAATAAAAAATAAAATAAATGATATAATAGAATAACTATTTTGAAGATCTATAATAAGTAAATATTAATTTTTTTATTAATATTAATTAAATTTATTTTTCTGAATAAAAAAAGTTTTTAAGCTCTTCACTTTAATCATTCTAGGATCTCCACATTAATCTGAATTAGTATATTTGATTTATTATTATAAATATATTTTTTTAATGTTTACATGATTTTCAATATTATTTTAATAATTAAAATTATCATTTATATTCATTCTGTTTTATATTTACACTAATATTTTTTAATTAATTTAAATTTATTTTCATTCAATTTTTATTTTAATTATTTATTTCTTTATATTTTTTCTTCATTTTATCTTTCTAACTAACTAATTAACTATATATAATATTCTTCAATATTTAAAAAGGTTTTATTAAATTTGTGTAAATGGTGCAATAGATTTAGGTTCTGGTTTAGGAAAATGCACTAATCTCTCAAATTTGACACTTTAACTAAGGTAAAAACACTTTATTTGTTTTGTTTTTTATTGTGATATTTTTGAATAAAATAATGAATTTATGACAATATAATTATAACTATATAACTCATTCTTTTATTTATTATAAATTAATTTCTTATTAAATCATATTTTTTCTTCACTTTTTCCTTCTAGCTAGCCAGTTAAATTTATTTTTGTTCTTCAATATATAAGGGAAAATTTAATTGGTGATAAAGGTGCATCAGGATTAAGCTCTGGTTTAGAAAAGTGCACTAATCTCTCAAATTTGAAGCTTGATCTATCGTAAAAAAATTTTACTTATGTTTAGATATAAAAATGAATTTAAAACAAAACTCTTTTAATTTATTTATTAGTTTTTTATTTGATTTATTTTCTTTTTTCCCCTATTCAGCTTCATTTTATTTATTATTTGCTTGTTTGTTTGTTAATTTAACTCTTTTTTTAATTTTCAAATTTGCTTTTATTATTATTTATTTATGAAATAATTAATTTCTTATTATTTCATATTTTTTCTTCATTTTTTCCAACTAACTAACTCATTAACTTAAAATTTGTTCATCAATATTTTAAAAAGTTTTAATGAAATTGGTCATCTTGGTGTATCAGATTTAGCTTCTGCCTTAGTAAAGTGTACTAATCTCTCCAATTTGACACTTGATCTCAAGTAAAAAATGTTTATTTGTTTTATTTTGTATTAATATATTTTTGAATTTAAAAATGAATTTAAATAATATTTTGGCTGACTCTCTCTTTTAATTTATTAATTAGTTTTTATTTGATTTAATTTTCTTTTTATTATTTTCTTTGTCTGTTTGTTAATTTAACTCATTTTTTTAATTTTCAACTTTTGATTATATTATTTATTAAATCATTTCTTAATATTTCATATTTTTCTTCAATTTTTCCTTCTAACTTACTAACTAAATAACTAATTAACTATATATTTTTCTTCACTATTTAAAAGGTATAATCAAATTAATACAGTTGGTGTATCAAGCTTAAGTTATGGTTTAGGAAATTGCACTAATCTCTCAAATTTGGCACTTGATCTAACGTAAAAATAGTTTAATTCTTTTATGTGATATTTTTGAATATAATAATGAGTTTAAGATAATATAACTACTAACTTTATTAATTTATTTATAACTATTTATTTTTTCTTCAATATTTAAAAAGTAAAAATGAAATTTGTGATGAAGGTCTATCAGGATTAGGTTTAGGCTTAGGGAAATGCATTAAACTCTCAAATTTGACACTTGATCTAAGGTAAAATTAGTTTATTTATTTTATTTTGATATTTTTGAATATATATAATAATGAGTTTCTGACAATATAGCTAGCTCTTTTAATTAATTAATTAATTTATTTATTAGCTTTTTTTTTGATTTATTTTTCTTAACATAATTATGCTTGTTATTTTTATATATTCTTTTTTTTGTTAATTTAATTAATTTTTTGATTTTTTTTTTTCATTTAAAATTAATAAATTAATAATTTTATTTCTAATCATTTCATATTTTTCTTTATTTTTTCCTTCTAATAGATTAATTAGCTATATATCTTTATTTAAAAAGTTTTAATTCAATTCGTGCAATCAGTGCATCAGACTTATGTTCTGGCTTAGAAAAATGCGCTAATCTCTCAAATTTGACGCTTATAATTTTGTAAAAATAGTTTATTAATATTGAATATAAAAATAAATTTAAAACAAAAAAATTAATTCTTTTAATTTGCTTATTAGGTTTAAATTTAATTTATTTTTTTTATTCTGTTTATATTTTTTTCTTTTTTATTTGCTAATTTAACTCATTTATTTTTTAATTTAGGCTTTTACTTTTATAATTAAGCTTATAATTAATTTATTTCTTATCATATTTTTTCATTTTTTTTCCTTCTGACTAACTAATTAACTCTTTATATTTTATTAAATATTTAAAAAGTGAAAATTTTATTGGTGATGAAGGTGCATCTGAATTAGGTTTTGGATTAGGGAATTGTACTAATCTTTTGAATTTAACACTTGATCTAAGGTAAAAATAGTTTATTTGTTTTGGATTGTGATATTTTTGATATAAAAATTAATTTAAAACATTAAATAAGTTTTTTAATATATTTATTTATTAGCTTTTTAATAGATTTATTTTTATTTTTTTTTACTCCTGTTGTGTTTTTTTAAATTTATTTATTTATTTGTTTGTTTATTACTTTAACTTATTTTTTCATTTTTAACATTTTATTACTAATTAATTATTTTCTTATTAAATCATATTATTTCTTCATTTTTTCCTTCTAACTGACTAAATTAACTATATTTATTCTTCAATATTTAAAAAGGGGTAATGAAATTGGTGCAACTGGTGCATCAGATTTAGCTTCTGGTTTAGGAAAGTGCACTAATCTTTAAAAATTGACACTTGATCTTATGTAAAAATAGTTTAGTTTTATTGTGATATTTTTCAATATAAAAATGAATTTAAAACAATTTTACTATCTATTTTAATTAATTAATTTATTATATTTTTATTTGATTTAATTTTCTTTTTTTTATCTTTCTTATGCTTTTTATTTATTTATTTATTTCTTAACTTGTTTATTTTTTGTAAATTTAACTTATTTATTTTTTCATTTTTAACATTTAGTTTTATTTCTAATTCATTTCTTATTATTTCGTCTTTTTTCAACTAATTAATCTACTTTTTCAATATTTAAAAAGGTCTAATGAAGGACTTTATCTAAGGTAAAAAACAACTTATTTGTTTTTCACTGTGATATTTTTGAATATAAAATGAATTTAAAGCAATAGAGCTCTTTTAATTTATTTATTTATTAGTTTTTATTGGATTTATTATTATTATTCTAGTTTTTTTTATTTGTTAACTTAACTCATTTTTTCATTTTCAACTTTTACTTTTGCTATTTATCTTTTTTTTTCTAACTAATTAATTAAAAATATATTTTTTCTTCAATATACCAAGGAATAATTATTAAATTGGTGCAATTGGTGCTTCAAGCTTAGGTTATGGTTTAGGAAAGTGCACTAATCTCTCAATTTTGACACTTTATCTAAGGTATAAATAGTTTATTTGTTTTGGATTGTGATATTTTTTAATATAAAAAAGAATTTTAAAACAAATAATATTACTAACCTACTCTTTTAATTAATTTATTAGCTTTTTACTTGATTTATTTATTATTTTTTTATCCTGCTTGTGTTTTTTTTGTTTGCTAATTTAACTCATTTTTTCATTTTCATTTTCAGCTTTTACTTTTATTATTAATTAAATAATTCATTTCTTATTATTTCATAATTTTATTTTTTTTCTTCTCACCAATTAACTATATATTTTTTCTTCATTATTTAATAAGGGAAAATTAAATTGGTAAAGAGGGCGCATCAGGCTTAGGTACTGGTTTAGCAAATTGTACTAATCTCTCAATATTGACACTTGATCTAAAGTAAAAACAGCTTATTTGTTTTCGATTGTGAGTTTTTGAAGTTAAAAATAAAATTAAAACAATATAGCTAACTCTTTTAATTTATTTATTTATTTTTATTTGATTAATTTTTCTCTCTTTTTTTCCTGTGTTTTTTATTTTTTTGCTTATTTATTTTTTAATTTTTAACTTTTGCTTTGATAATAAATTAATTAATTCATTTGTTATTATTTCATATTTTTTCTTCATTTTTTTCTCATAACTAATTAACCTTATATTTTTTCTTAAATATTTAAAAAGGTGTAATCAAATTGGTGCAATTGGTTCATCAGAATTAGTTTCTGCTTTAGGAAAGTGCACTAATCTCTCAAATTTGACAATTGATTTATGGTAAAAACTGTTTATTTGTTTTAGATTGTGATATTTTTGAATAACTTAATTTTTTATTTTCTTCTCTTTTTTTCTGCTTGTACTTTTTTTTATATTTATTTATTTGTTTATTAATTTAACTCGTTTTTTCTTTTTCAATTTTTGTTGTTATTTCTTATTATTTCATCATTTTTTCCTGCTCACTAACTAATTAACTATTTATTTTTTCTTCAATATTTAAAAAGGGAAAATTAAATGGGTGACGAAGGTGCATCAGGATTAGGTTTTAGCTTAGGGAAGTGCACTAATCTCTTAAATTTGACACTCTAACTAAAGTAAAAAGAGTTTATTTGTTTTAGATTGTGATATTATTTAATTTAAAAATAAATATTAAACAATAAAACTAAATAACTCTTTTAATTTATTTATTTACAGCTTTTTATTTCATTCATTTTCTTATTTTTATTATATTTATATTTTTCTTTGTTTTTTTGTTAATTTAATTCATTTTTCCATTTTTAAGAATTGCTTTAATTAATAAATTTCTTATTTTTTTTCTTCATTTTTTCATTCTAACTAACTAACTAATTAACTCTTTATTTTTTCTTAAATATTTAAAAAGTAATAATAAAATTGGTGCTATTGGTGCATCGAATTTATGTTCTGGTTTAGTAAAGTGCACTAATCTTTCAAATTTGACACTTTATCTATGGTAAAAACAGTTTATTTGTTCTGGATTTTGATATTTTTGAATATAAAAATGAATTTAAAACTTTAAAACAGTATTACTAAATAACTCTTTTAATTTATCTATAATCTTAATATTTGATTTATTTTTCTTATGTTTTTTTTTTATTTCTTTGTTTATTAATTAATTATATATATATTACCTTAGAGTACTGCCTTTTTCATGGCTACATACACGAATAATAACAAGCTATATTATTCATTTATTTTTTTGTTTCTTAATTTAACTCATTTATTTTTTTAATTTTGAACTTTTGCTTTTATTATATATATAATTAATTTATTCATTTCTTTTAGTTTCATATTTTTTCCTTATAACTAATTAACCAAATATATTTTTTTTAATATTTAAAAAGTTCTAATGAAATTCATGCAATTACTGAAACAGATTTACATTTTGGTTTAGGAAACTGCACTAATCTCTTAAATTTGGAAATTGATCTTAGGTAAAAACAATTTATTTGTTTTAGACTATAATATTTTTAAATATAAACATGAACTTAAAACAATATCACTAATTAACTAATTAATTTATTTATTTATTAGATTTTGATTTGATTTGATTTATTTTTCTTTATTTTAATTTTGCTTGTGTTTTTTATGTATTTATTTCTATTTTTTGTGTGAGTAAATCGCTTTTTCATTTTCAACTTTTGCTTTTGTAATTACTATTTCATATTTTTTCTTCATTTTTCCTTTTAACTAAGTAATCAACTATAAAAGTTTCTTCAATATTTAAAAAGTTTTAATTAAATTGGTGCAACTGGTGTATCTGGCTTAGGTTATGATTTAGGAAAATGCACTAAACTCTCTAATTTGACACTTAATCTAGCGTAAAAACAGTTTATTTGTATTGAATTATGATATTTTTGAATCTAAAACAAATTAAAAAAATATAACAAACTTTTTTAGTTCATATTTTAGATCTTTATTTTATTTATTTTTCTTTTATTTTTTATTTTTTTGTTTGTTTGTCTTTTAATTTAACTCATTTTTTCATTTACTCTTTTTGCTTATATTATTAATTAATTAATTTCTTATAATTCCATTTTTTTTTTTTTACTGATGCATTAAACTTTTTTTTCTTCAATATTTAAAAAGGTATAATAAAATTGGTTTAATTGGTGCATCAAATTTAGGTTCTGATTTATTAAAGTGCACTAATCTTCAAAAATTGACACTTGATCTAAGGTAAAGACAGTTTGTTTATTTGATTTGGATAGTGATATTTTAAATGTAAAAATGAATTCAAAACAATATAACTAAGTCATTGAAAATTCTTATTATTTTCTTTAATTTTTAATTGTACTAAAGTTTTTTATTCTATTTATTTATTATTAATATTTTACTTTAATTTATATTAAAAGAGAAAACTAAATCTATGAATCATAATAGATTAATGCAAAGTGCCTTAAATTAAAAAGACTAATTACCTTAAATATTGATCTTAAATATTGATTGGTGATAAAAAAAGGTGAAATCAGACGAATGAATAAATATAAATATATTTGAATACATTTTATAAAAATGTTTTATATTTTAATATTCTGCTATCATATAAATTAACTTAAAATATAGTTAGATAGATAGATAGATTTTTTATTATTTTTATATTTATATAAATCACATTTTGGGAAGTTAAGTTAATAAATAGATTACTTACTAACCAAAAGAAAATTATTATTTAAATATTGAATAATTATTAATTTTGTAATTTTTAATACATTCTATTTGAAAAGTTGAATTATTTTAATTTATATTTTAGTAATTAAATACATTTTAAACTTATTATGAATGTTGAAATAAAAATGCTAAGAATTAATTTCCTTTTTTTTATAAGATTTATTAATAGAAAATAGCAAAGCAATTTCTTAAAATCTTAAATAAAGACCTATTTTTTAATAAATAAGGTACTTTTAGGCTTCAAAAATTTTTAAAAGGAGACAAAAAATTAGGAAGAGAAGGCCTTAGTTAATTAAATAATACAATAATTTAATTTTCATTGTGGTGTAAATGTTATTTTAGTTGGTATTCAATTTATTCTAATATCACAGTCCTTGAACATATATATTATTTAGTTATGATCAACTTACTATCCATTGACACATTTTTAGTTTACTTTTTTAATCTTTACATTATTATTTACAAAACATTTTAATAAATGGGAAAGAAAAAAACAAATTATTTATTTATATTTAGTGGTAAGATATATATCTATTTTTGTATTTTACATTTCAATGAATTATTTAAAGAAATATTGCTTATCTTGATTTGAAATACCTTTTTTATATGATGATCTATTATTATAAATTTTATTATATAAAAATGAATTATCTTTTGAATAAAAAATGAATTTAATTGATTTTATTTAATTCATAATATTATTTCAATAGAAAAAATAATTATTTATTTTAAATTAAAAATTGTATTTGTTTGTTTGTTTTGATAATCTATTAATTGATTATAAAAGAAACTGCTTGAGCTAAATCTTTTGATAATTGATATAAAGAAAATTTAGAGTTATATTTCAAATTTATATAACAAATAAATAAAATATCAGTTTAAGGCAAATTATTAGGTAAATAAATAGTCTTCAACTTAAGTAATATCTAAAATTTAAGTACAAGATTTAGGAACCCTATAACAAAGAGGAATATAGCCATTCATTCAATCAATCAATCAGTGATTCTATCTGCTTGTAAATATGAATCAGATTGATGCTCATAAATTAACAATTATTCTTAGAGACGCTACAGAGAGATTAACTTTTCTAGATACTATCAACAGATAAGATGATCTATCTTCAGAATTAGCAGGTTATGAAATATCCAAGTTGTTGAAAAAGCAGAAAAATTTAGAAAATTAATACGCCGATTTAGTTTAGCTTCGTACTTCATTAACTGGCATTTAAAATAAAAAGAACCTCATTGAAACTCAAAGTAATAAATAATTTATATTTATTTTTTACAAATTCATTTTAAATAATGAAACTTTTTTTTATATTGATCATGTCTTAATAATATTTAATAGCAAAGATCGTAGATGTTGCTCAAAATTTAAAGGAAAGTACAAAAAAATTGTGTAGACTGTTTAAAGAAAATCCTGATTTAGAAAGTGATGCATTAAAAGTTAAGAAAGATAGAATATAATTTATGGCAGTTATTGAATAATTAATTTAAATGGTTTAAAATAATTCTTTGACTAAGTTCTAAAGCATGACCACTTTGGAATTAGAAGATCAAGATAGGTTACGTAAGCTAATTTTTAGAGAGAAAGAGCTTTACCAAGAGATAAAAAAACTATAGTTTGACCGTAATCAAGAAAACAAAGAATATGATAATGAATAGAAAGACACTAATTTAAAAATATAAAATTTGAAGGAAAGACTGCTGTATAAAAAGGCTCGTGCTTAATTAAAAAATTAATATAAAGAAAAGGAGGCTAGAGCCGAAGAAGGAACTTAATAACGCATGTATGAATTTGAATAAAAGCAATTAAAGGAGAAGATAAATAATCTTAAATAGAAAACAGACACTGAAAATATGGTGCATGAGTAATTAAGAAACTTTTTGATTGAAAAAGAAGATTAAATCAAGTAAAAGAGTGATGAATGGGCTAAAAAAGTTGAAACTTGCAGAGAACAATTACAAGAAGAAATTGATAGACTCACTGTAGAGAAAGAAAAAAAATAAGAAGAACTCAGGGAATTAAGAGAAAGAGATCAAAAAGAGCAAGAGGAAAAAGATAGAAGAGAGAGGTAGGAATTAGAAGAGGCAGATCGCAAATAGCAAGAAGAACTCGATCAAATTAGATTAGATAATGCTATTAAGCTCATCCAAATAGAGTATCAAGAATGGAAAGATGCTGGTGGTGGAAAGAAAAAGAGAAAGAAAGGCAAAAAGAAAAAGAAATGATTCATAATAATAGATTTACTCAATTAATTATTATGATAAAAATAAATAAATATATTTTATGTTTGTACAATTTAAAATTAGTATTCAAACAAAGAAACAAAAATATTAAGTCAATAAATATTGGCAACTAAATTAATTACTATCTTCATTGTTTTTAAATTATTTTAATTTTTTAAATGAATTTTAATATTTTTAAAATACTTATTTTTTATTTTAAAAAAAACACTTTAAATTTATTTATTGTTTCTTAAAAAAAATAAAATCTTTAAGTAAATTTAATTTAAATTAGGTTTTTAAAATTTTAAAATACAGAAACATAAGAATTTTAATATCTGCAATAGCAGTTTAGAAAAATGAAGTAGCCAGATTTTGCAGCAATTTATTTTATAGTTATAAACCAATATTAGCTTGTAAAAGTCTTTTTGCTCTTCTTAAAAATTAGCTAAATATCAATACAATTTTCTAATAAAAAATAATAATATTAGAATAAAATATTAAGTGTTTAATGGAATTTTTAATTGATTATTTATTTATTTATTTTACAAATATAAAACATATAAAGTTTTATTCCTCACATTTTCATTATATTTCTTTTAATTATCTTAATTTTTTTAAATGAAATTTTTAATTTATTTTATAATAAATGTCAAATAGAATTTTTAAAAGTCTAATATAAAATTATATCTATAGCTTTTTATAAATAAAATAGAATTATTTTTTAAAATTTGCTTTTACAAAGTTAATTTATTTAGAATTACCATATAATTAAGTTTAATTTATGCTTTTAATATACTTTAGTAACTTTAAATTTGAAATAACCTATTTAAAATACCTACATTAATTATTTTAGGGTTATCAAATCTTTTTAATTTTCTCTTTAAATAGAATATTAATTCATAGATTTTTTAGATGGCAGATTCCAATCAGTTTTAACTAATATATTCATTTATTAATTTGCAGAAAATAGCCATTTTACATTATTTATGTTTTTATTATAATGGATTTATTATTTGCAGATTGATTATAATTCGTTTATAATATAATAGAAAGAATATATCAGTCAGTATTTCTTTTTTAAATATGTTTACTATCCACAGGTTTAACTAAAATTCTATAGAAAGATAAAGCATATTAGTTGAATAATCTTGTTAAAAAAATATACTTTCCTAAATTTGTTTTCGCAAATAATAAGAAAAAAAGAATAAATTAAAGTTTAACCATGGAATTTGAGATAGAAGATTTTAACTTCTAATAATAGGAAGAAAAAGAATAAGAAAGATAACAAGATAAAATCATTTAACATGCTGGTTTTTAATGTAGAGCTGCAAACATTATAAAGAATATTTCTGAAGATTATAATTTCATGATTGTTGATGATATGTTTTTATGGAAAGACGCATTTTAGTTATATTACGAAGAGGACTCTACGGGTTTTTGCCCACTTAATAAATATCGACCTCCGATGGCTACTTATATTTAAAAAAATTATGGGTATACAATACACGAAGAGAGCTATCTTGGATTTACTAACCCTCAGGAAATTGAGTGTATTTGCAAAATATTAGAAAGCTTGTAAATAAATAAAGCATATCAAGTTGCTTAGTTTATTAAAGAAGTAATTATACCTAGGTAGTAAAAGAGCTTTTAAGTAAAGCAGAATATATTATTTAAATATCTAAATGATGAAAGTTTAATTCATAACATTTTAAGCAAAAACTTCTAGAGGTCTCTTTCTATGGCCCACTCTTTCTTAGCAAACCTCTCAGAAAATCCAGAAAAAATATTAAAATATTAAATTAAAAAATTTTGTTTCGAAAGTATGTCTCATAAAATCTATTCTAACGGAGGCTCCTTGGGATTTATTAATTTGATATAAGGAAATTACTCTTTTATACAATAAAACTATTAGAATGTTATGGAATATTTGATGTTTTACTCAAGGAATATTAAATTGCCTGAGGTGCTTGATTAAAGAGGAATAATTGATCTTAATATAGCTTTCATGACAGGCTAGTAAGAAATTGATATAAATATTGTTACAGTTGAGGGGTTTACAATTATGGGAAAGTGCAGAATTTTTAATTACCCATTAAGTGAGGTTGAATTGATTGATGGATATAGAGTTTGCGATTACTTATCAGTAGTAGAATTTTCTTTTAATTAAAAAGTTTTAGAAGATTTGCAATAAAAAAGGCAAGAAATCGATCAAAGATTATAAAGCGGCACATTAGATTATTACCCATATGTTGATTCTTTCTACCAAGAAGATAAACTAGGTCGACTTATCGGAGGATATTAATTCATTAAAAAGTTCTATCCAACAGAATACTCTAGTATTAAAAGTAAAGCTAATAAAAAAATAAGTCAATAAGTTGATGATAAAATTAATAAAAAAATATTATATTAAATTAAATAAAAGCTAAATTAGGATTCCAATAATTGTCAATCTTCAAATTCAAATTAAACTTTACAAAATTAAAATACAGAATAGTTTTAAAAGGAATAAGATAATTTAAGTCAATAATTCATTACAAATTAATTAGATTAATTTTAATCTACTCTATACGATTCTGATGATATTTAAAGGTTTTATGATTAATAAAATTAGCAATTTTAAGACTAAAATAATAATAATAATAATAATAATGAAATATATGAATTTATTTAATTTTAAAATCAATTTCCTTAAGAAGAGTCAGATGATCGCTAAAATATATTCCAAATCTAAGATTTTTTTTCAAATTGAAATTAATTTTATTTTTTTTTAAGTAAATTCATTTTTTATTTAAACATATTGAATGTAGTAACTAACTATCAATAAAAAAATTTAAATACTTTTTGATAAATTGCTATTTTTTTGGTAAAAATTTGATTAAATTATTATTCTTTTTGAGTTTCAATAGAAACCTTTAATATGCATTAATGCATAATCTTAAAATTAAAAAAATTAATAAAACAAATGATAAATAAAAAATAGAATAAAAAATACAGAAAATTTATAAAATTATTACTAGTAAGTAGCAAGCAAAATTTTAATAATATTATCATAATAAATTCATTTTCCTAGCAAAGTTAGCATCTAACTAAAATTATACACTATAATTTCCACCCAAAATTTTTGTCTAAATAAATTCAAGTAGAGAGTGCTCACATTCATAGCATTAACACATATCATAGTCATAATCAAAAAATTAACTGTATGGATAGTTGTCTTCAACTTAAGGATCATCTTCATAATTATTTTTATTTTGTGTATAATAATATATAAAAGCTTGCTTGAAACTTGTCAATCTTTTAAATTTTGTGAATATTTAGTTTAAAATTGTTGGTTTAGGGTATTCTTAATCCTGAAAATATTATATTTAACTAATTCTTTCAAAATTCAATGAAGAAAATTACAATTCTCTAAATTTATCATTGTCTATTCTATCTCTATTTTATATATTTATGTAATTATAATTTGAGTAGTCTTAATAAATTTTTATTTTTAAGCTAATTAATTTTGTTTGCTCATTTTTCATTTCAAAATTGTATCTATTTTACTTCAAAAAGCTGTATATACCATTTAAGCTTTAAAAGCTAGCACTTATTTTATTAAGGCTTTCTAAATTTGCTATTAAAGGGAAAGCACTGATTTATGTAAATAGGTTTAGTGAAAGTGTTCTAATTTGATCATAGAAGTTTATGTTTTTCAAACCTTATTAAAATAAATTATTATCAAAAGAGTCTAGCTATGAAGTCTAATCAATATATGATAATTTGAGATTATTAATTATATTTCCGCTTTTTAAAGTGTCCATATAGTGTTGTAAGAAATCTAGCACATTTTCTTATGATTAAAATTCTAAGTTTAACTATTTTCTTTAAATTGTTTCATTTTTTATTGTTTTTAAACTTAAAATTTATGATTCATTTTTTAATTCTGTTTAGTTTAAGAAAAGATTTAAAGCATGAGGTTATTCATAAAATTTATCATTATTTTAAAAGACTAAATTAAAAATTAATTGCTTAAATAATTATGATGTGATATTGAATCCAATTTAAAACAGATTCAATTTATCAAATTAATATTTTTTAAGATAATTTTACATTCTTTCAAAGCATTTAAAAGAAATATTTTATGTTTTAAAGCTTAAAGTTAAATGATACTTTGGTTTTTGAATAATTTTACAAATTTATCTGCTTTCAATTTATTTAAATATCTTGTAATTTTAAAATTCATCTTTTTTTAAAAAGGACTCTACTAGATAAAATCCATCAATATAAAACGATGTCATGTCATTTTTATCTTCGAAATTTAAAGTTATTTAATATTAATTCTAAAGACTGCCATTAGTAAATATTAAATAAGTCTTTTACTTGAAAGATAATGAAACATGACAGTTATCTATTTTATTTTAAATATTTTGCTAAATTATTTTGACAAAATCTATTTAGTTGGATTTTATTTCAAAGGAAAATATCTTTGATTAGAGATCATCAAGAAATATTGATTATTTTTCAGAATATTAAAAGTCAATCTTTAATAAAGAAGAGCTATTTGAAACCATAACTCTTCCTTTGTTGTATTAATAATTGTAACCACCAACTTAAGGATACATTTCTTTGATAAAAAGTAAAAATTGTTTAGCTTTTTTATGAGTGATATTATTTCCTAATAAATGAATGGTAACATCTTTTAATTTTCTTTCTGAAATAGCATTTTAAAGAGCATTAACTAGGGTGTTATTCATATCTGTTTTTTCAAAATGTAAAATGAGCATAGTTAAGTTGGGTAATGAATTTATAAGCTTTGTTAAAGAACATAATTCATTAATTTTTTGATTCTTTAAAGAAATTTTTAAAGATGTAATTTCAACTATTTACTGAGAGAATCTACTTGAAAATGAATCCAACTCCTTCAGACTTTCTATATTTATCATAATCACTTTTATTTTTTATTTTACTATTCATATAATTTTGGAAAACAAATATTTGATCTTAAAGTTCAATCTTAAAGTGGCTAATTTAATTAATGTGATATTGTAATCATTAAAAATTAATTCTTTTATTAATTTTTATAGCATCTATTTAAAAAAAAAAAATTTCAACCACCTTTTAATTACTAAATCATCTATCAAGATTTTTTAATAATTTAATTTAAGTAAAATTGTAATCCTTATAATTTAATTCTTTTATTAATTTTTATGGCATCTATTTTTTAAATAAATTGATTTCAGCCACATTTTAATAACTAAATTATCTATCAAGATTTTTAAAGACAATTTTAATGAAATAAATTTAAGTTAATTCTAAACTCAATCAGCTTTATATCCAAAATTTATCATCAATGCCATTCTATAAAGAATTTAAAAAGTTAAATAAATGATAAAGCGATAAGGTAATTTATAAACTGTGAATCCTCATTAGTTAAGAGAAAATTATAAGATAAACATTTTTCTTTAAAAATTAGATAATTTTGGAGAAAAAAAGAGGAAGAGGTTACCTTAATAAATGAGGATTGATAGTATACAAAATTTTAAAAGTCTTTCTTAGAAGAAAAAAAATGATAAAATTATTTATTAACTTTTTATTTAAAATAAATATTTAATAATAAATTCAAACTTTCTTTTATATAAAACTGTGTCATTTTTCTAAATTTTAAATAATTTCCTATTATATATTTATATTATTTGTTTTAATTATTTAGCCTTAAACGAACAAAGCTAAAACAATTTTAAAATTTTTATATTCTAAAATATGTCTAATATAAATAAATTATTTAAAAAAGATATAAAGTAATAAATTATTTTTTAACTTTATTGTAAAATTCATAATAATAAAGAAAATTAATTAAGTAGTTAATAAAAGATAAATAAATATATGGTATAATAGCAAAAATAGCATTTAATTTAATTAATTATTAGCAACCTGTTTACTTTTTTAACAATCAATAAATACATACAAAAATACGCTCATTCACTATTTATTGAGATAATGTTTTTTACTTATCTATTATGTTCTGATAAATCATCTGACTTCTCTGCATTCGTCATTTCTATTTGAGAGACTGGCCTATTAGTAAAATCATGACTATCACAAGTATCTTACTGATTGCTTTTTTATATTTATTAACTTAATTAATCTATGCTTATAGAAACGCAATCTGATAAAAAACTTTTTTTTAGATTTTCTAAGGATTAAGCTTTCTGTGAAGCATCAAACTCAGCATAATGTATTTTCTGATAAATGTAAATAAAGATGTAAAAATCCAAAACCATAAATATGCATAGGTTCAGAAAGCATAAGCTGAAAATCCATGTAAAAGATGTTACTGAATATGAACCTTCTTAACAAGAGGTATTATGATTACATAATTAAAATATTGTATTTTTTATTGATTACAATTTTTCTTCATAACTAGATTCCAAACATATTGCATTCATATTTAAAGTATTTTTAATAGCAACCTCACTGACTGGACCATTAAAAGTTATTACATAACCTAGTTAGGTTTATAAATAATAAAAATATTAATTGATAAAATTTATTAAAAATAAATAAACGTAATTTACCACACCAATTAATAGCATACACCCTAATAAGGTAACTTAAGGATACTATAGCTATAGAAAGACACGTCAATTTTAGAAATACTATAGACAGCTTTTTAGTACTGACATATGCTTGCTTATTCGAAAATATTTTAAAGATGTAAATAGAGATAGCTATAAGAGAAATACCCAGTACTATTAAGAGATAAGATTGTACCTTGAAATATTCTGAATTCATATTTAAAAAGGCTAAAAAAAATATAGAGGAGGTGCTCAAAGCTAAAAAAATTAAACCAATTTTAAAATATTTGACATATTTCTCTATATGAATAGACGTTTGCTCATTTATGAATAACAAATTTTTTGAACTAATTTCCTATTTCTTACAAGCATCAGAGTTATTAAGCTTTTCGTCAAGGCAATTTTAGTTTTAGGTCATTTTGAATATTTATCTTTTAATATTGAAAACTACTTTTTTGGTTGCTAACTTGATTAATTTGGTTTTTAAAATTGTTCGAAAATGCAATTTTTATTTATTTTTATGAAAATTTTGAGGTTAATTATTTTATAGAAAAGAAATGAGGAAGAAAAATTAAGTATTTATACATTATAATATTTAAAAATAATTAGGTACTTCTGGCATGATTAATTAAGAAATATCCACTAATTTATTAATTTAGGCAAAATGTTAATAATTTATCCAATCATAAGCAATCTTGGAAAATAAATTTTTAAATTCAAATAAAAGTAAAGCCTAACTTAAACAAAAAAAAACTACTGAAGTAATTCAAACAATATAATCTTTAAAATTATTTAAGCATAATTTAATGTATTTTTTTTGATAAAAAGCTTTAGTTATAATTCTGATTATGTATGACTGACTGTTTAAATGTATTATTTAAATTTTTTTAAAACTCTTTTATTTTCTCATAACTTTAACTTTGATTTCTCAATATTTATTTACCTAATCTGATTAAATTACAATATTCAAATGTAAAATGATCTTTTGTGATTAAAAATAATTAAAGAATTGATAAGTATAAAAACTGATACTTTTTTAATTTAAAAGTGAAAACCTTAATAAATTTAATAACCCAAATAATAGTTAGAACAATTATTACTTCTTGAATTTAAATAAATTTGTTTTTCAATATAGACTGAAAGATTAGGATAAACCATAAAAATAATTATTAAATAAATAAATAGATCTTCTCATTCTTTATTTGGAAGATAGTTTTTAACACTTTAAAATACAAATAGATTATTTTTTTATAGAGAAACTTTTTATTATCTATATTTTAACAAATAGATATTTTTGTCTTATATACCGGAGATACATATTAATTAATTAAGTTGATGAATTTCCAAAATTTTTATAGAGTTATTGGCCTTATTTTTTAAATTTGTAAAAATCTACTTTAATGTAAGATAGTCTTAGTTAATGATTATCTACAATATATTTGTTTTAGCTTTTCTTAATATGAATTTATGTAAGCTTTACAAAAACTTTTTAATAAGGAAAAACCCTCAATAATTGTTCTTAGTTTAAAGACAATATTTTCTAAAATATTGTAAAATAGTAAATAATTTATTTTAAAAAGATTTTACTCAAAAATTTTTTTATTTCTTTGGGTAAGAAGACTTATTTGATTATTAAAAGTTGAAGTTATTATTAAAATATTTTTATAACTAGAATAAATTTAGATTAAGAGATTAATTTTATAGCAATTATTATGCATTTTGATATTTGATAATAAAAAAAAACATATAAGTAAATTATTAAAAAGCAAGAAATATATATATTTGTGTAATTCTAAGTATTTAAAAATATTTTTATACAAACTAGTGTAGATTTTAAATAAGTTTTTTTTTTTTCATAATCAATAAGTGAGTGTAAGATATTTATCAATCAATCAAGGATTTTTAAGGTTGGAAAAAAGTGTAAAATTAATTAATAGTTTTTAACATACTTTACACAAAAATAAATCATTAAATTTAAAATTAGCTTCACTTTTTATTTAATTGCTTGAATTAAGATTTTATTAATTTAAGTGATTGCAATTGAAATTAAAATTATCAGCTTTAATCAATATATCAATTTAAATTTGTATTATTATTCAAATAAGTTGAGCTCTATTACTTTGTCTAAATAATTCTTAAAAATAATCTAAAAAATAGAAGTAAAATATCATTTAGAAATTTTAACTATTTATTCAATTATTTTATTTTAACTAAAAAATATTTTTAGATTTTTAAAACTTATCAAATAAATAAATAAGTAAATTAATTCAATTACAAAATTTATATTTAAGTTCAAAGATATTGCTTAATTTTAATTCATAAAAAGATAAAAATTATTTGTTGTTTGTTTAGCAAATATTTTTATTTTCTAGAATATGTTGACCAATTTACAAAAACATAAATTTAGATTTATTTTTTAGGATAGTGTTTTATGAATGGTGAAAAATTTATTACAGAATGAGAATAACTAAAAGAAGAATCTAAAATTATTAGTTAATATATGCTATTAACTATTTATTTTCAAAAAAATAGTTTGATATAAAGAGATTTCAAAAGCAATAAAATTAATTAAAACAATTCTAATGATTTAATAATTCATTTTTTTTAACTAAAAAATATATTTAAATTTTTTAAAAATTTTGAAATAAATAAATAAATTAATTCAATTAAAAAATATATATTTAATGGTAAAAATATTGTTTGATTATAATTTATAAAAAGATAAAAATAATTTGTTGTTTGTTATATAAAGGATATTGAGAATGTGAACTCATTTTAAGAAAATCCAATTTGATCAAATTTACACGTATACGTGTAAATTTGATCAAATTGGATTTTCTTAAAATGAGTTCACATTCTCAATATCCTTTATATTTTGTTTAGTAAATAAATATCTTTATTTTCTAGAATATCTTAACAAATTTACAAAAAAAATAAATTTATAAATCTATCATTTAGGAAGGACTTATACGAATTATGTAAAATTTATTACAGAATATGAATAATTTAACCACAAATGAGGAATCTAAAGGTATTAATTAATTTGTTCTATGTTATTAACTATTTTCAACAAAAATAATTTGATTTAAAGATTTATTTTACAAGAAGCTAAAAACAATAAAATTAATTTGTTTAATTATTTATTTATTTGCTTTTTTTCTGATGCTAATTGCTAATTTTAAAACCAAATAATCAAAATACAATTTTTTTTTAGCAATTAAATTTATGCTAAGTTATCATTTAACTATGATATTTTATTGATAACAAGTCTAATTGTTTGTAACCCTTTATGTAATGCTTCAAATGATTTGAAAGTTTCAGATGAATTTCTACTAAAATTTTGGAGGCGCACATACAGAAATATACAAAAAAAATATCTATATAGATAGACTTGATCAATTTAATCAATTTTTAATATATATTTTAGAAAAAGAGTAAAAAATTAAATATTTAAAATTTTTAGCAAACTAGGTTTTTTACTTTATAAATTAAAGCTAAGGAAAGTTATAAGATATGATATAGTTTTTGCTTTATTTAGTTACATTTTTCATAGGATTTTTAACACTATGTTACTTTTAGTTTAAACGGAGCAAGAATTTAAAGCCATTGAAGAATGGAATTATGATTGTATTTGGTTCAGGAGGACATACAGGGGAAATGTTAAGTCTTATTAAGAAAATTAACTTTAAAGATTTTAAAAAAGTTTATTTTGTAAAGGCGTTTTCTGATAATGTTTCAAAAGATAAAGTAGAAGACTTTTTAAAAAAGAACAAGGTAAAAAGCAAACCAGATTTAGAATTAACATATAATCAATCATTCATTTCTAAAATGTTCAATAAGGATTAAAAATTTTTAAAATAACAAAATTAGATTGAAATAAATAATGAGTAAGTTGAGTGGATTAACATCCCAAGAAGCAGATAAGTCAAATAGAGTTTTGCCTCTTCAACTCTCACCACTCTTTCTTCAATCATATATTGCTTTATCAAAGTTATCAAAATCAAGCAAATAGATATTTTATGTAAGCTAATTATTGAAAAATTTTAGAATTTTTCCTTAATATCTTAAGCAATTATTTTATTAAATAATAAATATATTTATTTATTTATTTTAGTATGCAATGGACCAGGTCTATGTCTTCCTATTGTGGTTAGTGTTCTAATGAATAAAGTAAATGAAGAAATAATAAGAGTTTCTTAATTGATCATCCATTTTTTGTATAAAAATAGTATTTAATGCTTTACAGAAGATCAAAGATCATCTTTGTAGAAAGTTGGTGCAGGGTAAAAACTCTTTCCCTTACTGGAAAAATACTCATAAAGTTTGTTGACAAGTAAGCAAATATATAAAATAAATAACAATATCTGATTTATTTTTTTAAAATAAGGTTTTTAGTATAATGGGAAGAACTCGTCTAGTTAAATCCTAAGATAGAATATATTGGTCAATTGATTTGAGCATTTAGTTTAATATGAAAATGAAAGAAAAAGGATCATAAATGAGTGAATTGAATGAGGGAGAGAGCTGAAAAAAATGGACAGTCAATAGCTGAACAAATTTATTAAATTAAAAACATTAATTCATTTTAAAACATTGAATTTATTTAATTAAAATATATTTTATGAAATAAATTTTGTAAATTTCTATTTATTTATTTGTACTTAAATGCCATACTCCATCCAACATTACAAAAATATATTTGGTGAATTTTAAAAGCAATTCATCAAATCAAACATTTTTTTTTTTGTAATTATTTAATAAATTGATTAAATTCAATTCAATTTAAGAAGAATAAATGATTTGCTTTCTTTATAAAAAATGTATTTGGGTGTGATTGATGCCTTCTATTTAGTTATTAATATTTTGTTGCCTTAGTAATCCAGTCTTGCTATCTAGTTAGAATGAAGTTTCTATTTGTCTGTTTTAAGATATCTTAATGATAATAATTAATTTAATTAAATAAATAGAAAAGTAAAGAGAAAGAAAAATAAATAGATATTAAGATAGAGAATGAATCACTCTTGTTAAAAGGTTTTCGAAGGTTTCGTATCAGCTCTCTACGATACCTCTTACTTTTTCCGTAACTTTGGTCCCTTCAAGGCTACTATTCACTATGCAACTTATGCCAAGTAATTAAATTATCAATTAAGATGAGAATATTATAATCATATTTGTAAAATAGCTACCTTGCCTAAAACTGGGCTCCTAGAGTTTCTTACATTGAAACAAGCACTCCTGCCTACACCTTAGCAAAAAATAAATACGCTGTCTACATAGTTTACGGTCTTATTGGTGGTGCTTTAATTCACAATGTAATTCATTAATTATAATTAGATTGAAGGAATAATATTAATTTTAATAAATAAAAAGTATATGTTGGATAACAAAGCTGCCCAAAAATCCTAATAATACTATCTTAAGCATAGAGATTGAAACATCAAGTAGTAGTAAATGTATATCATAATGATATTTTTAGAAATATCACAATATAGAACTGAAGAGATTGACCTTTCTTATAGGGAATTCAATTAAGCGAATTATGTATGTATAAGTTAAATATGAAATAAATACTCTTTTTAAAGTTATTTCGTGTTTACTTGTGATTTTAAAATCATCTGCATATCAATCATTCATTATTAGCTATTAATTGGAGGAATGAAAGATCTAACCCTTCAAAAATTAAAAAATAAGTTTAATCTATCTCAACAATCTTAAAAATTTGAATTAAAATATTTATTCTATTCTGATTGTAACTATTTTTCAATCCACTAGCTTTTGCATATAAATAAAACCTTAAAAAATAAATGATAAAATAAATTGCAGAAATTTCTGATAATTAATTCATCTTATAAATAAGAAATTATTCTTTTTAGGGATAGCTTTTATTTCTGCAATAAATCAAAATAGCATTTGGATATTTTTTATAATATCAAATAAAAACCTCAAAAAAATAAAAATATTTGAAAATTATTTTGTTAAAATTATATGAATATACACACTAAATCTCATAAACAAAATATTTTTTAAACTATTATTTTAATTTTAAGAATAAGTTAAAATTTATATTTATCTTTTTGATATGTTAAAATCATGAAAAAAATTAATTTTAAATTTTATAAAATGTTGTTGTTATAAAATCATCATGCTTGATTTTAACATTTCAAGGAGAAAAAAATAGATAATATTTAAAATGTTTGCATGAATTCAACTTTAGAAAGATGATGGAGTATAAATATTCTTGGAATTCTAATTGATATTCATTCAAATGAATAATATTTTTAAACAAGCTTTTTGATTTTAACACTAAATCTCATAAACAAAATATTTTTTAAACTATTACTTTAATTTTAAGAAGAAGTTAAAATTTTTTATCTTTTTGATATGTTAAAATAATGAAAAAAATTAATTTTAAATTTTATAAAAATGTTGTTGCTATAAAATCATCATGCTTGATTTTAACATTTTCAAAAAGAAAAAAATAGATAACATTTAAAATTTTTGCATGAATTCAACTTTAGAAAGATGATGGAGTATAAATATTCTTGGAATTCTAATTCATTTTCATTCATATGAATAATATTTTTAAACAAGCTTTTTGATTTTAAAAAATATTGAATCAATAATGAAAAAATTTAATTTATTTTACTTAAATCTTCATTAAAAAAAATACTTTATTTAATATAATTCTCAATAGTGAAATTTTAAATAAGGAAAATATTGTTTGCTTAAAATTAATGAAAATAATTAACTAGAATAGACTATTGATGAATCTTATTATTGAGTATTATTTTAACTATAAACAACAAACAATTCATACATATTAAAATTTTTTAAAGAAATCAAGAAAGAAGCAAAACATATTTTATGTTCTTTTTTCTCAGCTATTATTTATTTTATTTTAGTATAACTTTCATCTTTTACGAGATATAAAAAAGAATTTATTACTAACCAAGCTTGTTTCTTTTTTATTTTCTTCAATTTTTCTTTTAAAGAACGAGGTAAGGTTGGTTAGTAACTTTTTAAACAGATTTAAGGTTTTTCATAATAATGGAATCTTCACTTAACTGCTTCATTCTCAGCTTTTCTTACTCAAGTTCTTTCACTTTTAACTTTTCCATCTTATTTCTGCTAGGTCCTTTTCCGTGGAATTACCAACAGAGATAACGGAAAGCTTGCTTTTTGGTCATGATTTTACCTGTGTCATCTCTGTATTCTAACTGAATTCTATCTTATTCTTTGTTAAAAGTACCATCCTCGTGAGGCTTTTTGTCTAAGCTACGACCTGAATAATCGTTACTATCTTCCATAAGGACACCTCTTTCTTTAAGCTCTTGCAAAAATCCACTCAAACCAACACCAAGGTCTTCTTTGTGCAAACCAATTTCTTCTAACTCTTTCTCCATTTCCTTGATTTCTTGTTCTGTATAGTTTGATTCTTAAAGTCTTTTTTCGAATTCTTCTTATTCTTTTTACTACTCTTGATAGCGCTTTCCTCTGTAACCATCTGTTGGCATTTTTACATTTACAACACTTGTTGTACCACTGTCAATATCTTTTAGAGTTTTGCTTATCTTATTTTAATAAACGTTATCATTTTCAGTTTTTCTGTTTTAATCAGTTTCAATAAAACGAAGTTGATCTTCACTGAAGTTAATTTAGCTAATTTCTGTTTTGTTTGACTTTTACTACTTACTCATAGGAGCTGCAAATTCATTTTTTTTAAATATTTGCTTTTTAGTTTCTTCTTCAATCTTAATACTTTCTTCCAAAAGTAGCTTTATACGCTCTTCATTTGATAAAATTTCTTTAGCTTGCCCTTCTCCAGGTTAACCCTAAATGATTGTTTTCAAGATTTGTTGTTCATCAATTTATTATTGCTATTTTTTAAGCATATTGCGTTCTCTTTCAATGCTCATCTACAATAGTTCGTAATCATCTTCATCTTCACCAAATACTATTTCTTACTTTTTAGGTATTTCTTAATCCATAGAACTTTCAATCTATATTGAAGTATCATTAGATTGCTTATTAATACCCTCCCAACGCTTTTATGCTTCTATAAGTTCATTTTTTGAGTTTTCAACAGCTTTGGCATAATTATCTCTTTTACTCTTTTAGTCTAAGAGCTGCTACTTCAATTCTTATTCTTTTTTTTCAATTTTCATTTATTTCCTATTTTTAAATTATTCCTCTTCATCAGCATTCTCCTCTAAGAAATCCAAGAGGCTTTTTCCTTCATCTTTATTTTTTTTACTAGCATCATCATTCTTTTTCTTCTTGAATTTGTTAACCTTTGTTTCTTTTTTAACTATATCTTGTTTATAATCGCTTGCTACTTAATTTGCATTTAGATTATCTAATGTTTCAACATTTTGCTTTTTGCTTTTCAATTTTTATTTAATTAAATCTAATTACTGCATTTGTTCAACACTGAAAGCTCCTTCTTCATTTAGTTTAATACCCTTCTTTTCTAACTTTCTCTCTTCATAATGAGGAAGCAGAACTTTTTTATCAACTTCACCAAATTTTTCATCTAAATGAGCATATTAAACATTTGCAAGCTTTTTAACATTTTATCTTAAATATAATTCGTGATTAGCCTTTTCGTTTTCAAATTTCTCTTGATTAACGAGCACATCTTCATAATTATCATCATCATCATAAAGATTTCCATTTTAATCAAGCAATGGCTTATCTTATAAAGTCAAAATTACATCTTCACCTTCTTAAAAGTCTTCTAAATCATGATAAATTTTTTGCTAGCCGCTCATGTTTAAACTTAAATGGTACTTTCTACTACTAATTTATTTGCTAAAAATATAAAAATAATTTTTGAATTGTTGATCCTTCTTAAATTCAAATAAATCTTTTGCTTTTGTTAAAATGTCTTTTAAAATTTTTGTATTTCTAATTTTTTACAGAAACAAACTGTTTAGCAATTAGGAAGAATTAATTGTTATTAAAAATATATGAAAATTAAAAAAAAAGATTGATTAATATTGCAAAGCATTCAATAATTTTTAGCGTCTATTAAAAAATAAATTTATAAAAAATATTTCATTCATAAAAAAAAAATATCTTTAATTATATCAAACCAATTAAACAAAAAATAAGCTTAAATTTATAAAGTAAAATAATATTTTTAGCATAAAATATAAATCCATTCTATCCATTTCGAAGTTTATTATTATTTATGGTGTTTAAGCCCTTTTCTTTGTAAGATTATACTTTTCAATTCTAGAAATTGTTTGGCCATAACTATCGATTTTTAAGAAAGTAAGCTTTTAAATATATTTAATTTATAAATACATTTGATAAATATATATTTGTAAAACTTTTCAATAAATTTTAAGTTTTCCCCTAATAAAACTATTTAATTTAAAATATTTGATAAGAATATCTAAAGTTTTAATTAGCTTTTTTCAGTATTTTTTACATTTTAAGTTTCTATTCTTGAAACATACCTTTCTTTTCAACCTACTTAACAGTCTAAACATATAGAATTTAATGTTGAAGGTCAATATTTATCTTTAGGCTAATTGATAGAAAAGTATTAGTCCTTGTGAAAAAGAATAGGAAAAAAGGAAAATAAGGTTGGTTAATCTTATATCTAAAATTGATGATTATTAGATATTGAAAATACAGTGGATTTTTGAGAGGACAGGAGAATAATTTCTTCATTAGATTTTATTTTTTTTAATATTTGGGAGGGGAATTAAAATATTTTTTTACATTTTATTGAAATTCAAATACGAAATACTTACAATTGTTTTAAGTATTTTGTAAATAATTAAAAACCAAACAAACCTTTGATATAAATTGATTAAATTTTTCCTTGAGCATATCTTAATAATATATTTTTATCAGAACCAAGCTTAATAAACTCAAATTCAAAAAAAAATTCTACAATAATTGTCAATAAAAAGATCAAAATATTTTTGCAATTAAATAATAAGATTTTCTATTATAATTTAAAAATATGTCCACATAAATTAATTGAACTTTAATATCTAAAATAGCTTAAAATATATAAATAGATATTATGAATTTATTTAAAAAGATGGCGTATTATAAATAAAAATTGTACTCATTTAATTTTATTATCTAAAATATCTTAAAATATATAAATAATTAATTACATCTTATATTTTTGCATTTAGTAAATAAGATTCTAAGTACAGAAAAAATAATTAAGGATAATGATGATTCTGACTGACATGACAACCTAGTTATAAAACAATATGTGAGCATATATTCATCAATACTTTTATTTATTAAAGACTATTCAAAGGGAAAAAGAAAGAAACAAAAACAATTTAATTTGTTAATATTTTTAATTTTTCTTATAAAACTAAAAAGGAAATTAATTAAAAAATTGATAATAAAAAGTAAGAAGAAAAAAATAATTAAATAAATAAATAAAAAAAAGATAGATAAGCAAGAGTTAAGAAAATATGTTCTTCGGGTAATCATTTTTTTTATTACTCTTAAATTTCCTACAACAAATAGCAGCTTTACGTTGCTAAATAGCACTTAAATGAATGCATAATGAATAATTTAATTTGAATCAACCATTTTTAAATTTATAGTATTTATTCTAAATATTTTATTTTACAAAATTATTAATTAGTTCCTTTTGGCACGCTTTTGGGTACATTAACAACCCCTCTAATTTAGAAAATATTTTGAAGTAAGAAAACCTCACAGTTGAGTAGCTTCTTGACACTGATAATATCGTTAATGAAATCAAGCAATCCTAATCTAAGTTTATTGATTTGTAATAACATTTTATTTCTTTATTGGAAAATTTTAAATGGATTAATTAATTAACTAATTGTCTCTCATAGCTCCTTCTTTCTATATAAATATTAACCAATTAATCCAAAGCGAACTTAAAAATAAAGCATTCGTTCATTCATTTTAATTAATTGTTTTCTATAAAATTAGCTTAAAGAAGAATTCTCATATTACTAAGCAGATTATTGAATACGCCATCAATATGCCTGATCAAGAAGGCAACGATGAAAAGAAACTTTACAAGTAAATTTAATAATTTTCATAATATTTAATTAAGGTCTCAATAAAAAAAACTATGTGAAGAAAATATATTTTTTGACTAGCACTTAAGAACTTAATCGAAATACTCCTTTGACTTTTATTATTAATGCGAATTACCCTTAATAAGAGCCAAATATGCAAGAATTTTGCATTCATATTTTATTATCACAAATTTGTTTCAAAAAAGAGAATCATCAAAAATAATTAGATAAAACACAAAAGGGATCGATCCGAAAAAAAAATAAAAAGAAATTATAAAAAATGAAAAGAAATCAGCATTAATTTTATCTGCAAAATAAGTTTTAAAAATAGGAGGTCTAGTTAAAAAATATGCTTGAAATTGCTAAATATGGCTAATCATAACTTAATTCATTTTAATTTATAAAAAAGGTATCCTTTCATCTCTAGTGAAATCTTAGGAACACAAATTAAGGGATTAGAAGAAATTCTTTTTGATAACAATAACTACAACGACAACGAAAGTCAAAATGTATGCTTTTTTAATTTAAAAAATAAAAACAAACTTAGCACTTAAAATATTTGAGATATCGCATACGATATAAACGATATGCATCCATGCATTTGTTGTAAATAAGCGATATTGATTCTTCGAAAAAAACAAAACAAATCAAAACTAAATTCCAAAACAAACAAACAATTCAATTATATTTCAGCTTTTAACTAAATTTAATTTTTTTTTTTTTTCTATTTTTGGATAATTTTGTTTTCTTTTTCGGACTCTCTTTTTCAAAAATTTTTAATAGAATGACGAAGAATATTTGAGATGATTTAATATTTTCACTTAATCAATATATTTTTAAATTTTCATCAATTTAAATTGAATTTTTGTGAACATTTTTCACTTTCTATTTAAAATCAAATTTTCTTTGTCATTTATTTCCTGCTAATTTTGTTAGTGCATGCTAAATAAATTTTAAAATAATGCTTTATAATATATTAATATTCTTTGAATTAATTTTAATATATTGCAAATAGGATGAATCTGATCAAGAACACGGTGCTGACAATTATGATGATGGTGAAAAAGAAAAGGAAAAAACTTCAAGCCCTCAAAAAGCAGAAGATGAAGAAGAAGAGGAGGAAGAAGACGATGAAGAAAATGCTGAAAACAAAGAAAAGAGAGCTGATGCTAAAAGTTCTGAAGAAGATTCCTCAAACTAAGAAACTGCTGATAATGCCTAAGATGATGACTCTGAAAAGAAGGATTCTAATGCAAGTGAAAACAGCAAAAAGGCTGCCGTTGAAAATAAAAACGCTGAAAAGAAGTACACTGGTAAGGATCTTTTGAATTAACTACTTTAATTCATCAACACTGATGAGTAATTAAATGATACTTCTGCTGGTTATTTCCTTAAAGCTATCAATAATGTTCTTACTTCTAACGGTTAATTCTACAATTTCATTTCTGACAAACCTGAAGTATTAGAATAATTAATTAAGCACATCAGAACCAAGAGCATCGCTGAAGTTGTCCTTAAACTCATCACAACAGTTGGAACTGAAAAGGAAGAACAATTCAACGTAATTATTTTTAACATTTTAAGAGAAATTTTATTTGAAAAATAAAATTCTTTTATCTATTAAATTAATTATTTTTGATTCTAAAATTTCTTTAAAATAAAAAAACAGGAAGAAAGAAAAAGATTGTTGACTTTATTAAACGCCAAGTTCTTAAGCGGTGAATCATTTGAAAGAGAAAATATCTCCTATATCATCCATGAAATCATCTCCACTTTTATTCAAGGTGATAATTAATACAGAATCAATAAGTGCCCTGCTTCAGTTTAATAAATCATTTTGGAAGAATCATTCATTGAAACTTTCTTCAAGGTTATTGTTGATGAAAACTCTGATAGCAGCAGTGTTGGTTATGCAGCTAGCATTTTGGGTATCATGGTTACTTTCTACAATAGTAAGTAAAAGCAAAAAGGAAACGTAAACTCCTCTCATTAATCAGACGAAGAAGATGTTGTTATTGAAGAATGCTCATAAAACATCGCTTTCCCTGCAGAAAAGTTATTCAGTTAATATATTCCTAGTCTTATTAAGTTCATTTCTAGCAAACCCGAAGGTGCTGCTCACACAACCTCTTACGGTGCTGAAATCGTTCCTTTTGGTATCGGCAAACTTAAAGTTGTTGATTTGATTTCTCACGTCTTTAAATCTGAAAACAAGGAATTGATTTCCCAACTCGCCCAAAGCGGATGCTTCAAGATTCTTTTGGTAATTAAAAATTTATAAATAAATCAATAAAATCTAACAAAATTTTTGAATATTTATTTAGGAATTAATGATTGAATATCCTTGGAATAACTTACTCCATGTCTTGATCGAAAAAATCGTTAACGAAGGTATTACCATTACTTTCAACGGATCCAACGACATTGTAAAGAACGAATTATTCGGTACATCTTTCAACTTACTTGAATTCATCGCTGACAAATCAGAAGAAGAAACTTCCAGACCTGGAAAACTTACAAGAGAAATTAGACAAGGTTATATTGGATTCTTGACCCTCTTTGCTAAAAAGATCCAAGAAAACACCAGCTCTGAAACTATGAAATAAATTAAGGAAGCCAACGAGAAGTGGAAAAAGTATATTGAAACTAAATTCAAGTTTATCACTGACAGAGAAAACTAAAATCTTGGTGGAGACAATCCCAAAAATAAAAAGGAAGACGAAATTGATGATCCCAACAAATTTGAAATTGACATCCAAAAGATCTATGAAGTAATTTAAAAAAAATAAATATTAAAAAATAGAAAATTAAATTGATAAATTTATCTTAAAAAGAAATTCAACAACTACTTCAGATCCAACAAAAAGGACGATACAAACGAAAATAAGGACAACAACGAATAAGTCAATGAAGACATCTAGATTTAGGATAAAGAAGATTTTAACAACAGAGATAGCTCTGATGAAGAATTTAACAATTCAAACTCTGATGAAGAACATGATTTTAAAAAATAACCAGACGAGTAACTATTGTAATTTTATTTTTTGATAAGCAAATCAAAATTAAATTAAGCAAGCCATTATTAAAATTGATTTTTATGAAAAACAGAAAAAAATTATAAGAAGAAGAAGTTTAAAGCGAGTACATGGGTCACTAGTACTGGAAGTTGAACCCAGCTCACGACGTCGAGAAGTTGATGGAAGATCTTTGAGATTAGTGAATTCCCAAACTAAATCTTAACTTCTTTCATTTCTAGAATAGCCAACATAGACTTGAAGGAAGCTTTTTCTCTTCATCATTAAATTCAGTGATGATTTATATAAAAGAATCAAATAAATGAATATATTATTTCCTATACAAATTTAAGTATTATTGATCATAAACATAACATTAAATAACAACAGCAAAAACATTCTCAAAAATAAGAATTTAGATTATATAAAAATTTACTATTCGATTATCTATTATAGAAATCAATAGGCAAATCAAACAAATTCAAAATATATTAAAAATATATAAATAAAAATAACTATAAAAAAACCGCTGAATTGTTTGTTGATCAACCGATCTACAAAGAGTGATTGACAAAGTTATTAATTAACAAGCTTAAAAGCGTATGTAAACAAACACTAATTAAGACTTAAAATTCTCCTTTCGAAATGAATTTCTTTTTACTGACATGCATACATACATACGAATAATAAAATTAATTAATTAAATTAATCAACCAATAATCAATATATCTTTTTAGAGATCTCTTTGTATATCGCTGACAAACTTTCAGTCAATATAATATATATATTTTACCTTTATGATTGCTATATTGTCAATGTATAAATATACTGGAATACTTACTTTTTGATTGTAAATGTTTTCGTGGCTTTTGTAGTTTTAGCAGGCCAGCACCTCTCTTCTTTTCAGAAACAGATCTGTTTGTCTCATAACTTATGCCATTCATTTGTAAAGCATTTCACATTATAAAAATCTTCTAAGCAATTAATCAACCATTTAAAGCAAGTGTCCATTCAAAAGCTAAGCATTTTCTATCAACCATTTGCTTTTGTTTTTGCGCATTTTTGAGCTTATTAAACTCTACTAACCCTCTAGGACAGACAATTAGATTTTTCCTAAACATTATCAGCTTGGTTTTACTAAAAGTTCAATAATTAATCTATTAGCTAGATGCCATAACTTTTAGTATTTCTCTTGCATTTTGCTCATTTTTTTTCTAATAGGAATAAACTCATTCTCCATGTATAAATATTAAGAAAAATATATCAATCATAATATGCTTATATAAAAGAATTTCTTATCTAAAACCAAATAAAAGTTATCATTCTAGTACAAAAATTAATATATTCTTATATGTTTTTGTACATTTCACCTGATATTGATTTTTTATCACAGGCTATTTACCTTTCAATTTTATCATTTATTTTCAGAAGATTTTTTTTCTAAAATTGATTTTGAATCAAATATAAAAATATACTTTGCAAGTAAATAAAACTTATTTTTCAAAGAAATATTTAAAAGAATTCTTCAAAAATTAAATGGAACAATTCAAAATATTTTATTTTAGTCAGAAAGCTAAATAAAATTCTCAAATATTCGAATATTGTTATTTAAAATAGGCAAATTTCCAAAATTTATATCAAAAAGATTTAAATAAATAAATTTCTAAATACAAAATTAATAAAAATTAAAATCAAATTTATTTAAAAATTAATAAAAATGATTACTATCATGAATAATTTCTACCAACTTTAAAAATTTTGTTTGGAATAATTAATTTAATTTTTAATAATAAAATATTTTGATAATTTATTTTTTAACTTTTGTGGACTTATTATTTAATACGATATTTTAAAATATCCTCATATTGTTTAATTTGTGTAAAAGTATTATTTATTCTTTTTTTATTGCTTCTTTTATTCAAGACAGACATTTAAATTTTTATAAAATATAACTATATTTTAATAATGAAACCTGCAAAAATATTTGCTAATCACTAGTTTAATAAAGTGAAGTAAAACTAGATAGAATTAAAAGAAAAATTAAGACAATTTTAGAGCATGAAAATATTACTAAAATTCGGTAATAGTAAAAATGCAAAAAATAGGTAAGTGAACTTTATCAAAATACAATTAAACAAATAAACAGAGATAAAATTGTAAGAAATTAATGGATCGATAATAAATTTGCTTTTGTTAAGATAGTTATCATTTCAACATCTCAACTAAAAGCTTAATTGATAAAAGTCATTTATCATGACACCAGTAATACTTATTGAAAATAGCTGAATATTATATTAACAAATAAATATTTTTTCCTTACTTACTAAAATACAAACAAAGTTTATAAATTTAGATCATCTATGATCATTAAAAATAAATATTTAGTTTCAATCAACAATTACTAAGATAAATTGAAGAAATAATCACCTCAGATTAAATTATGGCCAATACAAAATTTAAGAAATAGTACTAATTAAAATAGTGGATTGTAAACAAACAAACAAAAAAACAAATTTTTATTTTTATTGAATTTTGATTACATTTATTATTGATTATTAAATTTTCATTTATTCGCTTATAAGAAGATATTAAATAATTATAAGCAAATATACTTTTTTAACTTTTAAAGAAATATTAAGCAAGGCAAGTAATTAAATAAGTAAAAGCAATTATTAGATGAAATAGCAGGAGCTTCAATAAATTATTGGCAAAGTATTTGACCATCTAATTACATGTTTAAACAAATCATATTAATTTGATTCTTTTATTTATAGGCTAAAACTCTTCAAGGCTATTTAGAAAAAAAAGGTGATATCTAGTGGTAAAAAAGGTAAAGATTGATTGATTTGCGTATTATTATGAAATTATCTAACTTTTACTTTAGTTCATTCAAAAGTTTACTGTTTCCTAACTATTCTTTTATATCAATAGATTCTTCAGTGTAGTTGAACCATAAGAAAAAGAGTTTTATCTTGTTTATTAAGATAAACAGGTAAAAATACTTTTTAGATTAATTTCAGATATTATCATTTTTAAGAATCAATATCATTCAAAAATGATTTTTGAAAAAATAAACTTAACTATTTAATTAGACTGATCAGAGAGCTAAAGGCACAATTTTGATTGCAGATATTAAAGAAATCGTAGCTGATGGAGATAAAGAGTTTTTACTTAAATACCCAAATAAGAATTTCAAGCTAAGAGCACAGAATACTTAAATAAGAGATGAATGGGTAACAGCACTTATACACTTAAAGAAGTATGTTACTGGTAATGGAATATTAGATGAAAGAAAAAAGTCATTGCAAAATTCTCCTTTAAAGCACGGTTCTATTAGTTAAAGTCCTCGAAGCCATAGAAATAGCGAGTTGATTAAGCCCAGTAAAAGTCATAAAGTTTTAGATCCAGAGCTATCATCTAAAATTTCTCTCTCTTTAGAAGGTACTTAAAAAAATATTTTAGAAATGGATTTAGAGTTCTTAGACATTGAACAAGCAGATAAATATTTTAAAATAAATATATTGTTTTAATAATTAATAGATAAGAGACTAGGTTCTGATTCTAATATTTGTGATTCGCCTACAAAAGTTCATAAAACTGCTGAAGAAATATTTGATCTTCTTGGATTATAGCAGTATATTGATGGGATTAAACCCAAAGAAGTAATTTAAAATCGTATGATCTATGGCTACCTTAGAAAACAATCAAAGTCTAACAATAAATCTGGTTACATGCGTTTCTTTTTACTCATATCGTCAAAACCTCTTTATCTTAACAAAGGATATACTGATGAGAGAATTCTTACTAATTCTGATTTGTAATATTTAACTTTAAATTTGATAATTGCTTGTTAAAATCTGTAATATAAAAATATTAATTAATTAATAAAGACCTCCTTGGATGGACATAGATAAACTTTACTATTTTGACTCCAACAAAATATCTGAGAATAAAAAAACCTCAAAAGAGCTTCTTATGCATGAAATTCTTGAAGTTAAATAGTTTGATAGCATACAATCACACTAAGAAAAGGGATTTGTTTTCATTGTTAGCGAATAAAAAAGAGATTATTACTTATGCTCTAATTTAGAAACTGACAGACAAAAATGGATAAGTGCCTTAAATGTTGGTATTGCAACTGCAAAAGAGATTAAAAAAGGAGGAGGACAGGTAAGTTTAATTAGAAGTAGTATCTAACTTATGTTATTTCCTTTTAGATAAAAAAGAATGTTGACACCATAGCTAAAATTTATGATTAGAGTGAAGCACTCTAAAAAAAGAAAGCAGATTTAAGAAAAAAGATAGATACAGATTGCATGCATTTCGTTTTGAATTATTACGGTGATGAACAAAAGTATTTATTTTATTTCTATTAATTTTATTCTAAAAAAACAAAATTCTATCATTTATTAATTGATTATTGAGATAATTTCTTTTTAATTTGTGCTTTTAAAATTGAGAATTTACTTATTTAAACTTCATTTTATACGTGAAAATAAAATATTTTGAGTAATTAATAGGAATGACAACATATTTACTTTGATTTCTTACTTAGCTGATGTAGTAGAAGATATGAAAAATGTAATTTATTAATTATTTATTTTAGATTTTTATTTATTATTGTTTTTAAAAGACACTTGAAGCATGCTTGCATAAAGAGCCTCCTCGCTAAGATATTATTAAGGAATATTCAGAATATTTACATGAAAAGATATTATAAGAAATTAAATAATTTTGGGATTAGCATCATGAAAAAATTAATGTAAATAATTAAAAAATATATATGAAAAATAAGTAATGAATTTATTTTTTGAAAATAGAACGAAGGAATCCTGTCTTTAGCAAAATTTTTCCACGATTATAATGAAAAATTGAAAAAGTATGTCAAAGATAATCGTTTAGAAGATGCTTCCAATACATTGTTGAATATATACGCTTCTAGAAGTATGACAATCAGTGAAGAAACAATAGGAAATATGATATAAAGTGAAAAGAAGATCACTGACCCATAACCAACAGATGAAGATTATATATATTCAACTACTCCTGTAGATTTATTTAAATTAATTAACACTGCTATTGATTCTGGCTACCGTGTTTGTCCAACTAAAGGTTTTCTTAAGGCTGTTGGAAAGTTTGCTTAGTTCTCTATTTCATTTTATTAGGAAGCTTTATAAGAAGCTTTGGAGGACGATTTGTTCAATGAAAAACAACTCATTGTATTTTGTAATAACACAGTTAAATTTGAAGAAAAAGTCAAAGAGTAAATAAAAATAATTAATTTATTTATTAATTAACAAATAAAGATCCATTTTTATAATTTGATATATCAATCAATTTATTTTGTTAAATTTAATTTAATAAATAAATAAATAGATTTTAGAAAAGAGTTCAAACAATTGGCTAGTTTAGTGATGAGGAGGTTGATGAAATGCTTAAAACTCACGAAATAATTAAATAATTTATAACTATTTCTACTAATGCATATAACAACATAGCATCAAACCATCTATGCAAGTTGAGAACACTCTTCTAAAAGAAAAATTTCCTTGATTTGAATTTAGACGATCTCTTTAACACTATTTTTGAAAACGCTAAAGAAACAACTCAATTACTATTTATGAAGTATCAAAAGAAGTTATGGAAAGATATACTTGATTATCTTATACTTTTTTACTTCTAAACTATGATACAAAGCTGCAAAAAGGCTAAAAAGGAGCATCTCCAACAATACATTCAAAAATTATAGCAAGATGAATAATTCTTATAAGATCAGTTTAATGAAATTCTCTTCAAGAAATAACTTGAATAGAGTCTTAGTTCATTTTAAAATATATAAAACTTACTCACTACTGAAGATGGATCTGATGTTTAAAAAGACATCAAAAAGTTAAGAATTGCATTTGGTATTGCCTTTACTCACAAAACTGTTGCTTACATATTCCAAATCAGAAAAGATTTAAGCAAAGATGACATTGAATACGTCGTCAACACCAGTGAAAATGTATTAAAAATTGTTAAAACATTAAATAACTCTTTAATAATTTCTTTTAATAAATTTTTAGACAATTTAGCAATACAATAAAGAACATTAAAATGATGAAAATCTGTAAAGAATTGATATAGGTAAGCCCATTGAAGTCCTAGGTATAGATATCGATCAAGAATAGCAAGAAAGTTAGACAGATGCAGACTCTTCAAATTAAAGATTGAAAAAAAAGACCATTTTCATTTCAATTAATACTGATGACTCACTAAACTCTTCAGTCACAGACATCACCTAAAAAGATAGCAAGGGCATTATTACTTATACTCCAGTAAAACTTTTATGAAAATATGTTTTTGTTTAGCTCATTTTTTAAATATATTCAAGTATTAGGAAGAAAACTTAGTTGAAAAAATTGAAGAGGGATATTTATATAAAAGAAAACCAGATAAATAGTAATATCATTTAATTAATCTTATCATTTTTAATTCTATTTCTTTAAAAAAAAATAAATAAAGCGTTTATGATAAGAGATACTTCAAATTGAGAGATAATGGTCTTTATTGGTTTTTAACTGAAACATCATAAGATGTTCAAAATAAAATTGACATAACTTCAATAGATGAGGTCAATGCTGATGGAGAATCATAAAATCTATTTGAAATAGTAATTTCACAAATAAGTTTAGACTAAATTTTTATATTTTTATTTACTAATTAGGTTTTATAAGGTAGCAAAGGGAAAAAAGGAAAAATCTACAAATTTAAGGCTGAAAACAAACAGGAAAGAGATTTATGGATCTCAAGTATTAAGATGCAAATGAAATTGTTTGATGAAAAACATTAAAAAGAAATAGCTCCTATTGAAGCAATAGTAAAATTATAAATTGAGAATGTTTATATTCATAATTTTTAAATTTTAATAGAACATAGAAGGAAAGGTTTAAAAAATAATTACAGATTATGAAGAAATCAAAAGAAAATAAAGAGCTTTATAATAAGCTCTAGAAAGAAAAAAGAAATAAGAAGAAAAAGAGGAAAGAGCTAGATAGTTAGCATAAATGATGCAATAAAATTAAAAATAAGACCAATAAATAGCTCCTTCTGTTAGTATTCATGAATTAAGAAGTTCATCATAGAGAAATGCTTCTATTTATGCGCCCACTCCCAACCAATTTGTAATTTATAAAAACGATTAGTAAGAGCCTTTGATTAAAAAACAAAATAGAAATTGCTTTGATAAAATCTCTGAAATGTGCTCTAATTTTTGCAGAAAATTTAAATGAGAAGCTAGCTAGCTAGCTATGAGCAACATATTTATTAATCTTTCATCTAACAAAAGAAAAATGTATATAAACATATTAGTATAATTTGTATTGTTTGTGAATATAATTGTTAAGCAATTGATTCAATTTTATTATAAATTAATTAAGATATTTTAAAATTAATTAAATTTATTTTAAGGTACTTTATTAATGTTTTAATAATTTATTTTTAATTTTTTTAAATTTAAATTGATTAATTTAAATTAAAATTTTAAATAATATTTTTTGACATTTAGTGGTACAATTAAATTTAAGTTATGCTATTTAGCAACTTTATAAATTACTAAAGAAATAGCAACATGTAAAATTGAGCCTTCTTCTTAAAAAAATTATAAATGATTAAACTTTTTAGTTTTTGATAAGGAAGGAAATCTAAAATTTATCAGCAAACAGATAATTTTAAATTAAAAATTTTTATTCGAATTATCTAAAAAAAATAAAAATTGCATCCTAAATTCAAGATTAAGGGGTAATTTATTTATTTATTAATTGAATATGGAAAGAAAATTATCTTAAATTAATTAATTTTTTAAAATTAAAAAAATATTTATTTTAAAATACAAAAATGTATGTATGTATCTTTATTTAATATAAAATACAAATTCAATATATTAAAATTATATTTTTAGAAATATTTCAAGGTTAATACTACTCATGCAAATGACAATAGCCAGGTAAGATGTATGAAACCTCTTAATTGATACAAGCTACACATTTATTTGAATAATTTGATCCACAAGGACCTTGTTGACAAACAACGCTGTCATCGAATAATCCACATGTTGGGAATAATTCTCTAGTGCAACTTTTGTTCAAATGTGCATCTGGATGGCAAAAAGCAGCAATTTTAGGATATTATTCACAGCTTCCTTCAGCATAGAATTCTACATCTTCTTCAGAACAAGCAGTACACTTATTTGAATAAGTAGCTTTAATTGAACTATACTTGTTACTTTTGTTAGGATCCATTTTAACTCCACAAACAGGATTATACTCTCTAGTACAGTTTTTATTTTGCTTCATTTCAGGAGTACAAATGAAGTTAGCGGCAGTACAAAAGCTAATTAAAGCAAAGCAGAGGATTATTTTGTTCATTTTTAAATATATTTTAGTGTTTTTTATTGATTTATTTACTTAATAATTATAATTTAATTGCTATGTTTTTTGATTTATTTTAACATAATTTTTACTTTCTATTACATTAAATAGCATAAAATTTTTATCAATTCAATGTAACAAATATTATAAATTAATTTGATGCGTTTGAAAAAATTAAAAATCAAAATTTGAAAAAATAAAAATAGATAAAAGATAAAATGAAAGTAAGTATAAACAAAGACTTTTATAACAAATACGAAAGTTTACAAACAAAAAAAAACACCATTTTTTCTAAAAAGCTATTTTACTAATTCAAATTTATAAGGTGAGATAATTGATAATCACATAAATTAGAATTTCATACTTAGGGATAAATAATTTATTTTCTCACCCTTAAGTTATAAATACATACAATTGATTATAGAAATATTTATCAAAGAAAGGAATTGTTTATTTGTTTTTTTTTGTTACACGCCTCAATACAAAATTTAATTGATAACAAACTATCTATTCTAAAAAAATAAATTCTTTTTTTTATTTACTTTTAAAATAATTAGGTTATCTATTTGTTTATTGAAATATAGTTTGCTTTTTACTTAAAATAATTTATATTCGTAAAGGCTATTTTATCCAAAACAAAACTGATTCATAATTTATTTGAATTTTAACCATTTTAGTTTATTCAGTCAATAAAAAGTTAAATTTTTCAAAGATAAAATTATCACAATTAATGATAAGAATTATATTAAACACATTTTTGATACAAAGCTTAAAATATTTAAAGAAAACATATATTTATTTTAAAATTGTATGTACACTGTAAATTCCCTTATTATCCATCTTGCTAACTATAGTGAGAAATCTAATAAAGGAAACTCTTAAAAATTAATCAAAATTAATATGAAATTCATGGTTATAGCTTTATGTTAACCATAGAGACAATTTCTTATCAAATTCTTTTATGCTTATCTCATTTATATATATATATAAAAAAAATCACCTTTTTCATATAATTACTAATAAAAAATTGAAAGTATGATAGAGGAGGATTCAACAAGCAAAAACCTCTACCTCAGTGAGGAAATTAAGTAGGCCATAATTATTTCTATCAAATATTTAACTTTGACATATAATGGGATAGTTAATAATTTTAATAATTTAGCAAAAAAAGATACTGTTTCTAAGATATATTACTAATATCTTACCAAAAGTAATGTTCAAAATAACCATTAATTTAAGGGTAGAGATAGCATTATGTATGATGAAGCATAAGAATGTATAAAATAGATCCTAGAAGACTGACTCTAAAAATGCATGTTTTACTTCTAAAAATATTTAAAAAGACTTGAAATAACAACACTCAATCAACATTTGTTTTTAACTGTCATAAAGTGTTTAAAATCTTTAGGATAGAAATATGGAGGAGTTAAAATTGTTCATAAGCTTACTTAAGCAACAAAGAGAGCAAAATATTGCATGTAAAAATTTTATAATCACTAAACTAAGAGAGTATCATATTTTCTGATGAAGGCTTATTATAAGTCAATGATCTCGAAATCTGGTATAGTGAATCAGAGAAATTGTTTGAAAAGGGAAAGTAAATTATCATACAAAGGTTTATTGATGATAATTCAGTTGATAGTTAAGCATATATCAAGTGCTTAGAGACAATCTTATTACCAAAGGTAAATTCAGTTTACAATAGAAAAAAGTGGATGTTACTCCAAGATGGTGTTAGTAGTTATACATCTAAATTGACCTAAATGTGGTGTAAAGAAAAAAAAATAGAGATTTAATAAAACTCTCCTTGGAGTCCAAATACTAATTAATCTAATTAGTCTGGAAAAGGATGAAAAAATAATTTAAAAAAATTAATAATTATAAAGAAAGAATAAAAAAAGAGATGATTTAATCAATATAATCTAAGAAATATGGTAAAATATTTATTAGGATTTTATTAAAAGATGCATATAACATGCTATAAATAATTTAATAGGTATAATATAGATTAATGATGAGATTTAACATTGATATTTATATTATTTAATATTTTAAAATCACTTAAATTCATTAAAATTTTTTCATCTTCTAATATTTTTATTTGAGAGAAATATTCATTCATCCTATTATAAATCTAAAGTTACTATTTATGATACTTTTTTAAGGGTTTTTAGTTCCCAGTATTTAAATATCGCTTTTGAGATTTAATTTAAATTAATAAATGAGATATTATGAGGATATACGGTATACTATCAAATTAGTTATTACTTGATACAAAATAGAGTTTAAAATAATAATTAATGTTTTTTCATTTATTTTTAAATTATTAAAAGAAAGAACTTTATTTAATTAAAGAATAGAAATTTATTTTAATTTAAAAAAGAGGAAATTGCTGATTTCAAAGTAGCATACATACATGCATATATATATTTATATAATTGAACTTATATTAAAACTTAATGTAATTTATTAATATATCAGGGTTAATATTATTCTTATAAGTGGCAATAACCTGGTAAGAAGTATGAAACTTATTCGTTAGTGCAAGCAACACATTTATTTGAGTAATTTGAGCCACATGGACCTTTCTTACAGATGACACTATTATCAAATAGTCCACAAACAGGGAAAAACTCTAGAGTACAAGCTTAATTCAAATATGCATTTGGATGACAGAAAGTAGCGATTTTTGGATAATCCTCACAACTTCCCTCAGCATAGAACTCTACATCTTGTTCAGCACATGCAGTACACTTGTTTGAATAAGTAGACTTAATGGAGCTATATTTATAGCTTTTAGTAGGGTCGATTTTAACACCACAGACAGGATTGTACTCTCTGGTACAGTTTTTGTTTTGTTTCATTTCAGGAGTACAAATAAAGTTGGCAGCAGTACAGAATCCAACTAAAGCAAGGCAAAGAATCAACTTGTTCATTTTTTTTATTTTTATTTTTAGATGTTTTTTATAATATTTTTAGAATATGATTTATATTTTATCTAATGTTAAATTTTTTTATTTTTAATGAAATATTATCTATTTCATAATTTAATTAAATTTGATATGTTTTTGAATATGTAAACATATTAAATTCATTAATCTATTCATTTTTATTGAAATAGATAAAGGATCAAATTTATTTCTAATAGAAAATTCAAACTATAAATAGAATTTTTTATTTTCAGGACCAAATAAAAATCTATAACTTGAGTTAATTTACATAAATAATTACAATATTTCAATCAATTTTAAAGCAATATGTTAAAATAAGATTAAATTAATAATTGATTACCAAAATATATCAATTTTTAATTCAATTTTTACATTTTTACAATTTTTATAATGGTTTGTTTCTTATTATTTTATTGTAAGGCATTCAGAATCTATAAAAATGAAATAAAATATTATTTAAAAAGAGTTAATTTTTATTTGTGAAAAAATTCAAATTTTACAATAAAATATGCATTTTTAAATAAAAAGAAGATAGACAGTTAAATATTTTACAAAGCCTTTTTTATTTTATCCTAAAATATATATTTTTAATGCCTTATGTTTTATTACCAATTGAATTATTTCTTTAAAGAGATTGCATTTGATAATATTGTGATTTATCAATTTATTTTTATGTAAATTAATCATTCGTTTTTGTTGTATTTTCCTACCTTCTTTAAATACTCTTTTCTAGTTTAAAGAAATTTTCTGTAAACTTTTCTAAGCAATTAATTTTAAGTATTTCTTCTTTGTTAAACAAGCTATTGATAATAATATGTGAGATTAAGCATTTAATCATCATTAAATTCTAAATTTCTTTATATATATATTTTTAATTGTTTTTTAAGTTTGTAAATTTCCTCAGCAAAAATGTAACTGTTTTGTATTTCTTCGTCTTCATACTCAGAAAAGTATCTAAAGGTTATCAGCGAAGCTTAATCAATTATCTCTTTATAAAGAATTTGAGTTATGTGCAATAATTTTCCTTTCTATTGAATTTTTTATTAGATTTGATCTTAAATCTATGTGATTGCCAAAAAATATTATTAATATGAGAAGAGTTTTTAAATTTCTTTTTTATTTATAAAATTCTCTCTAATGTCATTTCTAATTTTTTCAAGACTTTTTTTTTCTCTAAAGATATTTATTAATTCTTATCTCAGTCTCTCAGATAAGTGAGGCTATTTTTTAGTTTACATTTAATAATTTGAATTATCATTCTCTTTTTAAGTTAGAAAGCATGTCTTTTGTTTTTAAATAAATCTATGAAACTATTCAGTCGCATCTTAAATAAGAGGTATTGATATTTATTTCACATTTTATTATAAAAAATTAAAAATCTCAAAAACTTCTAAGTAAAACTATTAAATCTGTTAAAGTTTGTCCATTAATTAATAAATGAGTTTTATTTTAAACTGAACTCTTTCGAAATATGGTGAATGTATTTTGTTTTATTCGAGAGATAAAAGTTATCCTAATAAAAACGAGCATCTGTTTTGTTCAGTCTAAGATTTAGATAGCTAAATATCAAAAGGAATATCTCCTTATGGTTACATCAAACTATTCCTTACATTTTCTTCTTTCTGTTGAATCAGCTTTTACAATTCATTGAAAGACTCATTCACTTTGAAAAAATTTGCTATAAGATATTTCTAGTCAACAATCTATTATTTAAGAGACATTTTCAAAAATGATTATACAAAAAATATTTATTTACTTCATCACTTTGCTTAATACTTCTATTTGCAATTAAGCTTTAATAAGAAATCTAAAACAGTGGATCCTCATCTTTAAGTTACTTTATATTGTGTTTTTAATTAAGATAAATATTAAGTATTTTTATGAATAGATAATTTTGTTAAACTTTAAAATAAATTTATAATTTTTTTACTTATTTTGGTGACTTCAAGTAGTCTTTCTTTACATTATTTTCATATTATTATCTTTTTTTAAGCTATGAAATATGCTTATCAAGCTACCTTTTATATTGAGATTACATGTTCTGTCCTAAGTTTGTAGGAATATTCAGTTAATATTCTTCTTCACTGAGATAGTTAAATGGTCTTTCTTGACTCATCACTATACCTGATTCTACAAAATCAATAGGAGCATTTTCAGGTAACGATATGAGTCCATTTTCCATCTTTTTGCGATGCTCAACAAACTAACTTAGATTTTCGCCTTCTGTCTTAAAAAAAATAAAAATATTATATTTAAATTTGAATTAATGTTATTTACTTAATAAATATCATCTGAATTATTTTATAAATAGTTCAATGACCTGGCTTCATCTATTATTATTAAGTTTTGAACATAACTTTGTTAAAATAATAATCCTAATTAAAATATTTAATCTTTACATGGCGAAGATAATAAATCTTCTTTTGATTCTTATATTTTTAAATTGAGATAATGAATATACTGTTCATGGCTAAATGTTATTTCCTATTTCTTCATCTGAGCGAAATATCTAAAGAAGGCTTTGCTTTTCTACTTTGTTATTAATCTACAAAATATTAGTTTATGTGCTAAGAAAGAATATTTTTTTATCTTAAGTTTTTGATAAGAAATTAAGATAGAATAATATCAAATTAATAAAATTTTGATAAAAATAAATAACCAGTATTTACCATAATTGTTATACTTTATCACCAAATTTTAATTATTTATAATATATTTAAATTATTCAGAAAATAAGATCAAAGTAAAATAGATAAACACTACACATAAAGAGATAATTATATACATACATATTAAATAAAATTATATTTAATTCAAAATAATAAATAAATTTAATAAATACTCAAAAAACTTGGATAAAAGATCAAAATCTACTTTTTAACATTATTCTTATTAAATTTAAGGACATTAATTACTAGAATTTATTTTTTCAAATATGACTAACTATCTCTAATTCCTACTATATTTTTAAGTATATGCTTTAAATAATAATATTAAGATTAAATAATCAATGTTAAATTAGTTTTTTTTGTGGTATCTCTTCGTAAAAGCAAATTTATAAATTAATATTTGATAATTATTATATTTATTAATTAATTAAGTTCCTTAAATTGCTACTCAATATTTTTGAAAAAAATAAATAAATGATATAATAGATTAATTATTACAAAAGATTAAATGAAGTAATTATTTATTTATTAATTAATATCCTTTAAATTTTTTTATTGATAAAAAAAGTTTTTAAACTCTTCACTTTAATCTCATTAGATTCTCTATATTAATCTAAGGTATATTTAAATAAAAAATATTATAAAAATTTTATTTAAACTTTCAAATATTATTCATTGATTTCTATTTATACAAAAATTTTTAGCTATTTCAACTTAATTATCATTTAAATTTTTAATTATTTACTATTCATTTTTTATTATTTGATATTTTTTCTTCATTTTTTCTATTAACAATTACACTTAATAAAAACAGTTTTTTTATTTTGCATTGTAATATTTTTTAATTATAAAAATTATTTTAAAACATTAAAGCTCTTTTAATTTATTTGATTTGCTTTCCTTTTTCTTTTAATTGTGCTTGCTTAATTTTTTTTCTTTCTTTGTTAGTTTAACTAATTATTAATTAATCTTATTATTTCATATTTTTTCCTTTTAATTAACTAATTATATATTTTTTTTTTCTTCAATATTTAAGAAGATAGAATTTAATTTATGAAGTTTTTGCATCAGACTTAGCTTCTGCTTTAGCAAATTGTACTAATCTCTCAAATTTGACACTTAATTTTCGGTAAAAACGGTTTATTTATTTTGGATTGTGATATTTTAATTATAAAACTAATTTAAAACAATAAAGCTCTTTTTTCATTTTCTTTTTATTGTGTTTGCTTGCTTTTTTTTTTCTTCTTTCTTTATTAATAAAACTCATCATTTAATTTTTAACTTTTGCTTTTATTTTTCATAAATCTTATTATTTCATATTTTTTCTTCATTTTTCACTTCAAAATAACTAATTAATAGTTTATTTTTTCTTCAATATTTAAAAAGTGAAAATTTAATTGATGATGAAGGCGCATCAGGCTTAGGTTCTGCTTTAGTAAAGTGCATTAATCTCTCAAATTTGACACTTATTCTTAGGTAAAAACAATTTATTTATTTTGGATTGTGATATTTTTAATTATAAAACTAATTTAAAGAAATAAAGTTCTTTTTTCTTTTTCTTTTTATTGTGATTGCTTGCTTTTTTTTCTTCTTTCTTTGTTAATAAAACTCATTATTATATTTTTAACTTTTGCTTTTATTTTTTATTAATCTTTTTATTTCATATGTTTTCTTCATTTTTTCATCTAATTAAATAATAAATTTTTTATTTTTTCTTCAATATTTAAAAAGTAATAATTAAATTGGTGATAAAGGTACATAAGGTTTAGGTTCTGCTTTAGCAAATTGCATTAATCTCTCAAATTTGACACTTGAACTTAGGTAAAAACAGTTTATTTATTTTAGATTATGATATTTTTAATCATAAAATTAATTTAAAATAATAAGATCTTTATTCTTTTTATTGTGCTTGCTTGCTTTTTTTCTTCTTACTTTGTTAACAAAACTCATCATTTTATTTTTAACTTTTGCTTTTATTTTTCATTAATCATCATATTTCATATTTTTTCTTCATTTTTTCCTTCTAAATAATTAATTAATAAATTTTTATTTTTATCTAAAATATTTAAAAAGTATCAGTTTGATTGGTGATAAGGGTGCATCAGGTTTAGGTTCTGCTTTAGCAAAGTGTATTAATCTCTCAAATTTGACACTTGATCTTAGGTAAAAACAGTTTATTTATTTTGGATTGTGATATTTTTAATTGTAAACTAATTTAAAACAACAAAACTCATTTTTATTTTTATTGTGCATACCTGATTTTTTTTTCTTTCTTTGTTAATAAAACTCATCATTTTAATTTTAACTTTTGCTTTTATTTTTTATTAATCTTATTGTTTCATATTTTTTCTTAATTTTTTCATCTAATTAAATAATAAATTTTTATTTTTTCTTCAATATTTTAAAAGTATTAATAAAATTGGTGCAATGGGCGCATCAGGATTAGGTTCTGCTTTAGCAAATTGCATTAATCTCTCAAATTTGACACTTAATCTTGGGTAAAAACAGTTTATTTATTTTGGATTGTGATATTTTTAATTTTAAACTAATTTAAAAAATAAAGCTCTTTTTTCTTTTTCATTTTATTGTGTTTACTTGATTTTTTTTCTTCTTTCTTTGTTAATAAAACTCATTATTTTATTTTTAAATTTTACTTTTATTTTTCATTAATCTTATTATTTCATAAGTTTTGTTCATTTTGTTCATTTTTTCCTTCTAATTAACTATATATTTTTATTAAATATTTAAACAGATTTACTTAAATTGGTGATCAAGGTACATCAGACTTAGGTTCTGCTTTAGCAAATTACATTAATCTTTCAAATTTGACATTTAATTTTGCGTAAATACAGTTTATTTATTTTGAATTGTGATATTTTTAATTACAAAATTAATTTAAAACAATAAAGCTCTTTATTCTTTTTCTTTTTATTGTGTTTGCTTGATTTTTTTTCTTCATTCTTTGCTAAAAAAACTTATCATTTTATTTAAATTTTGCTTTTACTTTTGATTAATCTTATTATTTCATATTATTTCTTCATTTTTTCCTTCTAAATAACTAATTAATTACATATTTTTTCTTCAATATTTAAAAAGTTCTAGTTAAATTGGTGCTATAGGTGCATTAGGCTTAGGTTCTGCTTTAGCAAATTGCATTAATCTCTCAAATTTGACACTTGATCTTAGGTAAAAACAGTTTATTTATTTTGGATTGCGATATTTTTAATTATAGAACTAATTTAAAACAAGAAAGGTCATTTTTCTTTTTCTTTTTATTGTGTTTTTTTGCTTTTTTTTCTTTTACTTTGTTAATTTAACTCATCATTTTATTTTTAACTTTTGCTTTTATTTTTCATTAATCTTATTATTTCATATTTTTTCTTCATTTTTTCCTTCTAAATAATTAACTAATAAATTTTTAATTTTTTCTACAATATTTAAAAAGTTATAATTTAATTGGTGATGAAGGTGTTTCAAGATTCGTTTCTGCTTTAGCAAATTGCATTAATCTCTAAAATTTGACACTTGATCTTGTGTAAAAACTATTTATTTATTTTGGATTGTGATATTTTTAATTATAAAACTAATTTAAAAAATAAAGCTCTTTTTTCTTTTTCTTTTTAATGTGCCTGCTTGCTTTTTTTGAATCTTTCTTTGTAAATAAAACTCATCATTTTATTTTTAACTTATGCTTTTATTTTTCATTAATCTTATTATTTCAAATGTTTTCTTCATTTTTTCATCAAATTAAATAATAAATTTTTTATTTTTTCTTCAATATTTAAATAGTAAAAATTAAATTGGTGCAATGGGTGCATCAGACTTAGGTTTTGCTTTAGCAAAGTGCATTAATCTCTCAAATTTGAAACTTGATCTTCAGTAAAAACAGTTTATTTATTTTGGATTGTGATATTTTTAATTATAAAACTAATTTAAAACAATAAAGCTCATTTTTCTTTTTATTGTGTTTGCTTGCTTTTTATCCTTCTTTATTTGTTAATAAAACTCATTATTTTATTTTTAAATTTTACTTTTATTTTTCATTAATCTTATTATTTCATAAGTTTTGTTCATTTTTACCTTCTAAATACCTATTTAATTATTTTTTTTTCTTTAATATTTAAAAAGTGAAAATTAAATTGGTGATGAATGTACATCAGGCTTAGGTTCTGCTTTAGCAAAGTGCATTAATCTCTAAAATTTGACACTTAATCTTGGGTAAAAATAGTTTATTTATTTTGGATAGTGATATTTTATTTTTATAAAACTAAAGCTCTTTTTTCAATTTCTTTTTATTGTGCTTGCTTGCTTTTTTTCTTCTTACTTTGTTAATAAAACTAATCATTTTATTTTTAACTTTTGCTTTTATTTTTTATTAATCTTATTATTTCATATGTTTTCTTCATTTTTTCATCTAATTAAATAATAAATTTTTTCTTTAATATTTTATATTTAAAAAGTTCCAATTAAATTGGTAATGAAGGTACATCAAGCTTAGGTTCTGCTTTAGCAAATTGCATTAATCTCTCAAATTTGGAACTTAATCTTGGGTAAAAACAGTTTATTTATTTTGGATTGTGATATTTTTAATTATAAAACTAATTTAAATAATAAAGTTCTTTTTTCTTTTTCTTTTTATTGTGCTTGCTTGCTTTTTTTTCTTCTTTCTTTGTTAATAAAACTCATCATTTTAATTTTATTTTTAACTTTTGCTTTTATTTTTCATTAATCTTATTATTTCATATTTTTTCTTCATTTTTTCATCTAATTAATTAATAAATTTTTTATTTTTTCTTCAATATTTAAAAAGTAATAATTAAATTGGAGCAACAGGTGCATCAGGCTTAGGTTTTGCTTTAACAAAGTGCATTAATCTCTCAAATTTGACACTTTACTTATAGTAAAAACAATTTATTTATTTTGGATTGTGATATTTTTAATTATTTAACTAATTTAAAACAATAAATCTCTATTTTCTTTTTCTTTTTATTATGCTTGCTTGCTTGCTTTTTCTTCTTCTTTCTTTGTTAATAAAACTCATTATTTTAATTTTAACTTTACTTTAATTTTTCATTAATCTTATTATTTCATATTTTTTCTTCATTTTTTTCATCTAATTAAATAATAAACTTTTTATTTTTTCTTCAATATTTAAAAAGTTCTAAATAAACTGGTGATGAAGGTACATCAGCCTTCTGTTCTGTTATAGCAAATTGCATTAATCTCTAAAATTTGACACTTTATCTTCAGTAAAAACAGTTTATTTATTTTGGATTGTGATATTTTTAATTATAAAACTAATTAAAAACAATAAAGCTCTTAGAATATATTTGATAGCTTTTTTATGATTTATTTTTTTAACTTTTTTAATACGACTAATGTTATTTTATTTATTTAATAATTTAAATTTTTTTAATTTTAAATTTTATTTTATTTAATGTTTATTTAAAATTTATACAAAGTAATAAAGGTTTTTACTTATTAAATGAACAAATAAAATTAAAAGTAAAAAGCAAGTGTCTTAAATCAAAAAGATTAGTTGTCTTTAAAATATTATTCAGATGATAAACAAGTAGTAAAAAAAAGATGAATAAATATTAAATGTTTGAATAATTTAATATTATATGTTTTATAATATAATATTTTGAAAGTGTTTTTAACCTTAATTATATATAGATTTAATTATTGTTTTTATATTTATATAATTCATATTTTTTTAAGTTAAATATTAAATATCAATTTTTTCAAATAACATTTTTAAAAATATCACAAAAAGCAAATACAATCAATATTTATTTCTAATTGAAAATTTTAAGATATTTTTATTTTATTTGTTAGATAGTTAGTTAGTTTGTTTGTTTATTATCTGAAGAAGATTCTTATATTGTTTAAGATATTACCTAATTAAAAATAATAAACCTCAAAAACGAATAAAATAAAATATTTGAATAAAATTACTTTAATGAATTAAAAATTAAAATTAAAACATATTGAATTAATTTATATTTAATACTAAAATAAAATATAAATGTTTTCTACAATATTTTAACACAATTTAATGTAATATTTTTATCAATCTAAGAAAAAGACTTACAGTCAATCAATATTTCTCAAGAAAGTAGTCAGCAAAAACCATTTAAGTAGTAATTAACTTCTTTATTGATGCAAGCTGCGCATTTGTTGCTGTAATTTGATCCACATGGAGCTTTTCTGCATTTTATGGATTCGTCAAAGTAGCCACAAACAGGATAGTATTCTCTAGTGCAACCTAATTATTATGAAGAGATATCAGGGTGACAAAATACAGCATTTTCAGGGTATTCTTCGCATTTGCCAACAGCATAAAATTCAACTCCTTCTGTAGCACAAGCAGAACATTTATTTCCATAAGTCTCTTTGGATTAGATGTATAAGCTAGTTTAGTCAACTTTAACACCACAGACAGGCTCATATTCATAAGTACAAGCTTCAGCTTTCTTTTGTTATTCAGTGCATTTAATATTCTCTGCAGCACAAAGTGAAATAATAGCAAGAGTAATTAAAAGAGTTTTCATTTTTATTTGATTTGATTTTGATATATTATTTTATTATTTGTTAAATTAATTAATTAATTATATCTAAACTTTGAATAAGCCACAGCTTTATTTAAAAAATAAATTGTCTATTTTTTTTGATGAGTTAGGATTAATAATTAAATGATTCTATAAATTACTAGTTTTGATTAAAATTTGAAGTGTTTTTTGTTAAATTTATTGTAAACGCTCCAATAAAATTAATAAAATATTGAAATAGATTGTTTTCTAAATTAAAAAAATAAAATAATGTTTAATTTTGGAATAGAAGCAAATAACTAAGTAAACAACTTAAATCAATAAATTTGGATTAATAATTACAATTATTTTGGAACTCATAACATAAATAAATTTGTTTATTTTTAATATTTTCTCAAGCAAATAAAAGAGTAAACGCTTAATATAAAGTTTTAATCTACTTTAATATATTTCTTTATTTAAAAATGTAGATTTTTTTCTTGATTAATTTTATAGAAACTATTCTTAATTTCACATAAAAAAGAGAAGGTCAATTTATAATAAAAACTCTTTTTTGGGAAAATTAAATGGTTTGTTTTTCATAAATGTTCATTTCTTTTACGAGAAAGGCCGTTTAAAATTATAAAATCTGTGATTATTTAATTACAATAATTTATTTTTAACTGGCAAAGATATGGAGAAGAGATGTTAGAAGAAGAATTAGATTTTTTTTAATTAATATAATTAATTTGTATTTTTTAAATCTATTACATCTTTAACTTCTGCTAAATGTTTCAGTAAATAAATTGATTTAATAGTATTAAGATTCAATAGTGAGTGCTACTACAACTATCTAAATATTTAATGATATTTCTACCTAAAAGTAAATATATTTTATAGATATTTGATCTCTTTAATATTTAATTGTTTGTTATAAATAAACTCTAGTTAAAATAAATAAAATTATTAATATATTTTTAGCTAATTAAATTTATATTAATTTGCTATTCAATAAATTAAAATAATAGAAAAGAAACTTTATTACATTATCTATCATATCTAATTTTAATATCATAGAGCAAACAGGGTTATTATTTTTAAAAATATAATAAAATTATTATTTAATCTAATTTTTAATAAATTCAGTAATTAAATTTTGTATTTCATTTTACTTTAACAATAATTTAAAAAATTAAGTGCTTGCTATTTATAAATGTTTTTAAATAGTATTTCTTTTCTTTATAATTCTTTATTAACAATTAATAATTATTCTTCAAATTTATTCATAAATAATTAAATAATTAAATATAAAATTAATCAAAATGAAAAATTGTTATATTTTTAAATGTAATTAATTGATTACTACTACATAAAAATATAAATTTTCATTAACAGAAACCTTATAAAACATAAGAAACTTCCTAATTTATGCAAGCGCTGCATCTATTACTATAGTTTGAAGAACACACAGAATTAGAGCATGAAAATGATTCATCAAAGTATCCACACACAGGGTTTAATTCTCTAGTACAACCAGGTTGCAAGTAAGCTTCAGGATGGCAGAAAATGGCATTTTCAGGATAGTTTTAACATTCACCGACAGCATAGAATTCAACTCCTTCTTCACCGCAAGCTTAGCATTTATTTCCATAGGTAGAGTATTTTTGGATATACTAGCTCTTTTCGTCTAATTTTACTCCGCAAACAGGTTCATATTCATAAGTACAGGCAATTGCCTATTTTTATTTTTCAGTGCATTTAATGTTAGAAGCAGCACAGACTGTCATAATTATAGCGAAAACAATAGCGAATTTGTTCATTTTTGTTATTTTTTTTAATTATTTTGGAATGTTTTATTTAAATTTGATTATCTAAATTTCAAATAAAGTAAATTTGGCATATATAAACAGAATTAAATATTGTCTATTACTTAACTATTAAGGTTTTTATTTACGTTTATTGTAAATTAGATTGTAAAATTAATTAAATTTTGATTTGATGATTATGCGTTTGAAATTAAATTAAGGATTTACACAGTCTGAATATAATAATAATTATTAATTTCAAGCTGAAATTTATGTGCTGAATTTGAATTAAAGAATTAATTAATTTATCAAAGAAAATATAGATAGAATAGATAGACAACTAAACATTTGAAATTTAATTTAGTACTATAAATATGCTTTTCCTTGTCTAAATATTTGGCATCCGAATTTTTAATATTTTTAATCTTTAAATAAACATATTTACTTTTTTTAAAGAATCATCTTTCTTTTAAATTTATTTTCCAAATTTTAAAAATTATAATTTAATAATAGAAAAATTTAAATTTAGAATTTAATATTCTAAATATATTATTCAAACCAACTTATGCTCTTTAAATTTTTATTAGAAATTTTAAACTAATTTCCATAAAATATTTTTTAATTTTAATGATTTAAAATAGATTAATTAATTTGTTTTTCTATTATTCCTAAAAATAAACTTTTTAAATATATTTTTTAAAAGTAAATTAATAAGTATTATTTTAACATAAATAAATTGAATATCTTTATTTTATTATTAAATCAGAATTTGTGTAGGTAGACCTTACTATTTTACTAAATAGAAATACGATGTCTTTTTTTTTGATTCAAAATTATTTTACATCTTTACTCTAGTCAGTAAAAATATTTATTAATTTTTTCTCAATTCATAGCTTATCAAAATGTAGTGACAAGATTTATTGCCATAAAAAATAATTAAACAATTTATTTGAAATGCATCAAAATGGATATTTAAAATATCAATTCAAATACATAAACAAAATATTTTATAAAATTATACGAAAATTTTCCATAATTTTGTAAATAAAAGATTGATTTCTTAAGTATAAAATAATCAATTTTAAATTAAAATAGATTTATTTTAATCTTATGCTTATTAAATAAATTTCAGTAAATTTCAGTCTAATTTTTTAAATCTATTGATAAATAATTGGATTAAATAATAAATAAATTTTAGCTAAATATTAAATTTATTAATAATCTGAAAAGTACAAAAAACTTTTAAACCTAAAGAAAAATGAATTTCAACCAGTTAAAATCTCTAAATGCTCAAATACTCCAAAGACACTTTGAAGCTCTCAATTTTCTTGGAATTTAATATTCAATACATGATTTAGATAAAGAAAGTATCATTAACAGGTTAAGAGATTTTTTCTTTTAACTTCTGAAAGAGATTATTATTTAGAATTCATGCCTTAAACTTATGGAAAAAAAAGATATATAATTTGACTACTTTTATTTTATACATGCAGAGTAGCAATATATCTCCAACTAATCCTTAGAAATAACTAGCTAAAAATATCAAAATTTTTACAGTCAATTCTAATCATTAAGAAAACTTAACAAAGAAGGAAAAAATAAAACAATGGTTATCCATAAGAATAATTTAAAATCATTAGAAAAGTTACTTTTTTGCATAAAATAAATTTTGAATGCCCTTAAAAATGATTTTTAAATCACAAAAAGAGAAATATTCTACACAAATGTTGAACTTTTTGACTAAAATTAGTAAAACTTAGAAAAAATTATTCAAATATTGCAAAATTAATTAAGACTGCCAAGAAATTGTTTAAATATTATTGCTTCAGCTAAAGGTTTAGTAACTGGTAATGTATAATTCTAAGTTAGTTCTTAAGCTGAAGTAAAATTCCTTTATGTATTTCCTTGATTTAACTCACAAAAATTCTTTAATAGTTTATTGATCTTAGTAAAAATTTTGGAGAAGTCAGGCAAATATAGCCAAAGGAAGAAATTTTATGGATTGAAACAAACTCTGCATTTATATTGGTTGTAGAGAAAGAAACTGTTTTTTAAAAAATCATAGCTGAAAAAGACGAGTAAGTTCCTATTAATTTATTTATTAGTTTTATGATTTTTAATATTTTGATTTATATAATTAGATAGCTTTTGAAGAATTGTATAATGATTACTGGGAAAGGGTATGGCGATTATAGCACCAAATAATATATAAAGATGCTAACTGCTAACAATCCAAACTCGCCTTTATTTTATTTAGGGGATTTCGATCCATTTGGCTTAGATATACTCTTCAATTACACTTTTGGTTCCGAAAATTCTGTCTACTAACAAGATAACTTGCCAAATATTCATTTCTTAGGTCTATCAAGCTTTGATATTTTGGATTTTAATTAATAATCTGATGAAAAAAAATTCAATGTTGAAAACAATTTAAGCAAACAAGATATTTGTAAGCTGGATGCCTTAATCGCCAAATTTGAATTTAGTAAATTGAATTAACTTAAAAATAATTATTTATAAATACCAAAAGATAAAATAGACTCAAATAAATTAGATGATCTCACTAGTTATCAGATAAATAGATGGAAGAAATGGATTGAAAATGCTGAGTTTATAAGACAAAACAATACAAAATATGAAATCGAAGACATTTATCCATTCCTTAGCTAAAAAAATTTAACTTTATCATAATTTATTATAAATAAAATCTAATCAAACAAATATTTATGATATTAATTTCTTATTTTTCTTTTTTGCTTGTGTAAAGAAATATTTAGAATTAAATTTTATTTTTCACTCAAACTAAAGTTATTTTTAGTATTTTTAAAACTGTATTTACAAATACCGTAGTTTCTTTAACCTAAATTCTCGGTTTTAAGCATACTGAGCCAAGGAAAAGACTATTATATCTAAATTCTGAAAATTGTTTGAAATAAATTATTTATTCTTAATTTAATTGATTTTACAATAAATAATATTATTGGGATTTATTTAAATTTTTAACAATCTTAAATTATTTTACTTTTATAAATACTAATTTTTATCTCTTAAGTATGATCTTCATTCATTGTATGATAAGCCAATCATTTTAAATCTTATTTTAAGCAACCTCTTGCTGAAAAATGTAAGATAGTTTAGAATATTAATAATAAAATTCCATTTTGAAAAAAAATATTAAAGGAGCTTTAAATGGATGAAAACTGTGATTATTTTTATGCTCTTTACAATGAAAAAAATTATTTTGATTTATAAATCTGAATATTTTCTACTTATTGGTTTTTGTAAATAATTAATTCTACGATGTTCATGAATGGATAAAATTTTTTAATTTGATAAATTTGAGAAAGTTCGTAATTATTTATCATTTTGCATTTAAAAAAGAAAGATATTTAGCTATGGTTTTTATTATGATGCTTTTTGTATGGAAGAAATTTCTATTAGAGGAAGCAAGCTTTTTTTGATACTTCAAATTAATTATAAATATTCATAAAAATTAATTAATTTTTTTAAGGTTAAAGAAAAGTAGAAATGGATAAGCTTTTTGGTAGGGTAATTAGAAGAAATCAAGCTGCAGAAGAGTTCATGAAAAATGAAGATGCAAAAGCTCATGAAAAGGAAACAGTAAAGTAAAATATGTAAATATAGACTGGCATAAAGGTTGCTTTGAGACTGTCTTTTATAGGTTCTGTTGCTTTATTATACAAAAGAGGATTTTTTGCAAAATAAAGCCCATTTTTCATGAGAGAATTATTATTAATGGTAGGAGGATATGGAGTTATTTCAATAGGAGATTTCTTTGCATCTGAATATATGTGGTCCAACGCTGGAACCATTATCAGAAGATATACTAATTATTCCGATTCATATTATGTAGATGATAAAACTTACAATAAAATGAAGGAAATGTATAAATTAAAGTAGAATTAACCATAGCAAACTGTAGAATATTAAGAAAATAATGATAAAATGTATGACTGATGGATGGATTGATGTTATTTTACTAAATTTGATATGCGATTTCTTAAATATATAAATAAAAAAATAATATATCATTCTTAATATTTTATATAATTAATAAAAGTATATAATAATGAATGCAATTAATTAGTAGAGAATTAGCTATTTACTCTACTTATAACAAAAAAGGATATATTCTTTTATTCATTTAAAATTAATTTTTACCTTTAACATATTCCTAAAAAATCACTATTTTTTCAGATGTTACTTACTCATGAATTTTCTTTAAGTAAGGTTAAGAGTTTTTATATTAAAATAAATATTATTTTTTCTTAATCTGCATTTGACATTTTTTATATATTATGATAAAATTATTGAGTTTTAATAGCATAAATATTATGAAATGTTTATCTTACTTATAAAAAACATGAAATCAATCTCATTAAAATGGCTGTAAACCTAAAAATTAAATGAAATAAAACTCGTTTTTGATATTGGTAGTTAAATAAATATTTTATTTTTATTTAATTTTTTTCAAAAACCTAAAGTTAATATTAATTTTAAATTTTTAATGAAATTAAATACTTTTCTTTTTCTTGCTTTTGATTCGACATATCAATTAAGTTATATTGAGTTTTAATAGCATAAAGCTAAATAAATGCTAATTAAATTGCAAACTTTAAAATCAAATGAAATGAAACTGATATTTCTGTCAAAAAATATTTTATTTAATTTATATTCAAAAAGTTAAATTCTTATTAAAATTTCAGTGAACACTTGATTAATATGAAATACCACTTTTAAATTTAGAATAATTAATTGGATCTTTTTTCAATCATTAATTAATTAATGAATGAATGAAGATAACAAAAATTTATGTTTTTTATTTTTTTTAAAGTAAATACTTACATAATAAATATTATTTTTTATTTAATTGATTAATTTTATTTATATTTTATTAATAAAAAGATTGAAGATTTTTAACACCAAATAGATAGATAATAACTAGGAGTAAATTCTGGTAGAAAATCTTTAAAAAAAAAAAACCTATTTTTCAAATCAAATAAATATTTTAAGCTTTTCTTTAGTTAGAATTTTACATTAGTTAGGTAGGAAGGAATGGGATAAGCATAGACAAAAGAGTAAGAATAAGATCCTAATAAGGTTATTTCAAAAGAGGAATATGAAGATAACATTAAGAATTTTAACTAATTTGTAAGATCGCAGTCATAAAAAAACTTGGTTTAGCAGAATGAGGAATAATCATAAGTAGCAAGATCTACAATTACAAACACAAAAGCTGTATTTATTTACGAAAATGAAGAAAATTATGATAACAGAAATGAAATAAGCAATTACAATTAATTTATTGGAAAATAAGATGGCGATATAAGTAGGTTTTAAGTAAATAAAGAGACAATCGATTACACAATTTCTGATTGGATTGCTCTGATCATAAAAAATATGAGTGACACAGGATTTTAAGGAGAGGAATATGAGATTCACCATACAGATACTTCGATAAAAATAGTTTTATTGTTTACAGCAATGAATTACAAGAAAATAGATGCCTTCGTGTCACTAAATAACACATTATGGATGGAATTCGTTTTGGTAGAAATTCATTATCATATGTTCGACAAAGTAGGAATAGCTAGAATTTGCAATTCAATTTAGAAATTATATCATTTGCAGTATTTGGTTCTTGATTTTTCTCACAATAAAATGGCGATGAATAATGAATGTATCAGCAATTGTGTGACAAACCTTCCTGATTTAAAGGTCTTCACTTTGAATATTGAAGGGAATAATATAGGAGAAGAAGGAGTGAGACTGATTTGTAAAAGTATGTCTAACTTAAAATTTTTGAATTAACTCAATCTAAACTTTAAGTGGAATAAATTGAAAGATAGTGGGTTGTTACATGTCTCAAATACAATAGCTTAGATGAGATTTATCAATTAATTATCAATAGATGTCAGTGCTAACTAGCTAACAGAAAGCAGCTTAATTCTTTTGTTTGATGCTATATCAATAATCGGAAAGTTGCAGTAACTTTCAATAAATATCTCCCACAATGATGTCAACCAAGAAGGAGGAGTGGCCCTTGGCGAGTGTATAAAGCAGCAAGAAAATTTGGTAGAGTTGACATTATGGCTTGACAATAATAATTTAACTTAGCATGGATCATATCCTATTCTCGAAGCTTTAAAGTAGATTTATAATTTAGTAAAACTAGAACTAGATTTATCATTTAATAATATTCCTGTTTATGAAGCAAAGGATATCCGAGATTAAATACATTTAATTACTAATATAAAGTAGAAAAATTTACGCTTTTTCTGATCTAACTATTTATTCATTTTATTTATTTATTTCTCTTAATTTTTTTTCATCATTTACTTACAATAAATAGATTAATAAAATCATAATTAAATATTATCTTACTTTGTATTAAAATAAATGGTTATTTGTTTTCATATAAAAATACATTTAATAAAGTAAAATATTACTTATAATTTGTTAGAAATAAGAAAAAGCTAATTTGAATAAATTTAAAATTAATTATCATTAATTTTTAACTTTTTCACATTTTAAAATAAAATTCAATAATATTCAATAAAATTAAATTCTCAGTTTTTTTAATTGTTGAATTTTTTAATAACTTTCTAATAGGATGTTTTTATTTGAAAAAAGTTTAAATTTTTAATTATTTTATTTGTAATAAAAAAAAATTATTATAATTATATGAAAAAAAGATAGTCCAAAAAATCTATGGCTAGACCACACTTTTCCTTTTATATGGTGTCATAAGAGGAATTAATTTATTTAATTAAATTTAATTTTTTATCAGCTATTTATTAACTTACAAACATATGATATTTATGAATATAAAAACAATAATAATAAAATCTATCTATCTCTCTATATTTTAGATTTAAAAAAATTTTTCAAAATCTTATATAATAAAACATATAATATTTATTTATCCTTTTTCGCTACTTGTTTATCGTCAGAATTATATTTCAAAAACAACTAAACTTTTTGATTTAAGACACTTGCTTATTGCTTTGAATTTTTATGATTCATTTATTTAGTTAAAACTTTTTTTATAAATTTGTTAAATTTTAAATAAATATTAAATAAAATAAACTTTTAAATTCAAAATTATTTTTTAAATTAATAAATAAATAAATAAAATAACATTATTGGAAAAAAAACATAAAAAAATAAATCAAATAAATTCAAAGAGTTTTTTTGTTTTATATTCATTTTTATAGTTAAAAATATCACAATCCAAAATAAATAAACTGTTTCTACCTAAGATAGAGTGTCAAATTTGAGAGATAAATGAACTTTGCTAAAGCAGAACCTAAGTCTGATACACCTATTGCACCAATTTCATTTTCACTTTTTAAATATTGAAGAAAAAATATACAGTATAATTAATTAGTAAATTAGAAGGAGAAAATGAAGAAAGAATATGAAACAATAAGATTAATTAATTAATAATAAAAGCAAAAGTTGAAAATAAAATGATGAGTCTAATTAACAAAGAAAGAAGAAAACAAATCAAGCAAATCCAATAAAAAGAAAAAGAAAAAAAAAGTTTTATTGTTTTAAATTAGTTATTATAATTAAAAATATCACAATCCAAAATAAATAAACTGTTTTTACCTAAGGTCAAGTGTCAAATTTGAGAGATTAATGCACTGTTCTAAAGTATGACCTAAGCCTGATGCACCCATTTCACCAATTTAATTGCGACTTTTTAAATGTTGAAGAAAAAATATAATAATTAATTAGTTATTTAGAAGGAAAAAATGAAGAAAAAAATATGAAATAATAAGATTAATTAATAATAAAACCAAAATTTGAAAATTAAATGATGAGTTAAATTAACAAAGAATGAGGAAAAAAAAGCAAGCTCAAGAAAAATGAGGTTTATTGTTTTAAGTTAGTTTTTATAATTAAATATCACAATCCAAAATTAATAAACTGTTTTTACTAAAGCTTAAGTGTCAAATTGGAGAGATTAATGCACTTTGCTAAACCAAAACCTAAGCCTGATGTACCTTGATGACCAATTTAATTGTCACTTTTTAAATATTAATGAAAATTAAAACAAAAATTTAGTTAATTTTAAGGAGAAAATGAATAAAAAAATATGAAATAATAAAATTAATTAATAATAATAAAACAAAAGCTGAAAATAAAATGATGAGTTAAATTAACAAAAAAAGAAGAAAAAAAAGCAAGCACAATAAAAAGAAAAAGAAAAAAGGGCTTTATTGTTTTAAGTTAGTTTTTATAATTAAAAATATCACAATCCAAAATAAATAATTTATTTTTACCCAAGATCAAGTATCAAATTTGAGAGATTAATACAATTTGCTAAAGCAGAACCTAAGTCTGATGCGCCTATTGCACCAATTTAATTGAGACTTTTTAATATTAAAGAAAAAATATATAATTAATTAGTTAATTAGAAAGAAAAAATATGAAACAATAAGATTAATTAAAAATAATAAAAACAAAAGAATAAAATAAATTTATAAGTTCAAATAACAAAGAAAGAAATAAAAAAGTAAGCCAATAAAAAGAAAATAAAAAAAGAGTTTTAATATTTTAAATTAGTTTTTATAATTAAAAATATCACAATCCAAAATAAATAAACTATTTTTACTCAAGGCTAAGAGTCAAATTTGAGAGATTAATACAATTTGCTAAACCAGAACCTAAGCCTGATGTGCCTTCATCACCAATTTAATTGTCACTTTTTTAATATTAAAAAATATATTTTCAATTATTTTGTTAATTAGAAGGAAAAAATAAAGATATAATATGAAATAATAAGATTAATTATTAATAAAAACAAAAGTTGAAAATAAAATGATGAGTTAAATTAATAAAGGATGTAGAAAAAAAAAATTGCTATCAGTTAGTTTTTTTATTAAAAATATCACAATCCTATATAAATAAACTTTTTTACCAAAGATTAATTGTCAAATTTGAGAGATTAATACAATTTAATAAAGCAGAACCCAAGCTTGATACGCCCATTGCACCAATTTAATTGCGACTTTTTAAATATAATTAATTAATTAGAAGGAAAAAATGAAGAAAAAATATAAATAATAAGATTAATTAATAATTTATAAAAAAAAACTTGAAAATAAAATGATGAGTTAAATTAACAAAGAAAGAAGAAAAAAAAGCAATCACAATAAAAAGAAAATAAATTTAGAGCTTAATTGTTTTAAGTTAGTTTTTATAATTAAAAATATCACAATTCAAAATAAATAAACGGTTTTTACTAAAGGTTAAGTGTCAAATTTTAGAGATTAATACAGTTTGCTAAACCAGAAGCTAAGCCTGATGCACCCATTGCACCAATTTTATTGGAACTTTATAAATATTGAAGAAAAAATAAATTATTAATTAATTAGAAGAAAAAATATGAAATAATAAGATATAATAAAAACAAAAGTTGAAAATAAAATGATAAGATAAATTAACAACGAAAGAACAAAAAAAAGGAAGCACAATAAAACGAAAAAAGAGCTTTATTGTTTTTAATTAGTTTTCAAAATAAAAATATCACAATCCAAAATAAATAAACTGTTTATACCCAAGATCAAGCATCAAATGTGAGAGATTAATGCAATTTGCTAAAGCAGAACCTAAGCATGATGTACCTTCATCACCAATTTAATTGTCACTTTTTAAGAAAAAATATATCATTAAATAGTTAATTAGAAGGAAAAAATGAACAAAAAATATGAAATATAAATATTAATATAAATTAATAAAAAAAGTAAAATTTGAAAATATATAATTACTGTATGTACACATATTTATGAGTGATTTATATTTAAGGATTAAATTTTTTAAAAAAATTATATGAGTATAAAATTTTTAAAAAATTATATTTTTCCATACTCTTAAACACGTGTAATGACGGTAGTTAAATTATCAAAGAAAGAAAGAAAAAAAAGCAATCACAATAAAAAGAAAACGAAAAAAGAGTTTTATTTTTTTAAGTTATTTTTTATAATTAAAAATGTCACAATCCAAAATAAATAAACTGTTTTTACAAAAGGTTAAGTGTCAAATTTGAGAGGTTAATGCAATTTGCTAAACCAGAACCTAAATCTGATGTACCTTCATCACCAATTTAATTTTCACTTTTTAAATATTGAAGAAAACATATATAATTAATTAGGAATTTAGAAGGAAAAAATGAAGAAAAAATATGAAATAATAACATTGATTAATAATTAAAGCAAAATTTTGAAAATAAAATGATGAGCTGAATTAAAAACAAAAGAATAATAAAAAACAAGTAAGCATAATAAAAAGAAAAAGAAAAAAGAGCTTTATTGTTTTAAGTTAGTTTTTATAATTAAAAATATCATAATCCAAAATAAATAAACTATTTTTACAAAAGGTTAAGTGTCAAATTTTAGAGATTAATGCACTTTGCCAAAGCAGAACCTAAGCTTGATGTACCTACATCACCAATTTAATTATTACTTTTTAAATATTATTGAAAACATATATAATTAATTAGTTAATTAGAAGGAAAAAATGAAGAAAAATATGAAATAATAAGATTAATTAATTAGTAATAAAAATAAGATTTTAAAGTAAAATGATGAGTTAAATTAACAAAAAAACAAGAAAAAAAAGCAAATACAATAAAAAGAAAAAGAAAAAAGATCTTTATTGTTTTAAGTTAGTTTTTATAATTAAAAATAACACAATCCAAAATAAATAAACTGTTTTTACTAAAGGTTAAGTGTCAAATTTTAGAGATTAATGAACTTTGCTAAACCAGAACCTAAGCCTGATGTACCTTCATCACCAAAATAATTGTAACTTTTTAAATATTGAAGAAAATATATATAATTAATTAGTTAATTAGAAGGGAAAAATGAAGAAAAAATATGAAATAATAAAATAAGATTAATTAATAATAAATATTGTAGTTTTAATAATTAAAAATATAACAATCCAAAATAAATAAACTGTTTTTACCTAAGGTCAAGTGTCAAATTTGACAGATTAATGCACTTTGCTAAGGCAGAACCTAAGCCTGATGCGCCCATTGCACCAATTTAATTGCAACTTTTTAAAATTAAAGAAAAAATAAATAATTAATTTAGCTATTGTCTACATTTCTTTTAATTAAAAATTCATTAGTATAGATAGCCTATCCAAAATTAAAAAGGCATTTAACTCTAAAAAGAAAAAGAAAAAAGAGTTTTATTGTTTTAAATTAGTTTTTACAATTAAAATATCACAATCCAAAATAAATAAACTGTTTTTACCCAAGACCAAGTTTCAAAATTGAGAGATTAATACACTTTGCTAAACTAATACCTAAGCCTGATGTACCTTCACCACCAATTTAATTGTATCTTTTTACAAATTGAAGAAAACATATACAATTAACTAGTTAATTAGAAGGAAATAATGAAGAAAAAAAATGAAATTATAAGATTAATTAATAATAAAAGCAAAAGTTTAAAATAAAATGATGAGCTAAATTAACAAAAAAAGAAGAAAAAAAATCAATAACAAAAAAAATAAAAAGAATTAGAAAAAAGAGCTTTATTGTTTTAAGTTAGTTTTTATAATTAAAAATATCACCATCCAAAATAAATAAACTGTTTTTACCTAAGTTCAAGTGTCAAATTTTAGAGATTAATGCACTTTGCTAAAGCAGAACCTAAGTCTGATGTACCTTTCTCACCAATTTAATTGGAACTTTTTAAATATTGAAGAAAAAGTATATTCTTATATGGTTAATTAGATGAAAAAATTAAGAAAAAATATGAAATAATATGATTAATTAATAATAAAATCAAAAGTTGAAAATAAAATAATTAGTTAAATTAACAAAGAAAGAAAAAAAACAAGCAAGCACAATTAAAAGAAAAATAAATAAAATAAATGAGCTTTAATGTTTTAAATTAATTTTTATACTTAAAATATTTCAATCCAAAATAAATAAACTGTTTTTATCAAGTGTAAATATTAATAGCAAAAAATGAAAAAAAAATATCAAATAATAAATAGTAAAAATTGAAATGAAAATTAAGTTTAAATAGCTAAAAAGTTTATAGATAAATTCAAATCCATAATTAATGATGAAAATTTCTATTAGAAAAATTATTTTTTAAATAAATTGAAAGTTAAATATAAAAAAATTTTTTATGATATTAAAAAATTAAATTACTTTAGACAAATATGGAGAACCTAATGAAATTAAAGTGAAGAGTTTAAAAACTTTTTTTATTAATAAAAATAAATTTAAAGGATATTAATTAAAAAATAAATAATTACTTCTTCTAATTCTTTGAAATATTTAATCTATTATATCATTTATTTTTTCTCTCTCAAAAATATCGAATATCAATTTATGGAATTTAATTAATTATATATAAATAGATAAAAAGAACAGATAAAATTTAATAATTATCAAATACAGTGTTTTCAAATGGAGTAACTCATTTATGTTTTATAATCTAAATATATTTGTTATTTAAGATTAAAATCTAACATGAATATTAAAGCTGGGTATTTACATAATTTAATAAGATATAATTTTCTACTAAAAATTTAAAATGGTTTGATGGTGAAATAATAGGGCTGTCTTAAGAGGAATTAATTTATTTATTTAAGTAAATTTAATTTTTAAATTTTTTTATTTTTTATAAGCAATATATTAACTTACAATAATATGATACTATAAAATATAAAAACAATAATAAAATCTATCTATATATCTATATTTTAGGTTAAAAATATTTTTCAAAATATTATTTAATAAAAAATATAATATTCAATTATTCAAAAATTTAATATTTATTCATCTTTTTTTTAATACTTGTTTATCATCAGAATTATATTTCAAAGATAACTAATCGTTTTGATTTAAGACACTTGCTTATTACTTTGAATTCTTATGATTCATTTATTTAGTTTGAACTTTTTATATATTTGTGTAAATTTTAAATAAATATTAAATAAAATAAGCTATTTCAAAATTAATTAAATTAATAAATAAAATAAGATTAATGGAATAAAAATAAAAAAAATAAATCAAATAAATTCAAAGAGCTTTTTTGTTTTATATTCATTTTTATAGTTAAAAATATCATGATCTAAAATAAATTAACTGTTTTTACCTAAGTTAGAGTCTCAATTTTGAGATATTAATGCACTTTGCTAAAGCAGAAGTTAAGACTGATGCACCTTCATCACCAATTTCATTTTCACTATTTAAATATTGAATAAAATTTATAATTAATTAGTTAGTTAGTTAATTAGAAGGAAAAATGATGAAATAATAGGATTAATTAATAATAAAAGTAAAAGTTGAAAATAAAATGATGAGTTAAATTAACAAAGAAAGATGAAAAAAAAATTTAAGCACAATAAAAAGAAAAAAGAGATTTATTGTTTTAAGTTAGTTTTTATAATTAAATTATCACAATCCAAAATAAATAAACTATTTTTACGTAAGGTCAAGTGCCAAATTTGAGAGATTAATGCACTTTGCTAAAGCAGAACCTAAGTCTGAAGTACCATTGTCACCAATTTAATTTTCACTTTTTAAATATTGAAGAAAAAATATTTAATTAATTAGTTAATTAGAAGGAAAAAATAATGAAATAATATGATAATAAGATTAATTAATAACAAAAGCAAAAGTTGAAAATAAAATGGCGAATTAAATTAACAAAGAATGAGAAAAAAAAAAGCAATTACAAAAAATAAGAATTAGAAAAATGAGCTTAATCGTTTTTTTATTAGTTATTATCATTAAAAATATCACAATCCAAAAAAAATAAACTGTTTTTACTAAAGGTAAAGTGTCAAATTTGAGAGATTAATGCACTTTGCTAATGCAGAACCTAAGTCTGATGTACCTTCATCACCAATTTAATTTTCACTTTTGAAATATTGAAGAAAAAATACATAATTAATTAGTTAACTAGAAGGAAAAAATGAAGAATATATGAAATAATAAGATTAATTAATTAATAATAAAAACAAAAGTTGAAAATAAAATAATTAGTTAAGTTAATAAAGAGAGAAGAAAAAAAAGCAAGCACTATAAAAAGAAAAAGAAAAAAAGAGTTTTATTGTTTTATATTAGTTAATATAATTAAAAATTCACAATCCAAAATAAAAAACTGTTTTTACCTAAGGTCAAGTATCAAATTTGAGAGATTAATGCACTTTGCTAAACCAAAACCTAAACCTGATGCACCCATTTCACCAATTTAATTGGAACTTTTTAAATATTATAGTAAAAAATATATAATTAATTAGTTAATTTGTAGGAAAAAATGAATAAAATATATGAAAAAATAACATTAATTAATAATAAAAGCAAAATTTGAAAATAAAATAATTAGTTAAATTAACAAAGAAATAATAAAAAAAGCAAGCACAAAAAATAAAAAAGAGCTTTATTGTTTAAAAATAGCTATAATAGTTAAAAATAACACAATCCAAAATAAATAAACTGTTTTTACCTAAGGTACAGACTCAAATTTGAGAGATTAATGTACTTTGCTAAAGCAGAACCTAAGCCTGATATACCTTCATCACCAATTTAATTATTACTTTTTAAATATTAAAGAAAAAATATATAATTAGATACTTAGAAGGAAAAAATGAAGAAAAAATAAGAAATAATAAAATAAGCAAAGGCTGGAAATAAAATGATGAGTTATTTTAACAAAGAAAGAAGAAAAAAAGCAAGCACAAATAAAGAAGAAAAAAAAGAGTTTTATTATTTTAAATTAGTTTTTATAATTAAAAATATCACAATCCAAAATAAATAAACTGTTTTTACTTAAGGTAAAGTGTCAAATTTGAGAGATTTATGCACTTTGCTAATGCAAAACCTAAAGCTGATGTACCTTCATCACCAATTTAATTAGAACTTTTTAAATATTGAATAAAAAATAAATAATTAATTAGAAAATTAGAAGGAAAAAAAGAAGAAAAAATATGAAATAATAAGATTGATTAATAACAAAAGCAAAAGTTGAAAATAAAATAACTAATTAAATTAACAAAGAAAGAAAAAGAAAAAAGCAAGTTTAATAAAGAGAAAAAGAAAAAAAAGAGTTTTTTTGTTTTAAATTAGTTATTTTTATTAAAAATATAACAATCCAAAATAAATAAACTGTTTTTACTAAAGGTAAAGTGTCAAATTTGAGAGATTAATGCACTTTGCTAATGCAGAACCTAAACTTGATGTACCTTCATCACCAATTTAATTTTCACTTTTTAAATATTGAAGAAAAAGTATATTATTAAGAAGGAAAAATGAAGAAAATATATGAAATAATAAGATTAATTAATAATAAAAGCAAAAGTTGAAAATAAAATTATTACTTAAGTTAAAAAATGAAAAATAAAAAAACAAACTACAATAAAAAGAAAAAAGAGCTTTATTGATATAAATTAGTTATAAAAATTAAAAAGATCACAATCCAAAATAAATAATCTATTTTTACTAAAGGTGAAGTGTCAAATTTTAGAGATTTATGCACTTTGCTAATGCAGAACCTAAAGCTGATGTACCTTCATCACCAATTTAGTTTTCACTTTTTAAATATTGAAGAAAATATATATAATTAATTAGTTTACTAAAAGGAAAAAATAGAGAAAAAATATCAAATAATAAGATTAATAAATAATAAAAGCAAAAATTGAAAATAAAATAGCTAATTAAATTAACAAAGAAAGAAAATAAAAAAGCAAGCACAATAAAAAGAAAAAAGACCTTTATTGTTTTAAGTTAGTTTTTATAATAAAAAACATTACAAACCAAAATAAATAAACTGTTTTTACAAAATGTTAAGTGTCAAATTTGAGAGATTAATGCACTTTGCCAAAGCAGAAGCTAAGCCTGATACACCCATTACACCAATTTAATTTTTACTTTTTAAATATTGATGAAAAAATATATAATTCATTAGTTAATTAGAAGGAAAAAATGAAGAAAAAACATTAAATAATAAAAAGAAAAAAGAGCTTAATTGCATTAACTTAGTTTTAATTATTAAAAATATCACAATCCAAAATAAATAAACTTGTTTTATTTACCCAATAAAAAGTGTCAAATTTGAGAGATTAATGCACTTTGCTAAACCAGAACCTAATCCTGATGCACCTATTTCACCAATTTAATTGGAACTTTTTAAATATTAAAGTAAAAAATAAACAACTAATTAGTTAATTTGTGGCAAATATTGAAGGCAGTATATGAAAAAACGAATAAAAGCAAAAGTTGAAAATAATATGATCAATTAAATTAACAAAGAAAGGAGAAATAAAGCAACAAAAAAAAAGAGTTTTATTATTTTAAATAATTTATTATAATTAAAATTTTCACAATCCAAAATAAATAAACTATTTTTACTTAAGGAAAAGTGCCAAATTAGAGAGATTAATGCACTTTGCTAAAGCACAACCTAAGCCTGAAGTACCTTCATCACCAATTTAATTATTACTTTTTAAATATTGAAGAAAACATATATAATTAATTTGTTAATTAGAAGGAAAAAATGAAGAAATAATATGATTAATTAGTAATAAAAGCAAAAGCCGAAAATAAAATGATGACTTAAATTAACAAAAAAGAAAGAAGATAAAAAAAGCACAATAAAAAGAAAATAAACTGTTTTTACTTAAATTAGAGTGTCAAATTTGAGAGATTAAAGCACTTTGCTAAACCAGAACTTAAGCCTGATGCACCCTTTGCACCAATTTAATTATTACTTTTTAAATATTGAAAAAAATATTTAAAATTAATTAGTTAATTAAAAGATAAAAATGAAGAAAAAATATGAAATAATATGATTAATTAATTAATAATAAAAACAAAAGTTGAAAATGAAATTATGAATTAAATTAACAAAGAAAGAAAGAAAAAAAGTAAGCACAATAAAAAGAAAAAGAAAAAAAGACCTTTATAGTTTTAAATTTTTTTTTATAATTTAAAATATCACAATCTAAAATAAATAGAATATTTTTACCTAAGTTCAAGTGTCAAATTTGAGAGATTCATGCACTTTTCTAAACCTGAACCTAAAGCTGATGTACCTTCATCACCAATTTAATTTTCACTTTTTAAATATTGAAGAAAAAATAAATAATTAATTAGTAAATTAGAAGGAAAAAATTAAGAAAAATTATGAAATAATAAGATTAATTAATAATAAAAGCAAAAGTTGAAAATAAAATAATTAGTTAAATCAACAAAGAAAGAAGAAAATATGCGAGCACAATAAAAAGAAAAAGAAAAAAGACCTTTACTCTTTTAAGTTAGTTTTAATAACTAAAATTATTAAAATCCAAAATAAATAACTGTTTTTACTAAAGCCAAAGTCTTAAATTTGAGAGATTAATGCACTTTGCTAAAGCAGAAGCTAAGCCTGATGCACCCATTGCACCAATTTAATTTGAACTTTTTAAATATAGAAGAAAAAATAATAATTAATTAGTTAATTAGAAGGAAAAAATGAAGAAAAAATTTAAAATAAGAAGATTGATTAATCATAAAAGCAAAAGTTGAAAATAAAATAACTAGTTAAATTAACAAAGAAAGAAAAAAAAGCAAGTAATCACAATTAAAAGAAAAGAAAAGTAAATAAAATAAATTAAAAGAGTTTTTATGGTTTAAATTCATTTTTATAATTAAAAATATTAATAGAAAAATAAATAAACTTTTTTTATCAAGTGTAAGTGTTAATAGCAAAAAATGAAGATAAAATATAAAATAATAAAAAATGAATTAGTAAAAATAGCTAAAAAATTTTTTTATAAATTCAAATCAATGAATAATGATAAGAATTTCTATTAGAAAAATTATTTTTTAAATAAATTGAAAGTAAAATAATTAAAAAAATTAATAATATTTATAAATTAAATTTACTTTAGATAAATATGGAGAACCTAATGAAATTAAAGTGAAGAGTTTAAAAACTTTTTTTATAAATAAAAATAAATTTAAAGGATATTAATAAAAAAATAAATAATTACATCTTCTAATTCTTTGTAATATTTAATCTATTATATCATTTATTTTTTTCAAATATATTTAACAGCAATTTATGTAATTTAATTAATTATAAATGGATAAAATTGAGAGATAAAATTTAATAATTATCAAATATTAATCTATAAATTTACTTTTATGAAGAGATATCACAAAAAATGAATTTAGCATTCATTATTTAATATTAAAATTTGTATTTTTTATATATACTTAAAAATATAGTAGGAATTAGAAAAGGGCACTTATTTATATTTGAAAAAATTCTAGTAATTAATAATCTTAAAAATTAAAATTTTTCGTTTAATGAATGAATTTTTTTTTTTGGTGAAATTAAATTTTCTAATAAATTATTTACTAAAATTCAACAAACACTTTAAATTATTTATTTCATTATTAAATATAATCTGAAAATCTTTGTTGGTAAAAGCATTCTCTATTATTTTGACTATGAAGAAATTAATTAGGAGTTTATTTTTAATTGCTTTAGTCTATGATGCTTTATTCTTCGATTATTTTTTCGTCTTGAGAGTCTATGATTTGTTGGGTTTTTATAGATTTACTCTTTTATATCATTCCAAATGTTTCCATTTTCATATTTAATCCAATTTATTTTTATTTTGTCTCAACAAAATCATTTTCTATCAAGTATGTTTGGCCCTTTTTTTATTTAGGGGATTCATTAGGGCAGTTTTTATCTAGCTCTAAGCTTTCTTCAATCTTAGAGGATGGGCCTTATATCTATTTTTATGTGTAAAACGAAGAAGAAGCATTGTCTTTTTCGTTAACAGGATCTTATTAGCTTGGGTCATTGCATTCGTCTTAAGAATATATTGGTGAACATTACTACTTTTCTTTAGAATCTTGTTAATTTCCATTATTTTCTATATCTGGTTCTTTCTTAAATATTGAGGGAGGACCCTTTTAGGATTTATTATTGATAAGAGAAGGATTATTGAAGTTAGAGAATAATGAAGGCTTTGTTTAGTTATTAGAAGAGTTTTAAAACTAAGTTGGAGAGCCTAATTCTGAAAAGAAATAGTTTTTATAGATTAAATTTGTACTTGTTATATAGTCTTAGGAGAAACTTTTTCTTGTTGTATTGGCTATGGAATCTACATCAAATTCATATTGTATTTCCTTTTCTTCATCAACCACTTTTAGTGGGAATTCCCTAATTATAAAATTTTATTTATCAAGTATCCTGATGGTTATATCTTCTAAATCAGATGATGTAGGAACACCTTGTAAAATGATGCAGCCAGATTTTTAGTCAAATTTGATCCAGTTAGGTAATTTCATATTTTAAGTAGCTCCATAATTGGCAAGTGTCATATTCATCATTTTTCTGAGGCCCTAACAGCGTGGATTTTTAATTGCTTTGAAGGCTTCGACTGAACTAATCTAAAAGAAATTTAAATGAATGGATTCACCTTAGCTTTTGGAGAAAGCGTTTGGAGTATAATCAAGTAAACCAAGAGCTTCAGCAATAAGGAGTTCATATACCAAGCTCAAGTTAATAAAATCTTTAGAAATAGCTTTTTCCATCGCTTCATTTTAATTTATCAGTCTAAGATTGACAAGAGTTTATTTAATGACATCCTTTTTGATTAAAACACTAGGAAAGCAAATTACTTAAAGTTTTTCATTCATAATAGAGGAGGAGCAAATTATTTATGTGTAATGTTTGTACCAATCTTTTTAAGTGTAATTAAATCTGCTATATGCTTCTTCTTTGAGAAATTCGAAAAATAACTCTGTCCTCTCGTCAAACTAAAGAACGTATCTAGCTATGACAGCTCTTACACACTTATAAAGACGAGATTGTTAATCTTTTAAATCTTTGATCAAAGATTTTGCTTAATACTCTTCATTGTTGTAGCTAAAAGTTATCTTTTCTTATATCATGTATTAAATAATTTTAGAGAATCTGATGCTTCCATCAGCTCTGGAGAACTAGTTGATTATTGGGTTCAGTGAGTTTTTTGGCTTTTTGATTTGTTTTAGTCTATTAATAAATAAAAGTTAGTTCTCTCTAAGTTCGCTCATTTGATAGGCTCTTTGAAGCTTTGACTTATTTAAATTAGAGCTCATATCTAGTTAAGACTTGTCATCTTTTGCTGCAGCACTTAGAGCAGCAAAATTCATAATGTTATTACTGAATTCGTTCAAATTCATATTACTTATTCTAAAGTTACTTTGCATACTATTATTTTTACTCAACCCAACAAAATTTTAGTTTAGTTCGTCGCAATTTACTATTTTTAAAGATTTTTCTTATTAAACTTCTTCAATATTCTCATTTTCTTAATTTTTAGCATTTTATTTCTTGTTTTCTTCCTCTTCCAATTCTCCTTTGTTAGAATTTATACTCAATCCATAGACAAGGATTGATTTTGCTTTCAGTGTGGGTCTCTTGGTTTTCTTTTTCTTTTTCTATTTTATATTCATATGTCTTTTTAATGAGTTGAAAAGGCATATAGCTTTTTCATTTTCGTCTCCCAGCAGTGTAATTTTTTTGCAAAAAAAACTATTGACAATGCATAACTCAGTTGAGTAAATATTTCTTCTTTTGAATATTGCATTAAGGAAGAAGCTTCTATAATTATACAGTCCAAATATAAAAGCGATAGGACTCAATATTTTCAGAAGCAAATTAAGGATATAAGAAAATGGAATTACACGAATTTAAATTACAAATATATCATAAACAGAGTATAACCATCAGAAGCTATTACTTTAATGTATACGTCTGTATTAAACATAGATATGGGTGGCGTTCCTTGAAATTTTAAAGATCGAGAGGATTGTTATAACCAAAGCTATCCATTTAATTAGGTATAATCTTGGTTATCTTTGCTGTAAAGAATCTCGTATGTCAACTGAAGTCCATCTGGACTTTCAAACGTAGATTCAGAAAATTCAAATGAAACACTTTCTTCTACAGAAACTTCTGAATTAGGAAAAATTGAATTAAATTATTGCTAAAGTTTTTTTTCATTGGGATTCATGATTGTGTGTAATTTTTATCGTAAAATTTTAGTAGGATCATTAGAAAATTTTGTGTTATTTATTTATTATTAAGGAGGAATATAAGGAAGAGCTAAATCAGATAAAAGATAACAAGTTTAAATGTCATAGTTTATGTTATCTTGTAAGTAAAAGCTAATGTTTATTGCAGAGATGCTAGTTAAATTTGAGAAATAAACTATTTTTTAATTTTAAAATAATAAATTTAGTGCTTATGCACTACCTTCTAATTTCACAGATGAACCATCGTCGTTAAATGAAGATAACACACCAGCATATGGTATTTAGATAAATAGAGCCTGTGACTTATCAACGCTTAAGTATAAATTCACTTAGTTAGAAAGTGAACTGATAGTTCCAGTACTTACATTAAAATTTAACGAAGGTGCGATATAGAACATGATAGGATTTTTTTGTATTGATCTAAGTATAGTAAAAGTGATTCTTTCTTGTAGTGCTGGATTTTTTTCTATCCCTCCTAAATTTAATTCAGCAAAATTAATTTATCGTTACGATAAAAATTTTGAAGAAGCATAACTGTTGTTACTAATTATGTCTTAGTTAACTAAATATTGCATAATGTTCGAGCCCATTGTCGAATCAGTAGTAACACCATCTCCAATGTCTGAGTACACAAATGAATCAGGACCTAAAGTAGTTTGAAATGTCAAAACAATAGAGTTCAAATTAGGTAAAGAAACATTTTATCCTAAACCCTCTTTAACTGCATCAATCTACACAGAGTAAGAAGATAAATGATAATTTATCCAGCTAGGAGGATCTACCAAAATATTTTCTGGGCTCTAATATTGAATATTCTAAAGCAATAAACTATTTTATGGGTAGATAGGTATGAATTAAAATAAAAAACTTTGCCCTATTTGAAGATTATCTTAAAGGTTATAAGGCGTATAAGAAATATTTCCGTTTTCTATTCCACTAATTAACAAAACTTAGGTATGCATCATAATCTATTTTTATTCAAAAAAATTATTAATTAAAATTAATTAATCAGTTATTTGTTTTTAAGTTTTAAGATTAGTTTTTCATTTGTTTTTTTGTTTGTTTGTTTGCTTGTTTGTTTGTTTGTTTGTTTGTTTGTTTGTTTGTTTGTTTGTTTGTTTGTTTGTTTGTTTGTTTGTTTGTTTGTTTGTTTGTTTATTTATTTATTTATTTGTTTACCTCGCTTTGTAGGGGAATAACATTTACTCCAAAGTTGTTTGTTATAAAAAGGTGTTTTTAATCTTAGGTGAGGCAAGATGACATAGCGTTCTGATTTTACTTAAATTGCCTAGAAAGAGTAATCGGATTTTTCTTGTCTGCTACACTTAAAAGACTTATATAACCATTATCCATGTGAGAAAGTAGTAAATAATTTTCTAATGAAAAAGGTGTTATATGGTTTAGCCATCCATCTACTTAATACCTAACAAATTTAAAATTGGGAAGTTAATTTAGATCTAAGATAACAAACCCCTTGTATCCATCACTTATATATGCAAAGTTATCTTTTGTTAAGCTACTTAATATGAATTCACCTCCTAGTGTTTAAATTTCATCTCCGAATTAAGGTTAAGTAGGATTGGAAATATCAACTGAGATAAACCCATAATTCCTCATTGCAAGAATTATAAATTTAGAATCATCAGAAAAAATAATACCATTACATATTCCTATCATTCGAGGTGGAACAAGATATTACGAAATGATTTTTATTTATTAGGGATTGCTACAATTAATCAATAAGAAACCATTGTCAACAGTCACTGCTATCATTGTTTTATTTTTATTTGCTACTAAGGTTTCAGAAATTGTATTTGAGTTGTTAAAAGGCATTTTAAAAATTGGCTATACCGAATTATTATTTAATTTTGTTACTTCGCTTATTTTATATACAAAGAGCTTCGAGCTTTCTTATGATACAGCTAAGAATAATAAATCTACTTCGTAAAAGAATAAAACACAATCGATAGAGGTTTGTTCTACAAAGTTTATATGATTTACCTGCTTCATTTGATAAGGATTTATGATAGCTTAATTATTTGGGTCAGTTTTTAAGGAGTAGACAAATAGCCCTACTTTATCAAATGCCCCAAAGAAAAAACTATCATCCTACGAAACATAGCATCTCCATCTGTATTGATAATTTCCAATTTAATATAATTTAGCAATATGATCATTGCTAAGATTAGGGATGTCTTAACTAAGATTTGGTGTTACTTTTTCGTATTCAAATATTGTATCTCCATTTGCGTAGAATAGTTGTTAATCTTAATTAGTCAACTAAACTGAAAAAGCATGACCTTTGATACTGATTCTTTAAAATAATACTGGATTACTTTTATTTGATATATCTAAAATTAACACTCCTTGCTATCTAGAAGCTACTAACAGTTTTTAGTTATCTAAAGTTAGCTTTAAAGACATAGGTATGGTGCTACTTAAGTCTGGCCAATAGTTTTTTACTTTTAATTCGGGCATCCATTGATTAGCAGGATCATCACTGTGAGTATAAATAACTTAAATTCCACTCCAACAATCTGCAGCATAAATGTAAGTTTAATCGATTGTTAGAGCAATGTCTACAATTTACCAATCAGAAGGAATTTAGGCTCGATATGATAAAGTTATTTTTATATCCTAAGAGATAGGGTTTTTTTGGTTTGGTATGAGCTATTTATTGAAATTAAACATGATCATACCTGAATAATCATTAGCTATAAATAGAAATTATTCGCTTACATCAAGTACACCTCTGTATATTAAATTAGATTTAGCTTCAATCTAAGCAAGAAATAAAAAATTTCCTCCATCATTTCTCTTTTGTCTAACATCATAAACACTTATTACTCCATTGCTCTAAAGAAGGATCGCAACATTCTCATCACTAGTTAAAATGATATCAAAAACTTCTGCTTCGATTTGCTAACTTTAGCTTTTCAAGACTAATTTGCTCTTCAATTATTATCTATCATAATAATAAGAATTTAAGCAATTTTTCTACATAAAAATAATGATAAATCCATCTTGAGTGAAAGCCATCCCTCTAATTAGCTAAGTAGAAGGGAAAAAATACTCAAGATTGCTAGATTAAATATCAAATATTGCCAATCCACCATTACCCCATGAAGTGAGCAAAATATTCTACTGATTATTGTAAATGATTCTATTAGAAGACGCAAGCGTGTTATTAATATTTAATTCTCTGCTTGGAAAAGTAGAATAAATATAATTTATAGTTGTTTAATCATCGTTGCTAGATTAAGCATTGACTCTAAGAATATTTTTGAAGTATAAATAGAAAAACATTGAATAAAATTAAATAAGCTTCATTTTCTTTCTACTTAGAAATAAAAAGTTGTTTTTTTAGGTTGTTAGTTTATTTTTTAATTAAAATTTATTAAGTTAATTTTGCATGTTTGAACAATATTCCTTCTTTGTTGGATTGTAAGTACAATATATATATATTTTTTAATTATTTTTTTAACTGATTTAATGTAGAGTAATTTAAAAAAATTCCTTGAATAAGCTAATAAATGTTTTTTTTTTTGTGATAATTCTGAAATCACTTACAATAAATTTTAGAATGATTTATTTGAAAATTTTTGCAAACTCTAAGTAAATAATTTAAGAGAAAGTAACCAATCTTATTTCATAAATTAAAATAAAAAAATAGAGTTGGAAAATATTCTGAAAAAAAACTGAAAAAAGAAAAGTATTTATTCGAGTGATTAACACAAAGTTTTAACAAGCTAAAATAAAAAAGTATGTTTTGTGATAAAAATAAAAAAAAACAAATTTATAAAAAATACAACAAATTGTTATCATAATTTATTTTCCTTGTCATTCTCTCTTAATACATTATTGTCTTGTAATTTTTGATACTATTTAAGATTGATTTAATTTTGGCAGTTGTTACTTTATTTAATATTTTATTAAATATTTAAATTAAGGTTAGATTAACTATTTTGAATATATTCTGTATTTAATTTAGATTGCTTTCTTTCTAGATCACAATTATTTGTTACAACTGCAGAAGATAATTATGGGGAAGAGTAATTGTCAAAATTAAATATTTTTTTTACAACATTTTATTATTATTTGCACTTTAAGTTAAATTTATTGTTTTCTTTTGTAGTTTGTGAGAGGGAAACAAGTTAGTTCCATTTTTTTGAACTCGTTTATTTTTCTACTGTATTTGACATAATCTTTGGGGCAGCTAGAATATTTTCATTCAAATTTCCAATTTAACTGAGTATTCTTCTATCATCAGATTCTAAATAATTATTTTCATCAACTTTTATTTTATGATTTTTATCAACACAAAAACTAAATTCTTATTAATTTTATTGAGCTTATTGTTAACAAGATTTTATCCTAATCTTTTACAAGTCAGTGTTCTGGTTTTATTTTACTTTGGCAGAAGCGCTTTATCTGAAATCAATGTTCAGTGAATTATCTTTGAGACCTTGTGTTTTCTATTAAGAAACTAGTTTTGCCAATTCTTCGCTTACTTACCAATTATCTCTCTCAATTTTGCTCTCTGAAACTTTAAAATTTTTCAGAGGTTTCAGCTACTTCTTTGAATTATTGCTACATTCCTATGAATCTTTTAAAGGAAATTCAGTTTTTTCTTCATCACCTTTATTCAAATTTCCTTTATATTTTTTAAAAACATAATGATAAACTAAATAAAATATTTTTTTTTAATTTATTACTCTTTGTATTATTATTTTCTTTATAGTTCATCTTAAGTTTATTTTTAGAGTTCTTCAATTAGGCTTCCTTTTAAATGTTGCAATATTCATTATTCAATATTTCTGATTATTGAATTGGAGCTTCATCATTCTACTTTAGCCCCATAAAATTATATTAATATTTGAATCTCTCATTATCTGTTTCTAGAAAATCGCTAAACTAATTTTATTTTAATTTAAAATTTATAAATAAAGTTCAATTTTTTATTTAAAACATTTAAATTTAAAACCATTTTTTAAATTTTAGAAAAAAAGAAAATTATAAAAAGTTTAGTCTGTTTAATGTGGTATTTTCATTTATTTTATGCTTATTTAAATATTATTGTTTGATAATAATTCATTTATTTACTTAAATTATGTATTTATTTATTGATAAAACATTTTATTTATTTTTTTAACTGTTTTAATTTAATTTTCTTTGAATTTTATTGAAATTATTAAAGTAAAATTGAGAATAATTTTAATCAGAATACTTGATAAATTATATTAATTGTAACAACTCATATTATTGTCATAATTATAAATTTAATTTAATGTGAGAAAAATTAATAATTTTACTTAGAGCTTTAACATATTGCGGGCCTCTTTGACAGAGGATGGGGCTGTTGATGGAGATGAAAATGTACTTTTAGGGTTTTACTTTTAATGAATATCTTATTGTAGTTGTGATTAATTAAAATAACTCAATTAAGCATCTTAAATTGAAGAGTAATTGCTAGTGCCATTCATTAAATTAATTGGTACGTCAAATCTTTGCTCTGTATTTAGTATCCCGTTTTAGCTTTGAGAGCGTGGTATAAAGAGAAGATCGTAATTTTTATCATAATAATTTTTTTGTAAGGTTGTGTCTTGATAATGATTGGGCATAGAGGCGTATGGGTTCTAAAAATGACTTGCGTTATGTAATGGATAGTTAACGATGTTAATATTCTTACTCTCTCTAATTTCTTCTTTTTATCCTCGCTAAAAATTATTTAGTTTTAAGGTATTTTTATTGATGGATTAAACATGTTGTCCTAAATTAGGCTATGAGCTCCAAAAATGATTATCAATTGCATCTATTTAAATTTATTTTCTGTTAGAATCTGCTGTGCTGCTACTACTGCCTAAAAACCCACTTCTTAATGAATCTTGATAATCAAATTTTTATTACTTAGGTTTGGCATTCAAAAGTGGTAGCTGTCCATGTGATTTTAGATTTTTAGAGGTTTCTATGGAATAAGCCTACATTTGACATTAAGATTTGAGGTGCTAATTATCGAAGCGATGACTAGATTTAACTGAATTAGCATTTTGATGGAAATAATTTTAATTTTTGAGATTAGATTCATAAAATTCAACTAAATTATTATTATTATTATTATTTACATCTGTAGAAGTTTTGATAGGTTTAATAGATGAAGCAGAGTGAATTTAAATTGGTTAATTAGTAGAAATTGATTATCTAAGAGAATATATATTACTAACTGAGTTGTTATTTCTAAACTATGTTGGTTATTGAGTGCTTTTTAAACACACGATTTAATTTATTTTATTCCAGAAAATTTAATCTGTCATTTCGTTAGCGCTACTTTAGCACACCAAAGACATTCCTCTCTTTTTATCATTAGCCATCAAGCTTAATTGGTTATCTTTGAAAACCTTTGTTTTTTCCTCTTAATTGTTTTATTTTTTTATGTTAGTTTACATATTTTAAAATTTATTTTAACCAGTCTAAAGCTAACATGAGACTTGATTTGCTTTTACTTAACTAGAGGAGTCTGGTTTATCACTTTCACTTAGATTCTTTTTATTTTAAACTAAATTGATAGATAACTCAGCATTTATTTATGAATTATTTATTTTAGTTATGTCTTTTTGGTTTTTTGCAGTAAAATTTTTTTTATTTTTAACACATTTTTAAACATTTTTAGATTCTTTTTCTGATTCTTTGTTTAAAAAAGCATTTTCCTAATATAATTTTATTTGAATATTTTAAATCAGAGTAAACTTTATAGAAAATAAATACTTGTAATGGAGGAGACAACTCAATGAACTCATTGAACTCAATATCACAATAATCTTATTTGTTAATGACTATCTTTTTCTACTCTGCTTCGTTAGCCTTGAAAAAAAATTGGGCAGTTTACATCAAACTTGTATTTATACTTTTGTTATTTTCACACTAAGAAACGTCTTCTTTATTAATCATTTCTACTATTTTGTTTAGAAAACAACTTTATTTATGTTAATATCTACTTTGCCAAATTATTAATTTATTGTTTAACTTTTATTTAAAAGATATTACAAACACTTTTTTAAAAATTTCAGAAAGTTGTTAAAGAATTGATTGATATTAGGAGGAATCCTATTTTTATCAAAAGGCACTCACTCACTCACTCCCCATTTTTTAAAATAACTTTTTCATTTTTTTACATATAACATATTTTTTTAAAAACCATGATAATAAATCTCTCCTCAATAATTGATTGATTGATTGATTAATTAATTCATTCATTCATTCATTCATTCATTCGTTCTTTCATTTTGAATCAGTTAATATACTAATAATATGAATTATTAGCTAATTTATATTTCTTTATTTTTTAAGGTTTTGAGTTTCTATTCCATTTTTAAATTCAATTCTTGAACACTAAAAATTTAAATGGTTTATAAATTTTTGAATAAAATAAAATCAAAGACTTAATTTTTAATCAAATTTAATTTTGTATTTTATAAAAAGTTGAATGCTTTATTTTAAATTTTATTCTGTTATGTTGATGAGTTCAAGGATTCTAATTCTTTTTATTATTGATTATTAAATTCGTATAAATTGTAACAAATAAGAAAATAATCACTAAATATAATAAAAATTAAGATGGTAATAAAAAAGATTTTTAAAAAATTATTGTAAAATTTTAATGGCTCAAAATATTTTAATCATATTTTTTCATTAGTTTTTAAAATTTAAAGCAAAAATTGCTATATCCATCAGTGAATTTAATATTATATAATTTTATCTTTGTGTCTTTTTTGATTTTTTTTTCATTTCAGCTTGTAAGTACTTTGAAATTAAAAGATCTTTTGAATTAAATAGTGTATATCCTAAAATTATTGAGGAAATGATAATTTATTTATAAAATCTATTAAATATTAAATTTTAATCAAAATTGAAATTATTCTACAAAAATAAAAATGAAAATAGTATTTATGAATATTTTAATTATCTAAATTTTATTATTACTTATTTTTATAAATTCTAAAAAAAATATTATTTGCATCTAAGCTTTTCTTGATAAAATTTTAATATTTATCAGTCAAAATTTAGTTATTATTTCTCAATTTTTGTATGGTTTTTACAAATGTTTAATATTTAAAACAAAACAATTTTTATTCATATTAAATAAAATTGTTAAATAATTATGTCATTTTATTGCATGAAATTAAAAAAATGATTTTTTTAGAATAAATAAATGTTTCTTTTTAAAAATTTGTAAATAAATAAATAAATTGAAAACAAAACCTTTATAAATATATTATATATATATATAAGTACAAAATTAACTCTATGTTGATTATAAATAACTCTTAATTTTAAGTTTTAAATTATTGAGCTCAAAATTCAGTTGAAACATTTTTTGTGTTATTTCTTATCTAAGGAGGAACAAACATGTGCTTTTTTTATTTTTCCTTTGCCTCGCTTTATGTTTTTGCTTAATTTGCGATTTGTTCCTCAATCTTTCTTTTTTGAAGTTCTTCTTCTGTTATATTTAATTTGTGGTACTTTTATTCGACAGGGCAATCTACTTTCTCTTCATAATCTTTTGGTAGTTTCCTCTTACTATTTATTTCGTTACTAATTTTATTTGCATTGTTTAGCTATGAATCTATTTTCTTAGCTTCATTCAAAAGATTGCTTGTATATGATGACGATGCAGTGATGCTACTTTTTTCATCTGCTTTTTTCATAACTTAGTTGAAATTTAAAAGTTTCACTTTCTTTTTTTATTAATCTTGAGCTTACTCTGGAATTATTTTTTCTGGCTTTTGGTCTTTTTCTACTTTTTCATTTTCAATTTCTGAATCTGATGAATCGTCGTAATTTACTAACATTTATTTCTTTATTTATCTATTTACTTAAGCTTTCAAAAGTTTTAAATTGGTGTCTAATTAATTATATAAATCAAAAAAATAACAAGTAAATAAATGCATAAAGTATTTATTTATTTTGAAGTCTTAGTTCAAAGTGAAGAATTAATCAAAAAATTTAACAACTATCTTTTAATGTTAGGTACTAAATTACGACATATACAAATTTTTAATAAAAAATTATACTTTTGTTGATTAAAAAAATTTAATTTCTACAAAAATGTGGAACACGTACATAATAAATTTACTTATCAACAATAAATACATTTTTTACATCAATCACATATATCAAGTGAATTTCTTTTTATATTTATTTCCGGTTCTTTTCTTGCTCAGTGAGATTTTAAAAAAAACCTTCATTTGAAAATTCCCTTTACAATGTGATGAATATAATACTGAAATAAGAGAAAGCTCAATCATTAATGAAGATATGGAATATCATTTGAAAATTGAGTATTAATCTTATAATCATTCTTATTTAATATCTTTTTATATATTTTCATCTTTATTCTAAGTAACTTCTTCACTTTTTTTATCTAATTTGCATTAAGATGTCTTTTCTTCTGAATTGACTATTTAATAATATTTTTGGAATTAAAAACTATCAAATAAATGCATTTTTTAAATAAGTTAAACCAAATAAATATATTTAAATGAATGAATACCTTTTTCATAGTGATATTTGATTCCAAAAATACCTAGAATAAATGATATGATCTCGTGTCTTCTTTCCCACAAAACAGTGAAAAAGAAAAGAGGCACTAGATAGCAGGAAACTCATGCCATTTTCTTTAGCTTTATTTTTTTATTTGATTTTCTTAATATTACAAATTTAAAAGAATTTGATGGTTATATTTATTTATAGATAATCAATCACCTTTCTTTATATTTAAATATAAAACAAACACAAAAGTAGGAATAAACAAACAAGTGTATATCTATTATTCATTAAGAAAACTTAGGATAAAATAAATATATATATTTGTAATATCAAAAAATAAACACATGCTATTTGATTTACTTTTTCATTTTCTATTTTAATTTAAATATATGCTTTTAAAAAGCATCTATATAAATTTGTAAATTTTATTACTATCTTTTAACATTTTAAATGAATTTAAGAGAATAATTACAATTTTATTATTAAATTTTGCATAATAAAGTTTATATTAGTTCATTAAAATACTTAATCCTAATATTTTATAATAGTAAATTTTAAATTAAATTTTATTTGGTATAATATAAAAAATTAAAATATAAAATTAGTTCTTTTTTTGTTAAAAATGTTTAAAATTTAATTTCTAAGAGTTTAATTTAACAATTTTATAGCTTATAAAATATTTGATAATTAAAAAAATATTTTTAATTTGAATGTAAAATATTTAAATTCAAACAATATTATTTAATAAATTTAAATATTTTGAGAATCTAGGTAAGAATCAATCAAAATTTTTATTTAAAATGATAGATAAAATGAAAGAAAATGTATTTTAGTTAGAAAAATGTATTGATAATGACCTAATCAATAAAAAGAATATCTATTTTATTTAGCAAAAAAATTAATTCTTGATAAATAAAAATCTTGAAAAGGGGTAACCACAAAAAGAGCGGTAAATAATTCATGAATTAATAATGTTTAGAAAAAAACAATTTTGATATCATATTTTTTATTATTATTATTAGAGAAAATATTTAGAAAAGAAAAATAGTTGATATCATAAAGATGATAACCAAATAAATATAAAAGGAACCAAAAGTTTAAAAAAATATAAACTTTTAAATTATACATGATGACTATTTTTTAGTTTAAAGAGTTTTCAATGATGAAGATAAATAGATTTTAGTAAAATTATTTTTGTTTAAATTCATTTTAATGAACAGATTGATTCATCATTTTATTTTTTAGAAAAATTTTGAAGCCAACTATGACAACATAAACAAAGGATATGTCTTGCAGATAAAGTTTTATACAAATCTAATTGAGATAGTAAACATTTTTATTTCTGCCACAAAACTATCTAATAATTTATTTGAAGCTAACTAGAAAATATTAGGTAGTAAACTAAATACCTTATTTTGTATTTTCTGCTCTTCAGCCGATACAAAAATGCTTAAATTTTAATATAGAGAATTAAAATAAATAAATATACTATGACTAAAATGATATTAAAACACCTGAGAATGATCTTCCATAGTCAATTTTAAAATAGCTATTTAACTATCAAAAAGAAGGAATAAGATTTGGAATGATGAACAAATGCAGAATTCTAATTGCAGATGAAATGGTAATATTAAAATAAATAAATGAATAATAAATTTAATTAAAAACATTTTTATGCTAACCAAATATTGTATAAAATTATTGGATCTAAACAAACTATTTATAAATTGTTTATTTTTATTTTTTGATAAATAATCTATAGGGAGTAGGTAAAACAATATAAGCTATTTGTTTGGCATTTGCATATTTAAAAAATCTTTCTAAAAAAATGATTGTCATATGTCCTTCCTCATTGGTAAAATTAATTTTATTTTATTCTATCATAATTATAGATATTTTTTTCTTTTTGTCTATTTATTTTATTGAAAATAATTTTTTTAGTTTATTTTATGCTCATTTCATCATCGTCATCATCATCATCTTCTTCATTTTTCAAAAATAATTTTAAAGTAAGATGAATTAAAATTTTCAATTAAATCTAGTTTAAAAGCAGTTTATTTATTTCTATTTAGATCTTTTATTTATTATTATATTTTAAATTCATTAAATAATTTAAAAAATTTTTGAAATCTTTAATAAAAAATGCAAAAATGAATAATAACAAATAAAATATTTTTAGTTTATTTTTAAAGAAATGATTTAAAAAATTTCCAAATAAACAATTAATAATTTAATTTAAAGTTTAATGAATTAGATAAACTTTTTAATTACAAAAATAATTATTTAACTTGCTTGAACAAAAAATATTTTTAATTATAAAAACAGAAATTTTATTGGAAGTAAGAAATTAATAAATGGTATCGTGTTATACTAAACGGTAGATAAGTTTCTTAGTTTATTTAGGTATTTCAAGCATCAAATGACTAAATAGAACAACAAACTAAAATACTGATATGCTCTTATGATATAATTTAAAGTGCAATAAATAAAATTGAAAAATACAATGCTTTTTTAGGGATAGCTGATGAAGCTCATTATCTTAAAAATCCAGATACTAAGAGGTCTAAGGCTATAATTCCTTATTTAAAGTAATTAAAACACGTTATCTTGTTGACTGGTACACCAGCCTTTGCTAAACCTTAAGAAATGTATAGTCTTGTATCTATTTTAAGGCCAGATGTATTTACCAATTTTCTTGATTATGGCAAGAGATACTGTAATCCTAAAAAATCTAATTTTCATAATGGATTAGACTACTCAGGCTCATCTAACGAGCTAGAGTTGCATTATTTGCTTACAAGATATATGATGATAAGGAGACTAAAAAAGGATGTATTAAATGAACTGCCTGATAAAAAAAGAAAAAAGATCAAGGTTAGCACAGATAGTAGCATACAGTCTTAGATTGCCTAAATATTAAAAAAAGTTAAAGACAAAACACTTTAGATTTTAATGAATCCTCCTCCTAATCAATAATTTCAAAACGAACCAGATTCCTACTTTAATGGAAATCATGGGAGCAGTCAATTCTAATCATTAAAGACGTGCTATATGCTTAGTGGGTTGGCAAAGCAATAGTAAGTTTTAAATTACCTAGAAGAGTTGCTAAAATCTGTCGATAAAGTTATTGTTTTTGCTGAGCACATACAAATTCTTGACAATATAGAAAAATTTGCAAATGACCGCAAAAAAAAATATATTAGAATAGATGGATCTGTAAGAGATGAAGAGAAAAGTATCCGTGTTTAATCTTTTGAAAACAATAAAAATATTTCTATTGCAATACTTTCCTTTGGAGCAGCCAGCTTAGGAATAACTCTTACATCAGCATCCAATATTTTATTTGCAGAAGTAAAAATAAAAATTTAAATAAATTAATTATTTTCAATTTACAAAAACAAGAGCAATTAATTGATTTTTCAAAAAAAATATTTTAGTTTTAAATTTTAATGATAAAAAAAGTTAAACATTTATTCATTTATAAAATAATTACTTATTTTTAAGCAATTTAACCTTATTTTCATTTGAAATTTTTTAAATCTTATAATAATTTTTCAAAATAAAATATTTAAATTAAAATTTTTTTTATTATTTATTTATTTATTTATTGAAAAAGATGCATTGGACTCCTGCTATTATGGAATAAGCAGAGGATAGAGCTCACAGGATAGGACAAAAAAATCCAGTGACTTGCCATTACTTGATTGGAGAAGGAACGTTGGATAATATGCTTTATAAGAAAATATTGGAGAAACAGTAAATAGTTGGAGCTATACTTGATGGAAAGACAGTAAATTTAAAATTTGATGAAACTGATACTCCAAATTAAATGAATAGCAATACTATAAATTAATAAAGTCATAATTAAGAATAATAATTTCAATAATTGAAGTAGTAAAAATAAACTAATATGACCAATAACTAGGGTAAAACTTGCAGTAATAAATCTAAAAATTAAGATGAAAAAAAGTAGTAAGGAGGCTTAATACAACAAAGCATATTAAACTATTGTCATTAGAATGCTACAGGAAAGAATAAATTAGAGAAAGTGAATTTTTTAAATATGAAAGAGTAAATTATTCCTTGTGAAGAAATTGAAATTAAGGAGGATTTTCCAGTTAAAGAGAAGAATTTTATTTAAAAAAGATCTAGAAAGCAATTTGATAAAGAGAACAAGCACATTTAAGAGGAACTGTATAGACCTGAAAAATAGCTGAAAAATAAACTTTTATCTAATAAATAATAAAATTTCATCATTATTGATTGAAATTAATTTTTAAAATTAAAATAACTAAAAATAATTTCTTGTATTTTAAAATTATATTTCTTGCAAATTTTTATTAGTTAATTTTTTAGTTTTTTTTTCATATTCATCAAATTAGATTTATTTTTTCGTTTTATAAAATATATTTATTATTTATTTATGTCTTTTATATTTATTAGATTTTGTTTTATCATATAAATAAAATATATTAATCAATCATTTATTACTGAGAGATTTATTTACAGCTTTATCTAAAAGGATATATTCAAACTGAATTATATTTCTAATTACTTCATAAATAAATACATAAACTTAGTTTGAACACACACTTTTCTTTTCATATTTAAATAGAACAAACATATAAATTGTATTTAACATTTTTAACATCTTTATTTATTTAATGATTTTTCTTTTATTTTTATAAGTGATTTTCTTTAATTTTTTCTTTGATAATTCAATTTTATTTTGCAAAATAAATGTGTTTTAAAAATTTAATCTATCTGGCATAATTTTATTTAAATACTTTGATATTAAGTTTTTTGTTTAATTCTTTATGATATTTAAAGAGGTTTATAAAATTTCATGTAAAAATCTTAATTTAAATTTATGGTTATTTAATTACTTATAATTAATTATTGCATAGATTTGTATTCAGCAGTTTTTGTGCACACATTGTTTACTCAAAACTAAATAAAATCAACCTTAACATAGCTATAAATAGCTTAAATAAATACATATTGAAAAATTCAGAAAACTGTTGGATTGGTTATGGAAATATCTTTATAACAAAAAGATTCAATAGTGAGTTAAATTAAGAGCAATTCTTGTAGAATTACTCCTGTAAACGTATTATTTTTTATGATTTTTTTTTCCTACTTTCATTATTCATTTAAGAACATATTTGTTAAAGAAAAACATAGATTTTACAGAAATGACTAATGAATTAAATTTAGGAAAAACTCAATCTGATGATTAAGGAATTAGAAAATGTATTTTTGATTTGCAAATATGATATTTAAAATTAAACTTTCTATTTTTCAACCATTTTAATTGTAAAATTGTTAAAATTAGAAGAAAACAATCAATAAAATTCAGATTAAATATAATAACAATCACAAAATTAGAGCGAGAAAAGAACATTTTAATTTTTATTCAGAGTAAAATATTTTCTTTACTATTAAATATTTGACCTATTATTATTATTATAGAAATTTAAGAGTGTTAATGCTATCAACTAATCTTAAGAAATGAACGGAAATATTGACAGTGTATTTTACTATTATTTAAAAAGCTAAAAAAACAAACTACAAATAAATACTTATAGGTTGCATATAGTGAGGAGAATACTCAGCTGAAAAAAACAGGCACAGCAGATACTCCAAATAATCAGCAAAATAACGCTAGCTCATAGCAGCTTGTTTAGCAAAAAAGAAGACCAGGGATAGCATTTTTTAACAAATTTAAGGTATATTTGTAATTAATTTTAATATGTTTTATAAGCCTTAAATTTTATAACTAAAAAATATTATTTAATAAAAGTCAGCCTATTATGGCACTAATGAAAATCAATAAAACAGCTTTGATTTATCAAATGAATAAAAAATATACACTTCTTTTTAGAATCCAAGAGAGAATAATATGTCTGATTAAAAGAATAATAAAAGTAGAGGACTTTTTAATTTTTTAAAGGCAGTAGCACTTTTAAGAACTAAAAAGGTAGTGCCTTATAAAAAGAAGACTAAAGAAGAAATCTAAAAACTGTTTAGAAAAGCATATATGATTGTGCTAGCTGTGATAAGGCTGAATAAAATTTGCGAAGACATAAGAAACTTTGGGACTTCACCAAATTTATTTGATGTCGCAATCAGGAATAGAATAGCCGTTAAAAAAGTTCTATTTCCCTTATCGTTTAAAGAAGAAGGACCTAAGGAAAATGAATAAAATAAGATAGATTTTCCATTAATTAAGCCAAACAGTAAAATCCATTCAATTTGGAGTCCAATACTCGTAATTAATTATACAAATTTATTAAGTGATTGAAAGAAACTTACTTATTTTGAAATAAGCAATTAAATGAAAATTTTTTTGATATTTGAACATTTTTATTTGAATTTTATTTTAAATATTTTAATAGCTATGTTTAGTGTTCTATTCAGCAACAGTATTGCCATATAGAATAGCTTTTTAGGATGATGTTTCTAATGGGTGGGATATATTTGATTATGTGATTGATGGCTTGTTTTGGATTGATTTAGTTATTAATATGTTTAGCACTTATTATGATGATGATAATCAGCTTGTTAAATCTAGAAAAGTAGTTATACTTAATTATTTAAAATCTTGGTTTATTGTGGATTTAATTTGTTGTATTCCAATTGATCTGATTGCAGAATAATTCACTTCTACTTCATAAGACAATTACAATACTGATTAGACAAATAGCAGTGTCCAATCGTCTTCATCTTCTAGTTCGTCCTCTAGCAGCCAATAACTTAAATTTTTAAAACTAGCAAAAATATCTCGCTTGTACAGAATTCTAAAAATTACAAAACTAATTAAAATGGTTAAATATTTTGGGAATAATAATAAACTTCTTGATTTTATCTAGGTAAATAGTGGCATTCTTAGATTAGTCAATTTATTTTTCTTCGTATTTGTAGCTGTTCATTTTATAGGCTGCATGTGGTATTACGAAGCTAAGCTATATGATTTTAATGAAGAAACTTGGGTTTATAGGAAGAATCTATTAGATTCTGACAATTCTACTCAGTATTTATATAGTATTTATTTTGTTTTCTAGACAATAACAACAGTAGGTTTCGGTGATATAAATGCCTATACGAATGGTAAATTTTTATTAATTTAACTTGATAAAAAAAAATAATTTAAAATGAATATTTTTATTAAACAAACATAGCTGAAATCATAATGACTATTTGTCTTATGATATTTGGAGTTGGTTTTTATTCTTCCACAATTGGTATTTTAAGCTCAGTAATTTAATACATGGATTCCAAATAGATTTTATTTTCTAGAAAATCTGATATTATGAATGAGTACTGTAATGAAATGAAAATTCCTAACAGTGTAAAAAAACAGCTAAAAGAGGCTTTGCAATACACATTAGACAGAAACAGTTTTTTTTGGGCTAATTAAAATAAAATATTTGATTAATTGCCAATGAATTTGAAGTATGAAATTTGTATGAATATTTACAAAGGAGTAATGAAAACCTTTTCATTTTTCAACTTAACTGAAGACTAATCTTTTATTGTTAGGCTTGTACCTCAGCTAAGGCCTCTCAAATTAAATCCAGGAGATACAATTTGGAACTAAAAAGATGTATCAGATTCAAGTAAGTAGATATTATTTTATTTTGGCTAATTCTTTTTTTTTTTTGAAGTTTATCTCCTCAGCAATGGCAGAGTGAATTACATGAAGTAAGTTGTAGAAGATATTAGAACAAAAGAGAGAAAGGTAATAAATATCATTTTATTAAAATTATTTTTTCACAATCATCAAATATCTATCTATTTATTTATTTATTTATTTATTTATTCATCCATCAATCAATTATTTTAAAATAGTTTTATGTGTTTTAATTTAAAAAAAAAATATATTAAATAAAATTAGTCAATAACTTTTAAAACAATGATTAACGGTTCGTATTTTGGAGAAATTGATATAATTATGGACAGAAAAAGAAAGTATAGATGTTAAGCTGAGACTGCTTGTGAACTTTACTACATGACTAGATAGGAATATGAAGTTATAATCAAAAAAGAATTCCCTCATATACACCAAAAATTAAAAAAAATAGCATTTGATAGGGAAAAGAAAAACGAAGAAGCTCTAAAAGCTGTAAAATTAATAAATTATTTTAACAACAATTTTTCAAACTGGTTATTTCAAATTATTTAACTATTTTTTTAATTAAATTTATTATTAACAAAGCTAAAAAAGCTACTGAGATAGGCCAAAGAGGCCACTACTGATTTTTAAGTAAATATAAAATCTGCTAATGAATCTCCATTAAAGGAAGATGAGAGAAAGTCGAAAGGGAGAAATAGTTTAAAAAAGCTAACTTTTAAAGCAGAAAAAGTCTAAACTGACAATTAAATGCAAGAGAATTAATCAAAAGATCCAAATTAAGAATAAGAATTTACACCAATATAAAAATTTCAGAGAGCTGTTTAATAAGTTATTCGAAATAATTCTTTTTAAAACAGTAACTCAGCATTTTATTTTTCAGAAAACCAAGTTGAATGTAAATTATTAAATGATCTTTTTTTAATATAAAATAATTTTTATAAAGCAAATAAAAGCAAATAAAAAGACAGAGATATAATCGAGTTTTAAAAAAGATCTTATTCAAATACACCAAATAATAATACTTCAAAAACTTAGGAATGTTTGATAAGCAAATAAAATAAATTAGAAGATAATGAAAATGATACAAATTTTAATAAGAAAAAAAATTAGAAGTCACAGTCTTCTAAGTCTTCAAAATCAATTACAAATGTTAAATCCTTAACTTCTTTGAAAAGTAACTTAAATGTCTTACATGAAGATTAATTAGAAGAAGAAAATGAAAATAATCAAAATTAAATAATCTCAAAAAATAATAGAAGTGATTCAAGTCACCATTTAAGTTAAGTATCAGCAAAATTAAATTAGTAGTCAGACGACTAAGGGAGTGAAGAATCTGCTTCAAAAAATGAAGAATCAGAGCAAACAAGCAATCAAAGTTTGACTGAAGGAAATTATTCTGACAGTGATGAAAGTGATTAAGTTTTAAATGAAGATGAAGACGAAGAATATGACGATGATGATGATGATGATGATTATGAAGAGGAAGAAATTAATGATGAAGAAGATGAAGACGATGATGATGATGCTTATGATGAAGATTATAGTAGTGATATTTCAGATGACTCTGATAGTTTAGAAGAAAGTGAGTAAGAGGAAAGTGATGAAAGTAATAGTAATAGCTCATCAAGTAACACAAGTAAAGAATCTAGTTAAGATAAATAAAATGAAAAAAATGATAAAGAAGGAATAAAAAATGTAAATAATTAAGATAACCAAGAAGTTGATTACGTGATAAGTAATAGTCAACTAAGACCTTAAAGGAAATCTATTTTAATAAATGGTTCTAAAAATGAAAATGAAAAATCAAACAAAAAGAAAGACTTATCAATTAACATAATCGATAATTAGCAAATATAATCAAATGCTGATTTATAAAGGATACATACCCTTAAAAGCTTGGAAAACTAAAGTTTAAAAAGCTTTACTTAGTTCTCGAATTAAAATATGCTAAATGATAACAAATCTTCTTAGTAGCTTTAGGATAAAAAAAATATCAAAGAAACAACAAAAAAAGGAAAGGATAATTAAAATAAAATCAAATTGAGTAAAAAATCTTCAAAGACTTACTCAGAAAAATCCTAAAAAGTCTAATAAAACTAAGAATCAGAGTACATATTTTTAAAAGAAGAGTTCAGGAAAAATAATAAAAAAATGGAGGTAACAAATTTTTATTAATTTATTTTATTAATTATTTTGAATATTGGTTTTTATGAAATTTATTTAGATTTTAGAAGAGAAATTCAAAAATTTGGATACAATTCTTCAAGATTCTTTAAACTTGGCAGAAATATTGTAAAAAAATAAATGAAAGTAAATAAATAAATAAATAAATAAAAATGTATTTAATTATTTCAAAATCTAAAATCTAGATAGAGAGAGTGAGTATGTGGAAATTAAATATCTTTAAAAATTCTTATCCTTTCAAAATCAATAACATTTGATAAAAATTTATATTTAACATAAATAAACTCTTTTGTTAAATAATCACAAATTTATTTACTCAAAAAAATTTTTCATTCATTATTCTAATATAAAATTTTATTTATTATCATAATTTAGGAGTATAAGCTTTTTAACATTTTAAAATGCAAGAATAATTCTAAAAAAATTTCTTTTTTTTCATTTAAGTTTAAGCTTTAAAGAAGAAATTGTTTAAAAAATATTTAATTTGTAAGTTAAAAAATAAATAAATAAAAGTTTTATCATAAATTAATAGCACAAAATTAATATTTTTAAATTATTTAAAAAACGGTCTATAAATTGAATCCTATTGTGAAATTATCTTATGTATTATATCAAATATTTTGAACTGCTTTGTAGAAATAAAAAGAGTTCGAAAAATAAATTATATTTTTTAATGGAAATATCCAGAAACTTTAAGCTAAAATGTCTTTAAAGTTAACCTTTTAAAAGTAATTACTCTTATTTAGTATTAATAAAAAATTTATTTAAATTATTGCGTACAAGTATCTATTATAATGATATGCTTAAATTATTCGTTGATTTTTTATTTTTCTGTAATTTTTTTATTTTTTTTGGATGTTCTTGCATGATTTTTATTTAATGTTGATTGGTAGAATACAATTAAGAAATTTCGTAAAAATATTTAATTTATATAAAGATATTTTAAAAATAAATTTACTCAATTTATTAAAACGAATAATATTGATAAAGCGTAATAAAATATGACTGAAATATAAACATCAAATAGCTTAGTTTATAAATTAAGAGATTATGTTGCAGGTTCTGTTGGAGGTAAAGCAAATTGTTAGAGCTCAAGGACATTTCTATAGGATATATGTTTTAAATTATATTAAAAAAACAGGAATTACATAGGTTTTGATAGGTTAGCCATTTGACACTATTAAAGTTAGATTACAATCATCAGTCACTAAAATCTCTATAGGTGAATGTCTTAAAGATCTAATTCACAATGAGGGAGTATTTGCATTTTACAAAGGTAAATTAAATTCACTATAATTTTACTATAAAATAGGCTTAATACTTAAAATTTTAAGATTTTATTTTACTTAAATTTAAATAGGAGTAGCATCTCCATTAATATGCATGAGCGGAATAGTTTCAATTTAGTTTGGAATGTTTCAAAACTCAATGAGAATCCTTAAGGTATTGACTAAAATCAAGCTCATTTAGTTGATTTTTAGATCTACTAATTAAAATTATATAAAATATTTTATTTTATTAGGAACATTATAAAGTAAAAGAATTGTCTGTTCCTTAGTTGACAATATGTGGTATTTTATGCGGTATAGGTTGTAGTATCATAGTAGGCCCTATGGAGCATATAAGAATTAAAATGCAAGTAACTTTAAATCAAATATCTTTTAAATAATTATTATTTAAGAATTCTAGAATAAATTTTTTTGTTTTTTAAATTAGCTAATGAAAAACAAGATGTATAAAAACACTATTGATTGTGCTATTTAGGTTTATAAATAATATGGAGTTAAGGGACTTTATAAGGGCCAGATTAGTACTATACTTAGAGAAATACCTGGTGAAGGTATATAACTTTGAAAATTTTAAATTAAAAAAGAATAATGCAATGCATCAAATAGTTATTTATGTGTGTAGTATTTTTGTGAATGATGATCATGATGAAAATAATACTCATCCTTATGAGAAGTATGAGCTAATTAAGATTTATTATTAAGTAGAAGTAATATTCGTCATTAAAATAAGCAGTAGCACCAAATAATTTGCATTATTTATTACGTCAAATATTCAAAATTTATTTAATTCAAATAAATTAAATAAATAATAAAGTGGCATATTTCGTTTATTATGAGTTGCAAATGAGGTATCTTAGAAAGAAATATCAAGACAACCCAACTATCCTTAAGTACTGTCCTCTCTTTGCAGGTGGTCTTGCTGGTTTAGTTTTCTGGGCAGTAATTTATCCAATCGATACATTAAAATCAAGAATATAAGGCGATAGTTTTACAGAACCAAAATACAGAGGATTATTAGATGCTTATCAAAAAACTGTTAAAAACGAAGGATTCAATTCTTTATTTAAAGGTTTCACAGTCTGTGCAATCAGATCTATTCCTGTAAATGCCTTCGGTTTCCTTGCATTTGAAGAAACAAAAAAACTTATCGAAAGGAAATATTCAAACTCTCACCATTGAATTCAATTCAATTAAATTGAGTTGAATTGAATTGAATTTGTGGTTGAATTTTTGATTGATTAATTGAGAAAAAGTATAAAGAAAATAAATTAACAATTGTTATTATTTTTTATCTAAATGCTAATAAAAGAATTTAGAAATTTTTTTTGTAATTTTTGTTTATTTTTTATGATTAAGTTAGTACTAAATATTTTTTCATTGCAGACAATTTATCTTTTGCAATAAATTTGGTTATTTTTGTTTATATTTTTCAGAAAAAATCCCCACTAATTTAATTAAAAAAGTTTTGAAAATCTTCCTAAATAACATAACATATATATTACACACACAAGAATTATCAAATTTTATTTAAATTTTTTGCAAATTTTTTACATAGAATTTATTCTTTTTTCTTTTTCAGAAACAAAGAATATAAAAAATTAATTGACAATTGTGAATTTCAAAATTTTTCTTCGAATTATTCTTTTACAATTTTTATAAGGGGATTTATAAAAAATAGTAACAAACGTATTATAAAAATTTTAGGATGTGCGTCAACGAGATGAAGTAATATCAAGCACAAGGAAAATTTGTAAAAATAGAGGCTTTCTTAATAAGAATAAATTAAGTCAAACTAGGTAAGCTATACGAATATCTTTTTTGGTCCCCTCTGTTTACACATAAATTAATAGTATCAGGATATAGTATTTCTATTAAAGTATTTAGAAGATAAAAGTGATGGTAAATTTATTTATTTAAACAAAAAGTGAAAATTAAGTGGAAAGAGCGAAAACAACTATCACTAAATTGATTGAATATTATTTTTTTAAATAAAATACTTGAATTATTATATGTCTTTATTGATAGAATTAACAATTATTTTCATATCAAAAATCAACTCCTTATTATAAAATATAAGCCATTATGTTTAATTCTACTTTGTTTCTTCTAGCATAAACTTTTTAAATTTTAAGACGGATATAGCGTCATAAAAAAGAAATTTATGGACGATTTTTGCGATTATGACGCTTTATAAATTGTAATTAGATTTTGTAAAGAAATTTAAAGGTGGGAATTCTTTAGAGTCTCGATGTAGTAGAAAAATAAATAAATAGCTGACTAATTCACAATCGAAATAGCAATAAAATAATAAATGGTAATATAAACTCTGCTTATTATTAAAAGTAATACTTGCGCAACCATGAAATTTATATCAATAAAACCTATTTAATCATATATTTAAGTAATTATGGCTTAAAAATCTCAATAATGCCAAATAAAAAAGGCGAAAATATAACATATAGAGCTATACTGGCTTTTCTTTTATATATATTTATCTTTTATTTGTATGAATTTAATTATTACTTCACATCATCCACCAACTAGGCAATAGAATAAATGTTCGCTTAATCAACAAGATCGATTGTGAAAATCATTAAATGGAAAGTAAAAATACTTGCCAAATTTATTTTAATAATATTTTTGAAAACTTTTTGATAAATATTGAGCAGGTGTGGAGGATAAAATAAAATTATAAGTTTGACGAATGTAAAAATAAATAAATATTAACTTTTCTTTGCAGTTGGTTGGTATATCCAAACAATTTTTGATTACATTTTAAAATGAAAACAGAATTAGATTCTTTAAAAGCTCAAAAATCTCCACTTAGTTATAATTAAAAACAATCATAAACATAACAAATATCTGCTAATAAAAAAAAGGAATTAAAAGCAAAAGCGCTTCACTTTAAATAGGTAAACTACTTCTCACAAAACACTACTCTTACTCAAAATCATTTAAATTCATGAGCTACTCTGCTAAAACTTAAAAATCCTACATTTCCCAAGACTCTTTGGTTTTCAAATACAGAGATTACATCGCTGGATGTTTGGGAGGTAATTTTTCATTTTTATTAATATTTATCATAAAAAATTCACTCAAAAAGACACAGTCTAAGTCTATCTATCTAATATAAAATAGGTATCGCATAAGCCTTAATTGGTTAGCCCTTTGATACAATTAAAGTTAGATTACAATCTTCCACAGGCTAGATTTCAACTGGCTAATGCATCAAAAATCTTATCAAGAATGAAGGACCCCTTGCTTTTTACAAAGGTAATTAATTATTTTTTATATTAAATTCAACATTGACAAGATTCAAATAAATTAGCTAGTAATAAATAAATAAATTAATTAATTAGCAAGATAGATAGATTGATTGAAATAGAGATAAATTGATATTAAGGATTCGAAATTTTAACCTATTTCAAAAATACCAAAAAATATAAAAAAACGGATTAATTAAAGCTGAATCATTTATTTTAATAGATTAATTGATTGATTGATTTGAAAATAAAATTTTTTTGATAAGGATTAATAACTAGTTAAAATATTAGCCTGAATTTAAAAAAGTCTATCTATCTTTCTATTTCATTTTGTTGTGAATCTTTAATCGGTGTTGTTTTAAAAGCAAAAATAAATTGACGATCAAATTGTTTTTATGAATCATATTTACTTTATCATTATCAAATAGGTATTGGATCACCTTTAATTTGCATGAGTGGTGTAGTTTCTATTTAATTCGGTGTTTTCCAAAGAGTTGTTAACGCTTTCAAAGAAGCTTAAAAAACTAAATTCCTTTCTACATTCTAAATGGGTGTTTGTGGATCAATTGCTGGTTTATTCGCTTGTTCTGTTCTTTCTCCTATGGAACACATCAGAATCAGACTTTAAGTTATGCAAAACTCTATCTACAATGGAGCTATAGATTGTGCTAAGAAGATATACCTTGAACATGGTTTAAGAGGAATCTATAAGGGTTTAACAATTACCTGTTTAAGAGAAGTTCCTGCCTTATTTGCTTACTTTGGATCTTACCACGGTGTCTTGAGAGCTATCTAAGGAGCTTACAATAATAATCAATAAGAATTAGCTGTCAAGTGTGCCCCTCTTGTCGCTGGTGCTGTTGCTGGTATTGCATACTGCACCTTTACCTATCCTATCGATACTATTAAATCAAGAATCTAAACTGACAACTTTGTCAATCCTAAATACAACGGCATTGTTGATGGCTTTAAAAAGACTATCAAGGCTCAAGGATTTGGTTCTTTATATAAAGGTTATGGTATCACTTTTGTTAGAGGTATTCCCGTCAATGCAGCAAGTTTCTTAATTTTTGAAAATGTTAAGGCCTTGATCGAAGAAAATGCCATGTATTGAATAAAAAGTGAATAAACCTATTTAATTAGAGCATTTAAATGAATAAACTAAAACAAGCAAACTCTATCTATATAAATTAATAAACAAAAAAATCAAAAAATAAATAAATAAATATCTTTCTACAAATCTAATAACTCAAATTTCTGTCTAGCAATTCAGACAGAATATTAATAAATAAATTAGCTTATTTTAAAAATCCAAATATAAAACTTCGTTAAAAAAGTAAGTAGAGTTAACAAATATATAGCAAAAAACACTTAATTATTGTATAATATTATATAAATATATATCCATAATTTATCTTTTATTTTATATTTTCTGTCTATTCTTCTTTATTAATTAGAATGAATAGACAGACCATAATCTTAAAAATAAAATTTATCTTTTTATTTTCTAAAATCATGATTACATTTCATTTCATGTTAAGAGATTGTAACTTTGCAATATCCGAAATTGGTTTTTTTTATGTGGTTTCTGTATGAGGTGTTTTATATAAATATTATTAATCTTTGAAAGTCAGTCAAATAATATTGTTTATAAAAAAGAAACATCAGAAAATACAAAAATAAGCAATTATGCTTGAGATAAGTAAAAATCCATAATAAATATACTAGTACTTACGAATCTTTTCAATTTATTTATTTAAATTTCAATCAATAAATCAAATAATTCCTAATCATTTTCTTTACAAGGTAATTAATTAGAATTTTTTATTCCTTCACTATTACTAAGCATAAGAGATACTAGAACTTATCTAAGCTTAAATAATATAAAATCCATAAACATTATTGTATTATTAAGAGAGGCAGATATTGGATCAATTCAAGTATATTTCTATCAAAAAAATTATAAATTGATAAAATTAATTTTGATATTAAATAGTTAAAAGAATAAAAATAATTTTGTGCTTTAAATACTATTCAAAATATAAACATGAAATGAATTGAAAAGAAAAACTTAATTCTTATTAAATATCATTAATATTATAAATTTTTGTTGTTAAATCTTGGCAGAAATTTCAAAAAAAAGACAAATAAAAATTTGATTTAATCAAAAAATTAATACAATTCAAAATATGAATAATACTATTTAACAAAATATATAAGTAAGTAAGTAAGTAAGTAAGCAAACTATAAATTTAAAAGATTAATTTAAAAACAGATATTCCGATTATTTAAAAGAAAAATTATAATTTGAAATATCTTATTATTATTTATTTTATGGACTCACTTATACATTTAATTAAATTAAATATGAGTTTCATTTAATTAAATATAATTTAAGAAAAATAATAATGATTCTTTCATCTTAAAATACTAAAATAATAAATAGAATTGAAATTATTCTTTCTTTTAATATCTCATTATGAATGATATTATAATATAAATCACAATAAAAACAAAAATGTTATGTAATTAAAGTATTTATTTTATAAATTTGAAGTTGGAATTTCTTAATTTTATTTGATTGATTTTAATTTAAAATAAAATTAGAAAATATGAATTAAATATTGATATCAAATTGTTTAAAAATATCAAAATTATTTTCATCTTAAATTTTAAACATATTTTTAACAAATTATTATTTTTTATTTTACTTAATTAAAATGTTTAAATTTAGCTTTGTTTCAAAATACTTTTTAAATTGTTTCTGTTAGCACAATAAATAATATTGAATTGGCTTGATTTTTATTAATAAGTTAAATTTAATGAAATACAAGCAAATAAAATTTGAAATATAAATGTATCAACAGCTAATAAAGTCCCTAGCAATAAATACCATTATTAAAATGAGAGCACCATAAATTTATTTGGTCGATTAATATATTATAGTATAAAGAAAAAAAATAATATAAGGCCAGCAAAATAAAAATCAATTTGAAGACATTTTAAAACTGAAATAAAAAAGAAATAAAAAATAAAAGAAATATAAATAGATTTTTAACAATATAACAAAGTCTTTCACTGTTTCAATAATTAATAAATAGGTTTGTTTTAGTAGGAATAATAATAAGAAAGAGATGTACAGTAACAGGGTTTAACAAGTATCTCCACCTAAATTACAAAATACTTAAGGATCTGAATAGTCCTTTTATATGAATAATAGAGTTTTCTTTTGCTAGAAGCACAATGAATAAATTACCAATTTTTCAGTTTAGGAACTCAAACCATTATGTCCTGAATGTGTTTCAGAGATATTCGCTAATGGTATTGACGATCACAGTGTAGATTCACTTAAGAATGTCAAAATTAACTGCTCCAAAAAGATTAAAACTGGTGTCTATGAATTAAATAGACAACTTGAAAGCAGTGAAATTAAGTATCTTCTTAATCCTTAAGGTATTATTGACGAAGGAGTGTAAGAAATTCAGAAATGCAAAAAATAGATTATGAGGATTGTAGATTTCCACTTTGAGTAGCTCTTTATTCAATTCAAATCATAAGTTTAAGATAATGTTTTAAAGGCAAGTGATTTAACTTACATATTTGAGAATATCAAGCAATCCATTGTTGAATTGGATTAATTATCAAATAACTTAGAATAAGGAAACACAATTCAAGCCATTGTAAAAGTGTGTCAACTTGATCTCAAGTCACTTATTGATAAATTCAAGTCTGACATACACAAAATTGTAGATTCAAGAGACCTTGATCCAATTAAGATAATCCAAAACAATAATGCTGTAAATGATATAAAGCGCATTCTGCCTTAAGTTGCTGTTATTAACAAAATTCATTCTCATTATCATAATCACTCTCCTCCAAGACAGCAATCGCCTCCAGGAGCTAAAAGCAGCTAGAATCGCTTTTTTAATACTTAAACTCAATTCACTTAGCCTCCTATTCAATAATTTGATAACGGCTTCGTTCCAGCCAATCCTAATTTTGTTAATAGTAACTTCACCTCAGCAGAAAATTTATTAAAACAGCAGCAACTTCTTTCTTAACAAATTCAATAGTAATAACCTTACCAATAATAAGAAAAAAGGCCATTGAGTAATACATAAGTTTAAAATTAAGCAAAATAAGATGCACGTCCTCCTTCAATGAATAACTTTGCAAGCAACCCTAACCGTCCACCCTATGCATTAGTTAATCCAAATCTACCTTCCCTATGTACAAATTTCATTTATTCATTTATAATAAATTTGCAAATTAAAAACAAAACAAAACAAAACACAAGCTCAAGCTTAATAGCATTAATTTGATAAAAACTTGATTCATCAAGAGATAAATTTTATTTCAGTAGAAATAAATTTATAAAACAATAAATAAATAAATAATTTATGGACAAATCTATTATTTTATTGTTTAATTTTTTTAATAATTATTAAATAGAAATAAGAAATAAAGACTATTTTAACCAGAACACAAGAAATAAACTTCTCGTTTCAATCTAAAACTAAGTCTTATAAGGAGTAGATTTGAATTTATCATCAACAGGAAATTTGGCTGGAAGTTTTGAAATACCTTTGCAAGAAGAAGTCACAGATCAAAATGCTGTTTTAGTTGCTTAAAATGGAGATATTTATGTGATTGGAGGTGTTTATAGAAAAAAGAATTAGATTAGTAATGAGGTAAAAAGAATTGTGGTTTCTCCTGATAGGAAAAGCTGCCAAATTGAGACAGTCGCATATTTGTATGAACCAAGATATGCCCACTCTGCTATTTAACTGCAAGACAGAATATATGTAATAGGAGGTTTTTCAAGTAAAAGGCTTGCTAAAAATGAAGTTGAAACCATCTACATTAAAGATAATTAATTTGGAGTTGACATTTCACAAGAATGTCTCCATCATAGTGCTTATCCTTCTCTTTCAGTTTTATAAGACTAATATATTGTCAAAGTTGGTGGTATAAATGAACAAAACTAACTTGTTGCAACAATAGAAAGATACGATTCTATTCGTGGTGAGTGGGAAAATATAGATCCTATTTTCGAAAACAACATAGAATCATTTAGCATATTCTTCGGTTCAGAAAGTATTGCAATTAATAATAACGAAATCATGATATTTGGAGGTAGTGATGAGCAAAACTAATACTCTAAGTTAAGCTATATTTTGAGTTTCAAAAATAGAGAAATCTAAATTACAGATATTATGAAATATCCTTTCCCTTTGAATGTAGATTTGATCAATGTCTAGCCCATCATCCAAGATAATCTTGTCTATCTTAAAAATCCAATTTCTAAAAAAACAGTACTCTGCTTTAATGGTCAAAGCTGGTAAGAAGTAGCTTGAAATTAATTACATTAATATCTAAGATTGTCTGTATATATGTAGATTTTTTAGTAACTATATGTATTCAATATTTCTATCAATAATAATACTATTGATTGTTATACTTTATAGTTGTTGTAGTAGTCGTTTGTTTATAAATTTAGTTCATATTTTTGAAATCTATTTACTAACTAATTCATATTCTTTGTTTGATTTTTTGATTTTTCTTGCTTATTTGCTAAAATTTTTATCAAAACTAAAACAACAAAAAATTTATTTACTTATTAACTATTTATTTTTAATGAATTATAAAAATTTATTATCAATAAAAATTTGATAAATATTGTGAAATAGCAGTCATGTTTGTTTTATTTATTAGAGAAAATTATTTATTTTTGTGAAAACATTTAATTTTTGTTTTTATTAGAATTTATTTTTTTTTAAATGAATATTTAAAATAATTTAAATCTTACTGATTAAATTTCAGATTATTAATTAGAAATTTTGTAATTAATATTTAAGAAAATCAACGTTTTTAATTCATTCAATATTTAATTATTTTTTTTTGATGAAATATCACGCTAGATTATTTAATAATTTTGTTATATTAAAATTTAACAAAATTTTTTATTACTGCGAATAAGTTATGAAATCATAGAATATTTTTGTTAAGAGTTCATTGACTCCAAACTATAAAAGTTCACTAAGCAGTAAAGCAAACTTATTAGCAAATAACAAAAATAGTATCCTTTAGTAGACTTCTTAAAATAATTTTGAATAAGTAGAATTAAATAGCTAGTTTAATAAGTACATCTTTTAAATAAAATTCGAATTATTTTCAAAAGTTAATATGTTCTACTTTGAATAATAAAAGGATGACTCATTAATAAAGACTATCTACACAGTTCAAGTCCAGAAAAAAAATAGATATATCTGAATGTAATTGCGGCTGTGAGACTTGCTTATAGAATATACAGCAAATGAAGGAAGCGATTTAACTTGCCAATAAGGAAGTAGAATATTTGCAATTTATGATCAACTTTAAAGAAATTGGAATGGAAAAAAGAGAAATCATGTTAAATAAATACATGGAATAAATGACTTAGTTGCATGAAGATTTAAAATACACTAAAATACATAACAACAAACTATAGAAAAAATTAGAGGTGTATGAAGGAACAAGCAAAAATAATACTTTGGCTTAGCTGATAAGCAATTAAAATGCCTTTTAAGTAGATTAAAATAAGTAAAAGATCAATACATAAGCTGCAAGAAGAGCTTCTTCATCAAGTAATATGAACAAGAATAACATTTTTAACTAAAATAATCAGCTAAAAGATAGACTGTAAATCAGAAAGTCAATTTTATAGCAACGACATTCAAGTAAGTTTGGTCCGAACACCTCTTCATTAATTAACTCTAAAGATCTAAGAATGTATAATTTGTAAGATTTGGACGAGGACAGCGAATTATCATATGATGAAGTTATATAAAATATTGATGAAAGATAAATGTCACCCTAAGCTTCACCTAAATCTAATAATTCAAAAAATCAATCTACAAAAATCTTACAAGCTGCTTAAACAACCAACAGAAGTGATAAAGGAAGGGCTAGCTCTTTCAGTCATAGTAAAATTTTGCTTTCAAAATTACTTTAAAAATTAAAATATAAAAATTACATTTTTAACTCATTAAAAACAAACCTATTATAAATTCTATTTAGATATTTTAAAATGAGAAAAAATAATATTCATGCTTTTAATTAATTACATTTTTTAAATTTAATTATTTTTTACAGTAAAATTGTGATTTAAAATATTTAAAAGCTTCAGATTTCTTTTTAAGTTTTGAAATAAAAGTTATTTAAAAGCTTCAGATTTATTTTTAAGTTTTGAAATAAAATTTTCATTTTTTATTGCAGAAAATCCAAATAATGAAAAACTTTTTTTCTTATATAAATGTAGGTATAAGTGTGCAAATAGTAACAAATACTCAAGGGAGATAAGATGATGAAGTATTATTTAGAAATGATTAAGACTCAAATTCTTTGATGGAAAGAGGAGAAGAAGATCTTCTAAGCAATAAAAAACTAATATTTTTAGAAAGATTTTTTGAAAATTAGCAAGTTTTTTACAATTAGATACTAAATTTGAAAGAAACTCAACAGAAACAACTAGTTAAAGTGGTTAATTTTGCTTTAAACGATTTAAAGCGTTTTTTCAATCTTTCTCTAAGATATAAAGAACTTTTAAACGTAACTAGTGAAATAGCTAAGTACACAAGTTTTGATCATGCTTTTGATATGATTTTAAAAAAAATAATTTAACACTTAAAATGTGATACTGCATCCATATTTTTAGTCGATTATTAGAGCTAAGAGCTATGGACTGTAGCAAATAAAACAGGAAAAACTATAAGATTTCCTCTAAATGATCGTTCGATTGCAGGATACTGTGTAAAATTAAATTAAACGTTTTAAATTTTTTAATTTTGCTTATTAATTTTGCATTTGAAAAGATTAAACATGAAATAGCTATGAATGTCTTTGATGCTTATGAAGACCCCCGATTTAATAAATAAGTGGATTTTGATACAGGTTATAGAACAAAAACAATACTATGTGTTCCGATTAAAGACCAAAAGAATTAAGTAGTTGGATGTTTGGAAGCAATAAATAAGGTAAATGATTTTTTCAATAAATAAGACTAGGAAATGCTAGAAATTATGGGAAGTTTTTGCTCTTCAATTTTATAAAATTCTCTTAAATTTGATAAGCTGTTGATTTAGAGAGATTATTACAAGAAATTGATATAGGTATTATTTTCAATTCTTCATTCTTTTTTTAATATAAAAAACAAACTATTTAATTCAACATATTCATTCACTTTTAAGAACTAAAATATATTTTTTTGTTTTCATAAAAAGCTCAAAATTTATTTTTAAAAAAGAATAAAAATCATTTTCAAAAATCAGCTATTTTTATCTGTTAAAAAAAACATAAAAAGTTCCTCAATATAAAAATATTTTGCTATTTTTAGATAGAGAAATGAAAAATAATTTTAAGTTTTCAATTAAAATCATAATTCTTAAAACCAATTAAAATTAATTTATATAATTCATATAACCAATATGTAAAAAAAGATTATATTAATTTTATAACTAATTAACAAAAAATTATGAAAAGTTTAAAGAAATTTAAAGAAAAAATACAAAAAAATTAAGGCATTTAAAATTACTATGAGTTTTATTTGAAGGAATTTTAGCTGCCTCCATTTACAGTTTTAAATATTGCAATTAATAATTCCATGTTTTTTTTATCCAAATTAGGTGAATAATTTTATTTAGGATAGTGGCAAGATAAGGAAAATGATGACTCAAGCTGAAGAAAAAATGAAAGAATTACTAGGATCTGATAGATTTTATATTTATATCATAGAGAAAGTAGATGATACAATAAATTTAAAACGGTATGTAAAAGGTTAGAGGAATCCTATAATAATTGAGAACTTAAAGTCAGGGATTCTTTATCAAGTAATTCAAACTCAAAAATTGCAAAAAGACTAACAACCATAAGAGTGTTAATACTATGATAAGTCTGTTGATATGGATACTAATTTTCCATTATTTACAGTCCCTATATTTAACTTAGAATACACTCAAATTCTTGGAATATACTAGGCCGAAAATGCAAAAGGTTTTTTGCATAAGCACTTTGGAAAAGACGAAGACTTTCAAAGTAATTAGGAATCCTTATACTTATATGGGGAGATAATTGGCAATTCTATCTAAAAATATTAATTTTTCTAGAAGAAAATAGCAAAGTATGTAAAAGGAGATTAATAGTAGCAGCAGCAATAACTTTAAAGTTAATGAGTGAAATTTTTATTGAGATTAGCAATTAATTGTCAAAATTAAGATTAGATAGATTAGGTAGAAAATTAATTTCTGAAATTAATTTTAAGGGATTGCCACAATTCTCATAAGAAAATAATTTGTGTTTTAAAAAATCGTCAGTGTTGCAAATTAAAATTTGCGCTTTATTTATGAATTAAATGACTTTTTTTTAAATATTTTGATATCCAAAACACATGTTATATAAACAAATTAATTATCAAATATTAAGGTTTTTTAGATAATTTATTGTTATAAATGAAAATTTTAAAATTAAAACAAAAAATATTTTAATTGTCAATGTTAAGGCGAATAATTTAAAGTATGAATTTATTAAATATTTTTAATATACTAGAAAAAATTTAATTTATTTAAATGAGTGTAAACTTCAATTAATTAATTAATTGATAAAATAAAATATCAATTTAAATAAAAAAATCTATAAATAATTATTATTTTTTGGGATAAATAGATTCTCTTTTATTTTAACTACCAGACTCTAATGCAAAGAATATTACTTTGGATGCATTTATTTATTTATTTATCCTTAAAATTCTATCTTTATCAGAGAAAATTGTAATTAAGCTAATTTTCTTAATTTGATTTTAATATAAATATTTAGCTGTCTGCCTGTCTGCTTGCTTATGAGGATACACAAAATTTGATCAAAAAAGACTTATTAATAATTTGCAATTAATTTTTTATTACTTTCTAATGAATTATAAAAGAAATTGAAAGATAAGCTTATCGTTTCATTGGAAAGAAATTTAGTTTAAAAGATAGTCTAAAATCAATACACTCAGATTAAAAGAAATACCAAGCTTATTCGTTTTAAGTAATCATTTTTTAAGATATTTTATAATATTGATAGACCAATTAAATTCATTTTTCCTTAATAATCTAAAAATAAATTTATTTAAACATTTTCACTCATTTTTTTTGGGTTTCTTTTGAAATATTCTTGATAGTTAGTTAATTCATTCATTCATTTTTGATTAATGAAATATTTTGGTAAAATATAGACTAAAGATAATTTAGATTTTTGAACATTAAGAGCCTTAATATTAATATGTCAGTTGAAATTTAGTTAGATTGTGAGTCAGTGTTTGGCTGCATGAAGGGGATTATAGTGACAGTTTATTCTCTTATTGTTATAGCTATAATATGTAGAATTATATATAAAATGCATTTTTACACCCATAAAAAATATAGTTTTGAATTGGTCCCCCTTTCATCGACTATCATACAATCTCTACTGCAACTCATTTTAAATGTTTTTATTATGGATACAAAACTCATCATCTCTGCTTTGTATTCACAAGCTCTCACTTTTGGAATCATTTCTACCAGCTGCTCTTAATTATGTCTGCGTATAAAATATCCTCATAAATAAAAGACTGTCAAAAGATACACTGTATTAGCGTTTGGCTTTGCATAACTTACTTGTTTAGTGATGAATATTTTAACCTTATCAGATGTTGTCCCTTTAGATTGCAATGATTGGTTTTCTTTAGCTTATTTATATCCCATGGGTGTAATGCTTGTTTATACCGTCTTTAGTATATTTTTTGGTTCCACTCTTCTTGACATTTTAAAGGTAAGAGATAATGAAGTAATGAAAGGGGGAAACAATGCAAACAAAACTAGTTAACAATCTAATCCTACTCCTGATGGTAACAACCACTTATTGCCACCAAAACTGTCAAGAGCTATTTCTTTAATGAACAATTCAGTATAATCTGATAAGGAGGGAGCATTTTTTAAGCAGTTAAAGAAATAGTTGCAACTGATTGAATTTCTCTTCATATTCACTATTGCTATCTAAATATCTATGGATGCAATTAGAACTTATGCACTTAATGATGTTATCGAGTGCTAGGGAGATGGGGAGAGAAGCAACGAATTTTAAGCCTAAACAGATTGGGGCTAAGTCTTTTTGACTTTTTACTAAATAATTTAAATCACACCCTGTTTGATAGCACCTTACGTTTTTTACTATGTTCCTTTCAAGGCTAAAAAAGCAGGTGGAAGTATTTTAATCCAAGACCAATAATTTTTGAGTTTTGCTATGCCAAATGATTAAGACGACGAAGATGAAAATATGCAAGGAAGCCTTGATTCTAAACTCATGAATTCAGAGAATTTTGATTTTTCAAGAGATGAAAACTTTAGCTAAAATTATAAAAATAAGAAAAAGTTTGCAGGAATGATTAAAAAAAAGGATTAAGCTGATTAAAAGGAATAACCGGCTTTAGGCAGTCACGATTATCTGGGAGTAAATTAATACAATAACAAAAGTCAGAAAAGCAATATCAGCAATAATAATAACACTCCATCAAATGCTAGTAAAAAAAATTAAGTTACAATCAACAAAAATGTAGACAGCATATTCTTACAAAGAAGAAATACTTTAGAAGATGTTGATGAATTTATCGATAGAATGAGTATGAAAGTCGATGATGTTTAAAAGCTCAATAATCAAAGTCATAATTAGTCCTAATCTTACTTTTTGAATAAAAGTCATGACCCTGACAGCAGTTTAAGTACAGAAAACATAGTAAAAGATTTGAGTGAAAGCATACAAAAAATAGATAAGAAAAACTATGATGTGCCAAATAATCCAAATTTTAATATAAATACAAGCGATAATACAGAAAAAAGTGATTTAAGATAAGATACAACAGTCAATGAAACCTCATAAAATTAAGTATTAGTAGACTAGTACAGAGAAACAGATAGCTCTAATCAAATGAAAAAGAATTATTCTTCATGAATTTATTGACAAAATTCTTAACTTACTTGTCAAATAAATAGATAAATAAGCATGTATTTGATATTTCAGAACTCACATTATATTTTAAAAAATTAATAAAAATAAAAAAAATAAAAAAAATAATATTTTGAAAAACCTATCTTTAATAAATTTACAAAAACAAACAGACAAACAAAATCTCCTAATGTTTATAAAAATTAAAACTTTTGATTGATGTATAAATAAAAAAATAAATATATGTTTCATTATTAATATTCTTCTTTGCTAATAATTTAGCGTCTTATGAATTAATTATCTGTTCATCAACTAGTTCATTCTTTTAATGACCTCTTATAAATTATATATTTACTCTACTGCCTCCAAAAATTAAATTCTTCCTTTTTTAAACATCAAACAATTTAAATCAATTTATGAATAAAATTTATTAATGAATAAGGTTACTGCTATTATTTTAATGAATAAAATTACATTAAAAGTAAATATTTACAAAAATAACACTTATAAATATTAATAATAATAATTTGTATGAGATAAATTTGAATTAATATTGAAATGAAATATTAAAATTTATTTTAATAGTTTTAATTTTTTTATAATTTTGCTACTTGTTTACATATATTAAAAATAAAAATTAAAGTTAATGAATGAAATATAAAATATACTCTAAAAAAATAAATAAATTAAAAATTAGATTTAAACTAAAAATAAATTACAATTTTATTCAAATTAATTCTGTTTCTAAAATAAAATTTAGAGCTTAATTTAAATAAAATAGTTGAAATAATTTTAGTAAAACATAAAGATTAAAGCTTGTTATTATAAAAATCTTAGCATTATTTTGAGATTTAAAAATAAAAATTATAATTCAAAACTTCAAACTAAATCTTTTCAATCTGAACTAACATTTTTTATTGCATGGTTCTTATGGTTGTTTTTGATATTGATTAAATATTCTTAAAAATAAAATACCTTTTTTTTAAACAATATAATATATTCTTTGAAAAATAAAATAAATGCTAAAACTTATCATAAATATTAAATCTTAGTTTATATATTTTAATTTTAATCCAGTTAATAATTATTTTTTTATTAATTTTGCTAAAGTAATATATTTAATAATTTAGGAGAATAGAAATAAAAAGAGCATATTTTTTATTTTTTTTTTAAATATTAAAATAATTTTTTGGATAGCATAATGATTAATAGAGTTTGATTTTATATATACTTGCTAGTTATTTTAACAACAAATTTTAGATATATTTTTAAAAGGATATTTGAACGTCTAATAAAATGTAACAGAGTTTTTTAGCGTATAATAATTTACATGTTTTGTTTCAATAAAAGGTAAAGAATCTTTACTAATATATTGTGAAAAATAAATTTTTAAGCTTCAATTTTTAAGATAAAATGATTTAAAAAAGTAATTTTTGTTTATACAGCTTCAGGCTTATTATTTAAATATAATTTTCAAAGAAAGCCTTTTCTATTTAAATAGATAGCCAAAAATTTTTCAAAGTAAACCAATCAAGCTTTTTCATTTTGAAAAAAAAGTTTTATTTTTCTTAAATATTGTTTTGAAAGAATCGTCTTCTAAAATATCCAAAAAAAATGTTTCTCATTTATATCGTAATTATTTATATAAATAAATGTGTTCCTTTAAAATTTAAGAAAGATAATTTTATTTAAAATAATATGCTCTCATTCATTTCACCAATTTATAAATTTATCAATTAGATAGATATTATTTCTTATTTCAAGTTAAAGACGATTTGTAAAAAATACATATTACTACTTTAACTTTTTCTTTATATAAATATTTTAAATGTAATTTTATTCAAGTCTTTGTAGAAACAGTTAGTGTAAATAATTTTAAAAATAATTACTTAAAAGTAAACAAAAACAAAATATTAGATGCATTAACATTTTTTTATGCGAAAAGAATTTAATCTATAATTTTAATCAGAAAATAATTAAGATGAATAAAGCATAAATAACTTACCACTTTTTGACGATTTTGTTTTGCGGAAGATTTTGAAAAAATTTGAAATTTTTTTTTTAGTATCCAAAAAACTAAAAATTTTTGAAAGTTGGGGAGATATTTTTTTCGTAAATACACTTTATTCTAGAACAGTTTTTTGTCTAAATTTACAGATATATTTTGAAAAATGAAAATATTTATTTGGAAGGATTCATTTAAATAACTTTTAAATGTGATTGAAAATTTGAATTTTAATAAAATTTAGTTTACTATCACATTCAAAATTCTTTATTTTTTATTTATTATTATGATAGTCAGCCAAACATCAGAAAAAACTAGATGAATTTTTTCTTTTATAGCTAATAAAAAGCTAAAAGAAATTTGACTACGGAATTTTTTTTTTTGATAATATTAAAATGAGTAGAATTGAAATGAAACAAACCATTATTAATAATTGAAATTCAAAATTAATACCAGTAAGATATAATCTCTGTTTGCATCGAATTTGAATTTTATTTATTTGCTTTCGTAGCTAAATTGAGATTTTTAATCAAAAATCAAAAAACAAACAGACAGACAGACCTTTAGACAATTAATTTGCTACCAAAATTTCAAATTTGAATGCTTTTTTATTGATCTATTTTTTTTTGGATAGATTATATTTAATTAAACTCTTTGATAAACATTTGTTTGATATTTTGTTTAATAAATAAAGAAATTCAAATAAGAAATTATCTTTATCAAATTAGGCTTTTATTAATGAGCATAAGATTGTTTATTTGTGTGTATGTATGATAATAATAATTCTTTAGTATTTTCTCCAATCAATATATCAACAAATAAAAAATTAAATTTGTTGTTTGACTGGTTTAATAATTTAAATCTATATAAAGGAATTAACTAATACAAGTAATTTTAAAACAAAAAATTTGGCAGAAAAATAAATATTTAAACTGATCATTTATTTATTAATTGATTTTTGAAATAAGAATTTCATTTAACAAATTTAATTTTTGAAATACTTTAGTATTAATTTGAATATTTTTAATTTTGTCAAAATCACAAAATACTTTTTTATCTATCAAATGTTTGAATAAGCGAATATAATTTTTATTCTCAAGGCTTAAAATTTTACTTAAATATCTACTTTAAAAAAAGCAATAACATTTATTATAATTACCATTTTTTCCCACTCGACAGTTCAAATCCTTTAAAAATTAGAGACTTTTAAAGTGGTAAAATAGTTCATGATGCTTCAGAAAACAAAATATCAAACAGAATAAAGTTTATAAACATCTTGAAGAGCTTTTTAAATTTGAAAATATGGGTTATTTTATCTTTATTACATCAATTATCGATGTTTTTTGATTCTTCCTTCGAAAGCCTGTTAAAAAATAATCATTGCTTTGAAATGTAATTCTTTGAGTTTAGCAAATTTTCAAAGCAAGCAAGCAAGAAAGCAAACAAATAAATAAATACTTATCGTCTCTGCTTAGAAAAAAATTAATAATATTTATTAACAAGTCAAAGGAGAAGTCTTAAAAATTAATTAATTTTTTTTGATGATTATATTAATTTGATTTATTGGTAGAATGAATGAGTTCTAATTTATTTAATAATTTGTATTTGCGATTGTGATACTCATAGAAATTATTTAATAAAGATTTATTCACTCATTTATTCTTTCAATCATTTATTTATTTTTTTATTATTGATAGATAAATAAATCAATCAATCAAAAATTTAATTGATTGATTGAATGAATAAATCAAAATTTGATTGATAGATAAATCAAAAATTAAATTGATTGATTGATTGATCAATGAATGATTAGATACAATAAATGATTAGATTGAATAATTAATTAAATTGAATGAGCTCTATTTTTCCCCTTATTTTTGAAAATTAAAAATTTTAGTGAGTTATGTACGCTGACGAGAGCGTTTAAATTTGAATTAAAAGAAATCAAAAAACACACCAAAGAATTTGAAAGGAAAATTAAGCAATCAAATCAAATAAAGCAAGCAAAAAAGCAATCAAAGTGAGAAGAAAATCAAAAACAAAAAAACAATTAATTGAATTAAAACTTCTTAATACTTTAAAAGAATCCAAACAAGATAAAGGAAAAAAAGACGGATTTCATTTATTTTTTATTAAAAATACATTAATAAAAAGCAAAAAGAATTCTTCTTTAAAAAGAAAACAATTTATAAATACTCAAAGACAATAGAGAAGACATTCCTTGCCATTCTAAGAGTTAAACGGAGTGGAAGACACTAGTACAAGCAAATAGGTGAACAATCCATAAACTCACTTCAAAAAAAACCTAACATAATTATTTCTCGAATCCACTGTATACAGGCATTAACATCCAATAAAATGATGAGAAGATCAAAGCGCCAAACTAAGGGCAACAATAGCAAGTCCATTGATGAGACTGATTAAGTAGAATAGCAGTAACCAGCACAAACCAAGCTAATTCAAAAAAAATCAAAGAAAGTATCATAATAAAATCACCAAGAAGAAGCATAAAATAATTTTTAAATCTCATCCACCAAGAGAGAGCTAGATAGTGTTGTAGTAAATCTTGCTGCTCAGCTAGAAAAGGCCTCCAATGCTTAAGATGCTGCTGAAAGTGGACGCCCTAAAAGAGTCAGAAAAATTACTGAAAAGGCTGAGCAGGAGCTTCTCGCTAAGTAAAGTAAGGCGAAGGCCCACCAAAAGAAGCTTATCGATGGTAAAAGCTCTCATTCTGAAAGTCATTCAGAGCCTCTCAAATCTTTATATCCAAATCATAATCAAGCTAATAATAAATCTGCTAACACTCGCTCTAGAAAGTCTGAAATTCACAACGATGAACACGACATGGACATCGAAAACATTCGTATTTGTGACCAAAGTAAATTCATTTCAAAATTATATTGCAACAACTCACTAATTGCATATTGATTTTTGCAATAGATTGAATAAAAATATATTATTTTTTAAATGTTTTATTAACAAACTCATTCAAATATTTAATATTTAATTAGAAACTGAAAATACTCTTTAATTCTGTCAATAAATGAATAAACACTCCCTTTAATAAAGTGATGACGAAGAAGGTGATATTAGCGATGCTGAAAATTCTTAGCAACAAGATTCTGAGATAGATGAGGAACACCAAGATGAAGAATTAGAATATGACGAAGAAGAGTAAGATGAAGATGAAAATGAGGATGAAGAATAAGAAAATGCTGATGATTGTGAAGACAGTGAAAGCGAGGTAAAGGATCAAGGAATTGATGAAGAAAGAAGAGAAGAAGATAATCAAGAAGATGATAATGAGGAAAAGTTGTCATTAAAAGAATCTAATTAATCCTTAGAAGAAAATATTTTAAAAGCCTCTACTAAATCAAACTAGTAATAATTGGGAGATTCAAATAATTAAAACAAACTAAATTGCAAGGAATCTAATAAAATCGTTAAAAAGAGGAGTTCTTCAGTAGATAAATCAAATAAAAATTTGAATTTTGATTCCTAGAATAATAATAATAATACAAATAATAATAAATTTGTGGACACTATTAACAACAAAGTAAAAGATGAAAGTGATACTGAAAATTAAAGTGAATTAGCAAAGAAATAATAACCTTAATAGCTTGCCTGTGAAAGTAATAATACTTCTGTCCCTCCTATTCCTCTTTTAAAGAAAAAGTAAAATAAAAAAAATAAGAAATAAGATTAAGAAGAAAATACAAACGAAGAAAAATCTTAGGACGAATAAGAAGAAAAATAATTATAAGAAAATAACGACGAAGATGTCGATGAAGAAGATGAATCTTGCTCTGGAGACGATGACGAAGACAATAAAAATGAAGAAGGTGGTAAAGGCGATGGTAGCAACTCATCTAAAGCCAAAAAGATGCCTTGGAGCGAAGAAGAAGATAAATTAGTTATCCGCTTAGTTGAATAGCATGGTCCTTAAAAGTGGACTTTTATTGCTTAACACATCCCTGGTAGAATTGGTAAGCAATGTCGTGAAAGATGGCATAATCACTTAAACCCAAAAATCAACAAAGAGCCTTGGGGAGATGATGAAGAATGGGTACTCTTTTTGTGTCACAAGCTTAAAGGAAATAAATGGGCTGAAATTACTCAATATTTGCCTGGTAGAACTGATAACGCTATCAAAAACCACTGGAATTCATCCATGAAAAAGCGTATTCCTGAACTTTACTAACGCTTCGCTTACATCAAGAGAGGAGAAAGCCCAGAATACGACATTACATCATAATATAAAAAATTCGAAGATGAAATTTTAAAATAATTGTTAGCCATGGCAGACGAAGGAGTTGATTAATATTTTGTTTAAACAACTCGCAGAAGAAGAAATAACAATGCTATTTCTTCTACCCCCACCAACAGTGGTGTTTCTGTGAAAGGAAGCAAATTAAAGAGAGGAAACGAAAGCAATGAAGAAAAGAATGACGATGAGGAATAGGAGCTAATCCAAGTTCCATTAACCAAGAAATTATCTAAAGCTGCATTGAAAGCTGCAGCCAAATAAGCTGCTTTAGCAGAAAAGTAATAGTAACAATTGAATGAAGATAATTTAAACAATCACTTTACTCCTATCAATAACAACAAATCTTCCAATAATAATTTCAAAAATATCCCCAATAGCGCTGCCGCATCTACAGCTGATGTCAAGGAAATAATTTAAAGAATCCCACACAATATCAAAGAATTTGAAAATTTCCGTAAATAAATTATCTAATACTCTGATGAATATTACTAACACCACCATTTATTGTAATAAACTCCTAATGATAAGGAATCCTCCCTCAATTTACTCTCAGCTGATAAAGGTATGAACACTGATGTCAATTTGAGTGATACTAAGCATCTTGAAAAGATACTTGAAACTCCTCTTTCTGTAGAAAATTATGTCTAATAAAACCCTATATTTGCTGATATAGTCAGAAGTGCTCTTAAGTATTCTTCATGTTAAAAAAATCTTACCTTTATGTCTCATGTCAAGAAAAGCAATAGCAATGTTTTAGAAGCATCTGTAAATAATGATCACAATTAACTTTCTGCTACTTCAACCCTTCTAAACACCGTACAATAAGATAAATCATCAGTACCTAATTTAGACTAATCACCCGATGATGATATCTTAAGTTCAACTAAAAATGGAAACGAAAAACTTAAAAAGAAGCGTGGTAGAAAACCTAAATCTGTAAAAGAGCCAGAAATCAGCAACTAAATTGTAAATTTATTTTTATTGACTTAATAACACCCTCCTTAAAATTTTAATTATATTCTTTTAATTTTTAAATATACATTTTTATTATAAGGGGTGTTTTAAATTTAAAATTCATATTATAATAAATTGTTAATAATATTTTATAGGTTCCAATCAATACCAACAATCCTTCTAAAAATGTAAATACTTAAAATCCTAATGGAATAAAAAAGATTATGCATGGTCCTCCTTATATGCACCCCATGTATATGATGAATCCTCATCATCCTCATCCTTATTATGCTAATCATCCCCACCACCCTGGTTATTATCCTCCTCCTCCACCACCTCATATGATGGCTCATATGCAAGGTTATCCTCACCCACACCATATGTAACACCCTATTCCTCCTCCACATATGCAACATCCTCATTATAGATAAATGGGTCATCATCATCCTCCCCCTCCACCTCCTCACCACTAAGGCATGAGAGGAAACACCAATGGATAAGGTCATATGATGATGCCTCCACCTCCCCCTCCTCATCATTTATAATAAATGAGAATGCGCCATCCAGGAATGGGACATCCTCACCATATGTATATGGGTAGTAATATGATGAGCTAGCACTCTGACAGCAGTGAAAACTCAAATTTCTAAACACCTTAAAAATATTAAAAAACAAACTAAGGAGATAGGTCTATCTTTAAATCAGTGACTCCTATAATCCCTCCTAACTCTGAAAAATAGATTAAGTTTGAAGAAAAGCAAAACAAATAAATCAAATTAAACAATTTCAATAACGATGACGATTACAATAACTTTATGGCTAACAACTCATTCTCTAAAGAAAATATCAATCCTAACATCTAAAGTTTAGCTTTACCCACTTCCAAGGATTCAAATCCTGTTTTGGGAGTAAGTAATGCAGGAAACAACTCAACAAATTCAAACAGTTCTGGTAATAGTCAATCTTCTTGTGGCAGCAGCAACAATAACAATAACAATAATAATAACAACACTAGTAGCAACAACAACAACAACAATAACAGTTCAAATAACAATATAATTATTTAAAGCTAGAATCATAATTTCATTACACCCAATAAATATGAAACTCCTTCCAAACTATTGGATTTCGACTCTGAGCCAAGATTAAACTGCAATTCTGTGGATAAATATTTCAATATGAGAAACTTTAGTTCAAACCATAAATTAAATAATTTGTATACAAATCACAATGTGAATAATTTCTAACATTCTTCAAATTCAGCCTTTAAGTGCTACCCTCATATAAATATGGATTATCAAGATACTCCAAGTGCTAAAAAATCGTCTTACTGTTGAGAACTTATTTAAAACTAAGCAAATTAACTATTAAAAACAATTCGGAACCACATTATTAAAATATAAATAAATATATGACATTAATAAAATAAATAAAAAACATATATAACACAACTAATCTTTCCTATTCTTTTTCTCTTACTCACTCTTCTTAAAATATACAAAATATAATAACTAAACAGTAATTAATTAATTAATGCAAAAATAATAATACAAAAATATAATAATATATTAAATATCAGAAATAGATAGTCACTAACTATTACAAATACACTAAAGTAAAATTCTTGTTTTATTTTCTATTGAAAAATGTGTCCATCAATCTATTCATTCATTCATTTTTTCGTCAAAAATAACTTATTAATTAATATTACAATTAATACTGTGTTGAATATGACTATTTTCACATAGTAACCAACCGCATACATACCTCACTCACTCTGATACCAATTGATTGGTTGATTTAGAAATTAATAATTATTGCTTTAGTTTTTTCGAAATAGCTTAAAATTAATTTAATAAAGAAAACAACAAATGCATAAATAAATAAATTAATGTTAGAAAAAACATTAAAAAAATAAATATTTTATAATTTAATATAATAAATAAATAGTACATTTAAAAATGAAAATTTGTTCATCTTATTTTAGTAATTTTATTAATATTTTTTATAATGATTTGTTTATATTGTTTAACTTATAAATAATTATTAGCATACTTAATTTAATACTAATCAATCAATTAGAATATATTCATCTATCTATATATCTATTCATGTATAATTTTCTTTCTAATTAGTCTCAAAATTTATATTTTAAGCAAAAAATTTAAATAAAAATTTATTTTTTTGAATAAATTGATTGAGTTCTAGTTGATCAAACAAACAAACAAACAAACAAACAAACAAATAAAAAAGCATATTTTTAAAAAAAGTTAATAAATTGATCAAATTTAGATATTTTAAGGAAACAAATATGATATTTAATAACTAAAAAATTGACAGTATGAAATAAATGATTGATAGAAAGTAATTGTACAAAATAAAAAATATGTTCATTTATTTATTAGTTTATTTATATTTAGTTAGTAATTTGAGTGGAAAAATTATATAAGGAGGGTAGTAGTAGATTTTTATTTAGAGTTTCTATTTTTATTGTACTTTTATTATTTATATTCAATTAATCTGATGACCAAAGTTACTTAAAAATCTTTGTAGATTACTTAATTAAGATTATAAAAATCAACCAGTAAGAAATCTAAATGAATAAGGAAGGAAAAGTAATAAGTTAAGTGATTTTGTTTTTCATAGTTGCCAAGGCATATAATCATTTTGTTTGTTTAATTTCCTCTAATTCTTTTTAAATTTGTTCGTTTTTCGAGTTCAATATGACAATTTAAATCAATTAATGTTAGTTGGATTGCTAGAGCTGCATTATCTCACTTTTCAACTGGACGACTTTTATTATTAAAAATAAACATTAATTAATTTGTAAAAGAAAAGCTAAATAAACAATTTCTTTTAACTTTAACTGAGAAAGTGGAAAGTTATTAATAAACAAATTTATTATTTTATTTTAAGAAAAATTGTATCTTTTCGGTTAATTTCTTTTTTTAACATCACTTCTCTTTTACCAAAAAACTATTCATCATTTTAACAAAAAAAGAAAAAACAATCAAAATTTTATATTGCTTACTTCTTTCATCAACAGCGCCGTTCCCGTTTTCTATTAACGACTGAATTTGTTATTTGTAGTGAGATATTTCTAACTCGTATGTCTGGCAAGTGTCTCTGTATTTAAGTTATTCATTTTCTAATAAAGCTTGATAGTTGTTTTAAATTTACTAAATCTCATTATCAAAAACTGATGCATTATTTTTAGATGTAGATTTTTATTCTAATTATTATATTTGAGCCTTGAGTTATTCTATTTCAGCTTACTTTTCTTCAATATCGTTTTTCATAACAACCAGCTACCCAAGTACGTAGCTGTTTTCAGCTTAAACGAATGAGTGTTTCTTTTTATGATTGTTATCAATGTGCTTCAATTAGTTTTCAGCCTTTTCCTTCTCTTCTTTCAATTTAAGGATTTCCTTTTCATACTCTAGAGTAGTTCTCAGTGAATTTTCTTTCATTTCTTTTAACTCTCTTTTAAGTTTTTTGATCTGATCTTAAAGACTGTTTTTTTCATAGGAAAGACCAATTATAATTTCTTCTTTACTGGCTTCAGAATTACAAGGAGAAGATTATGGCGAATATTAATTAGTTTAATCTTTTTAAGCCAATTAATATTCCAATTCTTCAATCATACTATTCAAATTGTTTTTAGTTTAAATTTCATTCTCTAATTACTATTTTAGAGCCTATTCACTTTGAACCACAACTTAGACTATTTATTTTTAAAAAGAAAAATAACTTAATATTTACCAATTATTATCAAACAAAAAAATAAAAAAATAATAAAGAAAGAAAGAAGTAATTACCTTGTTATTCATATATTTTTATGTTATTTTTAAGATTTTGAATCTCAGTTATAATGTGAGAAGGAATTTAATTGCCTTATGTAATTTATTCTTTAAATTCGTTGTTCTCCTTTAATAAATTAAGTATCTGATTAGAAAGATCCTAAAATTTGAACTACTGCTTTTGTATTTCTTCTTCTAGCTAAGTAATTTATTGATTTTTCATCATAAGTTAATTGTCTATTTTAGTTAAATTAGTTATTAGATAATTAAAAATCTTAAAAGATACTTTTACCTTTTTCTTATATTTGTTTTTCTAAAGTCTCTATCTTTACTTTATCTTACAGAGAGGATGTTACGGCTTCTTGTATTTATTCCTGGTTTATACTTAATTAATTTTACTTATTTTGACTATGAGTGAATTCGCTTTCTTTGAGGTCCTAATTAAGATTTAAAAAATATTAATTTTAAAATTTAAGTAAAAGTTTTACAAAGATAGTTAAAACTTATGAAGCCATTTATTTATTCAAATTTTTGAACAATAGTGTAGTAAAATTGGTTTGTTTGCTTGCTTATTTGATTTTCTTTATTATTTGTTTTGAAATTAATAATATTTATAAAATTTCTGAGTTAATTTGTTAATGTTTAAAGAAAATTATCTGAATTAATTTTAAGACTACAGTAATTACTGTAAACTCAATTTTGGGAGTATGCAATTAATTTCACATGCGATCAACTTTTTATTAATTTTGTTATCAAATAAATTTAATTAAATTCTGAAAACTGCAGAAACAAACTTCGAACTTTATGAAAAAGAAATAAAATTTGCCTGATTTTTTTTAAATCCATTAGTTCGAATCGGAGATGAAAGTATTTTCTTCAAATTTCTTGCTATTTCTCAAAAATGCTTCAAAATTGATTCTCATTGAGTATCGTTCTTAAAATTAAATTCAAGAAAAGAAATAATTTCTTACATTCTATTTTTATATTTCTGCAGTAGAAAAAATTTCATCTATTTTTTTAGTGAAATACTGGGATTCTTGAGCAAAAATTTCATCATATTAATTAAAAGTATTAGCTGTTTGCCTATCGCTTATTGGTACTGACGATAAATTTTAAAAGTTTATTTGAGAATTACTGCCACTTACAGCTCCTAAGACATATTTTTTCTGTAATTATGAATTATTCTCGCTTAATTAATTGAACTGGCTAGGGAAAACAAAGCCATCATCAGTTTTCTTAAAGTATTTTTCAATTATGCTTTGTTATTGTGAGTTAATGCCTGATTCTAAGATATTTGGAGTTTCGCAAGATTAAATTAGGCGATCAGATTTTAATTATTGATTGCTCTAATTAGGTACTATATTAAATGTATTTTTTGGCGATATGATATCTATTTCCTTCATTAGTGAGCTTTGTAAAGGATATTCTTCATAAAACTTATTACTTGGCATTACTTGAGCAGATTAATTAACAACAATATTGTCTTATTAAGGACTCAAAAGTCTTATTGGAGTATATGCTTATTTCAACTATTATTAGGATTGAACTATTTATAATTACTGATTTTCAATTACCCTATAAGGAGAATATTAAGCATTTAAATTTCTTATTTGTTGATTTCCCTGTTAAAGTTACTAATTTGGTATAACTTAGACGAATTAATTAGTAGTAACTGGAGTTGGGCTCAGCGATCTCACTCTATTTATCAACTGAGAATTCATGACAGGTGTTACTGTTAAATAATTAGCATTTTTTTAAAATTAAGGATTAGAGTGCTGCCTTATTTTTACTTCTGTAAAATTATTGACATTAATATTATTCTTCAATTTATTGTTGGTTTCTTATTAACTCTTAACATTGTTATTGTTGAGCTCTTATCTGTGATGAGACCTAACAAGTTAATGAATATTTTATAGCTAATTTTAATTATTTAGTTAATTATTTGGCATTTTTGCTGAATTAGTTAAATTCTGCTTAGTATTTTTTTTAGATAGTTGCAAATAAGATCCATTTGAAGAGTAATTATTTGCTTAAATAAGTTGCTTGTTACTAGCGCTTTATGTCATGTAATTATTTTGTAAGATTTGAACCCCATTTTATCTACCAACTTATTTTTATTGTTGGGGCTAGACAATGTTAAATTATTTTTTATTGATAGGCTTTGGACTAAAGTGCATTTATTTCCTTTTAGACTAACTTATAAGCTAATTAATCAATTTTAAGAGTTTTTGATATTAATTCTTCAATTTAATATTTATAAATACTAATGTTATAATTAATAAACGGAAAGATACATAAAAGTGTCAAATATTTTTTTTTACAAAAGTAATAGAAAAAGAAAAAGTACCTGATTTAAAATAAATAAGCACGAAAGATTCAAATAACTTATTTTTTAATAAAAAAGAAAGAATAATCAATAAATGAATATCTTCTTTTACTTAAAATTTTTCTCATAGTATTTTTCTTACTCTGATAAATTTTAACGTAAAGCAATAAGCATTAGTTGGGCTTGAAAGTTTTTTTAAACATTAAAATATGTCTTTTAAAATAAATAGTATAGGTGAAAGATTGATTGATTATCAACTATTTATTTATATAACTCTTACCTGAAAATACTCAGAATTTTTCTACAAAATAATAAAATTCATACAATTAAAATTAGTTTAAAAGATTGTAGAAATAATAATTAGTGTTTGTGAGATATAAAATATATCACTGAAAAATTAAATTAATTACCTATCAATCTAAATTTATTTAAGGATTTTTAATAATTTATTTGTTTTTTTTTAAAGAAATAAAAGATCATAAAAAATAATAAATTTCCCCAAAGACTTTTTTGAATAGTTTTTTGAGTATAGAAATTAACGAAATAAATATTTTGATTGATTAATTCAGAATGAATCATAAATCATATTAATAAATTTTATTTTAACAAATTTATTTTGGTAATTTTAATCTATCTAATTTTTCATAATATAAATATGTTTTTATAAAATAAAAATTACTCTCTTTACTTGATTACAGAAATATATTTAAAAGAGAGCATAAATACAGTATTAATTTAATAAATAATTCTTTAATTCACTATAAAAGTAAGAAATAACAAATACTAAATCTTATCAAATATAATGAAGAAAGTTAAAGAAAGAAAGAAATAATTTATTTAATCACTTAATTTATTATTATTTTTTAAATCATTATAATTTCTTGTTTACAACTGCACAAGAGTTTACTATTTTTTTCCCACTAAAGTTTTAGCTTGATTTCACTTTGTTTAAACCTGGATTAAGCTTTTACTGATCTTCCTTATCGTCTTTAAGTTATGGTTACTCTTAGCTTTAAATTTGTTATTATTTGTTTGAAGGAGGAGGCAAATTAGTTTTTGTTGGTTTTTTATTTTATGATTCTTCATCATCATTTTTAATTGACGAGGAACGAATTTTTGGCTTTTCAGCAGCTGCTATTCCAATTTTAGGTTTTGTGTTTTTAAGAGTTCTTTATAAGTTTACTTGTTCACTTTACTCTGATATTTCTGATGGATTTTATTTTATTTCTGAATTTTAAAGAGATTTATAATTTTCTTTCTCAGTGGCTGCTGTTTATGTGATTCCAGAGTTAAGCTGTGTTAAGCTGTTATTAGATTTATGATTTAAATTTGGTTTGCTAGCTGTATTATTCTATGTATTACTATTTACAACAGGTTTTTTAGGAGGAATTTTTTTAGCACCAGTATTCTATTATGATTATATGGTTTAGCCTGCATTTATCTTATTTACATTATTAATTGTATTGTTTGACTTATTTTCTATTGTGTTATTGCTTTTTTTAAGATTTTATTATGGAGTGTTTAATTACATTTGTTTAGGTCTCTAACTCAATTTAGTCGTTTTAGCTAGATCTTATTTCTATTTTTACTGGCTTACCAGCTATTAAAGTTAGGCATTTTAAAATAGCATAGGGTAATCTTCCATTAGCGATTCAATAGGCTCTTCTAGTACATGATTTTATTCTTCATTTTATTATTTGCTTTCTTCTCCAACTTCTTCTTATTCTAATTCTTCATCATTGTCTTAGTATTCACTTTCTTCTTCAACAGGTAATTATTAAGGGACTTAATTTTTAATATTTTTTTTACTGAGTTACTCTCTCTCAAGTCTCTCATTTAAAAATTTCTCTGATGACTCAAAATGAGCAGTCTTTAAAAATTCTTATTGCTTTATTTAACTTTCATTGCTTTCATAAGAATTAATTGCCTTATTTTAGAATATTTTTTAGTTTTTTGTTTATAAATTTGTATTTTCTATATCTTGCATGAAATTTTGGTACATTTTATTTTTTGGTTTTTTATTTGCCATGTTGTTCTTAAATTCATCTAAGAATGAAGGTGTTTCGTCCCTCTCAAAGTCGTTATCTTCTTCACCTTATTCTTACTCTTGATTGCTATTGATTTCTTATGTTTTCTCACTATATCTTTCATTTACTTTGTTTTTAGCTTAAAGCTAATTAACTAGTTTGCTAGTTAGTTTGTTTTATTAGACTGGCTCCTATTTTTATTTAAGAGAATCTTGCAAATTATCTTTATTAGACTCATTAGAATTATAATTTGAGTTTTTTAAGAAATCATTAACCTCAAAGATTCTACATTTAGTGTATTCTTTTTACCTAATAAAATCATTTTGTAAGATTTACTAAGATTGAGTATCATTTTTCTTAGCTTCTTCTTCTTCTTAGATTGATTCATTGACAGATTGTTTTTTTGATAGTTCTTATTGATCAGACTATACTTAACTTGATTTTTTAGAATTATTCAGTGAAAGCTCTTTTAGATCAATACCAAATGTGTTTTCGAAGTTCGGCTTTTGCAGTTTTTATTGCTTATTTTGTTGCTGTTAAGAATTAATCTAATCAAATACTGATTATTTTTTATCATTTTTAATTTAAAGTTCTTATGAAAAATTATTTGGCTTGCTTAAAAATTGATTTACCAAATTTTCATATTGATCAGCATAATTTGGAATTTCTTTATTTGCTGGCTAAATAAATTAATTTTCAGCCAAAGTAGACCTTGGTATTGAAGTATTTTCTTCATCATCTTTTTAAGTAGAATCTTATAACTTTTAGAGCTCATTTTCCTATTCTTAATTTTCTTCTTCCTCTTCTTCTCCAATTTAATTATTTAATTAGAGCTCTTCAGACTTTTAATATCTTTATTATTATATTTCTTTCAAAGTATCTTCATCTAAAGTTTAATAGAATCTGTTAGATTCTTCAAATAGCTTCTTACTGTTTTAGCTGTTTTCTTATTAACTCACCTTCTTGTTAATAGAATTATTATTGGAATCATTATTATTATCATCTTATAGCTAAAATTCAGGTGATTCTTCTACTATTTAGAATTATTCAGCTTCTGGACCTTCCTTGATTCCTAATGCTTCTAATTCATCTTTTCTAGTAATAACTGGCTTAATTGTATCTACGTTTGATTTTATCTGAAGAAGATTTTCATTATTGTTGAAATTACCTGTAATTTTTGCAAAAGATCCTAGCGTTTCATTTGAAAACAATTGTTTTTTAAGAGAATTTATTTTATCTTCAAGCTCTTTTTCGTATGAAAATTAATCTATATCAAAGTGCTCTTTGCCAAATTTTTACTCTAAGTAAGCTGCTTAGGGGTCCTCTGTGCTTTGGTTTAAACCAAATGTAGAAATAAATTTTGGCTCTTAATTTTAAGCAGCATTTTCCTTTTTCTTATCTTTTTCTGTATTGTAATTTGTATGTGTCATACTAAAATCTTTTTGAGAAAAAAAAGAATTATCTCCTTTGCATTCTTCAATTTCATGAACATTGCTGATATTAACTCCATTAAATTTAATCGATTCTTGTTCTTCTTAAATTTATTGTTTTTATTCATTTTGATTTTTCAAATAAATATTTTAGCTTATTTCTTTTTCATGAAGCACAAATTCATCAATGCTATCACTTTACTTTTCTTCTTCTTCAACAATCTTTTTTTGGGCTTCAAGTTAGTCCTTATATCTTTTCATAGTAATTAAATCAGGTTACTAGAGGCTATTTAAGCAAGCGTCAAACATGTCAATTAGTTTATTTTATTATGCTTCATCTTCTTTATTTTACTACTATTGATTTTTGTTATTTTTTTAGTAGTTTTGAGTTTTACTATTAAAAACTGAGTTCTAGTCAGTTTTCAAATTATTCAAAAGATTGTTGTTATTTCCAAATGTTAAAATATTATTCTCATTTTTTGTTTCACTGGCAGCATCAAACTATGTAGAGTAATTCTGAGATGAAGACTCAATGCTCTTGTTGAAACTTGTACAACCAATAGTCCTTTCATTATTATTGGTTACTTGAGGACTAATTAAATCACCAGCACTAACTGTTTCGCTACCTTGAATCTAGAGACTAGGAGGAATGTAGCTATTTTATTCTTCATTCTCACCAGTATCGCTATTTATAATCTAGTTGATATCATGACTATCAAAGTTACTCTGATAAATTGCATTCAAATTGTTTTTAAAAAGCTTTTTGTTATTGTTATTATTATTATTATCTGAAGGTGTTTTATACATACTTGTTTTTATCATATCTGCTGAATGCAGAGGTGTCATGGCTGAATCAGGTTCGCTAAATTTTAAACAAAAAAATAAGTAAGTTTCATTCAATTTAAAAAACTTAATTCTAATTTAAAAAAATTTAAAGAATCTCTAAATGAATGAATGAAAAAAAGTAATTTGATTTTGATGAATTTTTAAATTTTTGCTTTAAAATCTATATAAAAATTTACGTTTTGTATCCAATAGAATTGAGTTTTTAGACAACAGGAGTAATTAATTTAAGATTTGAATGATGTAAATCATCTACACGAGGTTTTTAGTAGCTTTGATAGCTTTAGTTATTATGACTAATGTTGTTATTTTGATTTTACATTTAATTTAAATTTAAATCTTAAGTTGCATACAAATTTGATTGAGTAATTTCATTCATACTTACTGCTTCGTCTGCATAGATGTTAGATTCTTCAATTTCATCATCAGCATCTTAATTTTCATTATGATTATTCTTATTAGAGAACTTTTGCTCATGAATTTATAATTTATCTTTTGCTATGCTATTCTCTCCGTATGTATAGCTACGCTAGGTATCATACTAAAGAAAGTTTTCATATTGCTGGCTTTATTGCAAATCTTTTAATACTGAAAAGCCAGTAGCGAAAGGGTGAATTTCTTAAATGCTTTAAAACCTTTACAGAGCTTTGTCTACCTTTTCTAAATTGTTGTTTAAACTTTCCAAATCCGCCAAAACCTAAGTCCTTAATTCTTCATTATTTTATGCTTAATTATTTAAGATTTCTATTTTTGCTACTATCTTTTGGTTTAAGATACTTTTCATTTGATTGAATATTTATATTTAGCGGTACTTTTCTGAGTTTTCATCAACAATTCGCTTAAAATCCAAGTAGCTTTAGCTTGCATCTTTAGATGAAACTATATTTTCTATCACACTCAAAGAATTTTAAAGAATTTTGAGCCTCAATTAGTTCATAATAACCTAAATATCTTCAATTTGCTTTTCTAAATTCCCGCTTTTTGAAAGTAGAGTTCCTATTAATTATGTTTCAACATCTAAAGTTTGACCAATAAGCAGTTCGTACATCCTTTCGAGATGCTAATGAGGAGGCTAAACGCTACTACTATTACTAACGCTAGATCTCATTTTTTCTTAATCGAATCAAATATAAAATTTATATAAGCTCCTATGTATGTTTGCTGCTTGTATGCGAACTTTCCTAAGATTTTATTTGACAATTTGCTTGCTTAGTATTAATTAAAAAAATACGCCTAATTATTGTTCAAAAATTAAAAAAATATGTTTATAATTTTTAAATATATTTGTATATTATATTCTATATAATTAATTAATCAACTATAAAAAATTTAAAAATTATAAAGCTTGTTTGCTTGCGTAAGCATAAATTATGTATTAATAATTTTAAAATATTTCCATTTAATAAATTTGAGCAAATCAAATGTAGGAACTTAAGTAATTTTGAAAATATTAACAATATTATTAATTGAACGAACAGAAGCAATTAAAATTATAATTAATAAAAAGCACCACCTTTCTATTTACAAAACATTCAAAAAGATTTTTTGAAAAATTAATTAACCTATTTATCCAAAATTATGTATTAATTAATTATTAATTTTAAAATATTTCCAATTTAATAAATTTTAGCAAATCAAATAAATGTAGGAAGTTAAATTATTTTGAAAATATTAACAAGATTATTAATTAAACAAAAGTAATCAAAACCATAGTTAATAAATAGCACCTACCTTTCTATTTTCAAAACATTCAAAAATTTTTTTTAATATTTAACTTATTTATCTGAAATCATCTATTAATAATTTTAAAATATTTATAATTTAATAAATTTGAGCAAATCTAATGTTGGAAGTTAAATAATTTTGAAAATATTAATAAGATTATTAATTGAACAGAAGCAATCAAAACCAAAATTAATAAAAAGCACCAACCTTTCTATTTTCAAAAAATTCTAAAAGAATTATTTATCCGAAATGATGTATTAATTAACAATTTTAAAATATTTACAATTTAAAAAATTTAATAAATTTGAGCAAATTGAATGTAGAAAGTTTAATAATTTTGAAAATACTAATAAGATTATCAATTGAAAAGAAGAAACCAAAACCACAATTAATAAAAAGCACCTACTTTTTATTTTCAAAACATTGAAAAAGATTTTTTAATATTTAAATTATTTATCCGTTCTTATTCTAATTTTTTGACAGTAAAACAGTTAGCAAAAATTAGCTTTAAATTCAAAATAAAATATAAAAACCTACAAAATATCAATTAATAATTTAAAAATATTTTAGATGATAAAAAAATTTTAAAAATAAAATGAATAAAAATATTTAACATTTGATCTATTTATTTACTTTAATAGGCGTATTAAAAAATATGATAAAATAAAATAATAACATGTTATTAATAATAATTAGAATTCTCCATAGATAATTTATAGGTAATTTGTTATAGAATAGAATATAGAAATAAAATTTTTAATATAAATTTAATTTAAACAAGTATCTATGCTATATGATTTGAAATTTATATTTCATTTTATAGCATTTTGGATTTTATAAAATTTGGCTATAATTAAGCTATTTGTTTAGAACTAACAAACAAATTGCATTAATTACTAGCTATTTTTTAATTAAATAGGCTTTCAAATATTTTGAAAACTATTTACTGCACCGTACAAATTTTTATGTAAATTTAATCAATAAACTTCATGGTTTTTTTATTATATAAAAAAATCATTAGCCTTATTTACCTGTAAAGTAACAAAACTTGACTGAAAATGGCACATAGAGCCTTTTAGATAATTACATATCAATCCAAGCTTAAAAACTTTTAATTTCAAGTAATAGTCCTGCAAGCAAATTAGAGTAATAAACATTAAGTAAAATACTTAATTTAAATTAAAAGACATAAAAATGATAATCTTATTTTCTTTACTTGAATAAAAGTAATGTTCATTAAATTGAGTGAGTTGTTTCTTAACTTATTTTTTATATTTTAATATTAAGTTCCACTCACTAATTTAATACTAGTAAGTCCAAAAAAAAATATGTGCTTTTAGAACTAAAAAAAGTGTAAAAGAAAACGAAAAAAGTTTAAGGTATTTATGTAAGTTGGCATAGGATACTAATATTTTAATCATTCTGATTTGACTTTGAATTAGGTCTTATTTTGATAATAATCCGAATAGTTTAATGGTCAATATTTACCTTAATTGCATAAGAACTTTTATTATGTCATTAAAATGCTTATTTATTTGAGATTTTTAATTGGTAAAAAGGTAGAGACGGAAATAGCACTAAATTGTCATTTTTTTTCTTTTTTTTGATGAGATAAGTAAGAATACAGATTCTAAAATTTCAATCGTCCTTTTTTGATTTTGAAAAAAAGTAAATAAATAAATAAATTAATATATGACAAATAAATCAAATCACTTTTTTTTAATAGTAATTTTTAGATCAAGTAAATTTTAAAGATAGATAGTTAGTTAATTATTCATTAAATAGTAAAAAGCAAGTATAATTTAAATAAAGCCTAGTTTTTTATTGATTTAGCAAGAATAAATAAATAAGTAAAATGGAGATTAGATATTCACAAACTTAAGAGGAGCGAAAAAAGACTGGGATTATTGCAGAATATTTAGATTCACTTAAAATAGATAAGCAATTTTATTTAAAGTTTGTACCTGCTGTAACAAAGCTTTATGCTAGGAATTATTTTATGGCTTTTTTCCTTTTAATAATTATGCACGCGCAAGAAATAGCGATCCTACTTTCATATAGATAGCAAATAGGCTAATCTAGTGATGACTATACAAGCTATTTTATCTAATATATAAATTATACCTTATTGATTAATTTAGCCAATCAGGCTGTTAGCAAAGGCTCTGCAGAAAAAGGAATCTTCTACTTTACATTTATTATAAATTGCTTTATATTGTTTATATTTTTTGGCTTATTCATGGTATTTGCGTACACCAGATATGATATTAAAAGGATTAGAGCTCTTAATACATTTATTAGCTTTCTCCTACAGGTTTACATATATATTTTATTTCTGCCCTCTCTCAAATCTTCGTTTATAATGATCAGCCTTTATACTTAACTTTATGCAATTATAGGATACATCAATATAATATTTTCGTGGATTATAGGTAAAAATTAGTTGAAATGAAACAAATCATTAGGAAATTTTATCTTGTCTAAAAAGAATTATAGTCTTTCTATCAAAATTGTACTTTATAATGAATTTTACAAAGTATTTATAAGGTAACTTTTGAGTTCCAATATTGATAGTATATACAAAATAATTAATCGATCAAACAAGCAAGCAAACAAAAAGATTGATTGATTGAAATAAGATAGATAGATTTATAGAAATAAAACTCAAGATTTACCTTGAAATAGAAAAGAAAGACTTTAAAATTATCTACAAATTGTTAACATAAATGTTTAATTAAGAGTATAAAGATTTTATTTGAAAAGTGATCTACAAACAAAGAATCTTTGAAAAACAAAGAATTTGAAGAATACTTTCAAAGATATTTATTTATTTACAAATAAAAACTAATTAATATCAAACTAATTACTCTATTTTTTTTGAGTGAAAACTGTAAATTTCTTTTAGACTTGAGAGAAAAAATAAATTTCTTAATAAATTTTTAGAAATTTTGTTTTATTTATTTAAATCATTTTTTAATATTTATATTGTTTTAAATGACAATAATAAATAGGATTTTTTATAGTATTTCATGACTATGATTACTCTTTCTTAGAGAGGGATAAGCTCTCAAAAAGGTTTTCTTATTTTGATGTTTGGCTATTTATTTAGTAAGGTATGCTCCCTTTTTTCCTACAGTACTCTAATGAAAAAGTGCTTACTGCTTTCTCTTGTATATATTCTATATAAAAAATTATAATTTACTTTTTGGATTAGACCTATTTTAATGAGAGGATGTGTTGCTTCTATTCCATGATTATAACTTATTATTGTTCCACGTCTCTTATGTTTTTATTATTTTTGATTTCCCCAAATAGCTTAAATTTCACGTTGCTAATGCTCCTATCAATTCCTCTCTCATTTCATCTTGGAAGAGTCATTTACAATTTTTTACAAAAAAATACTTTTAAGAATTGCATGGGAAGACAAGATCTTACTGATTTAGCCCCTTATTAACTTGACATATACATTCGTCTTTTGAATAAAAACTTAAATTTTTTCTATGAAGATTACATCAGAGATGGATAAGGTTTTATATTTGAAAATCTCTATGTAAATCACCAAATAAACTGCCAAACTGATGATTACAGATGTTTTTGCCATGATTTTCAAAGAGTAATTAATTTATTATTTAATTATTTATTTTATAAAAAATTAAAATATAATTTTAGTGTTTAAACTATTTTGCTATTGAATAAATATTCTATTAATTAATTATTATCAAAAAAATATTTTTAAGCTGTTGATAATTTTTATTGATTTCACTAAATAATAATTCTTTAACTTTATTAGCTATTGATTTGTGGATAAATATAATTACCACAATTTCAAATTTATTTATGATAAAATTAATTTATAAATTTAATTTATTTTGATTTATTATAGTAAGATAATAAACTTGAATTCGAAGAGTATATTGGATAGGATTTTCGTAAAAAGTATGTTATGTTTTACATAGTAAATTTATATGAGTAATATCTGAGAGCTAATTAAAAGAGTTCTTATGTAAATTCAGTTACTTTTGGCTACATTAGTTTTCTGTTCGAAATTATGAAAATTCCCACTAAATCTTTTAATGTAATTTACATTAGTTAGTAAAAACTAATTTCAGAGAATGCTAACTTAAGAGATTTGTTTGTTTAATAGATTTTGATGTACAGAATTAAGAAGGAGTTCTAATAATTCTTTTCAAATCCTACTTACTAAAATTAACGTATATTTGTTATGGCACCTATTTTATTTGATGAGAATATGTAGTATATGAAATAATTACTTAAGGAATAGCTTGTCAATACAGGAGTATTTTATGATTATTTATGCTCTAATTTCATTGATCTATCAATTGTAAATTAATATGCTAGAATTTTATATTAAAATTTAAACGATCTTAAATTACAACTTGAATATCTCTATGATTTAAATCCAGATAATTTAGAATTGTAGTAATATTCAATGCATTATAGTAATTTATTGGAATTTGAGAACTCTAAAGTTAGTTAATACATAAAAAAATCAAAAAATCTAACTAAAAAAATGCTTCTCACCTAAGACAGAAATATTTAAGTTTTTTCTAAGAATGCATGCATAGTCTATGCCTCTTTGATTAAAAAAGATGGCTTGATTAAAAAAGTTTCAAACTCTTTTTAAAAAATATATGGAATCGAAAATAAATTGATTATAGGAAAAACTTTGAACTCCCTAATACCTAGAGGTCTCTATAATACTCATGATGACATTATTAGCAATTTTAAGAATAAGGGTCACATGAATATCATCAACAAAGGTAATTAATTCATTTTTTAATTCAGCAATAAAATTACATTTTCATAAAAATCATTTTTTAAGAAAATTCAATCATGATTTATCAATTAAATTAAATTTTTATTTAAAAATACATTAAATATTTTGCTTACAATTAAATGTAAAAAAATCTAAAATAGCAATCAAAAATTAAATTAAATTAACTTTTATTACTTACTGTAAGTAAGTTATTAATAGAAATATATTTCTGATTTTTCTTTTGGTTCTAAATTATTATATTTATTTTAAATTGATTCAGTCTATTTTTAATGTAAAACCTATAAAAAAATAGTTTAAAGCTTTTTTTGTTAGAAAATAAAAACACAAACATAAAAATTAATTTAAAAACTTTTGATGAAAGAATTTTTATTTCAATTTAAAAAAATAAATAGAGTAAAGAATGGTTTTTGGGTTAAATGGTGAGGGATTTATCATACCATTAATGATCAGATTAAAGCTCGAAAATATTAATGATGACTTTGGAGTTTGCTCTTTGCTGACTAGTGTAAATTAAGATAAAGAGTATCTTTTTATTAGTGATGAAGGATAAATTATGGATATAACAAAAAAATTATACAATCTTATTTTTAAAGATCTTTCATCGATAAGTAAAAATTTTATTATTTTTTGAAATGACATTTTTATAATTTAATTAATTTTAAAGATGACCTAAGAAGATTTGATATTAAACATTTGATCCCTTTGATTTGGGGTATTCAAGAAGTAAGCGAATACGATAAAGTATTTTATAGCATTTTGGTTGTTTCGAAGAAACTTATGTTTATGAAGGAAAATAAGGTTTAAGATCTTAAATCTCATCATAAGATGTAGGAAGTCGTAGATTAGATTTGTTTAGATGATATTATTTATAGCATTAGTTTTAAGGTGTGCATCATCACTACTTCTATTGGTCTGAACTTCAAGTTTGTTGAAATAGATAGCTTTAAAAGAGAAGATAATTTAGCTAAGAGGAAAGCTCATATTTCGCACTTAAAGATGTGTCTTAATGAAATTTTAAATAACAACGTTAATGCACTTTTTAAGGAATTAACTGATGCTAACACAACTAAGCAAGGAAGTAATGAGAACTAGTAAATTAATTTGAACAACATTTATGATATTGCTAACATGGACTAATCTTAAGTCTTAAACTCTGAAATTGACAGTAGCTTTTACAGGCACATGAAGAACAGCATACCAAACAAGATTTAATCTTCTTCTAACATTAAAGATTTTGGTGAAGACAGTAGCAGGATATCTCAGTAACACAAACCTAAGAATTAAACAAAATACAATAAAAATTTTGTTTATTTTTCTAACGCTTCTCCCAACGTGTTTAGCCCTCATCCTAATAACGAATATGATAGAGAGTAAGATTATTTCATGATACAACAATTTATTTTTTTCAAAAATATTTAATTAGCAATAGAATTATGGAAGAGAGCAACACTAATATACATGATTCAAAGATAGCCTCAGGAGCTCTTTCACCACGTTCATTTCTTTACTAGGCTGCTGGATTAGATTAAATGTCTCTTCCACCTACCACAGACAGATAAAGATTAGAAAACAATCCTCTTCTTGGTGAATTTGGAGCTCCTCCTCCCAATAGAGTCTAGAATGGCAACCATAATCCTAGTTTACTTAGCTTGCAATCTCCAATGTCTCAAGCAGGCTTGCTGAGCAAGAAAAATGAAAATAATCACAAGCAAATAGAATAAATGTTTTTCCCATCAAGTCCTCATTATAATTTTCATAATTAATTTCACAGCGAAAATTATCAAATCAACATTTAAAAAACTAAGTCAAATAGCTCGACACCAAGAGCAAACAATAACAACAACAACAATAATAATATTAATATCAATAATCAAATGTTATCATTTAAACAACCTGATCTTGTAACAAATAGCAGTGATAACAGTGAACCTAAAAACGTAGAGCCTGGTTAGATAGTTGTAAAGAGATCTCAGTCAAGAAGCAAAAGTGAGAAATTTGTACAAAATCCTAAAGCTCTCAAAAAAGTTGAGGTTATAAAAATAGAGCATAACATTAATTAAGAATAGCATGAATTAATTAAGGAAATCGAGTAAGATGATCTTGAATCACGCTATTTGAGGATTGGATCAAACGATAATGACTTTAAAATGGTTAAAATTGAAAATCACTTCAAAATTCAATAAGTACCTAGTAATTCAAATATTTAAATTCAATCAGACTTTGAAAGAGATCCTATAAATTAAAATGAAATGATAACATCATACAAATAAATATTAAAGATGAATCAAAACCAGCAATAGATAAAAGCGAAACAAATAAACGCAGTCATCTCAAAGCAAAATACTTCTAGGTCTTTGCTGACTTACAATCAAGAAATGAAATTAAGCTTAGACAAAGAAGTTTTTAAAAAAGAGCAATAAAACTTACAATTGCAAGATATTCAAAAAGTAAACTAACTAGATGAAATAATTCTAGATACGCATGAAAATAACTTGAGCATCGATGAAGATGGAAATAATTCAGATAAAGATAATATAGAATCAGAAGGCAAAAAGAGAAATATTCATCATTCTATCACATAAAATGTTGAGAATAACAACGATTAGTCAAGTGTTCACTCCAGCAATAAAACGTCTGAATAAACAAGGAGGAAAATAATCATCAGAAAAATCAAATCTAATCACATTTCGTCTGGTCTAAAGGCAATGGTTTACATGGGAATCACTGCTTTCTTCATTTTTGTTGCTGTTTCTGTTATGCTGTATGTTTAAAACAATAAAAGCTATTCACTTTATATTCAAAACTTCAATAAAGTTACACAAGCTTCTTTTCTTTTCTTAGATGTAATTAGTGTGGTTAAAGTTTTCTCTTACCTTGGAATAACAGCAAGCTAGCCTTACTTTTAAGAGGATAGGGCTTATTCAACACAGAGACTGTAATATTATATTAATCAATTTAAGGATATATTTTACAGTTTTGTGAATGATAAAAATACAGATCAGCCTTATTACGACTATTTACTCAATTAGCCATTTAAAATTGAACTTTTCCACGTAGAAGGTACTAGAGAGTATCCAGTTGTTAAAAAAAATGAAACATAAATCACAGCAATTTCTCAATTTATGTATATTATTTAACAATTTAAAGAAATTGACTTTGATAGTTCAAACATGCTTTTTCTTTGGTAGAACATGCATGAATTTAAAATTAATATGCAAAATATGTAGAATTTGATTTAGTAGCAAGCTTAAGATTAATTTGATAATATTAGCTTGATGTAAATAATGATGCTGATTATTATCCTAATTATCACTTGTACTCTTATCTTCACAGTTCTACCTTTAAGTGTCTACAACATCATGAGATGCGAAGAAATCCTGAAGCTTTTCGGATGCTTCCATCCTGAAAAGCTTCAAAAACTGATTGATGTCATTGAAGAAACAGTTAACAAATTAGATCTGATTTCTTATTACACTAAACTTCAAAGTTAGAAATATTATCAAAAGAACTTAGAAATCTCAAGGAAAGATCAAACTATAGCAAATCATCCTAACAGTACTTTTACAAGAGACAAAAACAGGTCTAAGACATAAAAGAATAGAGACATACAAAGTCAAGTTCAAAGTCCTTCCTTTTAAAGCCCATCACAAAATCCTCGTAATAACACTAATATGTAGGTAAAGTAATAGATCAAACCAACAAAATACTAATAGCAGGCTTAAAAAGAAAATGCTAAACAATAGATAAATGGCTCACCGCCAGCTTAAGTAGATCCATCCAAAAACCCCTCTAAAATTAGCAGCGGAGGAATCCAATAAAAAAACTAGCATCTCCCAACAAACGAAACTCAATAACAATCTTCTCATGGATAGATAAACAACAACTTAAAGTAGACGAAAGCTTAGTCATAATTTACAAAAAAGACAGTTGTTTAAGGTAACAACGCGGAAATGCCAATTGCAACTAAAACCCACATAAAACGCTAAGCCTAGAAAAGAACAAGACAGATAGCTTCTTTCAATAGTCTCCCTCGTTTTGACTTAAAGCTTGTTACTATAGCTTTGATTATTATTGTAATTATGATGATTCCGCCTGTTTTGAATATTCTATTCTCAAACAAATACATGGACGAAGGCAAAGTAACTCTAAAAGAAAGAATCACAGTTTTGAATACTATAGTGCAAATAGTATAAAATGAAGCTGCCCATTTTAATATTTGGCTTGATAGTCTTATATATGACTTGAGTCAATCGGATCCTAATACCTTACTTTCTTATCAATCTTTGTCAAATGTAACCTTAACAAATGATTAAGTGATTTCTAATTTATAATCGCTTTTGTAAACAAATCAACCAAGGAGAGACCAAAGTAATTACAACAACATTTACTTAGGCATTCTTAAAGATAACATATGCTCTACACTTAAAGATTATCCAAGTTCATTCAATACGAACTTTACTGTAAGCTAATGTGAATCTTTATATTAAGGAGTTATGCAAAGAGGATATATCATAGCATCTAAATAAATTATAGGAGATTTTGATAATTAATTTAAATTATATTAGTAAAATTTATAAAATGTTTAAACAGTCCTTCAATCTGAGTACGCTAACTAAAATATAAGAGATTTATATAGATCCATAGTTTTTATGCTCGATTCATTTACTGCCTTAGACACTTACTCTTCAAACAGTTAACAAAGTTACAACGACTATATTAATTTAATCTCCTTATATCTTTTTATCTTCTACATAATAGTAGTAATTATGATCTTTTTTTCAGGATGGACTCATGTTTTCTTCAGATTCTACAACTAATTCGATTCTACCAAAAAGCTACTTTGTCTCTTCAACATGAACCTAATTTTAGAAAATGCTTTCTTGATGTAATTCTTAAAAAATAATACTTTTGGAGTAAAGTGATTCACTTTATATTATGTCATTATTTTGAAAAATATCTGTTACATACAATTTAAATTTTTCGAAAGTAGCTTTTTATGAAGTGTATATATATTTATTGTACCTATTTCAATTTTCCAAAAAACTAGAAGCCTTATATTAGAGTATGTAAATATCATCATTTCATCATATCTTTCTTCTTCAGAAATATCATAACTCTAAAACAAACAAACAACATAAATTCATTTTATTTATCCATTTACAAAGAGATTATTTTCTTTCATTTGAGAAAGAAATTCTTTGTTAATTTAGTTCTAATAAAATTATACTTTTGAAGTGGAGTAATTGTCTACTAAATATTATCTCTATAGATATCTATTTTTTTAGAATTATAATTTTTTGAAAGTAACATTTTTGATTATTATTTCTAGTTCCTATTTTAATTTTCATAAAAGCTTGAAATCTTATTTAAAATAGTTAAATATCATAATTATCATGCTCATCTTATATGTCTTTTTCTAGAATATCTTTATTATGATAAAAATAGATAAATTTCAATTAAGTAAAATATTTATTTCATTCATTTTACATTTATTAAATGAATAATTTTTTTTCATAATTTATAAAAAAAGAAAATTGATAAAAATAAATTAGAGTGCTTTAAATATTTATTATAATAAATTATTTAACTATAAATTATATTAATACAATTATTTTTGTTTTTTGGAAGCTTTTAGCGTTTTTTCCAAATAATTTGATTCATATAATTCTTATAGTTCATCTTGTTACACTTTATATATTTTACACTTTTGCTAACGACAGACCTTAAGTATTCAATTTTTCATAAAAATAATCTAATTAACATTCTTGAAAATAGAATGTTACTAATAATTAATTAAAAGCCCCCTTCCTAGAACTATTAATTTTTATTCAATTTATTAAGTGAAAATAGTTTGCAATAATAATTATTCATACCCAATAAACTTTATTTGGAGTATTATTTAAATTGTATATTTAACTAAATATATCTTAGCAGTTAGAATACTTTTTCTGTTTTTATAGATAGATTTATTAAATAGCTAAAGCGATCTACTCAGTTAGAGCTAATCAAATAAAATTTGATTGAATCTATTGTAGTTTTTAATAGCTTTTTCAAATTTTATAAATATTTTTAAAAGAGTAAAATTTACAATTGTTCTTTGAACATTTTTATCTTTATATTAAAGTAACTAAAATAAAAATTAATTCGAAAGGCTAGAATCCTTTATTTCGTTTGTGATAAAAAATAGATATCAATGAACAAATCCTTTATTTATTAAATTTATAAATTTGATTAATAAATAGAACAAATTTCTTTCAGTCTTTTGTAATTTAACTTCTTTTTACATTCAGATCTATAAATTTTTTTAATTTACTGTAAAAATGTAAACTCCTTTTTAGAATAATTGTAAATGATTACAGAATTGAATACTTTAATTGAATACAAAAAATAGTATTTTTAATTTTGGAGAGTATTATTATTATAAAGCTAATTAATATCGCTACATAGTAATTACAATAGGTATTTGTCTTTATCTTATGAATTACACCTGCTTAATGTAAGGAATAATTCTAGTAAAGTTAATAATTTAATTTTTAATAAATGTTCTTTAAATTATATTTACAACCGACAGTAGCTACTTATATCAAATAAATGTATTCTTACTTTATTGTATTTATAAATTATTTTACATTTTCAATGAATTTTTTAAATTTATACAATTAATTTAGCTTTCATAAAAAGAATGGTTTTTCAGCTAAAAATTACAGCTATTGTATATCTTCTTACGCCCAGCTAAATTCGCTTTGCATTATTTTAATAAATTTAAATTAAAAGTAATAAGTAAATTTTATTCCATACAGCTAATTTAATCTGTAATATCAAAGTAAAGTACTTTTTTTTAAATTTTTTTCTAAAAATAATAAACACAATAAACAAACTGTAGGATTTTACTCGGAATTATTTGACAGGTTATAAAAAGATCCCAAATAATTGAAATTTACTTCTACAAAAGATTGCAATTAAGTAAAACTGGAATATTTTATATCTGTTGTTTATTTTTAGATTGAAATATTTAACAATTTTTCATTTTACTGTTTGTGATTTCAATTACTAGTAATATTAATCAATATCTTTTTTTTCGCTAATTAAGCTTTATTGTTATGATTAAACAGATTTTTAAGTTTCTAGCTTAATCAAAATAAATAGAAAAAAGGAAAATTTTCAGGTAACATAAATTAATTTTGCCTGAGTTTTTGTATTAAAAATTGTACCTGTTGCTAAATAATTTTTTTATCTGCTTAAATAATAAAAGATACATAAATAAATAAATGTATTTCTTTTTATTGTTATTTAAAATAAGAAAATATCTACTAAATATATATTTATAAAATATAAAATTTAAGCAAAAAGAATTAAATTTATAAAATACATTGCACAAAAGAAAAATCTAAAATAAAATGAACTAAATAAAAAGCAACAGCCAACAGTTTAATGTGTTTATTTAATATTATGTAGAGATATTTTGGGTAGCTTTCAGATCTTATAAAAGAAATTTTCCTATTTCTTTCATTCTTATTGTAATGAGATAACTCTAAGAGCTAAATATAGCATTTGTTAATAATGGCCTTTAGGTAGAAAACCTACAATCTGATTAGTTAAATTTCTTTAAATAACTTATATAATGGAGCTCTCTATATTAGAGTTTTAAATTGTTAATTAATGATCATGCTAATACTTTATATTTCATATTTGCATTCAGCATTAATTTATTTATGCTTATCTCTTTCTTAGGCTTTTTATTTTATTCTCCATTTATTAAATATGATCATACTAAAATTAGAAGAATAAACTTATTACCCTCACTCGTTTTTTCGATCTACAATTATTTGCTATTTCTACCTAGTTTAGAAGTTACCACCGTAATGCTTTATTCTAGCAGAGATACGTTTACTAATGTTTTATGCTATTTAAACTTCTTAATCACTTGGGGAATAGGTAAAATTTAAATTTGATACAGCCTCAAATATTTTTATTTATTCATTGAATTTTAATAATAGCTTTTCTCCAGGTTACACATGATTATGACTATTCCTTCGAAAAAACTGATTAATTATCTAATCCCCTAACAAGAGTTAGTATTTTTAGTGAGTTTTTAGCTGGAATATATTGCTGTCTCTCATAAATAATCTCACAAAAACATTCTTTGGTTATTTTGATATTTTTCGCATTTTTCAAAATATGCTCTTTTTTAAAAAGAAAAAAATATTATTCACATTTTTTTTCATTATTGTACATACAATTCTCTTGCTTTTAGTTTATTTTGAGTATATCTGTCCTGATTAGTCTTCCAAACTCATTGAAGTCTACTTATGCTTTGCTAGTATTGATTATTATTCCTATTTCAGCCAAACTAGGTAAAGAAATCAAGAAAAAAGTAGAAGAATATATTTACGGAATGGGTTTTTGCTTAGAGAACCTCTCTCACCTTTCTACCCACTAATTTGAAATATTTATTAGACAAATATGCTAAAATTTAAATTACTTTTATGAAGACTACATGGAGCATAAATAAGGAGTGTTTTTTGAAAGTCTATACATAACTCATATCAGTCAATGCTCAAAAAGCAATTCATAAAAATTCTGCTTTTGTTCCAAATTTACTAATGTAAATTAAATTAATATTAATTATTTATTTAGTTGTATATTTATTATTATAATAAATACTTAACTTATCCAAAAATAAATTTATAATTAATTCATTCATTAAAAATTAAAAAAAAAGAACTATAAAAGTGATAGCACTCAAGAGATAAATATAGAAAGAATATTAGGATAAGAATTTAGATAGTAATTTATTTTAAATTACATTTCTAATCTCTATAGTAATTATTTAAATTAAGTGGATAAATTTCACAAAAAATAAATTGAATTTTCTTATTTAAGTTTTTTAATTGAAAAATCTAAAAATAAAACAAAATCGCTCAAAGAACTTTTTAAAATACAACAAGAATATTCCAAAAATAAAAATTGGACTAATTTGATTTACATTAAGAATCTAATTAACAGAGCTTCTTCTCTAAGCTAAAACTTTGAAGGAAATAAAACTAATGAGAACTAAACAATTAAAATGCATGACCCTATTACATTTGATTTCCTAATGACAGAATTCAAAAATAGATTAAAATCTTAGATTTTAAAATAAATAGAATATTTCAAATATCTTTGCTCAAATTATTTTAATTTAGAAGAGCTTATGAATGTTTCTAAATTAAATTTGAAATAAATTTAAAATGTAAGAACACTCTAAAAGCTACTCTATGATATTCACCCAAATAATTTAGCCCTTAATAGTCTTTCACAAATATTTTAATCTACTTTAGATTTTTACTCTACTAATCCTAAAAAGCTTTAAAATAGCAAATTATAAAACACAAGCTCAATTATTCCATTAAAAGATTTATTTTCTCCTTAATCTTGTTCAATTTATTGCAGTCTTATAAACAAAACCATAGATATTAAAAGAACTTCCTTAAATTTCTCATAAATATTTGAAACATAGTAAGTTGCGATTATAGGGAAATAAGTTTCTAATTTGTTACCAAAAGATTTATTTGATGCGCACGAGCTAACTATGGATGAATTTATTAATTTAGGAAATACTGATTCAACTATAAGCTAAGGTAATCAAATTTTAAAAAAATATAAATCTAAATTTAATTTTTTATAAACATTCAAAAAATAAGGTGAGAGATTTGTATTTGCTATTAATGGAAATGGTTTCATATTTCCAATAAATATAAGAATAAAAGTGGAAAGCATATATGATGATTTCGGAGTGACTGCTTTCATCAAAAAAGTTAATGATTAAAAGCAATATATATTTTTTAATGAATTGTTTTAAATAACTGATATCAGTCACACTATTTATCAGAAAATATTTTCTTAGGAGTATTCATTAAGTAATTATTTTTATCAATTTATTCATATAAAAATTATATTTTTTTTAAAGCTAATTGGATAAATTAAAAAAAAGATAAATATTTAAAAAATTATTTTTATTTTCCCAAAAATATTTTTATCATATAACAAGATTGACTAATATAACTCTTCCCTATTCATACATTAATTAATTAAAATACATTTAATTTTTAAAATAAATACAAAAATATTTTTTATAAATTTTGTTATATTTACTAAATAAGATATTTTTATAAATAAATAAATAAATAATAAATAGATTAATTAAAGAATCAACTAATCTTGAATTTTATCCCTTTACTTGATGGAATTTTTAGTGATAAAAGTTTGTCTTAAGAAAACTATTATAACTCTTGTCTTTTGTTAAAAAGAAGAAAAGAAACATCTCTAGAAATAAATTCTTTTAAAAGTAATCTTAAATAGACTTTTTACGTAAACGAGAGAATGTTTTCTCTTGTGTTTAGAATAAGAAACCTCAAGTCTTAAAATATGAAGCATATAAAATATTTAGAAATAGAAAACTTTGCAGAGGAAAAATCAATTTATGAGAAAAGACAATCTCTGAATTTGCTTAGTAAATGCTTAGACTTAGACTTTTAATTGGATGATTTTTTGATTAGAGAAACTTAAGAAAATGATTAAAAATCTGAACAAATGTCAAATAGACAAGATAATTTATTCTTAAAATTACTAAATAGTAACGAAAAATGTAAAGATAAAAATTAAGAATATTCTACTTCATTTAAGGTTGATTCAAAGATTGATTTAGAAAGTTAAATTCAATTAAATATTTAAGATTAACAATCAAATACAAATTTTGGTTATGCAGAAGAAGAAACAAACAACTTTAAAAGAAATAATTCTTAGAACAATTATTATTAAAGTAATTCTGCTTCTAAAAAGAACCAGTGTGAACAACAAATTGAAAATTTATCTTCTAGGATTGAAATCAATAGCTTCTAGAATTTGTAATCGAGCAGACCTTTAAATCCTCATACATTTTCTAATTTAACTAGTGTTTTTAAAAATGCTACAAATGAAAGTGAGAAGCAAAAAATTAATTAAAAATCTTCTCAATTTCATAAAGAATTTTTAAGTAGATAATTGAATACAACTATTCAGTTTGACAGACCTAATTAAGAATGTACTCCCATAATGTTTTCAGTGTGCAATTATTTTTAAAATGATAAATCATCAGGATCACCTGAAAGCATAATTTAAAACCATAAAAGCATCCAGGCAGCAGCAGCAGCAGCAGAGGAGGAGGAGGAAGAAGAAGAATATAATTCTTATAATTTTGAAAAATAAATTAAAATGCAACCTAGTAAATAAAATATCTCAGAAATGAAGCTAAATAAATTAAAAGAAGAAGAATATTAACACTCGCTAAATGAAAGCCAAAGCTCATCAAAATCGATAAGAAAGAGTATCATAAAAAAAATAACTTAAAACACACACACTAAGATTATTAGAATTATTATATTCACAGGACTGATGTCTATTGCTTTACTATAAACTTGTGCTTTAGGATTTTATTTTATTAACATTAATAATCTCATTTCAATTTCTAATTTATTTAAAAAATTTAACTATGCTAATTTAATTAACGAATCAGTTTACTAATTTCTCAAGGAATAAGGATTTTATTACGACACTCTACATTATAGACAAATTTTAGATCTGGATCGATACATAATTAACCCTTAAAACAGCTCCTAAATCATTAAAGAAATATCTTACAGACAAGCAGTAAGCCAAAAGCGCTAAAGAAATGCAGCTGGACAATTTAGTAAAAACATTAATCAAATTCTTAAGTCTTAAGATGAAGAATTCTTTTAATATATTTCTGAAACTGAAATTGCAACTATAAGTGACTTTTATGATCAAGTTATTTTTACAAGAGAAACTAAAAATAATACAATATTATACACAATGCTTTTATTCTCATCAAATTTAAATTAGTTATATTTGTAAGGAACAAACCCTGATTATTACCCTGAATCAGTTGTTTATGCCAACTTAGAGACTTTCAATAGCTCTATCTTAAAAATCCAAGTTATGATATATGATTAATTAATAAACTCTTACTAGTGGCTTAAGGATATATAATAATATTAGCTAATATAGATACTAGTTTCTTGCGTATGTTTAATAGCCATAGCATTGCCTTTCCTGTTTTACTTTAATTCTCAATAATATCAAATACTAAAACTTTTAGGATCGTTTCCACCTTCACTTTTACAATCCTAAATTAGCTTGTTTTATATTAGCTTGAATCACTTAGAGCAGCTTTAAAAAAAAGAAATTTAACCCAAAAGCAGATCCTCAAATATTATGTAATAAGTAAAGCCTTAAAGTGCAAAATAACTTTTTCCTGAACAAGTGTATGACAAATAAAATTTAATTCAATTTAATAACAAAAACGGTTAATAAAAATCTTCAAATAAGGCGGAAAATATAAATTTTGGTAATTAAATAGTTTCTAAAAGATAAAGATAAATAGCTTCTTTCAAATAATCTAGACCTTTTAAGTTAAAATATATTATGGCTTCTCTTTTAGTTGCAATTCCATTCATGATTTAACCAATTTATAATTTAGTTAGTGTAAATTAATTTGTAGATGAATCTACATCTACTTTAACTTAAAGACAAATTCTTTTCAGCTCTTCATAATATATACTTAACTTTGAAGTTGTTCATTACAAGATATGGGAAACTATTTTTTATTAACCTATTTTTGATTGGAATTTTTTTTATTAATATGGAAAAAATATAACTTAGTAAAGTGAACAAGTTTTAGGTGGAATCAAAAACATAACACATTATGAAACGAGCTCAAGATATGAAAAAGAATAAAGAAAGATGTACTTTAGCAATTTATTGGAAGATAATTTGTGCAATCATATTGATATTATTAATAATAGCGCATAACAAAATCCATATTTTAAGAAATAAACTACCAGCGAGGAGTGCCAAAAATTATTGAGTAAAAATTTCGAAAGAGGATTCATTTTAGCTTTTCAGTATTTAACAAACTTATACAGAGACTGGTTTTAAATGTACGAATAATATGCAATTATTCAAAATAAAACAAATTACTAAAACACCTTACAATAAAATATAACAGAAAATGTTATAAAAATACAGCAAACGAAGAATAACCTTTTAGACATTTACAATTCTAATGTCTTATTTTAATAACTAATCTTCTCTTTTGAAAACTTTTTTTTAAATTAAAATGAAAAATACATACAATATATAATTAAAATGTACACAGCATTAATATCTCTACAAATAGTCTTAATTTTTCTGGTTATTTCTATAGTTTGGACTTCACTCTATAAAAAATTTAAAAAATCAATCAACGAAACCAAGTTATTGTTAACTAATTTTCATATTGATTTGATTCTAAAAAACCATCTTACTTTTTTATATCTTAAAAATTAATGAAATCAATCAATCATAAAATATTCGAAGACTTTCACTAATAATTTATTAGCTTTATGTAAAATAAATATAACTGACTATATTCTATATGTTTCTTTATTTGAATTGTATTAAATGCCAATTTAAATTTAAATTTACACTTAGTTAGTTTGTTTTTATGCCTTTTTATTATTTATTTTAGTTTATTTACTCTCAAACAATAGAGAACTAGATAGAATTAGTAAAGTAGTAGACAAGTATAATTAATAAAGCAATATAGATAAATATAATTGATAAAGCAAAATAGATACATACATATATACATATAATATGAAATGTATTTGTATTCTAAACATAAATCTAATTAATTTTTTTCTATTTAATTCGATAAAATATATTTGTTAAATAAATATTTAAGATTACTAAATAGATAGATAATTAAATAAATAAATAAATAAATAAAATATTAAAATGACAATATAATTATAATTAAGTAAGTACTCTTTTATGAATTGCTTAGTTAATAAATATGTATAATCCTATCTAAAATCTTTATGTCTAAAGTAAAATACTAAATAAACACTATATTGAATATAACTTGTTAAATTAATTATTCCTAAGATCATTTTAATTAACTAACTATATGTGCAAAAACAAACAAAAAAAATTTATTTTTTTATTTAGGGTTTAATTTATTTTCTGTTTTAATTTGAGTGAATTTCGCTGACTATTACTATTCTATTTAATTTTTGTGACAATTTTCTGTGGTTATTTGTTTAATAATTTATAGATTAATTTATTTTCTATATACTCAAGTAAATTAAATCAGAAATTATTAGTTTCGTTGTTTTTAATTGAAGTCTAACTAGAGTTTACTCTATTTTGCTAGGTAAATAAAAATCTGTAAAACAATTAACTTAAATTTGTCATTCACTAATCTGGGAAGAAATAAAAAAGAAAATTAACATATTTTAAGGTAAATAAAACGAAATTATTTTGTTCATTTTAATATAACTAACTAACTAACAAACAAACTATTTTCCAAATACAAATACTAGGGTGAATACTATTTTTGTTGCATGAAATAAATTACAGAGTAGATATTTATTTTTTAATATTTTTATTATTTTAGAAAAAATAAAATATTTAAATCAATTAATTAATCAATCAACAAAATTAAATCAACAATTAAAATGAAGTAAATAGATGATAAAAATCATTCTAAATCCATTATAATTTCATTCTATATTGAGATTTTTTGGGTTGCCTATCGATCTTTTAGTAGAAATTTCTCTATTTCTATAATCCTTATGACTATAAGGTAGCTTCAGGAATTAGCAGTAGTTTTTGTAAATGACGGTGCTTAAATGTCTGAGCTATAATCTGATCAATTAAATTACTTTAAAAAGCTTATACAATGGAGTTCAGTGTACAGACTATTTGCTCAATTTCTAGATATAGAAATTGCTAAAATGATTACATTTGCTATTGTATTTGGCATAAATCTGCTTATGATTATCTCTTGCTTGTGTTTTTTATTTTTATATCCTTATTTTAAATAAAATCATAGAAATATTTTTAAGCTGAATTTAATACCTTCATTCATCTTTTCTATTTATAATTATATTCTCTTCCTTCCAAGTTTAGAAGTTACTACTATAATGCTCAAAACTCATATTTTTTCCTCTATTCACATATTGTTCTATTTAAATTACCTTTTTACTTGGGGAATAGGTAAAATATTTATTTTATTCTATTACAAATAAATAATAAAAATTAAATATTTTAAATAGCTTTTATATAAGTAACACATGATTATGACTATTCGTTTGGTGATTCTGATTAATTATCTAAAGCTTTTACAAGAATTGATCTACTTTATGGATTGATTATTGGTTTTTATTGCTGTCTCTCGCAAATTATAACATAGAAATGTTCTTTGATTGTCTTTGTCTTCATTTTCCTATTTAAAATTTGTGCTTACTTTAAAAGAAAAAAGTACTACTCCCAATTTTTTTCATTAATGTATATATAATTTTCATGCTTTTAGTTTCTTTCATGTCTGATTGCCTTGATTAGTCTATTAAACAATTAGAATTCGTTTGCTATGTTTCAAATTATCACTATTCCTATAGCACTAAAATTAGGCATATAAATTTAAAAAAAAGTTGAAGAAAATATTTACAGAATGGGAATTTACAATGACGAGCTCACTGTTTTTTCAACTCACTAGTTAGATAGTTTCATTAGACTTATTTACTAAAATACAAATTATTTCTATGAGGATTATATGGAACGTAAGCAAGGAGTATTTTTTGAAAGCCTTTATATAAATCACATAAGCAAATGTTCAAAAAATGATGCACAAAATCTCTGTTTTTGTTCATAATTTACTCAAGTATCAAATTTTAATATCATAATTCAATTATATTAAAGCAATTTAACTTATAAAAAGGATAGCCACTCTCCAAATGTAAAAGATATTTTGGGCTAAGACTTCAGAAAATAATTTATGATAAATTAAATTATTAATTTATACAAGAATTATTTGAATAAAGCTGATTTTTTTCAGAAAAAGAATATTCTCTTCTCATACTTAAGCTTTTTAATAGAACAGACAAGGAATGTAACTTATTCATTCTAAGAACTTTTTAGAGCGCAGAAAGAATGCACATAATATAAAAATTGGACAAGCTTAATATATATATAAAACCTAATAAATAATGCAACTTTATTAGATGAAAATAATTATTTTACAAACTCAAAAAATAAAAACGAAAAAATATAGATGTATGAGCCAATAACATTCGATATCTTAATAAATAAATTCTAAAATAGCTTAAAAATATAGCTATAGAAGTAAATACTATATTTCTAATATTTATGTTAAGATTATTTTAAATTAGAAGGGCTGTTGAAAAATTCTTAATAAAATTTAAATCGAATTTAGGATTTAAGAGTCATTTAAAATTAACTTTACGCTCTTAATTCTAAAGACTCTGTTTTAATCAACCTTTCACAAATATTTTAGATTTGTTTGGATTTCTACAATACTTCTAATTTAAATGTGAAATCAAAGAAAAAACTAAGACAAACTTTAAATTTTGATTTAGAAGATGTTTTTTCTCCTTAGTACTGCTCAATTTACTTTAGTCTAATTAGCCAATTCGTTGAAATTAAAAGAACTTCAACGAATTTCTAACAAATATTTTAAATAGATTAAGCCAGTGTTTTAGGAAAATAAATCTCTGAGTTACTTCCAAAAATTTTACATGAAGTACACGAATTGACAATTAGTGAATATATCAATTTAGGAAATAAGGATTCATTGATCAGTACAGGTAAATTAAAAATATATTATTAATTAATTAATTAATATTTTATTTAAATTAGATTAGAGATTTGCATTTGCTTTGAATGGAAAAGGTTTCATATTTCCAATCAGTATAAGAATAAAAACAGAAAAATTTTTAGATGATTTTGGAGTTACAGCTCTAATCAAAAAAGGAAGTGACCTAAAGTAATATATATTTTTTAATGAGTCCTTTTAAATTACTGAAATCAGCAGCTTTATTTATGAAAGAGTATTTTCACAAGAGTATTCATTAAGTAAATTCATTTTGTTTATATCATCTCATTTCTCTTTCTTTTCAACAATTCTATTTTTTCTTACTTTAGAATAATTTTTAACAATATTGAAATTTGAAATTTTGCTTTTAATAAAATTTTTTTTTAGCTTTCATTTTTATAACTTTTAAAATTTATTTTTTTAAACAGGATAGTTAAAGGATCAGCTACTTTTTAACTTTATTCCCTTAATTCTTGTAATTATGAATGATAAAAATTAATCTGAAGAAAACTATTATGAGTCAAGTCTTTTATTAAAAAGAAGAAAAGAGACATTAAAGGATATTACATTATTTAGATAATGTTTAAAATAATAAATGTATTAATAGGAAAAGCTATTTTCTATTGCTTTTAGAATAAAAAATTTTTAATCTAACCGTATGAGACACATTAAATATTTAGAAATAGAAGAGTTCTCAGAAGATAAAACCTATTTGAGCAAGAAAAATTTGCTCAATTAGCTAAGTTTATAATTAAATATTGATTTTTAACTTTTTGATGATAATATATTTAAAGAAAGCTAGGAAAATATTTCACTTTAATAAATAGGATCAACCATTCAAGAAAATTAATTATCTATATTTCCAACTTACATAAAAGATTGTTAAAGAAATTAAGGATAACCTACATATATTAAAATAGATTCAAGAAATAATTTAGAAAGCTAATCATAGACAAATATTTAGGATTAGACAACAAATACTAACATCGAAATACCAAGAGAAGATTTTACGAACCTAAAAAGCAAAGCTTTAAATGATAGTAATTTCTAACAAGTTAATTCAGCTTCAAAATAGAGTTAATTTGAGTAAAATAGCGAGTTTTTAACTTCAAGGTAGGAATTACACAGCTTTCAGCATTTGTTTTGCTAATCTAATAAACTTATAAATACTCAATCTCATATAAATCTTAATAGCCTTAACTAGATTGGTTCCTCAACATTTGATAAAAGTTAAGATAATTCAAATATAAAACAGAAAAGTATCTTAAAGACTTCTTTTATTTCATAATAGCCATAGATAAGATAAGCAAATAAAATTCATAATTAGAATAATAATGAGAGTATTAATGCAAAGCATATAAGGTTTCAAATTAATTAAGTGAATATTGATAAGTCATCAGATTCCCCATTAAGCATAGCATTAAATCATAAAAACTACTAAAAAAACAAATTTGAAAATATTTAGGAAGAAGAAGAACTTTCTCTTGATTATGATTAAAGACTAAAAAAACCTTTTAAAAATGAAAAGAACGAAAATAAAAATGATAATTAATTCAATTAATAAGAAGAATAATATCAAGCGTCAAATAGTTTTTAAGGCTCTTAATTGTCAATAAAGAAAAAAATCTTCAAAAAAATAACTTAAAACACAAACAATAGGATTATTAGGTTAATTATTTTAACAGGTTTCACATCAATCATTTTTTTATAAGCTATCACTTTAACTTTCTATTTTATCAATTTAAGTAGCTTAAGTTAAATTACTAATTTATTTAACAAATTTAACTATGCTACTTTAATCAAAGAGTCTGTTTCTCAATTCTTCAAAGAATAAGGTTTTTCCAATAATGCTTTTGTATTTTAGAATATTTTGAATTTAGATCGTGTTATAATTAATCCCCTTGATACTTCAAATAACATAACTGAACTTTCTTACTTACAAAGTATTAGTAATTACCACTCAAAAAGGGCAGTTATGCAATACAGCTAAAACATCAATAAAATCTTTTAATCTAAAGATGAGGAATTCTTTTAGTATATCTCATAAACTGAAATATAAACAACCAGTGATTTTTATGATTAGACAATATTTACTAGATAAGTTTCTAACAATACAATTTTATACTCCATGCTGCTAATATAATCATGCTTGAACTAGCTTTACTTGTAAGGTAATAATCAAGAATATACCCCTGAATCAGTTATTTTTACGAATTTCTAACTATTTAATGTCTCTATTTAAAAAATTTAAACAATGATAAATGATCAATTAATAAAACTCTACATCAAATTCAAATAAACTTAATTATATTAGTTAATTTAGACTTTGGTTTCTGCAACTTGCTTAATAATAATAGCTGTTCCTTTCATGTTTTACTTCAAATCTTAATAATACTAAATTCTCAAGCTTTTAGGAACATTTCCTCCTAAGCTACTCTAGAACTATATCAATTTATTTAACATCTATTTGAATCATTTAGATGAATTTCAAAAAACACAAACTGAAAATAAAAATCAAGACAATTTTAATTTAATGTAGTCATTGAAATCAATAAGTTCTTAACAGCTTATTACAGCTGTGGCTGATTCTTAAAAGAGCTAAAAATAAAAAAGAAAAAAAGAAAATAGTTAAAATCAAACAATTACTAAAAATTCAAATAAAAATGATGCTTCGAATAACTAAATAAAATTTCCTTAAAGGCAAAGATAAATAGCTTCTTTTAGTTAGCCTAAACCTTTTAGAACCAAATATGTTTTACTTTCATTATTAGCTATCAGTCCCTTTATGGTTTATCCTACTTTTAATCTAATTAGCATAAATTAATTTGTAGAAGAATCGAGTATTTCATTAAAATAAAGAGAAATTCTACTAAGCTCATCCTAGCATATTTTAAGTTTCGAGGTTGTTCATTATAAGATATGGGAAATGGCATTTTATGGGCCTATTTTGAAATAAAATTTTTTTTTCGTTTTTGGAAAATATCTGACAAAGTAAAATGAAAAAATCTTAAGTCAAATAAAAAGCCTAACAAATTATGAAACAAATGAAAGATATGATTCTAGCTAAAGGGAAAACTATTTCAATAGATTATTATTGGATGATGTATGCAGCTATTTGGATTAAATTAATAACCAAACATTATGTAATAAATATTTTAAGGTTCACACCCATGGATAGCAATGTTAGACATTATTGAATGGAAATTTTTAAAGAGGATTTATTTTATCTTTTTAATACCTAGCTAATTTATTCAAATAATGGTTTTCTGTATATGAAGGATACTCAGTTATTTAAACCGAAAGTAATGATTTGAGATCAAATATAACCTAAAGCATTATAGGCTAGTAGTACACAAAGAATAATCTCATAGATATTTATAATTCTAATTTTCTAATCTAATAATTAATTTTTTCATTTGAGAATTTTTTTTTAAACTAAAATGAGAAATACACCAATTATATAATAGAAATGATTACAATACTGATGATTGTTTAGATTGCATTAATCTTTTTCGCTATTTCTGTTGTATGGATGTCTCTCTACAAAAAATTTAAAAAAGAAATCAGTGAAACTAAGCTACTTTTAACTAACTTTCACATAGACATGATAATTCAAAACTAGGTAACTTAATAGTATTTTAAGAATCCATGATATTAAATAGTACTATTAAAAATTGATGAATTGAAAATAAGTGCTAATTATTTTCACTTTTTTTATGAGCAAGCTAAAAATTATGAAAAAAATTTACTTTAATAAAAATTAAAAAATTGGTAAAATATTAATTATCTCTAGAATTGGTAAAGTATATTAGGAAAGAAATAATTATTTAATATAAATAAATGTATGTTAAAATATTTACCATTTATTGTATGAAATTATTGTATTTATTTATTGCTTTAAAATTTACCTTCTTACATAGATAATAAGTAAAGAGAAAGGCTCTACTGTAAAATGAAAAGTTTAATTTAATTATGTATGTATTGTCAGTTAATTGCTATGTTGATTTTATCTGATCTGTTAAATTATATTTTTCAAACTAGATCTAAATTTTATTTTGATTAATTTGATTTAAACAAACCTAATGAATTTTGAAAATTTTAACATTTTTAATCAATCAATAATCTGTAATAGTAAAAACAAATCACAAAATCTTTTATTAGACTAAATAATACTTTTACTAAAATAATTGATTGTCTGTCATGTATTTCATTCAAGATACCTTTCGTTATTTATCAAATAAATAAAATTATTTATATTTTTCAATGAATGCTAAAGATAGCAAATTCATTTTATGTATAAAAATTTAATTAAATATATTTTCTTAAAATCTACTAAAAAACAAATAACTTTGATTGATCCTTGGAATGAATTTATTTGTTACAATTTTTGTAAATTTATACTGATTTTGAAGTATTTGTCTAGTTGAATAAATAGTAATATGATCTAATGTCGTAATAGTTTAGTAAATTATTAAATTTATTCATAAAATTAATCAAATATCAACCAATATTTAAAATTTTAGATTGATCAAATTTTTTTTACTTAATTTCACTCTTTTTAATTTAAACAAACAATAAAAATCATATTTTATCTTTGAAACAAAATTTTTACTCTTAAAAATTTAAATTTATTTTAAATATAGAATATTTATCATTTACAAGAGCAAGAACACTATTTTTATTTATGACATCTTTAATTTAATTTACAAATTATATTGTTTTTACATGTAATATCCAATAAGTAGAAATATACTGTAAGGTCTCATTAATTCACCACAAATTATATTAACCCTAAAAATTAAGAAAAATTTTTTAAATTAATGCCTAAAAAATTTTCAAAAATTTATGGGGTAGTGTTAAAAAATGAGAACTACATTATATATATATTTTTTTTTCTTTACTCTATTTATATTTATTTATTTACTTTTACAGATGTTGATTATAATTCATTGGCAGATATGCTTTTTAAGCCTTTGATTGTTAATTGAATTATGAAAGATAGATCAAAATAAATCTATCTGCATATCTATGATTATTTTACAAATCTAAAAGTAAAATAAATCAGAAATAATTGGTACTTTTTTTAATTTTTTTAATCAAAATTTATTAGTAATATCATAAACCAGTAATTATTTTATATTTTAAATAAATTGATCAAAACATTTAACAGAGAAGAAATAAATATTTTCAGGCAAACAAATCACCATTCAATTTACATATTTATTTTCTTATTTATTTTTTGATTTTGTGTAAATATTACTTTTTTTTAGCTTTACACTTAAAAATAACTTTGTGAAGAAAGTGGTCTGTCTGTTTTTTAACATAAATATTAATTAGTTTAATATATAAAGTATTTAAATAAAATAAATAGTTAAAGATTAAAACTAAAATGAATACTATTAAGGATAAGGCTTAAATTCAATCTATTTTTACTTCATATTATGTTGAAATATTTTGGGTTGCCTTTAGGTCTTTTCAAAGAAATTTTTCTATTTCTTTAGCTCTTATTGTTTTAAGATTCTTCCAAGAGTTAAATATGGCTTTTGTAAACAATGGAGTTAAAATTACAGAGCTCTAAACAGAACAGCTTAATTATTGTAAATAGCTTTTTTAATACAGCTCCTTCTATAGACTTTTCTAGTTATTATTTGACATAAACACAGCTCAAACTATATCTTTCACTTTTACATTATTCATCAATTTATTTTTGATTTTCTCATGCTTGGGTTTATTCATTTACTCTCGGATTATAAAAAATAAACATGCTAAATTAAAAAGGATAAGCTTAATTCCATCATTTATTTTCTCGGTATATAATTATTTGCTTTTCTTACCTAGTTTAGAAGCCACTACAATAATGATTAGCACTTCTTCTCTTCTTTCAACTCATATATTATGCTATTTGAATTTCATCTTTACTTGGGGAACAGGTAAAATTAATTTACAACCAGTCAACAAATTTATTAATTTTTTCTCTTAAAGCTTTAATTTAGGCAGCTCATGATTACGATTATACCTTTGATGATACTGATTAATTATCTAAAGCTTTTACCAGAGTTGATATTTTAATTGATCTCATAGCTGGTGTTTGCTGTTTTCTATCTTAGATATCGAAATAAGAATATTCTTTGATAATTTTTTTGTTTTATTCTTTATTCAAAATTTGTGCTTATTTTTATAGAAAAAAATATTATTCACTATTTTTTTCTTTAGTTTATGCTTAATTCTGTTGCTTCCAACTGCTAATTAGTATCGTTGCATTAATTAGCTTTTTAAACCCTTCTAATTCATTTGCTTTCTTTGTGTTGATCATAATACCTATATCTGCCAAATTAGGGATATAATTAAAAAAGAAGGTCGAAAGAAATATTTATAGAATGGGTATTTGCTGTGAAGATCTCTCTAACTTTTCACCTCATTAATTAGATATATTTATTAGGCTGATTAGTTAAAATTAAAATTATTTCTATGAAGACTATATGGAGCATAAACAAGGAGTTTTTTTTGAAAGCTTATACATTAATCACATTAATTAATGTCAAAAGGTCAAATCTTAATAATTCTGCTTTTGCTCTAAATTCACACCAGTAATTTCAATTGATAAATTTTAATATTCTCTTCTTCAAAAAAAAAAAAAAACAATTAAATTTCTCTTCAATATATTTAGGACTAGTTTAGCAGTTATCCTTCAAACAGAAACATAGAAGATATTTTAGGATAATAATTCAGAAAATAGTTTGTGTTGAATTACATAATTAATTTATATTAGAATTATTTAAATTAGGTCGACTATTTTCATAAAAAGTATATTGTGTTTTCATACTTAAGTTTTTTAATAGAGCAAGCAAGAAATGCAAATAAATCATATTAAGAGCTGTTAAAAATAGAATAAGAATTCACCAAACATAAAGATTGGAGCTGTTTAATTTATACAAAGATTCTTATTGATAGAGTTTCTTCATATGATAGCTAGAATTTTGTTCATTAAATAAGTGAAAATTAAAAAATTAAAATGTATGACCCAATTACTTTTGATGCGCTTATGAATGAATTCTAATTCAGCTTAAAAACATAGACTTATAAATAAATAGAATACTTTAAATATCTTTGTTCGGATTACTTTAATTTAGACGAGCTTATAAATATCTCATAGAATAATTTAAATGGAATTCAAAATGTTAGAGCTCTTTAAAAATAACTATATGATATTCATATAAATAATTATGCTCTTAACAACCTTTCACAAATATTTTAAATTACTTTAGATTTTTATAATTTTTCTAGGAAAAAGTTGAAAAAATAGCAAGATTAGAATTAAAAATAATATGCTTTTTAAGAATAAGTATTTTCTCCATAGTGTTGCTCAGTTTACTGCAGTCTTATTGGTTAATCAATTGACGTTAAAAGAGTTTCAAAAAATTTTGAGTAAATATTCGAAATGGAATAAATTAGCATTATTGGAAAAGATACCTCTTACTTACTACCAAAGGTATTGCATGACGCTCACAAATTGTCAGTTAATGAATTTATAAACTTTGGAAACATTGACTGTGTTTTAAACTAAGGTAATTAAATTATAACTAAATTAAATAAAAAAATACTTTTATCTTTAAATAGGTGAGAGATTTACATTTGCTTTAAACGGTAAAGGCTTCATATTTCCAATAAATATAAGAATAAAAACTGAAAAATTCTCAAATGATTTCGGTGTAACGACTTTAATTAAAAAAATATAAGATTCTAAACATTATATCATTTTTAATGAATCGTTTTAAATCACTGACATCAGTAGCTTCATTTATGAAAAAATATTTTCAGAAGATTATTCATTAAGTAATTTATTTCATTTTCACTATCTGCTTTTAAGAAAATTAAATTTATAAAAATTAATTTAAAAATATTTAATTATTTATCATTCATTTTTATTAAAAAATATTATTTTATTAAAAAAGACGAATTGAAGGATAAGCTAGTTTGTTATTTTATTCCGTTGCTTGGGTAGATTTAAGAAAATAAAGCTCTCCTGTAAACAGAAGATGAAGAAAATTTGTATTAAACATGCCTACTGCTCAAAAAGACTTATAAAAAGAATTAAAAATTGGCAAAACTTTAAACCTTTATATAAAAAACCATTTAAAATGAAGATAGAATATTCTCTTTAGTATTTAAGATAAGGAGTCTTTAATCAAAGCATATGAAGCATATTAAATACCTAGAGATTGAAGAATTTACAGAATAAAAATCTATTTTAGATAAAAAAACCTAGCTTAATTTATTAAGCAGGCATCTGAATATAGATTTTATATTTTAAGAAGATGAAATTGGTTAAAAAAATAATGAAAATAATTCAGAAATTTAAGACTACTCGCCTATTAAAGATGATATATTCTAAATATTATCTTTAGATAATTAGAAGATCTTTGGAAAAAATGAAGAATTTATTAATAATTCTAAGTTAGAGTAAAATAATAATTTGGAAAATTACACTTAATTAAATGTTTGTAGTAAGTTTTCGAATATAAATACTAATGAGATAGGGAGAGAAGAAAATATAAATACAGAAAGAATAAACTCTTAATATAAGTATCTTTAAAATAACTCAGCTTTAAAATAGAGTTAGTAAGAATTACAAAGTGAAATTTTATCTTCAAAGCATGAAATAAACAGCTTTTAATATTTATTTAATTAATCTAATAGATTTTTAATTCCTAATTCTCGTTAGAATTAATCAAATATTAATTGTTTTTCCTCTTCAACATTAGATAAAAGTTAAGATTTTTCTAGTCTGAAATAAAAAAGTATTTACACTAATTAATTGCATTAAAAATCATTAAATATCTACCAATAATCTAATATCAATGTGAATAATACAATAAATTGTTAAAATATTAATTATAAACCTTTTATTATTAGCAGCTTTAATTAGAGTTAGGCAGAAAAATCTTCAGATTCAAATTAAAGTATTTCTTAAAAAAATAAATAAATAAGAAATTAAGTATAGGCAAACATTAGAGATGAAGAGTTTTCAATAAACAAAAGCCAGTATATTAAAAAATAAATCCTCAAAAATAACTCAAATAATTATGTTAAAAAGTAAAAAAAAATTATTCCGATCAATGAAGAAGATTAATATTATAAAAATTCATTTAATGGGAACAAAAGCACATAATTGTCTTTGAGAAAAAGAATCACAAATAAAATTACTTAAAACTAGAATACTTAAATTATAAGAATTATTATTTTCACAGGTTTAACCTCAATTATTTTTCTCTAAGCAAGTGTTCTAGCCTTTTATTTTTTGAATAAAAATAATTTGGATTCTATTTCAAATTTGTTTAAAAAATTTAATTCTGCTACAATAATAAACGAATCAGTTTTTTAATTTACCAAAGAACAGTCTTTTTCAATAATTGCTTTTAATTTTTAAAATGTTTTAAATTTAAATCGCTTAATGGTGGATCCTTCAGATCCTTCCAAAAATATTACTGAGCTAGCTTTCAGATAAAATATTAGTAAAAATCAATCAATAAATGCAGTTAAGTAATTTAGCAAAAATATTAATAACATTCTTTAGTCTAGAGATGAAGAATTCTTTAAATATATTTCAGAAACTAAGATATAAACAATGAGTGATTTTTATGATCATACAATTTATACTCACTAAGTTGCGAATAATACGATTTTATACACTATGCTTTTATTTCAGTCATGTTTGAATTAGTTATACTTGCAAGGAATCAAGGGCGAATACTACCCTGAATCAGTTGTTTTTGGAAACATTTAGGTCTTTAACAGTGCAGTATCACAAATTCAAGTGATGATTAATGATTAACTAATTAACTAATATGAAAATCTTAAATAAACCTAATTAGAGTAATTAATTTAGATATTAGTTTCTGGAATTTGCTTAGTAATTATTGCAGTTCCATTCTTGATTTATTTTAAGTCTCAATAATACTAAATAATTAAGCTTTTGGGATCGTTTCCTCCTTCCCTTTTGCAGTATTACATAAATATACTTACCATTTATTCCAGCTATTTAGAATAATTTGAAAAAAAGGAAAATCAAAATAAAATAAAAAGTTAATAATTCGATTTAAAATAAACAATGAAGTCAATAAGTACAAATCACCTTTTGCAAGTATTTGACTCTTAAATATAATAGTAAGAGAGTAATAATAATAATAAATAGAATTTCTTAAGCAATATTAAATAGTTTGATTCATCATTTAAAACTAAGCAAGTTTCTAAACGATCAAGGCAAATAGCATCTTTCAGCAAAGAAAAGGCTTTTAAATTCAAATACGTTTTAATTTCTATATTAATAATATTGCCTTTCATGGTTCATCCAGCTTTTAATTTAATAAGTATTAATTTATTTGTAGATGAATCGCTAACTGCGTTAACTTAAAGATAAATTCTTTTAAGTGCTTCATAATTTATTCTTATCTCTTAAGTAGTTCATTATAAGATCTGGGAAATAGCTTTTGTTCAACCGTATTTTAATTTCAACTTTTTTTATTTATTTGGAAAAAATGTTACTTAGTAAACTGAAAATGTCATGGATGGCATAAAAAGCCTAACAAATTATGAAACTAGCTCAAGATACGACTATTCTCAAAGATAAATATACTTCGATAATTTGCTATTGGATAACGTATGCAATTATATTGATTAGATCAATATAGAATAAACAAAAAATTTTTATTTGAAAAGCCGCTTAACCAGTTAATAATGCTAAAAATTATTAAGTGGTAGTTTTTAAAGAGGATTCATATTATCATTTGAATATTTAACAAATTTATACAAAGATTGGTTTTTTATGTACGAATAATATGCAGCAATACAGACTGAAACAAATTCCTTGTAGCAAAATGTAACACAAAGCATAATAAAATTACAATTTACTAAAAATAATCTTATTGATATTTAAAATTCGAACATTCTTATACAGTAATTAATTTTCTCATTTGAGAACTTCTTTTTAAACTAAAACGAGAAATACTCTGAGTATATAATTGAGGTATTTACAATATTAATAATTGCTCAGATGATATTAATCTTTTTTGCTATTTCAGTAGTATGGGTATCCCTTTACAAAAAATTTAAAAAAGAAATCAGCTAAATAAAGCTACTTTTAACTAACTTTCATATTGACATGATTCTTAAAAATGAGCTAGCATTAAAATATTTTAAATAAAAATGAAATAAATCTTAAAATTAATTAATTAATAAATCAATATTTTTATTTTACTTGTAAAGTTAAATTTATATTTAATAAGAATAATACCTATAAAATGTTTAAATTAATACTTATAGCTATTTTCAGAAAATTATTTCTAGAGTTAGAAATATAGAATTAGTAGAATAATAAATATTATTTAATATAATATTTAAAAAATTAAAATAAATAAAAAAAAGGTTTTGAAACAGGTTTCGAACCTGATAGAAATTTTGCCTTGAAAAAAAATGAAGGCAAATCAATATGAAATTGAAGAAATTATATTATCTAAAATAAAAAGATAAATAATATAAATATATTTTGAAAAACAAACTTAATATTTGCATATTTGTTAAAGCAAAGAAAAAATACAATAGAAAAAGAAATTTATTTATTTATTTTCATTTAAAAATAATATCCATATTAATATTTACTTTCATCTTTTAATTTTATATAGTAAATTAGGGATGGATTGAGAGACTTAATTCAAATTATTATTAACAGCAAATGTAAGCAATATAAAAGATAATATTGAAGAATATCTTTCATTAAAAATTTATAATTTTACTTACTCTTTGTTTGAATTAAAAAATAAATTACATAAAATTTTAAGATTAAACTTTCTAAATTAATTCAACTTTCTATTTATATTTATTGAGCAAATTATAATAATAATAAAATATACAATTTGATTAAAATTATTAAAATATTCTTTCTTCAAATATGAATATAATATTAAATTTGATATTATAACATTTTTGAAAAAAAGATTAAATTTAAAGACAAAAAATAATCTAATTATAAATAAAAATGAATCAAAAATATAAAATTATATTTACTTAAATACAACTTTATTTAATTCTTAAAATTTTATTTTAATAATAGTAAAATTAATATTTAGTTATATTTATTCAAAAGAAGATCAATTTTTTTATCTAATATGTAATCTAGAAGTAAAAATTATAATTTTAATTGAATGCGTAAAAGAGGGTATCAAATAAAAAATGTATTGTATTTATCTAAATTATCTTTTTAAAAAATCTGCATATGTATTCTATTTGTATGTAGCCTTGAAAAAGGCAGTACCCTAGGGTGCTATACATATATATTATATTTTTAACATATTATATTCTATTATTCAAATATTTAATATTTATTCATCATTTTTTCACTACTTGCTTATCATCAGAATTGTATTTGAAGAACAACTAAATTTTTTAGTTTGAGACAATTGTTTTTAACTTTCCATTATTATTATGATTCATTGATTTCGTTAAAACTTTTATTATAAGTAGAATAAATTACAAAAACAATTAAATACAACAAAAATTTTAAATTAAAAATTATATTTAAAATTAATAAATAAAAAAAAATTAGCAGAATAAAAATAAATAAATCAAATAATAAGCAAATTAAAACAATTATTTTGTTTTAAATTCATTTATTTGTATATATTAAAATATAACAACCCAAAAAAAATAAACTACTTAAGACCAAGTTTCAAATATAAGAGTTTAGTGCAGTTTGCTAAACCAGAACTTAAGCTTAATGCACCGATCGCACCAATTTAATTGTACCTTTTTAAAGATTGAAATAAAAATTTATAATTAATTAGTTAGTTAGAAGGAAAAAGTAAAGAAAAAATATAAAATAATATTTAATTAATAAATAAAAGTAAAAGTTGAATATAAAAAAGCAGCTAAATTAAGAAAGATAGAAGAGAAAAATAATAAAATAAAATCTTAATAAACAAATAAAATAAAATAAAAAGCTAATAAACAAATTTAATAAAGTTTTTTAGTTTTAAATTCATTTTTATAACTAAAAATATCACAATCCAAAACAAACAAATAAACTGTTATTACATAAGATTAAGTGTCAAATTTGAGAGATTAGTGCAATTTGCTAAAGCAGAACCTAACTCTGATGCACCCAATGTACCAATTTAATTGACACTTTTTAAATATTAAAGAAAAAATATGTAATTAATTAATAAGTTAGAAGGAAAAAAGGAAGAAAAAATCATCAATAAACAAAATAATTTAAATAAAAAGCTAATAAACAAATAAAAAAATTATATTGTTTTAAATTCGTTTTATAACTAAAAATTTTACAATCAAAGCAAATAAATTGTTTTTACCTAAGATCAAGTGTCAAATTTAAGAGATTAGTGCAATTTGCCAAACCAGAACCTAAGCCTTATGCACCAAATGCATAAATTTAATTGCCACTTTTTAAATATTTAATAAAATACATTTAATTAATTAGTTTTTTAGTTAGTAAGTAAGTAAGTAGGTTTGAAGTAAAATGGAAGAAAAAATATAAAATAATAAGAAATAAATATATTAATAATAAAATTAAAATTTGAAAATAAAAAAATAAGCAAAAAAAACACAATTCTTATAAACAAGAAAAAGAAAAATAAATTATTTAAAGCTAATAACTACAAATATTATTATCCAATAATAATTAGCTATTTTTACCTAAGTAGAAGTTTCAAATTAGAGAGATTTGTGCAATTTGAAAAAGCAGAACCTAAGCCTTATACACCCTCATCACCAATTTTACTGCCACTTTTTAAAATATTGAAGAAAAAGTATTTAATAAATTAGTTAGTTAGAAGGAATAAAGTAGAAAAAATATGAAATAATAAGAGATGAATTAATTAATATCAAAAGTAAAATTTAAATATAAAAATTAGTTTAATTAAGAAAGATACAAAGGAAAAAAATAAAACAAAAATTAAAAATAAAATAAAAAGCTAATAAACAAATTAAAATAGTTATATTGTTTTAAATTTATTTATTTTTTTTTCACTAAAAATATCACAATTCAAAACAAATAAACTATTTTTACATAAGTTCAAGTGTTAAATCTGAGAGATTAGTGCAATTTGCTAATTTAGATCCTAAGCCTGACACACCTCTATCACCAATTTAATTCTTACTTTTTAGATATTAAAGAAAAAATGAATAATTAATTAATTATTTAGAAGGAAAAAAGAAGAAATAAAATAAAATATTAAATAAAAAATGAATTAATTTATATTAAAAGCAAAATTTGAAAAAAAATGGAAAAATAGAAGAAAAAAAAAACAATGATAATAAAAGTAAAAATAAATTAAATAAAAATCGAAAAAAAAATTAAAAGAATTCTATTGTTTTTAATTCATTTTTATAACTAAAAATATCACAATCCAAAACAAATAAACTGTTATTACCTTAGATAAAGTTTCAAATTTGAGAGATTAGTGCAGTTAGCTAAAGCAGAACCTAAGCATAATCCACCAAATTCACCAATTTAATTCTAACTTTTTAAATATTGAAGAAAAATATATAATTAATAAGTCTATCAGCTAAAAGGAAAAAATATAAAATAATAAGAAATAAATTAATTACTAATAAAAGCAAAAATTGAAATGAAAAAAATGAGTTAAATTAACAAAGATAGAAAAAACAAATCAAAACACAATTATTATAATAAAAAAGAAAATAAAAAATAAGCCAAATAAAAAGCTAGTAAACAAATTATAAGAGTAATATTGTTTTAAATCCATCTATTTCTTTTACTAAAAATATCATAATCCAAAAAAAGTAAACTGTTTTTACCGAAGATAAAGTGTCAAATTTGATAGATTAGTGCAATTTGCTAAACCAGAACATAAGTTTGATATACCTTCATTACCAATTTAATTGTCACTTTTTAAATAACGAAGAAAAAATATTTAGTTAATTAGTTAGTTAGAAAGAGTAAACTAGAAAAAATATGAAATAACAAGAAATTAATTAATTAAAAAAAAAACAAAAGCTGAAAATAAAAAAATAAATGAGTTAAATTAAGAAAAATAAAAAAAAAGAAGCACAACTAGAATAATAAAGAAAAAGAAAAAGAAAAATAAATCAAATAAAAACTAATAAATAAATTAAAAGAGAAATATTGTTTTAAATTAATTTAATTTCATAACTGTAAATATCACAATCCAAAACAAAACTATTTTTACGTAAGATTAAGGGTCAAATTTGAGACATTAGCGCAATTTTTAAAAGCAGAACCTAAATCAGATGCACCTTAATCACCAATTTAATCGTAACTTTTTAAATATGGAATAAAAAATGTTTAATTCATTAGTTAGTTAGAAGGAAAAAATATAGAAAAAATATGAAATAATAAGAAATTAATTAATTTATAATAAAAGCAAATTCGAAAATAAAAAAATAAGTAAAATTAAGAAAAGTAGTATGAAAAAAAACGCAAGCACAATAAAAAATAAATCGAAAATTCAATATAATAAATTAATGAGTTTTGTTGTTTTAAATTCATATTTATTACTAAAAATATCATAATCCAAAACAAATAAACTGTTTTTACCTAACATCAATTGCCAAATTTGAGAGATTAGTGCGATTTGCTAAAGCAGAACCTAAGCCTGAAGCATCAATTTTACCAACATAAGTATAACTTTTTAAATATGGAAGAAAAAGTAAATAAATAATTTGTTAGATAGTTAGTTAGTTAGTAAATAAATAAATAAAGTAAAAGTTGAAAACATAAATAATTAAATTAAAAAAATTCAATCCAAAACAAAATAAATGATTTTTTAAAGTAAAAGTAAGTGTTAAAGTAAAAAATTTTAAAAAAAATATTAAATAATAAAATGAATAATGAATAATATTAATCAAAATTAAAAATGAATTTAAAATAACTAAAAAAATATATCTTAAATAAAAATGAATGAAAAAAGTTGAGAATTTCTATTAGAAAAATAGCATTTTTAAATAAATTGAAAAATTAATTATATTGAAAATAATAATAATAATAATAATCTTTATTAATTAAACAAACCTCATATTAATTTCAACATCTTATTGGGAATAGAGCGAAGAGTTTATAAACTTTTTTTTATTAAAAAAAATAAATTTAAATAATATTCTTAAAAAATTAATAATTACTGTTTCGAATGACTAGTATTTCTTATTCTATTATATCATTTTTTTTTATTTAAAAATATTGAATAGCAGCAATTAATGAAAGTTTAATTTAATTAAACTGGATGAAAAGAATAAATAAATAATATTAACTTATAAATATGTTTTTATGATGAGATATCATAAAAAAGTTGGTATAGCATTCATCATTTAATATAAATATTCCAATTTAAAATATGCACTTAAAAGAACTAGAGAATAGTACAGTTAGTCATATGTTGAAAATATTCTAGTAATTATTGCACTTAAATATTATAAAAATATTTTATTTTTTATATTTTTCTATTTAATAGTACAGTATTAAGGGGAGGGAAAATTAATAATATCTACAATTATTCTCTAATTAGATTTTTTTACAAATTTTTTAAAAATTTATAAAATATTTTATTTTTTTTTAAATTATGAAAACAATACTTACTTTCATATATATTTTAGTAAAAATAATTTAAAATTTTTTAAAAGCATACAATCATAAAGTCTGATATTTCATTTTAATTATATTAATATTACAAATAACAATTAAATTAATTTATCATTTCCAAGATTCTATTCTTGCGGTAGCTCTACCACAAGAATTTTAATCCTCTAAGTGCTTTTGAAGAAGCGTTAACTAAATTTAAAAATTACAAAAAAATATTTTATTCAAAATTGTTATTTATGTGAATTAAATTCTAAAATTAATAATGCTATTTTATTTGAACTAAAAAAGTATTATTTTAAGTAATAGAAGGTGTAATATTTTTATTAATTTTTTCATATAAAGTATGAATTTTACATTTATTTTCTTTAATGAAAATTATTATTTATTAATCAGCAAATATCAAATACTTAATTAAGTTGCTATTAAGTAAGTAAGTAAGTTATATTTGAAATTCAAACTAAAACTATCTTAAAATATTCAAAATATAAATAAATTACTTTTAACAGTTATTTAATGTTATATTATACAATTTATATTTTTGTCATTTATTTAACACAAATTTGATTGAATATATTTATTTACATACTTAATTTTCTAAATTTAAAGCTAGAATTAATGAATTTTATTGTGATGAGTATTGTTTGTTAGTTTTACATATACTGGTTATATCTAATTTTTTAATTAAAAAATAATTCGTCTATGAACATTTTTAAATGATCATCACTGTTCTTTTAATATGTAGTATTTAAAATAAGTAGAATTGTATTACTATCTAAATATTTCATACTTAGTTAAGCTAATACATATTTTATAATTTATTTTTAGTATGTCACTTATGATCCGTAATGTTTCCTGTCATATTAATAATCGCTATGAATTTATTAAAGCAAAGAAAAAAAAGTCAAATAAATAAATAAATTATTTTGCTATGTCTGTCTGCTTGTATTGATGCACCATTTACACTTTTTTAAGATGAAAAATATTACTTTTTAACTACTATATAAAGTAACATAATATCTTCTTCTAAAGCAAATAATTAATGTTTTTCAAAAAATAATAATTTATATTCTCTTTATTTAACTATTTATTTAGTAGCTTTTTTTATATTTTCTAATATTCAATAATTATCTTTTTTAACTTTTATTCTATATCCTATAATAAAAATATCTTTTAGATTGCTTGGATTGATATAAATTGAAATGATTACCAAGAAAAAGGTGTTTTTATAACAGAAGCAGATATTATGTATGAATAAAAAAAATATTTTATTTGCCTTATTTTAAAATTTCAGTTTAAATTATTTAAATTAAGAATTTTTATTTAAAAATAAAATTTACTCATTATCTTTTTATCTTTATTTATTTTTATTTTTAGTAATACCAAAATTTCTTATGTTTTTATCACTTTTTAAATTAATGAGTCAATTTTAAAATATAGTAAATAAGTCTGATATGTTTATTATGCAAACCAATTTATAATATATTTATTATAATATTAGAGTTTAGTGTTAAATTATTTAAATATTAATTGTTTTAATTGAATAAATCATTTTTATCTAAAAGTTAAGCGTTTTATTTTTAAATTTTTTCATATTTAGATTAGCTATAAAAATTTTTTAGATTTTCTTTTTATTATTTTATCAATATATTAATTGGTTGATAATTTAATAAAAATTTATATTAAATTTTAACAAGCTTTTAATCAATTTTCTAGTATATATCAATACATCAATTTATCTAATATTATTTTCTAATAGTTTGTTATAAGATGAAATTTATTTTTTGTAATTGTTTCTTTATTTTAATGTAAACCAATAAAATTAATTGCATTAAATTTACATTATTCTTAGTTATTACTTTTCTTTCTATATAACTCTATAAATTAAAATAGGACAGCCAGTATACAGATTTCATTTTGATTAATCTTTAGTAAAAATAGTCAGAAATTATAAGGAAGTTATTTGTATGCAAATTCTAATCAGAAGCTATTAAATATATCTCGCTAGAAATCATAAACGATCTTTTATAGGCAATTAAACGAATGTCAAATAGTAGACTGGAGCGATAATATATTTTCAGGTAAACAAATTAATAACAAGATAAATTTGTCTATCGATCGATGCTCATATTAGCAAAATCAATAAAATTGTTACTAAATTCTATATGTATTTTGTTTTAGCTTACATATATAATAGATACATAACGAGTTGGTGAATAGAAATTTATAACTAATTTATTAAATACTTTAAAAAAAATAATTTATATCCAAAAATAAAAAACAGAAACGAAAATTAAAATGAATAATTTTAAAAAAAGCAAATTATTTAATTCCCTGCTTAGTTTATATTATGTAGAAATATTTTGGGTTGCTTTCAGGTCTTTTCATAGAAATTTCAGTCTTTCTTTAGTTCTAATGATAGCTAAAAAATTATAGCAACTAAGCATAGCTTTTGTAAATGATGGCTCTCAAATGACAAAGTTTTAATCATATTAGCTACAATATTTTTAATAGCTTCTATCATGCAGCTCAATCTACAGATTTTTAACTCTATTACTAGATATAAACACTGCTCAAGATATTGCTTTTACATTTTTATTGAGTATTAATTTATTTTTGCTTATTTATAGCTTGGGTCTACTGATTTACTCTCCTTTTATAAAATACGATCATTCCTAAATTAAAAGAATTACCTTAATTCCGTCATTTATTTTCTCTACCTATAATTATTTTTTCTATCTTCCTAGTATAGAAGTTACCACCATAATGCTCAAATCGGAAATTTCTCTATCCACTCACATCTTATGCTATATAAATTTCTTTTTAACTTTGGGAATAGGTAAGCATTAATTTATACTCATTCGCCCACCAACAAATTTATTAATTTAATTAAATTTATATACAGCTATGCTATAAGCAACGCATGACTATGACTATTCTTTTGAAGATGTTGATTAATTGTCTAAAGCTTTCACAAGAGTTGATATTTTTAGTGAGCTCATTACTGGTCTGTTTTGTTGTATTTCATAAATCATAAAACAAAAATATTCTTTGATGATCTTTTTGTTCCTTTCCTTGCTTAAAATAGGAGCTTATTTAAAAAGGAAAAAATATTATTCCAAATTTTTCTCATTAATGCATATATAATTTACATGCTTTTAATTTTTGATTTGCTTGGCTGCATTTTTTAGTTAATTGAACTCTTTAAATTCATTTGCTTTGTTTGGATTAACCATAATTCCTATATCATTCAAGTTAGGAATATAAATAAAAAAATCAGTGGAAGATACTATTTATAAGATAAGTATTTGTTGTGAAGATCTTTCTCTTCTCTCACCTCAGTAATTAGATACATTCATCAGATAAATTTGTCAAAATTTAAATTATTTCTATGAAGATTACATGGAGTATAAATAAGGGGTTTTTTTTGAAAGCTTATTTATTAACCATACAAATTCATGCTCAAAAAATAACCCTTAGAAATTCTGCTTTTGTTAGAGATTTGCGCCAGTAAATTTATTTAAATAATTTTTATGCAATTTATTATCGAAATTTATAATCTAAATATTTAAAAATAGGATTTATTTAATAGCCATTTTCTTGACAGAAATATAGAAGGAATTTTAGGACAAGAATCTAGAAAATAATTTGTGCTAAATTACATCATTTATTTATATTAAAGTTATTTAAATAAGGTAGATTATTTTCATAAAAAGTATATTGTCTTTTCATACTTAAGCTTTTTAATAGAAATAGCTAAAAATAATACAAAAGCATTTTAAGAGCTATTAAAAATACAATAAGAATAAGTCAAACATTAAGACTGGACTAATTTAATATTTACAAAAAATCTTATCAACACAGCAAATAACTTAAATAATTAGTATGCTACAGATTCAAAAAATGAAAACTAAAGAATTGAAATGCACAACCCAATTAAATTTGATAATTTAATATCTGAATTCTAAATTTGTTTAAAATCTTAAATTTAATAATAAATTCAATATTTTAAGTATCTATGCTCTGATTATTTCGTTTTAGAAGAATTAATGAGTGTTTCTAAAAATAATTTAAGATCCATTTAGCATATTGGCAGTATTTAAAAATAACTCTTTGATATTCATTCTAAAGATCCTCTCCTTAACAGCCTTTCGCATATATTTTAGTTTAGTTTAGATTTTTATAATTCTACAAAGAAAAAACTAAACTAAAAGCAGTAATAAAATAAAATACAATTTAGCAATATCACAGATGTATTTTCTTCTTAATGTTGCTCGGTATATTGCAGTCTTATTAGTTAATCCATCGATATAAAAAGAACTTCAAAGAATTTTTAACAAATATTTGAAATTGAACAATCTAGTGTTGTCGGAAAATAAGTCTCTAACTTGTTACCTAAAGTGATGTTTAATGCGCATGAAATAACGATTGATGAGTTTATCAATTTTGGGAACAATGACTCTATTATCAACACAGGTAATCAATATTTAAATTTAAAAAGTAAAAAAATTTTTTATTAAAAACAAGGCGAGAGATTTGCTTTTGCTCAAAATGGAAATGGTTTCATTTTTCCTATCTACATAAGAATAAAAACAGAAAATCTCTAAGATGATTTCGGTGTCACAGCACTAATTAAAAGAGTGAATGACTAAAAATAATACATATTTTTTAATGAGTCATATTAGATCACAGATATTAGCAGTTTTATCTATGAAAAAATATTTTCTTAGGAGTATTCACTGAGTAATTTATTTATTTAATTAATTTGCGCTTATTATTTGATTCATATTTTAAGATAAAAATTCCAACTTTGTTAAATTATTTTCAATTAAAATACTTCTTTCTTTGAAATATTTTTAAAAATATTTTCTTTATTTAATAAATAGATTAATTAAAGAACTAGCAAATTTTGAAATTTCTCCCCTTGCTTAAAGCAATTTTGAATGATTAAACTTTATCTGAAGAAAACTATTACAACTCTTGCTTTATAGTAAAAAGAAGAAAGGAATATAAGCAAGATATAGCTTAATCAAGATTTAATAATTATGTTAATATAAATGAAAGAGTATTTTCTGCTATATTTAAGATAAGGAGTCTTTAATCTAAACACATGAAGCATTTTAAATACTTGGAAGTCTAAACTTTTTCAGAAGAAAAGTCATTATTTGGAAAATAAGCTTAGCTTAATTTGCTTAGAAAATGTCTAAATGTGGAACTCTAAATTTAAGATGATGAAATAAAAGAGAGCTATGATGAAAAATCATCAGAATATTTTTATAAAAAGCCACGAGTTAAAGAAAATTTACTTTTAAAATAACAATCTGAAAAAGTAAATGAAAATAAAAAAAATGAAGAACAACTTGGTGAGTTTACATCAAATTCAAATTACGGATAACTAAACTAAACTTAACAATATACTTAAGAATAATAATATTACATGAATATTGGCGGTTTGGAAGATTTTATTTCGAGTCGAAGGAAGAATTCTTGGGATCATTTTTACCATAGCAACTCAGGTTCAAAGTAAACTTAACAAGAATAGCATAGCGAAATAATATTATCAAAGCAAGATATAAATAATATTGAAAACTAATTATCAAATAGATATTTAAATTAATAATCTAGTGTTAATGTTAGTAGTGCGAATCAGTTGGCTTGCTAAATACTAGATAAAAACTGTGATCCTTCAAACTAAAAATACAAAAATTCTTTAAAAAATGACTTACTTTAAAAATCTCTTAACAGATAATCTATTTCAGCTTACTTAGAAAATGATAAAAATTGTGAAAATTTCAGTGTTAAGTATGCTATATGCAATATCCATTAAATTCTTGCAGATAAATTATCAGATTCACCTTAAAGTATAGCCTTTAATGATAGAAATAATAAAAATAAAGAATTTGATCACATTAAAGAAGAAGAATCTTCAGTTGATTATGAATAATAAATTAAAAAGTAATTTTATAGCCAAAATATCTAAAATGAATGTTTTGATAAATTATAAAATAATAACGAAAACAGCATTAAAATCCTCTACGACGTTGATAAATATTCCATTGATGGTAATTAAAGCTCATAAATATCTATCAGAAAGAGGATTATTAGAAAAATTACTAAAACTACAAATTCTGGAATAATAAAAATGATAATTTTCACAGGCTTGATGTCAATAATTCTTTTATCAGTTTGTGTTTTAACATTTTACTTTATTAATGTAAGTAATCTGAATAAAATTTCTGATTTGTTCAGCAAATTCAGTTCAGCAACTGTAATCAGTGAATCAGTTTTTTAATATTCGAAAGAAGAGGAATTTTAAATTAACGCATTCATTTATAGAGATGTTTTAAAACTAAATCGCATAATACCAAACCCTTATAATATTTCATAAAACACTACTGAACTCGCTTACAGATTTAACATAAGCAGAAATCATTCAAGAAGAACAATAAATTAGTATAGTAAAAATATTAACAAAATTTTAAAAGCAAACAATGAAGAATTCTTTGATTATATTTCTGAAACTTAAATATCTGTGATGAGTGAATTTTAGGATCGTAAAATTTATACTATAAATAAAAGAAATCATAGTATTTTGTACTCAATGCTCTTATTTTAATCTTGCTTAAATTAGTTGTACTTACAAGGAAAGCGTCAAGAATTCTATCCTCAATCAATGGTTTTTGGCAACAATGAAGTTTTCAATGCAGCCATTCTAAAAATTTAAGTATTAATATCTGATGAGTTAGTTAAATCTTATAAACAGCTTAAAGAAATATAACTTATTTAATTTATTTAGACATTGATTTCTGCTTTATGTTTGATCGTCATAGCTGTACCTTTCATGATTTACTTTAAGTCTCAGTAATATCAGATACTAAAACTTTTAGGAACTTTCCCTCCATCGCTTCTACAATAATACATCAATTTATTTACTATTTATTTGAACCATTTATAAAAATTTCAAAAAAAGGAAATTTAAAAAAATGTTTAATACAACTCTTCCTTTAATATAATTTAATCGATGAAATCTCTAAGTACAAAACAGCTAATAAAACCCTTTGATTCTGAGTAAAAGACATAAAATGAAATCAATATCAAATAGAATTCTCAAAATAATATGAAAAATCTTATTCTTGATAAAAAAATAAAATAAATTACTAAAAGATAAAGATAAATAGCTTCTTTTAGCAAACCAAAACCTTTTAAAACCAAATATATTTTACTTTCTTTACTCGCAGTTAGTCCTTTTATTGTATAGCCTCTCTTTAATCTGATTAGTGTTAATTTATTTGTAGATGAATTCTAAGCAACACTAAGTTAAAGAGAAATTTTACTTACCTCTTCTTAGTTTATTTTAAAATTTGAAGTTGTTCATTATAAGATTTGGGAGATGATTGGAAATCAACCAATATTTACTGATAATTTTTTTTATTTATATGGTTAGAATATTATTAAGTAAACTGAAAAGGTGCTGAACAATCTAAAAAACCTTACAAACTACGAAACAAGTTCAAGATATGATTAGAGCTAAAGATAAATACATTTTGATAGTTTTTTATTAGGAAATATTTGCAATAATATTGAGTAAATAAATAATAAAACAGTTGAGAACCAGTTTTTTAAGAGTCATACAACTAAGGAGTAATGTGAGGTATTGATGAGTGGTAATTTTAAAAGAGGATTTATATTAGCTATGCAAAATTTAATCTTTTTATACAGAGATTGGTTTAAAATGTACTAATAATTCTCAGCAAATCAAACTAATTAAAATAATTTACAACCACAGATAGTGAAAAGTATAGTAAAAATATAGCTTACGCAGAACAATCTATTGGATATATACAAATCTAATAATCTTCTGCAATAATTAATTTTCTCCTTTGAAAAATTCTTTATGCATTAAAATGAGTAGTATATTAAATATATTATTAATATGTTTACAATATTAATGATTATTTAAATGCTATTAATTTTTATAGCTATTACAGTAGTATGGATATCTCTATATAGAAAATTTAAAAAGCAAATCAGTGAGACAAAGCTACTTCTAACTAATTTAAATATTGACATGATCATTAAAAACTAGATTACTTTACAATATTTTAAGAATTAGTGACATCATTTAGTAAGCAAACTAATTAAAAGAAAAAAAGAAATAGAAAATTTAATAATATTCCTCAACCTAACTTATTAATAAAATTAATCTAGTTTCAAAACCTAATTACAAAAAAAGATCAATCCAAGAAGGATCAAACAAACAAACATTTTTATATAATACAAATAAAAATAAATAACAATTTAATCTGTAAAAAATAAATAATCTTTTTATTTTTTATTTAATTTTTGTTGTTCATTTTATATTTTTAAGAAATAGTATTTATTTTTTTTAAATTGAAGATACTTTTTTAAATGTTTATTGAAATATTTCAACCAAAAACTAACTTTGATCTAATTCTTAAGTCAAATTTGATTAAGTACTTTTATTTTTTAAAGCTACCTTTAACAATAATAAGAAATTAATTCTGCGATAAGTCAAAGAAAATATTTTTTTACCAAGATTAATCGAGCTATGTAAAAATCTTAAGATTTTTAACTTGTTTTTATTCTAAATGATAATTTTATTTGCTTCTTTCCTAAAATAAATATTTTTGTTACATAAGTTGCTATTATGCCATATAAATTTTAAAAATAATACTTTCTTTCGAATAATTTTTTATATTTTTTATGATTGGTTTTATAAGATTGACTTCCTTGCTTAATTCCCTTAAAATTTTTTAATCGTTCAGTAATTATTAGTCAATTAATTAATAATTTACTATTTTGAAGAAAATAAATAATATATTAGCATTAAAATTTATCCTATTAATTTCGAAAACTATTTTAAGGCAAAAAATTTATTTAAAGAAACAACTCAATTAAATACGCAACAAAGCAAGCAATTATCTTAGCTTAAAAAAAAGAATAATTTTACTTTTTTTATTGGATTTTTTTTTAGGATTAAACTTTTGTGTGATATTTTTAGGATAAACAGCTAGCACTATTTATTATTCATAATATAGATTAAATTGTAAATTAATTAAAAATAAAATGTACTTAGGAAGTATAATTGTATACACTTAATTATAATTTATGTCAAGTAATTTACAGATTCTAGCTCAAGTGTTAATAACTACAGCCTAGTACACTATAATACATACTATCAAATAAAAAATAAATTAAAAAACCAAATATTTTTTAAACAAAAAATTATTAAGAAAAAAGAAAGCATTAGTTTAAAGTCTAAAAAAAAGTTTATTAGGAATGACAATGAATTTATAAATGAGTACTACAGTTTAGTTAAAATCAATTTTTTTTTAGTTTTATATAGAAATCTTTTGGATAGCTTTTAAATCCTTTTAGAGAAATTTTCCTCTTTCTATTGTTCTTATTGTTATTAGATAACTATAGGAAATAGCAATCGCCTTTTAAAATCATGGAACTCAACTAGCTGAGCTATAGTCAGATTAGTTAAACTATTTTAAAAATCTTATATAATGGAGTTCTGCTTATAGATTTATAGAGTTATTAGTTAATGAAAGATATGCTCAATATTTTATTTTGTCTTTCGCATTTGCGATAAATTTATTCATTATCGCTTCTTTGATATTTTTACTTGCTTATTCTCCATTCATTTAGTATGATAAAACTAAAGTACAAAGAATGGGTTAAATTCTATCTTTTCTCTTTTCTGTTTACAATTATATACTTTTTCTTCCTAGCTTAGAATGCACAACTATAATCCTATCCTCTGATCCAAATTCTAGCATTCGTATTATATGCTACTTTAACTATTTATTTACTTGGGGAATAGGTAAATTTTAATCAAAACTTTAAAAAAAACATTTTAATATCAATTAATATTTATTTTAATAAGTTTTATTTTATTACAAAAGGTTTACTTTAGTCAACTCACGACTATGATTATTCATTCGAAGTTTCTGACTATTTATCTTAAGATTTTGCAAGGACAGATGTTTTTAATGAAATAATCGCTGGTATTTACTGCAGCATTTCCCAAATCACATTGCAGAAATATTCTTTAATATTTTGCTTTTTATTTTCAGTATTTAAAATTTGCACTTACTTTAAAAGAAAAAAATACTATTAATCCCTATTTTCATTAATGTATATACAATTCTCTTGCTTTTAACTGCTATTGAGTATTGTTGCTTTATTTAGTATTGTAAACTCTGTGAATTCATTTGCTTTTCTAGGGTTAGTATTTGCGCCAATATCTGCTAAAATTGGTTAATATATAAAGAAATTTGTTGAATACAAAAACTATCAAAGGAACATATGCAGAGAAGATCATTCTGACCTTTCGCCACATTAATTCGACTCTTTTATTAGACTTATTTGTTATCATTCAAGCTTTTTTTATGAGGATTACATATAGAATTAATAAGGAGTTTTTTTTGAAAATTTATATGTAAATCATATTAATTAATGCAATCAAAAGAAATCCTCATAAATCTGCTTTTGCTCAAGATTTCTTCCAGTAAAAAAATAATAACTAATTGATTATTTAGATTTATAATCAAAGAAAATAAATAAATTTAGATTAAGAATAATTAATTAATTCTTTAATATTAAAATAGGACCAATAAAATGGAGAGCCTCTTGAAAGATATATTAAAAATGTTATTGGATAAGAATTCAGAAAAGAATTCACCCTTCATTACATACTCAATTTATACAGCAACTACCTTAATAAAGTAGAAGCTTTTAAGAAAAAATACATAGTTTTATCATATATTAGCTTTTTGGTAGAGAGAATAAAGAATGTAACTAAATCTTTCTAAGAGCTTTTGAGGATATAACAGGAATACAGCAAGCATAAAGATTACGCAAATTTATTTTGCATATAAATTTTAATGGAAAGATCATAAAAATTATACAAACAGTATACATATAATTAGGATATTCATAGTCAAACAATAAAAATGCATGACCCTATTACTTTTGATTTCCTTATGGTTGAATTCTAAACTAGTCTTAAAACATAAATATAGAAATAAATAGAATATTTCAAGTATCTTTGCTCCGATTACTTTAATTTGGAAGAACTTATGATTGTTTCTAAAAATAATTTAAATGGAATTTAAAATATCAAAGTAATTCAAAAAGAACTCTATGATATTCACCCAAATGATTAAGCTTTAAATAGCCTATCATCTGTCTTTTAATTGACACTTGATTTTTACTGTGTTTCCCCAAAAATTCTAAAATAAAAATCTGCTCAAAAATAAAATAAAAGCTAATTAATTTCTTAAATAGATGTATTTTCACCTGATTCATGCTCTGTATATTGCAGTCTTGTAAATAAAAATATCGAGATAAATAGAACTTCTTCTAATTTTTCTTCTATCTTTGAAATCGATCAAATTAGTGTACTAGGAAAGCATGTTTCTAATTTACTACCAAAAATGTTATATTAATTACATGAGTTAACTATGGATGACTTTATTAACATGGAAAGTATTGCCTAAGTACTCTCTACAGGTAAATATCATACAATAAATAATTTGGCACTTATTTTTTATTTAATTTAATTTAGGTCTAAAACACGCATTTGCATTAAACGGAAATGGCTTCGTCTTCCCAGTATCAATCAATGTAAAAATAGAAAATTTTAAAGAAGATTTTGGTGTAACATCATTAATCACAAGAATAAATGACTCTAAGCAATACATTTTCTTTAATGAACTATTTTAAATTTCAGAAATAAGTAGCTTAATCTACGAAAAAATTTTCTCTTCAGAATACACTCTAAGTAATTAATTAAATCATTCATTTTAATTTATTTTTTCTTTCAGAAATTAGTTATTTTCCTAAAAAAATAGAATGTTTTTTTCTTAAAATTTTTTTCAATATAAATTAATTTTATTGATAAATTTGTTTATCTCTCCAAAAATTTGAACTAATAAAAATATTTTTTTTATTTAACTAGACTAACTCAAGAATCAGAATATTTTTAACTTTATCCCTTTACTTTAAGCTCTTTTAAACGATAACACTCTATTAGATGAAAATTATTACAATACATGCCTTTTACTGAGAAAAAAGTATGAAGTAAATTGTGAGAATAAAGTGTCAAAAGATAATAGAAAATAAAGCGTTTATTAAAATCAAGAAATTTATTCGCTCATTTTTAAGGTGAAAAACCTTTAGTCTAAGCATATGAAGCATATAAAATATTTGGAAATAGTTAAATTTTAAGAAGAAAAATCATTTCAAGGGAAAAAATATCAACTAAATTTGCTGAGTAAATGCCTAAATATAGAATTCTAATTTTATGAAGAAACTCAAGGAGAACCTTAAGAACAAAATTATGAATTCTAAATAGCATCTTTAGTCTAAGATGATAACGATTAAAAGTAAATATTATTGAATAAAGAAGAAGATTAATAAGTGGTAGAGCAAGTATAAATCAGTAATTAGAAAATTGATTCGAAAGTCGATGTAGAAATCATATCTTAATTTAATATCTATGAACAATAGTCCAATACTAACATATGTGCAAACAAATACAATGAAGATGAAATCACTTATAGCAAAAGGAAAATTTCTTCTGATAATTATTTACACAATAATTCTACTACAATAAGCAAGAATACTCCTTAAGATTAGTATAATCATTTAATTTATCCAAAATATGATATCACAAGTTACTAATAATTAATGAATGCTACAAACAAACTTTTATCTCCACTATCTAGCAGTAATTTAATCAATACTACAAATTATCCTCAAGAGAACTAAAAAGTAAAAAACACTTAAAGAAGTACTTAGTAACTATTTCAAAAGCAAATTATGTTTACGTAATCCATGATCCCTCACTTTGGTGGTAATAATATAGAAAATGCTTCTCTTAAATATGCCATATGCGATTTTAATTAACTAATTGTGGATAAGTGGTTTGATTCTCCTTCAAGCATAGTTTTATATAATTAAAATAATGACAATAAGGATATTGAAAATAATAATAATAATAACAGTAGGGCTTAGGATAATTGCTCTATTAAAAATTAAAAACACATTTAAAATTAATTCTAAAACGAAAACAGCTCTGATAATAGTACAATTAAAGGAGGAGAATCAAGAGAAAATTAAATTGTAGATGATTAGTAATAGTCTGCATTTACTGGCAGCTAAAATACTTAAATATCCACAAAAAAGATAATGATTAAAAAAATAACTAAAAATACTGATACGGGTATTACAAAAGCGATTGTCTTCACAGGATTACTGTCAATCATAGCTTTATATTCCAGCGTTTTATCTTTTTATGTTGTAAACACAAACAATATGAATTTAATTTCAGATTTGTTTAGCAAATATAATACTGCTAATATCATAAATGAAGGCACCTTTTGGTTCACAAGAGAGCAATAATTCGCTCTTGATTCACTAATATTTGCAAAAGTATTAGGTATTGATAAACCAATAGTTGATCCTAAAGATCCATCTAAGGTAACATCAATAGTATACGAAATATTTGTATAGAGTGAAATATAACAAAGGAAGGCGGTTCAAGAATTTAGTTAAAACATTAATTCTATTCTCCATTCATACAATGAGAATTTCTTTAATTATATCTCATAAACTTAAATATCAACCTACAGTGACTACGTTGATTAGAAGATATACACTCATGTTTACAGAAATCATTCCATTTTATACACAATGATGCTCTATCAATCAAGCTTGAACCAATTGTATTTAAAAGGATACTATCAAGAATTATACCCTTAATCGGTTATTTATGGAAATATTTAAGCATTTAGCGATGCTATATTGAAAATACAGGATATGATATAGACTTAACTTTTTGAATCATACTAGCAGCTTAAAGATAATTAAGTGGAGCAGCTGATTTAAACTCTGGTTTCTGCTTTTTTATTAATAATTATAGCTGTTCCTTTCATGATCTATTTCAAATAATAATAATATTAAACAATAAAACTCTTAGGCTCCTTTCCACCTGCTCTACTTTAACAGTATATTGGTTTGTTTAATTATTATTTAAATAGAATCGAACTTTACTAAAGGAAAGAAATTGAACAAATCCAGTAATATCAATCTTACAATGCTTTATAGTCTATGAGATCAATCAGTGTAAAACAGATCAGTGGTGTTTTCGACTTATAGAAATCAAGATAGGATAATGGTGATAACTAGGCAACTAAGAAAATAATCAAGAGAATAAATAAAAAAAGGCTATAAACCTAAAGGTAAAGACAAATAGCCTCATTTAGCAAAGCAAAGCCATTCAGATTCAAATATATTTTTATTTCATTATTAATTGTGTGTCCTTTTATGATTTACCCTATATTTAATTTAATCACAGCTAACTTGTTCGTAGAGGAGGCTCTCGATACTCTAGCCTAGAGAAATATTATTTTAAGTTCTTCTTAATTTATTCTGAATTTCGAAGTTGTTCACTATAAAATTTGGGAAATAGCTTATAACAATCTTTTATTTAAGAATATATTTTTTTATAATTATGGCTTAAATATCACTAAACAATCTTCATAAATTCTCTAAGGTATAAAGAATTTAACCAACTATGAAACCTCATCTAGGTATGGTTCTGATGATAGATAATAGTTTTTCAACAGCTTATTATTAGATAGTTCATGCACTTATATAGATAAAATGAGGAACAACACAATAGAAAATCCTTATTTTTAAACAAATTTTACAGGTGATAATTGTCGTAGATTACTAAGCGGTAGTTTTGATAGAGGTTTTGTTTTAGCATTTTAACACTTGACAAATATCTACTAAGACTGGTTTTCGTTATACTAAGAATACGCAGCACTCCAGACCCCTAAACAACCTTTGTTTTAAAATATAACTCAGAGCATCGCAAACATTCAACGATAAGAAAACAATATCTTAGATATTTACTAATCCAATCTTCTTCTCTAACAAATTTCTACTTCATTTGAAAAATTTTTTGAAATCTAAAATGAAAAATATACAAAATACATTCTTAAAATGTTTACAATTTTGATGGTCTTTTAACTAATTCTGATTTTCTTAGCTATTTCTATTGTGTGGACATCTTTGTATAAAAAATTTAAAAAAGAAATCAACAAAACCAGATTACTTTTAACTAATTTGCACATAGACATGATTCTAGAAAATAAGCTTATTTAGCAATATTTAAAAAGAAAATGAAAATTTATTTTCAAATTAAACCTGAATATTATTCTTGATATTTAATATTATTTACAAGTATAATATAAAAAAATAAGGTTTATCCTAAATTATACCAGTAAAAATTATTGCTTTTTATTATCTTGCTTTTGTCATAGCTGAGAAAATTTCTTTTAAAATTGAAAAACATTAAATTAATTAATTAATAAAACTTGTTTTGTAAAATAATAAATATTCTTTAAAATATGTAAAGTTATTTCATTAGAATAAATTTAAGTATTTTATCATTTTATGATTCTTAGAAATTTGTTTTCCTTAAAAGTTTTTATTTTCATGTAAAAAGCTTTTTAAATTCATTAAAATTATATAAGATGCGCTTGAATTTTTAATAATTCATCAAAATATATTAAGAATTTTGCAAAATAGAAGAAACATTTTTAACCATAATTACAGATATTTATTTATTATTTAACAGCTTTTAAATAATTTCCTGTTTCCAGCATATGCTTTGAAATTTTCGAATGATACCTTTGATTTAATTAACTAGTAAATATTATCAGAAAGTGTTAGATTTTATATTCATGCTATCTCATTCTAAAATGTAATTTATAAGAAAAATAACTATTTGATATATGATAATCAATTGAATTAAATATATAAATTTATGTTCATTTTCAGGTAACTGTAAAGTAATTTGATCATTTTGTGATATTGCAATTTAGTTTATAATTTGGAGAAATGCCTTCTAAAAACAGATATTTTAGTTTATAATTCATTTTAAGTTTTTGATTTAAAATTGCTTCTTTTGTTTATATTCACTTACAAAAATAAGAATAATTTAAAGCACAATAAAGCCAATTTATGAACAATTGATGTAAAATTTATTAATTATGAAATACATACATGCTTTTATATTTAAAAATACAAAATTGCTTTTATAAATAAAACAACAAATTGCATTTATTCTTGGTTTATTATTATTTTAATAACAATGTAAATATCAAGTAAGTTATTTGTCAAAAGATTAATAAAAATAAGTGTAAAAAAAATAAATTTACAAATAATCAAATAAAATTATCAATGAATTCCATCAAAAAGCGAGCTTTATAGATAAATTCTATGCTTAGTTAGTTTTATGTTGAGATATTTTCGGTTGTTTTGAAGTCGTTTGATAGGAACTTTGCTCTTTCTTTTATTTTACTATTAGTGCGATAATTATAAGAAATCTCAATTGCATTTGTCAATAATGGTACGCCTATGAACAGTTTACAATCTAATTAGTTCAGTTATTTTACTAATATTGTTTAATGCAGTTCCTATTACAGGTGTTTGTCATTATTATTTGGTGTTTAATCTGCACAAACCATTTCTTTAACTTTTACATTTAGTCTCAACTTATTTATAGTTATTTCTTGCTTAGTTCTACTAATTTGCTCTCCTTTAATTTAATATGATTATACAAAAATTAAGAAAATGGGTTTCATACTTTCGTTTATTCTATCGCTCTATAATTATTTAATCTTCCTTCCTAGCTTAGAGATCAGTACTATTTTACTGTATCAGGATGCATCATAAAGCGTTTATATTTTAAGCTATTTGAATTTCTTCCTCTCATGGGCAATAGGTATATATATACATATTAATCAAATATTCTTTATTCCAATTATTAATTAATTTGAAATTACTCCCAAAAGGTTTTGTATAGGCTATTCATGATTACGACTATTCTTTTGAAAACAGAGACTAATTGTCTAAAGCTTTTACAAGAGTTGAAATTTTAGGTGAAATAATAACAGCAATTTTTTGTAGCCTGTCATAAATTGTGACTCAAAAATTTACGTTAATAATTTTTCTTTTCTACAGCTTATATAAAATCTGTGCCTACTTAAAAAGAAAAAAATATTATTCACATTTCTTTTCTTTAGTTCACATACAATTTTCATGCTTTTAATTCTTATTAAGTGTTATTGCTTTGCTCAGCTTGTTAGATACTCTAAATTCTTTTGCATTTCTAGGTTTGGCTATTATACCTTTGTCACTCAAGTTAGGAATTCAAATCAAGAAAAGAGTAGAATAAAATATTTATCAAATCAGTATTTGCAGTGAGGATCTATCCCATCTCTCCCCTCATGAATTTGATACCTTTATTAGACTTATTTGTTAAAATTAGCATTATTTCTATGAGGACTACATGGAGCATAAGTAGGGAGTTTTTTTTGAAAGCATATATATAAATCATATAAATTAATGCTCAAAAAATAATACCTAATAATTCTGTTTTTGTTCAAGATTTACTCCAGTAAATTAATTCAGTTTATTAAAAATTAAAGATTAAAATTAATAACATAAAAATAGACCCAACAAAGCAGCCATTCTTAAAATTAGTCAATAGAAGATATTTTGGGATAGGAATTCAGGAAATAATTTGTACTGTATTATATATTAAATTTATACAATAATTACTTAAATAATGTGGATTTGAAGCACAAAAAATATATTGTTTTCTCATATTTAAGCTTCCTAACTGAAAAAATTTAAAATATGACTAAATCGTTCTAGGAATTATTTAGAATGCAATAAGAGTACACTAAACATTAAGACTGGACCAACCTGTTTTTTGTTAAAGTTTTGATTCATAGGTCTTCGAAGTTTCACAATAAATTTTTAGCTAATTCAACAATAGAAAACTAATAGATAAGAATGCATGATCCAATCACATTCGATTTTCTAATGGTTGAATTCCAAAATAGCCTAAAAACTTAGATCTAGAAATAAATAGAATATTTCAAGTATTTATGCTCTGATTATTTTAATTTAGAAGAGCTAATGATCATCTCCAAAATTAATTTAAATGGTATTGAAAATATAAGGACTATTTTGAGAGAGCTCTATGATATTCATCCTAAAGACTAAGCTCTTTATAATCTTTCACAAGTTTTTTAATTAACCCTAGATTTTTATAGTATTTCTGCTAAAAAGCTAAGACAAATGTCATCGAAAAAATCATACAAACACTTTTTTCTTACTTAAGTTGATGTATTTTCTCCTAACTCTTGCTCTGTATACTGCAGTTTAATTGGCAAAAATATAGAAGTTAAAAGAACCTCGTCAAATTTCTAATAAATATTTGAAATAGAGCAAATTAATGTTCTAGGAAAACAAGTATCAAACCTTTTGCCAAAACTTTTATTCCAAATGCATGAAATGACTATGGATGATTTTATCAATCTAGGAATAGTGGAATCTATTAACATAGGTATTTATTATTAATATTCAAATTATTGAGAACGAACATAATATTAATTAAAATTAGGACAAAGGTTCGCATTTGCATAAAATGGAGATGGCTTCGTTTTTCCAATAAGCATAAGAATAAAAATTGAAAATTTCTTAGATGATTTTGGAGTGACTGCATTAATTACTAAAGTTAAAGACTCCAAACAATATATCTTTTTTGATGAAGCATTTTAAATTTCTGATATCAGTAGCTATATTTATCAAAAAATATTCTAATCAGAATATACTCTAAGTAAATTGATATTTTTATTCTTAATTTCTATTTTTAATAATGTATACATAATTTCCACTCATTGTCAAAAAAATAAAAATTTATTTCTTTTAAAGTCAAATAAATAATTGCATATTCTTTGAAAAATAGGATTTTTAAAAATATCCTATCAATGCACCTCTAATCTATATATAAAATATTATACTAATTTCTTGTTTAAATACTAAAAAATATTTCTAACAATACCATTTTTTCTATAAATTTGTTTTCTTAATATTATCTAAATTAGTAATTAATTAATAAATTAGAAAAAAATGTGTGTGCTTTTTTTTTATAAAAATTTATTTATTTGCTAAAACTTTTAATTTGTTTAAAATAGATCAGCTTAGGAGTTAAAATATTTTTAGCTTTATGCCTTTACTTTAAGCTCTTTTAAATGATAAAACTTTATCTGAAGTTAACTACTATAATTCATGTCTTTTGCTGAAAAGAAGATCAGGTACAAGATTTGAAATAAAATCTTTCAATGACAGAAAACTGAGCATTGCCTCAAATGAATCTATTTTTTCAGTGATATTTAGATTTAAGAGTCTATAGTCTAAGCATATGAAACATATTAAATATCTAGAGATAGAGAAATTTTAAGAGGTAAAATCTTTTTAAGGTAGAAAGTAATAGCTTAACTTACTAAGTAAATGTCTCAATATGGAACTTTAAGTGCAAGAAAACTCTTTAAAAGAAAATTAAGAGTTTAACTAAGAATCTTAAGTAAATATTTCTGTCCAAGAGATTAATTAAAACCATAATCAAGTTAAAGTTGAAAACGCATTAAACAACTATGATTAGCTTATTAGTATAAAAATTGATGAAGATTGCCTATCTTAATTTAATGCATATAATCAATAATCTAATACAAATATAATAGCAGTAAAAAATAACGATGAAGAAATTATAGATATCAAAAGAGAAATTTCTTCAGATCATTTTTTAAAAGAGCAGTAAAATTATACTCCTGCAAATGGAATGAACTTAAAGGATTAACAAAATGAATTAATTTCTCCAAAGTATGAAGCTTCCAGCTATTAATAACTCTTCAACCAATCTAATAATAGGCTTTTTAGTCCTCAATCTTTCTTAAATTTAACAACAATTAATTCTCCTATTTCTCCTTCATTAGAAAAAAGTTTCGAATAATAAAATTTTAAAGGAAAAAATATCCAAAGAAGCAGCTAATAATTGCTTTAAAAATAAGTGCTAATCAGGCAATCAATTCACAACTACTAAGAAAACAGCTAAAATTAAGAAAATTTTTCTATTAAGCATGCCATATGTGATATTAATTAAATTTTTCTAGATAAATGGTCAGATTCACCATCAAGTATTAATCTAAATAATAGAGGTTAGATAAATAAAAACTTTGAAAATATAAAAGAAGAAGAAGATGAATTCTCATTTGAAAATGAGAAATACATTTAGAAATAGTTATAGAGTGAAGAAAGCTCAAATAGTTCAATAAGTGGCTAGAAAAAAGACAATTAACTAAATGAAGAATAGCAATCTGCATTCACAGGTAGCCAAGGCTCTTAAATTTCTTCAAAAAAGATATTGATCAGAAAAATTACTTCAAACACTAATACAGGTATCACTAACATAATCGTTTTTACTGGATTAGCTTCCATAATTTTTCTATACATCAGTGTCATAACTTTCTACTTGATCAACATTAATAATTTAAATTCAATTACGAATTTGTTTAGAAAGTTCAATATTGCAACCATAATCAACTAAGGTGTATTTTAATTTGCAAAGGAATAAGTGTTTTTAACTGATGCAATTATCTTTTAAAATATTCTCGGTCTTAATAAAACATTAACAAACCCTTTTAACAGCTCTGAAACCATAACATAGTTAACGTATATCCAAAACATCAGTCAAACATACTAATAAGCCTTCACTAGATTATTCAGTAATAATATTGATGAAATTCTTTAATCTCAGAATGAAGAGTTTTTTCAGTACATTTCCGAAACTGAAATATCCACTTTCAGTGACTACTACGATAACACAATCTACACTCATGAATTTAGAAACAACACAATACTATACACAATGCTATGGTTTTAGTCTTGCTTGAATTAGTTATATTTATAAGGAGCTCATTCAGAATACTATCCACAGTCAGTTGTTTTTGGAAATATTGAGGTTTTCAACTCAGCAATTTTATAAATTTAAGTCATGATATCAAACTAGTTAGTTTCTCTCTATCAGTAACTTAAAGAAACCTAATTAGATTAATTAGTATAAACTTTATGTTCTGCTCTATTTTTGGTAGTAATAGCAGTTCCCTTCATGATTTACTTTAAATCTCAACAATATAAAACAATAAAGCTACTAGGGTCTTTTCCTCCTTAGCTTCTTGAGCAGTACATAAATTTATTTAGCTTTTATTTGAAAAAAATTGATTAGTATCAAAAGAAACAAATAGATCACATAACATAATACCAATCTTTTAACATGATATAATCCATGAAGTCTATCAGCATGAAGCAACTGAGTGGAGTTTTTGATAATTAAAAAGTGAAATAAGGAAAGAAAGATAATAGTTTAGCTTCTAAAAAATTGATGAAATAAAAATAATATGGCAAAAAAAGAAATAATGCTTCAAAAAGATAAAGATAAATAGCTTCATTTAGCTAATCAAAGCCTTTCAAATTCAAATACATATTAATTTCTTTACTTGTGGTATGTCCTTTTATGATTTATCCTATATTTAATTTAGTTAATGTGAATTTGTTTGTTGATGAGTCACTCACAACCTTAACTTAGAGGTAAGCCATACTAAGCTGTTCCTCTTTTATTCTAAATTTTGAGGTTGTTCATTTTAAGATTTGGGAAATAGTCTTTAGCTAGCCTATTTTTAATAAAGTTTTTTTCTATTTGTATGGTAAAAATGTAACTGAGCAAGCTTAAGGAGTAATGGATGGCATAAAGAACTTAACAAACTACGAAACAAGCTCAAGATATGATTTTAGCTAAAGATAGGTCTATTTCAGCAGTTTACTATTGAATAGTGCATGTGATTATATAGATTAAATAAATAGTAACAAAATAGCTAGTCCATACCTTTAAACTAATTTTACTGGAGCACAATGTCATACATTGTTAAGTGGTAATTTAGATAGAGGCTTTATTTTAGCAATCCAAGATCTGACAAATCTTTACCAAGACTGGTTTTCAACATACGAGCAATTTTCAGCCATTTAGACTTCAAATTAAACATATTAACATGACATCACTCAATATATAATAAATATACAGCATACAAAAAATAATCTGATAGACATTTACAATTCCAATATACTTCTGTAATAATTAATAGCTTCTTTTGAAGATTTTTTCGAAAACTAAAATGATAAGTACACAAAATACATCATTCAAATGTTTACAATTTTGATGGTATTACAAATGATACTAATTTTCTTAGCTATTTCTATAGTCTGGACATCGCTCTACTAAAAATTTAAAAAAGAAATCAGCAAAACTAAGCTACTTTTAACAAACTTGCATATAGATTTGATATTAGAAAATAAACTTACTTTATTACATTTTAAAAACTAATCAAATTGATTTCATACATTCAAATTATTTTATAATGAAAGAAAAAAATAAATATCATTTTTTGCAATATTATTCCATATTTGTTTTTATATACTAATTATTAGCCTTTAATGATTTGTTAAATTTCAATAACAAATTCTAACACAAATTTAGAGGAAATTAAATAAATAATATATAAAATGTTTAATAAATAATATGTTTGTTTTGTTTTACAAATTAATATCAATAAGACCTTCCTTGAATATTTATTAGTTCAAAATTATTAAAAATTAAAATACAAATTTAAAAAAATCAATCTTAAAAGCTAAAAGAATTTTATAAAAACACTCTAAATAATGTCAACCAAAGTCTATCTATTTACACTTCTTATTTTACTTAAAATTATTTGTATTTGAATATTTTTTATTTATTTTAGCATTTTTGTTAAATTTCTTTTTTTAGATAAATTTCATTAAAAAATTTGATAAACACCATATTAAAAGGTATTTATATGAAATTATTTTTAATTTTATTATAATGAGTATGATTAAATCAACAAAATTATTTTATAGCATAAGAAAATTATTGAATTAAAAGAATCGTTTACTTTTAAGAGATTTTTTCATAAGAATGAAATTTAGTAATTAAAACAGTCCATCGGAAAAGATCAAAATAAATAAATAAATAAAGATATATTTTGAGAAATATCTTTTAATAATTTTTTTTTCTGATTGCTAAAAAAATATCACTAAACACCCAAATCAATGGCAATTAATGTTTTTGAAATATTTTCTTATTAATATATCTTTTATAAAAAAAAAATCTATTGCTATTGTTTACAACCATTCTTAATTAAATAAATAGTGAGTGAGTGCTTTTGAAAAATACAAAAAGTTGCATTTATAAAATCATTGCTTCAAGAATAAATTAATTAATTAATTAACAAGATTAAGTATTTTTATTTTTTCAAATGTTGAGTAAGCAAGATGATTTGAGAAAAAAAATATCTCTTAAAAATATTGGGCAATCCCTTTATTTATGTAATCTAAACAATTAAATAATTTTTAATAAGACACTTAATTAATTCCAAAAAAAGTAATCATCTAATTTAATTTTTTTGTAGATGTAAGTTAGTGTAAATAGATGATTAAAATTCATTATATCAAAAATAAATGCTGCCACTAGAATCAATATTTTGTGAGTTAATAAAATGAAATGGAAAATTTATCTGATTGAAAATAAAAAATAATAAGATTAATTAAATTTATTATAATTTATATTTTATAAAATCAATTTATATTTAAATATTTTTTATTTTTAGCACATCTTTATATAAAAGACCAAACAAACAAAGTCCTGTAATTATCATACAACATAATCAAAAACTCTTATGAAAATAATTAGAGGTACTTAATAATCTATAAATCTCTTTAGAACATGTATTTGATATCATAAGTAACCTAAAATAAAAGTCTATTAATTAGATTACAATAGTAAAATAATAAATATTTTTCGATTTTTATCTTGACTCTCACATAATAAATTTTACTTAACTTACAAATTTTCTAAACTTGTTTCTAAAGTTAATCTTTCTTAAAATATATATATATAGGTTTTTGTCAAACGAAAAATTGTTTTAAAGAATTTCTCATTTTAGAAAATTAGACCTGATAATAAATTGATTAAATTTTTAAAAGATATAATTATTTTTATTGAAAAAATGTCACCAATAAAAGAAAACTCTTATCATGATTATTGAATGAATGAAAAAAGGGGAAGATAAAAAAATTTAATAAAATACCTTTTTTGAAAATTTGAGTTTGGTTAATGAGAAACAAAATATAAACATTAGAAGCTGCAAAAGCATGGAAATTTAAACAACTAAAAATTACAATTTTTTTTGTGTTTTTTAAAGAAGGAATTTTATTATAATTAAAAAAAAAAGCTGAGAATTAATGATGATGTAAATTTGGTTTAAATTATTAGGTTTATAACCATATAAATAGAAGTTGCAACTAACCTTTTCACTTCTTTGAGAGGTTTGATACTATTTTTGTTTGCGATTTAAAATCATCTAGAGTTATTCTATAAGTGTAAAAATCAATTATAAATTATAATATATCATTATTGATCTCGCAAAAAGCGAAAATGACCCAGTTCTTAACAGAAAAGAAATTACTTATTACCATAATATTAAATATATAATAATATTAAGTTTTTTCTAATATATCAAACTACATCAATGAAGTTGTGCTTGCAAAATGTAGTATTTGTGATTGAAATCATCAATTTATCACAAAAGTATCCAATAATTGATTATTTATCCACTGCTATTATTAAAACTAAACTATAACTATTAAATTTTATGATCTACATATTTTAATATTTAATTCCCATACTATCTAATATCAATTACCTACTAATAAATAAATTATTTAATTTATATGGAGGATCACATTTAATAATAGGAAACTAAATAAATCATTTTCAAAAGTAGTTGTTTATGAATAAATATTATAAATTTATATATTTTTTATTATCCCATTTATATTTTATTAAATTCTATCACAAAATATTGCAAAAATTTAAAAAAAAATAAACTCATAAATGTATTCAAAGAAAAAACCAAAATGTTTTTGGAAATTTAAAGGCAGAAGATTAGATATCAATAATGCTTTTTACTCAATTCTTATAGGTTAAATTGATTGGCCTTTGCATTTTTCCTGCAAAATTTTTAAAAATTGTAAAATATAATAAACAAACCCATCTAGCGTATTTCAATAATTAAAAATAGTGCTTATTTTAGGAAAGACTATTTAAATAGAAAATAAATAAGCGCATTTCAATAAATTAATCAATAATAAGTAAATAAGCTGTTATGATACTTTTCAAAAATTTTTCTATGAAATCAAATATAAGATTCTAACTAAAATATCAAATGTTTCTATGCTTTTTTTTCTAAAGATGTCTTTTAGCCTTTTTATTATTTCTTTTATTCTTTTTTTAAGTTGACTATTTTTGAATACTTTATCTTTATTTTTTTTTATTAAGAATTTAATGGGATTAAAAGTTAAGCTTTTAAATAGTTTTCACTTTTTACCATTTTGAGTGCCTGTCCTTACTTTTGTTTTGAATTTCGTAAAAGAGTAATTTACATATATTCAGTCTCATAAGACGCATTAAAAATCCTTGCTTTAGGTTCTAGATATTTTTTACATGAAAATAGACAAATTAAACAATATTCAAATATTTTACCATTCAATTTATTCTTTTTTATACTTTGTATTTTACATTTTATTCAAGAAATAATTTTATTTGTGAGTTGTTTGTGCCTTTTTTATAAAAAAAATTTCTACTTTATAAGTTAATTTGTTAGATAGGTCAGCTAAATTTCTGTATGAAAAAGACAATAAGTTGAGCATACTTTTAGCTTTTATTTTTTTTTGCTAAATTGTATTCTAAAAGCATTAAAGGTAGACTTGTTTTATGATAAATAAAAATAAACCATATATTTTTGAAAACCTCGCTTAAAATTCTTAATTACTACATTTTTATACACTTTCTTTCTAATTCTCATCTAACATATAAGTAAAATTTGATTTTTTTAGGACTAAATTTTCTAACCAGGGTAGAGGAAATCCTACTTAAAGTTTTATGAAATGCAGCACAAATTAGGAGTTTTTAGTGCTTTAAAAATTTAAAGTTGAGAGGTTTGGTCTAATTGTTATGAAATTGCTAAGTGAATCGCATGTTAGATGAAATTTCAGACTGATAGTCTGAGTTTGAGTGATGAAATTTAATACATATTAAGTGAATAAGAAATATTATGCAATATTTTAGTTGAATTTAACTCAAATTATGACGACCAATTTAATACAAGACAAACGTAAGCTATTAATATAATAAAATATTCTTATTAATTTTATCAATGGTTAATAGAAAGCTTTTTTAAATATTATAAGCTTTTACTTATTATAATTCTAAAACCCCTTCATTAAAGAATCTTATATTACTCTAACTGCATGAAAGCTTAAACGGTAAAACAAATTTTCATTCCGTCCTTTAAATGTCATTTATAATCTAAAAAACAGTCTTTAGTATTTGTGTTATTTTTTGTTGTTAAACCATTTGCTTAAATTGATAACCTGTCATGGTATTATTTTAATCCATAAAATAATTGGTTCTACAAATTATTTTGAATATTCAACTACAATGTTGTAAGCAGCAAACAAATAAATATGAACATATCAAAGCAAAAATTTAAAAAAAGAATCAGTAACATAAAATTTTCATCTCCAAAGATAAACTTTCTTGTTTAGAATTAACTAACTGATACCAACAATTTTTTTATGTTTTTTTAAGTAAAAATTTCTTCAAAAATCTACTTCATAGCTTTATAGCAATTTGAGAGGATTTTTTTATAAAATGCTTGATTAGCAGTATTAAAGCACAAACAAAAATAAAACAACCTAAAATTACGAAAGACCCAGCAACAATTTATTTTCATCAAAAGAATTAAGAATAGCTGGAATTGTAGGTGGGGAGATTTTTGACTATAATTAGGGGGCATTCTTAATAAAGCTGTCTCTTTTTATGATTTATTTGTTCATATTTTAACAGGCTAGCTCTTGAATTGAATAATTTCTAATTTATTGGCTAATGAGTGAATGAATGGATGGACGATTAAATTATAAATTAGTAACTAAAATAAAAGATTTGTAAATAAATTTCAAAATTATTAATTTATCTTATTAAAATAAAAAATCCCAACAAAAAATACAAATTAGTATTTTACTCATCTTTCCCAACAATTAATTACAAAGAAAGATAAAATAATAGTAGAAGAGTTTCAGTAATTATTATTTGTAATTAAATATAAAAGGCTATCTCTCTCTTATCTAATTATACTTAATTGGTCTTTCAATAGTAGGAGTTGAGATTTGCTGATTTTTTATCAAATTTGTTTATCTAGAAAATCAATCAAAGGTTTACTTATATTTGTTAGTAATAAGACAAAAAGAGTTAAATTGTATTTATTTTTAACCCTTTTTTCATTTTATGATTTAAATTGCATATAATAAATGGATTGATTCCCCAACAAATAAATAAATAGACAATGTAATTAATATACAAAATAAAATTAAAATCTTACTTTATTTAGTTTACTATGAATTTCTTTATTATTTCCTACTAAATTATTAATTTACAATGAAATTTTTAATCAATGATGCTAAAAAGCCATACAAATAAAAAGAATTTTTAATTTACAGATGATTTATTTACCAGACAGATCATAAAATTATAAAAAAGCTATGAAAGCGAGAATTAATTAATTTGATCAAGTTATCTAATTTATTATTTGAATTCTATGTTTCATAAATCTTGATTAATTTGTGGTTGTTCTGACCATTCTGTTTAGCCTTACAAATAAATTGAAATTTATTTTTTTAGAGATGCCAATACTATGCATTCTAATATCTATATTTTTATTAAATTTAGAGACAAGCCACATTTACAAATGTATCAAATTTATTTATTTATTTATCTACATAACAAGTGTTTTAAATGGCTTGTTTAATAATCAACTAGCAGATAAAATGTATAAGGACTGATGACGTTTGCATAATGAATATAGATGTGAGATCGATGCATACAGGAAGGAGGAGCATTGGCTGTTAAGTATAATTAAGAATATGCATAAAAAAATTGTAAAATCAAGACGAATTATCAAATTTATGTGACGTGTTGTGAATCTTCAATTAAATCCTAGAGATTTCCATACAAACTACTTCAATTTTGATTAATAATCTATAAAAAAGTCGATTGCGTAATTAGTTGCGAAAGTGACGATCTAGGCCACAAATTAAATTTTGACATGAAGAAAATAAATTGAAATTAAGTTACTTCTAAATATTATGAGCTAGCTATAAATCCAAGCACAGGCTGTAAATTACAAAAAGAATAATTAATAAAATTTTAAATAATAAAATAACAAACTAGACAAAAAAATAACAAATAGCTTTAAAAGGTACTTAACATATTAAAATGGGAATTTATCTAAACTCACCCTAATACAAAATAACAACTGCAATTCTCTTCATAATCAGCATTACCTTCTGCTCTGCTATGGTTGGTATTGTTGCTACTTTTTGGTTGTAGAGATATAATACTTGTAATGACCTCAATTTAGGTAATTGCTAACAAAAAACTCACGACTACTTGTTCGACGGCTATCGTAACATTACCAATAAATTCTTTGTTGACTGCTTCACTCTAATTATCAACCTTATTTCTATCGGTATAGTCAGTCTTGCCTACTAAAAAGTCCCCAAAACAATATAGCATGGTTTAGTTTTGATCCTCTTAGCTCTCTCTGTTTGGAGTTTGGCCTGCACAATCAAGTCTATTGACGAAGAAGACAAGCTTGACTAATAAGTTACCTAATAACAAACTGCTGTTTAAATCTAATTATTAACCGGAGAAGCTGCTGTTACTTCTGCCAATTCATCTGTAACTATGTACTAAGGTGTTTTAAGTTAGCTTAATGATGCAGTAACCTTATTTTAAACAATTGGAGTATTATAACAAAAAGTAACTACATAAACAGCTACTCCTACTGAAACTGCCACCTTAACAGCCTTACTAGCAAAAGCTGCTTAATTAAAAACCTAATATCCTATGTTTACTTCTTTAACAGCTATCTAGGGTGCACAAGCTTAAGTATAAGGTGCTATAAGCTAATTCAATAGCGCCATATAAAGTGGTTAATAAGCATTCCCAGTAGCCCTTTCCGCTATTAGTAGCTTATAAAAATTACACGATAAATACCAAAATTACAGAAATTCTTGTATGGCTTTGGTTTTAATAAACTTCGTTTCCATCTTTTTGATCTTTATGTTTAATATCTTCTCCTTCCCCACTGAATCTAACAGAGTTGAGATTGCTAAGCTCGAATAAGTTGTTACCACAAACGGACTTGAAAACGTTGCTTTCAAAAAGGCTCCCTCCAGCAACATTGAAATGAATGCTTAGAATGTCATGTGAGAAAGTGTAACTAAACTAACTAAACAATTTGTTAACCTAATTATAATATGCAGTTTGATACATTCACTTTACCTTAATTGAAACAGCTATTAAAAAAATAAACTAATTGCTGTTGAAATAAGTTAATCTCTCATTTATATTATAAACTATACTATTATTATTATTATTATCAAGAAAATATCTCACCTTAAATGACCTAATAAATGTTCTTATTTACTTTCATTCAATTTGTATTATAAATTTACAGCCTTATTTGCGTTTTTTCTAAATTCTACTCACGATAACCAATCAATTAATAAATAAATACATTTTCAAATAATATTAAAACTGTTGTTTAAAGTTTAGATCATTCATTTTTATATTTCTTTCAATCAATTATTTCATTTGATCTCTCAATTTTTTTGATTGAAAAGAGTAAATTAATTTATAAAAGAATTAAAATGAAAAAAATAAAAAATATCTTAAGTAATCTTAATATTTATACGCCGAGTAAGCTTATTTACAATTTTCTTCACTCTTAACAAGTAAAATGTCTATAAATTATTATAATTCTACATTTAAAATGTTTTATTTAATTATAAAATCACATATTTAAATTGATTTGAAATTATTGTTGTTAATAAATTATAAAGTGACAAAAACACATAAAAACTATGTAAATAAATTTCTAGTAAATATGAAAAAATTTTTGTTTTAAATTGCGTAATTTTTGTTCATTTATAAAAAGAGGGAAAAGATATTAAATAATTTGTTATGAGAAAATCAACTAGTTAATTAATATTTCAAAATACAAATAGATAAAAATTTTAATTACTTTCACTAGCTTAAATATATTTTTTTGTTTTTCTAATTTTAAATTTTATAATTTATAAAAATTTATTTTTGAAGTCTAAATCGAAGGACGTTTTTACAAAATGCTAAAAAAATAATAAATGAAAAAACCTTTTTTAAGTCTTTTGTAAAAAATACAAAAGTTGAAGATTATGAAATATTTTGAATATTTAAACTTATATTTATAAGAATAATATAATAAATTAATATAAATCTATATAAAATTTAAATTTGTTATAAATTATTAAATCATTAAAAACTTAAAAAAATCTATATGAAGCTAACTTATGCGTTAAATTTTAATTTAAATGATAGATCTATCAAAAAAGGGATGAGTAATATATAGCTAACTCAACTTATTTACACAAAAATTCTGTTTTTAATTTTATCTTTAGCGTAGTTTTTAACATTTAACTTATTTTCCTTAAAGAAAAACCTTTTTAAGCCTCAACTAACAGCTTCAGTTGGATATTTTGAAATTGCTTTTAAGTTAAGACATAATCGATCGATCTATCTAACTATTTTTCTCGATTTATATACTAATTATGTTACAACATAATTAATTGAAATCATAGTTCAATTTATTTTTACTTAAGAAATCATAATCTTCTCAAACGTTTTAAAAATAAGCGAATTTATTTTATATAAATAATTATTTTGGTTTGATTTATTAAATAATTTAAAATGCTCATATGAATTTTCTTAAAACTTTTCATCAAAATTTTTTTGGCGAATAATTATTTTTCTTTGGCCAAAAATAAAGAAATTTTCTATAAAATTAATGGTATTTGCTATTACAAACAAAAATCAACTATAACTAGAAATAAATATTCTTTCAAATTTAAATCACCATTTCATTAATAAAGGAGAAGTCTTTTTAGTTTACTTTGTTTTGTAGAACGTAGGCAAATAAAGAAACAAATTAATTTATAAACGTCTCTAATCTTAAGAAATCTAGATTAGATGTGTGATTGATAGACATTAACTTACTGAGATATTAATAATCAACAAATTAATTTAATTTACCTATTATTTGAGTTAATATAATTTAAATTCTTTTGTGTAACATTAAATTCAATGTTTTTTGGGGAAATTCATTCATTAATTTATTTATTTGTGTATTTTTTTACTTAACAAAATTTACTTGAATAGTTTAAGATATTTGATAAATTATATGTAATAAAATGGCTATAAAAATATTTGCTATGAAACTAGTTGCTTTTTACACCAATTAGTACTATTGAAATTGCTAAATAAAATTAAGCAAGGTTGAAAAGTATCAATATTGCATTATAAAATGATAATATTATAAAATAATGATTATAATATTTAATCTGATGCAATCAATGGCCCTTCTACGTGACGAAATTCAACTTTGCGTAGTTACAATCTAAAATTCGTAGAATGAATAGTATTTTCGACAGATCCTAATTTTAAAACAAACCCACATATTTCTCTGCTGCATTTAAAGCTTAAAAAATCCTTTTTCCCAATCTGCAAAAAGAATTTTAAATATTAAACGCTTTATTTTGTATTTACATGAACTGCTTACTTTTTGGTAAATTCTTGAAAGACAATTTTATCCTTTCATTTCAATATCTACAAGCTAAAAATAAACAAATGTTCTTTCTGCTTATTACTTTTTGATTGATTGATAATTTTTCTCACTAATTCCGAGGTTTAACCTGTAGGAAATAATTATTTCATTTATCGCTTAACAAGGGATGACCTATTATTAGTTTTTCAATCTAAGTGAGCTTTAATATAATTTGGTGGTGTTTCTTATAGAATTGAGACTATTGATTAATAGTCACTCAAGAATTATTACATTTAATTAGAAAGATAATTTGATAAAAAATTAGTTGAATTTATCCCAATAATCTTAATTAAATTGAATTTAGCTTATAAGAAATTCTAAATGAAAATTGGTCACTCATTCACTCACTCATTCAATCAAACGTAATTATCATGAAAATTATATTAAAGAAAATATAATTATAAAATTCCTCTTAAATCCAACATATTTAATCTGTAATCTAATTTCAATCAAAATGTTTTCTTCTCATTCCAATTAATTTTTATCTTTGATTTAAAAAAAAGAGTAGTAATTCGTTCTTTTCTTTTTTTCTAAATGAAATCGTGTGAAATGGTCAATCCTTATTAAATTACGTACAAAACTAGTCTAGAAGCAAATTAGTAGATTTATAACTTAAGCAAATTCTTTCATAGTAAATTTTATGAGGATAAAAATAGAGATAAAATCAAAATAATTACATTTAATTTACAAAATTTGTATCAGAATTATTATTTCGTCATAGGTAATCGTCAGAGAATGTGAAATATAAATAGTACTCAGATAATTAATTTAATGGAAAAAAATTAATCCCCACTATTAAAGATAATCGCCTCATAGCGATTTAATTGACATATGATTAATTAGAACGATTTCAAAAAAAATTGATATCAAATTTATTTATAAACATTCAAGCCCATTGATTATAGTCTAGTCATTTGTTACTAATTTATCACATAATTAACCAACTCATTCTTAATTACTTATTGATCAATTTACTAACATTCTACTAGATCCTTGTCTTTAAAAATTTTAATTGAATTTCATCTGAACTTATAATTTAAATTAAATTTATTAAAAGTAATAAAAATAGAAAAACAAACAAACAATTAAGAAATGGCAAATTACAGACCTGTAGAAATAGCTTTCTTAGTACTCTTGCTTGCTTTCACAGCTGCAAATATCGGTACTGAAGGAAGATACTTAATGAAGAGATTAGAAGTTTGCAACAACCTCAATTTAGATAACTGTACTTAATAAAAAAGCACCTATCTCTTTGGTACCTTCAGAAATTTGACTATGAAGGTCTTTGTTGATTGCATCAACCTCGGTTTCATCATAGCTTCTTTCTTTGCAGTCATTTTTGTCAAAAAGGAATACGCTCCTAATGTTTCTCGTGGATTATTCGTAATCGTTCTCGCCCTCTCTTTAATGAGCTTAGGATGCGGTATTTAATCTATTGACTAAGAAGATACTTATAACGAATAAACTTTTGGCCCCAAACTAGACTTATATTGCTCTGCAGAAGCTTAATATCAAAACAGTACTGCTCTTTATTAAGCCAAACGTGATTAATATAATTAGGCTTTATAAATCCCAGCCAATAAATAATATATAAAAGCCTTTTAATCAGGTGATAAAGCCATGTATATTGGAGCAAGAGGTTATATAGATTTTGCAGCTAACTATACTTAGTTTGCAGATTAAACCACATTATAATAATCTTAAAGGCTTGTTGCTCTTATTGACGGAGAAGCTTTATTAAAATAAGCTAAGGACTAATTAGATGCTGCTTAACCTCAAGTTGAACTTGCTAAAAGAGCCTGTCCTGAAATCACTGATTTCAAAAACATATATTAAAGATACAGAGATTCAGTAGTTGCATTAGTTATAATTAACTTCGTATGGGCTTATAGCATACTCTTACATGCCATCTTCAGATGGAATATTGAATAAGATGATAATAGAGTTAAGATTACTGGTACTGCCACTGATCTTAAACTTTAAGAATATAAGTCAAATGATCTCTTAAAGGTTCCTAACACAGATATTGAAATGAACGCTTAAAATGCCATGTGATTAATAAATAATTGTTTTATATTTCATTCTTTAAAATACTTTAACTTAAATAATTAAATGAGTTTTCTTTTGTAATATATTGCTAATTTATTATCAGCTTCATTTATATTTTATTTTGTATTTTTGAATTAAAATATTCTCACATTCATCAATTAATAAATAAATACTCTCTTACTAAATAATTAGATATACATTTATTATTATAAATACTTGATTTAAATTAATATTTTATGGTTATTTAAAAAAAAAACCTTAGTAATTAATATCAAATTTCTACAATTTAAAAAGCATGTTTTTTAAGAATAAAATCGAATTTCCAATTATTAAAAATGGAAACAATTATTCCTTTAAATCTTAGAGTTTATAAAATCAAATAACTTAAGAGCAATAATCCAAAGTAATTGAAAATTTCTTGAAATTTATTTTCTCTTTTGATTAAAAAACTGCTGAAGTTGTTAAGACCAAAGAAATTCAAAATGTATCTTGGAATTTTTTTATGCCTAATTTCAAAACTAAAATATTCTGCATATTTTTCAAATAATATGAAAGTATTTACAATTTTTACTTCTTGAATTGTTAAAAAATTTTTATTTCAAAAATAATAAAATTTATTTCGTTATATTTTATAGAATGTGCACATGCAGGTTTACATCTTTGGTTTTCGAAATAAATAACTAAATAGAATATTTTAATTAGTTTATAGATTACTCATAAAATATAACAAACAGGCATTGAAATGAGATCAATAAAAGATATGCAATTTTAATTTGAGAAATAAAAATTATTCTTAAAATATATTTTTTTATTAACCAATAAAGCAAGTATTTTGTATATCTGTCCTTTAAAGTACAATTTTTAAATTTCTCTTTGTTTTAGTTAATCATAAAGCCAGCATATTTAATCTGAATTAATTATCTTACTTTAAATTTTTCATTTAATTATGTTGAATCTAAATAATCATTTATATGAAATATTTATTACTTTAAATCTTCATTTATAAAAACCTCTCTCCTTTTCTCTTTTTAAAATAAATGGTTGAGATGTCTATAATTAATATATCTGGCTTTAATATAAAATTTCTGAATTCAAAATGAGAATTTGAAGTAGGACATTTAAAAAAAGTTATATAAAATAAGAAAAACTAAAAATAAATAAATAAATAAATAAATAAATAAATAAATAAATAAATAATGTAAAAGAGAGTATAATTTATTTTTAAAAAATACTAAAATACAAATACAAATATTACAAAATTAATATTATATTCTGGTATCTCTAAAAATCCAAGTTATTCCGTTTTATAGTTTATTATTTGGTCTATTTTATAGTTTGTTTTATTATTTTATAAATATTATTTTTAAAAGGTTCTTAAATATTACCAGAATTGGGCATGTTCTATTTATTAGTTAATATGCAACCAATATTTATATAGTTCTTGAGCCTTGATTGATAAATAAAATATTAAGCTGATGATACTAGAAATAATAATAATTTTACTCCAAGATATTTTTCCTAAAGTTAGAATTAGTTTGTTGAAGTAGAAAAGCACATAACTAAAAAAGGAAATTACGCTCTAATTATAAAAATATTAATAATATATTTCAAGGTTAAGAATGAATAGATAATTAATATTACGAACTATTTTTTAGTAAGAGTATTTATGTCTGAATGATTAATTGGCAAAAAAGATATTTACATACTTTTTTTTTAATTAATTTGAATAACTTTACAACCTATGTAAACTAAAATTTTTAATAATTACTGCCTAGTTTTATAGTATTTGCATAGATTTATTGAGCTTTGTGGACATCAAATAAAATTAAACTTACAATCTTTAGTTTACAAACAACAAATTTCTCAATTTTAAATTTTCAATCTCAAATCTATTTATTTTACGTACTTTAAAAAAATTAATATAAAACTAATTGATAAAAATTATAAAATAAATTACTTCCTGTTTTGTGTTTAGCAAATATTTTTAGTTTTATTTTTTAAAAATTAATTGCTAATATAATTTACTCCCTGTTGATTTCAAACAAATCAGAATAAAAACATTGAATGAATCAGTTCAAATAATAATTTAATTACGTCCTTTTTTATAAAAAATAAATAAGTCATATGATTGATTATAAAATTATTTGGATGCATGCATATATTTTAATTAATTAATAAAAATAATTATATTACGATCTATTTTAGAGATATAACCAGATTGTCTTGTAATTGAAATTTCCTTCAAACAAAATTTTACATACTAGTTTTAATAAAAATACTATTGAAAAACTAGACTTATTAATTAAAGTGAAATCTTACATACTATTTCATCAGATTAATTATTAAAAACACTAAATAAATAAATATTCATCAGCCAAAATAAATTTACTCCCTATTTAAATTAATTGATTATTTATTATAAAAATAATTTTAAATATTGTAATTATTTTACTCTCTATTTTGATATTGAATGCCAGCCAAAAATATTTTTACAATATATTTCTAATGCATTTAATTAATTAATTACGTGCTTTTTTATTTTAATTTGCAAAAAATTAAACTAAATTTTTGCCATGAACTTTTTATATTAATCTTACGTACTATTTATTTATTAAATAAATATTTTAATATTTATTATTCATTTTTAAAACATAAGTTATTTAATTATTACGTACTAAGATGGTAAAAAAATAATTTTAATTCTCTTCAAGATTTGCTTAAATGCTTGTTAATTTTTAGAAGATCTCGTTTGATTGTTTGTTTTTGAAACGATTTCATCTAAATGATTAACTAACTAAGATTGTTCTAAAAATGTCAAAACTTATTACGTCCTATTTAATATTTTTTCTCAATTAATTTAATTGATTCCTGATAAAAATCCTATATTTACGTACTGTTTTAAATTATTTTATTAAGTTATTTTTAAGTTATTTAAATAAGATTTTACTTGCTGATTTGATTTATTATTATAATTTATATTAAATTAAATAGTTTTGTCTTTTGAATAAAACTTACGATCTTTTTATTATCAAGAATAACAAAATCAATCAATCATTTTCTTTCCCAAATTATTAATAAATTTACTCTCTAAATTAAAAAAAAATATTTTATGTCAAATTTTAGTTTATTTAGAAATAATTGTTTTACGATTTTTTCCTATTAAATTGGTGAATTAATGTTAGTTAATTAATTAGCTAAGAATTTTTCAATTTATTAAATGCGAAATCTCTAAGAAACTTACAAATGAATTAAACTATTTGTTAATTTTAATAATTATTTTTAAAGCATCAAAGTTATTTATCTATCTTACGGAGATATTCAGGTTGAGTTGCTTGATATGTTGATTAACCTTTTCGATTGCCTATGACTTGAGTGCATCCTTTGTCAACTGCTACTGTTATTATGTCTACTAAGAGGATTGTTATAAAATTTATAATATATTGTTGACTCTAGTTTAAGTTTGAGCAACTTCATGCACAATATTTGTTTGCTTTAAATCCTTCAACACTAATGTGTTATCCTCAAACTAGGCGAAACCTTTTAATTATTGTAAATTTTGAATAATTTATTGATAACTTGAAGAACTTTAAATTTGTAAATTCTGATGGATTGTTTTGGCCTATGCAGAGGGATTTGAGACTTACTCTTTGATGGTTAACAAATTGCTTTTTACCCCTTATAATCTGCTAACAATATCATCAATTGTATTAACTGAATCATTTATTTAGCTAACAAGATTTAAAATGTCTTCGCTTTTTCCTTCCTTTTCTATTTAGTTTTGTCTATCTATCATGCCTTCAATCTATAGAAGAAATTCGTCTAGACTGATTTGCTTCACGTTATCCTTCTTTTCATGGATCTTTTGATGATCATGAATATCTTTATGACATTACTCGCAAATCAATGTCATAAACTTCTCCTCACAAGATTAACTTATGCAAACATGCAATTGAGGAATCATACGCTTACATTATAAGCATTGCTTTCTAAAATCTCTGTCTCCCATTTTTTTAAATATAGAAATTGTAATATTTTTTTCTGTTGTTATTTTGTGCTAATCCGCTTGAAATTGTTTCTAAAGAAAGAAGATAATTGAAACTTTTTTAAGATTTCCTAACAATTAATTATTAATTATATCAAACTAATAAAAAGTTTATAATCAACCAAAATCTCATCATCAATTGAGAGTTACTTCCTTTGTTTCATTTTTGTAAAATAAAAAGGAAAATTTAATAGAAAATAACAATGAAAATTGATTTTATTTAATTTTTGATTGAAATATATTTTAAATAAATGTAAAAAAGCTCATCATTAATTTACATTTTATAAGTTATGAAAGCTATTAATTAGCTTATTAGTTTTAATTATTTTTTTAATTAACTCTTAACAAAGCAAATAAATGTAAAAAAAAAAATTAGTACAACAATATTCATAAATAAAGATTTATTATATGATAAAATATAACAAAAAACCTTCATCGTTAATAAAAAATTAAATACAAAAAATAATTTGAATAAACAGTTTTTAAAGTTGATAGATAAATTTACATAAAATTCATTAGATAAGTAATATTACAGTTTATTCAAAAACTAATTTAAATTAATAGATAAATTTGCTTTGTTATTTATTGAATTGCTATTTTAAATATTCAATAAAAAAATAATAAATACTTCTCTTTTATCTTAAAAGTTGTTAAAAATAAATTATATTTAATATCTATAATTGACGACCTGTTTTCATATTATCAAAAATGATCAAATGAGCTAATTTTTGTTTATTATATTTTAAATAGAGATTAAAAACAAACAGCAGCTGCAAAATGGTTTTAATAAATCATCTTAAAATTAATTTTAATTTATTAAATTTTTTGAATTTATCACTTAGGACAACCAATTTTTTTGAATAGTTTAAGATCATAATAATAATTATTATTTATTTAATACAAAAAATAAAATAATTTTTGCAATTTTGAAAAATAAATAAAATTAGTTTGTTAAAATACAAATAAATGCTTTTTAAATTAAAATAAATAATTTATAATGCTGTATATGCATTGATAAATAAGTAGTTATCAATTCAGATATTAATTAAAATCACTTTTTTGGGACTATTGAAGGTAAACTTTATCTGCTTTTATTCAGCTTGTTAAACTAAAAGCTGCTATAATTTTCAGATATTCCTTAATTTGGTTAACTTGGGTATAGAGTATTGTTATTTTATTATTTTTTATGGGTTGATGGTTTATCGATGTGGAAAGACCCCTGGAAATTAAAACTCTTTAGCTCATTTAACGAAGTTGAAACATTATTTCCTAAATTTGCTTTTGTAAAAAGATTGTTAATTATATTATTTTTTTTAGCTAAACTTCTTTGTGATGACTACTAAGAAAAAGGATTTTCCTCAGTCTTTTTTATCATTTCATAGTCTAATGACGATTTTGTATTTTAAGGTCTATCGTTATTTGTTGTACAGAGAACGTAACTATAATTATTTTAGTTTCCTATTTTTTTAGACTTCATAAGCTTTGAATTAATTCCATTTAGTATTTAATGCAATTTATTAGTTGAAGCTGAAACAATTTAAGAAGCACTTCCGTTAGAATTTATTGATTATCCTTGAGTGCTTAAATTACTATTTCCAATTAGTTATTTTTCCTATGCATATTTATAAAAATCTTAACTTTTTTTATTTTTCAAGTCTGAATTCTGCCCAAATGAACTCTTATTATTGTGGGGATATGCAGTTTATGCTCCTAATAAATTTTGATCATAATCTTCGCTTCCACTTGAATTAAAAGCGTGCTGAAATTTAGCTACTGTTTAAGGAAAAGCATCAACTCTTATTTTCGTTTCCTAATCTTCCTAAATATTTTCAATTTTTTAAGTTAAAAATATAATTTTTAATAATAATTTTTTTATTTACTGGAAAAATAAAGATATTTTTCTTTTAAACAACTTATGGAGAATTTGTATATTTATGCAAAATATTGTCGAAGTTAGTGGGTTCTTTCACAATAGGTGACAATGCTTGTACAACCACATTTTACCCAAATTTATTAGGCTAGTTATTAATATTATTTATACTATTACTTGGATTATTATTATTATTATTTTAAATTTATGTTTTTTATTGATTTTCTGTTTGAAGCATTAATGATTGCTTTCTTTTGTTAGCATCATACTTCATTTACAGCTATGCCTGAGTCTGGCTATTTTTGTATAAAAAACTCATTCTTTTTTGAGTATTTAAATTAAGTACTGATGGTATTTTTTGTTCAGCATTAGAATTTTCTGTTAGAAGTGATGGTCGCGAAGTGTGGTTCATTTGATTTTATTAAGAACTCTAAGTATTTTATCTTTTACCGCTTTAAGGGACTTGAAGTTTTGCACTGCTTTAGAGCTACACACTGACTCCTGAATTCTAAGTTTTCAACTGTTTATTTGCTTTCTTTATAGCATTATATTCGTAAAATTCTATTTTATTTTGGAGGTTTTAAGTAAATCGGGAATAGTCTTCTTCAAAATGAAAGCCTTGCTTTATAACTTAAGATCTGAAGTTAGGATCTAAAAAATTAGCTATTGTTTCTCTCTCATCGCTTTTAACGTGAAAATCAAGTACTTTTTTTATTTTTTCCCTTTCTTCTTCCTCTTTTGTCAGCTTAGGCTTCTTCCAAATTTGTTATGCTATCGCTACTCTTTTATTTATTTCTAAACGCTTCAAAGAAGGTCCAAGTAACTCACTTTTGTAAAAATTCTTAATTTCTTCATATTTTATATCTTTTGGGCTATAGTATTCAGACAAAAGCATTTTCTTTTCATCTTATTACTTTTCTAATTCATATTCTTATTCTATCGTTACTCCATCTTGTAAATAGAATTTCAGTCAAAATAGAATACAAAAAAAATAGTAATTAATTAATTAATTACCTTTTTCTTAATTATTTTAGTCAAACATGTTAGTCATTCTCCTCTTTCTACCTTAAATACCCATGAGCTTCTTTAGAAAATTGAGTATTTTCGTTTAGTTCTGCTCTTTTCGAGATAAATCAGAGCTATATTTTCTTTAAATTAAAAATTTTACATTAATTTTAATTGTTAATATTTTTCATACTTGTTTAGTAGATCAATAATTCTTAGCGCAAACAAAACTTTTTTCTAAGATTTTTTGTTGTGATCACATTTGTAATCCCATTAAATTGGAAGAGGATGATTGATATTCAGAGAGCAAAGCTAATTTAAAGTTTAAGTTTCCCAAACCTTTACATAATAATCTTAACCTGAAGTCATTATAGCATTTTTATCACCATTTAAAAAAGCTATTGAAGTTATAACATCTTTGTGGGCTTAAATATTCTTAAAAATAAATCTATTAATAAAATATGAAATATGCTGATCACTGCTTAAAATTTTCTAGGTTTTTTAAAATTAATCTGTTAACTATGTCTGTTCAGAGAATCTATTAGGTGGATTACTTAACCTTTTGTAAGATGCTTTGAAATCTTCGTTGCTATTTCTGTGAGGATTGTAATTCATTCTGGTATTAGAATGAGGCTAATACTGTAAATTATCATAATACTTAAACATTTCTACAGATAAAAAAATAATTTCAGAATATATTTTAAAACTGAATGAATATTTATTTATTTACTTTCTAAATCAAATGCTATCAAATGTCCCTTAGTATTTGCACAATATATTTTAGCAACAACTAATTCGTTTTACTCATTGAATTAAAAATCTGGCAGAATTTTTGTTATTGAAACTTATTACTCTTTCTCTAATGTTTCGTTTTTAACAATTTTTTTATAATTTTTATTATCGGCATTTTATGTTCTCGTAGACGCCTCACCACTAGAAGGATGCTCTATGCTATTGATTTGATCAAGTTAAAGACTCACTCTTTGTTATGTTTCATTTGGATTAAATATATCAGTTAATACAGTGTTATTATTAACCTAAGCTATTGATTAATTTAACCTTTTGGAAGTATTGTGATAAGATTACTCATTTTTAATTTGGAATGAAGTTGGATTTAAGAATTGATTTTCATCATCAGCCTATTTGGTAATGAACAAATCGTTTTCATTTATATTTAAATTCTTGTCAATCTGATCAAATATGTATTCAGAAACCTCAATGTTTATGACTCCAAGCAAATCAAATTTAACTTTATTTTCTTTTTTTTGAAAATGTATGAAATATATTTTATTTTCACTTGTAGCAACAATCAATATAGGGTATCCTTAAATAACACTCAGAGCAGTAGGTTCAGTTTTCTTTTTAAATTCTATATAGTTAAGCAATCTCCCATATTCATAGTCGTATATACATATCTATTCCAAATTTTAAGTAGCTGAAAATATTACATTATGATAAACAGAAACTTCAAGTAAACTGATTCCCTAAATTAAAAATAATTAAACAATTTATCAAATTCTTAAATTTTCTTCAATCATTCAAACTTATTTCAAAGAAATTTTTGTCATTTCTCATTAAATCCATATAAAAATTTAAATCGATTAATTGTATTTCGTTTATTTTATGCTAAAAAATGGATTTTTAATTTAATTATTTTATATAAAAAAATTAATTTATTTATTACTTTTTCATTGTGAACATTTTCTATTTTTCTTTTCAACTCAACAGTTTCTTCACTTAGCTATTGGATTTTTATGGTTGAATCCCATCCACCTGATATAAGTAATTTGTTTACATAATCTATTTTAAGTTATGTTACTTCGTTTGTGTGATTATTCAAAAATTTTATTCTTTCTCCATTTTGCTAATAGCTATGCAAACTTAGTTATCCTTTTTAATTGCCTAATAAAAACTTCTATCCTTGAAACACTTATTTAAAAACAGTGATTTCATCTTAAGAGTTATCCATCAAACCATTTATTGTAAACTTACAAATTCCATTATTCATATCATAAAATTAAATGTTTTTTCTAGTGCAAACAATCAATTCGTCTCTAATTGTATTGTTTTCAACTTTAAAAGCAAAAAGATTCTCAACTTAATTAAAGGATTTTATGATTTCTTCTTTTTCATCGAAATTGACTATATTTATCCTGCTTCCAATTAAGGCAACCATGCCCTCTGAATACATATCTAAAATCAGCTAAATATTCATTTTTTTAGTTGTATTATTTGATAAAGCAAAACTATTACTGCACTCATAAGACTGAATGCAAGATTAATTTCTAATATCCCACAATCTAACAACACCCAAATCATCTGCAGATATCACCATAGGTGTACTTTCAATCACTTAAATGCAACTTATCATTGAGTTGTGTCCCCTCAATTTACCTATATTTAATTAAATTGAGCCATAAATATTTATATTATTAAGATCAATCAATACCTATAAGTGTGGAATCAAGATATTCATCATCTATTGTATAAAGTTAAATATTATTCTCGTAGCCAGCAGTAAGCAAAACTTAAAACGAGTTAGAAAAAGCAATCGAATGCACTCCTACCTTTTTAATTGATATAATTATATTTGTTATACAAGACACAAAAAATTAATTTTACCTATCCGACATCAATTTGAAAAAGCAATAATTATTTATAAAAATCCCATATTGTAACTTATTTATCTATCGAACCAACAGCACAATATCCAATTTAAGGCAATTCAAGAACCTAGAAAATTGCTCCTTAAATCAAAGAAGTAGAAAGCTAAAAATTAGTTCTCTCCTCTCCAATATCCCAGCAATAAAGCATATTTTTAGAGTCTGTTGTAATCCACATATCATGCTTTTCTAAATACCATATATTATTTTAATAATCTTAGGTATATCCATGTACTGAAAAGTTCTTTTCGAATTCAAAGTCATCAATTGCATCCCAAAAGCTAATAGTAAAATTCTTTAACACAGCACCAATCTTTAAATTTAAAATACAAATAACTAAATAAATACATTTTCTAATATAGAATAAAATTCAAAAACTTTAGTTTTTATCTACTTTAAAAAAATTGAACAAAAGACTTAAAATTAATCTGAGCATATATATGCTTTATCTATGTTATAAGATAGTAATTTAAATATAGCTTTAATTGAACTATCTGGATATATTTTTCTGTTAAATGATAGTGAATAAATGCATTACTCTTTGTTATCTCTCTGACCAAGCAAGACCAAATATGATTATATCTAACTTTGAGTCATCTTCCTTATTTTTTAAGTTTATATGCTTAACTAAGTTACAATTTAGATCATAAATTGCTATTTTATCATCAAGAGAATCTAGTGTTATTACTTTCTTAATCTCCTTTGCAAAAACACCACTTTTTTGATCATTTAATATATATGAATTAATTAATAAAATAATTAGAAATTTAATTAATAAATGGAAACTATCATTTTAATTTAAGAATATATTTAAAATTATTTTAATAATTTTGTGAAGAATATATATTTTTTAAAAGTGAATTATATAATACTGATTTATAGACTGCTTATTGTGGAAAGTAGAATCAGTCTTAAACTTGCCTTTATGAAGTCTTTTTAGTGAATTATGTAGATTATTTTCATAAACTAAAGGAGGTCTAAAATCTATTTTTTTTGCTTTATCGTGATTTCCCTCAACGAGCTCTGTAAATCTTCTTTCTGGAGGATATTTTCTTGTTTTTATTTTATATTCATCTTCGAACTGAATGGCTACTCTCTATAATTATAATTATAAATTTCAAAGGATTTTACATATTTTATACAAAATAAAGCTTGATAAATGATAACATAAATCTACGATTCAAAATTTGCTTAAATGAATAAATTAAAAATATTTAGTTAGTTAATTACATCACATATCGAAGTAGTTATATCTGAAAATTTTACTTCTTGAGCCATATTTAAATTCTCGCAAATACTTTTAAAAAGCTCTATTAATCCTAAAGTAAGAAAAATTGTTTCCTCTTCATTGTGAGGAATCAAACTTAAGAAAGTATAAATAAATTATAATATATCCATAGTTTTATGACCTGAATCAACAAATTTTTTTTCTAACTCTTGCAAGTAATCTTTACCCATTACACTTATGATATAATCAGAATTCATTTTTGTAAATAAATTAACGTTTGATCTATCTTTATAATCCATTATTTTTTATACTAATTCTTATAGAGAAAATTCAAAACCTTCAAGTAAGAGCTTATTCTCAGCTTCATTTATTCCTAATTTATGATTATTCATAGCCTTTTTTTCTAAATAAAAAGTAATTATTTTAAATTAAGTTATTTTTCCCTTGAATTCGCTGTAATAGATTTCTTTTTAGGAATATCTTTCCAAAATTTAAGAATAACTAATTTATTTTTTAAAGACTAGGATTTATAAAAATAGTAACAAAAATTATGTTTTTGATAAATCAAGATAATTAATTAGTTAATAGAACTAAATCAATTGATTGTTCTTTCTCAAATTATAAATGTTTTGTTAATTAGAAAGTTATATTTGCATTAAATTAAAAATAACAAACAATTTTATTAATTGATGAATAATTTACTAACTTTATAAAATACTTCAAGAATAATTATATTAATTCCTTATTTAATAAACAAATATGCATTTATTTATCTAGCAAAATAAAAGCTAACAAAAAAGAATTGAACTGGCTCAATAAATTGCTAATAAATATAATTTATTTTTGGATTTTCAGATTGAATTTTGAAAAATTATAATTATTTTTAAATAATTAATTTCATAAATATATAATTAAACAGTAATTTATTTACTTTAATAATTAATTATATAAATTTGATTAAATAACTTAAATATTTAAATTAAATAAGTTAAACATTTTTATTAATAATAATTATCATTTACAGTGAGTTGAAAATTACAAACACAATATTTATTAATAAATAATTCACAAACTCTATCAAATATTTTAAGAATTCTTACTTAAAAAGTAATTAACAAACAAATAAATTCTCTCTAAAAATTACAAAAAAAATTATTAAATTTATAAAAAATACTTTGAAGAATGAATATTATTTTTATTTAAACAATTAATTTCTTAAAAATTTAATAAATAATTTAAGAAATTTTAGTTAAATAAATAAAATATTTAAATCTACAAAGTTTAATATTTTATAAATTTATTTATTATTTACATTAAATTAGAAATTTTAGACAAATATATTTATAAATAAATAATTCGCTAACTCTATTAAATATTTCTTGAATGCTTATATTATATCCTAATGAAGAAGGCAAAGAAAATGTAGCAAATAATCGAATTAATTATATTTATAAAATGACTTTTTACAATTAAAATAATATTTAAATATTTATTTTTGTTTTAAACAACCAATTAATTTCATCAAAATAAAAAGAAATATTAAAAATAATTATATTTAATATTGATTATAATAAATCTATTTAAGTAAATAAATCAATGAGTTAGAAATAGCTAAATTAAACTTTTAATAAATTCCTTTAATAATTAAAAATGAGTTGGTTTTAAAAATATTATAAGCAAACTAAATTTAATTTTTTAAAAATCCTTCAATCATTTTTCATATTTACTAAAATAAATAAATAAATAAATAAAGGATTTTAATGAATTATTTCTAGTATTTAAAAAATTCTAACAAATACTTTTAAAAAAATAAAATGTTGAATTGTATTTTTTTTAATAAATTTACAAAAGGGACATTTTGAATAATTGAATCAAGCATTTTTAAAAGATAATTAATAATACAAATATACATTTAAAGCAAACACGGAAACACATTTATTTATTGATTGATTTTTCCTTTAGTTTTTATCTTATTAAAGGAACATCTCTTTTAAAAACGATTGATTGATGGTATTTTAAGTTACTAAATTGATTTTATAATTGTTTGAGTAAATAAATTGATTGATTGATTTTTTTTTCTTGGATTTATTGTTAATTTAACCAAAATTTTTTATAAGTCAGAGATTTCAGTTTTTCTTGGCCTTATTTTTAAGTTTGGCAGCCTTCTTTTGTAATTCCTTTACTTTTTATAACTTATCTTGCTTAGATTTTTATATCAATTCGTACATTTTTTTATTCTTTCTTGTCATAAGAGCCTTAGCTAATTCCTTTTATTCTTTTGTTTCTTTTATTTACTTTTTAGCCTTCTTTTATTATTCTTTTTCATGATCATATTCATTTTCTGATTCTTCAACATCTTACTTTTTAATGTCTTCAACGTCACTTTCTTCATCATAGTTAATTTCTTCTTCTTCGTCTTCTTCGTCATCATCATCTTCTTCTAATTCTTCTTCACCGTCAACTTCTTCTTCTTCTTCATCATCATCTTCTTCTTCCTCATCAATATCTTCTTCTTCATCTTCTTCAACATTTTCTTCAGCTTCGATTTCTTCTTCATCTTCGTCTTCATTTTCCTCTTCAACTTATTCTTCTTCTTCATCTTCGTCTTCAGATATTTCAACATCTTCTTCATCTTCTTCATTTAATTCGGCCTCAACACCCTTAAGTAAATCTAATTGTTTTTGTCTTTCAGGCTTGTATTCAGTTTCGTTGTATTCAACGAAAGGAGATAAATGAGGAGGTAAACTCTTACCAGGAGCATATTCACCAACAGGTAAAAGAATTCCAGAATTAATGCTATCATAAATCCATTAGGGTTGAATATATTCTCTATTTTTATTAAATTTTAATTAATTTAAATCTATTTATAAGTAAGTAAGTAATTAAGTAGAAGAAAGAATCTTTTTTATTCACAAAATTTGTTTAATAAATTTATTTATTTTTTACCTATTTTTAATAATTTAGAGAGTCTTAGGATCTCTATCAGTAACAAAGTGAGTGATGGAAGGGTCATTCCATTAGACTTCAGAGTCGTCACCAGCCCAGTGAACTTTACCAGAGAAAGCGAGGACTATAAATTCGATTGAAAGTCTGGGAACTTCTGAAGAGAGGTAGAAAACACAGTTCTTAAATAAAGAAGAGGTGCTGTTGTCATTAGTCATTTTTTAAATTTATTAGTCTTTTTTAAACTTGTCATCAATAGCGTATTTTTCGTTTTCTTCTTCAGCATTTTCAATAGTTTATTGGCTATCCTTGTGCTTGAGAACAAAGGAAGAATAAGAGAAGTAACTCTAATCTTCAATAGATTTGTTTATTTCTAATGGGTACTTGACGTTGATAGAATTAAAGAGCTTGAAGTTAACGAACTTGATTAAAGTTTCATAGAATTCCAAGAAAGTTAACATAACTTTATAGTCAACTTCAGCAGGTAATTCGGCAGGGAGTTAGAAAGGAGCGATCCAGGTGATCTTTTGTCCTTCAATTTCAGCTTGGTAGTAGATACCTTTAATTGAAATAAAGACCTTTCTTAAACTCTTGCTCTTAATAACGAAGAGATTGAATTCTCTCATAAGCTTAATGCACTTGGTGATGCTGTCTCTAGGAACACCGAGAGCCTTATGGGCAGGGAAACTTGCGAATAAATTAACTAAGCACAAAGGATCATCTAAATCTCTTAAGGCATCTATGAAAGTAGGATATCTATGTTTTTAATTAATAATTTATCATTTTTAAATGAAATTAACAAAAAAATTAGCATTTTTTATCTTAATTGTTTGGTGAACATTTATATCATCTTGCATTGACATAAAAATGATATAAACTCACAAACACTTTGCTGATTTTGCAATCACTCTGATTTATTAATTTTAAATTGAGGAAAGTAGGATTACCTTTCTTTAACAAGATGATTCAAGGAGTAAGTGGGCTTTTATTTCTAAAGTAATCTAAGTCTAGTCTTATCACCCTTAGCCTTGAGTTTCATGACCTTTTTCATGTGAGTTTTCAATTCTCTGAACTTGTTAAGAATCTTTTCATGCATCAAGTAGTTGATATCCTTCAAATGGTAGTAGGTCTTGTTTTACTTTTACAACTTTTTGGGAGGTTCTCTGGGATAAACACCCTTCAAGATGCATAATCTTCTGAAGTCCTTCAAACTAACCTATAACTTCTTGATAGCTTTAGCTCTGGATATATACTTGGTGGCCTCGCCCCTAGTATTTTTCATAACTTTCTTGACCATCTTTGCTTGTTCAAAAACTAGTAATTAATGAATATATTTCTAATAATATAAATAGAAAAATTTTTATCTTATTAGTTAATTGTATTAATATCGTTTGCTTCTTGCTTGTTTGAAATTGTATCTTAATTAAATTAAGTAGAGAGATAAACAAAAAATAAATTAATAAAGAAACAAACTAGCAAAATAACAAAGAAAGAGCCTTGTTATTTGTTAAATATTGATCAAAAGTGAATTCAATAAACTCTTTCTAATTGAATGATTTTCTTTTAATTTGTTCCATTTATTTTATCTTATCTTAATTTGCTCTATATGTATTTCATTTATTTCTTAATTTTAACCCAATTTTACAAGTAGAAAATTTATAGATTGATAGATAGAATGACTGACAGCGAGCGACCAATCTATTAATAATAAAAATATTATTTTCATTCATTTCATCTTTTAAAAAATAATTATTTATTTATTTCTACCATCAAAGGTAGTATTTAAGCTCAAAACTATCGTTATTCTTACTTTTATTTCCAAATTGATAAAATAAAATATAATTAATTTTTAATTTTATTTAAAAAAAAATATTTCATTGTTTAAAATTGATAAATCAATTAATAATTTTATTTAATTCAAAAATATTTTCTCAGAAAAAATTTTTATTTTCAAAGATTAATTTTTAAGCTTTATATTCTTCATGAAAATAAAAAAATTTATTATTTAATTATCAAATTAAAAAAGAGCTGAAGAATTTAAACTCTTAAAAGTATTAACAAAATATAAATTGAAATAAAATGATTCGCTGGAATACAATAATCACATTATTTAAAATTATTTTACTATTTTCAATCTTTGTTTTAAAAATAAACTTAATTATTTATTTATTTTTTTAAGAATAAAAAGCATTTTTAGGCTTAAATAGAACTATAAATGATTATAAGATAGAATTTGTATGGTATATATTCTAAAATATTAGTACATATCTTAATATATTAGAATAAATTTTTACAATTTTTAAAGAAATTTTAATTTTTAGGAGATATAAATTGAGGATTTATTATACATACAATAAGGCAAAGAAAGAATGTTAAATTTATTATATTTATTTGTATTATTTTTATAGATAAATAAATAATTAAGATTTTAATTCAAATGTTTTAAGAATATCAAAAAGGAACATCTATGTTGTTTTCTAGGAAATATTTTTTGTAGTCGTTTAAAATAGTTAAAATTTAATCTTTTTATTTAGTTTTCACAACAATATTTGAGCCTGCAGCACTAATTCTAATTAATCCTATTAGTGCTTCTAAAGAATATCTTTCCTAAAAATATTTAATTTTATTAATTTAATAAAAATTCGAAAAATTAAAACGAATTTACCTTATTTGTATTTATAAATGTTTAGACTTCTTCTATGTCTTGAGATTGACATATTTTTAAATAAGCTTCTACAAAAGCTCGCTATAATTGCTCTCTGGTTTAATTTTTTGATAAGGATTAAACTTTCTTTTATATCATCTAAAAGTCTCTCTACATCTGTAGTCTTCCAAATTCATTTATCTTTATTTATATATAGAAAACTAACATTAAGAAATTGTTCAACTTAAAATAAAAAGAACTTACTTTCTTTATTTTAGAATAGGCTTCTATTAATTCCTTATAGCAGAAGTCAATTAATAAACAAAAAATTTCTTCTTAAACTTATTCAGGGACAGAACCACCTCCAGTGCTTCTAAGTTGCTCTTTATAGTCAACTATAATTTGGCAGAAACGCTCTACATAATTGCTTGTTTGCCCCACTTCTTAACTAGAAAGTTCCCATTTGCTATTAGGTATAGCTGAGAAAATTTGATCAGATCTAGCAAATTGAGGAGCATAATCAACAAATATCAAACTTTTCAATTCATTATATATGCTTTCGTAATAATCCACTTCAAACTAATCAAAAGTTTTGTCATACATATACTAATTTAATAAGAAACAGTTAATATTTTGGGAGTATAATTATTTTTACTTAAATTATCGGAATAAGGCTTCTGTAAATAAATAGCAAATAGTCAAATGATTCTATCGCTATTATTCTTTCTGATATTCCTTTGAATTGCTTAGATTATAATTATGATGGAGGTATTAATTTCTTTATTGTTTGATAACAAGATACATTGTTTTCAAGGTATACTTTAGCTAAATTTTTATGTTTTTTTTATAGTTTTAGTGAGTTATTTACTTGAGAGAATTTGCTGATATTGTTTTCTAATTAATTTGGATCATCCAGCTTATGCACACCTTGTAGTGCTAATTTTTCCATGAGCTAAGCTTGGATGCTATTGTCAAGAAAAGAATTTACAATATAATAAATATAAAAATTTAAGTTTTATTTGATGCATTTAATTATTTGAGGAGTAGCTGGCCTGACAGTATCAATTAATTCTAAGTATTCTTCAAATGAGTTCATTAATTTTTGAGAACTACTTGAAATTACAATTTGTTATTTAGGATATTGCTTCTATTCAAAGATTTATTTCATATCAAAATTGCATGCACCTTCTTAATTTTAAATAATATTAGAGTTGCTCTTAATCTAACTTTCTTCACCATTTTCCCTGCTATGGTTCATTATATTATATTTTTTGTTAAACTTTCTGAAATATGAAGCCGATCTTTATTTATTGGAAACATCAGTCTCCTTTTTAATCTCGACTTAGAAAGGATTATCAGTTTTAAACGTATTCAAGTTATATTCAAAAACATCCTTCACATTATCATTTAAATCAAGAGGTTTAAATGAATAATTTTTCATTACTCTTAATATTCTGTGAATGCTTTTCACTTCACCTTTATCAATAAATGAGTAATTTACTCCTTGTGTAATAGGAAGTCTCTTCCAATTTTCGCTCTGTAATGTAGATATAACAGCAACTTAAGCAATATGATGATAATGATCAATGTAAGCCTCACATTTATCAGAAATAAAATTTTATAATCTAATTTATTTAAAAATTATTTTTTAAAATCCTTTTAAATTATTCCCTTAATTTAAACTAAAAAAGTGGCTTTTTCACAATAAAAATTAATTTGTTTACTAAAATTTATCAAAAACTAATGAAAAATAATACAATTTTACATCAAACTATTAAATTTTACTTTATTATATTTAATCATAAAGATAAATTCATTATTTGAGCTAATCTTTTTAAAATTTATGCATTAATTTATGTTTAATTTTGCAAGTGTTTAAATTTATTTTATTGTTAGTTTATAAAAAAAAACCTTGAAACAATACTAATAGACAATTAAATAATTTAAAAATGATTTTGATCCTTTTTTGATAAATGACTCTTAAAATAATTGTTTTTAAGTATTAGTATAAAAGTAAATTAAAAAAGTTATTAAACAATAAAATTACTAGTGTGAAGGAGAATTTGAAAAGCTCTCTCCAATACCTAAAAAGATATTAATATACTCTAGAAATTATCTAATCATTTAATGAGAAAAGGACTAGATTTAGCTGGATGGTTGTATTATTAAACCTATTTTTCTTTATATTTCAATCCAATAAACTTCTTTATTTTTAATATACAAATTTTTAACTTATTCTAAAAATTCTAGGAATTCCTATTTCTCTTCGTTATCTACTTTATTTATAAAATCTTGATTTTAATCGGGGTTAAGCTGCAAGTGGAATGCTAAACAATTGGAGTAACAGCTCATAAAATCACAGTATTTGTGCAAGAGAATGCGACAAAATGTTAAAAATTGATCTTTTTATATTGAAGGCAATAAATAAGAAATGTTAAATCTTCTTTCGTCGTATTCTGAAACATAAAAGCCTACATCTTCTTTAAACTAATCAAAGGCATATCTAACCTAAATAAAAATAAATTTTGTTCGAAATTTAAGCTAAAATAAATCATAAATATTTACAATTTAATCAACGTATAAATGAATGTTAGATGTAAAGAGTAAAGAGTAGGGCTTGATCTCGTCACAAAAGTGTTTTTATAAATAAAAGTAGCTGTGCATAATTGTAAAATATTTGCTTGGTGTATAGTTGAAGATAATTTTTTCAGCGCTTGATTAAATGCATTTTTTAAATAGCTCTATTTTGTCTTCTATAAACTACTCTATATTTTACAAACATTTATACTTTTTAAGCAAGTTATTTTCATCATTATCATTATTTTTATCCTCCATTATTTGTTGCTTTGCTTGATTCAGTTTTGGAATGACAGTATGAGCATCCTGCAGACAATCTTCATTTTCTATATCTTTTATTTTATTATTCAGCTCACCAAATTATTTCTACATGAGATTCAGTTAATCAAGAACTTCCTAAATGAATTAACATAAAAGATTAAAAATAAATAATTATATAAATAAATCTAATAAAGTATCTTATGTTGATGGTAAAAGCAATACTTTTTAAGATCAATAATTTACTTTAGTCCTCTAAATGCGCTTCTTAAGAGATATAATGTGATTTGTAGATGTAACCAAATGCTATTTAGTAGATTGAAGTGTTTTTCTTGTGTTTTAAATGGACTAAATTTGATTTGAATTAACTTTATATATTTAATCTATTAATTTGAATCCCTATTCTATATTATCGTAGTGTTTCATACAGTTTTCATTTAGCTTTACACCTATTATATTGCTCCAATTATTTAAAACTTACTCTCTCTTTTCCACTTCTTCTAATGGTAAAATCTTTGGAAATTTGTTAAACTCTAATTTCATAATTTCCTCTTCCTTGGTTTTTTCCAAAACATACGCTTTATCTATTGAACGTAAAGCTTCTTTTAATTATTTTTCTTATTCCTCCTTAAATTTCTCTTCCTATTACTCTTTCGACATTCTCAATTTACTTTACTGAAATATTTTAAGGGATTTCTCACCAAATTCTTATTCGCTTTTTGGGTTTCCATCTGCCTAAATATTGTCTTTTTCAAGTTTTTCTAGAGTTTTAATTTCCTCCTCATCGACTATTAATAAAAAATAATTTCATTTGCTGTTTTGGAAATATCATAATTGCTTTCTAGTAAAAATTAATCTCCAATTTACTTAAATCGAAAAAAACTTTATTTAGTGATGCTTAATCTTATTTGCTTAAAGCTGCTCTGACCATATCTAATGTGACATACTAATGCTATTACTTATCAATATATTTAGATGCTAGGTCATTAAACTAGTCTTTCAAAAAATTTAGCATATCTATTAACTTTCCTTATTATCTTTTGAGTTGCTTTGAAATCTTAAATGGTATTTACGGTGTATTTAGAATATAAAAATAAAGAATTGATTGTTTTTTATTAGTATTAAATTTATATAGTTTATTTCTTAATTATAAGTCAAGTTGGCAATTTCTAATAATTAATATTAATAATAAATCATAAATCTTTATTTTATTAATTTATTCATCACAATCACTCTATATCTGATGCACCAATAATTGCTGATAAGAAGATAATTTAGCTTAAAATACAATCCGATATAAATATTAAAATTTTTTAATAACCTTACACAGATTTAAATAAATAAAATCTTTATTATAATTTGTATCTCTAACAAAAATATTTATCAATTATTTTAAGTAGCTAAAATAAAAAATAATTATTTCTGAAGAAAAGTTAATAATCAAAAATAAATTACATCATCATCAAAATATTGGCAAATATTTATTGAGTTTTTTTAGCTCAGATTCTATTTTGGCATATTTATTTACTACGTGTTTTATTTTTAAATGAAATATCAGAATTAAATTCCATAAATAAAATTTAGAATATCAAATATAAAACAAATTTAAGAAGCAAAATAAAATTAGCAAATGTTTTGTTTGCTTAAACCACACACAAATTTAATAACAAAAATAGAACATTGTAATTCTAACTTGGAATGAATAGCACAAAGAGATTTTAATTATTTTGTATAAATAAGAATAATTAATTTATAATAAATTATAATTAATGGTCTAGCTAGCACTTGTTAATTATTTACTTGTACTTACACTAAATGCTAAATGAAATTGGCAAATGAGTTGTTATTGTTAGTTAATTCTATTTTCATATTACTAATTTCAGACAGAAAGACTACAATTTATAAATAATTTTAAAGTATGAAGAAAAACTCAAATTAAGTATGGATTTTATATATTAATTTATTTAAAGCTTGCTTTTAACTTGTTTTAACGAAAAATGTTAGAGGATATTTATTCATAGATAGCATTCTTTTTGATTGATTGTTTGTTTGTTTTTTATTTATTTATTTAATTCTTTTATAACTCACTTGTTTTTTGAATGTTATCCACTTGAGGGATCAACGAGAGAATAATTATAGTATTTTTAGTTACCTCCTATTTCTAATTATTATTAATTACTGCTAGGAAGACTAGAATTCTTCAACACATATTGTTTACTCTTAGATTACTCCATTCTTTTAATAGATCTGTACCTGTCTTTTATATCATCTAGTTAATTTATATTCACTTTATAAGCTCTAGAAATCTCTCTTATCTTCTAGTTTTCTTTGTCATTTACAATTTTAGGTTACTATATTGCTAATAATTTACTATCAATTCCTTGATTACCGGCTAATCCTTATATCTTTGGAAGTTTTGTAATGCCAATTGATGGTAATTTATTACTTTCTTCTAAAACTGGATTTTTTGAGCTTTTTATAATTAAATTAATTAGAATCATTTTTTTTTTAAATATCAATTTATAAATTTTAATTTTTATATTTTTTTATTAAGATTACCTCACAGAAATATCATCATATTTATTATTTGGAGAATTGTGGATTGAAGGATTTTTACGATTCTTTTTTAAGAGGGGTTTTGACTCACCTTCTATGTCTAAAAGATTTAAGTTATCATTCTTTTTTCTTCTGTTTGGGGAAAGGGAATCATATTGTGCTTGATGTTGATGTACACTTTAACCTTGAACTTGTGCCAAACTTTATATGGAGCCTTAAGAGCTTTATTGGTACTATTTTGATCCTTTTGGGGCTCCTTACTATGGATAATCATAGTATTTTATTTGTCTTATAACTTCAAGGACTTCATACTTTTACTAAATTAATTAAATAAGATTTTTATATTTGTTTTATAAAAATAATAATAAATTAATTTACTTTATCATTGTAATCCTTCTTTTATGGTTTGTTTTATTGGTTTGCTCCTGCATTTTATGGTGAAGAAATTAGTAAACTTATATCTTTATTAATGTTTGTAGCACTAACTACAGAAGAATTTTAATCGTATTCAGGTTATTTCTTTTTCTTCTTTTTGATGCTATTGTGATCGTTAATTATTGACTGGTTAATCGAATTAGCATCACTATCCTTATCTTTATGGTTTGAACCTATATAGTTACTGCTACCATTATTATTGTTATTACTTATAAGCTGGCTATTGTTATGTGACCCAGTATCCTACGTTGGAGCTGCCTAAGCAGAAGGTAGATTCTTTTGTACCTTAGGATTTATTTTGGGAAGATGAAGTATTTACTGCTAACCTTTTTCTTATTACTGTGTTTGAGTTTAAGTTATGATTTAACTAGCTTAAGATTATTCATCGTCATCCATTGGACTGGCGTTTCTTTCACCTCTGTAACCAGCTAAGGTTTATAAAAACCTTTACTTTTCAATTTTTTTCATTTTTAATGGGGCATAGTTAGGTTTAGGAAGCCTATCCGTAAGGTAATGTAAATTTTTAGGAACTCTGATTGTTGTCAACAAGAAGGGAACTCCTTCATCAACTTCAAGGAGGTGGCTATCATTTACTCTTTTGATGACAGCTGGTAACTAAAGTATCTTGTCTAAAATCATTTAAAAATAAATATAATTAGTTTAATTGATAAAATTAATCGTCTAATCAGTTTATTAAATATTTCTATTAAAAACTTGTAATTAATTAATTGAAAATCTTTATTTTTTAAAATTTAACTGGCCAAAAATTGCTTATCTAAACTTTTTCAAAAATTTATTATTATTTTAAATATTTTCTCTTTGAAAAATGTTATTTTGTTTAATAAAAATGACAAAAAATATTTTTTTTATTTTTGATGATCTATGAGTATACAAATATGAATTAATTATGGTTTAAAATACCTGCTGATGGCCTTAAGTGAGGAGCTACTTAAAGCAGTGCTCTGATAACATTAGCAAGGTCTTATGAGAAATGAGGAGGAATTCTAGGATAGTATCCTCTTATAACTTTTTTGTATAAACCCTCCATATCTTCTGCTCTAAAGGGTGGTTTGAGTGTAGTCATCTCGTATAAGACACAACCGAGTGACCAAATATCAGATTTTGCATCATAGGGCTAATCTTTCCATACTTCTGGACTTTATTAGATATATAAATAAAGATTTCTTTTTAATTTTAAATGAAATACCTTGCATAGTAAGGTGTTCCTGTTTGAGTATAGAGTAAACCCTTTTTGGCAACTTTTGAAACATTCATGTCACCTAATTTGACTGTGCCATCTTTATTCAAAAACACATTGGCACTCTTAATTTTATAAAATAAAACATATGAAATAACTTAAGATAAATTAAATATTTTAATAGCTGATTGATTTATCAGTTTAGCAGGATAAGCAAATAAATAAAAAAATAAATGATAGATGGAAGTTGCTTTTTATTAAATTTATTATTTTTTTGCTATCTATAATTAGATTTTGGTAAGAAACAAGCAAGTCAGTATTAATTATATGCATCACCAATAATTTAATTATTCTGATAAATTGATTTGAAAGGAGTTATGATAATTTGGATCAAATCTTAAATATGAGCATTAATTAATTAATAAATTACCTTCAGATCACGGTGAAAAATTTTCAAATCATGTAAAGATTTGATGCCCTTCACCATCTTTTAAATAAATGAAAATTAATATATTGATTGAAAGTCTTTTTTTTTAAATAACGTTTTAATACTTGTATAAAGATGTTCCATATCTCCTACTCAGGGAATAGCTGGCCTTTCTTTTAATGGTCAACTATTTTTTGAAAAAGATCGCCATTATTAGCATATTCCATAATGATACTATTAATACAAAAAGTAATTCTTAAATTCTAAACATATACTCATCCTAAAAAATTCTTTGCAGTTAATCTTGAATAACTTTCAAGCTATGACAATAGCTCATTTTATGAGTTTATAAAATTGATTATTTAAATATCTGCAGAGCATTTAAAAGATAATGTTTATTAAAAATATAGATCATGATGAAAGAGGTTTAAGTGTTTACCATAGAGAATTAGACATTTCGTCTAAAAAGGCCTCTTTATATCCAACAATATTATTTGCGCGAATTGAGGCAAGTATTCTAACTTCATTTAAGGCATTTTATTTTTCTTTTTCACTTAAATTTTATAGTTTCACCTTTTTGAGAGCATATTCTTGGCCATCACCATACCTCTTTACTTTATAAACGCTGCTATAAGCTCCCTCGCCTTATTTTTAATTATGGAAGTCAATTGTAAAATCTATTAAATTGTTTTGATTTATCTTTACCTAGCTTTTAGACTATTTAAAAATCTTTTAAAGACATTAAAGAGTTAGTTAGTTTCCTTTTGATTTTATATTTATTTACTAAATACGCTTGTTTCTTATTGAATCAATGAGTATATAAAAGCTCGTTCCTTTTTGCACTCAAGAAACAAACAAACAATCTTTCTTTCTTCTTAATTAAATAAATAGTTGATTTGGTTAATTTATTATTTAATTAATCTATCAATATAATTTAGAATTAGTTGTTATTTTTATAATTGGGATTATTATTATTATAATTGGTATCCCTCCCAACAATTTCCTTTTCATTTAATTGATTTTCCATTTAAATCCATGTATTTACCTATATATACTATATGCATTCATACATTCATACATACATAAAACAATTAGAAAATAAATAGTAGTTTATTGAAATAAATTAATTAAAATAGCTAGTTGTATTATTAGTACTATTTAATATTTGCTTCGAAATGTCACCGCTGTAGTACAAACTAATTTGCAATCATAGAAAAATAAACAAAATATTTGCTAATTTTCGCATTTATTTTATATACAAAAAATTATATAATTGATATTTTTTAATTTTTAGACTTTACTTTATTTTGATGCTTATATTTTAAGATATATGTATGTATTAATCAATCAGTCAATCAAAAAAACAAAATAAAACAGAAATTATCTCCTGTTTATCTTTTAATAATTAATTAATTAATTAATTTTTGTTTTGCTTTTTATAATAATTTTCTATATTTCTATAATAAGTTTCTTTTCTTTTCAAAACTCCTTTTTTTTCTACATCTCCCAAAAATGTGAATTAGTAGATAATCTAATTAATTACCTATTTAATTTAAATTCTATTTACCCTTATAAACAAAAATGTATATTTTAGAATTTAGTTTCCTAATATTAAAATTATTAAAAATGGAAAACTCGTTTTTTATTTTAAAAATTATAAATTGATTAAATTTCAAAAAAATTAAAAATAATAAGGTTTTTTATTTCTTTAGGATTTTTAATTTTTATCATTATTCCATTATAACATAAGCTTAATATTTAAATGATAATTTTATTAAGCTTTTTAAAATTGTTTTAAACTAGAATTTGATTGTATCAATCACAGAATTAATAGAATCTTCTACTTTATCATTTGTCCTGATGTGAGTATTTCTTACTCTAATCATGTATGTATCAATTAAAGTAAAATAAAAAAAATGAATCTGTAAATGATTCTTAAATTATTATTTTTACTGCTGCTTTTTTTTGAGAAAGAAATATTTTCCTAGAAATAATTAAAATAGTTTTTATTTATCAAATAAACACTAAACAATGAGATATAAAATTTAAATTCATTTTTTGTTTTCTAATTGAGTCAAGACTGCATCAAAATAAAGGAATTTTTTATTAATTGTATCTATAATATCTGCCTAATCTTTAATTAGCTGTTCTATATCTTCATTTTGCTATATATAAGTCTCTGCTATTGTTTAGTCACTAGTTTTGTTTACTTTTAATGGACCTCCTTAACTTGAAATTTCACTCATAAACTCAAAAGCTTCTACCATTTTTTTCTTTTCTTCTACTTGTAGGATGGGATCGAAAGAAATCATTTTTCTATTTTTTTCTATTTACTCTAATAATTCAATTACCTAAAGAATTTCTTATTCTTATCTTAATAACAAATCTGCTCTATTTTTGCTTCCAATAATTGCTGTTGCATATTTCATTTCGCTGTTTCTTAAAAACTCATTTATGCTTTGAACTATTTAATTTTTAATTAATCATTTTTTTATGTTTGTTTTTCATTTTCATATTAATTTACTTGATTTGCTAATCTCTGTATTCTATCCTTAAACAAATGTTGCGCCATTTATGACATTGCTAATTATATCTTTTAATTTTATTTCTGCCTTATTTAATTTATCTACAAGTGGATTAATAATTTCTCCCCCATTTTGCTCGTTTTGAATATTCAAATTTTCTCCTAAAATTGTCTCAAGGTTATTTAATCTTTTTATCAAAACGTCAAATTACTTTTCCATTTTCTCCTTTCTATTCGTTTTTAAATGAAAAAAAACAAACTATCTTCTTTTTAATAAATTAACAAACTACTACTTTTTATTTTAAATAAATTAATTGCCAAATTTAGATGATTTTATTTCAAATCTATAATTTATATTTAAAGATTTTTCATTCATTAAAGAAAGCAACTAACTATGTCTGCAACAATAAAATAAGCAAATAAACAATGACAAATTTAAAGCAATTTATAAAAATGATTACAACTTTTAATAAATAAAACAAATCAGCAATAATAAAATAAAAATACAAAGCAAACTCCTTTTTTTATAAAACAATTCTTTTGCAAACATAAAGAAAATTAAAATACTTTTTACCGTGTTTTGAAAAAAAAAGCTATTAATTTTATCAAAAATTGAAAAAATTAATTAACACCAATATTTTATTTATTAAAAAAATGAATTTTTTACAATAAATTTTTTTAAGTTTTTGACAAATAAAATAATTAATTTGAGAAATAAATACTCATTTAAAAGTAAAGAAATTAATATATAAAAGTAAAAACATTGAGATTAAAGAATATTGAAATAAGGATTACTCTAATAAATACTATATTTTGTTTGTTTGTTTGTTTGCTTGTTATTAGCATTTTATGAATAAATAAATTATTTTGTATTTTTTTATGTTTTTATATCATTGATTAGGAGCAGGCTCACTTGTTTAGAAGAGATGGGCAAGATTAAATAAGAATTTTTCAATTAAAGACTCTCTATTAACTTTGGAAAGACCATTGAATTTAGGGAATAAGTTTTGTTCTGATTATATGAGTTGCAAAAGAATGACTTAATTTTTTTCCTTGTATTCTTGCATTTTAGCATTTAATTATTATGAACTCATTTCAATCAACTTATCAAATAAATAACACATTTCCATTGCAAACTTTTCAGTCATCGGCTTTATAATTTCTTTTGCGATGGTGTAAAAATCACGATAGTATTCTGGAATGTCTTCTAATTTCACTTACTACATTTTGTTGGGATTATTGTCTGAAGAAATCATTGTTAAATTGTTTTAACGCTAATCTTATTAGCCCCATTCACTCATATTTAAAAAGTTTGGGTCTTTGATTGAAGTATCTAAGCCTAAATCAATGTTTTATACGCCGTTGTAACTTTCAGTCATGCCTGTTCCTCCTATGAAATTACCAATCCCTAAAGAAGGGTTCATACCCAAATCAAAACTATCTTACTTACCCAAGCCAGCAAAGTTGCTAGTCCTTCCCGCTAATGAGGAAGTTATAATATTTATATTAAACCATTAATTTTCTTTGCCATTCAAGAGCCTGATATCTCTAATATCTGGTATATTTTCATTTAAACGCAAAGCCTTTATCAAATAATTTAAATACTTCTAGTTGCCTTATTCCAAAAATTGCATATTTAGAAGAGTGTATCCCTTTTTTTCTGAATGGAAGAGCTTAAGTATTTCTTTCTCTGAGTCAGCAAATTCTTTCATTTCTTTAAAAAAATTCAAAAAGGCACTTTTTGTTAGCATGTTAAAAGTGTCGTTATTCACAATAACTCTCTTAACATTATCATCTCTCTCCAAATTGTTTATGTTTACATCGCCAGTTTGAGGAACTTAATATGGTTTGGCTATTTCATCAGGATGCTTTGTTTTACGATGAGTGTATAAACTTTCATTACTTAAATAAGATTTTCCGCATTAGCATTTAAATAGCTTTTCAGCTTCAGTTGGTTTTCTTCTTGGATGAATTTTTCTAGGACCTTGAGAAGAATTCATACTAGTCTCCATCATTCTATTGTCTCCCATTTTTGCTATTTCAAAATAAACAAATTTCTTCTTCTTTTAATATTTTTGCACTAAAGATTTTTTTTTCAAATATCTTGGTTCTAATTTAATAAAAATTGGTTATTTAATTATTATTTATACATGATTAATGATAATAACTCGCGTTAATAATATGAATAATCTAAACAATATTGATATTTGCCGAAGAGCTCCTATTGAGTCTATAATAAAAGTTTCAAGTAGACGCTTTAAAGAAAGAAATTACATTGGGCTGATTTTTTATTATAAATAAACAAAAAAATAAATAAAATGCTCCTTATTAAATGAATTTATTAAAAATGTGGCCTATTTATTCAGCATTCTTTCACCACTTATCTATTATCAGAAATTTATTTGAAAGACAACCAATTAATGAATGAAAATTAATTGAAAAATCTATTTTTTATTTCATATTTTATGATTAAATTATTAACAATCAATTTATTTTTGGCTTAGTTTTTAATCTATTAACAAAATTAAAGCAATTAGACATATATAATTATAAGAAGTAAGAATACTTAATTATTTATTTGCTTAAATTATAATTAAAAATATTGAACTACTTATTTGATATCTAAATTTAAATATATTTTTCTTGTAATGTAAGTAAGTAAGTAATTAAGTAGTCTATTAAGAGAGAGATAGGACCAAACTAATTAATTGAAAATTCTAATCTTTAAAGATTTTAAAGCTATAATTAATGTTTTAAGCAATGAATTCTAATAGAATATTAATTAAGAAATTAAGGTATTTATTTTTGTTTTTAATTTATCATAACTAAGTCTTGCTTGAGTAAATAGCTTTCCTAATCCATCTCCTACGACGAACTTAATGTTCTGACTTAAAAGTCTTTTAATAAACCCCTTCATTAAAACTTTTTGCATATTCCCAGCCGTAAACATCAGTAAACTCATTTATATCTATTTACCACTCACTTTCCAACCATTTCTATCTTTCGTTGAGCATCTATGTGCTGTTCTTAGAAAGCTATTGTCTTCCATCTTCATTACTCCAAGGGAATCTCTCTTTTAAAATAGTTAATATATATTATTTTTATTAATTAGAAAATTATTACCATTAGACTAGCAAGGTTACCAACTTAAACCAGAAACTATTCTTTGGTTTTCGTAAACCTCATATAATTGAATGTCTTCTCTAAATTTAAGCATATTAAAAGAATTTTGATATACAAAATTAAACTTAATATTTATTTTGAATTCAAGAATATTAAAAAAAAGGAATTAAAAATTGATAAGCCACATAAGAAGATCAATTAAATTTCAACATCTAATTAATTTTCAAATTTAATAGCTTATATTTTGTTATGTAAAGTACGGTTTATTGTTGATAAATGGCTTGTAGACTTCAGGATGGTGATTTTAAACGTTTTCATCTGGGATTTCATCAGATTCCAGGTTAGCTCTTTTAGAAATAAGTTAATAAGCTTAGTCTATGACAGGCCCAAATATTTCATAGTGAAATACTTTACATATTTTATATCCATTGTAGTTGTATGAAAAGAGATGAATCCAGAAAAGAAGGATAAACATCTTTGAAACACTAAATATTGAATTCATAATTACTAAAACCAAAATGTAAATGAAAGCTGTAAAAAGAGTTTCTCTTGATTAATTTGAATTGATATTTTCTTTTATATTTTGCATGTATTTAGCAAAATCTTCACAAAATTTATTCCAGTTATACAAATCTTCTTCTGGACACTCATTGTTTTTATAGTAGAGCTACTATTCAATTATTTAAGGAAATTTATAGATTAAAACAAAACTGATAATTAGTGACATATTGTAATAAGTTAAAAACATTGTCACTCCAACACCATATCCTACACTCAAAATGGCATTATCCCAAGAGTAAACTTACTTCAAAAATCTATTTAAAAATTAATTTAAACATTTATTAAAATTCATACTCTCATTAAATAAATATGTTTTCAAACTTAAAATTTAATAAAAATTTTAATCTCAAATCTATTTAAAAGATAAATTATAAGGATTGAAAAATTCAAACAAACAAACAAAATAAAATTTTTTTTTAATTTTTAAATCGATTAGGTTTTGTTATTTATAAAAACAAAGCTTTTTAATTTTAAAATAATTAAGTTGCTTTAAGTTAACGATAATTATAAAATAGCTTACTATATTAAAGAAATCAAAATCTTGGCATAATTGGTAAATAATATTGTATTCTATGCTAACTGCTCTTTTTAAGGTACATACTAATAACTAGTTTCTAATTCTTAAAATTAATTGCTTTACCTTTTCATTTTCAAATAAAGAAATCAATATTTTATAATACTCTTTATTACTTAGCTTACTTAATGCTTTGAAGATCTCTTGAGGAAGCAATTGGTGATAAAGGAGCAGTCTAGTATTATGTTTATTGATACATTAAAGCTTTATTTTTATTTTAATTTATGGGATTTATGCTATTATTCTACCCATAATCAGTTGATACAGATGTGTTAATCCTTAAAATAGATACATCTCTTTTACTTTTATCTATCATTGATTCATCGAAGATGTACTCATCATCAATTTAGTTTAGATTCTTCTTTTGCACTTAAATTAAATTTTTTCTATCATGAATACTTGCCAAATTCCTGTTAAGACTTAATATATCATTTTAATCTGATGTAGTTATGTCTTCCTCCTCTGTCATATACTTTTCTGAAGTAATTAAAAAAAATATATAAAAAAGTTTTTATAAAAAAATTAATAAAAATTTCAATTATGTTTTAGCTTTAAAATATTAAAAATTTATTGTTTTGTATTTTATTTTACTCTTATTTGTTGGAATTTATGTGATTGAAGAATTTCTAGACAACCCAAAGGAGCATGAGTATTTAATCTTTGCTAAATTTTAATTGAGTGTAAGCTAATAGGTGCCTTGCTAAACCTTTAAAGATATATTAAATTATTGCACTTAAATTTATGATTTCTACTTATCTGTATATTGATTTTACATTTTTTAGTTTTATAAGTTGTTTTCCCAATAACCTTTGCTTTTTAGGCATAATAATATCATCTCCTTCTTCTTCATCAATCTCAAGAGTTGCAAGATCCTCTTCACTATTTAAAATAATTTCATCGCATTTTAATAGCTGATTTATTAATCCATAGTTTTTAGAAGCATCATAATAAAAAGGTTAAGTGGACTTTTTGACATGATTTGGAAACTTTTTTAAGAAACAACAATATAATTTTTTCAATCATTAATATAATTTGCCTACTTAAACAATGATAGAAAGATTCTTGCTATCTTTTAAAGGAATTTTAAATTCAATTGAATGGAATTGTAAGTTAATCATTTATCTATCTATCTAATTATCAATCAACCAATAAATCAGTAGTATTTTAATTAATTATTTAATTGTGTTTTGAAATATTTAATAAATTATTAAATTTTGCTTATGTATCTTTAAAAACGATTTCTATTATCTTGAATTAATTTTAACGAGTAATATAATAAAGTACATTAATTTTTTTTATATTTTGGAAACCATATTATTCAAATTTTAAAATAATTAAACAAACAATAAACAAACAAATATATTTAATGATCATTAAATAATAAAATAATTAACCGAATAAATTTATTTTAAAGAATTAAATATCTGTTATTTAATTTTAGTTTGTCTCCTATCATAGAGAAAACCTAAAAATAATCAAAACAGAACCATTCTTAATAATAAAAAACACTTCATTTATAGAGTTCAAAAAGAAAAAAGATGAATTTCTCCAAATATAAATTATTTAAGGATATATTTGATCACTAATTAATTTCTAAGTATATACATGTTTTATGTAGTTATATAAATGTATGTTTATTTAATTTAAAAATTTATCATTATCAATCTTTAAGTAAAATTTTTGGTTATCTGTAAATTTTTTCATTTAAAACTAAATATTGCTTAAAGGAATTAATATAATTTAGGATTTTCAAAAATTGCTTAAAAAAAAATATAAGTTTAAGAAAATGTATCATAATAAAACTCATTTAATTTCATTTCACAATTTTATATTTATTAAATATATTACATTTAATATACAAATTGATTTAGTAATGGCTATACATATAAGCAAACAATATAGTTGATTTTTTAAATGAGTAATATTTTAGTAATAATAAAACAAATTTATAATGTTAAGAATAATATTCCTACACGTGACTTTAGTTAGAAATGATTTGATATTAATAATTTGAGTGGTTTGATTACTATTAAATAATAAAAAAAAAGTATTTTTATTTAATTTTTTGACCTATTTTTTGATTGATAAAAATTGAAAATTCCTTACTAAAAATAAATGCTAAATATGATATTTCTGCATTCTTTAAAATATCTTTTTAAATTCTTTTATAATAATGATTTGTATTATTTTAATTAAAAAATAGCTTATCCTAAATTTTAGTAGTTGTTTAATGATTAAATTTTCAAAATAACTATTTAATGTTGAGCTTTAAAGCTAAGTTTAATACAAAGTTTATATATAATATATAAAATGATTTTTTAGAGTGAAGTAATCATAAAATATCCTTTCAAATTTAATTTTTTAAAAAAAATAATTTCATAAGGATGATTTTTATTTAGTCTTTAAATATTTATTTTTTAATTTAAATAAGTTAAGGTTTTATTTATATATTTCAATTATTTTTAGGATCTAATGGCACTTCGGATACACAATCGTTCATTTTCAAGAAATCAAATAAGCATTAGATAGGTAAGTCTTCTTTTTTACATCCTTCTTCCATATTAGATTTTAAGGAATTGCAATATTCATCATTATCAAAAGCATATTATTTGACTGGAACTAAGCTAATACAGTCGTTTTCAACTGTATTGAAGTAATCAACCAAGCAATTCTGATAATCTTTACTGTCTTTGCATTTTTCTTCACCACTCTTCTTAATTGAATCACAATATTTGTCTTAGTCAATAACTTACTTATATTCAACTAAAATATCACAGCGATTTTCACTCATAAGTTTTTCTAAACAAGGATAGAATTCACTTGCAGGAGCTGTTTACTTGCATTGATCACTTAATTTAGCTTACATTTTTTTGCATTTGTCGTTTGTACTGAATTAATCATAAAGAACATTTTCTTAAAGATGTTTTCCTTATAATTTGATTGAATAAATTGCCAAAACAGTAGCAATAGCAACGAAAGCAAGAATTTAGAGTTTCATCTTAATTTTTAATAATTTCTTTTGATTTTAAGTATTTTTTTATCAATTAATAAATTATTATTATTTAATTTGATAGATTCCTAGTATAAAAACAAACGAATAAAATATTAGTATTTCAGCTTTTTAATTAAAAGTAATTTTTAATCGCAATTAATTAATAAAGTAATAGAACAAAATATCAATTTTATCATTATTAATATATTTTTATACTTTTTGATTGGATTTTATCTATATGATTGAAGATTAAGCTGTGTTTAGTTCTAATTAGTAATTACCGTCACATTATTTTTACTTTAATAATACAATAATACATCACCTTATTAAAGCGACTCTATATTCAAATATTTTGTAAAAGTGTGTGTAATAGATATTTAATTATTCATCATATTTCAATATCTTTTAATCATAGATTACATTCTTGCAATAAAATAGCAATTTATAAATTTAAGCTATGAAATGCCTCAAAGTTTACTTTTTTATTGTAAAAATTTTTTTAAAATGTAAAATAAATATATTTTTTACTCCTTTAAACGCTTTTTAAACAAAATATTAAACAGTCAATTTTCAATCAAAGGCAATTTTTTTCTACTCCTAATTAATTATTTTTGATATATTTATAAATTACTTAGATTTGACATTAATTCATTGTATCTTCAAACAAAATGTAATTAATTTACCTAGTATATTTCTTAAAGCATAAAAATATAAAAGGTGGCTTGTTTTTAATTATTACATCATTAAAATTAGGTTTAAATAAGGCTGTGGTAAAAATAAATAATTTATCATATGTATTTTCTTTATTTATATTTTATCTATAAATTCTTTAGAATAATTTAAAAATGATGTTAAGCAAATCATAACCTTAATTAAATAGTCCGTCTTTATAATTAAATATTCTACAATTTTATTACATTTGAAATACAGAATAATCAATCAATTAATTAATATTTTTCTAAGTTAATAGATTTTTGTTTTACTCTATATAATAAAAAGTTTAATAAAATCTCTAAGAAGAAAGGTGTATTTTAAAAGTAAATAATAATTTATTATCAATAACTTCCACGTCTTTTTATAAAACACTATATAATATAGAGTGTTTTTAACATTCTAAAACAAAACTTATTAATACAAAATTCATGTAAATTATTTGCAAAATTATTACTAAAAAATAAAAACTTGTTAAAAAATATTTTTATGTAAAAATTTCAACAAAAATAGACAGATAAAATATGAAAAAAAATTCTGAAATTAATTTTATCATAATTCATATAATTATTAATAACTTATTTTATTTAAGTTGGAGTTTTTGGAATTTTAAATTTGTTAGATTAAATTGAATTTAATTTTTTCTTCTTTTAAACTTCCTAAAGCTACATTGTCAGCCTTTTCATGCTTATTATTAACACCAGAATTTATGATGAATTCAATTTAATTGTTTGATTAGGAATTGCAAGGTTTTAGGTTACTAATTTTCAAATTCATGTTGGTAGATTATTCCCAAATTTTCCATTAATTATTTCCAGAGCAACTTGCAATATACTTTCCATCAGTCGAATATGCTAAAGCAGTTATATTATCTTAATTTTTTTATTAGGATAATTTTTTTGTAGTCCAAATTTTGCTTGAAATGTCTTGAGAGGAAGTGGTGAGATACCTTCCATCAGGAGAAAAGCTTATATGAAGAATATCCTTACTGTGTCCTTCAACTATGCAAGTAAGCTCAAATTAATTTTCTACATCCCAAATTTTACAAGTTTTATCTTCAGAGCCAGTTGCAAGAAATTTATCATCTAATGAAAAACAAATAGAAGATACAGTATGAGTGTGTTGTTCAATAGTTTTTATGAGTTAAAATTAATTCTATACTTCCCATATTTTAAAAGAATTATCTAGAGATCCTGTTACAAAATATTTACCATTTTTAGAAAAAGCAACAGAAGTAACTCCTTATGTGTGCCCTTGAATTGTGGTAATGATTTCAAATTCTTTTTGAGCATTCCAAATCTTGCAAGTTTCATCCAAAGAACATGTTGCAAGATACTTGCCATCATAAGAAAAAGTAACTTAAATTATTTCTAGTGAATGTCCCCGTATTGTGTGTAATAACTGGAATTCATTATTTACGTCCCATATTTTGCAAGATTAATCCCATGAACACGTTGCTAGATACTTTCCATCTTATGAAAATTTACAATAAGAAATAAAGAAGTCATGAGCTTAAATAGAAATAACTAGCTCAAATTCCTTTAGTGCATTAAAGATTTTGCATGTTTAATCCCACGAAACTGTTGCTAAATATTTACCATCTGGGGAAAAGTCAACAGAAGTAACTTTTTATGCATGCTAATTAATTGTACTAATAACTTCGAACCCTTTTTCTGTATCATAAACTCTGCAAGTTGAATCATCTGAGCTTGTGATAAGATATTTGCAGCTTGGAGAAAAAATTGCTGAGGTGATTGCATTAGCATGTCCTTTTAGGGATTTTATGTACTCAAATTATTTATCAAGACCCCAGATTTTAAAAGTTTGATCGCCAGAGAGTGAAACTAAATATTTTGAATCGACAGAAAATGCAACTTAATAAATATTTTAAGTATGTCCAAAAGTTGTGTTTATAAGTTAAAAGTCTTTTTCAATACTCCATATTTTGCATGTAGTATCTGAGGAACCAGTTACAAGATATTTACCATCTTATGAAAAATCTATAGATGTAATGTCTTTACTGTGCTCTTCTGTTATCGCAATTTATTCAAAGTTTCTTTCAACACTATAGATCCTACAAGATTTTTCCCAGCAACCAGTAGCTAAATAATTTCCATTAGGAGAGAAAGCAAATGTGCTTACATTCAAAATTTCTTTGACTAATTCAAATCCTTTACTCACATCATAAATTTCACATATATATGAGCCTTTAATTACACCCAAATATTTCATATCTCTAGAAAATTTTATTTTACTGTAAAAATCATAAGCGCTTTAATTTTCTATTTTTTTTATAGTTTAAAATCCTTTTTCAAATTTCATAATTTTGAAAGTTTTATCAAGGTTGGTTGCTGCTAAATACTTTCCATCAGCTGAAAATGCAATAGAGTCTATATTAATTTAATCACCTTATATTTTATCGAAAAGCTAAAATTTGTTATCAACATCCCAAATTTTACATGTTTTATCTTATGAAATTGTTGCTAAATATTTTCCATCAGGAGAAAAGGTAATGTAGTTAACACTTTCAGTATGCGCTTAAATTTAATGCACCATATTAAATTCATTTTACATATCCCAAATGATGCAGGTTTTATCGAAAGAGCATGTTGCAAGATACTTCCCATCAGACGAAAGAGCCATACTTTTCATTATTTAAGTATGAGCTTCTATTCTTTTTAAGTTTAAAAATTTGTTTTTTACACTCTATACACACAAAGACTACTCATAAGTCAATAAGAGATATTTGTTATCTAGAGAAAAACTAACTGAAGATATTGCAGATGGGTTTTCTTAAAATATGTGAGCTAGCTCAAACTATTTCTATACATTAAAAACTTTACAATTTTAATCTAAAGAACCACTCGCAAAATGATTTCCATCTTTAGAAAAAGCTATTGAAGTAATCTACTGAGAATAGCCATCAATTATTTTTATTAAATCGAATTCCTTTAAATCGTAGATATTACATGATAAACCATCTGGATTTACTGTTGCAAGATATTTTCCATCTGCAGAGATAGCAGAAATATTTAAACTACTGTCATTAAAATCTCTAGATTTAATTAATTACTGATTTTTAATATTGTAAAAATAAATTATATTGTTTTAAGTCGTGATAATTGTGTCGTTTATAAATTGATAAACACACCCTTGGATTTAATCTAATTATTTAAAGCCATCCTTGATATTACCAAAATAGTTTAATTCATTAGCTAAAGTTACAATATAATTTGAATTATTTATTTATAAGTTAATTATCTTATCTGAAAATTAGAAGGTTCTCAATTTTTCAAAAGAATTGCAATCAATCTCAAAAAGAGATTTTTCTGTCCTAGTTAGGAATATGTCTTCGCTACTCACAAAATAAATTTATTTCAAACAAGTACTTGTAATTTAATTCGATCTAAGTTTCTTATGAATAGATGAATCTTTGTCTGAGATAAACTAGAATTAATTAATATATCCTGTTTTTGTGATAGATATTATTGTGTCTTTGTAAAAAATTGCATTTGAAAATGTATAAACATCTTCATAAGCAAATATCTTTTAAATTGAGCTTGTTACTGAGTGTTTGGTGTTAGATGTTTCAAACCTTTCAAAATATTAGTTTTCTAAGAAGGAATTTTCTAGATTGCAATCTTAAAAATTTGCACACTTACGAGAGTGACCTGGCAAATAAGCTTAAGAGAAGGAGCATTTGGAAAATTCTAACGAAGGGAAAGAAAACTTTGACAAAAAGAGAGCTGATAATAAGTTAGAAGATCCAACATCTATCTAGCTTTTTTCGCTTGGTTAAGAAATCTAAGACTTTTTCAAATACTGAATGTATCTATTCGTTAAAGCAATATCCTCTTAGAAATAATTTTACTTAAAAGATTCTGAGTCTATATCTGATTTGATGATTTTGTATAATTTTAAAAGAATCTATTGCTCTGAGGCATTCTTTTGAGTAGTCATAATTATTCTTTTATTAATATTAAATTGACTAAGCTTAGACATATCTAATTTATAAATATCTTCTTTATGTTGGTCAAAGTCATGTTTCATAGCCCTAGCCGCAAAATACTCATATAGAGATTTATGCTTAAATTCTATAATTTGCATGTTTTAATCTTTTTCCTGCTAGTACAAATCCTAATCAATCTCAACATCCTTGACTCTTGTTATGATCTTTGTATTAACGTAGTTCTAAATTTTATATTTTAAGGGTTCGATATATTTTTAATTTAGAGATTAGAACTGGATTTACTAAAGTTCAAAATTAATTTCATTCTTATACAATTGTAAGAAATTAGATTACTTGCCTTTATTTTGGAACATTTGCATCGCAATTGTTTGGAAATAAAGGAAATACGAATTGCAAATTTCATTTTGAAGCTATTAATTTCTAATATCTAGTCCGTTTTAGTTAATAAAATCAATAGCTTCTCTTTTAAATTGCTCTTTGAAGAAAATGTCCTAAATTTGAATCTGATCGGATATATTTTTTATCATTTCTTTAATTTCTTCGGAGCTCTTCCCAATAATTAGTCTAGTAAACAAGTAAAGGTTAATTGGCAAGAACAAAAGATTCTCTAGCTAGTTATTCTTCAAGCACTATTCCATAATATCATAAAACTGTTTTTATTATTCTGAAATATCTTCATCATTATTTAGCTTCATGTGATCTTGTTAATCCTAAGTATCCACTTGCTTTTGTTGTAAGTAAAATTTGTTAGAAAATTTATTACAATATTCTAGAATATCTTTTTTTTCAAATTCTTTTAATTTAACAATGCAATAAGATGACTCTTCCCTATTTCCTTATTAGTCATAGGCGCTAAAGTAGACTTTTGCATCATTCTAAGTTATTTTTTCCATTCTTGATGAAACAATAAAAAGTGTATTCTTCCAGTTATTTAGTTACAGTTTTTAGTAAATTTTAAAGTAATCTCCAGTAAATTCATCATACCCATCTAACAAAATGAGCTTATGTATTTCCATTTTCTAGAGCTACTCAATTTCATTCATACTCAAGCCTTGTTACTTGAAATATTCCTCTAATGAAGGATTATCAGCAGTTAAACAGTTGCATTTCACCATAAAAGGAATAAAATTCACTTTTTTCTTTGAAGAATAATCTTTATTCAATAATTCATGACTACCTTTTTCTTTTTCCTATTGATTGCTGCTACTTCTTTCCCTCATTAAGGCAGTTTCTAATTTTTTGATTAACATAGATTTTCCTGTACCTCCTTCTGCTAGGATTGTTAGTATTTTACACTGTTAGTCACTATCCTTTTGCTTTGGAATTAAAAAGAACTCTCTAATCAAATTAATAGCATTTATACTTTCAAGTTTATTTTTTTCTTCGAAAATGTCTTTTCCTTCTAAAAATTAGATATTTTAATCTATATAAAGATCTTAAACTTCAAGTAGGATGTCATTTTTGTCAGCAATATCTGCTTCAAGTCTCTATCTCGCCTCCAATTCCCATTTTTCGATCAAACTGAGAGAAATTTTGTAAATAAAATCATCCACACTCTTTATTTCATCAACAATATTTTGAATTTCGCTTTTACTAATTTTATTTGATTCGAGGTTCTTTAATCTATCTTGCTAGTATTGAATAACTTGCTAAATTAAATTATCTTTTTCCTTCGATTCTAATTTTACTTTTAAATCATGACAAAACTATTTACTATTTTAAAACACAATCTTTATCTAAGTGTCTTTCTCTGTCAAATAGCAAAACAAAAGATGAATGAAGAGATCATCTTATTAAAAGTTAAGGACATAAAATTGTAGTAAAATTTTAACTGACAAAAACCTAAAGTAGATATCTTAAACTGAAAATTTTAAAAAGCTTTGCTGCTATACTTAAGTGCTTTTGAAAAATTATTTAAGTATTTAAATAAGTTTTTCATAACTTTTGTCACCAACCTTACTTCTCAATTGAGCAGTCTACGTTCCTGCCTATTAATTTTCTAACACGATAAATCTTTCTAAAATGAAGCTAATCTAAATCATTAAATAAGTGATTGTGTAACTCAGCTAAGAACTCGAAGACATTTCAGTTAACTCAATAAATTTATTTATGTAAAAAGAGAGCTCATCTTATTTACTATGCTTTTTCTCTATCTAAATAACTCCTATTTATCTTACAACGATATCTTTGCTAAACAGGATCTTATCTCTAATCCTTTAAACTATCTCCCAAGGACTCTCTAATTGTTAGTTTTATCTATTAAAAGCTCCTTCTTTCAGCTTTGAAATGACTTATTCTTCATCAATTTAATCATTTGCTATATTTTTTAAATGGATTAATGACTTCATTTTACCTACCATTTCCATTTTTGTAAATTCAGAGATCAATTAAATTTCATCATATTTATCAGTCCTTTTGTCAAAATCCTCTTCATTTAGAGCATACAAAAAGGAAAAAATAAACTATAAGTCTAAACAAGGGAATAGTTCAAGATTTTTTTTAAAGTGACTTACTAAGCTGTCCAACAAATCTATTATTTGTCTATTATCAACTAAGCGTATGCAATCAACTCCACTTAAGCTATAACTCATGCATAAATTAAACATTTCAATAGTATAAAATCTATAAGTGTTTACTTTAGTTGTAATTTTATCTTTATTGCACAGGAGCAATCTCTGCAAAATGTTTTTTATTTCATCAGATTATTCTCCATTTCCTTAAATTTACTCCATCTGTTTAAACTATGTATTTTTTCTCACTTTATTGTATGACCTTTTAAAATTCTCATCAATACCATGATTATTTTCTGTCTCTTAAAATTTTGCTTCATCAATAGCTTAGTAAATGCTATATTTATCTAAAGATTAATTCTAATTACTGCAGCAATTACCACCTCCTTTCAAAAGATCTTATCTCCTAAAGCAATTAGTTTGTTTTAACTTCTCTATTTTATCTAAAACATATTTGGAACCTTTTTATCTCCAGGAGTTTATCAGTATCTATTTTTTAGTTTAAGACAAACCCTCATAAAATGAGTATTTTTGTTTAGTTTACTTACCAGACATATTCAAATCTTTTAAATCAAAAGGATTAGCTATTTTTTCAAAGGAATTTGAGTGCTTCTGAAAAGTTTTTCTTACTTGAAATCTAGTAATTTCTGACTAAAAAAGATATAAATAAGTAAAAATGTAAATATTTTAAAAGAAAGTCTGAATATATTACCTATGTTTGTGCGCAAAGCATTTTCTTTTAACCTTATAGATTTTTCTTTAAATGTTTTAGATAAATTATTATTTTTTTTTTAATTTATTTTTGATGACTAATTGAACTTAATCTTTTGAGATTTTAAATAAGCAAATTATCCTTTTATTCTCAATAAAAAATTAATTGAATCTTAATAAGATAGTAAATTAATAAATGAATGGTTGAAAAAAGAATAAATTTTTATTTCTTTAACTTTTTTTGTTATTTGGTTGTTTTTTATTTTGTTTGTTTAGTAATAAACTTTTAGATTACTTAAATAAGAAAAGTTTTTAATCAACGTTTAATTTATATTAATTGTATTAGATATTAAATTAAATCTTGCAAAATCATAAAAAAACTAATTAAAGTTTCCAAAAATTTCCATTATCTATCTACTAACATCTTTCAGTTTTTAGTAGATTATCAGATTTTATTGTTAAGAATTTGAAGTAATATAATTAAATAAATTAAAATAAGAAATACTTTTAAAATTTAGGTAGGTGTTTGATATTTGTATATTTTAATTATTTTATTTGGAAAATTAAAGCTTCTTAGCCTTAATAATTATTAGTATATTTTATTATTTTATTAATCAAAATATCTCAATAATGATCATTCAAACTTTTTAATTTACTTTTATCCAAAAATAAAAAATTGATGAAACATATAAAGTTCAAAGTTGTTAAAAATATATAATATTTAGTATAACATTTTTTTATTTTTAAAAATGAGAATTTGATTTTAAGATTATTTAATTTAACAATATTTTTTAGCTAAGTTTAATTAAAATATCTTGACTTCAAGGTATATCCGCATTCTATATCAAAAAAGCGATTAGGTGAAATCAATTACCATAGATTATTATTAATTTAAATAAAGGAATTTAGAGAATCAATCAATCAATCATGTATGTATGTATAATATTACTAATTTAGTTTTAATTATTCATAAAAAAATACTATTTAATAAAAATTTATTAATTATTTGTATAGCATATTAATATAAATAGTATTTTTTTTTATTTTAAAGCTAAGTAGTTTATGAATTTAATTTAGTTTTAGTTGTTTAAATAAGCAGAAAAATATATAGAATAAAATATGCGTAAAAGATAATAAAAAATAGTACTAGATAGTCTAAAATCCTAATAATTAGCTTTACTCCCCTCCCCACTCAAAGTTTTTTCAAATAATTATGGTTAATTGAAACGATTTCGAAGAGAAAAATTTTTTATCTAAATTTAAGAATTATAAACTTAGTTAAAAATAAGAAGAATTGTTATTGCATTATTACATTTTTTAATTCAAAAATTTTCAGATGAAACCTAAAGAACTATTTTTTTAATCTGTTTTCAAATTTGAATTCAACAATTTGTGTTTTCAGATGATAGAAAATTTTATATATACTTGAAAAATAATCAGAAGGAAAAGAAATAAATCCATACTAAGATGAATATGATTGAATGAATGAATTCTTTCAGATCTTTTTTTAATTAACTAGTTATTGAAGAAATTAAAATTATATTGAATAGTGAGTGTAAAAACATAAAGTATAAAATTCATTATTAGTTTATCAAAATTTAATAAATTATTTAATATTGGTTGCAAAATAAAGTTTTATCTGAGATATTGACATAAAAAATAAATTTATATTACTATATCATAACTTTCATATTTCTCCATTTTTCTTTTTAATTGCTTTGTCAAGCAATACCATTTATTTAAGAGAAAGCTTTTAGCAGGAGAGGAACGAAATGAGAAATGTTCTTTTTTGAACTTTATCATTTTAAATTGTATCAAGTAATTAACTTAAGCTTTTGTCAGAGATAAAGTTCGATTTAGAGAAAATGAACTCAATTTTTAAAGTATTCTTATTATTTGCAATGAAATTATTTAATTTTTATAATGATTTATCAGATATATTTGTGCAATTCAAAAATTAAATGATCAAAGAATTAATATTCTAGCTTGCTTCTTGTAGGTCTTCAAAGAAAATTGTTAAGCTCTCATCTGTAATTTGGTTGCATTCTCCAAAATAAAATTACCAATCTTTTACACTTTAATTGGATTTAATTGATTTAGACATACTTTATATTATTTTATCGTTAATAAGTCCATAAGAAATATTAATATTGACAGAATTGTATGAAAGGGAGTTTACAATTGAATAAAAGAAGCTGGAGAAATTTATTTAATCTAATAAATCTTTAGCATGTGAGCATTTTTAGGAAATTTCACTTTCTCCAGTTTCATTAGAATTTTCAAAGTACTCTTCATTAACCTCATTTTTATGTATTTCTATATCAAATTTGGTGTAATTTTTAGATGAAATTCTTGCACAAGTGTAAACATCTTTTAAGATGTTTAGCTAATTGCATCTTTCTAAATTTAATCTGGTTTAGAAAATCTCCTAAGAAACATTGTTGATATTTTAGTTTAGATTAGTATTTACTATTGATTTCAATTTAGATACTTATAGCTCCTTATTCTCTTTATCTTCATTGAATTGAAGATAATAATATTAATTTTCTTTACAAGGAGTAGTTTCTAGTCCAAATGAGTTTGTAGAGCTCAAAAAAATATAACTATCACTTAAGATAGGTTGTTTTACAGATTCAGAATAAGTTAAAGCTATTTTTTTAGACAGATTCAGCTCTTCTAAAGCAGATTGGATGTGGAGAGTATCATTTGCATTGAATTGCTGAGAGTTACCAAAAAGTATTTGGACTTTATTTTGAGTGGATATTCCTTCATCAATTATTTTTCTATAGCTTGATAAATTATCAGAATCTGAAGAAAAGAAATTCTGATTTTTAAAATCGAGAACAATTTATTCAACAGAGATTTATTTTTCTTTAAGTAGAGTTTGAAGATTTTCAAAAGCTTACTCCTTAAATTGACTGCATTGCTTGACAGTTAAAACCAATTTTTCGAGCTTTTTTCCATTTGGAATTTGAATATTTTTAATGTATTTCAGCACTTTTCCTGTGATTTAAGGAATGTTTTCCAAAGATAAATTAATTAATTATAAATTACATGCTAATTAACTAAGCTATTAAATTACTTTCTTAATCCCTTTATTCGTTATTTCATGATTCGAGTTTAGAATTAGATTAAACTCTTTCAAAGAGCTATTTTGATTCAGACATTATGATAAGACGGCCAATCCTACATCTGATATTTTATCACAAAGCTCAAGCTTCAAAGTAAAGAATTTTAATTTGGAGCAGGAGCTAATTGTTCTTTGAAGAGTTTATAACCCAACATCTGTAACAGAGCAAGAATTTAGGTTAAGCATAAAGCTTTGCAGTGAGTTACTGTCTTAAATAGATTCGCAAATATGCATAACACTTTCGTCAGTTAGATTAAAGGAATACTCAAAATTCAAATTCAAATCTATTAACTTCTCTTTCTTTCTATTTAAAAGTTAGCTTATATAATAAACTCCTTCATCAGTTATGAGGCTGCAGTATCTAAAGCTCAATTATAATATTTGTAGCTATTCATTTATTGAAAGTCCTTAACTGATCTACTAAAGATTACTGTTTTTAAGTTTTTCACATTTATCGAAATCCAAAATAAACTCTTTGCAATGGCTATTTAAACTGATAGCCTATTAAAGATTTTAGAAGCCTTCTTCACTAATTTTATTGAGTCCTCTCATAGAAATTTATATAGATTTAGCAGAAGATTCTTCTAATTCACTGCAAATATGCTCAAACTCTTTATCAGAGACATCAGGCCAGTTTTTGCAATTTACTGCTAATCTTTCTACACTTTCCTAAGGAAAATATACTTCTTACAAGTAATACCTATTTGTCTATACATCCTTTTTGATGTAAATATCGTCTCCTACTAAATTTTTAAATTATTTTTAATGTTTGGTGTTCATAATGATTTTAAACAAAATATTATCTATCTATCTATCAATCAATATCTCTAATAATTAATTAAAATATCAAATAAATATAATCATCAAAACTATTAATCGTTTTAAACTAAAAATTGTAATTATGCGAAATTAGCTGGAAATACGAGAGATAATTGGCATAATTATTAAATAAATTTGTAGATTTTAGATTTAATAGCTTGTTTCTTCTATTTATTTTTTAAAATCTAAAAACAATTAATTTCAAAAATACTCTATTTTATAATTTGTAATAAATAAGGAAGAGATTAATTTAATGAATTTTGACAAAAAAGTATATTAAAAGTGAGACATTTATAGTCTAACGTAATATTTAATACCATATGAAATCAAAATGTTCAAGGAGAAACTTTTATTAAATCTCGCAAAGAATAAATACAATTATTCGAAAAAGTTTCACTTTTAAATAAATTTTAATTTCTTTGAAATATTTGTAACCAAAAATCAAATTTATTAACCTTCTAATTATTTACAGTTGTATTTTACAAAACCAAATCTAATATTTGTAATTCGATAAATTTAATTCTAAATTTTTAATTCGATGAATTTCATTTTGAATATTTATTCTTCTACAGCCAAATTTATGTAAAATTAAAAAATCTATTTTCATAATTAATAATATTTTGTTTTTAAGTAAATTTAACTTTTTCATTTAAATAAATTCAATTTCATTTTAAATTATTTCTCTTCTTATATTGAATAATCATAATTATATTCTGATATCTATAATCTTATATAGATAAAAATAATTTAATTTATTAGAAAATAAAAGCTAGATATTTTTTAGAAATATAAAGAAAGTAATTTAATGGTTATTAATTTATTTTTTGGAAATAAATGCTTGTAAAACTTTTGAAAGATTTATTTTAATTTTATTTTAACCTAGCTAAAAAAATAAGTTAAAAAAAATTATAAAAATTTATATGATATTTGATAGATTAAAATATTAATAAAAAAATAAATTGACCATATCAAATTTTAATTAGGGTGCTATTGAAATCATTTACAAAAAAAATAAAATAATTTAAGGTGGCTAGCAAAAAATATAAAAAGTCACTATACAAAGCTACCTTGGAGTAATAGAAGACCTAATTAATTCTAATTTAATTTAATATAAAAGAAATATTTTATTTTATTTAAAATAATTTAATTTAATTAAAATCTAACAATAGCTAAAAATATCAAATATTAAAGTAAAAAATAAAAATAGATTTGAATTAGATAAATTTACTTATTACATACTTACTTATTTTAAATAAAATTTTCAAATAAAATAAAAAAGAATTATTATTTTTAATATTTTGATTGAGTTAATTAATTATTTTATTTATAAAATTAGTAAAGGTTTTATTTTATCTTCTCTTAATTAAGATTTTTTTTTTTAAGAATGAAGAAATTTATCCAATTAATAGCTTGCAATTTGATTAGCTAAAAATAAAAACGAAATAAAACTTTTTAATTTCAAAGTAAAAATCTTTCTTTATTATTCTTTTATTTTAAAAAAGATTATATTCTTTAAATATTCTATTAAATGTATTTAAATGAATATCGAAAAATTTGTGATTGGAATAAAAATAATTTATTTGAGAGTTCATAAAAGATAAAAAAAAAGATATCAAAAATTTGATAGATAGATTGATTGATAGATAGATAGATAGAAAGATAGACATAAGTTTAAATTAATAAATCTTTATTAAATTTTTTGATAGATTTTGAATAATGAATGGATAAGAAGATTAACTACTTTAGGCATTTGACTGGTTAATATATGCTAACTAAAGCAGAATTCCAAAAATATTAGATTTTGAATAACAGTTATTTTAGTTCGATGTGAAAGACCAAGCTCTCCCTAGTCATTTTTAGGTTGTGATTAATAATCCAGAAAGATAAAATACATAATTATATCTCAATAATCATTTCACTAGCGTTCACTATGAAGAATCTTTTGCAGATTTAAAATATATTAAAGTAATTTATTCAATTTATCAAAATTTAATGTTAAATGTTCAATATTTTTTTATAGAAAGGGTAATTAGAACGAAGAATTTTAAAAGATATTTATGAGCATGATGTAGATTTAATGGGTTTTTAATTCGATTAAAATTAAGTTGAATCTGAAATGTTAGATATAGGCTATAAGCGCGCATTAGATGAAGTAGATTTACACTTAAAAAATCCTTTTACAACAACTTTTAGCTATGATTATATGGATAACGAATTTACAGGATTTTAAGACTAAATGGTGTAGAATAATTCATTTAAGAATTATTCAACAGATCAATCTTAAGATAATACACAACAACAATAAAAAGGCTAGTAATTATTAAACGAATATTACAATCAAGGTAATGCAAGCTAAGAAATAAATGCTTAATAAGTTTAAGGTTATTAATCGCAAAATAATATAGTTGAGGACTTTTAAGTCTTGGGAAATCAGGTAGAATAATACTTAGCTGAACTAAGATAAAAATAGCAAAGCATTAAAAATAGAATTAATATTCCTTAGCTTTCACTAGAAGATCTCATTAAAGTGAATAAATTTAGCAGAGTCCTTTCTATTTTCTAAAAAGCAGGTTAAAAAGAAGCAAAAAAGCACAAAGTTATTTAAAAATCTACTGTAGACATGGACCCAGAAGAGATTTTCAAACAATTAAAAAGTGAGTGGGTAGAAGAATAAAAAGAAGAGGAAGAATTAAAATAATCTTATGAGCTGTAAATTTTAGCAAATTTAGATTTTGATGTTATGATAGACAAAGTAGAAGAAAAAATACAATTTGAGGAATAGCAACTACTTGAAAAGGTCAAAAAGATGTAGGAAGAATTAAAATCTCAAAGCTTCGAGATGCAAGAAGACCAAATTTATTCTCTAGGATAGCAAAATAAAATGGAATAATTTAATAAAATTAAGTAAAATCTATAAAATATTTTTTTCATTTTCATTAAATTAAAAAATAAGATTTATTTAAATGCAAATTTAAATGAAATATTTTAAAAATAGATTGGTGGATACTTAAGAAATCAATGAAAAAAAATTATAATTGTCTTCATCTTACGATTGGGCAGTCGAAGATCAGTTTAATTTAGCTAAATTTTATGAGGAAGTACCCAAAGAAAAAATGGCGTAATAATATCCTTTTGAGCTCGATGCTTTCCAAAAGAGGTCAGTTTACAGAATAGAAAGAAAAGAAAGTGTTTTTGTTTGTGCTCATACATCTGCAGGTAAAACAGTAGTTGCTGAATACGCAATAGCTATTTCTAAAAAGCTTAATAGAAAAGCAATTTATACTTCTCCTATTAAAGCTTTATCAAACCAAAAGTATAGAGATTTTAAGTAAAAATACGGTGATGATGTAGGTCTAGTTACTGGTGATGTGTAACTCAACCCCAATGCAAATTGTTTAATTGTAACAACAGAAATTTTGAGAAATATGCTCTACAGAAACAACGATATAATTAGAGATATTGAATGGTAAACAATTTATTTATTTTTCTTAAACGTTATGTTTTCATTGTTTATTTACAAAACACTGTCATTATTTCATTAAATTTAGTTAGCTAATAATTATATTTTTATATTTTATAGGGTTATATTTGATGAAGTTCATTATTTAAATAATCCTGAGAGAGGTCTGGTTTGGGAAGAAACAATTATTATGCTTCCTGAGACAGTCGGTTTTGTAATGCTCAGTGCAACAGTTCCGAATTACATGGAATTCGCTAATTGGGTAGGAAGAACTAAAAAAAGAAAAATTTATGTATAAAAAACTGATTTTAGACCTGTTCCCTTAGAACATTCTATTTATTTAAATGGCTCAATAGAAGTAATTAAGCAAGGAGACAATCGTTTTAATGCCACTGATTATGACTAATTTAAGAACAGAATTATAAAAACATACATGAATCAGAAGAATTAATTAACTGCATAAAAGAAATCATTAAAGCTTGAAAAGTATCAAAAAGGAATTCTAAAAAATACAAATACATCGATGAGAAACAAAAGAACAATGAAAGCAATCACTGAAAAATTCATTAAATCCACTGATGAAGACGATTACAATTCTTCAAGCAGTACAAACGAAGGATTTAATTTGATGTAACTCCTAATTAAATGCTAAAATGAAAACTTACTACCCTGTGTTATTTTCTGCTTTTCTAAAAGGAAAATAGACGAAATAGCAAATTAAATTAAATAACTTAACTTTTGTGATTATGAGGAAACTGTAAATAAATATCAATTAATTTAAAGCAACTTTTTTAGATTATTTTATATAAAAATAATTAAAGGTAAGAATAGAATATTATTTCAGGTAGTGTTCCAGAAAGATTAAGTCAAGAGATTTAAATGTGCCTTAAATACAAACCATTAAAGATTTACTTCTTAGAGGTATAGGTATCCATCATGGTGATGTTATTCCTTTCATGAAAGAAGTTGTTGAAATTCTTTTCTCACAAAGCCTTATAAAAGTTCTAATTGCTACAGAAACATTTGCTATGGGTATTAATATGCCTACAAAAACAGGTAAAGACTTTACTAACTTCATTTCAAAATTTATTTATTTTTTTAATTTAAAAATTTCATTTTATTTTCTTAAAACTGGATTAATTTTTAAAATAAATAAACTCAGAAAAAAAGTTTAATATCAATTTTTTTGTTATTCAAAGAAATATTTTTTATTTTCATATTTTAAGATCAAATTGTAAGTGAATAAATAATTTCAGATTAAATAAATTTATTTGTTTTATGTTTTGCTAAATATTTTTTTTCTTTAAATTTTGGATGGATTGAAAAAAAAATTCAAATTTAAAAAATAACTAAAAATATTTGTTAATTTTAATTAAAAGTTATTTTCCACTCTCTTAAAAAGTTTGACTCTTCTGGTGAAAGACTGCTGAATTCATCAGAATTTACTTAAATGAGTGGTAGAGCAGGTAGAAGAGGTTTAGATGTAAAGGGAAATGTTATAATTTTTGTTAATTCAATTGAGTAGCTTCCATCTAAAAATGACTTAAATATCATAATGGACACTAAGGTAAATAAATAAATAATTAGTATTCGATTAATATTAAATTTAAATAATATTTTTTATAGGGATAATATTTGGAATCTAAATTTAAAATCACATATGAAACAATCATCAACTTGCTTAATTCTAATGTACTTAATGTAATTGATATGATGAAGAAAAGTTATTAAGAGAATCACAAATATGCTTAGTTACCAAACAATATCAAGAAAATAAAAGAACTTAAATTAAAATATTTAGAATTAAAGAATATGAAATGCAAATTACAACCTCCAGGAATCGATGAACTTCCTATTGAGAAATACATATAAAGTTCTTAAATTATGAGATAATTAAATAAAAACTATTTCTAACAAGTAAAAACATACATGGTAGAAAAGATGGAGCTTCCTTCTTACTGTGTCATGTACGATGACGTTTACAAATTCTATTTTGGGATGATTATTTATATCAATCTTAAAGATAAATACGAAGACAGATTCCTATATGTTTTATATGTAGATAGTATTGATGTCCAACAAGGACCTATTTTTAATTTCCAAGAAGATGCATTCCACTCACATGTTGTCGAAAATCACCATTACTGTGATGAATCTAACGACTACAAAGAATATACTTACAAAATATTTAAGCTGCCCGTTTCTTGCATTTGTAAGATATACGAAGATGACCCTGGAATTGAAGATGGAGAATTAGAAGATTAAGAATATGTTTAATCATGCGTTAAGTTGCTTATTTCTAAAAAAAATTAATTTAAAGAGGTTTTTCTATCTGAAGAAATCTCATCTGTAAATTTGTTCAAATATCTTTAATTTATTTATTTATTTCTTTATTTTAATTTTGTTTAGAAAAAAATGAAGAGGAAAAAATTCTTGGATATGAAATTCTAAAACACAACTGACATATCAAAATCTGCACTAAATAATAATTTAGACTCAATATAAACTTCACTTTGTCATTAATGTGATATCAAAGATTTGCATATTAGCCAAGTCTTCGAAAGAAAGTAAATTAAAACTGATCTAGAAGAACTTATTAAAAAAGTAGATGAAAATGACTTAAATCAAAGAACAAGTTTTGAAAGGTAGATTTTATTTTTACTTTTATTATTTATTTTGAAAGTTTAAAATAATTATTTTGCAATTAGTAAATTGAAGATTTTGAAAAGATTTGGTTATGTTGATTTAGTTAACAAACCTACTTTTAAGGCTCGTATAGCTAAAGAAATACAAAATATTTATGTCACAGAGGTAATATTCTAAGAATCTCTTGAATCTTTAGAAGAATGTGACATAGCAGCTCTTCTAAGTGGTTTTGTATGTTAAGCTAAATCTAAAAGTGCAGTTAAATATGACCCAATAGATGACTTTAGCCCTTTCTATCCTAATTATGATAATTTTATGGAATCTTATCTAGAAATTATATAATCTGTCAAGGCTGTTATCTCTTACGAATGTTAATTCGGAGTAAATTATAAATAAATAAATAAAGAGTAAGTTTCTTAACATATTTAATTTTATTTTAGGTTATTCAATGTGGTAATGAAGATGACTATATGTTTGATCAAGTTTATATAAGAGACTTAATTGAAGTTGTATACTAATGGATGAATGGAATGGATTTCTAAAATATTTGCGAAATGACATCTATATAAGAAGGTGCTATAGTAAGAAGCTTCCTTAGACTTGAAAATTTACTCAAAAATGTAAGAAATGGTTATATTATTATGGGAAATTATGCAATGGGAGTTAAACTAGACAGATGCATGGAAATGCTCAAGAAAGATATAATTTTTTCTAAAAGTTTGTATTTAGACTAAGACGATCATTGAACGAACTCACACACACACACACACACAAAATAATTTATTTATTTATTTAAAAAATACTATTAAAATTTAATTATAAATATACCAAATATATATTTATTAAATGCATACAACCACAAATAAATTCCAACTGATATAAATTTTTAGCAAATTAATTTTTTTATTTATTAAATATTTACCAATTTTTAAAAAATAAACTACATAAAAATAAATAAATATTTACATTAGTTATTTATTTATTTATCATAATAATTCATTAATCTCATCTTATTTCCTATTTGAGATAATTTGCAAATATAATTATGCTTCTTTTTCAGAAATTGAATTTCTGTGAGTTGAGAATTCTTAAAACCTATTTACTTCTTATGATTGTAGCTCTTCACTGATATTTGATTGACAATTTTCAAAAATATTTCCTTCTTATTCTGTTTTATTCTTTTATATTTAATTTTAATTAGTGGCTTATAATTAATATTTATTAATTTCTCTCCTTAATTTAACACTTTTACTGAAAATTGAAGAGGGAGAATCTGAATTAGTTTAAAAAATGTCTTCTTATTTCGTATAGAATGTATTTAAAAATGTTTTTGGCATTTCATGTTTTGAAGATATTTTTTATTAATTTGAGCTAATTAATTATGAAGACTCATCTTATTATGAATAAATTTAGTCAATTTATTACTTTTTATCATTTCTCTGTATATTAAAATTAATTTTTAAAACAAATTATCGTATAACATATCTATTTGTGTCATAAATTTTTATTTGTATTTCTTCTATATCTTACTTTTAAGGTACTCCATGAAGGAAGATAACTCCGCTTCTTTAATCAAATTGAAGCCAAGAAGGTAATCTCATGTTTTTAGAAAAACCGTATTTTTCATATTCTATATTAAAGAATCTATATATTGGTTGGAAGTGTTTACTTATTTCTCTTTTCTTAAAAGCTATAATCTAACTGATATTGTAAGAATGAGCATAAATAGACTTACCTATCGAACGCTAAAAACTTGAAGGTTTATACTGAGGAAACCCTAAAACATCAGCAAAGATTACTTCCCTTAAAAGAAAAATGTTTACATCTTCAAAGTATGTTTCAATGTATTTCTTAAACTAGCTAAATGATTTGGGTATTTTTAAATTTTGTGCATTGTCAGTCTTATGGAGCTATTAAAATATAAATAATAACTATTTATAGTTGAAGTCTATTGAAGGAAAAATGTTGATTTCTTCATCATCTTCTTTTATAAAAGGATTGTTCTTATACTATATATCGATTATAGCTTTAAACCAATCATTTTTGTTATGATGGATATTCTAAAAGCAGTAATTTTTTATGTATTCATAGATTATATGAGTTTTTTAATCTAGTTTAAGCAAATATCTAGATATTAAGGCTCTTATAATTCTTTGTAAAACAGAATTAGTGTCTGCTAATTCATTAACGTATTACTACATTGTTTTTTATTTATAAGTTTTTGGTATTATATTAAATTTTACGATATCCTAAATAGCTTGAGACATTACCAAACTCCCTTTTTCATTCAGGTATCTTCTTTCTAAACTTGATTAAGTTATTTATTTTTTGGCTTTTTATAAATTCAATAATACTTTTTGGATATTGTTTGTATTTTTTTTAAAATTAAAATTATTTTAATGTTCAAATTTTTAAAATTCTTTAAATTCATTTTCACATTCCTCATTGTTAATATTTTTTTATTCAAATAAGTTATCCATATTTTTTTATTAAACATCAGAGACTGAATGAGTATGTGCTCTAGGCTATTTTTAATCTAGCTTCAACGAAGAATTCTCCATTATCTTTTTAAATAGATTTCTTACTATGTACATTCCTTCTTCATGACAGTTGCCTATAATTATTAACTATTATTAGTATTTTGTGCCACAATCAACCTCTTCTTATGAGAAGGTCACTCTGTTTTAAAATATTATGTTATAAAAGTAGTGTCTTTATTAATATATTCCAAAAACTCCTAAAAATGGACCTAATATTTTTAGTATTAGATTCAAGGCATATACAAAAGATATACCATATAATTAAACTGTAAAATAATCCACAGCTTTTGTATATCCATCAGTCGCTTATATCTAAAATCTGTAAACCTTACCATATAAATCTGAAGTTGTTACACCTTTGAAATTAAGTTTATCATTACCTTACTATTGAAGCCATAAGCTTGGAGGAATAAGCACAAATTCACCTTTTTCATTTTGTAGATATGCTTAATAAGTAATTTTACTTGTATCTTAAACTAAAAATGTTTAGGAGGAAAAAGAGATTGCAATATTTGATTCTATATCAATAACACCATCTTTAAATTATTAATCAAGTTATGTTTATAAATTTAGTTGTTTATTAACAATTAGTTGCTTTTTCAGGATTATAAATGAACATTCAAAAATATTTATAGAAGTTTTTAGAGGATTATTTACATTGTCATTAATAATAATTTGAATAGACTATTAGATGTGTTAACTAATTTCACTTGCATTAGCAAATATAATATACTATTGCAATACCTTGTTTACATTTTCTAAAGAGCCTTCAATTTGAAGCTAATCTTATGAATCTGATAATTAAAATGTAACACTGTCTTGATTTTTATGAATCAGTTTACCAGTGTTGCTATTCACCTTTAAAATAACTTGAATAATCTGTAGAGAATTAGTTGAAATGTAATGAAATCTATTGTTGTTATCAAATTTTAAGGATGAAATTATGTAGAATTTAAAGGGATTGAATGAATATGATTTCTTCAGCGTTACGCTTACCTTTTGTGTTATCTAAGATATAAAATTTTAATATAAACTATCTTAAATATTAGAAGTTTCTACCAGTTATTTCTAAAGTTAGGCATCTAAAACTAACTTTTTCTAAACATCAAAGTTTTGATTTAAAATACCATCTAAATTTATAATATTTTGGTCTGTAAGACTTTAGAAAATCAGAGCAGATTAGGTCAAATTTGTTACAGCTAAATCTTAAGAATCCTCTTAAGAGTAAAAAAATGATATTTTATCTATTGGTATTAAAGTTTTAATTAATATTATGATTAAATTTGAAATCATATAGTTTTTGTCTAATAAATCAGTTGTAACTTAAAATTAAAGATTTTAATTTTTAGAATCGAAGTTAAATTATTGTGGAAGTGTCTCTATATTACCATTTTATAAAATGTAAATATTAGAAATTTTCATATTTAAATTTTATGGATAGATAATTTTAAAATTTAAAACAACAGTTTAACCAATTTAAAATATATATTCATTATTAATTCTAGGATTATTAGTTGATTCAACCAAACTTTATTTGCTGTACTTGAGTTTTTATTATTATTATGTATTTGAAAATGCTTTTATTACAGAAACTTCTGTGTGTATTTGAATTTCATTTTAATATGGCATTGTTAAGATGCCATTAGAAACTGTAACAAAAAGATAATTTAGAGTATTGAATAAGCAAACACCTTAAGCTTACTGATTAAAATAAAGTTATTAATATATTATTAATGGATTGTACTTGTCTCTCGTATCTATAAGAGTTAGCGTACCTTTATCACTTTAAGTTACAATAATGTAATCTTCTTTTTAAATTGGTAATACCATAAAGGTGAACCCAGTTAGGCTTATCCTGGAAGCAAACTTGATTTATGGAAGAGCAGATGTATCTAAAATAGCAAAACCTTTTGTACCTTCTCCAATATAAGCGAAATTATAATAAGCTGAAGTAACAATAGCAAAGCCACCTTAAAAAGTTTGATGATTTGCTAAGATAGGATTATTTTTGTCAGAAATATTTAATATAAAATAACCTTAGCCTTAAGTAACACCAATAATCCATCTATTGTCTAATGTAATACAAAGATCATATATATCACCTAGTAAAAAATCAGGTTTTGACCAAACAGATAAAATCTCAATATTTAGTATATCTGTTGTGTTATAAGTAATAATTTCTTTTTAAACTGCTTGAGCAGCAAATTTCTTATCAACACCAAATGCCATATTTATAGAGTAGAATTAATTATTGTAACTATCGGCACGTATTAACTTCATATTGAAAGGTGATATCTCTTATTATTATTTGCTGTTATCAAGGGGTGAGTATTGGTAAATATAAAGTAGTATACCTTAATAATAAGAGGGGGCAATGATGTATTATCCTGATTAATCAAACAAAATCGAATCTGAATTAATAGGGTACTTCTAAAAACTTTTAATATTGAGCCTGTAAGGGTTTTTATAAGTTGGAAAAACATACAGACCATCATAATCAAAAGCGCCAAAAAGATATTCATCTTTACTGTCAACATAGCAGCGAGGTTTGTAAATAATATCCAATTCGCTAAAGCTAGATTAATGGATATTGAACATATTAGGGAAATAATCATTCAGTTCAACTTATACTTAAGGAAATGAAAAAATGTTTGATGAAGTTGATACATATAAATATATTTCATTTTTTGAGAGTTAAATAGAGAATGGGTTTATCTCTGAACCAATCACTTCAATAAGTAAAATTTTATTTCGTTATCTTATATCAAATAAATAAATACCGTAAGATCTTACCCCACAAAATAGAATAGATTCAGCAGAATTTAAAAAAAGAGATGAAATAATAGGTATCACATTTTAATCAGGCCAGTACTAAGTGAAATTCAAAGCCATTGGATAATCATTTTCATCAATTTATGTTAGATACTTAAAATTAGAAAAATATAGTCCAGTCCATATATCATAGCAATAAGCATAGTAATCTCTTGTTTGTAGGCAATAATAGGTTGAATCACCAGTAAATCCTGCACCTACTAGGATAAAATTAGTTTAATTTTGAATATTATTTTTTTAATCGACTACATAATTCATTTTAAATAAAAACATTCCAAATAAATTTGCTCCAGCATAAAGAAGCTAAAAGTCTTTAGAAAGAAATAATCCTGTTATTTATTGGGCGTCAAGTTAATAAAACCCAGTTTTATAAATAGTAGATTTAATTTTTGTATTATAAGAAACTATTAAGCCTTTCTACCCCGATACGATTAATGTATCGATCTCTTCTGTGAAAAGCATTTATGTAATAAGTTAAGAAAACTCTACTGCTTGAATCATGCTAACTTCTATCATTTTAAAAGAATCATAAGGTTCGTACTCAAAAACTAATTTATAAACTTAAATTGTTGAATTTAAAGATAAAAATAATATCTGGCCATTGTGAGAAACTTAGAAATTTTAGACATATAGCCCGTTAAAGTTAATAGTGTCAAGTATTTTACTTCCTAAATAATCAACAATTGCAATTCCGTTCACTCCGCACGAAATAAAAACCAGATCTTAATCTTTAGCAATTTGTATTGATAACGGCTCCCAATAGCTTGCATTAGTTTAGTTCAATTAGTTTACCAGCATTTCTGAATAAATCTACTTGATCTATTCTTGTTTTGATATCTTAATTATTATAAATATCAAAAGGAATTAAAAAATTTTCATTTTCTCAATCTATTTTTTAGGTTTATAATTTTTACTATTTATTAGTTCGTTATTTAAAAATTTTATAATAATTGAACAAAAGAAAAAGGAATAATTTATGATAAAAAATATGTATTATTTTCTTAATTTTTAAGGAAAAAACAAAATTTCCTTTCCACAACATTAATTATTTTTCATAAAGTAAAATTTAATACATAACTGTTATCGGATTCTCATTTATTTAAAAATTTATTACCTTTTCATTATTCATAGCATTTTATTTTTTACTACAGTATTATAAATGAAATAGAATTTACGTTTAACTTCAAAACATTAACTTTTAATAGTTAATAAAACCAGCCAGCCCTTTATTTACATACAAAAGAATATAAAAAGTTAATTCTAAAAATTTTACCTGAGATTAATAATTATTAAATTTTATTTGAAATAAATGCATTTTTATTATAATCTAATTTTAAGATTTAATTGAGGTCAATTAAACTTTTTAATCTTTTTTACTAGTCAGTCACCTCACTTCTAACTAACAACTTTAATAGTCATTTATCCAAAAATAAAATAATACTAACCTATAATGTTCAATTGAAATTCCCTTTATGATAATTTTTATAAAATCATAATTTTTTTTAAAAATTATCAAACAAAAATTATGTATCTATCTGATTGATTTTAAAATGCTCAAAAGCATTATTTAAAAATAATTTTGATGTAACAACAAGAATATTGTACTTTAATTATCTATTTTTAATTAAATATTTTTCAATTTTAAACTTCATACATGAAAATAAATAAATAAAAAAATATATACTTTAGTTATAAATTTATTTTCATCATAATTCGTTAATCTCATCTTATTTGATATTTAAGATAATTTGTAAATATTATTATGCTTCTTTTTCAGAAATTGAATTTCTGTGAGTTGAAAATTCTGAAAACATTTTTACATCTTATGATTGTAGCTCTTCGCTGATATTTGATTCACAATTTTCAAAAATATTTCCTTCTTATTCAGTTTTTTTCTTTTTTATTTCATTTAAATTCATGTTTTATGATAAGCTTTTCTCAAATCTTCTTTTATTGAAAATTGAAGAGGGAGATTCTGAATTAGTTTAAAAAATATCTTCTTATTTCTCATAGAATGTATTTGAAATTATTTTTGGCATTTCAAGCTTCGAAAATATTTTTTGTTAATTTGAGCTAACTAATTATGAAGAATCTTCTTATTAAGTATAAATTTAGTCTATTTGCTGCTTTTTATCACTTCTCAGAATATTAAAATTTACTTTTAAAACAAATTATCGTATAACATATCTATTTGTATCATACATTTTTATAAGTAATTCTTCTACATCTTGCTTTTAAGGTATTCCATAAAGGAAGATAACTCCGTTTCTTTAATCAAATTAAAGCCAAGAAGGTAATCTCATATTTTTAGAAAAACCGTATTTTTCATAATCAATATTTAAGAATCTATATATTGGTTGGAAGTGTTTGCTTACCTCTCTTTTCTTATAAGCTATAATCTAACTGATATTGTAAGAATGAACATAAATAGACTTACCTATTGAGGGCTAAAAACTTGAAGGTTTATACTGAGGAAACCCTAAAACATCAGCAAAGATTACTTCCCTTAAAAGAAAAATGTTTACATCCTAAAAGTATGTTTCAATGTATTTCTGAAATTAGCTAAATGACTTGGGTATTTTTAAAGTCTGTGTATTGTCAGTCTTATGGAGCTATTAAAATATAAATAGTAACTATTTATAGTTGAAGTCTATTGAAGGAAAAATGTTTATATCTGAGTCAACTTCTTTTAGCGAAGGATTGTTCTTATACTATATATTGATTATTGCTTTAAACCAATCATTTTTGTTATGCTGGATATTCTAATAGCAGTAATTTTTTATGTATTCATAGATTATATGAGTTTTTTAATCTAGTTTAAGCAAATATCTAGATATTAAGGCTCTTATAATTCTTTATAAAACAGAATTAGTGTCAGTTAAATCATTAACATATTATGACCAGGTTTTTTGTTTATAAGTTTTTGGTATTATATTAAAGCTTACAATATCCTAAATAGCTTGAGACAGTACCAAACTCCCTTTTTCATTCAAGTATCTTCTTTCTAAACTTGATTTATTTATTTATTTTTTGATTTTTTATAAATTCAATAATACTTTTTGGATATTGTTAGTATTTTTTTTAAAGTTAAAATTATTTTAATGTTCAAATTTTTCAAATTCTTTAAAGTCATTTTGAAATCCTTCTTTATTACTATTTCTATTTTCAAATAAGTTATCTATATTTTTTTATTATACACCAGAGACTGAATGAGTATGTGCCCTAGGCTAATTCTATTAAAATTTGAATGAAGAATTCTCCATTATCTTTTTAAATAGAGTTCTTACTATGTACATACCTTCTTCATGAGAATTTTCAATAATTATTAACTATTTTTAGTATTTTGCACCACAATCAACCTCTTCTTATGAGAATGTCACTCTACTTTAAAATATTATGTTATAAAAATAGTGTCTTTATCTATATATTCCAAAAAATCCTAATAATGGGCCTAATATTTTTAGTAAGAGATTCAAGGCATATACAAAAGGTATCCCGTATACTTAAACTGTAAAATAATCTACGGCTTTTGTATATCCATCGGTCGCTTATATCTAAAATCTGTAAACATTACCATATAAATATGAGGTTGTTATGCCTTTGAAATTAAGTTTATCATTACCTTACTATTGAAGCCATAAGCTTGGAGGGATAAGTACAAATTCATCTTTTTCATTTTGTACATATGCTTAATAAGTAATTTTACTTGTATCTTGAACTAAAAATGATTAGGAGGAAAAAGATATTGCAATATTTGATTCTATGTCAATTATACCATTTTAAAATTATTATTCAAGTTATTTTTACAAATTTAGTTATTTATTAACAATTAGTTGCTTTTTAAGGACGATAAAAGAGCATTCAAAAATATTTATAGAAATTTTTAGAGGATTATTTACGTTATCATTAATAGTAATTTGAATAGACTATTAAGTGTTTTAATTAATTTCACTAGCATTAGCAAATATAATATACTATTGCAAAACCTTGTTTACATTTTCTTAAGAGCCTTCAATTTGAAGCTAATCTTATGAATCTGATAATTAAAACGTAACACTGTCTTGATTTTTATGAATTAGTTTGCCAGTGTTGCTATTCACCTTTAAAATAACTTGAATAATCTGTAAAGAATTAGTTGATATGTAATGAAATCTATTGTTGTTATCAAATTTTAAGGATGAAATTACGTAGAATTTAAAGGGATTGAATGAATATGATTTCTTCAGTGTTACGCTTACCTTTTGTGTTATCTAAGAAATAATATTTTGATATAAGCTATCTGAAATATTAGAAGGGTCTACCAGTTATTTCTAGAGTTAGGCATCTAAAACTAACTTTTTTTAGACATCAAAGTTTTGATTTAAAGTACCATCTATATTTATCACATTCTGGTGTATAAGACTTTAGAAAATCAGAGCAGACTAGGTTAAATTTGTTACAGCTAAATCATAAGAATCCTCTTAAGAGTAAAAAAATGATGTTTAATCTATTGGTATTAAAGTTTTAATTAATATTATGATTAAATTTGAAACCATTTAGTTTTTGTCTAACAAATCAGTTGTAACTTAAATTTAAAGATTTTAATTTTTAGAATCGAAGTTAAATTATGGTGGAAGTGTCTCTATATTACCATTTTATAAAATGTAAATATTAGAAACTTTCATATTTAAATTCTATGGATAGATAATTTTAAAATCTAAAGCAACAGTTTAACCAATTTAAAATATATATTCATTATTAATTCTGGAACTATTAGTTGATCCAAAATTTTATTTGCTGTACTTGAGTTTTTATTATTATTATGTATTTGAAAATGTTTTTATTTCAGAAACTTCTGTGTGTATTTGAACTTCATTCTAATATGGCATTGTTAAGATGCCATCGGAAACTGTAACAAAAAGATAATTTAGAGTATTGCATAAGCAAACACTTTAAGCTTACTGATTAAAATAAAGAAGTTAGTATATTATTATTGGATTGTACTTGTCTCTCATATCAATAAGAGTTAGCGTGCCTTTATCACTTTAAGTTACTAAAATATAATCTTCATTTTGAATTGGTTATACCATAAAGGTGAACCCAGTTAGGCTTATCCTGGAAGCAAACTTGATTTATGGAAGAGCAGATGTATCTAAAATAGCAAAACCTTTTGAACCTTCTCCGATATAAGCGAAATTATAATAAGCTGAAGTAACTACAGCAAAACCACCTTAAAAAGTTTGATGATTTGCTAAGATAGGATTATTTTTGTCAGAAATATTTAATATAAAATAACCTTAGCCTAAGGTAACACCTATAATCCATCTATTGTCTAATGAGATACAAAGATCATATATATCTGCTACCAAAAAGCCAGGTTTTGACCAGACAGATAAAACCTAAATACTAAGTATGTCTGTTGTGTTGTAAATAATAATTTCTTTTTCAACTGCTTGAGCAGCAATAGTCTTATCAACACTGAATGCCATATTTACAGAATAGAATGTATTATTGTAGCTGTTCTAACCTATTAACTTCATATTTAATGGTGATATTTCTTATTACTATTTACTGTTATCAAGAGGTGAGTATTGGTAAATATAAAGTAGTATACCTTAATAATAAGAGGGGACAATAATATATTTTCCTGATTTATCAAACAAAATTGTATCTAAATTTATTGGGTAATTCTAATAACTAGTCACATTGAGTCTGTATGGGTTTTTATAAGTTGGAAAAACATACAGACCATTGAAATCAAAAGCACCAAAAAGATATTCATCTTAAAAGTCAACATAACAGCGAGGCTTGTAAATAATATCCAATTCACTTAAGCTAGATTAATGGATATTGAATATATTAGGGAAATAATCATTCAGTTCAACTTATACTTAAGGAAATGAAAAAATATTTGATGAAGTTGATACATATAAATAGATTTCGTTTTTTGAGAGCTACATAGAGAATGGGTTTATGTCTGAACCAATTACTTCAATAAGTAAAATTTTATTTCGTGATCTTATATCAAACAAATAAATACCGTATGATCTTACCCCGCAAAATAGAATAGATTCAGCAGAATTTAAAAAAAGAGATGAAATAATAGGTATAACAGTTTAGTCAGGCCAGTAATAAGTGAAATTCAAAGCTATTGGATACTCACTTTCATCAATTTATGTTAGATACATAAAATTAGAAAAATATAATCCAGTCCATATATCATAGCAATATGCATAGTAATCTCTTGTTTGTAGGCAATAATTGGTTGAAAGACCAGCAAATCCTTCTCCTGCTAGGATAAAATTAGTTTAATTTTTTTAATCAGCTATATCATTTAGTTTAAATAAAAACATTCCTTATTAATATGCTCCAGCATATAGAAACTAAAAGTCTTTAGAAAGAAATAGTCCTGTTATTTATTGAGCATCAAGTTAATAGAATGCAGTTTGATAAAGATTAGATTTATTTTTTGTATTATATGAAGCTATCAAACCAGTAGACCCTGAAACAATTAATATATCCACCTCTTCTACGTAAAGCATTTGGGTAATAATTTAAGAAAACTCTACAGCTTGAATCATGCTAACTTCTACCATTTTAAATGAATCGTTAGGCTTGTACTCAAAAACTAATTTATAAACTTAAATTGTTGAATTTAAAGATAAAAATAATATCTGGCCATTGTGAGAAACTTAGAAATTTTAGACATATAGCCCGTTAAAGTTAATAGTGTCAAGTATTTTACTTCCTAAATAATCAACAATTGCAATTCCGTTCACTCCGCACGAAATAAAAACCAGATCTTAATCTTTAGCAATTTGTATTGATAACGGCTCCCAATAGCTTGTATTAGTTTAGTTCAATTAGTTTACAAGCATTTCTGAATAAATCTGCTTAATCTATTCTTGTTTTGATATCTTAATTACTATAAATATCAAAAGTAATTTAAAAACTTTCATTTTCTCAATTTATTTTTTAGGTTTGTAATTTTTACTATTTTTTCTTTCGTTATTTAAAAAATTGCTAATAATTTAACTAAACAAAAAAAAATAATTAATGATAAAAAATATGTATTTTTTCTTAATTATTAAATAAATCCCAGCCAGGAAAAAAAATTTCCTTCATACAACATTATCTATTTTTACTTGATAAGTAAGTAAAATTTAATAAATAACTGTTATTCCATTCAAAATCATTTATTTAAAAATTTATTTCCTTTTCATTATTAAAAGCATCTGATTTTATACTAAAAAAGTAATAATGCAATACAATTTATGTTTTACTTCAAAGCTTTAGTTTTTTAAAGTTAATAAAAACAGTCAGCCAGCCCTTTTTTTTTCATATAAAAGAACATAAAAAAGTTAATTTTAATAAATTCACATGAGATTAATAATTATTAAATTTTATTTAAAATAGATGCATTTTTTATTAAAATCAAATTCTAAAATTTAATTGAGGTCAATTCTTGCCTAAACGTCACCTCCCCGGAATCTTATTTATTATTCACCCCTTAATTTCTGTATTAGAATTTAAAAATCAGTCAAATATAAAAATATATTTATTGTATTATAATTGATATTAAATACTTTTGATTTTTTTAGAATATATTTATTTAAAAAAATATAATAAATCAAAATGAATTTTAAATTAAATTGATTATCTAGAATTAATTAAAACTTAAATAATATTTTCTAAAAAAAATAATTTTGAAAATAGTTTTAATTTTTTTAGTAATTTACATTTTATTTTTTTTAATTGATAATTTCGATATTAATATTATAATTAAACAAGAAAAAGAAAGACAACATATATTTCTTAATTAACTTTTATTTATTGAAAATAATTAAATTAGAAATTTAATTTTAATCAAATTATTATTTTATTTTATTTCTTTATTAAGAGTATATTTTTAAAATAGGTTATTAAAATTAATATAATAATGTAGATAAAAAAAAATATTATTAGATATTAAAATTAATTTCAACAATAGAGTTTTTTTAATGCATACAATCATTAAGCTTTAGTTAGTAAAATTTTAATTAATAAAGTAGAAATGATAGAATAAATAATATATATACTATAAATAGATTATAATATTATTGCATTAAAAATAAAAATAAATATATTCTATTTAAATTATAAATTTATTAAAATTTTTTAAATTACTATTTAAATTTGGTTTAATAAAATAATATTTTAATTTAAATAAAATCTATCTTAATATAATAACAAATAATTAAATATTTGAGCTAAAAGTTTTAAATTTTAAAATTTTTTAATAATAAAATAATTAAAAATTATTATTTATTTTAATCTTTGAATTTAATTAATGGAATTTAAATAAATAGAAATCTTTTTTATGATATTTTACTAAGTAATTTAATATAAAGTAGAATAAATTCATAATTAATAGAAAATTAAAGATAAAGTAATAAAGAGAGTATGAGAGTGATTTTAATATCTAATAGATGTTATTCCAAAATTAAAAATGATAAAATCAATACAATTTAAGATTTATTTATTTATTAGATGCTTTTTTCTGATTAAAAATATTTTAATTGATATGAACTTTTTATCTACTTAAAAAAGATACGAACTCTCTTTAAAATAAATTAATTAGAATATTGCAAATTTTATTCAATTAATAAGTATCCAACTTTTTTAGAATAAATATTATTTAGTTGACAATTTATAAAGAAATGATTGAATGCGATTAGTAGCTAATTGAAAAATTTGAATAGATCATTACATTGAATACTGCAAATAAGCTTAAATAAGTTCATTCTAGCAACATTTTAGGTATTTAGTAAGGAATTTTATAATTTGATGTAGAAGATAAAGGTTTAGGATAAGAATTTAGAGTAAATTTAGAGTAGAAATCTAATAAGAAGGTTATTTTTAACAATTATCATTATCCTATTCATAATGATACAATTTTTAGCAACCTCAAAACACTTAGGGTAAGATTATGAAGATATTTTATTTACTTTACATTTTTTTGTTAATAATTTAGTAAAAAGAATTAAAATTTACTATTGAAGAAGAAATTAACTAACTAGATTATGAAGCGCTTATTGATGGATTTGATAATAAAAATTTAAATAAAGAGTTAGAAAATTAGTTTACTTTTAAGAGTGTTGATGAATTCAATATTAGCTCCAAGAATCCTTTTTCTGTTGGATTTTAGTTCAATGAATTAACAAACGAACTGATTGATTTTAATTATGAAATGATAAATGTTAACTTTAAAAACTTTTCATCAGAGGGATTTACAGGAAAGATATTTTAGATCAGCGATAAATCATCTAAAGTTGAAGACGAAGATATTAATTACAAGACTAAAAAATATTTGCCATACAGCAATAAAGTTTAAATAGAGTAGGATTTCCTAGATCTTGCAAATAATATTGATGAATTTTGCAAATAAAATGATAAACATATTATTTTATCAGACAAATAGAATTTAAAGGAGTTAGAGGCAATCAAAATAAGTGGCGAATAGAAAGTTAAAATGTTTAATAAAGTATATAAATAATTAAATATTTTGAAGGTACAAGAAGCAGGTTTATTTGATTTTGAGAAGGCATAGAAAGAAATCAAAAGTTAATATGAAAGTGAAGTTGAAAAAAAAAAAAAAATCAGTCTTGTCTATAAAAGTAAGGAAATTAATGAAATTATTAACTAAGCTAGTCATAAACTAAAAGTTGATCAATTTACTAATGAATCTTAAGACAATAAAAAAGCATAAAATTCTCTCTTATAAAGCATAGACTAATATCAATGGGCAGAAGAAGATAATTAAGATGTATCTTAATTCCACGATAAATTGCCTAAAGAAAGAATGGCTATTCAGTACCCTTTCGAGTTGGATAGTTTTTAAAAAAGGTCTATTTTGAGATTAGAAGAAGGTCAAAATGTCTTTGTTTGTGCTCACACTTCTGCAGGTAAAACAGTTGTTGCAGAATATTCTATTGCCCTTGCAAAAAAACACAAAAGAAAAGCCATATACACTTCACCTATTAAAGCTTTGTCAAATCAAAAGTATAGAGACTTCAAAAAAAAATTTGGAGATGATGTTGGTATTATAACTGGTGACGTCTCTTTAAATCCTACTGCAAGCTATCTAATTGTTACTACTGAAGTTCTTCGTAACATGCTTTATAAGGGGCATGACATAGTTAGAGATGTTGCATGGTAATTAATAAAAAAATTGATTATTAATTCATTTGACCAAATTTCTTTGATTTTGATATAAATTTTAATATTTTTGTTGAAAATTTCTCTCTTTTAAATCTCTTTTAAAGGATGCATTTAAATTATTTGAAATAGGGTTATTTTTGATGAAGTGCATTACGTAAATAATTAAGATAGAGGTGGTGTCTGGGAAGAAACAATCATTTTACTACCGGAATACATCGGATTAGTTATGTTAAGTGCAACAGTACATAACTATATGGATTTTGCTAATTGGGTTGGAAAAACAAAGCAAAGAAAAATTTATGTTGAAAAAACTTTGCACAGACCAGTTCCTTTGGAGCATTCTATTTATTATGATGGAAAGATATTTATTATTAAATCAGATAATGAAGGTTTTAACCAAGAAAACTATGAAAAGATAAATAAGTATATTAAAGAACAAGAAAGCAATAAGAAAAAGATTGTTAATGCCAAAGATAAATTAAAACAAGAGAAAAAAGATAAAGAAATTTATAAAAATACAAATCTTTCATAAAATGCCAAAGCAAAATAAAAGTTCATCTAAGAAATATTTATTAAATAAAGTAAAAAGACAAATTTAAGTGGTGGAAACGGACCACTTACAGAGGCTCAATAAGTCAAAAATGTATTAAAATATTGCCAAAAGAACGAGCTTTTACCTTGTGTGGTATTTGCTTTCAGTAAAAATATTATTAAGTAGCTCTCAGAAAGTTTAGGAAATCTCAACTTGATTAGCCATGAAGAATCAGTAATTATATTACATTTTCTTCAATTTTATTTTTAATATTTTTTGTTTGACCTAAAAGACACTTTATGAGCATTTTAATCAAAAATAAATCAATATTATCATAAATTCCCAAATTTAAATTTCAGTTTTTATTTTAATTTTTTAGATTTTCTAAACCTTTTTTAAGAAAGCTTAAATTTATTCTTACAATTTTGCTTTTTGCATTAAATATTTATTTAAAAATATTACTTCTTATATTAATATTATTAAAATAAATGAAAATTATTTTAGAATTTAAAATATTTAAACTAATTAATTTAAAGATCTTTTTGAATTTTTAACAGTTAAAGGAAATATTTAATTAAATCTTTTAATGAAGTAAATAATAATTTTAATAAATAATAGAAATAAATTGAAGAATTCTTTAACAAAGCTTCATAAAAACTGAAATCTAAAGATTTAGAAGTTCATTAAATTAGAACTTTGAAAGATTTGATGATGAGAGGTATTGCTGTCCATCATAGCGGTGTCATTCCTTTTATAAAAGAAATAGTAGAAATTCTGTTTTCTAAAGGTCTTATCAAAGTTTTGTTTGCTACTGAAACTTTTGCTATAGGTATCAATATGCCCACTAAGACAGGTAAGAATTATTTTAAAAAAATTAAATATATCATTTTTAAAATATGATAGTCATTTTCTATAGTTTGAAAAAATTTGATAGTTCTCAATATAGAATTTTAAACTCTTCTGAGTACACTTAAATGAGTGGCAGAGCTGGTCGTAGAGGTTTAGATTTGAAAGGAAATGTTATTATTTTAGTGACTGAGCCAAAAAGACTTCCAAGTAAAATGGAACTAACCTAAATACTTGATCACAAGGTGGAATAGATAGTTTTGAAAAAAAATCCTTTTTTTATGTTATTTTTTTATATATAAATAAATAGGGAGAAATGCTATCTTCTAAGTTTAAAATAACTTATGAGCTAATTATGAAGCTACTTTCTTCAAGAGAACTTGATGTAACAGAGATGATGAAAAAAAGTTATAGTGAAAATGATAAATATTCTTAATTGCCTTTAAATTTGAAGAGAATTCAAGAGATTTAGAAAGGATTAAAGGATATTTAGCAAATAGTATGCCCAATAAAACCTTTAACAATGCCTACTCTTCCAATAGAAGATTTTTACTAAATCACTTAGTAAATGCAATAGGCAAACAAAGCATATTGGTCTACCGAAACAAAATATCTCTAAGAGGAGTTTGCAATTCCAAGCTATTGCCAATTTATTGATGAAGACTATAATGATTATTTAGGTTTAATAGTCGAATTTATTAAGAAGGAAAAATATGAAAATTATTTTGTTGTGATGTTTGCCTACGAATTTTAAGACAAAATTGTATAGCCTAACTTTGAAAAGCTTGGAAGATCATGCTTTTTTACAGAAAATGATTACAAACCTTATCAAATGTAAGTTCAAAAAAAAGATTATATTTATGAACTAATTGAATTACCAGCTAGAATGATTTCTAAGATATTTGATGTTGGTTTCGATGCTAAAAAGACTGGTTTAAGGAATAAAGATTATTTAAAAAATTGTGTAATTAATTTGATTTACAAGATGAAAAATACTTATTAAGACTACAGAATGATTAGAAATGGCAAAGACCTAAAATATGTAAAAGGATAATAACATTTTATTAATGAAATGATAGCTTTTTTTCATCAAAAGAATTTTAAAAATAAAAAATTATTTAAAATAAATTTTTAATTTAAAATTTTCAAAATAAAAAATAATATTTTTTAACTATTTATAAAAACAAAAAGATAAAGAATAAACAAGAATTCTTAAAGGATTACAAATAAGTCGAAACTGAATCAAATTAAAATGATAAAGCAATATATGAATCTTTTCAAGATGGATATGAAAGATCATTATGTTTCACTTGCAATAAAAAAATCGAACACTTTAAGTTAATATCTCAAAAAAATGAACTTTAGATAGAATTTGATAATTTAATTAAGGTTTTAGATGAAGATGATTTAGCTTAACATAAAAACTTTTAAGCGTATTTTATAAAAAAAATAAATTTCTTCTATTGAAATATTAATTTAAAATTATAGGAGGCTAAATCTTTTGAAATAATTAAATTATTTTGATGAAGATGATCTTCCTTAGCTAAAGACAAGGTTTGCTAAAGAAATTGATAATATTTATGTATCTGAACTCATAGTTTAAGGAATTTTTGATGAACTTGATGAAGCAGAGGTAGTTGCTATTTTAATAGGATTCGTTACTCAATACAATAAAAAATATAATGAATCAGATTATGATCCCTCTGAAGATTATGAAAATCATGGATTTTAGTACTCACTTAATTTCTTTGATGCCTATACCAAAACTAAGGAAATTCTCAATAAAATAATTTAACTAGAAATTGATAATGAGGTAATTAGATTATTTTAATTTCAAAAAATATAAATTTATTTATGAGTTTAACTAATCATGAATAAATTCTAAACTAAAATTCTTATACTTATAAACTTAGATAATAATTGTTGGTAAAATTGAAGAGGCCTTATCTGAAATTTTTAGTCCATAATTAATGAAAGTAGCTTATGAATGGGTTCGAGGTAAAGATTTTCTCCAAGTTTCTTTGTTAACAGATGTTGAAGAAGGAAGTATTATTTTAAGCATGTTGAGACTTGATAATTTATTGAAGAACATTAAAAATAGTGCTTAGTACATTGGTAATAACTCTCTATCTCTTAAAATCGAAAGCTGCCAAGAAAAAATGAGAAGAGATATTATCTTTGCCCAAAGTCTTTATTTAGAAGAAGACAATTAATGAATAATATTATTTGAAATAAATTTAATTAGTAATATTTTATTATTTTTAAAATTAAAAATATTTTATTACTGTATGCATAACAAGAATAATATTTTATTGCAGTAAAAATTATAAGTTCTTACTTTTAATATTTAAATTGATTTAATATAATAAATATTTTTTTATTTTATAAGTGTATTTCTCTCAATAACCCTTTTAAAGTACTTTTATTTTTTAAAATATGAAAATAAAGTTAGAGAAAGTTAATGAGAATTTAATTTTTATAAATTAATGTGGCATATGGTAATTTTAGTTAGATGATAAAAATAATTTAGATGTGGAAAACCGAAAAATTATCATTAACACATATTTTAAACTGTATTATTTTCAATTTTTAAAAAAAATTCTTGAATATTTTAAACATATACTATTTTTAGTTTTTGAAATAATAATTAGAGGTGTTTTGGCATGATCCACTGGATCGGAATAAAATAAAATTCGATACTGAAAATAAAAATTTTTTCTATTTCATTTTCTATTTTTTTTATATAATTACTGTATACTCTCTATATTAAGATCCCCCCCCCCCATATAATATGATCCCCCCTACTATAAGACAGTTAAAAGTTTTAAATTTTATACTTTTTTAATTTGTTTTTAATAAAATAATTTAACAGTATTATTTAGTTTAATCTTTTTAATTCTAATTTATGAAATTTAAATAAAATATTTTTTATCATACTTTACTAATTAATTTAATTTGAAGTAGAATAAACTCATAATTAATATATAATGTTATAATGATAATATTTGAGTGATTATAGTATCTAATAGATGCTATATGAAGCATTAAAATAAAAAAACTAATACTTTTAAAGATAATTTTAATAGATGCGTTTTTCTGATAAAAAATAGTTTGATTGAAATGAACTTTTTATTTACTTAAATAAGATACAAACTCTTTTGAGAATAAATCAATTAGAAGATAACAAATTTTATTTAATTAATAAATATTCCACTTTTTTAGAATAAATATTACTTAATTGACAATTTATTAAGAAATGACTGAGTGCGATTAATAGCTTGTTGAAGAATTTGAAAAGATCATTTCATTAAATACTGCAAATAAACTTGAATAAGTTCATTCTAAGAGCATTTTGGGTATTTAGAAAGGAATAATATAATTTAATGTTGAAGATAAAGGTTTGGGATAAGGATTTATAGTAAATTTAGAGTAGAAATCAAATAAGAAGATTATTTTTAACAATTCCCATTATAATCCTATTCATAATGATACATTTTTTAGCAACCTCCAAACACTTAGAGTAACATTATGAAGATAGATATATTATTTATTAAACATGCTTTTATTAATAATTTAGTAAAAAGAATTAAAATTTATCATTGAAGAAGAAATTAACTAACTAGATTACGAAGTGCTTATTGATGGATTTGATAATAAAAATTTAAATAAAGAGTTAGAAAATTAGTTTACTTCTAAGAGTATTGATGAGTTTAATATTAACTCCAAGAATCCTTTTTCTGTTGGATTTTAGTTCAATGAATTGACAAACGAACTGGTTGATTTTAATAATGAGATGATAAATGTCAACTTTAAAAACTTTTCTTCAGAGGGATATACAGGAAAAATATTTTAGATTGGCGATAAATCATCGAACGTTGAAGACGAAGATTTAAGTTACAAAACTAAAAAATACCTACCATATAGCAACAAAGAATAAATAGAGTAGGATTTCCTAGATCTTGCAAAGAATATTGATGAATTTTGCAAATAAAATGAAAAAACCACTGAAACTAAAAAAAATTCTAGATCAGACAAAGGCAAAAATGAAAATTTAATGGAGTCAGAGGCAAACAAAATAATTGGTGAATAGAGAGTTAAAATATTTAACAAAGTATAAGATTAGCTAAATATTTAGAAGGTGCAAGAAGAAGATTTATTTGATTTTGACAAGGCATAGAAAGAAATCAAAAGTTACTATGAAAGTGAAGTTGAGAAAAAAAATAAAATCAGTCTTGTCTTTAAAGGAAAGGAAGTTAATGAAATTATCGAATAAGCTAGTCAGAGACTATAAATTGATGAACTTGTCAATGAACCTTAAAACAATGAAGAAGATTAATATTCTCTCTTATCAAGCACAAATCCATAGAAGTTCTTTAAAGAAGCAAAGTAAGTATTGTTAAAAATTAATAAGATTAAAAGAAATTATATTAAAAAAATAGATTGAAGGAAACTGAACAAGTAGAAGCGCTCTTTTAAAAGAATCAATGGGCTGTAGAAGACAATTAAGATGTCTCTATATTCTAAGATAAATTACCTAAAGAAAGAATGGCTATTCAGTACCCATTCGAATTGGATAATTTCTAAAAAAGGTCTATTTTGAGATTAGAAGAAGGTCAAAATGTCTTTGTTTGTGCTCACACTTCTGCAGGTAAAACAGTTGTTGCCGAATATTCCATAGCCCTTGCAAAAAAGCTCAAAAGAAAAGCCATCTATACTTCACCTATTAAAGCTTTGTCAAATCAAAAGTATAGAGACTTCAAAGAAAAATTTGGAGATGATGTTGGTATTATAACTGGTGACGTCTCTTTAAATCCTACTGCAAGCTGTCTAATTGTTACTACAGAAGTTCTTCGTAACATGCTTTATAAGGGACATGACATAGTTAGAGATATCGCATGGTAAATAAAAAATGATTTATTATTTAATTTGATAAAATTTCTTTGATTTTCATTTAAATTTTAATAAATTTTCTCTCTTTTTAAGGATGTAATTAAATTATTAAAAATAGGGTTATTTTTGATGAAGTGCATTACGTAAATAATTAAGATAGAGGTGTTGTCTGGGAAGAAACAATCATTTTACTACCTGAATACATCGGATTAGTTATGTTGAGTGCAACAGTACCTAACCATATGGATTTTGCTAATTGGGTTGGAAGAACAAAGCAAAGAAAAATTTATGTTCAAAAAACTTTGCACAGACCTGTTCCTTTGGAGCATTCTATTTATTATGATGGAAAGATATTTATTATTAAATCAGCTAATGAAGGTTTTAACCAAGAAAACTATTAAAAGATAAATAAGTATATTAAAGAACAAGAAAGCAATAAGAAAAACATTGTTAATGCCAAAGATAAATTAAAACAAGAGAAAAAAGATAAAGAAATTTATAAAAATACAAATCTTTCCTAAAATGCCAAAGCAAAATAAAAGTTCATCTAAGAAAAATTTATTAAATAAAGTAATAAGACAAATAAAAGTGGTGGCAACGGACCACTTACAGAGGCTTAATAAGTCAAAAATGTATTAAAATATTGCCAAAAGAACGAGCTTTTACCTTGTGTGGTATTTGCTTTCAGTAAAAATATTATTAAGTAGCTCTCAGAAAGTTTAGGAAATCTCAACTTGATAAGTCATGAAGAATCAGTAATTATCTTTCATTTCCTAATTTTTTTAATAGACACAAAAAATGCTTTTTGAGCATTTTAATCAAAAATAAATCAAGAAATGTTTATTTATTTATTCATTTTTAAAAAATAATAAAAAATCAAAAAGAAATTATTTTTAATTCAATATATTCGGTTCATGAAATAACTCAATAATCTCACAAATTTCCATTTTATAGTTAATTTTTTAGGCTTTCTCAACCTTAAATTTATTCCTACTAATAAGCTTTTTTTAATTTAATTTATTGATAAATATTTTTTCTAATATCATTTATAAAAATGAAAATTATTTGATAAGATTTTTTTGAATATTTTCATCAATTAAACTAAATATTAAAATAAATTTTTTAAATAATAATTTTTTAATAAATAATAGAAATAAATTGAAGAATTCTTTAATAAAGCTTCACACAAACTAAAACCTAGAGATTTAGAAGTTCATTAAATTAGAACTTTGAAAGATTTAATGATGAGAGGTATTGCTGTGCATCATAGTGATGTCATTCCTTTTATAAAAGAAGTAGTAGAAATTCTGTTTTCTAAAGGTCTTATCAAAGTTTTGTTTGCTACTGAAACTTTTGCTATGGGTATCAATATGCCTACCAAGACAGGTAAGAATTTTTTTTATAAAATTAATTAAATATATCATTTTTTAAATATGATAGTAATTTTCTATAGTGTGAAAAAATTTGATAGTTCTCAATTGAGAATTTTAAACTCCTCTGAGTACACTTAAATGAGTGGCAGAGCTGGTCGTAGAGGTTTAGATTTGAAAGGAAATGTTATTATTTTAGTGACTGAGCCAAAAAGACTTCCAAGTAAAATGGAACTAACCAAAATACTTGATCACAAGGTGGAATAGATAGTTTTGAAAAAAAATCCTTTTTTTATGTTATTTTTTTATATTTAAATAGGGAGAAATGCTATCTTCTAAGTTTAAAATAACTTATGAGCTAATTATGAAGCTACTTTCTTCAAGAGAACTTGATGTAACAGAGATGATGAAAAAAAGTTATAGTGAAAATGATAAATATTCTTAATTGCCTTTTAATTTGAAGAGAACTCATGAGGTTTAGAAAAAATTAAAGGATATTTAGTAAATAGTATGCCCAATAAAACCTTTAACAATGCCTACTCTTCCAATAGAAGATTTTTACTAAATCACTTAGTAAATGCAATAGGCAAACAAAGCATATTGGTCTACCGAAACAAAATATCTCTAAGAGGAGTTTGCAATTCCAAGCTATTGCCAATTTATTGATGAAGACTATAATGATTATTTAGGTTTAATAGTCGAATTTATTAAGAAGGAAAAATATGAAAATTATTTTGTTGTGATGTTTGCCTACGAAATTTAAGACAAAATTGTATAGCCTAACTTTGAAAAGCTTGGAAGATCATGCTTTTTCACAGAAAATAATTACAAACCTTATCACATTTAAGTTCAAAAAAAAGATTATATTTATGAACTAATTGAATTACCAGCTAGAATGATTTCTAAGATATTTGATGTTGGTTTCGATGCTAAAAAGACTGGTTTAAGGAATAAAGATTATTTAACAAATTGTGCAAATAATTTGATTTACAAGATGAAAAATACTTATTAAGACTACAGAATGATTAGAAATGGCAAAGACCTAAAATATGTAAAAGAATAATAACATTTTATTAATAAAATAATAGCTTTTGTTCATCAAAATAATATTTTTTTTAACTATTTTAAAACAAAAAGATAAAGAATAAACAAGAATTCTTAAAGGATTACAAATAAGTCGAAACTGAATCAAATTAAAATGATAAAGCAATATATGAATCTATTCAAGATGGATATGAAAGATCGTTATGCTTCACTTGCAATAAAAAAATCGAACACTTTAAGTTAATATCTCAAAAAAATGAACTTTAGACAGAGTTTGATAATTTAATTAAGGTTTTAGATGAAGATGATTTAGCTTAACATAAAAACTTTTAAGCGTATTTTATAAAAAAATAAATTTCTTCAATTAATTGAAATACTAATTTAAAATAATAGGAGATTAAATCTTTTGAAGTAATTAAATTATATTGATGAAGACAATCTTCCTTAGATAAAGGCAAGGCTTGCTAAAGAAATTGAAAATATTTATGTTTCTGAACTTATAGTTTAAGGAATTTTTGATGAACTTGATGAAGCAGAGATAGCTGCTATTTTAATAGGATTCGTTACTCAATGCAAGAAAAAAGAAAATGAATCGGATTATGATCCCTCTAAAGATTATGAAAATCATGGATTTTAGTACTCAATTAATTTCTTTGATGCCTATACCAAAACTAAGGAAATTCTCCTTTAAGTAATTTAACTAGAAATTGATAATGAGGTAATTAAATTATTTTAATTTCAAAAAATATAAATTTATATATGAGTTTAATTGATTATGAATTAATTAATCTTCTCTTAAAACTTATACTTATAAACTCAGATAATAATTGTTGGTAAAATTGAAGAGGCCTTATCTGAAATTTTTAGTCCAGAATTAATGAAAGTAGCTTATGAATGGATTCAAGGAAAAGATTTTCTCCATGTTACTTTATTAACAGATGTCCAAGAAGGAACTATTATTAGAAGCATGTTGAGACTTGATAATTTGATGAAGAACATTAAAAATAGTGCTTAATACATTGGTAATAACTCTCTATCGCTTAAAATAGAAAGCTGCTAAGAAAAAATGAGAAGAGATATAATCTTTGCACAAAGTCTTTATTTAGAAGAAGACAATTAATGATATTAAATTTAATAAATGCTTTAATATTTTTAAAATTAAAAATATTTTTATTATTGTATGCATAGTAATAATACTGTTCTATTGCAGCAAAAATTATAAGTTCTTTTTCCTTTTTTATAAATTAGATATTTTAGGTTCAATTTTTGATAAATATAAAAATAAAATTGAGGACACATTAGTTTCTTATCCTATATATAATCTTTATTAAATATTTTTTTTTGTTTTAAATTATTTTTCATTTATTTTAGAAAAGGTCCTATCATAGAATAAAATAATGGAAAGTGTTATTTCATATTTTTAAATTTTGTTTATTTGATAAAAATATTTTTGATAGTGTGCCTAATAAACAAATAGCTTAATACTAAAAATAATAAATCATATTAAATTCTTATTGAATGAAATTTTTAATTTTATAAGAATGCAAAAAGAATTAATTTAGCAAAAATTTTTATTCAATTAAATGATGTTTAGCTAGCTAAATCCCTTTAATAACACTAGCTAGTTAATAAAACTAAAGAAAGTTTTTATTAATTATGTAGAGATGCAATTTCTTTTTGTAAAATACATAAAAATTATGATTGTCTTTAAAAGTTTTAATTGACTTTAAAATCAGTAATTAAAAGTAGTTTATACAAAAATAACCAATTAAAGCTAAGTAGAATTAAAAAATATTGATTAAATAGGTTTCCATTATAAATTTTGAAAATCTACAAAAACAGTTATGTAAAATCTTTAAAATGAAAGAACCGAATACTCTATTAGCCCTATTTCATCTAGAAAGAATTATTTTGAATCATTTAAAAATGCTACATCATAATTTAGCAAAAAATAAATTACAAATGATGATTATGAAAATAATAAAATTAATGATGAAAAACCTAACTAGGTTTAAGAATCTCCTACATAAAAAAGCTAAGACAATTAAAACTTAGAGCAAATAAAACAAAAAGTATGAGATTATTTATAATTAATTTACTTCAATATGAATTTTAAAGCCTATAAAATACACTTAAACCATTATTTTTATGAATTAATTGAAATCATTTTAGAAAGAAATACCATTAGTGGCAAAGAATAAATAAAGCTAAGAGGAATCAAAATAGCTTTAAGAACATTTATAGGGCATATAAGACAGAAGCTTACTGATTTAGAAGAGAAAAAAAAATTAAGTTGATTAAAACTTCATGAATCTAACTAAGGAGAGCATAAATTAGATGGTTAATAAAAGAGAAAGACAATAAAAAGTTCAAAACATAAACATAGTTGATATTAATAATCCAGAGCATTAAGAAGTAATTCAAATATTAATTAATATGTTTATAATCACTAAAATTTTATTTTAATTATTCTACTTTATTTTACAGATTGTGATCTAGATCCTTAAGGATAAGAATAAAACAATAAAAGACATAACATTTTTAAAGAAAGCCATTTCAGATCTTCCTTTGTTTTAAAAGAATCCAGATCTGCTCAATAAGCATAATATAACTTAGATCTTATTGAACGAATTCAGTTATGAGAAATTTTCAAAGCACTAAGTAATATTCAACTTTGGTAAATTATTTTTTATTTTAAATCACATAAAAATCATATCCTAATTTAATATTTACTCATTAAATTTAGTAAATAAAACCTCAATTAGTTTGCTAATTTGAATATAATTAAGTATTTTAGTTTTCTTTCTTCAAATTTAAAACCTAATAAAAACAGAATGCTTATTTATGGATTTAATACTTATTCTTAAATAAATATAATTTCTAAATAAATGAATAATAACATTAAATCACGATGAATAGAATAAATTTATTTTTTAATGTAGTTTTTAAAAAATATTTTTTATGTAAATCATTATAAAACCAATAAACAAATTTAATATCTTTATCTATTTGTTTTTTTAATAAAAATAGGTGACTTTGGATATACTTATTATATCGTGTTGAAGGGTAGTTATTTATTTGAGTTTTTATAGAATTTAAATATATTTTTAAATAAAAAGGAGCTGTTTATTTGATGATTCCTAAACTGACTAAAGATGATAATAGAGAAGAAAAAGATAAAAACTAGAAAAAAAAGTAATCAACTTTATATTTAAAATTAGAATGAAACAAATTTTACTAAAAAGAGTAGAGGTATCAGCTTAAAGTTTATAAAAATCTACTTCAAATAATTCTGTTGGATCCAAAACACCAATTACAGAATCAAGCAATTTATAGAGATAAAACAGCCGTTTAAACAGAATTTCATCTTAAATCTTTGAATCAGAAAAATAAAAAGAAAGCAAATGGAAAATAATTAAATAAAACTTGGATAAGTTAAACAATAGTGATGGTGAGTCTTTTTCCAACAATATCGCAGATCAAGAAGAAGAGGAAGAAGATGAATCTGATTACTTAAAGAGAGTATACGATGACATGAATTTGATCAAAACATTTGTTGCAGGAGAGGCCTTTGGTGAAATAGCACTAATGACTAAATAAAGAAGGTAAATTAAATATATTTATTTATTTTAGATGTTAAAATTTAATTATTATTGAATAAAGGCTAAAAAAAAAATAAAATAATTAAAAAATGAATGAATAAATAAATAATTTTTTTTGGTTATTATCTTAAAATTTTATTTATAATTTTTGAATATTTTTTAATTATGATCAATTTATTGGTTTTATTTTGATTTCTTTTGCTACCAAAATTTTATTGATAAAGGAAATAAATAACTCTTTTGATTATTTTTATTTGTAAAAATGGATGAGTGTACAAAATATTAATAACTGTATTTATTTTTTTAAATATTTTGTAAAATGTTTAAATAATATTAGGACAGGCACGATGGTTTGCAAAGAGGAGACACATTTAATGACTTTAACTAAAAATGGATTTGATAAAATACTAGGGCAATACCATGAATAAATTAAAATACAAAGATTAGGATTCTTAAAATCATACAGTTTTTTCAATAATATACCAAATTCAAACCTTCTTTCTATACTTTTGGATATAAAAATAGAAGTTTATCCGAAAAAGGCTCTTCTTTTTGCGCAAGGGGATGAAGTAAAGAATATATTTTTTATAAAAAGAGGTGAAATTTAAATTTCAAGATTAATTTAAAGCGATTAGTCTGCTAATACTTAAAATGAGGGAGAAGCTAATTCTTATGAAAAGAAAAACATTTCAAGCAGTAACAAAATTATAGATAAATACAATCATACTAACAAATAAAAGAATGTAAAGTAACATCAAAGATAGATTTTAATTACTAGTTAAGGAACTAATTCTCATATTGGTTGTGAAGATTTAGCAGATCATATATTAAATAACTTGCAATCTAATAATTTATCTAAGTTCATTTTTTATCATTCCAACGTGGCTGAAGTAATATCATAAGAAGTCGAAGTATACAAACTTAATAAACATGTAAATAATATTTAATCATTTAAAAATTTAAACAAAAACACTGATTCATTTTTTTAAAATTATAAAAAATTTACAATAAATAAAATTTAAATAAACAGAAAAGCAAACATTTTATTGTCTAAATTAATTTTAATTTAATAAATCAATCTAATTTTGGTTGAATAATTCTATCAACTTCAATTAATAAAAGTTAAAAAATATTTAATAAATTTTAAATATTTTTTATTTAAAATTTTCCTTTTTTAAGTTTCATTTCACCAATTTCCAGTTTTAGTAATTTTTTGGACAATATTTAAATATATATTCAAATTAGAATCATATTTGTGTATTAATAAATTTAAACTTTACTTAATAATTTAAAAAATATTGTCATTTAAAAAAATGAGATTTATTTATTTATTGATGCAATTTTTTATGATTTTATTTTTTCAACTTCTAAAATTTTATATTTTTAAAACAAAATACTTATTTTTTACTTTTAAATTAATTTAGATATTTTTGAATAATTTGTACATGTTTAAATCAGTTGAAGAGTTTGCTAAGTAAATCAAGGAGAAGAACTAATATTACAATTAGCGTTTATAAAAAGTTATTTAAGCAAAAGGTTCTTCAGAAGAAAAAATGAAAAATTTAATTTAACAGATTGACAGCAAAAAGATTGATAATGAATTAGAGCTTTAAAACACCAGTAGGAGTGCTCTAAACTTATCATATTAAAATGGTAGCTAAGATAACCTACGTTCTCCAGCTTCATATTAATCTAGTTAATTAACTAGCTATTATTTTAGTGATTTTCCTTTAGAAGATAATGTATCAGAAAGGTCGTTAAGCTTATCACAAAGATAAGCTTTAGATGAAAAACCTCTTTCGTTAAAGAATAATTTTGATTCTATCATTCAGAAAGATTTCTCGCCTAATAATACTTTGGCATACAATAGATTATAAAGGAAAATAAACTCATATGATGGAAACGATTTTGGTCAGTTTTTTCCTAGTTAAAGACCAAATAGCTAATTTTCTCAAAAAAGAAGAAACCAGGAAAATAATTTTTATTTGGAATCAAAGTAAGCTATGAGGAATAGAATGAGCTCAGTTTAAAACTCAAGACCATCTAAACTTGGAATAAAAGATAGTATTATTCAAGCAAATTATCAATTAATATAAAGGCAACAAAGCAATGTAATTTATTTTTCTAATTTATTTATTAATTAATTTTTATTCAATTTACTAAAAATAAAAAAAGAAAGAGGTTAATATTCATGATTAACTATATTCTTTGTATCCAAATAAAGAGTCTATTTTTCTACCAGAGATTGAAAACAGAGATGGAACTAGATCAAATAGATCGAGCTTGTATGAAACTTCTTCAGTTAAATAAAGTCCATATGTTTCAAATGCTAAAATTTTTAATAATCTATAAAATTATAAAATTCAAAATTAACAAGCTCACACATGTAAATCTCGGAATAATTCACAATTTAACTTGCAAAATGAATTTTATTAAGTGAATAACGCTCAATACAGAGGCTCAGAGTATTAAGGTAAAATGAACTCTAGCTTTAATACTAATTCTTAAGCTAGCTCTTTTTCAAAGTATGTGCTCAACTTCTAAAAACTGCAAGAGTAAAATAATTAATTAGACTGTAATAATATGTGTCATACAGATCGAACAGGATATACTAGCTCTAATTAAATACAGATATCTCCAAGAGAAAATAATAGCAGCAACCAATATATTATGAATAGCACAAATTAACATAATATATTTGAAGGAAAAAAGGTGTAAAAAATATCATTAAACAGTAATGAGAATAATTTTCTACCTAAAAATGAAAATGAGGATACCTAATTAACTTTAAGGAAATCAGACAAAATACCCGCCGATATTTAGTTAGCACTAAATCAAGAAAACCCTCTACTAAAATCTCAAAAAGTGATCTAATTGATGAAAAAATAAAGTAGATAAAAATTTAAAATTAATTTGGATTTGGAGTTAAAAATTAAAAGATAATTTTTATAAAATGCCAAAAATTTTTAACATGGAGAAATTAAAGCTTCAAGCAGTATGTTTCCTTCAAAATAAATAGAAAATATTAAAGACCTTAATGTAAATTTATTTGGGGAATAGTCTAAATATCATCATATTATACTGATGTAATAACTCTGTTAACTGGAAATAAGAAATCCCTAGGTGGTTTGTTAGAATAATGGTTATGAATATTAATAAGAAGATTAAAAATATTTTTAAAGTGAAAAGGAGCAATCTTTTTTGAATTATAAAAAAAGTGCATAAATACCTGCATAATTAGACAGAGCATAAACAAATTTAATCAAATACTTTTAAGAAAAACAAAAAGACCAAGGAAAGCTTAAAGAGTAAAGTCAGACTACTTCTTAATAGCATTCGTTACAATCTTCACCTATTAAACCAAAGACCTTTCAAATTTAGGAAAATGCAATATATAATGGCTCCTAAATTCCATAAGATAATTAATAAAGAGCCAAAAGTAGAGACCCTTCTCCTTAGTTACCTTAAATTTTTTCAAGCTTTTCTACACCTGTGTTATTACCTGTATCTCATAGCTACTAAAGTAGCAAAATTCATTTACTAAATAACAAATTTATTGAAAAAAAAGAATAATCAAGAGAGTGTAAAAACATACATACAAATATTGCAAGGTAAAATAAAAAACAGCTTAAAGGGTTAGTTAAAATGATACCTCATATTAAGTCAGCTTCTTTGAAAAAAATAAAAAATATTAGAAATAAATTGGAAAGTGATTAACTTACTTATTTAAACACTACACCTTTAAATAAATCTCAATAAATCAAGTGAAGATAACTAACTAGATTAATTTTCAATCTATAATTTACATGATTGCTAAAAAATATATTAAAAACTTTATATTATACTTTATAGATTACAATAGTTCCATATATTAATTATTAAAATGTATTTAAATTATTAAACTATTCTAACAAACATCAAACCGTAGTTTGTTTATCCTCATATCATATCTCGTAGGAAAATGGATTTTATGAATAATTTTTTGAAGAGATAGTTAGAAAAAATGAATGAATCAACTAGTAAGATACTCTTAAAAAATAAATTTTACATTTAACATATAGAAGTAAATGTAGCTATTAATCTTTTATTAAAAAAAATAAAGTTAATTATAACTTAATAATTTTTATTTAATTTTCCTCTTTTTATTAGCTTTATTTCGTAAATTTTAATCTTTTTCTGAAATAATTGTTGATCAAATTTTTGAACTACATTTGATCTTTATAATATTTTAAAGGATAACTTCACAAATTAAATTGACTTCCCTCTTAATATATTAAAGAATTAAAAATTTATTCTAATTTTTATATGATAAATTTTCTAATATAAATACTTTATTAATTCTGAAAATTAAAGTAATAAAAACTACCATAAAAGGTTAGATTTTTTTCTTTTATTTTTGAAAACATAACCTAAAACTCCTTTTTTTGATATTATTTTTCTATTAGCCTTAAAATAAAATTTCTTAATATATTTATGAAGATTTAGAGTATTTAAAGTTCTTTTTTTATTATTTAAGTGCTAATTTTATAATTTATTATAATTAGAAAATATTTACAAAAAAATGTTTAATACATAATTAATATTTTAGATAATAAAATAGTTTAGTTTATATATATTTTTTTTTAAGTGTTAACAAACTATATTATAATTTATAGAAGTATTTTAATTTACTAACAAATTAAATTTTACAAAATTTATGTTATTTATATCAGCATTTACATTTCTTTAATTTTGATTCATTTAATCATATTTCTAAATTTAGAAGGTGAATTATGCTATCCAATCTGATTTGAGTTTTATTAATCTTCTTGGGTTAGGTTAGGGCTTGACTGTGGATTATCAAACTTAATTCTAGTAAATGAATAGTTCAACTTTTGTTTAGGAGTATTTTTTGCAACTTTTCTCATCTACAAATTACCAAAATTAAATGCTACATTTATAGTTCCTAATAATTTAACTTCTGCTTTTTATTTGATTTTATCCAAAATTTTAGATAGGTTATTATGAGGGAAATAAAATTCGTAGTCTTTTTTTGACTCAAAGTTCATCACTCCAAAAAATTAATAGTAATGATGAGTTTTATTATTAACAATTTCTTATGCAGACTTCTACAAAAAAGAGTCTTACTTTTCTATATCTTTTCCTTTTTCTCCACTTTTAGAAGAATAAATAGATTTACTTTCATCAATATCTTTTGAGTCTTTTATTTTATTTTTAAAAAGTTTATTTATTATTATTGATTTTCAATTTGAATTAAATAGATTTCTAATTTAATTTATGCATCTTAAAATTAAAATTAATTGAAAATATTATTTTCTAAATATTTACTTCCATTTATGGATTTTTATTAAATAATTTTAAATTGAATTTAGCTAATTAATTAAAAATCTATCTATGATTTTCAATTCAATTTTTTTTAATTAATTTAAAATAAATTTACTTGTGTTCTTATTTTAAGATCGGCTTTTTTGAGAACCATAACTTGGTTGGTAGACATCATTTACATCAACATTTAGCAAATTTGAATTATTTTGCTTTTATTATTCTTTTGGAGTTGTTTTTTCTTAAAGATTTTAAAGGTTTGTATTGGCATTATTGAGGTAGAATATTATATTTTAAGGAGCTAGATTAGGGCTAGATACAATTTGAGTGGTCTAATTTGAAGGAGCTTACTGTACTCCTAAATTTAAATTTGATCCTGTTTAAGGCTATAAATCTGTCATACTGCTGAGCGATTTTTAGCTATAAGTATGTGAATTTTGTTGTTAGCTTTATTCTCTATAAATCTATAATTATTTCTGATAGGTATTCTATGAGCTAAACCTTCTCTATTATTATTACTACATTTATTAAATCGTTCCTTGTTAATGAGAATGTTAATGCTAAGATATTTATTTTTAAAAATATTATATTTCTTATTGAGGTTAAAATTGTACAGTTCTTGCAATTTAAGGTGTATTTATACTAGGATTAGCATTATTTGATGTATTTTAATTATTATTTTAAGGCTACTTTTGCTAGCTATTTGATTTTAGACTATTCATGTGTTCTATCTATAACGCAAAATTATTGTTTATGTTACTTTTAACTTCTTCTAAGTCTCGATCTAAATCAACATCTTCCTCCTCTGATTCATCAGAAAGAAGAATTTCATGTGATTCTCCGCCTATTCTCAGTTTTATAATAGGTGTCTTAGAAAAAAACTCTTGGTCAGTCTCATTCATGCAATCTTCGAAATACTCTAAAAAGTCCGGTCTTTGTTCAGCAACTATCTCTATCCTGATTTTACGAACAATAAATCTGATATCTTATTTTATTTTTAGACTATTCAGCTTAAGCCTTTTTCTTTAGTGATTACTTTCTCTTTATTAAAAGAAACTATAATTGTTTTTCTTTAGCAAAAATTCACGGTCTAAGCATAAGTGAATCAAGGGACAATCTAATATTGAATGAGTAAATTAATTGCAACTCAGACACATTTAATCTATTTAGTTTCCGTATAATAGTAAATTATCTCTCAGCTTACAGAAATTCTCCTTAAATAAAAATATTTTTAATTAGCAAAAATTAATTCTAAATGAATTAAAAAATTAAACAAATCTAATTTTAATGACCAAATATAGCAAAAAAAATGTAGTTAGTTACATAATCATTCTAATAATCTTTTAGAAGTGAAACTATATCTTGATTATTCAGAGAAACATAATTGCAACTTGAAGTAGCTTAACATGAAAATTATCTTGATTAGTTTGTAAAAAATTCACTATGTCCAAAGAAGCTACCTGTCTTTAATTAGATATAAAATTTATAAGTTAATTTACCAAAAAAAAAAAAATCTAATCTTACTCCTATTTTTGTGAGAATAAATTTTTTTTCTTTTTCTCCATCCAATTACTAAGTTACATAAAATTCTACTTCTCCTTTGAGCAAAAAGATTATCTTTGAATCATTTTATCCTTGCTTAAATATACACTCTCCAGGCCCAACACTTTCCTCACGCATTTTGAGTGATAATGCATTGATAAATTTTTCAGTAAAATGAAAACGAAAAAGCTTACATGAATGAAGTATTTTACCATAAAATTCCATAAAAACATCGTTTTAAATGTTTTCAGGTACTTTTTCAAGTATCTAAGAAGCTTTATGTGATCCTTCTTACTCTTACTGGTTTTAGTATTCTAATATTTTGAATACCTTTAGTTAAACATTTCTACTTATATTCCTATTTCTCATGTACATGCTTATGTCAAATTTTATTTATCTTTTTAAATATATTTTACAAAAAAAATTATTTAATTATGTTGAATCCTCTAATTTAATTAGCCTTGAATCTTCAAAAAAAATTTTCTAAAAAAATTTAGTTAATTTTTTCAAGAAATATAAATTTTAACTAAAAATAGCAATTTACATGAAATTGAGGGGTTATAGTAATATTTCAAAAATTTTTAAACAAAAATAATTTATGAAATAAAAAAAAATAATTTTTAAATACTTAAATGCTGCTTCTTTTAATGCTATTTCTCTCACAATAGATCCTATAGTATTAATAGCATAACCAAAGACTCCACAGCAAATAACTGTAATAAAAACGACAAAAATTTTTTCAATATTAGTATTTGGGGTGATATCTCCATATCCTACAGTATTCATAGTTATAATAGCCCAGTAAAGACTGTTAACATATCGCACAATCCAATCTTCATCTTATAAGCCTTTAACTTAAAGCCATGTATTCATCTCACCTTCTTGTATTTGAATTTATGCAACTAAATGAAAAACACAACCACAAAAATGAGCTATAACTACGACAAGCAATCCTAACTTAATTAGCTCAAAGAGAGTTTAAAATCTTTATGATATTTAGAAATGATCATCTAAAAAATCTATCAAATTTGTCATTTACTATATGTGTAAAAATTAAATAAAATCTAACCACATGCTATCTATTGATTGATTGGCAAGGATACTACTTGTGGCTGACAAATCAATCCAAAATTTCCATTTTAAATAAGATTTAATAATTTATTTACGGTTCATTACAATTTAACCTTCTTAATAATAACCAGTGTTGAACTTCAATAAAATTTCAATGCTAAAGACAACAGCAGGCAATATTCTTAAAAAATACATCCAAAATCCAGATTTCAATTTAAGCTAGAATCCTGCTTTCATAGGAATAAAGAATAACTAAATTAATAAAATAACAAGGACTAATAGATGCCAAATAACGACAACAAAGGATGAAGGAGAAAAAGTTTATATTTTAGAAAAGATTTTATCAATAGAAACTTAATTAGATTAATCTTCATTTTTAATATAATAAGAAAAATCGTCTATCAGCTTAAAATGCCAATATTTTAATGATAAAAACTACTTAAAATTGATTTTCGATCTCATTTTCCTCTTAAATCTTGTAATATAAAATAAAACATTTAAAAAATTTGGCTTCTTTTTTGTATCTTCCTCTAGAGAGGGTTTATTAGCAATAGACTTAAAATCGTTAGAAAAATCTCTTTTATCCAAATTCTTCTAAGCTTTCTTTTATCAATAAAAAAATATTCTTAAAAATGAGCGATTAATTCATACAAAAAATAGTTAACAATTATATCAAAATATTTTAAAAAATTAACCATTAGATTAAATATATATTTTCATAATTAATTATCAATAATTTTGTCAAATTTTTAAGTAATTGAAGTAAAAAAATTATTTTCTACGTAAATAAATAATCTTACATTTAGCTCGATAATCATATCTTCATTGAAATGGGATTATTCAAATATTGAATTTTTTTAAGTTTTTTTATCTGTGTTCTAAGAAGAATTATCATCATCACTTTATCTTTGTTAAATAAGTAAGCGTATGTTAATGTTAAAAATAGTTTAAATAAATATATATCAAATGTTAAAAATAGTTTAAATAAATATATATATCAAATGTTAAAAATAGTTTAAATAAATATATATCAATTTACTTATTTTAATTATTTTTTTAACTTTCACACTCATCTTCAGAATCTGAGTCATTGCAATAATTTTTGCCTTTTTGAGTTTTTTAAGCTCTTTTTATATTTTCATAGCACATAGCTTTTATGCTTGGAGAACATTAAAGCTCAATCGACGGATGCTTTTTGGAGTTATCGCTTTCTTTTTTATGGATTTTCATATTAAGATCTTCTGAATTTAATATCTCTGAAATCTTATCGGAAAAGTTGAAAGGGTTTGAGTTTAGTTCTATTTAGAAAAAAATAAATTGTGTTATTTAACTTGAAATGGTGAATAATAATAATAAGTTTCTAATATAAGTTTATTTGATTCTTTTGAGCATCTAATCAAGATAAATGAAGAAACTCCTCACCTTTACTATAGTTTTATGATAATTATTTTTATGTAGTTTACTTTCTATATATATTTTCTTCGTATTCATTGTATTCTAAATTTTCTTAATAATAATCTTTCCTCTTATTGATGTTTCTAAAAGTAGAACCAATTTCTTATTCTTCTAATTCAAAAAGTTTTCTCCTTTTATATGCTCCATCTTAGTTAGAAAAATAGCTCAAATCACTATTCTTATCCAACGCATTAAATATGTTATTGGTAATATTGCTGAAAGAAATCTCCTTACTATCCTCATTTTGTTTTAAAAAATGCCCTTTTACATAAAATTGATAAATAACAAGTTCATCAATAATAAACTGAAAAAACAATCTAACTTATAATTGAACAAGCAAAACTTAAAAATATAAAATATATTTTAAAATATATTTAATAAATCTTATATAATACTTTATGTTGAGTTAGCACCATTTAAATCAGAGGTATCATCTCTATTTTAATCAATTTAGTATGGAAATTCATAATTAATACATTTATTATCTATATCTTTGCCTACTTTTTTCTTATCAATCATCTCTATCTAGTTAATTATTCTACTTTGCTTTTAATTTTCTTAACTAAAATATTGAATATAAAAAACTTAAACAAAATTTCTTATAAACTGAATTGAATTTTGTTATTTTTATTCATTCCTTCAACCTCAATTTCAATTTGTTATTGAAAAGTGATCAATATTTAAATCATAGTTTTAAATTACATATTAAAATAATAAATACTTTATTACTACAAACAGTATGCAAAAGACAATAATAAGTAAAATCGAAAATTTTCATTATCATGAACCAAAAATTAAAAATTGTATTTAAAAATTGTAAATTATCTAATTTATATTTAATTATTTAATTATTAATTAATGTGTTTCAAGAACCAAAATCGAGAAGCTGAGAGTGTTTCTTTTTAGAAAGTATTAAATAGTTAGGAATTTTGCCAATCGTACCTCCAATATTATCTAATTATTTTAAAATATTTATTAAAGATATGTTTCAAATATATTTTTTAATACAATGACCAGGACCAGGTTCATAGGCATTCTTTTTATTGTAAAATCTCTCACTGGCTGTAATACCAAACCTATTATTACTTAACCTCCCACTGATATCATATGCTCCAGGTCCACTATTTGTAAACTCTGATCTCACTGGATTGCTCCTAGGCCCTGTAGTATATGCAAACTTAGGTCTTTGGTATATAATAGACTCAGTCTATACATCATAGCTATTAGTATATTTTGATATTATTTTAAATTATATAGTAAAATAATGAATGATAGATAAATATTATCAAAAATAATTCTTTAAATTTATAGTTTAAATAAGTTTTTAAAACTTATCTATAATGATAACAATTATAGTTAATTATATTTTACGCTCCAGGTCCTGGCATGTCTACTTTATTTTTCTTCTATATTCTAGCTCCCATTTTCCACTATTTTTATAAAAAATTATTACATTTTGCAAGCCTAACTTAAATCATATAAATTTACTTTAGGACCATCTCCAAATTATTTATCTTCTTCTTTGTCGAAATCTATAAAAAATATGCTTATTAAACACAATTTATTTTACACAAGAAAGAAATTTACATTCACCAGGACCAGGGTTATTTCCAGTCTATGACAGAGGTGGTCTATTGCTAAATCCAATTCTTTTATAAAATTATTAGAATTATTTTTTTTAATAAATGAAAATATTTTATAATTAAGTTAATTATTTATTTACGTTGGTATGTAAATTTCTGATTTTGTATTATTTAAAATTGGGTAGTAATAGTTAGGACCTGGTTTTTTCAAACTTTCTTTATCAACCATGCTATGTTTTTATTCAGTTCCAAATCTTGCTCCTAACTTAGATTTAGGTTAATCTCTGTCATAAGCTTTTTATTTCAATTAATAACTTAAATTAATCAGAAAAATGTGCTAATAAATTTTTACTTCCAGGACCTGGGACATAATTTTCGTAAGTTTTAAGTGAGTCATGTAATTTTTAGCCAAATGAAAATCCATTTGACGAACTAATTGATTTAATCATTTATTTTTTATTATCTGGAGGGAAAATGCCTAAAGTTATTTAGATTATTATTTAATATACATAAAATTAAATATTAAAAAATAATATTCTTCTCACCTGGACCGGGACTATCTGAGGGTTGAATCCAATGTCTTTAACTTTTAGCAAATCTTTTATTAAATTAGATATTAATTATGTTATTTTATTTTTATTTTTATTTTTATTTCTTACGTTGGCCCATTATTTGTTTTACTAAACTCAACATTGTATTCATCAGGACCAGGAACATCTTTAACAACAGTTTTCATTCTTTCAGCTCCTCCAAATCCATTTCTAACAGTCCTGTATTTAAATTTTGAATATTAATACTATCGAAATATAATGATTTCACTATTAATATTATGCTTGATGTATTTTTTTACCTTGACATAACAGAACTAGATTATGTTCTCCTCATTAAAGACTTTTTATCATTAAATTAACCATCATTAAAATCATTATTATTATTATTGTTGTTATTGTTATTATTATTGTTGTTGTTGTTGTTATTATTATTGTTGTTGATGCTGTTTTTATTATTTGTAAATTAAGAGCTAGATCTCATCGTACTTCCAAAATTGCTTTGAGTTTTAAACATTGTGTTAACGTTTTCTGGATAATATGCATTTGGAGCAGGTGTATCTGAAACTACTTCTTAAGTTATTCTATAACCAAATGAAAAAGTTGGCTGCTTTGTTTTAGAGCTTTCTACATTTGATTTTGGATCATAACTCCCTGGCCCTATAGTACCAGGTTTCTAAGTTACTGGATGTGGCTTAGCTATTTTAATAGGAATCTATTTATCAAGCTTTTTATACAAATTTATGTCAAACATTAATATACATGTTAATTTTTTATATTACATGATTAAAATTAAATCCTTTTTCAAAATATGCTGTTGGACCTGGTATTCCATTCTTATAGTTTATTGAGCGCCTACTCTTTGAAAACCTAATTTTAAATTGCATCGTTACATATATTAAACAAAAAATGCTAATAAATAATGTTTGTTTTTTTTGTTTTAGCTGCTGCTTTATTACAAAACTTCAGGAGATTTTGGCTTATTTTTAAAATTTGGCATTTGATAATTTCCTGGTCCTGGAAATTTTCCTGTCTCTGTAGCAAATAGTTTAGCTTTATATTTTAAAAGATTTTAACCATATTTGATTTATTATTTATAATTATATTAATAATGGATATTTTTGATTGTTAATCAATCATTCTTAAATTATTTACATCTCTAAGATGTTCCAAGAGACCAAGCACCATTAAATTCTAAATAAGACATTTTATTTAACTGATTGGCTTAAAAATTTTAATCGTATTGAGAGTAAAATTTGTAATTTAATATTAATAATTATTTATTAGGGCTCTTTACTTATCAAAAAAAATAGTTAATTTTATCAAAAAAAAACTGCAAATTATAATTCATTCTATCTATCTTTTAATATTTTGATTTCTTTCGATTTTTAGAAATTAATGATGATCCTAAAGATTGCTTGCATGAGCAACAAATAATAAATTACAATTTTGTGTGTTAAAAGTTATTTATTTAATATATAATTTTATCATTCATTTTAAAATTATTATAACTTTATTAACATTTTAAAGAATTTTTGTAACATTCAAATATAAACATAAATTAACAAATTCAAGATGTTTTTTCGCTATTTATTTACTGAATAAAGTCCAGGATGCTCCTTCTATTTTATTATGTTTCTTTATCTTATAAGTTAGATATTTTTGATAATTTTTTAAACTAAATGAACCTTGATTTCTAAGTAGGAGAGCTTAAAGGTAAAGATTATTCTAGTATACTATCGAAATCCATGTTTTTGCTAATATTTTCATTAGATTTACTCATGTCAAAGTTAGAGCTATCAGAAGTTTTCATGAATAATAGTTCTGACTGCTTATTTTCTAAATACTTTTTTATAGGAGATTCATTTAATTCTTATTTATTTAAATTTTCTAAAAACAGCTCATCTTTAAAAATAACATTTTGCTACCAATTAATTGGTATGTTCTATCTTGCTTACATTTTTTCTTATTCTAAATAGTTTTTTTATAATTTATTTAATTGAAAGAATTAAAAATATTTTATTAAAAAACTTTCTTTTATTTTATATAAATCTAAAAATAGATTATTCACATTTATAATGATTATAAAAATAGGATCAATTTGAAAAAAAAATATTATAAAATTTTAAATATCCACATCGAATTAGTATTAATTAACGGATGTAACAATTTGATTAATTTTTTAAATAATTTAAATATTTTAAAAATAAATTTATAAATATTTTAATTAAAGAATATTTTTAAAGAGAAATGTTAATAGTAAATTTAAATATTACCAAATTTATTCAGTTTTTACTACGCTTATACAATGTTTTCTTGTCTTTTTTTATTGAAAAGCTCTTAGAAGAAGTTATTTGGTGATATGTTTCGTGACCTTTATTAGAACATTTGTTGTTAAATATACTCAGCTGTAGTGCTTGTATTGTAAGATATTGAATTATTTTTGAAGTGAATGTTCTTTTATTTAAAGAAGTTTTTACTACTTTTATTTTTTTACATTTCATTTAAGTGCTAAAGTCTTACAAGTTCCTATTAGCTATACATTTCAAGAGTTTATTGAGGGACATTTTAGAATAGCATTTGGTTTTATTTTTAAGATTTTTGTGGTTTTAAAATGATCTTTTCTCTTAAGCTTGATGCATTAGGGATAGAAAAAAGTGGATTCTCTGTAGATATTTTTTCTTTGTTATTGGCAAGAAGACTTTATGAATTATTTGTAGAATTAAGTTTTTGTTAATGAAGCTGATTAAGATATTCACCTAAGTGATTAGATGGCTTTATTTTATGTTCTTGCTAATTTATTATTGTTTTAAGAATACTATTGTTCTTTATGTAAGACAAAGATCTATACATATGCTAAAAATTAATCTTTTCCATACACTCCATCTTTTGCTTCATTAATTCTGATAATTTTTATACATTCTACTTTTAAAAGGAGGTGCTTTCATTTAAAAATTCCTTTGAGTTTAATTAAATACTGTTAGAAAACTAAGATTTTTATTGCAAATGCTGTGGTTGCTATGTAGAAAATTAGTATTATGTGTTGCAAAAATATCCTAACCTTGAAGATAAGCTTTTTTTATGGTTTGTATGAAGAGGAGATTAAAGAGATTCTTAATCTAATATTAACTTTTATGAGGTGGAACATATCTGTTTTTGAATTTAACTTTTTTAATGAATTGGAGAAAGGGGACATATTTATTTATTTGAAAATATAGAAAATTCTTCTGTTTCATTGGACTTTTCCTAATCTGACTAATCCTGTTGAGATGGTTAATATAAAATTGAGGTAGCCTTTTATAGGGATTTTTTTAATAATTAGATATTCTAAATAGGTGAAGATAATGTATTCTCTTCTATAAAAGTAGATGCTTATCTACTTGTTTACTAATTAAGTTTGCTACTAAGCATTTTATTAGATGAAAAGCTTAGATCACTGATATTTCTTGATGAGTTTGACATCGTTTGGCTAACTATTCATTAAGTATAAATTAAATAAATTTTTTTGATATATTAAAATATATTATTTTTATTTATACTATTCTTTTAGCTTTTATCTGGGCTTATTTCTTTAACTAAAACCAATCTTTCCTTGATAATATCCCTAGGGTTCATTAAAGGTTGAATTCTTTTCTCAACTGTATCATCTAATGTTTATTTGCTTGCAATACTTATGTTGCTTTGTATCTTTTACAAGCTTTCCTATATTACAACAGTTGCATCTTAAGCTCTCTGACGATGTAAATCATCTTTTTCAATACAATCTTAATTATTTTTTTCTAATTATTTATTGACCTTAAGACTATCTAAAAATTTCTTCATAAAAATAAAGTTAAATAAAAATTCCAAATGAGTTTTTTATAAAACATACATCCTTGCTCAAAATATAGATAGTTGAACTAGGGGAAATACATTTCGCTGAGTTTTCCCTTTCATTCTTACCATTAAAAATTTCATCAATGCCACAATAAGAATTAGGTCCTAAAATTCTTAAACCAACTTATCTAATACTTTAAGTATTATTTTTAGAGTTCAGAATTGAAGGAGCTTAAATCAAAGCTTATTATTTCAACTCTTCATTTATGAGAAAATTTCTTTAATTATTCTGATAATTAAATTTTTTATAAATTTCAACCTATTTTATAAAATTAATTTTCAACAAACTCTTTTAAATTTAAAAATTAATTTTAATTTTAAGAACATAAAAATATTTGCATTCAGTTAGTATTATTTTTAAAATATTTTCAAAATTAAATGTTAATTTTACATTTTAAAAGATTAAATTTTATAAATAAAAATATGAATATACTTCTCCTTCCAATATAAAGAAGACATGCTAAATTGGTTGTCCTTCTTCAAATAAAATCTTATTTTTAGAGTATTTCATTACTTCAAAATCCATAAGTATACTCATTAATTTTGATTTAGGAATCCCACTAAAAAATGGGAACTACTTTAAAAATTTAACCTAGATGAGCTTTTATTTTCTTTGCAGTTCACCTATAACCTTTTCAAAACCTGATCTTGTTAATGTTATACAATAGCAATCTTCTTTACAAACCATAGTTGCTGTCCTTTTTTTATGATAAGTATGTTAGTTAGTATATATAAACTTAAAGAAAAATTAAAATAAATATCATATTTAAAGCCAATATTTCTTTTTATTTTTAATTTTTACAAACAATAATTTTTTTTCTAATAATTAAAAAGTGTTTTTTAATTTTTTTAAACTGGATTTTTCTTTATTTATTTTAAGTAAATTCTCTAGGTATTTTTAGTTATAACTATTCATTTTCTAATAAAAAAATAATTTTATTTTGATAGATATATTGAAATTAGGTCAAAAAACATTCAATTAAATGATAATTTTTATGTTGAAAATTTATCGTGATTTTAAAAATCATATTATTATTTGTTAAAATCTATATTTTGATCTTTAGAAATGAATTAATAGGAACACAGTCTTACCTATATTACTGAGTAATAAGTGCTATATCTCCAAAACCTTCCCATTCTTTAAAAGTCTTGACCAATTTAAAAGATGGAAATTTTTGTTGTAAAAACTCTTCATCTGTTAAGTCCAACATTTTATCCACCATTTAAGGAGATTAATTTTATTTTGCAATAACCCTTTTCTTCCTCTTTTTAAGTTTTTTTACTAAAATTTCTTCTACTTTTTGTTATAACTTGGAAGTAGGAAGTAGACAATGGACTTACCCTAAATAAATTTAAAATAACGTAATTTACTTACTTCTAATTAAAGTAAAAATAAGTTGTTCATACCTTTTATTATCATGTAATAGGTATCTCCAATATCGCCTTTAAATATGAAAAAAAATTTATAATTATTATTTTATTTAAATTTAATAAATTCATTTTCATTAATCTTTTTACCTTGGTTGAATATTGTATCTCTCATTTCAAAACGCTATATTTTTATTTCTCTAAATAGCTAAGTCACTAACGATTCTTCTTCGAAAATCATAGGATGATTTACAAAAACACCAATTTATCTAATTGCAGAGATGATAAATGCTTTTTCTGCAGAGCTCTTTACTTTCTTTTAAATAGCAGTCACTAATACCTTAATTTAAAATAAAATTTTAACACAATATATTAATTAAAGCTAATTTACATCTCTGTCCTCTTTAGAATTGAAATCAATTTATCCTTTATCTATTGTCTTTTAATAATGCTCTTTAAATATGAGTTACTCTAATCTACTCAATTTGTTAGATTATTACCCAAAATCTTAATCTTAGTCAACTGGTATTGCGCTTGGAGTGTCATCACTGAATAATTTTGAATCGTATCTACAAAATTTACTTTAAGCTATTGAGTCCTACTTAATCCTTGTAATAATATCCTAAATTTAAATAATAATGAATGAAGCATAACCAGCAAAATTAAGTTAAATTGACTAATAAATATATTAATAAAAACTAATTACTTAATGTCTCATCAATAAATATTTTATACTAAAAAAAAGATTTTAAAGTTTGAATCTGATACTTTTATATATATGCCAATAAATTGTGGCTAATTATTTAATAATTAAATTTTGTTCTACTTTTTGTTTTTAATTATTTAGAGCCAACTAAATTAAAATAATATCAAACTCTAAAAAATTAATTGCTATTTATTTATTTTTGTTTAATCTTAGTAGAATTCTTAGATGAAATTTAATTTTAATTGAATTAAAATAAAAATATTATTTTAATCAGAATCAACCAAACAATTTATATAAAATAATTTTCTCATTATTTTCCTAAATACTAATAATAAAGTAGATGATAATATATTCAATCCAATAATAAAACAATTGAATTGTTAAAATGATACAAAATTTAACTGAATTGGATGCATTAATTATTAATTAAGAAATTTTACTTTTGTAGATATTTTTTAATTTTGTTATTAAGCAAAAATTATTCGTTTGTTTTCTAAATAAACTATTAAAATTTACTTTGAAAATTATTGTAAAGTTAATATAAATAAATAAAATAAATTTATTTTGATAAACAATAGATTATATGAATATATATACCGTCAATACAATTTTTTAAAACACTAATAGTAAAAAAAATCAATAAATCATTTGCAATTTGTATTGGATGTTGATATATTTTGGCCACTCATTAAATTAGTGTAAATATTACTATCAAAATATAAAATTATTTATTAAAATTTTATTAAATAGATGTAATGTAATTAAAAATATTTTAGAAAGCTAAGATAAATAATTTTTGATTTTTGTTGATAAAATCAAATTTTTTTTGCAAAAAATAATTTTCTTTATTTGAAAAAATTTGATTTTTATATTGAATTTTATCAAAATTAATATTTTAGAATAATATTTTTTTTCAGATTTTCAATTTAATGAATAACTAATTTTAAAAATAATCTACTTAAATTAGAATGAATAAGGTAAAAAAAATAGAGATATTGAATTGAAAATATTCTGTAATTATTCAATTAATAAAAAAAATTTAGGGATTAATAAAGGGAATTATTTATTATCAACTTTGATGAAAATTAAATATTATTCATTTATTTTTGAACTGTTTGTAAACTTAATTTTGCTCACCATTTTATTCTTTATTTAATCAAAATTAATTTTAAATTTCATATAAATTTGACTTGCAAAAACAGAAAATTTTAAAATCTAAATATTATTAAAATTCAACATAATAGAAAAAATATCATATTCATTCAGTCTATCCAAATAAATAATACTTATATATTGAAAAAAATACTTATTTTTAATCATTTTATTAATTGTAATAGTTTATAATAAACTTTATTTTATTGTTTATTGACTTATCAACAATAAACATAATCATCATCTGTGTACTTTTAAAGTGTTTAAGCTAATTTATCATTATATTGTTTCATTTAATTATAAAAACCACATTGATCTAAATCTTTTTAAATTATTAAAAGGAGAATTATTTCATAATTAAAAAATTTTTTTTTAAATTAAATAAAATTTTACTTGAGTTTGCATTTGTTGTAAAAGATATCATTTTAACTTATTTTGATATATGCAGAGGGCTATCATAAGGAGTAAGTGCAGCGGCAGTAAAGTATCCATAATAAGTAGTTTATTCTTATAGGAAATCAACAAAGACAGATGAGAAACCAGATGTTTCTGATCTTACTTTAATACAATTAACTTATTCTACTTATTAATTGTTTGCATTCAAGCAATTTGTAATTTAATAAGGCTAGATGTTAATTTAAATTTCAGGTATGAAGATGGCAAACACTATGGATTAGACTTATGTATTTATTGAAATAGTAGCATCATATATATTTTAGCTTATTATTATTGGAGGAGATGTAAACTCTGGTATTTAAACCTGCATTTCTTGAATAGATAAAATACTAGCTTTATCAAAAGATGGAACAAATCTGTCTAGCTATTTAAGTATTTGACTTTAGCTTGAATAAAGCAATATCTTCGGATCATAAGATCCCCAAACATCAGGGATTATTAGCATCTACTTAGTGTGTAGGTATCCATAAGAAGAATTATTGCTATTTCTAGCATTCAAGGAAGGTAAACTAATAATATTATTTGGACTGATTCTCAGTATTGAAGATAAACCCAAAATTAGTGTTTAGCTGTTAACTATGTCTATAAAAGTTAAATATAAAGAGCATGGTTAAGAAATATCGCTAGTATTGAATTATTATTTATAAACACTAGAATAACCCATTGCATTTTGAGCCATAAAATAAACAATATAGTTTTGTTGGGCTTATAATTTTGTAAGTAAAATTTACTGCATATTTTCTATCAACTAAAGATTAAATTAATTAGTGAATACACTTCCAATATTAACAGCAAATGAATAGTAATTACTCAAAAAATTTTAGGTATTTGGTTCTATCTATTCTTAACCGAGTGTGACTATATAGCTAATTTTACAAGGTTGATCAACAAATAACTAATTATTTTCAAATTATTTTTTTAAGAATTGTATAAATAAATTTAAATAAATTTTTACAATAAAGCTAGCAGTTGTTTGGCTGATGCTATCTTAAACAACTTTCATTATTTATGGATTATATTATGGCAAAATTTGATAAGCCATAGGTTTACCAAGAAGTTAAGAATAATTATAATCAGGTACAAAAGTCATTATTTATATCCTTGCTATATTATTAGAGTAATAAGGAGAATAAGAAAACACTAAATAAAATTTATTTGAAGGATAAAATTTATATAAATTTAGGATATTTTAGCTTTATGTTAATATCTATAGCATTAAAGGTATAGGTTAAGGAATTTTTTTCCCAGAGTAGCTTAACTAAAATTGGTATTCTGTTGAATTTGTTATAAATATTTTAGGGTTCTAAAAGGCTAAATAAGTCATATAATCTGCTGAATAAAACTTATCTGTTTGATCAACTATTAAGCTTAAATACCTTTTTATATAATAATCTACTTAGTAATGAATATAAAATAAATCACTTTAAAACACTTAGTTAAGATTAATGTTTTTTAAAATTAAAAATTTTTTAATTATTATTTTTTTGATAAAAAATAAAATTAATTTTTGTTTTTTAATTAATACAATTTTTTTTGTTTAAATATTTATTAAAAAAGTTAATCTATATCAAAATTTTTCAAATTATTTTATTTTTTGGCTTTGATAATTAGATTTTTCATTATATTATCAAATTTTAGTCCTTTCTTTTAATTTACTTTCAAAAGAAGTTTTATAAAATTAATGTTTAATTTTAAAATATAAATGTTATTTAATATTTAATTATATTCGTGATTTTTAACAATAAAATTTTAATTTTTACGTTGGTTGAGCTGGCAAAGAGGATATTGAAATACTTATAAAGAAAGGATAACCTTAAGTATTAATGTCTAAATTATCTAGATTTATAGTAATTACTGGTTTAATTGCTTGGTCGCTTGATAATTAAATATTTAAATCAGGTATATTAATAAAATTATCCAATTAAGGGTCTTAAATTTATTGGAATCTTAAAATAAAATATTGTGAGTCAGAGGTTATTGGATAATCAGATGCAAAAGATAAAAAGAAAGATTAAGTTAATTAATTTTAGAAGTTCTCAAATGAAAGCTAGCTAGGGGTTATCTGTATTTGTGATGATTTAATAGGAGTCAATGTTAAATAGTTCAATACAACGGGATTTATAGCTAATTTGTATGCAGGAGCTTCTAACATAATTTTGTATTCATATTTTAAACCTCTATATAACACTGCTGGTCCTCCTACTTAAATAGCTAGAGAATATGCATTTTAAAAATATATTGTGTGGGAGTAATATTTAGGATTGAGTATTCTATAATTGACATCTGAGCATATTATTTGACTGCTTGAATAATCCATAATTTTTACGGAGAACTCATTTACTTAAATAGAAGGGAAAAAAGATGTTGGATTTATTAGATTTCTGACGACTAATTGGAGTGATGAAGAAGATATTATTTAGAAAGATAATTTTAAGACTACAGAAGTATTTGATGAATCTATGCTAGTGAAAATATAACATTAGTCTGAATTAGCTTTAATTTGATTTTAGTGTCCTTGAATAAAACATTAAATATTTTATAGGTATTTTATCTTTTATTCTAGAGGAAGTGTTACATAGAGTAAATAGCTTTAATTTGTATTGATTATTTGCAATAAGTTGTCTGAGTATTCTATAGTAAATATGTAATCTGTAATTTAGTTAAAAAGAAGCGACTGCGGTTATATGCTGGATATCATAATTAAAGAGGGTGTTTCCTTTGTTATTTAGTATTAAAGCTGCTAAGCAATGTTTAAGTACATTATTTAGAAATTAGAAAGTGAGTCAAAGACCTTCAGCTCAAAATTTTAAGGCAAATATTTTTAAGGATTTATAACATTTTTGATAATTAAATAGTTCCATGAATTCAGTATATTTAGATCGTTTAGTTAAGAAATGTTTAAGACAAACTGAATAGTATTTTATGAGTAAAATTAGCTCTATAAGTTATTAATTGAAGAAACTCTTGTTAGTTTCATAGCAGAAATCAACTGTTCAATCATAAGCACTGAGTATATCTTTTAATCAGGCTGATAGTAATCTATAAAATACTCAATACTAGATTAGTATGAATTCATATTTCCAAAGTTATCTGGAAATTTTAAGGTCATTATTACTTGGTTTTAAGATAATCCAAATACCTTTTTTAAATTATTATTATTTTAGCATAACTTAAAAATATAATATGCTTGTTAATTAGATTAACTTGGTATATTCTAAGTGAGAATAAATGAACTACTAAAAATTAAAGCATCTGTAGAACTACTACTACTTTATATTGGATAGAACTAAATGGTCTGCTAAAGTCTTTGATTGGAATTAATTGTACTTGATGCATAATATTAGTAAATTTAACCTTGCTCATAAATTTTTACTGAATAAAAAACAGGACTTGGGTAGTAAGATGGGTTCATTAAGATAGCAGATATTTAGAAAGTTTAAAGGGAGGGTACAAATGCTGTTTAAACTTCAAGTGTATAGCTTCCTTCAAATAAAGAATATTAGACTAAGCAAGTGTCTGATAGTATATATGGAGATGAGCATTATATTTCAGTTTAACTATCGCTTTATTAAGAATAGTAGTTATAACTTTATCCTAAAATGATTACTATCCTAGAGTTTTCTGATAAATCAAAATTGCAAAGAATTTGAAATTGATGTAAAGATTCTATTTGGTAGATGGGATAATCGACTTAAACTACAAAATTAATTGGCCTAATATAAATTTATGTGATAAGTGGGTATCCAATACTAACCATAGAATAAGGCTAGTTGATATTTAAATATTGGGAATTGTAATAAACTGCTAATGAAAAGTATTGAGCTTGGCTTACTTGAGATATGTCAATACTTGGATTTTGTATATTATTTAAGACTACAGTGTATATACTAGTTGGTACTAAAAGCAAATCCTAGAGGTAGATGTTAGCTTTGTTGTATCCTCCTACTTAACAAGTAGATTAATCTTAGTATCCATCCAAATAACAAGAAAACCCATCTAGTTAATATAAACTTTTAAAAGTTATAGTAGGGAAAATAACCTAAATAATTCCTTAGTTAGGAAGATACTGATTTAATTAGAATGAAATTGTGTATTGAACATTTTTAGTTTTTGCAATAGTAGAGTTGTATTGTAAATTAGTGTTCGAAATTAAAGCATTGTAGTCGTTGTGATAATTCTATAAATTAAAAATGTAAGATGTGTCCTATTTTCTGTTAATATAAGTAAATGCATTAATTTGCAAAACTCCTAATGGAATGGTAAAAAATGGATTTATTAGGTTATTTATTGTTATAGTAATAACGGAATTCATATTCTGTTATGTTAGAGGTTATACAAATATTATACTACCCAGACTAAAGACATAAACACTTGATCCCTATGGACTAGTCACGCCAGAGAAATCAATAATGTGCTAAGGAATAAAACCTTTTTTTTAAAAATTTTAATTTAATTATTTGAAGCTTTAATTGATTTTATTTGAATGTAATTATATCTATCATCTGATTCAGAAAATATTATTGTTAAAAGTGTTGAATTTTCGTTATTTATTTATACTTAAGATTCAAATTATTAAGAGTTTAACTTTAAATAATAAACATTTTTTTATGGAATAAAATGATAAATTTGATAATCTTTAAAAGCTTTAGCTTTACCTGAAGGGAAAATAAATGCAATGTAGTCAGTTGTTTTTAAATTTTAAGATCCTAAGGTGAATGTAAATGAGAATGAGCTATAACCTAAAGTCGTTGTTGAACCAGTTTGCGTAACTATAGTAGGATTTGCATTTGTATTAACTTAAAGAGATGAGGTTAAATCTGGTATTAAAGGAGATGGCATATACAAATAGGACCTGTTTATAGCTTGATCATAAGTATTTGATTTTAGACCACTGTTGAGAATCGAAACTACTGGATCTAAATAATTAAATACTAACTCAACTGCTACTTTTATAAGACCGTAAACATTTATATCGAGAGATTAAATACCTATAAAAATTAGATCTATTTGTGTGTTAGGGCTAATTTCTTCATAATTTAAAATTCTTATTCTGCTTGTTGAATCACTTGTCTAAGCAATCTTAAGATAACATTTAATGCCTTTTCCTTAAGCAAAATTAAGCCCTGATTTACTTATACAATCTAATTATTATCCATCTTAAAGCCCAGTTCCAATATCCTTTATATTTTTTAATTTAATAGATTAATTTAGAAATAAAATAAGTATTTTAAATGATTATATATATAAATTACTGCTGCATAACCTGAACCTTTTTAAACACCAGAAGGTATCCATTCAAAAAGAACATGAATCTCTGAATATACGTCAGAATCTTAACTAAGATAGCCTTAGGGTATTGGGACATTTGAAGTAACAAAAATAAGCTCATTTAAGTTGGGACTTTAATTATATAAAAAAATTAATTAATACTTTAAAAAGAATAAAAAAACTACGTTTTAGCATCTAGACCATTCAAGAATTGCATATTATTCCTGTTAAATTAGACTCCAATAACTCTTGAAAAGAAAACTTACACTTCTTCAATAGGATTGCTAGTGTTAGCTTGGTATAAATCGACTTTAATTTAATAATGTTAACCTGGATACTCTGGTGCTTAGAATTGCTAAGCTTAAGTTTAAATGTAAAAGAAGTTAGGTTAGAGAGATAAAAAATATCCTGAGGAAAGAACTATTTCAATTTAAGATTAGCCTTGAACTTATTTTAACTAGCACTTATCAAGCTACATGGTTACTTGGTTATTGTATATTTAACAGCCTTATATAAACATGATAGGAGGATACAAAAAGCTATCTTCGATCTATAAAATTATTCTATTAACATTTTAGTTTGGTGAGCTTTGCTAAATGACACCATAGAATCTAGCTTCACCTTCGAATATTGACTTAGCTTAATGGAAAGCATATTAGTTCCATGATATTCCAGCATAGTAAGGGACTCTATCATTAGACACATACAATTATGTTGTTGCCATAGTTTGATAAAATCTACTTGGATTAATAGTATTACATGACTGAACACATCCATAAACAATAAGATTATCAGTAAATCCAGCAGGAACGCCTTAAGGAGGGAAATTTGAATCTATAATAACCTTAAAATAAACTGATAAAACTAGACTAGAAAATGTAGCTTAATATGCAGCTCCGTTTGAAGAAATATAAATTGCATCTCCAGATGCAGATATCGAGCATTATAGAATAAGTGGAAATGGATTTGGATTAGGTATGAGTAAAGTAGCATTGCAATAGCTTTAATCAATAAAACCCTAAATGACTGCTGGTTTCCATATCACAAAGTTATTAATATATGAATCATGCCAGATGTTAGAAACTAAGAGTTATGCTAAATTTTAGAAATTTCCTTTTAAGTAAATATTTTAAGTTTGTGTATTAGATATGGATGCAGATATTCCTTAAGTGTAGGGAATATAAGGATTAAATATGACTTTATATGCTTGTGAAATTAATGATGTTTGACCATCATAAATCTCAATGTAAATATAATTATCTTGGGATAAGCTTGATAAACTTATACCATTTTACACATTATTCAAAGTAAAGCTATAAGTTTATCCTGCATTAATTGCAGTCGAAGGATTAAATATAAGAGATCTATTATTTAATATTTAACACTATCCCTAAGCTGAGTTGCAAGATTATGTATGTATATGATTATCAGGGTAAGTAATCAAAATATCTTTGTTAGCTGGTACAGCATTATTGAAAACTATCTAGTATGTGTGGCTAGCCATTAAAAAGACAACATTAGTGCTAGGAACCATAGGTGATGCCTAAAGGCTATATTAGATCCCTAATTATAAATTATTTAGAAAATTAAATTGATTCTAGTTAGTTATTTTTAAAAATTAAAGGTTTTTTTTATTATTAACTTTAAAACTATTTTTTAATTTAAAAATTTTTAAATCAAAACTCAAACCAATTTTTTAAATATAAAAATATGTAAATTTATTGTAATTTCCAAACTATATGTATAATAAATTAGCAGAAGTAGGGGTTTTAGAAATTAAATAGAGTTTAATTAAGTATTAATATTTTTAATGCTTGTTTAATCAGTAAAATTAAATACATAAGAAAATATTTATATAAAATTGAGTTAAAATTAATGAATAAGTGCAAAAAGCAAAATTTTAATTGTAAAATAATTATGATCTTTATTTAGTAATTCAAAAATAAAATAGATCTATTTTTAAATCAATGGATTGATTTATTTTATAATAAGATAAAATAATATTATTAAAAATAAATAGAGTAAATAATTACCATTTGGTGGCAAAGGCTAAGTTGTATAGTAATTTTTTGAGTGATATAATATACATCTGTGATCGTTTTATTCTAAGTTACCTTGATTTCCTCTGCAATAAGTCATAATCTACAAGTAGATTCCAATAGTGGTTTACATAGTTGGATTTATAATATTGCTTATCCAAAAAGATATTACAGAAGGTGGAGTGACATTTTAAAGGAAAGGTATTCTTATTTAGTTTGAATATAGATAGCACTGCAAGGCTGACGTAGGGGAAATTACTAGAGGTGAAGAAGTTTCTTGACATTAAATTAACTGTATTGCTTAATTAAAACCAAGGTAAGGTATAAAAATTTGATTTATTTCATCGTTCATTTCAAACAATATTCTTATTTCATCTCCTGCTGATACCTTATAATTCAGAGTAAATTAGAATTTCATACCTCTTGAATTTTACGAAGAGTAACAATTTATTACGCTTAACTTGAAACTATTGTCTTTTTTAACTTAAGGTTCATATTCAATATAACTACTTTCTACAAGTACATTTGTACCTGAGTTTCTGATATTTAAAACTATATTACGGAGTACGCCTCTTATTGGATACTAAATACCTTTATTTCATTAGATTAATTATAAAAATTAATCAGTTTAAAAAAATTTACCTTCTTAGTAATCTGGTGATGCACGGACAGAAGTGAATAAAATTTTAAAAATAGTGTTTTATGATATATCATAAGTAGGAAAGGTCTGGAGTTATAGTATATTCACTGCTATGTTATTGCTACCCTGAATGACTTAAATTGGCCATGATTGATAATACCTTTTTAAAAGATAAATAAACTATTTTTACTAAATTAAATGCTAATTTACTTCATGTAATTAATTATGTTTGAACCCTAAGCAAACTGCCATTATGCATTTGCTTGATCAAATACTAATTCAATAAAGTTATTTCCATTTATAAGGGTTGTTAAACTTGTAGATATTTGTAAGTGTAAAGCATTGAATTCCTAGGTGAAGTAAGTGACTAAATGAGTTGGGGTTATTTAAAGAAGCAGTAAGCTTGATGATATTGTTGGAGGACTAAAAATAGCGACACCAACTACTACACTACTTTATACAATTAAACTAGATGCAATTTTAAGATTACCCAGTATCTAAATTGATAAAAGATTTATTGCTTGACCTGAATTCATATTATCTAAAAGTAGTCTAATTGTAACTTTTGTATTTGTAGGAATATCTCCAAAGGAATAAATTTGGATGACATTTGTAGAATCCATATAAACTGTTCTTATTGTTGAATATATAGGATTCAAATTAAAATTTTAAACTAATTTTATGCTATTAAGTTAGCTTTTGTAAAAATGGAATTAAGGAGGTAAATTTATATTTATTATGCCTTATTTTGGTATGAAAGGAGTTAAAAAGTTGATTTCATAAAGATTTTAGCTTCCCACATTTTAAACTCCTGAAATCCTATTTAGATTTTTTAATGATAAATCTGTAATAGTACTAAGAGTATTTCTTTAAAGATTATTGTTGTAGTAAAGAGTTTATGCTATTGAAAAATCAGTTATCCAAACTAAAGAAAATCCCCACTAACTCTGATAGTTCTGGCTCAAGTACGAGCTGCCTAAATTAAATGAAGCTGGCTTTGCTATTGGTTATAAAGGAGTCAGCATTACTAGGTTGATTATAGGAAAATAAACAACTTAGCAATTAGCAATTATTAAATTCGAGAGAACCTACTGCAGATTTAGAATACCGTTTAAAGTATTATCATATTTTAATAAAATTTAGTTTGTGGTGACTAAGTTTGTGTTAAAAATAGATATAGCCATTCCAAGCTAATTTGTTTAAATTTGGTTATTTATATTGTTGTATAAGATAAAGTCTGTATTTTGTAATGCTACAGCAAGTGAAGGATCTTTCACGTAATCATGATTTAATAATCTCTTCTTATAGATAAATTGTGATATTTATTCTGTAGTAAAGGAGCTTATTCTTTTCTTAATTATTAAAAAGGTATAATCAATAGTGTTTTAAATAGTTAATGGATTTAAAACCATTCCTATGTTTAAAGTGTAGGTAGTACCACTTAGCACATTTCCTATATTTGAAACAATAATTCTAATTTAATCGTATTTATTTGAGTATTATCCAAATTAAAGGATGCAGTTGGGATAGACTCCAATTTAAAGATTTGGTGTTAATATGCAATTGAATTATTAACCACTTGTAAAAGGACCTAAATTATCACTTTGGTATACTTGTGTAATACCTAAATCTTATAGATAATAATTACCTTCTATATATAGGGCAAGCTGTACCTCTTCATTTGTGTTTTGAACCACATCCTTTGTAACAGAAAAATTTATCTGAATCACATCATAAAATGTTGCAGTAGTAGTTGCGTGTTTTATATTTATAGTATTAAATCTTGTAATAAAAAATAGTGATAAAGTTTATTGTTTTATAAGTGTGTTTGTAGTAGCTGTGCGTATATTAAAAAATATAAGCTCTTATCCATTGTTACTAATAGATTGCAATTATATTTAGCTATTCTAAACTACTTCTTATATCTTCAAAGCATATTATTGATTAGTGTTTAAACCTCCTACAGGGCTTTAAATTTAATAACTTTTTGTACCAGTGTTGTACAAACAAGAGCAAAATATTGCTTTTTATTAAAAAAATAAAGTTTTTAATTTAAAATGGCACAATTATAAAAGTTTGTATTTATTGATAATCGAATGAACAAAAAAAATAAATTTTTTAATTTATAAATTTTAATTAACTTAAAAAATTGATAAAATATTTTTGAAAATTTTGTGAATTAATAAAAAAACTACTTAAACCAAGATCAGATGAGGCTAGGACTGGGGAGAATGAGCACATAATTCCATTCGCTTAGTTAGGTTGAATCAAAGTAGCTGTGGAGACTTCAAAGTAATTTGTATTGTATGTCAGCGATACTATAGAGTCAAAGTATATGTAAAATACTAAAGAAGGAGTGATATCTTAGTAAAATAATTAAGTAAAAGCTGTTTCATAGTATCCAAATATATATTTTTATTAAAGAAAATCATATTCAGTATAAATTTTAGCAACTGGATCAAACTAATTTATGGTATAGGTTTAGGGACTAGAAGAATCGTCCAAATAATCACTTGTTTATAACTCAAAAGTATATTAAACATTATTAGATATAACATGACCTTGAATAAAAATGGAGAAACCTTATGCAGTATTAAAATCACTAACATTCAATATATCAATAGTATTAGCTGCAGTAATATGGCAGCTTTAAAACTAGTTTAAATAAGTTGAGGTTGTTAAGGTAGTAATCCAACAGTTTTCAAGAGTTGAGAATCCTGAAGTTAAAACTAAATGGATTTTTTTAATCTTTCTTTAAAGTAATGTTGCTGAGTTTGCATTAATTTAAAATTAAATTTCACACACTGCTCTTTGGTTTAAAGCAGCAATAATTTAATTATCAAGATTAAAAGGATTTGAAATCTGTATCAAAAATGGTGTTGAATATTAGAATACGCTAAAAGCAATATTAGGATTTAAATTTAAATTTACTGTATATGCTAACTGATGGGACAATAGAGGAGTTTATCTTTGCATATTATTGCCTTGGTAAAAACTAGCTTGTACATAAGGATTAATGCCATAAGCTAGTTACTGATAAGTATAGGGATTAGTGAGGCTTTTGAAGATGAAATTCATTTATTAAGACTAATTTATTAATGGGGCACTCATATAAATACTATTAGTATTGGTATTAATCCATAAAATATTAAGCGTAGATGAGGTGGCTCCTTACGATTATTAAATTGAGATATTGTTTATATTATTAGCTGCTAGAATACCATTAAAAAACTATAATCTAATTTTGAAGCCACTAAAGTTATTCATATCATAATAGTTACTGTTGATTGGATAATTCAAAATAGAAACAGGATAATCACTTGTTTAACCTTGAACTAAGTTGGTAGGAGAATTAAAATTAAAAGGCCCTATTGTATTTACAGTAGGAGTTGGAGTAACACCATCAACAACTAACAGTTATTAGACTCTTAAAAAGTAAAGAGTAGTATCATTTAAATAAACACTTATTAACACATTCATATTCCACCACTATAAAACATATTTGGCAGGAAGTAGCATGTCATCAATAGCTATCGAAAATTAAGTATTTGCACTTACTGAATTAAATTATTCGATTCTTATTTATAATTAACCATTTTCATTAGGAATTATAATGCATCTAGGACTTAAGATCCTTGTATTTATCTATTAAAATGTAGTGCTTAATTAGCAGTTAATAGTATCTCCTAATTCATAAAATGAAAATTTCAAAATATTTCATTAACTTAAAAAAAATTTAAAAATCTCTTTACTGTATTTTATTTTAGTTAAAAAATATTATTTTAAAATAAAAAAATTTATTTTAAAATATTTAGCTTAAAATTTTTAAAAATTAAAAAGAAATTGTATTTTTTGATAAATTATATAAGAAAGGAAATAATTATTGATTTATTTTAGGAAGTGAATTATTAAATAAAGTAATAATTTAAAATTAAAAAAATAATTTTACCAGGTTTTGCTGTTGGGAAAGCCTAAGCAATCGTTAATTCAGGGAATGTTAATGTAATAAAACTTGTTGGATAACCATTTGGTAAAGCAGGTGTTAGAGTAAATTGAAGAAATAAGCTAGTTGTCTACTACTATAAACCTGAAGTATAATATAGGCTGCTTAATTGTATTTGTTATATACCTTAATCATAATAGTGAAGTAGGCGTGTATAAAAAAGTAAATTTTAGTTTAGCTATCTAGCAAACATCCAAACTTCTCTATAAGTATTCACTGTATCTTTTTAAAATCCAATTATTTAATTGTTATTTAAAGTCGAGATGATAAATTCGTATTTCACATTTGGTAGCAATTACAATTAAACTTTATTAAATAAAATTTCAAATGCAGGAGAACCTGTTGGATCGAATATAGAAGCTGAGCATAAAAATGTATTATATGACATTAATTTAACTGAATCGTATTATCTAAGAGTACATTTTATAGATACCTAGGAGACGTCTACAGTCTTTCCTGTAAACACTCTCATATGCTGGACCAATGGGATAGCATTTTGAAAGGTTATAAAAAATCTCTCAGATGTGTTAGGAAGAGTATATATTTTAGGTACAAAAGGATATAGCTTCATATAGCTATAGCTTAAAAATAGCTTGGTAGAAGATGAGTCAGCAGTTTATATTATTTATGTAAATATATTTTATACAGATACTTAGTTGATAGTGTCTGAAATGTATGAGTAATAAAATGTTAAAGTAAAATCTATATTGCTGGTTCCGCTATTTTATACACTAAAATAAACATCGATAGTGTTTTAAGTGTTTAAATCAGCTATAGTCCTATAAATCCTATTTTATTGTTTTATTAAAATTAAATTATTACTTTTGATAAATTATTTTGATTACCAAAATCTATGGTTAATAGCATTAGAACCATCATAGTAACATTATAAATCAGGAATTGCTTACTACTCAACCTAATAATTAAAATATTTAAATTAGATAAATTACGTATTTATAATTAATTTAAATAAAAATTTTCTAATAAAATAGAGGTTTAATTAGATAAACGACAACCAAAAATCATAAACCTTATGAAGAAAAAATAGATTTTTTAATTTCATAAAATAAAATTTTAAATGAGAGATATTTTTAAAAAGTATTTAATTAGATTTAATTATGAACTTGAAATAATTCACAAAGAGACTAAAAAATAAAATAATTAAATAAAAAATTAATGATTTGAATACCACAACAAAGCATGCGTTTTTAGCTAATAGAACTTATGTTTTAGAAAAAGAAATGAGTATTCTTCCTTTGTTTTTAGGAATGACAAAACTACTCAAAAGGAATGTAGCTGCGCATATCTAAGTTTGCAAGCCAACATTTAAAGTTAAGAAAATGTTTGTAACTTAGAAGAGAGTAGATTATGCTAGATTGAAATTAGTAGAAGGGAAAAGCTGTTAAAATTAGTGTGTCATAATTCCTTATGTCCCATCAAATACGTAAATATCTAGCTCATAATTTGTAAAAGTAAAAGGTTTAGCTGGCATCATCAATTGAGGTGAACCTTTAAACACTGTGATTTAAGTTGGATTTTATCCAACTTAGCACACAATCAAAAGAGACTAAACTGAATATACTCTATTATTCAAAAATATTGGAGAATTACAAAAATCAAGTGTGGGTACAGGTCCAATCGATGGTAATCTGATATAAATGTAAGGCCAATTAAAAAATTGAGAATTAACATCTACAGCAAATCTTACAAGTGGTTGCTCATTTACTTACCTCGAGTTATAGAAGGTTGGTGGATCTATATCAAAAGTACCAGTTTTCAAAGTACTTTAAGCTAATATATTAACTAAGATAGTTTATTAATAGACATTTGCATATCCACCTACACCTTAATAATCACTATATATTGAAGGGCTAGTCACTTTTATTAAAACACCTAAATTATTCTATGCTGATGGATTTATAATCTCAGGGATATAGCAAGTTATAGAAGCACCCTATTTCACATTAATGTATAGCAAAACTGAAGCTTAAAAAAGATTTATTGGTATTCTTCTATAGCATAGTTATGGAGTTAGAGGGCTTCCCACTATTATTTTATTTAATAATTTTAATTTGAGGATACATTTTTTAATGTTTTATTTGAATTTGTTTAAGAATTCATTAAAAAAATTTTAATTTTCATTTGAGAATTTAAATTTTTTATTTAAATTAATTTATTTAAAAACTGATAAGGATAAACATATCAGAGAAATACCCAATATGATTTTTTTTAATTAATAAATAAAGGTTAAAATTTTAAAATAAAATATATTATTTAAAGTGATCTCAATATTTATTTAAAATATTCTACATGGTATTGAGCAAAGACAAGATATTTACTATGATTCTTTTGTAGGGTCAGTAGCATAGATAAAATTTGTTACATATGAAGGAAAAACTAATTAAAGTACCGTGTTATATGAAACACCAATATTTAAATTGACATTATTTAAAGAGAACTAGTATTCAGTGGTATATAACTGTTCAAGCGTTAGAGAGCTAAAACTTGGAGTATTTCCTATTTAGAGATAATCTGTTGTGTAAGTAAATACATTTTCCATTAATAAAACAGTGCTAGGACTTGATGTGGGATTAAAACATTTTTGTTGGTAAATGTGGAACCTGGACCATACATAATTTTATGTGTTAGTTGGAGCAAAGGTTTAATTTATTAAGGTGATATAAATCTCCCAAGGTTTATTTTTATAATTAAGGATACTTCCCATTTCTTAAAATTATTCGAAAAACCCCATATAAATCATAGCGTATCCGTTTGAACTATAAATAATTTAGCAAGATATCACTTCTTCAGGATCAAATGGTGAATTTGGTTACTTTAATCTACCAAGAACATCTATTGTGCATGCGGTTTATGTTTAATCTAGCTCTAGTCCGAAAAGATATAAATACCAATATCCCCAATACTATCTATTTGCAGTACATGCCTATGCACATGTGCAGGTCATACAATATGGTGTATTTGTACAATCTCCTCCTATATACATGTCTTGGTTTGTTTAAAAATCAATGGTTATTTAAATATTATTTTAAGGTCCTAGAGCATTATTTGTAATTTTGGTTATTTTGTAATAAGTTCCTATGTTCAAACTTTGATTAATGAAACCTTAGTTATTAGGTGTTGTAAGCATTGGAAATGAATAATCAGGTGTATGAGACAATATTGAATAAAACATTAGATGACCTTAAGAAGTGCTAGGCAAGTATGCAGCTGAATTAGCATAGTAAGTAAATATTACTTAAATTGGATTTACAGGACTATATTATGAATTAGTATGCATAATCCTAATTTTTAAACCCATATCTTTTTATGGAAGAGCAGCACCAAGAGAATTTACATAAGGATAGTTAATAATAGAATCAAAATTGCTTATCTTAAGCCTAGTAGCAATTCCTCCAGAAATAGTATTTGTTTCTATTGCACATTACACCTATTCTCCAATATGGTCAGGTGTATTCAAAATTGATAATCCACTCATTACTGTGCAAGAAGTAGCTCCATTTTGAAATATTGTGTTGGTTTGTGAGGTTCCTTTGAAAAAATTTTTAATTTAAATTAAATATCAAATAGGAGAAAGAATTTTAATCAATTTAATAAAAGAAAAATTGAAAATTAAATTAAATATTTGTTTAAAAAATATATTTTTGATTACCTTGAAATTCTAAAGATATTATATTTCCATAAAAAGGAGTAAAATAAGTTAGCAGTTACGAAATATTGATTTTAACAAGAGTTTGAGATGGCTGATTCTGTTAAATTGTGAGGAAATCAAAATATTGAATTTTTACATTTGGAGCTAAGAGCAATTAAGCATTTGATACTGATTAAGCATCTGATAATGTATAAGTCAACACATCTTGAGATCCTGACATAAAATGATTGACTATTATTTATTTACATTGTGAATGAATAAATTAATATTGTTTTATAATATTTTGTTTGTTTTAAAGATTCATTTTATAAATTGGATGTTTAAATTTAAAATATTTAAATTAAAAAAGATTGCTTTTGATAATAAAAAATTAAAAAATTATAGTTAAATACCAACTACGTTATATCTGTAATGCTCACACTTTAACGAACCAAGATTAAATATTTTGGCAGAACTCTCTGAAGCTTAGAATAATCTATAAGCATAAACGTATTTAACCATTGTAGTTGGTGTAGGAAAAACTTATAAATAAAAAATGTCTCTAACATATTGGTCAGGCGCAAAGAAGCAAATATTTTAGTCAGTTTAATCAGCTAATACTATCTAAATGAGACTTGATTAACTAGTAGATTGTATGACTTAGTTTGTTGTAAATTTTAGAGTATTAATTTGCCACAGGGCAGATGAAGGAACAAGTGCAGCAGGAGGAATATTATTTGGTGTATTTTAAACTAAACTGATAACACCTAGGAAAGAATAGTCACCTTTAAATTCATTTCCATAAGGATATTGATAATTTTAATTACCTCCATACGCTTTTACTACAATAAGAAAATCTATGGGAGTAGCTAAGCCTGCAAGAGTACCAGTTGGATTTTAAACCATTAATCTAAAAGTTTCTGGCTATTTAGGTGTATATGCAAATCCAAATGCATGAACTCTAATAGGCTTACCGAATTAGGTAATCTGACCTTCTTCAATAAAACATTTTATAGGAAATTGACAACCAGTAGTTGTAGGGCCTAATTAGTAAATCAATTAATTTTTAAAAAGTTCAGATTATTTTTATATTTAATGAAATTTTTACTGCTTAGATTTAAGTTGCAATCAGGAGAAGAGTTAGGTACTGGTATACCCTTTGAGCAAGGAAAAGGAGACCCAGTTTATAACCCATGCATGGTGGTTGTTGTGTAAATTTAGTTTTTAAGCTGGTCAACGGTCAGAAATTCAAAAACCAGTCCTTTGATATCAGATCTATCAAAACTAAGAGTAAACTCTAGAACATTTATTGCTCCTTTAAAGTTATTGGCTGAAGTGATTGATCCTACTTCAATTCCTCTGTGAGGTGGTGTGATTGGTTAGTCTAAACAAAAAAATATTAAAATAACTCAAATAATTTAAATATTTTCTTACTTTGAGTTGAATAGAAAGCTGAAAAGTAATCTGAATGAAGAAAATAGGAATTTCCTCCATTTATAACAATTTCATATTTGATTGAATAAGCGCCATCATTACCAATATAGAAAAATCCATCCTTCTCTAAATTATTAGGATCTACAGCTGAAACATAAATGTAAATATTTGAACCCAAAGGTTAAGCTTCTATGAATTCAACAATAATTTGTAAATTAGTGGAATCATTTGTACATCTTACTCTCATATTATTAACATAACAAACCAGAGTATCTACTAATAGATCATTTTTTGTACTTGGAGTAGGTATTTAAATTCCTGCATTATAGTGAACAATTATTTTATGAGATAATTACCAAGTTGTAGCAGGTATATTTACAGGACTTTCCACCTCAACTTTTATAGGGATTCTTTGAGTCCTGCTATAGGCTACAAACTCATCAAAATATCTTTATTATTATTTTTTTTGAAATTAAACTTTTTATTGAAGAAAATAAATTTTCTTATAAATAAAAACAGTAAAACAATTTAAAAAAAGTTGAAGATATTTAAGAATTTTGATAAATTAATTTACTGCTAGTGTATATAGTCAAATAAATTAGGGACTACAGGATAAACTCCTGCTTTATCTGCTGTTATAGTTAGTCCTCCAGCCATTTACTTGTTGTCGCTAAAACAAACATAATCGTCAGAAGCTCTTGGGTTCAGTGCTGTAGCTGGAGCTGTGTACCAAGAATAGAATTTTAGATCAAAATTATTATAAGGAATAATTTAAGTTGCGGCTGCTATTTAAGGGTTAACCATCGTAAGAGAAAGTGTTTAAAAAGAGAGATTTAATGTTCCATCATCTTTTTAGATATTTGGATTAGTTATGTTTAAATTAAACTCAATATTATATAAAAAAGTTACTAATAAAATAAGGAAGATTTGGAGAATTCTATATTGTAATCCAAATAATCTTGTTTGTTGAATCAATATCGCATCTTTAAATTTACACTTATGATGTTGCTGCTTCCTTGCAATTAGAATCTATTTTTTACAAAAAATTAAATTGATGCATGCAATATTCTTAAATTCAATTAAATTACAAGTAAAAGAAAATCCTGATGAAATAGGAAAAACCACAGCTAATTTTTTTACTATTGACCAATAAGGGGCAGTGATGGTAAAGATGTAGTCCATATTTATATTTTGATATGGAATAATGTTTCCTTTACTAGTTATAGACATACTAACACTCGAACTAACTTAAGTTAATAGCTATGGGAAGCTATCAAAATATTATATTCTTTCTGTTAGCCTTCTAGAACTATAATAAGCAAATCCAATAACAACTCTTTAAGCAGCATTTTCTAATTTGCTATAAGGAGTAAAAAAGGCATTATTAATCCAGACCAAGTTTGTTGGGTTTAAACTTCCAGATTAAGATGGAAAAACCAAAATATATCCATTATTAACAAGTATTGCACAGTTAGAATTAAATGGCGTAGGAGCAACATTATTATATTGGCAGCTAACCAAAGACGTTGGTTAGTTTAAATATAAAGGAAAATTTAATCTTAGCAGATAAACATCTTAGTTAGTAAACTATAATTATTGTGATTGTTATGCTCTAAAATGAATAGTTTACACCAAATAGTGGCAAACAGTATTTTAACTATTCCCTAAATCAAAATCTCCATTTATTCCTGTTACATCACTCATTCCTATTTTAATTGAATAATTTATTTAAATCAAAGTTATTTGAATTAAATTTAACTTTTGAGTGTTTAAATTTAAAACCCATGAATATTTATTTTAAATAATTCCTTAAAATTTTTTTTTTCAAATTACTAAGCGTTTGTTTTTAATTTTATAAAATCTGTGATCTATTAAATAATCATTTTAAACGATTTTTAGTATCGTTGTTGTTCTTGTTTATTAATTTTAATTTAAACAAAAGCATAAAAATGTATTATTATTAAATCCTTTAACAGGTAATTTAAATTTTATTTATTGTTTTTTTGGATAAGAAAATCTAAAATTTGTTTCATTTTTTTTTATAATTTTTTTATTATTTAAAATACAATTTAAATGAATACCTGGATTAAGAATTGGAATGGCATTGATTTCATGTCTATAATGGGTTTTTGCTTCTTAGATAATATCATAAGTGTATATCTATATAGGGATGGAGAGTTAACTATTTAATGGTATGGTTGGGTTCTATATTGATATTGCTATCTAAATATAGTCAGCACTTGTTATTTAATTTGATAGCTGAGAGCAAATGAATTTTAAATTTTAATTTAAAGGTCTGTAGCCTTTAAAAAACCTGCAAGTCATACTAAAATTTACTGCAGATAAACTCAGAGAAGCATCAACTAAATCATATAAAATAATATCAGAGTCATTAAGACTTGAATAACCTCCGTTTTCTGCAAAAAGGTTTTTTGAATCAAGAGAGATAACAGGAAACTCTAAAATGATCTAATCTGTCACTTTTATTGTAACTTAAGGTTAAATTTTGAGCAATATTAAATTCCATTCCCCAGGAATGTTAATTAAGCTTTATACTAGTATTTACTTAAAATCGTTTGAGTATATTTGAAGGTAAACTTGATCTATAGTTTTAAAAGCACTCAAACCCTAAGGATCACAAGCAAGCGAGATTCTAAATGTACCTGGATTAATTCCAAATTATATTCCTTCTTGGTTAATTCCGTTAACTGTTGTTAACACAAGCTCATATCTTTCATTCTTATTCAATTGCTCATTAGGAAGCATTATAATCCTCAAGCTATTTTGAGTATTTGATGTGTTTACTTCCGAAATGCTAAGTATCAAGCAACCTATTTTTTTCCCTACATTTATTTTACTTTCAAATCCACATACATATTTATCATTTTAATTGTAAGGAAATCCTCCTGTATTCTTTCTATTTACAGAATATCTTTTAATTTTTAAAAATTTTGATTAATTGTAAAAACTAAATTTATAAACAAGATACCTGAACAAATCTATTTAAAATTTCCCCTGGTTACCTAAAACGTTGTCATTAACAATCAAATGCATCCTTAAAGGTCCCCTGAAGTTGCTTCTTAAAATATCTTGTTATATATCAACATAATCGACCTCTGGTTACACTAATATTTTTATTTAAAAATTATGAAAATGGATTTCTTTGAAAAAATAAAAGGCATACACATGGTTGAGTATTATGACATACTTATCACAGTATTTGGTGCATTTAAAATTTAATCTATTAAATAACCAGATGTTAATGTATTTGCACTGAAACCTGTGCTTAAAGTTGTTATTTAAAGGCTCTATGTAGTTATTTAAGAAGTAGGTAGATCTACTTTACCAGTTATTATTATATTAGAATTAGCTTAAACTTAATTTATATTGCTTATAACCCACTATAAATTGTTTTAAACACTACAACCAAATGATCCACTATTTGATAAATAATTTGATTATAGCTTAGAGCCATTTTAAAAAGAACTTTCACAGTGACTATAAATTGCTGGGAAATCAGTAGGAAATTAAACTACTATTGAGCCTCCAGCTGGTATAAAATGAGTAGTTGTGAACTTAAGTTGAATAAGGGTCTTGACTGTATTAATCAAAGGCGTCTAGCTATTCATTAAATTTAGTGATACATTACTTAAACTACCAGTCAGTGATTTCCACTGATTTGCTGTTATTTAATTCACAACCCTTCCTTAATACAAAGTTTTTTACCATACATATGAATAGTAGATTGTGTTAGTCTAAGGGACTGAAATTGGTAATTAGCTAACTTTTATATGTTAAAATATTGGTTAGCTTAAATAAAAATAATATTTAAATAGAAATATTTTTAAATTTAAATTAATTTAAAAGTTAATTAATCGTTTACTTATTGAATCATTTATATTTGAGAAAGTTAACGCAGGAATTTAATTAGTAATGTAAACTAAAACATTAGCATCAGGGAATGATAAACATAGTAAAAATTATGTTGCATCACAACCTAGAAAGTTTAAAGTAGGAGTAATAGTTGGAGGTAGCTAAACATAATAAATATCTTAAGCAGAAAAAGCAGTAGTATAATAGGCCCTATTTGAGATCATAGCTACATTAGTACTTCCTACACTTGAGGAAACGCTAAAAATATTTCCTATATAAGGATTAGTCAAATCAGGATTTGGTGTGGAAGTTTGCATATTTAAAAATACATTAAAATAATCAAGATTCAAATTAGAAAGAATTGAACCGTTTATCTGGTCTATAATTTAAACTTCAATTTTAAAAGTAATATCAACAATTAAATTTGATGGATTCATTATCTAAGTCATAAAAACATACATTTCCTAGTCAACTTAAATATTGTCAAAATTGATTATTTCTACTCTAATACTGTCTGTATTGTAATCTTAGGGCTTTAGTCTGCATTTTAACTACTTTCCACTCTCGGCATTTATTGTACTTTTTTAGAAAAAAATAATATTAACAAAAGTTTAAAAAAATAAATTTTTACTTTTAAGATTATGAAAAGTTGCATGCTACTAAGTTATCAACAAAAGGATCATAATTTAATCCTAAATTTGAACTGAATAATCCAGTCCCAGCTTAATTAAAAGTAGGAAAAACAATATATATTCTTCCTCCGCCAGAGAATTTTAAAACGTTTTATGAAAATCTAGCATGAAATAATAACAGATTATACTAGCTTGGAGAGCTACAATATGATTTCACATAAAAGAATACCAACTTTAATGGATTTATTTTGGTATACTTTGTAGACAAGTTAGTATTTCCAAATAAATCAATTAGCTTTACTTAAACTTAATAAACATCTGCCAAAGTCGGATGCTAAATCCCATCTAAAGGGCTTACATATTCTGTAGATATCAGTAAATTATTTTAATTATTTGAGCTTACTACAACAGCAGGATTTGTTTGAGGATAAATTTGTACAGTGAGTTAAGGGGTGTAAGATGTTACTTTGCAGTAAGCCCTAACTTGATTAATTTAGCAATACATAGGCGCATTTTATGTTATGCCATTAGGAATTGAGAAACCAACATCAAATTGAACTTCAATCGTATTTAAGGCAGCTACAATAGTATTTGACTACTAAAATTAAAGTATGAATGGTCCAATATAATTAATTGGGGGATATTCGTTTTATCTGTAATAGTTATCAATAATATTAAATTATTGAAGAGAGCTAATATTATTTGTGATAGGATTATTTGCATTCTAAACGCCAATTATTGAATCAATTGGATTGCCATTTTAATCTAGAGTATAAATGTCGCAAGTAGGATTTATTGGATTCTGTACTGGGTCAGTAAGTAATCTTAATGTAATCGTTAGCTAAACTCCTGAATTTATTAATTTGAAGCCAGTTATTGTGAAAGAGTTTGTAGAATCATTTTTAGTGCATTAAATAGGAAAATAAGATAAACTTTAAAACTGAGGGGATTGCAATTAGCAGTAAAGCTAATATCTACTTGTCTATACAGTTACCCCATTATGAAAAAAGATTTATATAGAACCTGAATCTGGAATGTAGTTTTTTGTGATAAATGATACTGTAAAGTAGTGTTCAGTATTTTTAATTATAAATTATCCTGGATTTGTTACAGTAAAGCTCGCTGTGTTTATTAAATCACTTCCGAATTTTATGTAGAAAAATGCTTTTTTTATTACTCTTTGGTTAAACAAAGCATACATATTAACAGGAAAACTACCTTAAAAGGGAGGAGCTTAAATTACACCTAAAGGGATGACAGTTAGCTGATTATAATTAGGAGGGTTCAATGTTATTGGTTGAGCTTTACTTTCAAGTATAATAAATCCATTTGAAGATGGAGCTCTTACTAAATAATAACAGGTACTTGTTCCACATGTAAATGTAGAAGAAGTAAATATATATTTAAATGAAGAAGGAAAATAGTATAAAACTGTATCAATTGGATTTAGCGTGTAAGAAATACTGAATGATGGTATACTATTTATAACAGCACTGCTTTACAAAACACTAACTTCGTAATCCATATTATAGGTGTTAGGCTAAGATTAAGGGAATAAGATCCATTGTTAATTAATTTGATATAACTATACATATTAAGTAGGCATTCCAGGAGTAATCTAATTTATTGAAAATGTCAGATTTAAGATTGTATTAGGTGCCACAGTTAAAGGAATTTCGCTAATTATGATTGTAACACTGGTGCCAGCCAGTAGAGTCTAAAATCCATATATTTAAATACTATCTTTATATAAATCACATCTGACATTAACTCCTGTTAAGCCTTGTATAAAGCATGAAAAATTTTATATTGAATTCTAGCCAGAAGGGATAACTATGTTAACACCACTAATGAAGTATAATATGAAAACATAATTAGTTGAACTTCCATTCATAGTCAAATCAACAGGACAAGAAAATTTTATTGAAACAACTAAAATTTCTAACTGCTCTAGTGCAAGAGGATTTATCACAGCATTTGTAAGCTAAAATGAATCTGGTACCCACTCTCCATAAAATATTTCCAAAGGAGATGCTACTGGATTATCTGAATTAAATGTTTATACTGTAAATTCGTATCTCTGCAATATTGTATTTACAAGGATACCTTCTTATTACCCTTTATTTAATTTTTTTTTAAAAATTATTTAATATTATTTTTTTAAATAAATTATTTAATATTTTTTTTTTTTGAATAAATATTTTTAAATGAATTCTAAATTTTTAATTGATAAATTTATTTTGTTCTTTAAATTAATTTTAATTTAATTTAGAATATTTTTATAAAAAGATTTATTTATGTATTAATTTTTAATAGGCAATTCAAAATTGTTAATATTAATTACCTGGAATAGCTCCTTCTGTTGTGATAATGAGTGGTATTTCGCTTTAGAAAAACGAATAGTTTGAAGGTGTATATACAGTGATTATAGTTTTTCCAGGTTATGAATTGTTAAGTACACAGCTGGTAGCCATAACTCTTTCGTAAAATAAGCATTTCAAAATTCCATTTTATTAGGTTACAGGCTTCTAAACCTAAGGCACAATTGTAATAACAATTTTTCCCACAGTTAAGCTTGTGGTTGGAGGCAATTGTACATTTAAAAATAATAAAATTTCAATAGGACCTCTCTATCCTGCTTTTAATTTTGTTACATATCTCATTGGATGTGCTCTAAATATCTTAGAAGTACCCTCTTTTGGATAAAGTAGAAAAATAAATAAAGCAATAAATCATTAAAACAAATTTACTTTATGAACCTATTTATGTATTTATCAAAGAATAATCTACTATTTAGTTTGATCCACTTAGCTTTGATATAATTGTAAAGCTGTACTAACCTTTTTAAATGTTTTTTATAATTTAACTTCAAATTTTTATTATCAAAATATAACTTTTTTATTATTCTAAAACTAAAAATAAATAAAATATTCTAATTAAAATTATAACATTTATTTTTAATGTAAATGTAATTTAATTTTAAAGATGAATAGTTTTAAATATATTTAAAGCTTATTTATTTAATATTAATATACCTTAGATTGAAGGTTAAATTATAGGTAATTCAATGATAATTTTCTAGTACGGTTGTAGTTATGTGAAAGTAGAAACAATAAAACTGCTTCCTTAAAGTTAACAAGTATAATCAGCTGGATCATCATCTTGGATTTACAATATTGTACATGTATTAGAGGTTATTTACCATTAGGAGTCAAATTAGATTTGAATATAACCATTATATAGATTGTGTTCAGTTTGAATAGTTAGATAATATACAGGAATGCCAAACGAGATTAAAGTCTTATCAACTGAGGTATCAAGGGAAGCAAAAATTTTCCCAGGTTAAATTTATATCTATCCATCAAATTGGATTGTTTCTACAATTAAATTACTGCTATACTTAAGAAGATCAATTTAAAAGCCCATAAAATAACCAGAGTAGTTAGGATTTATCATGTTAATTATATCAACTTAAACTAAGCCAGAAAGAGGCTAAGATAGCACTAAGCACTCAATCACTCTACCCATATGTAAATTACTAATAGTTTTTTCACATGTATTACCTTATATTCTAACATAGGCTGAACTACTTGTAAAATACTAAGGAAACATTATTCTAATTGAGTGACCACTTAAATAAATTCCAACCAACTAAAATCTATTCAAATTATTGAGTGTTCAAAATTATATTGTATTCTAAATCAATATTAATATTTACTTAAACGAATAACTTGCTCCAGATGATATTTTTAACCATGAAATTGGCGTTACTTAAGCAGATATCATTTAAACTAAGATTAAATATAATTTAAATTATTTTTAATATTATATATTGTATAAATGATTAGTTACTTGGAGGATTTGCAAAAGACTACTTTCCAAATCTAAATTAGCATATTATCTTATTTGAGTTATTATTTATACAGAACTCAAAATCTGAGCTTTATTCATAATTATTTGGATTATCTACTTGACCAAATACAATAGAATTTGTTTTTTGTATAAAAAGTGAACCATCAAAGTTGAATTGAACTGAATTAGAAAATTAATTTATTAAGCAATCTACATTTTAGTAGCTACTTACTCCCTGCAATATTGAAAATATTTAGCATTAGTTTAATATGCTTGGTAAAGTAATTTCTTTAGGAAATTTCAAGCTAACATTTAATTAAGACTTACCCAATGAAGACACGATATTAAATTCATTTTGATTATTTTAAAATGAAAAATCTAATTGGTAAAAGGTCTATTGCCCTTTTGCTGAATTTAATGATGTAATCGATTAAGTAGAAGGATCAGAAAACTCTTAAACGAATTAAGGTTTAATCAACTTGGCAAAGACCGTTAGGACTACCACTATTACCCTGAACATGAAAAAACGTGCTTTATTTAAACCCGAAGTATACTATAAAATTAATTTATGTAAAAATGGATTCGCTCAGTTAATTTATTTAGGTAAGTGAATATTTATTTATTTGCTTATTGAGTATCTTTTAATATTAAAAGTAAAAATTAAGATTTGCTTGTTTATTTGATAAAATAATAATCAATTAAAATTTTGAATTATTAAAATGAAAATAATATTGACATTAATTACATAAAAATAAATAATTGTTAATAATACCAGAATTTTATTAAAATTCAATTTACAGAACTACAATAACCACAAAATAAAAACATTATAAATTTACATAAAGTCTTATTTTCTTTATATATTTCTAAACCAATTTAATAATCAAAATATTTTCTTCTTTAAATTTTTTAATTTTTTACATTTTTAAACAAATTATAAATTATAATCAAAATTCGTTTATTTAACATTTAACTTTTTTTGAATCAAAGGAGTTTTTCTCATTAATTTAACATTTTAAATTATTATAAAACTAAATTTCCATTTGTTATTTATTTTTTATTGATTAAACTTATGTTTTCATTTATTACATAAATTAGTTATGAAATATCTTTAAAATTACTTATTAAAGGAATTAGTTTTAAATGATATTTACATAAATTTATAGATGTTGGCTAAATCATATTTAATTAATTATATTTTTAAATAAATTATTTTCACTTTATTTCATTAGCAGTTTTTATATCTTGTTTTTATAACTACTTTTAGTTTTACTATTAAGAGCTACAATTTTCCAATATGATATTATTTAAAATAGTTACTTCCTTCATTTAATTATTATATTTATTCAACTTTTATTTAAAATAAATATATGAGTTAAATATGTTTAATTTAATTTTTAATTTTACTTTATTTTGAAGTTCTTCTAATTCTTTTTAATCCCTTAAAATCTTTTTCTCATCATCCACTAAAACGCTCGCTCTTTATATAGGGAACCAAGTATAATCAAGCTAAGTTAATTTTTCTTTCACATATGACTCAACACCAGTATACTCAGTGCTATCTCTTTCTTCCAAATAAGCAAGATAAAACATATAATTCCAAATATAGTGATCATTTTTAATGTGTTGTTAAAATCCTTTATCACTTTTTCTATCAAAAAGCTCCCTATTTAATTAATTAGTTTTTTAACATATCTTAAAAATAATCAAATCAATATTTATTTTTGTTTCATTTACATATTATTTATCTTTTAAATAATTAAAGAATCTTTCTTAATTGTAAAAAAAACTAAAAAAAATTATTTCGAATTCTTCAATAAATTCTTTATTTAAAATATTTGTGTTGATGATTAAAAGATTTGATTAAAATAATAATTTTTACCTTGAATTTCCACAAATAAAACACATTTCATTAACATCAATATGTTTTTACATTTAAGTGTCTCTTAGTTACTTAAACGTACAAATAATTAGCCCAGAAAACATTTTAGAAAGAAATATTGAAATCAATATATAGCAAAAGTTGTCAAATAAGAACCTCTCATAATCATAATTATCTAATAAATAAAAATTTTTTTACTTTCTCAATAAAAAATTTGATTAAAATTAATTAGATTTATCAAATTCAGATTGTAAAAAAGCTATAAAACATTTTGTTTGAAAACTTATAAGAAATTGATTTGCTTTAAGACAAATCAATCACAATAAATAAAAAATAAATACTTAAGTGAAACTTTAATGATTAAGTAATCCAAGATAATAACATAATTTAACTTGATGGATGGATTTCAATTATTAAATTTAATTTTAATGAAAAAATATTAATATAATGAATTAATTACCTGTATCCTGAGGTTTAACTCTATTGAGGAAACCTCCCAATCCTCCAATATATTTGTAATTCTAATCAAAAGATTCAAAAAAACAGAGATAAAGACTGTCACATCTATTAGAGTAAGAGTCGTTGAATATTAAGTAGCCAAACACAGTAAAGAAATACATAAATAGTAAAATTAAAATAAAGATTAATATAAGTCCTATTTTAGGATCATAAATCGACTTTAATACGTTTCTCAAAGTTTAATATCTCAGAAAGCATTCTGTTAGATGAAAAGCAAAAAAGAAAGGATGCACAAAAGTAGCTAAAATAGCTAATAAACCAAAAGATAAGTAGTATATAATTTCGAGATTAATCAACAATTTTAGAATGGTAGTTATGATTACAAAAATATAAACTAGCATCTTAATAAAAAAACCTAAATTTTAAAAGTAATTTAATATTTAAATTCAAAATTAAAATATTAAATTACCTGAACTTTTATCAATAAATGATTCGCTACTAACCCATGCTTATTTGAGGTAGAGAGGTCCACGCTTGACTAAAAAGAAGACCATGATAAACATAGAACAAAATACCATAATAAAACCAAAGAGAGCAAAGAGATCTCTTGTATCTTAAACAGAAAGATACCTATCTGTTAACCCTAGTAAAGGATTCATGGTTCTCATATCCCATCTAGTTTCTGAAGAAATTTCTGGCTCTAGATTAGAAGGTTTATTCTTGTCTACATTTAACTCTGAGTAACTTATAATAATGAAAATATTTAAAGTAACTGTTATTATGTAAGCTATTTCTCTCCACATGTCTACATAGTTAGCAAAAATGCTTACTATTTTATTTCTGTTAAAGAACAGACTTAATTTTTCTTCGTGCTTACAAATATCAATCACTTTCTTATACTTGTCAATGACAGCTAGTTTGTTTAAAATTTGTTTTATATATTTAAAAATCTAATTATAATTTTATTTTACTTTATATCTTTGTATGAATAGAATCTCTTATAACATTTTCTTAAAATTGAGATTTTATATCTTTAGGAAGGAAGTGACAGTAAGGATATTTTATAAATCTTACCTTCTCTATTTGATTATTTCTAACTATTTCAATTGAAGCTGAATTCCTTTTAAAAAATTATATTCCCTCCTTGAAATACTTAGCTTCTGTTTCATCTAAGTGTTGCTTTTGTGATTTAGCAATGTTAATTTTTTATGTTATAAACTTGACTTGTTAATACATCCAGCTCAATATTGCATATAAAAACTTTGTAAATTTTCCTATAATGTTTTACTCAAGATCAAAGATACTTCCCTATATTAACAAAATAAATTAAACTAAGTATAAAAATTAAATATATTAAAATTTATACTTTAGATTCTTTGAAATCTTTCTGTATTTCACTTAGTTCGTTTATTGTCTACAAATCTAGATCTTAATTTATGTTTCGATTCTTCTCTGAAGAATTTGATCTATTTTATAAATTTTAAATAATAATCATTGTATGATTTAATTTATTTTTTTTAATTACGGTAATTCTATGTAACAACTGATTAAAAAGTAAATGTAAAACCCAGTTTCTGTAATTAATTCGTAATACTTTCTCTATTGTTTTGAATTAAATTTAGGTGGATCAGTCTGAGCCTTTTGGTTAAATAATTAAATTTATACTAAAAATAATTATGAAGTTGTATTTATTTACATGACCTAGAGATTGCTTAACATATTAGTCTTAATAAATTTTTTTATATCTCTTAAAGATTGCTGTAATATTATTTTTAAGAGTAAATAAAGGTAGAGATCTCATAATTCTTTTAACGACTTCTGAATCGTGGTTAAACTCAAGCAAACTGTTAATAACTATCATGATTTTATATTTAAGATTTTGTAGTTACCACTTATCAAGATTATTAATAAACTGCTCTTATTTCTGGGAAAGATTATTCTCATTGAAATTTAATCTATCAAAATTAGTGATTGTTTTAGCTTAAAGCTAATTAATCAAATACTATGATTAATAATTATCAACTTAAACAGTCTCTTTTCTTGATAAGACTACCAAACTATTTTGATTTTTTTTATTTCTATGAGACTCATCTTTATGGAATAATTAGCTCTTGAAATTATTTGTCGTTTAATTTTATTCTTAATCATTGTGGAGACCTTATTTTGAATTTTTATTGCTTATTTCTGTATTTAAAATTTAATAAGCTATCTCAAGGAATTTTGAATCAATTATTTTTTCTTGATTTTCATGGCAAGGACCTTAGACAAATTTTGTTAATAAGTCAAAACAAATAATCATGTTCTTAAAGTTAGATTTCTTGAGCTTAAGTTAATCAAGCAACTAATTTAATAGTAATTAAATAATTAATTTTTATTTTTCATTAAAATTAATTAAATTGGAATCATTTCATTTTTGGCTTTTCATTAACAAACTTTTGTCATTTCTTTACCAATAATTTTTTTCAAAAATGAATAGAAGAAAAATTTCAACTTTTCTCATTTAATTTTAAAATATTTTATATTATTTTATGAATGAATTATTTGTAAATGAATTAAACCAAAAAAATAAGATTTCCTTTTATAATAATAATTTAATCAAAAATTTTTGTTAAAGTTAGTTTACTTCAACTGTAATTGTGATGATATCATAAGAGTTCCTGTTTTGAGATTGAAATCTTAAATAATTTTACAGAGGTAAGTAGTGTCCCTCACAAAAGAGTTGTAAAAGATTTAGTAGAGAAATTAATAAGTCTTATTTGTAAATATCCTGTGAGCTATTTTCAATTTTTTCTTCTTAGTTAGTTTCTAATTTGAGTTCTTAATTTTCTAAAATTTTATCTGGAGGACTTTCAAAGTTAAATTAAGGTGATTCATCTCCATTCTTAAGTTTATTTCTCTTTTTTTAATTGAGACCAGGACTTGAAGGTTAAGACATTGATTTATTTTTCTTCCTTTTATTTTAATTTTCAATTTATTTTTCTAAAAGCAACTTAGCAGCTTAAGAACTTTCTTATTCTTGTTTGTTAATTTCTTTTAACTTTTCTATTTATTCAAGTAATATGGTATAGAATGTTTAAAAAATAATTTCGCTTTTAGGGTGATTGATAAAAAAATTATAAATCGTTTTTTAAACTTTCTTATTTCCTCCCTACAAAAGTTTGTTCATAAAATTAAATAGATTCAACAAAACTTTATCGTCCTCAAAGGGATTTTCTTTGATATCTGATATCAAAGTCAGTACCATGATAGCAGCGTCCAGCTAATCAAAAATGTTCTACATTTCAACTAATTTTTAATTGTTATCTTACAATTCCAAAATTTTTTCAAATAGCCTCAAAATATTTTTAATATTCTTTATTTACACTTAATTAACTATACCGTTCTTTACAAAAGATATTAATTTTTTTAGAAAATCTTTGAAGACTATTTTTCTATCATACAAATTTTCTACATTTATTAAAGCTTGAGCTAATGAAGAAAGCTCATTTTCTTTTTGTTCATGCAAAATCGAACTATTGCAGCAAATACCTAAAAATATTGACCAATTCTAAGATGAAATCCACTGTAAACTGCTATCTACAAAATCTAATTTTAAACTGCCTTCATAATATGCATTCTATTTATTCATAAAATTGATTTCATTAAAATTTAAAAAAAAAGAACAAATATTTTTTAGGGAAAAATAGAAAATGAAGCTATTACAAAATAAATAAATAATCATAAAAATCCACTTTTATTATTTGTTAAATTTAGTTTATAAAATTAACTGCTACTTTTTATTTTAAAGTTTGAAAAAAATGACTAATTTTCCCTTAAAGAAAATTTTACTTCATCTTTATTGCAAATCTTTCTCTTTGCAGGTGAGGGGATAACTTAGCTATCTATATTTTTAAACTGTGTTAGAAAATCTTATTCGCCTATAACTTTGTAGCAATTCTAAAAATATAAATAAATTTTATGAGCTAATTAATTATTTATTAACATATTGTCCTTACTTTTATGAAATCCATAATTAAAGCAAGTTAATAGCTGGTACATCTTTAATGAACAAAAACTCTTCTTGCAACTAATGTCTAAACCATTTCATGGAATAGTAATATATCTTCTCTTTCTTTTATATCTTCAAGTTCATCACCATTTTTTGCTATTGCTTTTAAATATGCTGAGCTAAATTCAATAAAGCCTTCACAAAAATATTCTAAATATCTCTCAATAAGAAAATCCTCTTTGTCTAAAGGTGCCTATCTAAATCTATTAATCTCTATCCTTATAAAGTAGATAATATTATTCAATTCTCTTAATAAGCTCTCCAAATGTGGCTAAATATTATTGAAATTAAAATTTTTACATACTATTATTAAAATTTCAAAAGCAGTATAAAAATAATTTATCAATAAAAATTTTTTTATAAAAAACTAAAAAGCTTTATGGTACGCTTGAAGGATTTAAATAAGCCTTTCTTATTAAGATCAGAGCTTTAGGTTTAATTAACGAAAAACCTTCCTCCTATGTTTTTACTAAGTATAAGACGGACTTATCGTAGAGAGAGCGCTCTTACAAATGTTAGTCCTAAAAAAGAGGGTTAAGTTATTATTAGTCTTAAAACATATGAGGTATGTTGATTGGAGATTATGAAAGAAAATCATCTTCTTTTAAAAGAAATTTAAATATATATTACAACGAAAACATTTTTTTAATTTTGTTTATATTTAAATTATATCCTTCATCTCCATCTATCGAGTGAATAAATATGTCAAGCAGCATAGCATGATAATAAAATGGTGCATCTAGCATAAAGTTTTTTTTATTATAATGAAATTCACTGCTATTTTTAAGGTCATCTTCTTTTTTATCACCTTGATTTAATAAGAACTAGTCAACTTCATCATCAATTTAGTTGTTATGAAGTGATAAATCAAAGTTTAAACTTTGATTTTCATCTAATTAACCATATAAAAGATAACTATATTCACTTACTTCATCTTTTTCTAGAAATTCTGATGGAATAAACCATCTGAAAACTCTAATTTAATTTTCTATCAAATGGAGAGTTACACTTTAATCTTAGCTTTTATAGGATTGTATAATTTTCAAAATTTAAATAAACCTGTTTTATATAAAGAAATTATTTATTTATAATTAATATACCTTTGTATTAGAAAAAAGTAAAACTTTATTGTTTAATGACTTTAAAAAACGTTAAAAATTTTAATTAAATATAAAAGATTGATTATCATACAAATTATGATAGAATAAAAATAGTTCAGCATATTTTTTAATTCTTTTAAAAATTATCTGAAATAAAATATTTTGAGAGAAGAAATTATAAAATTTAGATATTGAATTAATTAAAGTAAATAAGTTACCTTGGTTATCTTCCAAACTAATTAATGGCTGTCTTTATCTAATTTAGTAAAGAATCAGGAAATGAAGAACAGAGAGGTTTGTTGTTAAAGTATATTGCATTCAATAAATCAAATTATCCAAAATCAATAGAAATTTCATCAAAAAAGAGACTTAAATATTCTGGCTTTGCTAATATTTTCTAATTATCTTCTATGTTGTAGCAAAAATGTACTAAAATAGAATACAAATATCTTAGTAGTTAAACAATTTTAATTTTAGAGTCAGCTGATACATCTTACTATTTCACAAATTTTACCATTTAATTTTAGGAGTTTTTAATCATTTAAATAATAGGATTATGCCCTTTAAATTATAAGCAAAAAATTATTTAAATAAATAAATATTTATTAATGAATTTAGTAAATTAGATATTTAAACATATTAATTAAATCTACTTATTGCTCATAAAGAAAAAATTTTTATGTATAAATTAAGCTTCTCTTTTAGAAGTAAATTCCATAAAATTAAACAAAATGATGTTGAAAGATACAAAAATTTTAAATAGTTTATAAATTTTTTTTGTAATTATAAATTACCTTGTAAGAATGTAAATATCTTTTATCTTGTCCTATCTAATTCTTGATTACACTCTTGCTGTATTTGTTCAATAAAATAAGGATTTGTTTACTTAGATAGTTGAGTTTAATACTCCCTGAAAAACCTTGAAATAATTAAGGTACCATTTTCATTAGCCCTTGTTGATGAAAAGAATAGAGAATCGATGTTATGTAAAATTTTAATAATTTCATTTAATTCCTTGATTTCGTTGCCTCCAATTTATGTTTGCTAAAAATAGTTATTCAACCAAATTTCTGACCTCTCTGTTAAAAATCTTAGCTTGTGAATTTGTACTTAAAGAAACTAAAAAAATAATTTTAGATTATGAAAAAGACTAGTTTAAAATAGTTACTTTGAAAGGAAGGATGTCTTATCTCTAAAAAAGAATTTCCAAATTTTAGAGATACTAAAAGAGTTTTTCAGTTTAGGTTGACTGATTAAAAATTACTTCTAAAATTTTATCTTCAAGAACACTGTCACCAGTTAGATAGAAAGTTGTTAAAAGAGAAGGTAAAATTTCAGATGATATCTTATAATTTAAAGATAAAAATAAATAATTTTTTCTATTAATTTATTTAAATTTTACTATGCTGTCTTTTTTTCCTGTGATTAAAGTGTCAAGATCTGGAATGTAAATTTCACTTTAATCTGTGTAAACTTCAAATTTTTTAGGTTTATTCCTCTTTTACTACTCAATAAGTAGCTATCCTTTCCACATCTTTTCAAGCTATTTATTTATTATGTTTTTCTTTTCTAACGGCTTGTACAAAAGATCTAAAAATTCAATCCCTGTTTTACAAACATTAGGAATGACAGTACTCAAATCCTCTTAAATCACTTATTCTAAAGTTTTTTAGTATTGCTAGTAATCTGTGATGTTTTTAAATTTATCAGATTTCCCTAAATTAAAGAAATATATTTTAAGTTTATAATTTAAAAAATTAATTTTTATAGATTTTAAAATTTTTAAACGAAAATTTAATTCAAAAAATACAGTTATTAAATTAATTTATCTTAATAATATTATTTTCCTCAAGGTAAAAACATTTTAAGTTTCAAAAATTTTTTTCAATTTCATTTCATACTTGGTATAGTTTGAAAAAACAACTAATATTTTTTCATCATCGATGATATTTTTATATTTATAAAATTTAAATAATATTCTATTTTATCTTTTTAAATTATTTGAATCTAAAAAACCAGAAATTCATAAAGATAAACTATTGTTAAATTTAAAATATAAAGAATTTATCAAGATAATTAATTGAAAATAGGAATTACTTGTCTAATTATGATTTATTTAAAAATTTTATTCTTTTAAAAAATATTTTTTATTGTTAAAATAAAAGTGGCATTTACCTAATTTATCAAACCAGCCAAGAAAATTAGCTATTAAGAAATCCATTCTGTGGCTTTAACAGAATAAAAGTATTTCACAAATCTCGAGCTTTGTGCTGATCTCTATTTATAATTTTTTGACATCTTTATTCTAATCTTCATCTCCTTGCTTAATCATTTACATCAAGCTTACAAGACCTCCTACAAGAGGATTAGAAGAGAAAAAATTTTCATTAAATTGAAGAATTTCCTCTTCAATGATTTTTCTTTTTTTGTAAGTTATTCCCATGAATTTTCCAACATATTTAAAAGTTTTCTGGGTGTATTTGGTAGTTTTTTCAACTACTTCTGCTGCTGCTTCTTTCAACTATATTGAAATTAATACTGAAATTAATAAAAATTACTTAGTCAATGTATATTACTTTTTTCTGAATTCCTTTAATACCAGCTATTAATTTATTTTCTTGTATGATATTCATTTGCTTTTCATATCGTTCTTCTCTTTTTTTGCTCAAAGATAGAGTAATGTTATAGTTTTAATAGTCATATTCAAATAGTTTAACAAGATTGCTGATTATTAAGGTATATTGGTCACTCTTTTACAAAATCGTTAGAACATTCAGTTTAATCATAGTAACAAGCATTTTTACTATATTAAATGTTAAAGCACTTGACAATCTATTTTCCATTTAATACTACTCTACGTTATTATCTAAAGGAGCAGTGTATTTATTACTCCAATTCATTATTCCTCTAATTCTACTGCTATTTTAATTATCTGGATTTAATTGGTTAAGTTTGGACTAGATTTCATCATATTTGGTAATAATTTATTTAATTTCATTCTGCAAGTATTCTATTGAAAATGTTAGTAACTTTGAAAAGGATTCTCTTTTAGCTTCAAAACTGTTTTCATTATTTGCACTTTAAAAATTTACCAAATCTGTTGTAGAATAAATAGATGGCATCTGTTCTACCTCTTTTTGCTTATAATTACTATAAATTCGACACATCTAAGGTCTACTTATTTCATTCAACGGTTCTTAGTCTATATAAAGACTCAAAGCTAAATTACAAAAAGCACTTCTTGCTTATTCATGCAACGAGTTTTCTTAAATTTACTTAGTTATATAATCAAATGGAAAGATTGACATCATTTTATTACTCCATAAATAATTACGGCCCAAGCATAAATCTGAGAAAAATTCAATTTATTAAATTAAATACTAGAGTTTAGAGTTTATTTCTACATCTTAATCCTTACCAAGCAATTTTTCATCTAAAATCACCTGCCTTTAATCAGAGAATTTTATTACCATTTATTGTAGCTCATCAAGCTTCATTTCAATAAGTAGTTGCTATTCGAAGCCTGGTATGTTATCCAAAAATTTGTACATAATTTCTTAATTAACTGAAACTCCTTTCCTTTTGTAAGAACATATTGTTCTGAAAAATTTTAATATATTAGGATTTCTTTTATCTAAGCTGTCTCTTGCTAAATTAACAAAAAAGACTAAAATATTATCTAATTTAAGCGTTTCTTCTACACTTTATGCATTTTCGTTTTGTTTTATTGTCAATGGACTAGCTAATTGCTCACTGTTTCTGCCTATTCCAACACTCAATTAATTGCTTATGGCATCATTGAAGAACATCTAATTTTTTATTTAGTTTCCAAACAGCAATCCTTTCTAATTGTCATTGTTTCTAAATTTATTTAAAATTTAGTTAAAAATTTATTTTAATTCTTTAAAAATAAATCAAATAATTTTGAATTTTTTTCATGAATTTTTTATTCAAATAAATATCTGTTGAGTTTAAAATTACCTTCGTTTTCTTTCTGCTATTCTGATATCGTCGCATAAATCGTTAATGATTTTTTCATTGTTACCTATAATTTGAATTATGCTGTCGATTGCCTCCTTTAAAAATTTTGCCTAATACTTTATGTCTTTTATTTTTTTGTCAAACAAATACCTTTCATTTTAAGGATTTTATTTGCAAATAGAAGTAAGGAGTTAATATGCCACTTTGACAATAGAAAGTTTGAATTTTATATAATTTATATGGAATTTGCGGTGTCTATCTTATGCACCAGAAACAGCGTTATATAAAGCTTCTGAATCTTGCTTTGAGAGTACTCTTTTGGGTGAAGATTTTTAATGCTTTTTAATAAGCTAATCTTCTAAAAGTTACAAATTAATGCTGTTATTTTATTTAACTAAGCAATTTTTAATTTTGTCAGCAATTTTTACTTTGATATCGGTTATTCTAATTTTCTTTAAATTCTCTAATTCACTCTTTGAAAGAAGTTCTTTAAGAAGCTAAATCACTATATCAATGTAATACTATTCGTACAATACCTTCTATCTGCTGTAGTTTAGCTTTCCATAATTAGAAGATTCATAATCTAACGAAGTTGTTATTATCTAATTTTTACAGAATTTATCTAAATCTTCCAAACAACTTTTTAAAAGAGATAAATTCCTTTGCAAATCAGCATATTCTTAAGAGTTTTATAACACTTGAACCTCTTTTCCTTTAACTTTTTGTAATTTAAATAAAGACTACCTCAAAATAGGAAAACAGCTTATGAGAAAATTAGCCTCAAGCACTTCAGTCATAGTAGCACGTATAACTTTAAAAGCATCATCGTCCAAAGGCTACTAATATTTTATTTTCAAAAGCAAGCTTCCCTTTATAAATTAATTTTAATACTAACCAGTATTTGTTAATGCACTTTCTTCTTATTTTTATCTAATATGTATCCAACCCTAATATAATTATAATTAAAAATATATTGAAATAATAAACTAATAAAATACCTTTAAGTAGATTGATTTGATAAAAAAGAATGAGTCTTTAGCAATGTAAATCATATCTTTTTATCTATCTGCCGTGCTAATCGGAGTAAACATAAATAAAGATAAAACATCTGGAAATTCAGAAACTTTAAAAGTTGCTTACTCTAAGTTTGACATACATGGATTTAAGCTTAAGTATTTCCCAGATGAGAAATTTCTATTAAATAAAAATAAATTTATTTATTTGAATAAAATTATTTTTTTTTAATCAAAAAATAAAAAGCTAACATGTTTCTTTATATTATAATTAAATCACAAAATTTAGAATAAAGCATCAATTATAATTAAAGATAGATAAAATTTTGGTTGCATTAAAGGCAAGGAATAAAATATTTAATAATAATTTAGTATGATTAATTAGAACAAATTGCTATTAACTTCTTATTTATATTATTATATTAAGAATGTATTATTATTAATCATATTTGTATTTTTACTATTTTACTATAATTTATCTAAATAAAATTTTAGAAAAAATTAATTAGTTATAATTAAAAAATAAAAACCAAAAAAAATAATAAAAAACATTTTTTTAAATTTGATAAAATACTTTCATAAATTTGATAAAATACTTTCATAAATTTGATTATTAACTCATTTCAAAAGGTATATTTTTTGAGTCATTTATTCTTTAAAAATTGAAAAATTAGTTTATAATTGCCTGAAATGAAAATATCATCCATCTTTAATTAAATCATAAAAATTAAATTTACCTTAAAAAAAATCTATCTTCCCATGTCATTAATCCGCCTTAAGTAAAATTTTCGTTCTCAATAATCCACATACCATTTGTATTTCCTTCATATTTGGAAGATTAATCTTTTTTTGAACTTGAGTCTACTGTAACATAATTATAATTGTTATAGGTATTTTCTGATTTTTTAGATATGATAGTAAATCCAGTTTCAACATGATTAAGCCAAATCACATCACCATATTACAGAAAATCCTACTATCCACATGTATTTGCATATAATATTATTCTCCATTTGGTTTTTTATTCTAAAGAGGCGTTTGCTTCTTAATTTGAAGAATTTTTGTCTGCAAAACAGATAATATCTTTTTCTTTTTATTAAATAGTTGTATTTGTTGGCTGAGCATCATTACCAGTCTTTAAGGTGTTTTACTATTATAACTAATTCTCTTTTTAAATCATTTAAGTTGTTCTCCTATCTTATTACTATTTTTCTCCAGTATTTTCTATGAAACTTCTTTAAATCTTAGATAAACCCCTATAATTACCTTATTAATTCGTTTAAGTATTGTCTTTTGCTCCTAAAGTATTTCTTTTAGAATACTATTTAAAAAGTAAAATAAATATTAGATTTTAAGTTAAAAATTACTTATTTTTAGAGTTGAGTTTGCATAAAAATGTTTGATATTAATTAGTGGTCATCGTTAATACTATTTATTGTTTGTGTTTATTCTTAATTTTAGTCAGAACTTTGCTCAAATCCAATGTTTTAAGACTTCTGCTAAGATTAATTTTAGTAAAGTTCTTAGTAACTTTTTAAATTTTCATCGTGGTTTTTATCCTTTTTTTATTAATTTTTTATTATTAATTTTAAATAATCTATTATTTAATTAATTACTTCATAAATTTCAATTTAGGAAGGAACAGTAAGAGTGTTATTTTTTTATAGCGTGAAATTATTTTATTACTGTAAATTTACTTTATTTTTTTAATCATTATTTGTTGTTGTAAAGGAGTTCCCTGTTCCCAATTGATTAATTTTAGGCCTCTCATTTAAGAAATCATTTTATGATTTATTATATTTCCCTTACTTATTATCAAGGTCATTATCTTTTAACTATTCTTATACTTTTGAACTATGCAAATAAGGCTATCTACCTAAATAACTTGCAGCTGATGTTATGTAAACAACATCCTTCAATAAAACTATACTTTTTTATTTAGAATAGAATTAAATAATATGTTTCAAGTATTCATTTACCCTTCAGTCCTTTATTGATGTGTATAGCATGGCTGTATTTTAAAAATTGTGCTTTTAGAAGAAAACTGTTACAACTCTAATCCAAAATTTTAGTTCTCTATTTCTATTTTTATAAAATTAATTTGTTTAACAAATAAATATTTATATGTGTTCTTAGTTATGAAATTTGATTGAAATTTTAACATATTCGTTTGGTTTTGCTATTGTTTTATAAACTTTAGATAAAAAATAACTTTTTAAACATAATAAAAAATAATATTATTTCATTTTATACATAAAATACCCACTTTATAGCATTTTATAGGAAATCTTTACTTTTTTAAAATCATCTAAAATTTAAAAATTATTTAACTAAAGTTCCATTAACAAACTGAAGAGTTATTCTTGAAAATTTATACTTTCAAATTATTGAATATTTATCATTATGAATATTATTGTTTATTTAGCTATAATACTATAATTTAAAATTTATGAAGTGTGGTTTATCCAAAAACTAAAATACCTGATTAAATAAAGTTGCAAGTTAGAAAAGTATTAGAAGCAACATGTAGTAGTTGAAGTTCTTAATTATAGCTCACAGGAGTTCCTTTTAATTTTTCAAATACATCCATGTTGTGCTTGTATTCTTACATAACATTTGCTTCAAAATCCTACTACTTTTGTTGTTCACTCTTTTCTTTTTTACTAGTGTAAAATTTAGATTCGGTTGTCTGCTTTCTGAAAATTGGATTCGTTGTGTTCCTTTTGGTCTTTTCAAAGTCTTTTGATTTTTCAAGTAGTTCTCTTAAGTATTTAGATTTAAATGAAGGATACACCTTGAATAAACATCTATCAAACACAGATCCGCTACCATCAAAAGATAAATCTTTGATGTAAGCTTAATTTTTGACAAATCCATCTGACATAATGAATTTCATGGGTTCTTCAAATGGATTAAGAGAAATAATAGAGCCAAAAAGTAAAGGATCCTTTTAATTTAAATTTATATGCATTTCTTTCTTCCTATCATATCCCATAAAATTGACTAAATCTGGTAGCTTTATCTGCTAATAACCTTATTTAGAATTCGTGGTATTATCAATATAAGTCTATGAATTATATCGAGGTATGAAGAGATTTCCTTAATTCTATTAATTTATTTACTGTTATTATTAATAATTGTTTTGCTCATCTGTTGCTTATGTTTTTATTTCAGCATTCATATTTGGTGTAATAATTCTTTATGATCTATTAATTTAAGATTAGTTTAGTCCTTTTAACAAAAATTGGCTTTGCCTTGCAGATACTATCAGATTTAGTGGTAACTTAGGAGGAATCTGTTGGGAATCCCTATTTAATAAATCTATGTTGCTTTGATCAACCTATGCTTTTTATTTTACATTTTTTTATTTTCTTAACTGTTTAGTAGAGCTCTAATTTCAAATATGAATTAATAACAAATCTAATACTTTGATTGTAAAGAGGAGAATATTATTTTTCTTGCTATGTTCTCATTCTATTCTTATGTGTAAAAAAATTCTCTTAAAATTTGAAGAAGCAATTCCTTTCTTGTATTTGAGTATTGACACCTGCTACTTCTTTTCACTAAGAATCAAATAACTTACTAAATCTACAAAACGTTTACACAAATTGTTTGTAAATTTGTAATTGAATTTTATTAAATTGTTAATTATTCTTAAAAATTAAAATCTTAGTAAAAAAACAAATTAAGCAAAATTTAATATAAAATATCTGTTTTTCTTAAAATTACTTACAAAGCTAATTCAACACTTTATTATAAATAGTATTAAGTAGAAATCTATTTTTATGTTTATCAGATTTTAATTTACAAAATTATTTTTCTAAAAATTCTATTTTATAACAATTGTTGAAATATATTCAATGCGTAAATATATTATGCAACTTATAAATTACAAAAAAATAAGAATTTATTTTTATAAAATAATATTTAATAATTTAATTGTTTCCAATAAAGCAAATAGAATAAAACTTTTTCATTTTTCTCATAAATTATAAAAATATAAAAGATATGCAAAGGTTGCCATCAAATCCTAAAAGTGTACAAAACTAGAGATAAAATACTTAAAAACTACAAACCTCAACTGTAAAAAGCTTAGTTAAAACACTAAATACTAAAAATAATACATAATAAACCCTTAAGCCAAATAATTTACATATTCTATAAAGCTCTCTAAATAGTTTAGCAAGAATAAAGATAATCCCTCAACTTTTGCAGTAATTAAATTAGTATATTTTTATTGAATAAAAATAATGATTTAGAGTAACAGTAAAAGGATAAATAAGCTCAAGAAGCGATGTACAAAATCTAAAACGTGAAGAAGTAGATTCTATCACATAGATTAATATTGGAATATGGTAAATATTTAATAAAAGCAATAATATATAACTTATAAAAAAGGAAATAGAAATTAACCGATGATCTTTTGTATCAAATAACCTCTAGTCTCCAAAACATGCAAAATATAAAATAAATCCATCTTACTCTAACGTAATTTATATCTCATTAATTATTTTATTTTTCAAAGTAGAATCTTTAAAAAGCCAAAAATTTCTATCTTATTATTAATTTCCCAATATATATTTAAGATCCTCCGTTCACTGAATAATCAATAATTAAAAATAATTAAAATAGCGATAATAAAATATCAAATTAAGGCACACAGCAAATGTTAGAATGTGTTAGTAAACTATAAAATGTAGAATACTTCTCTCTCACGCTAACGTAAAATTGAATCTAGTTGATTAAAAAAATTAAAGCTTTTTATGAATTTATTTAGAGGAAATCCTATAGACAATAATGTATGCCAGCATTTTGAAAAGTATCTACCTATGTTCTATAATTTAAAACACCTAACGATATATATGAGGTAATTAATTTGATTTAATTTATCTGAATATAATAACGTTTTAGAGATCTAATAAAACAAAACAAAAATGTATTTTTCATTATTGTAATAAAAAAATATGCTTTAATAAAAAAAATAAATCTAAAAATGAAACTTTAAAAATTAAGATTAAATTTTCAATTATAGTTTAAAAATGTACAAAATAAAATGTTTTAAACAATTCAATTCAGCTAATTGATCAGAATTTATTAAATATTTTTATAAAACAGAAATTCAAAAATAGTTGATTGTGATAAAATTTGTAAAGGGTTAGTAAATTTATCATAATTAGAAAAATTGTCTTTATATATGTAAGAAAATTAAGTTAATGATATAACTTTATAATAGCTTGTAAGTTAACTTTAGAAACAAAGTACTCTCAAATTCCTTTTAGTAGATTTTCAGTAAATTAATTTGATTAATTTAAAATATTTTTTAAATTATAAATTATTAAAAATAATAAATAGGTCTAATAAAATAAAATCAATCAATTATTTTTTAATGAATCTTCAGAATCTAAAAACTTTATTGAGTTTAGATGCTAATTTCAAGTATTAAATTAATTTTATGTATATTTTATTAATTTGATTTTAAATTTATTTTAAAAGGGGAAACCTTATTTAATTTGATAAAGCATCTCTTGAGTAGTTAAAAAAACTTTAAACAGAGTTATTTTACTTGGAATCATGCAAAATAGTTTTAAACGAAAACTAAGAAATAAATTTTCCAAAAGCCTTAAGAGTTGCTAAAATAGTTACTATTATTTAAATTATAGCATATCAAAAGTATTTAACTAGGTGCTAACAATGGAGTCCTAAAAAAATCTTTTGGGATTTGTTTATCGAATGAATTTAAAAATTTAGCTTTTATTATAATTTTATTAAAATTAAATTTGTTTTTAAATATAAATTCATAGATTTAATATAAAAACAGATAATTTGAATTATAAATTGTTTATTGATAAATTAGTATATTATTTTTTAATTGCTTATTAATTATTTTTTATTTAATTAATTTAATTTAAAAATAATATTTTTTTGATTTCGATTAAAAATTAATTTATATTTAATTATCATTTTAATGCTTGATTTTATTAGGTTTAAGATCAACATAAAATTATTTTTAAATTCAATTTATAACTTGAATTTTAAATAAAAAAATAAAGAAATAATTAAATAGAGTAGAAATAAGGACAAAATAGCACTTTAAAAAAATTTCATCTTTATGTTAACAATTTTAATCATTAGAAATAGATTAACTTTATCAAGTATATCTTTCTTTTATTTTTCTGATGTTTATAATAATTTTGAAATAAAAAAAATATTTAAGGATCTAATAGGAATTGGTTGAAATCAATCTATCAATAAACAAATAAATAAATAAATATATCAAAAAAAATGAAAAGATGATAAGTATTGGTATCAATAAATAATAGTAAATATCTTTGATTTAGCCATAAAAAATAAAATTTTTCTTTGTGAAAATAAAAATGCGTATAAAGTCAAATAAAATAAAAATAAAAGAGATTACAAGGCAAGACTAGGCAAAGGCATAAAAGGATTGATTATAGATAGCAAAGAAAATAAAAGAAAATATAAAAAGGAAAGAAGAAAAATCATCATGATATACCTTAAAATTATTTAATTGGTATTGATAAATAAAATTAATAGTCTTAATAATTTGATAGTAATAATACTAATATCATTAATAAAATAGCTAAACAAACCAGCAGAAATAAAAAACAAAGTAAGCTTAAGCAAAACCAAGCTAATAAGTAAAAACAGAAAGGTAAATAAAAACATTACATTTTAGTTAGACTAGGAAAAAGAAAAAAACTTATAAAATAATTTTTAAGCTTGTTAATTAATTAACATCAAGAATTGAAATTAAGATGGAGAGATAATATTAGCAAGTAGAAATGATTGCAGCAAATTAGTAAATTTATTATTATTGATTAAAAAGGATTGCGATGGACAAGGAAAGTGGTGTATCAATCAACGAATTCGTCATTTAGGAAGCTAAGGAAAAGAGCTATGAAATTGAGGTTAAATCTCTTAAGGAGTTCGAAGCTGAAATGAATAGCATCGTCGAAAAGGAAGTAGATTAAATTAAATCTGCTATGGAAAAAAGATTTAGATAAGTTGAAATGGATCACAGAATCAAGAGATCAACTGCAATTAACAATTCCAGATTATAAAAAATGGAAGTCAGAAACAAGGCTATGATGAAAGTATTTTCAGATGCTCAATACAAGGTCTTTTAAAAGATCCAAAGTGATCAAGCATTTTACAAGAATTTCCTCAAAAATTTGATGGTTTAGGGTTTTATTAAACTTTATGGCGAAGAAAAAATCATCATCCGTTGTCTTAAAAGAGATGAAGGCCTTTGCAAGGATATTTTGAGCAGTGCAGTTAGCGAATACATTAATTTAATTAAAAAAGAAATGAACCACACTATTAAATTAAATGCTGTTGTTGATAATTCACGTTTTTTGGAAGAACGTGCTCTTAAAGACAATAGTAGTGTCTCTCTCAATGATTTTGATATTGCATTAGGTGCTAAAGAGGTTGTTGCCAAAAATGAAGATGATAAAAAATGTTTTGGTGGTATTTTGCTCACCAATCAAGCAGGTGATATTATTGTCAAGAATACTCTTGATGTCCGTTGTGACCTTGCCTTTTAAGATTCTCTCCCTGATATTCGTTCTTACATGTTCCCTAATCCTGTCGTTAAAAAACCCTCTGCTCCCGTCAAAACTCATCATTGAAGCAAAATGATATAAAAAGATATATCACCTTAGAAATCCATAAAGCAAGCAAGCAAGCAAACAAACAAATAAGCAGCAAAAATAATAAAACTAATTTATATTCTGTGGTATTTTGAAAATAAGAATGTTAAAAATATGATTGCAATTTCAAATTAAATATGCATAGAAAAGATATCTCATTAAATTTTAGTAGCTTTTTGGGTTATTATCTATAATGTATTCTAAAATTACAATTTTTAAGGTGTTTTTATTATCATTTAGAATTTCATTTTACAATACAACAAACAAATAAAACAATATTAAATTCTAGTTTTATTTAATAAAAGGTACTTATATTATATATAATTTTTAGATAATTTATTAAATAAATTAAGGTATATTAATACTTTATTTATTAATTTAAATTTTTTTTAAGTTAAATTGCAAATTTAAGTTTACAAAAAAATGGAAATCTTTAAACATAATTTGGCTTGAAATATTTATAATTTATTGAATTTTAAAAAGTGTAAACTTAATTAGAGTTCAATATATTTTCATCTATAAATAAGGAAATAGAAATTTATTTAACAATCTTAGAGTTATTTTTTGTAAATTAATTAAATAATACTTAAATTTCTACTTAGCATTACTATAATAAAAATTAACTTTACAAATACTTTTATCTTCTAAATTTTTCTTTAATCTTGATTCTGTTAATTAGTAAAATAATTAAAATATTTTTTTTTTTAACATCATTAAATTATCTAAAAAAAGTAATTTTTGTCTACTGAAAGAAATAGCTAATATATACATTTCTTTAAATTTCTTATTATATAATAGTAAATAGCTAATATTATTTTATCTTTAATTTAATTTAAAATATATATTTAAAATTTTGTTGTATATCTTCCTATTGAAAAAAGTAAGTTAGCAAAAAAAATAAATAGATAGATAAGTAATTTAACAAAAAATTAAAACAAATAAATTAATTATAATAATCTTAATTTTAATCTTAAAATAAATATTCTTAACTTCCTTAAAATTCTATTAAATTCTAATCAATTACCAGTTTATTGAAGTATTTAAAATATAATGTTAAAAAAGTATTAAAAATAAAATTACTGATAAATACTTTTTATTTGGAAAATTTATTTAATTAACTTAAATAATTACATCATAAATTCAAATTAAAATATTTGTATAAGTTTATGTAAAAATTATTTTTTATGATGTTAAATAGAGATTTAATTAATAATATTTCAGTGTTATACTTTTAAAATATAATATATTAATTAATTTCTAATTTAAATAAAAACTATTTGTTTCTATTTCTAAAAAAATTGTTCTTATAAAATTTTTTTGAAGTTTGATTTTTTAAGATAAATAAAAATCCTCCAGATTAAATAAATATTGATATCATAATAAGCTAACTGAATAAATATCTCTATCGTAATATTTTTATTATTTTCTAATATTAATTAAAGTCTCAAAAATAAATTTTTTAGTATTTTAAAATTTATAAATAGAAATAGCTTACCAAAATAATCAAATTTATATTAAACTGATTTATTTAGCTAATAATATCTTTTTTTTATTTATTCACCACTTTACACATTTTCTGATATATTAAAATAAATAGATGGTAAGTAAGAATTCCTAGTTTTAATTTCTTTATTATACATATTTCATTATAAATAAATTACCCTTCAATAGCTTACAGTTTGAAACTATTAATTTTTGACAGATTTAGGGTAAAAATAGTTTATTTATTTATATAATTACTTGGTATTAAATTAAATTTTTGTGAATTTTTTTCTTTTAAGTTCAATAATAAAAGAGTTTTTAATTTATATATCCTAAAGAATCAAGATTTGAAGGACTTAAATATTAAATAAAAAATGTTCAGGTTTATTGACATAATTGCAGTTGGATTAAAAATTCCTACTGAAACTTATTTAAGTTATACATAGAAGCAAAATTACAATAATTTCCTTTTAAAATTTAAGAAAAACTATTGAAATATTTAAAGTAAAAAGACTTTTTATGCAATTAACTTTTTCTTGTACGAAATAGACATTATTTTCTTCTTTATATAAAATTCATTATAAAAGATTTAAAGTTATATAAGAAATTTTTGTACCTTCATCAAAAGTTTTAACCTTATATCTTATTCAAATAAGTAAATTTGAATTTTTTTATAATTATAAAAGAAATTTGAATGTAAAAGTAGGCATATTAGTGCTTAAAATAAAATGAAATAAAAATTATTTCTTTTTAACATGCTTTGTCGTCTATTTAAAGTAATATTTTTTTAATTTTTGAGTTCGCATTCGTTAAAAAGACTAGAATTAAATTTAAAATTTTTTTATTTTTCTGTTTCTAATTCGATCATTTTTCTATTAGATTGTAAAATTTTTTATTAAAAAAGACAAATTATGACACATTATTCAGTAAATAAAGAATTTTTAAATGTTTTCCATATTACAATGACTTTCATGTCTGAGATGAAAGAATGAAAAATGTAATTTATTAAATTATTAAGAGTAAATTTAAATTAAATTAATTTATCTACAAACTTGACGTATGCTAAAATATTGGTTATATTTTCAAATATTTATTTTTTTCGTCAAAATAAACTATTAATTTTAGTAATTAATAACTAGAACCTTAATTCTAATGATATATTTTTATATAATTTTTTTATCAGCTCTCAACAATTAATTTACTTTCAATATTACTCGATTATGTTTAATGTCATAATCTTTAGCTTTTTTAACAAATGGATGATTTATATCTATATTATTGTTTTAGATTTAATGAAATAGAATATTTTAAGCCGAATTATTTAAATTTTGTTGAATTATTTTAATTTAACAGCAAACACTTTATATTTTTTATTTGAGATAAAATTCGTCCTTGAATTACAGAGGATAAAATAAGGAAATTAAATTTTTAAATTTTGCTTTCATACTGACATATTCAATTTAATATCTTAAGAATATACAAAACGTTTGAAAAGTTATCGTATTTAAAATTGCCTAGAAAGTGCTTAAAGTTTTGGTGTTTATTTTAAGATTGAGCTAATATATTTTTAGCTGAAAAAATAATATATTTTTTTTTAAGTTTTAAGAAAAAATATAAAGATCATGTAAATAAAAGAAAATTCTTTCATGTAAAATTAAAGGTTAAGCTGATAGAATAGCTAGTAAGAATCCTTAACTTTTTATGCAAACAAATCATGCGAATTATTCTATCAAAAATAATTTAGATAATACACATTCTTAGGATATGTGGTTTAGTTCAGGTTTTGGTATAATATGTTCAGGAAAAACTAAGAATTTTAATAGAAGAATTTACATTTAATTTTATATAAAAGAATTTGTTCATAAAGCGCTGATAAATTAACTAATAACTACTATTTTTCATAAATAAGTAAATTCATTCATATATCAATATAAAAATTGTTTTTCTATGAAAAATTAATTCGTCTTTCATTCAAATGGAATAAAAAATCAAACAGGAAATTGCATGTATTTACTTTAATAAATGTATGTCTTGTCTTCTCTATCAATTAACTAACAAAATTTAATTAAAAAGCAGACTGAAGATATTTGATTTGAATCTAATTATTTATTTATAAGAAAATAATTAATAAGCAAAAAAATAATAATTAGAATGAGAAAGTTAGTTCTTTTATTCGCTTTAATTGTTTTGGCTACTGCTGCTCCTAAGTGGAACTAATTGGTCAATTACACCTTCGATGACTACGTCAAGGACTTTAACAAGGCCTACACCAAGTTCTCCGCTGAATACAACCAAAGAAAGAGAATCTTCGAATAAAAGTTAAAGGAAATTAAAGCCTTCAACTCTAATTCTGAAAATGGATACAAGAAGGGTATTAACTAATTCACTGATAGAACTGCTGAAGAACTCAGAGAAACCACTCTTGGTTACTCCAAGACTGTCAAGAATGCTGCTAACAAATAAAATATGTTCAGAAACTTGAAGACCTCTGACAAGATCAACGTTAAGGATCTTCCCAAGTCTGTTGATTGGAGAGACGCTGGTGTTGTTACCCCTGTTAAGGATTAAGGTCACTGCGGTTCATGCTGGGCTTTCGCTACCACTGCCGTCATCGAATCATATGCTGCCATCGCTACTGGTCAACTCAAGACCCTCTCTACCCAACAATTAGTTTCTTGTGTCTAAAACTCTTACTAATGTGGTGGTCAAGGTGGTTGCAATGGTGCCGTCTCTGAATTGGCTTACAACTACGTCTAACTCTTCGGTTTGACTTCTGAATACAAGTACTCTTACTCCTCTTACTAAGGTTAAACTGGTAACTGTACCTTCGATCCCACCCAATAACCCATCGAAGTCACTATTGACGGTTATCTTAAGGTCCCTGAAAACGACTATGCTTCCCTTATGAACGCTGTTGCCACTCAAGGTCCCCTCGTTATCTCAGTTGATGCTTCTAACTTCCACGATTACGAATCTGGTGTCTTCCACGGATGTGATGGTGCTGATAATGTTGATATTAACCACGCTGTCGTTTTGGTTGGTTACGGTACTGATGAAAAGGAAGGTGACTATTGGATTGTCAGAAACTCCTGGGGTACCAGATTTGGTGAAAATGGTTACATCAGAGTCAAGAGAGAAGCTACTCCTACTTGCAAGACTGATTTCACCCCTCTTGACGGTAACGGTTGTGTTGGTTTCGCTAAGCCCCAAAAGGTTTGCGGTCAATGCGGTATCCTTTCCGACTCTGCTTATCCCTTAAACGTTAAGGTTGTTGGTTGAATCTCTCTGTGAAAAACTAACTCTTTATAATTCTATAAAAAATATGTGCTTATTTATGTGCATACATACATACATTCATAAAGATGTCTTTTTATTCGATTTTAATCAATATAAATTCTGAAAACCTATCAAATATTCAATTTACTTTATTTTATCTCCTCATTACTTCTTTCTATTTTAAAAGACGAGAATACTAATTGTGTCTTAATTAATAACATTTTCAATAAGATTAATTTACTTATTAGATAAAAAAAGAAAATAAATCAAATTAAATTCAATATCAACCAACAATCAATCAAAATTTCATTTTTTTGATAATTATTTATTTTTGAAAAGAATTTACTTATTTTTAACTATTTTTTTTATATTCTAAAGAATTTAATGCTGATTATTTATATTTGCTTTTAAATAATTAAAAAAAGCATAAAAGTTGTTCAAATATTTTTATTTTTCAAATATAAAATAAAAAATTTAAATAAAATAATCTTAAAATAATATAAATTTTCATAAATAAATATTTCAGTGAAGCATAAAATATAATTTTTGAATAATTTTTTTATATTCTTATTTTTAATGGAAAAAATGTTTAATTTAAGCAATTTTTTAGTAAAATAACTGCTACTTTTTGTAGAATATCTAAAAAATTGTTTCAAAAATAACTTAATTAGAAAATAAATAAAATTTTAGAGGGATTTAACTAAAATAAAATAATTTAAGTAATCACATAGTTAAAATTTACCAAAACAAGATCAAAAGTAAAATATATGAACAACACTAAAAATTTAAATAAATTTAAAATAATAAATAGAATAATAAAAATTGTAAACATATGAAGGGATAATTTATTTTAGAATATTGTATTGTGATAAACATTGAAATTGAAAAAAAAATGTTTAGCTAAAATAATCATTTTTTTTTTTTTAAATATTTATTAAGATAAAGAAATCTTAATAAAAAAAAACATAAAAATTAACAATGAAAATAATGAAAAATATTTGATTTATTAAGCGATTCAATGCTAAACTGTTGAATTTATCTACTAAATTTTACAAAAACAAGCTAATATTTATATACTCTCAAAATTAATTAAGTTTCATTCATAAACTAATATCTAAATTTTAATGATATAAAAAATTAGCAAATAATCAAAAAATAATTAATTTATATTTAATTAATAAGGATTTAAATATACTTTTAATTTCGTTTATTATTATCAAGTTTGAATTTATTTGTTAATAAATCAAATTATAAAATTAAGCAAAAGAAATAAATAACCATAGTTGATTCAATTCTATAAAAATAATTTTAAGACTTTATTAGGTAATATAATGTGAATACATCTTTTTTGCTATTTGTATTGATAGCTATATAGTATTTGTAAAGTTATTATATGGTTATAGCATTAAAATTTTTTGGATTTAAAATGTATCATTATTTTACACATTTACTTAAAAATGATACCTAATTTTGTAAAATATACTAAATACACTTTTTTCATTATTCTCCAATAACTAAATATCATGTTTTTAATACAGGTAGATTAAATAACATCATAAAAATGCTTACTTTTTATTTCAATTCCATTAAGTAAAGTAGTTCGTTTAAATATTATAAAAGCATAAATGATTGACGGGCTATAATGAAACGATATGTAGAATTATTTTATAAAATAGGCTTGCTATTCAGCTGCTATATTATTAATGGAAGGTGTAAATATCTAAAAAAAATTCTAAGGCATGTAAAGAAAACGAAGTAAAAAAACTAATGTGAAGGTTTAATAGCATAGATTACTAAAAATCAAAATCAAATAAATTTATTAGTAATAAATGGAAATTTTATAAGCAAATTTATATATAGAAGATACAAAAATACATTTAAATATTTAGTAAATATCATTAAAATTTATTTAAAAAAATATATAAATGTAGTATTTATTCAAAATAATAAGGTTTTAATGAATAAGTCATTATTTTGTATTAGCATTTAAGGAAATTAATATTGAATTTTATAGATTCTTATAATAATGTTAATTTATAATAATTAAATACATTTAATTCGTTGAAATTTTCACTATCAAAAAGTAATATCTGGAATTAGGTAAAATATTTTAGAATTTTTAATAGTCTATTTAATGTTTATTTATGCTATTATTTAAAAAAATAGAGTAGTAAATTCAAAAGCTCAAAGCTCGATATTTAAAATAAATAAATCAGAAAAATCTAGAAAATCTAATCTACACCGACTTGTTTTTTAAAAAGTAGGAAACAGAATTATTACATCATTAGCTATTATTAATCTTCAGATGAATAATCCTCAGATTAAACATGTTTACTACGTTTTCAATTTTAAAATTTAAGTTTCCATAAATATTTAACTTATTTATGAGGACGAATTAATCATTGAACCAATGTAAAATCTTAATATTGATTTTAAAAATTAAAAATTTAGTATTTTTAAAAAAAAATATTTAAGATTGAGTAATATTATTTGAGTAAATACATAATTTATATAAGAAAAATCCTCCCGTATGTATATTTATATTTTAACTATACAAATATAAAAATTACTATGTTCTTTTTAAAAAGTAGTTCAAATACTCAAAACAACCTTAGAAATAGCCTTTCGGATAGAAATTTGCAAACTCTCACAACTAATGAAAACTTAATTTCTCTATTTTAAAATATCAGCATTTTCAAATCATAAAAGAATTTTTCTTTTTTTTAATAATCATCCTAATCATTTAAATTTAAATCATCATCTAACTTATAATGATTTAAGAATTGTAAGTGTAAACCTTAATACTTTTTTTTTAATTACCGATTAGTCTAATATTCCAACAGTAAATAATCATAATAATACATAATAAATAGTAGAGTAATGAATAAATAACAAAAAAATAATTAAATAAGATTACTTATTTAAATAAAAATGTAACTCATAGCATTTCTCTCTTTAATAGTGTAATTGAGTAATTGTATAGTTAATAAACATATATCAACATATAATTCAAAAAGCAGCCAGTAAATGAATAGTAATTTAATAACAATTAAAATTAACACAGAGAAGAGAAAGAGTAGTTGAATCAAAAATGGCAGTGTATTAATTTTAAAAAATCTATTTATTTGATTTTAAAATATTTTGTTTTATCTACATGAATATCTAAATTATATTATTAATAAACCATTACATTTTTATTTTTTAATACAAAGAGTAAGAATCAAATTATTTTGGAAAAATAAAAAAATATGATATTCTGTAATTCCTCATTAATTAAGGTAACCTTTTATTATTGCCATTTAGAAAATTTTTGGAAGGCTCAAACTATTTTTCTTATATGTGTTAAAGATGATATTTAGTGGTAAGAATAGTAAGTAAGTAAGTAAATATATTTATATCTATAGGTTAATAAACATAATATTTCAAAATAAAAACATTAATTTTTCCCTTATCAAGAATAAAAAAAGTTTCTGCTTAATCAACTCTCAATAATAAATAATGATATACTTAGTGTCATAGAGTTTATTTGATAATTTTGAGCTAAAAAAAAAATGATGAATTTATTTCTGATGTAACATATAGATATCACCACATAATTTATGAAATGACTCTAACATGAGTAACTTAATGAATATTTATAAACTGGGCCATTTAATTGAATTTAAAGTGAGTATTTTTGGATATAAGTAGTGGTTAAAAACAAAAGCTATAAACTATTATTTAGATTAATCTTTTTATTAATTACCTGAGATAATATGATAATTGAAAAGTATCAATAAAGCTATTATTATTTATAAAGAAAAAAAAATATAAGAACCAACAGTTTCTATCAGTTACTTAAACATAAAATTTAAATTTCTTGTCTATTAATTTTTTTCTCCCCAACTAGAGAGCTTTGCAAAAATTAAATTTCCTTTATAAACATTCAACAAAAACAAATCACTTTTGTAAAAATTTTAAAAATCAGTTCATCATATTTCAAATAATTAAGTATTTCCATGATTAAATATCTTTATTTTTTCAAATAAAGCTCAGGTGATGAGGAAAGCATAAAGAAAGTTTAGTTATAATAACAAATATTGTTATAAATGAGTGTTTTTAAATAACATCATTAAATAGCTATTTAAACATTTTTAAATGCTATAATCCTTGATTTTAAAAATAATTCAAGTACTTCTTAAAACACTGAATTTTATTTAACTAATTATGATTTATATATATTTAGCTAAAATTATTTTAGCAATAACTTCATTTTCTTTTTTCATGTAATTAATAATTTTTTAAAATTTAAATCTAGTTATTTTGATGTTCAAATATAAAAATAATTTTTAAAGTACTTAGATATTCAGAATTTAAAAAAGAAGAAATATAATTTAATATTCTATTAATTTATTTAAGTAATACATTCCTTTTGAATATTTTGATTATATTTTCTGTAGCTTCAAAAACTTGGTTTGCAAATGTTATTTTGAAATAAACTACCTTAATCATATTTTTTTGATTGCCTAGTTTTCATTTTTAAATTCTAAGATTTAAAAACAATCACAGTATATCTTCGATTGTGTTTGGTTTAGTAATCCCAGATTAATTGAGCTCAGTAACTCTAGTATCTATTATATTTGAAAATTAAACTGGATGACTAAAAATTAAATTGATATAAAATAGAATATATTGCTTTTAAAGTGAAATATATAATTTTTTTTTTAAATTGATTGCTATCTGCAATTATATTGATATCAATTTTTAACTTTATTTTTAAATCATTATTTTTTTTATTGATTATTTAAATATTTTTGGTATTATTTTAGCAAAATTGGTTATTCTTTAGAAATCATTTAACTAACCCTTTAAAACTAATAAATTTTAGTAAAGAAATTAAGGTAATAAAAAGTTGTTATGAGAATATATTTATTTCAATAAAAGCTTCTTTTTATTTTATGGTACAAAAATGTATGATAAGATTTAAAAGATTTATTACTAAAATAAAATATTTTTGATTAGGAAACTATTTGACTGATAAATAAAAAAGTCATTCAATTAAAAATTATAACTTTTAAAAAAAAATACAAATAAATTATAAGTATATTTAAATATTTTTTTATCACTAAAATCCTACCCCATAAATCTTTGTATAATAAAACAAACGCATGCTTTAATTTTGACTAATTCAAAGTTAAAAAAAGCTTTTTGAATAATAAATAATAATTCATTCGCAAATTTTCTAATCAACATGTTTTTGGGATTAATTTAAAAATCTAAGTCTTAATTTATGTAAAATACTTCTTAAAAACTTAAAACTGACTATTTTTCATATTCTCTTTTATTAAGCAATTTTCTTTCCTAACCTTTTAAAATATTACTTTACTGATTTGCTCACATTGAATATAATATTTTGAAGACAATTAAAATCAGTCTGAAACATAAGCAAAATTTTAAAGATTATTTTAGCCATTTGTAATGCTTAGGACTAAAAAATGATAAATTATTTATAATTTTTACAGTAAGTTGTTAGACGAGCAATCAGAGTTAGTGGGTATTTGTTTATTTCGATAAAAACATTAAATTGATCATCTGGGAATTTTTTTTATTTATTAATCAATTTTTAAATAAGTTATTTATAAGGAAGCTACCACTGACTAAAATTTCAAGTTGATATTATTAAATATAGTACATATAGTCAAAATATGAATTATTTTTATAAAGAATTAATTTAATTTAATAATTTATTTCCAACTAAAAAACAATGTTTCACTAATGCTACAATTATTAAACTCAGCAAACTCCAAGAGTGATTCAGTTTAACTCGAATGCACTGTTTTTGCAGAATCTTCACAACACTAATAGCAATTTTAACTGTAACAATCATTAAATAAATTACAATTGTGTAAGCCATCAATAACTTCCTTACTTGGTATGTTAGAATAGCATGTAGTATTGCTATCCCTACCAACAAAATATGAAGTAATACTAATAGCAGCTTATTCAATAATAACTCGCATACTTTCCTGATTCAGAATCTAGAAATATTAATATTAATAACTTTTAACAATCAAATCAATTAAGTGAATAGGAGGAATTTTAAATGGATATAGAACAAAGTAGCTTCAATGAAGATTAGCCTTAGCAAATTTGTTTGCTTAACTTTGAAAAATCAAGATCTGGATCTCAATCTGAGTGCTCTTGGAAAAGCAGCAGATCAATTAATACTAGCAATATTTAAATTATTCAATCTGTAGGTAAAAAAATAACTTAAATCTATGATCTAAAAGAAAAAAAGAAGGATTTCGTTAAATAAGAACAGTCTAATGAATAAAATTACCATTCATTTAATCCTACTGTTAGCATAAAATATTCTAAAAATTACAAAGAAGAGGATATTTGCTCATTTTAATAGTAGGCAGAAACTCATTCGTATGTTGTTGATGAATAAGAAGTAAGCTCAGAGATTGCAAGTAAAGTAGAAAATTTATCTGAAAATAATTAATAAAAAAACCCACAAAAAAACAGCTTTAATGAGAAAATAAAAATAGAAAAAGAAAAATTATATTTTAAAAACCTAAAAACTGAACTTCTTAAGCTTTATAACTTAGATGACGAAACACAACTCATTGCTAAAATCTAAGAAGACCTTTCATAATAATGCCATTTATTACAAAAAAAAACAGAATAAGCTGAAGAGATTTCAACAAGTTATACAAACTAAAAACTTGAAGACTAGTATCAAACATATTTAAAATGCCTATTTCTAAATTTAGCTAGCGAAATAAATAAAAACTTTTGTTCTTACTACCAGGGAAATAATTTAAATAACACTATTTTAATTACACAAAAAAATACACAAATAAAATAACTAAAAATTTAATTAAATTAATACTAAGAGAAACTTGCTTTAGAAAAATAAAAATTTACAAAATAAAAAAACGAGATAAATTATTTAAATAATTGCTAATTAAATTATCAACTTGAAGATAGAATTTAAAATTCTCTGTTTAACAACATTAAACCAAAATCAATTCCTTTTTTAAAAAACTTTGATTTTTCTGATATAAGATAAAATTATTAAAAAAAAAAACAATCATCAAGGATAAAGAAACAAAACTCCTCTTATGTAAAGAATTCATAATTTCATAATCTGAATAAGTTATTTATGTACAACATTTTGAGCATGTTTCGAAGCGATTCTCTAAATAATCTTAACTTACCTCAAGTTATAATGCAAGAGCTCAATAAAATTATTTATGAGCTTAAAATTTCGAGCAGAAGAGACTATAAAAACTAGACAAGAGGATTCTTCGATTACTTCTCACACAGCCATTACAAAGTCTTATTTTTAAAAATTAATAATCAAAACATCAAATAAATTAGACTCAGCGAATAAGACATTTAGCTTCATTTGAAGTGTTTTAAAATTGATTTGAGTTAAGAAATTCCAGAAATTGAGCTTACATACATGAATTTGATAAAAGAAATAAATTTCAAGATTTTTTAAATTAACATTTAAGAAAATAAATTATTTGATGATGGAACCGAATCAAAGCAAAATATAAGAAGAAAATACGCATTAAAAGTTATTGAAGGAATTAAAAAATTAGTAAAAGGAATTATCACAAAACGATTCTGAAAAGAAAAAATTAAATAACTAGTTAATATATTTCTTTAATATAATTAAAAATTCTGTATGCTTATTTATTTATTATTGATTATAAGTTTATGCAATATATCATTTAAATGAAATTTACAATAATTCAAATAAAATAATCTTCTACAATAAAAAAGTAAATAATAATTTGGATAAAAGTAAGACAAATTTTATTTAAAAGAATTGTAATAATTTAATATTTTGGTTAAAGAGGTTTTAGAAATCATCTCTCACAATTAGCATATTATATGAAAATATTTTATAAAAAATAATAAAATAATATAATTTACTTATTTTAAATGTAATTCTTTTTAATTTAAATAAGAATAGCTAGCACTTTAAATCATTTTATAATGACTAATATAATTAATTATGCAAATGAAGAAAGAATTATGATTTAAAACTTAAATAGAACCTAATTTTATATAAGCCAGTTAGAAATATTTAGGTTATTTTGATAGCTCATCAGATTTCCTCCTAGCGTCTTTAATGATTATAAATTGATTTTTTCTTAGACTTACTTGATGTTGAATTCTTATTAGCAATTTAAGAAATAGATATTCATAAAAATTCAAAGAATACTTTAAAATATTATCATACAAATTACAAGCATGATTGCATGAAAGGAAGGATTATATATTTAAAATGATAAATCTATAAATTAGTAAATAGTAATTAATAGAAAAATATGAATGAATACTCTGGTAAGCTTAATAAATAATTTCAAATAATCAAAAATTATTGTTTTTTTGCATAAAATAAATTACTTAAATTCTAGTATTCAAAAACTGCTAAAAAAATAAATGCTTCTCACTCAAATATTAAAAGTTGAACTTAAATAAAATCTAATAGATTAATTATTTAGTAAATAATTACAGTTAAAATGTTTTTTGTAATTCATTTTTTTAATTTCAAATTATGTTTATTCTTATTTCAAATCAAAGTATAATTTTCTATTAATTTTACTCAAATAACAAAAAAATAGCAAAAAGCTTGTAAGAAATATTTATTATTTTTATAAAAAAATATTTTTTTATTACATAATTATTTGGGATTTTAACTAAAATCAATTTTATTTAAATATTTGGTCAAATATGAAACAAGAAATAATTAGTTTGATTTAACTTAGATTTCGAAATAATATTAATATTAGTGATAATCAATGAAAAGGATGTTTTAAAATTTAAATGGAAAGTATACTTGAATATGATAACAAAATCAAAAAGACACTATTCCTAATAAAAAACTTTAAATAATCGAAACAAAAGAAAATATTAAAAAGAGATAAGAAGCAATTATATTTTTTTTCATAGATTTCCTTAATTAATTGTGATAAAAGCTTTTTTTATTGCTTCTACTAAATAATTAAAAAAAAGAAAAGCTTTTCTTTTTGCTAAAATATAGTTTTTTTGTAAATGTTTTTTATTAGATAGGAGATGAGTTAAATAAAAAAAACACTCTTTATAACAGTATTTGTAATAAATAAGTGAGTTTTAACCATTTTGTAAGAGAAAGTTTTCTATATTTCAAATATTTATTTTGCATTTCATTATCTAAAATATCTAAAATCTAGTAATAAACATAGTTTTATGATTATCTATACTGTAGAAAAATATTATTTAAATTTTATGATTTTTTCATATTTACATGATTATCTTTCAAAATTATTGTAGAATAGTAGCATTTATCTATCGTATGGCAAAAAGGCAAAAGAATATTAATAAGTATTTATGATATAAAATTAAAAAGTTAACAATTTTTTATAGTTTGTTAATATTTTTTCATAGTTTAGCATGCTTACTGATTTAATGTTAATTGAATTTTGAACTAAAATATAGTGATTAATTTTAAAATATATCAAAATTACTAAATAAGACTTCGAATAATTAATAAAATGTTTGTTTTTAAGGCTTATATGAATGCACTACAAAAGAAATTTAAAATGCAGCTTATTTATTTAAACGCTTTGTCATAATATTTGTAATAATTTAGTAATTTATTTTTATATATCTCATACAGTAAGTATGAACTACACTTTATATATAAAAATAGCTGCTAAAATTAAGTAATATGTATATATCCCTAGTCTTTTTAAAGCGAAATAAAGTATTATTAAGATACTAAACTATTATATTTTATTTTATTTGTTAATATTTTATTAGCCTAATATTTGATTTAATATTTATATTTTAATAAAAATTATATAAAAAAATGAGATAGGATACTTGCTTATTTGCTTGTAGTTATTCTTGATGTATTTATATAACTAAAAGATATACTTTTTAAATGAATTCAAAAATATACTATTAATTATAATAAGAATTAAAAGTATTTGTAAGTGTAACAAATTAATTTATTAAAGATATAGAATTGACCATATAATTTGAAAAATTTTATGGAAATGTATTTAATTTATGGTGATGCTTGGTTGCCTTTCAATTAAAGATAAACAAAAGTTATTAAGAATAGAGCATAATCCAATAAAAGAAAGAGTTAACTAATTAATAATTAATTTTAATTTTTTTAATGAAATCTAAAGGAATCCCAGAATTACCAAAGATTAAGATAAATGCTTAAAGCAATCTTTAGAGTAACTCATCAAGATAAACTTATCACAATAGCACTTACCTAGCTTAGTATCCGTAATCTACAAGGAATTCATATTAAACACCTTATTGGAATAGCAAAAATTTGAATCATTATAATAATATTTAAGATGAGTCATTATCTCATAGGTAATATAGCAACTAATTTGAAGATGAGCAAAGAATTGCATAAATTTCAAGCAACAGCAGAAAAAATTCTTAAAATTATAGCCCTGAAATAACACAAAGCGCTAGAAGCAGCTCAGTCATTTTAGATAATCAAAGCCAAACCAGTAAAAATTGGTTTAAATAAATATTTGTATCAAAATTAAAAAATAATTTATGTAAAAATTAGAACATAAATACTACCATTAAGCATAAAATAATTTAAACGGATCACACGGAAATCAAGATTTTCATAGCCAAACATTTAGGCCATCAGTCACACCTTAGTCTTAGTCATTTGCATATACTAAATAGGATAGGTACAGTTAAGAAGGCGAAACAAGAACATACTTTTATACAAATAATCAGCAAAGAAATAAAAAAGCTACCCAGAGCCACTAATAAGGATTTTATCCATGCGACGATTTAAGTGATGATAAACAATTTAGCGAATAAGCAGATACACAATTTAATGAAAAATAAAATTATGAATAGAATAACTAAATTTACAGAGAAACGGAGAGCAATTCAAAAAATTCAAGTGATATCATGCCAAAGCTAGAATCATCAACATTATATAATGAAAAGAAAACTTATCTTCCTAAAACAACAGAAAATTACAAATTCTTTTTGAATTCGGCATTAAAGGATATTCATGGAATCTATTCTAAAAATTAATAATTGGAAAAGGTAAATAAGGATAAAATTAGATACAGATCAACAAGCAAATCATAAGTAACATAAGAAAATTTCTTTGAGCCAAGGAAAAGATTGAATTCAATATCAAGTAGTTAGAAATAAAGCAGTTAGGATATGTATTTCAACTAAATCAAATAGCAGCCAAACTAAACAGAAGAATATCAATAGAGAAATGAATAACTAGTCATAAAAAATACACATTTTAGTGATATAAATTAACTAAACTAAGTGACTTAATCTACTAAAAACTCATAAAAAAACCATTTATAATTAATACCTCATTAAAATAATTTGAATCAGAATAGTGATATAAATTATAACGAACAGTTTAACTATAGAGCATCTGTCGATTTAGGTTAAATGAAATAAAACACTAACTATGATTTTTTTATGAAGGAAACAAATTAAAATCACCTTCGTAAAAACTTCCATTCTAAAAGAATAGATGAACTAAGCAAACCTAAATACTCAACGATCAAGCAGGCTTACCCTTAAGAGAAATCACAAAGCTAAGCATTAAAAAAAAGGAAATAAAGTCCTTAAAAAATTCAGTCTGAAAAACAATCGAATACCACTTAGATTTAGAATAACTCTGAAAATCAATAAAAAGTAAAAGCAAAAGACTCTAAAGAACAAAAGCTAAATACATAATCAAATAATACCAATTTATTAAAAGAAAATCAATCAATTTTAAAGAATAATAGTCAAGAAAAAAATAATAATAAAAGGTAATAAACTTAAGTTAATAGCGAAACTCAAAATTTAGCTGATTCTAAAGTCCTAGAGGTAGATTTGTTAAACGATGATAATGATATCGATTTCGATTCTTCATTTGAAAAGCTTTAAAAGACTGTAAAATAACAAAATAAGGTTTAAGAAAAGCTTTCTTAAAACAGCTACAATTCTGCTTACAACTTAACTTCAATAGATAAAATTAGGATATTGACTGGAAAAGGAAAATTTCATTTTAGTAAAAAAATAGATTAAAACTAATAATAGGACTAAAAGGATAACTTGGAGTAGGCGAAGGACTTTGTTAAGCAATAAAGGATTGCCTAGATAAGAAATGATAAGATAGAGAGAATTTTGTCTCTAAAAAACACTGATAATTATAGGAATTCCTTAGAATCAAATTTTTCAAGTTAGAGTTTAGGAAAATTAGAGAAACAAGGGGAAATTAATTTGTTTACCTAAGATGATAGATTTTCTTAAACTTTTAGTAAATTTTAAAATAGCTGCTTGCTGAATACAGAGAAAAAGATAAAAAGTAGAAATGTGTAATTTACTGTGAATTATGGGTTTAAGTTAGACAAAGAAATCGAATTTTATAGAAAATAAAGAGAATAAAAGGAATTAAAAGAAAAAGAAGAATCAGAGTAAAAGCTAAAGCAACAAAAAGAAATTATTTCTAAGCAAAATTATGAAAGAGAGAGACACAGAAATTTGGAAGTCGACATTGTCATTCACTCAGAGGAGATACAAACAAAGTTAGTTTTTGGAGAAAAGGTTTCATTTATAAAAATTCCTGTTGTATCAATAGCAGAGGAGCTTGATATATAATACATTCAGCAATTAGATTAATTTACTTCGCTTTGTACAAGCTAAAAGTAGATGAAAGGTCAATAATTTATATTGAGAAAAGAAAAGCTAACAGAATTAAAGCAGTAACACTATCTCTTCCATATAAATTCTTTAATGGCAAAAGAAAACGATTTATATGTAAAGGATCCTGTTGCAGTTAGAGTAGATAGCGAATACTACCTTCTATAATTTTACAAAGTTTACAGGAAGCTAAGGGATATTTTGCTTATGTAGAACTCATACACGATTTAGTCTAAACTTTACTAAAACAAATCTAGCAACTATGAAGAAGACGACTATAGCATAACAAACTAAGAGAATGAAGAAGAAGAAGTGAGAGATTAACCTTTCCTAAGTGAAAGCCAAATAATTCACATTTATAAATAGGTTTTAGAAAATATTACATAAATGAATGAAATACTTAATATTTATCATTCTAACCTTAATCTAGATAATATTGGATTGTTTGAGGGTAATTGTGTTTCAGTAATTAATTTTGATGAAACTCAAATCATATTTAATAAAGCTAATCAAAAAGCATCTAACAAAAACTACATCATATCAAACAATAATCTGCAAAGAGTTTAGTACTAAAAATATGTAAAATTTGAGGAAGTTTCTTCTAATGAATTTTCCCCCTTAGAGTATCAATTACACGATATCATTTGTCTATTTATCTAATTAAAATTTGCAAATCCAGATCTTATGTCAGAGAGCTAATTTAAACAATGCATCAAAATAATAAATTTAGAATAACCCCTGTCTGTTTCTGGATAAATAATTAAACAGCTCATTCAATATCAATAACTATAATAGTAGAATTTAATCCAATCATACGCAGACACAATTTATATAGACAAACATGGTTATGGAATGGATTACTTAATATCCTACAAATACCAAAAATAGGAAAATTACATTGATTAAATTATATTTCACTTAACTAATTTGTAACTCTAAAAATCTAACCAAATGCTAAACTGCTTACCTCAGCAGTATTTTTCAGATTAACTTATTTTAAGAGCTTTCTACTACTATTTGACTAAATAATATGAGTTGAGTTACGAAGAGCTTCTTTAATTTGAAAAAGAATATCTTGAAACCTATCATAAAGAGTAAGTTTAAAATAAAGAATTAGCAAACCAAAAACCAACAGAATGTGAAAAAATTAGCACAGTTAACAAGAAAATTCTGTAAAATTTATATTTTTGGAAAGGAAGAATCGAGTTTATGAATAAACAATTCGATAAATCGGATAAATCATTTGAATAGTACATCAGTATATCACAAAACACTTGTAATTGTCTTCTTGATTTAGCTGATTTCTACAAGCAAGTAGTAAACTTAAACAAGTCTATATTTTACTATGAGTAAGCAGAAAAGTACGTAATCAATAATAAGGATCTTAACCTTTATTAAATTTATTATGTGCAAATCATGAAAAGATAAATTTACTTTTACCAAAACACAGATAACATAGATAAATAAGTAGAAGTTGCCAACAGATGTATTTAATTCCTAACACAGACATATAAAGATGAATAAGACTGTGAGTTGTAATCTTTTAAATAGCAATTCTCCAATTTAATATAATAACAACCCTAAGCAAAAAAACAATGAAATAAATTGAAAATGTATATAAAAAATTTAAATTATATTATGTATTATATTAAATTAAATATTAAATATTTATTTACCTCTTAGCCAAAATAAATTTTATATAATAAAAATCTTTTAAATAGCATAAAAAATATCATTCATTGTTAGAAAGTTAATTAATTAGTTATTTTAATTAAACTTTGTTTTTGAGTAATAACTTTAGCAAAAAAACAAATATTTAAAAAACAAACCTAATTTTAATTAATTAGCAAATGGATAAAAAATTGAATCTAATTGCTAATTTTCTATTTATTTAATTATTCAATTTAAAAATCAAGTTGAAATAATTTTTTATAAAAAAAAATTGAAATATTTTTAAAAATAAAAAAAATCCTTGAACAAAAATTATTTTTTTCTTACTTTTTAGATGAATAAATATCTTTTATTTGATAAAAATAATCTTCTTTTTTATGAATTGTTTATCAAAAGAAAGATTAAAAAAAATATTTTAAATTAAATAATTAAAGTTTTTTTGTTGATTTTCAAAAAAAAAAAATATTTCAGCCAAAATTGTTTTATTTTGCAATAATTGATAAAAATTGACAAAATTTGCTTGGATATAATTGCGAATTATATTTTAATAGAACTATGATACTAATTACCAATAACTAAAACGAATAAAACGAATTAATTCTTTGAATATTTTTTAATATCAAAACACAATGCTAAATCATTTAGGATATAAAATATTCAATGAAATCTTAAAAGAAAATATTTATTTTATTATTTTTAGCTTCTGCTTTCCATTTATCTTTATCGCAAGTAGAGGAGACATAAATTGGAGTAAAGAAATTTTTATTTATTTAATAAGAAGCTTAGGAAGGCGTTTAGCAATAAGCTGTTGATACAACAAACTAGCAAAATAATACTACACTATTAGATACATAAAATACTTAAAATAATACTAATTAGCCGGTACAACCAACTTAATAAGCTGGAGCATAAGCTTAAAATGCGACTTAGTAAGTAACTCAAGAAGAAGAGAAAAAAGAAAAAAATTTATTGCTGGTGGTTCCATTTTCAAAAGAATAATTTGAGGCTGAAATGAAAATTTAGAGCTTAAAATTGTAAGATGAATCAAAAAAATATTATTAATTGAATTTAGAAACATTAAAAAACATTACAGTTGAGAATAAAAAAATAATAGATTAGAAAAAAGCTTTAATAAAACTATATTTAAATCATACAATGATATATTTAGACGCTTAAATCTAAGTTCTTTAAAGGGAGTTAGAGCAAAATCATGAGCTAATCATATAGCTAGCTTCTGCAATTATGCTTTCTACACTCGATCACTATGAGTAAAAGATATCACAATACAGAATAAAAATTGAAGAGATTTTATTAAAAGTAGATCCTCCAGTAACAATATGTAAAAGGATTATGAGTTGTTAAGGCTGTACTGCTTAATAGGATTGTGTTTGGTCCACGGATAGAAGAGCTTGCTTTGTGGGTATTTATTTTGTTTATTAGATAATCTATTTTTAAAAAAACTGAATTTTTTGTTTTATTCTTGACAAAAGGTTCAAAATATGATGGTTGCTATTTTGATTTTTGTGAATTTTATATAAAGGATTATTGCTTCAGCAATGCCAAAATAGATTTAGAAGAATAGAATATGCTAGATCACTATTCTGAAGATGAAAAATTGGCTAAGATTATGGATGAATTGTATGATGAAGAAGATGTAGAACTCGTTGCACAAAGGATCCCATAAACATAAAAAAATTATTATTTATAGCTTCAAAATAAACTAATAGATTTAAAAGATAAAATCTAAAGAGTGAGGATATATATTAATTATGTTAAGAAGGTATATTTCAAACTCAGATACTAAAATATCATTTTTAAGCGAAAGAGAAAATAATAAAAAGAAGAGGATGAAAAATTCATTAAACAGATTGAAGAAATTGAAGAACAATTTCTTAAAAATATAAAAGAAACAGAAGAAGAAAAGAAATTAACAATAGATGATATCATTAAGAATGAAAAAGCTTTGGAAATAGCAGCAAAAAATGGAAATGGAGAAGCTAATGGATAATAATAAGAGGAAAAACTTATAATAAGTAAAGATGGATAAATAAAGCTTTCGAATGGATAAATTATTGAAGGAATTATAGTTATTGATGGTAAGGTATATGATCAAATTACTGGTGAAGAACGTAAAGACTTAAAAGTAGTTGATGGATAATTAGTAGGTGAAGATGGTAAACCAATTACAGCAAGCTAACTCTAACATTAATTAGAAGAAGAGTAGGGATTTATGGATGGTTTATTAACAAATTGGTTTGGAGACGATTACGAAGCCCCAGAAAAAACTACTCTAAGTGAGAAAGATTAAGAAGCCTTAGAAAAGGAAAAAGATGAAACAATTATAGACGTTGATTCTGAAGAAATATAAAATGAAGAATAGACTATTTTAGAATATGTTTCTGATTAAGTTCAATAATAAAATCAAGATAAAGATGATGAATGATAGAGATATAGATAGTTTTTAACACAATTATCTATTAAATAATTCAAAATTTAATGTAAATAAATAAATGCCTTCTAATTATCAAAATAAAAAATAATCAAAAAAATTAAAATTAATTTATTTAATTTCATGTTTTGCTTTTGCCTTTATTTCCAAATTATAAAAGCTAAATTCAAAAATTTTTACCTTGAATTTGTTAGTAATATTTTAATAAATAATTTGATATATTAAATAGTATACACTATTTTTATTAATTCAATAGCTTAAAAAATTAACTACAAAAATAGTTGAACTTTATATTGAAATTATGCAATATTAAACAACTCTAAAAAAACAAAACAATTAAATAATGTACAATAAATGTTTCTTCAACTAAAGGCAATCAATCTCATTTACTTCTTATCTATCTTTCAATATTTTTTTAGATAAATATTCTGTTTATTCTAATATGTGATCACATAATACTTTTAATTTTAATAAGAATATCAGAATGAATGATAATATTTGAATATTCTAATTTTTACATTCCTTTTTAAGATAGAATATTTTAGAATATATTCTGTAAGATCAGTAATTCTAAATATTTTTTTCATTTTTTATATTTTAAAATAAATAAAAATAAATTTATGCTAACTATTTAATATAAAAATAAACTAAATTTCAATTTTCATTAATATTCTATTGTAATAAATATTTTTCTAGACTTCTAAATAGTTTTTTATAATAATACAATCAAAAGTTAAAAAATTATAAAAATCTTAAAATTAAAGCATTAAAATGTATGCTGTTATATTTTCATTAATTAATTCTATTTGGCTTTTAATTTTTATTTGGAGTTTATTTTTAATTTTATTTTATTTTATTTTCTTTTATTTTTAATATTTAATATATTTTTTATTTATTTTTAGTTTTTATTTATTTTTTTATTTATTTATTTCTTTTATTATTTATTATTTGGTTTTTTATTTTTATTTTAATATTAAAGTCATCAATGATCTCTGTCATGCAACTCAATCACTCTCAACTTGCGTCTTAATCTCCTTTTCTTTTTCTTCTTTAATCTAGTTTAAAAAATACTTTTTATATAGATAAATATATGATTGTATGAGATTTTTTATTTCTCATTTTTAGGAAAAGACATTTCTTTTGACATTACATTAGCGCTTTGTTGTAGGATACAAGCTCTCTACAATCAGCTTTAAAAGATAGGAAACAAAGTATTATCAAATAAATTAGAGGCTTTTTCATCTTTTTGTGTAAATATTTGGTAGTGTAGAATTAGGATATTCTTAGATTTACTTAAAAATGATAAGCCAAATTATTTAAAAAATTTAGTGCATCTATTTATTTGTAGTGGGTTTTAAAAACTTTTTTATTTAATAATGTTTGTTTCTTTTCTTTTTTTTAATTATTTATTTTTTTATTAATTAATTAATTATTATTTATTTATTAACCTTTTTACCTTTTTTTATAAGGTGGGGAGGAAATTTGTTTTTTTATAAAATATTCTGCTTTTTTTAATTTAATTTTACAAAATTTTACCTTCAATAATAAGATCTATTTTAAAAAGAAATTATTCATTCAAAACACATGCTAATATTCTTATTGAATTTAATTAAAAGAAAAACAAAGACTTTAAAAGAAATGGGAATATCAATCATAAAACAACAGATGCACTCAAAAATTATATTGTATTTATTTATTTTTAATTAAATGAGAAAACAAAGATTTCTTTTTTTTGAATTTTTAACAAAATATTAATAAAGAAGTAATAAAGAGAAGTTTATTAATATTATTGATTTTGTTTTTTATTAAGTGGTAAAATCTAATTAATTTGAATTCAAATTTTTTATTTATCAAATAAAGAAGATATTAACAAAATTTGATAATTTATTAATATTAAAAAAATTAAGTTTCTTAAGAAGAGGGCTTGCTAAAGATAATTCTTAAGAAACTTAATAAAAATCAGAAGAAATCATCATGCTCATACCCATTTGCTAATTTTGCTTGCTTGATTGCTTACCCATGCTGAAACAAGAGTTCGTGCTTGCTTACCCATGCTAAAAGTTGCTCTTAAATTCAAATTGCATGCTAATGCAATATAATTATTGTTGCTAAACAATAAATAAAAAATAATAATAAATCAAATAAATTGGTATGCTAATGCCAATTTATGTTGATCATTTGTTATATGTTAAATAATTATTTAATGCATCGTATATAAGATTTAGACCATTAGGCACTTAAATTAATTACTCAGTGGGAGAGTATTGTGCAAGTTTTTAAGGTCATTTACAACTTATTGCTTAACGATGAAAAGCCATTTCCACCCCCGACTGAAATAGGTTTTTCATCATTCTTTTATACGATGTCGGATTATACGTATACCAATGACCCACTATAAGTCTTAGGACACTTTTTCCCTATTTTTTAAATATATAAAAAGTATTTTTTAAACAAGCTAGCTAGCACAGAGAGATTGAGCAACTGCCTATCCAAGAAGATTCTCCGTTAAAAAAGAAAAAGAAAAAAGAAAATACAATGAAAAATAAAATTTCAAATTTAAAAAATTAAAAGATCATAACAAACATAAAATCTTAAAATAAAATTAGAAAATAAATAAATAAAGATAAATTAAATTAAATTAAAAATGAAATGAAAAATAAAATGACAAATAAATACAAATATTAAGTATAAAATCAGAAATAATTATTTTAAATATCAAAGTTTAAATACAATTAAAATCCTAAAATAATAAATAATCCATCATTTTTATATTCAAAATATTTTAAAAAAATATTTACTCAAATTATTTAACAGCTGATCTAAAATTAAAAATTCAATGAAACAACTTTCAAATATTTAAATCTCACATTTTTAGTAAATATAAATTGTTGCAGATTAGCAAAAGTAAAATCTTAATAAATTGTTTTTTATAATTAAAAATTTATGTAATTAACTTTAATAAACTTAAAGCATAAAAGTATAAATTATATAATTGATTTTAAGTGATTTATTAATAAATAGAAAGATGCTAATTTAAATTAGCTTCTAAAAAATTTTATATAATAAGCAATATTTTAATTTAACATTTTTCTATACTTCTGAAATAAAAATCAAGCGAATTTTCTTATTTTTGATGAATTACTTTTTCTTTTTGATTAATAACATAATTTTTATTACTATTTATAAAAGTAAATTTTTAACAATTATTTCAAATATTTAAAATGAAAAAAATTTTAATACATTTATAATTTAGCAATTTTTTATTTTAATGTTTAAATTAAAGTTATTTTTTAATTTAATTGCATTTATATGATTTTATAGAATTTTACATTTTATCTAAAAATTAAAATATTTTTGGAATATATTTTATCAGAAATTATTTTCACATATATAAAACAAACAAACAAACACCTATGACTTATTTAATGATATATTTCTATAGATATTATATTAAAATTAAATAATAATTCTCACATAGCATATTTTCTAGTCCACTGTTAACTTTTTAAGACATATTCATTTTTATTAGATCTATATTAATTTGCAATTTCAGGTACTAAAGGATCATCTGGATTTGGATCAGTTAGTAACGAGCTGATACTTAATAAAACTTCAGTTTTATTATAAAATTAATTTTTTAAAATATTGTTACTAAATTCTTTGTAATTTTGTTAATTTACCTTTAGAAATTGTAAGTGCTGGACTCCATTAATCTTTTAAGATATCAAGGCAAATAGAACCATTTGAATTTATATTAGGGTGATATATTCTTGTTTAAAAACTGACCTATTAATATATTATAAAATTGCATATGAGCAATATAATCTTAATTCAAATTTTACTCTTGGAGGTTTAAATGGGTAATCGTTAGGGAATATTATATTCAACAAAAATACTCCTCCTGCGTAAGGTGAATCTTCCTATTTTATTAAATTTTATTATAAATAGCTATTAATCAATCCTATTTTACAGGTCCCATAATTGCTGCAGTCCAATTAAAAATACTATCTTTAGAGATATCAGGTCCTAATTTTTATATATAAGTAAATTAAAATCAATGTTTAACAGGTTAAGAGGTCTAAATATACCTGCTGAACAGTTTCCAGGAGGATCCTTTTACAAATCCTACAATTCTTTTTATATTCTTTTTTAAGCCATTTATTAAATTCAACTTCTAAAAAATAGTGTTTAATTTTTAATTATATTGACAAAAAGTAAAAGAAAAAATATGTGATAAAATTTATGCTTAATTCCTTTTTTGATCTCTATTTCAATAGAGCATAATTGAAGATTGTTTATAAATTTTAAAGTAGTTAAAACTTTACTGCTATCTTTACAATAAATTGAGGCTCATAATCTATTCCATTCCATCAAATTTTCTTCGAACTAAAATAGAAATTTATTTTAAAATAAAGAAAAAATAAGTTTTAAAAATAAAAGTTTTTACAAAAAATTTATTTTAATTTACTACTCTTTTTATTTCCATGCAATTTTAAATATTTTGTATTCATTTTCTTTACTTAAATTACTTTAGCAGTCAAAATAAAAAGTTTATTATATTAAACTAAATTAATTTAGAACAAACTAGTTACTTATATTTATTTTATTTATTTATTTAAACTATTTTATAAATTTATAAATGTTATTCCCACTTAATAAGTAATTAATTTAATCATATAAATTACTACAAACTTTCTATTAAAAAATAAATATATCATTTTAAGATAAAAATAATATAAAAAAATAAAACATATATATTTAATACAAAAATAATTATAAAATTTGTTTAGTAGATACTTTAACTTAAAAGTCTTTTGATCTAATTTATATTTTTTTTCACTTAATATAAAAGAGAATTTGTTTTTAAACTTATTTTATTTGAAAATAGCATGTGAAAATAAATTTTATAATTGAACTATGTATCAAAATTTACAATATTTATTCAAAAAAAAAATTCATAAACATATCAGATATTTATTTTGCTTTATTTATGAAAAATAATAAAAAAGTTTTAGCAATAACTTAAATTTTTTGTAGTAACTAATATTTTATTTTGTATATTCACTTTTTTCTTCTATTCATTTTAAATTCAAATTAAATTTCAATTTATTAGAGAAAAATATTTTTTTTAAAATGTTTATTTTAGAATTAAATTATTTTAAATAAAGTTAATTTTTTATCATTCAAAATAAAAGATAAATTTGATTTAAACTTTTTAAACTATGAAGATTAAAAACAATCTTTTATTAAATTAGATTATATAAAAATATAATAGATTTATTTAAAAAAGATATTAATCTCTATCTTGTATATCTCTTCAGTTGTCTTAAATAATGTTTATATATTAAGTAACTTGCTCAAATACTTTTAATTAGATTAAAATTCATTTTTTAGTATTTTTTTATTGTTAATTTATTTTTTTTTCTTTACTTTTATTTGGTTTTTTTATCATAATTCAAATTAAAGAGAAATTGATGTTTAAAAAAATTAAATATTAACTTAGCTTAAATAGTTTTCAAATAAATTAGAGTAAAGAAATTAAAAAAAAAATTAAATCTATATAATGTATCACTTTAGTTATTTTAAATAACCTTGAGTAGCTAGCTTACTCCTTTTAATTCTAAATAAAATATAAATTTATTTTGGTTCTTGCTATAATTATTAATTTCTTTTTTAATAATAATTAGGCTGATTTATGATTTTAATTTATGCATATTCTTCTTAGGAATCTGTACTTTCCATTAATTTTAATGATAAATTTTCGAGATAATTAGGGTATTAATAATTGAATATTTATAATTAAGAATGATTAAAATGGATATAAAACTTGAATGAAATATGAGCGAAAGAGTAAATGATGAACGTGAGGACAAAACATAAATAATTACATGAAATGCAAAAAAATTATTATCTTAAATAGCAGGGTAAATTTTATACATATATTAGTAATAAGTTATAAGATATTCAATATATCCATCAATCCATATAGTTGCTAATATTATTTAAGTAAAAGTATATTATTGTATTTGTTTGAGCCAGTCACTCAAGCTAATCATTCGCTCTTTGCAATTTCTTTATCACTCTTTATTTTAAAACAAATTAGAAAATTATGTATGCATGCAAGTAACATCAAGCGTTGATGAAGAGACGTTCACATTTATCCTTAATATTTTTAATTTTTTCAGTTTGGTTGGAACGATCGTTTTTAACGATGGCAACAGCGACGACATTTCTGGAAGTACCGCAAGCTCTGCCTAAGTCCTTCTTTGAGGAAACGAAGACATAGGGGACGTTTTTATCTTCACACAATAAAGGTAAGTGGAGAACGATTTCAAGAGGAGTGGTATCGGCAGCAATAATAATAATTTCAGCCAAACCTCTGTTCAAAGCTTTGGTGGCTTCGTTAGCACCCTTCTTAACCTACAAGTAAATTTATAAAGTACGTTATAGAATGAATATAAATCTTCAAATTTTAAAGCGTATATTTGTATGTATTCTGTGTGCAATTAATTAATTGATAGCATCATAACCAGAAATTAGATAAAATTATTCATTTGTATCCCTAATATTTATTTAATTAATATAATTTTTTAAGTGTTTACTAATAGCTTTCAAATCTATAAAATCATATTATGATTTATATAAATAGCTATATAGTTTTTTGTTTTATATATATTAATTACAGACATACAAATAACTTTCATTTTATCATGTTTTTTACTTATTCATAAATAAATAGTAAAAAACACTGCCTTTCTCATTCTAAGCTGATTTGAGAGATTGTTAAAAATATGCTGCTATGTATTTTTCACTTAACAGCTTGCTTGTTGAAATATTTATATGAGGCTCTTAAAGAGAAAGGCAGTAAAATCAATTACTGTTCCAGTTATGAGCGGTATGAACTACTATAAAAAGCAGTCACTACCCTATCGAACTAGTTTGCTTTTAATTAAGCTCACTTTTGCTGATAAATTAGCTCTACTGCTACAACTACAAAAACTATACGCTTATAAATAGATCTATGTTTAAGAAAAGTAAAATTTTTACTTGCTTTTAAGTAGAGCAGGAAGTAACAAGATTGGTCAATTCCTTGGATAAGGTATCGTCAGCGAGGGGAGTAGCTCTTTCAGAAATTTCCTATAAATTATTAAAAATTATTTAAAATTGAAGTTTAAATCATAATGGAAAATAATCGGATTTTTATTCATGGTAATGAATAAAATTAATTCAAATATCATCTTTTCTCTTGCATAAGATATTTTATTTGAGCTTTTTTGGTGCATATTTTAATATGAAATGATAGAATTAAAAATGAGTTTACCATTTTTGATTGTTTAGTTAAGTGTGATAGTTTGTTTTATTTTATAAACTAGTTTTGTTTGTTTTTATTAATTTAAATTGAATAAGTATTAGTTATAAAGATTTATTATTAAATAATTTATTTATAGCTATTTTTATATCAAGAAGATTTTTAGTCTTTGAATTTTATTTATTTATTAATGATTAAACATAACAATATCTAACTATTTCAGCTAAAATAATTTGGTCTCTTTTTATTCTTATTATCACCATTTTAAGCAAACAAAAAACAAATAAGAAATATATAATAATTATTTATTTTCTTTCTTTCCATTCATTTTATATATTAAATATGTTCATCTTTTAATTATTTATTATTCTTTTCATTTAAAACAAAGTAGAAGTTGATTTATTTATATTTATTTTTCATATATTCGTTTATAAATAAAATTAAGAGTATTCTTCCATAATAATCCTTATTAAATAATAATCAAATCAAAAGAAAGCAATTTCTAAAATGTTTAAGAGACATTCATTCATTATATTTTCATTCAAAAATATTTTTTTTAATTTAGAAAAAATGTTCAATTAATTAAAAAAATCAAGAAAATATTTAAAAATAAAATATTAAAATAAAATCATTTAAAAATTGAATAAAATTCTACTAAAATATTATTCAATTAAAATTTGAAGAATAGAAAATTTATTTTTAAAATGATGTCAAAATTAAATTAACCTAATAATTTTCAATTAAAAAAGAATAGAAAATTCATTTTAACATATTTCATTAAATTAATAATTTTCAATTAAAATATAAAAAAAAGGAATAGAAATTTTATTTTTAAAATATTTAAAATTTAAATAAAATTATTAATTAACATATTTTGATAATAAATATTTATGATGCTATAAAAAAAAATATTCACAATAAACTAACTAATAAATTTTTTATAAAATAACATTTCAGAATTGAATATTAAGAAATATTAAGGAGGAGATTTACTTACTAAACTAATAAAGAAAATTAATTTATTTTGGAATTATTTCTAATATTTTTCAATTTGTTTAAATATTTATTTTATTCATAACTAACTTATTAATTTTTTTATTCATAACTACTAACTACTCATTTATTGTTATTGTTATTTTTATTATCATTTTATATTTTAAGTTACTCTAATTCTGATAACACATCATGTAAACCTTCTAACTCTTTTAACATTTAGTCATTATAGACATTATTAACTTGCTTAAGCATTTGATTTAAATACTAGTTGTCTTTTTCGATATCTATAAATAATCCTACACTTTTGTCTGTGCATAAAGGGTATTTGTGTTCCCAATTTTCAATCACTTATAAAATATTTCTTATGTCTTCAATTATAAAAGTGTAATTCTTAAGCCTCTAATCTAGGTTTTTTTATAAGCTCTATATTTTATTAAAGTCGTAGTTTTCAATACAACTTTTTATTTCTTCTCTGATTTAAACCAATTCTTAAATTGCATCTATTTCTAGAAAAACATCTTCAAGTTGGTTTAAAACTTCTGATTTTTCCTTCAAGTAAGAAATTTTTTCTTACTCAAATTAAACCCATCCATCATTTTCTTCTATAAAATTAATAATTATAATAATTTTGTTAATAAATCCTGTAATTTAAAATCTTAACTACCTGAAGTTTTATAATTCTCATCTAATTTCTATTAAATCTAATTTTCTGTATCATTTATAATCCTTTATTTCATTTCTATGGATTCTTCTAATTCTTAAATCTTTTTTTAAATTTCTCTTTTCCTTATGGCTTCACTTTAACAGCTTTCATCAATTTAAGTCTAGAAGAAATTATCAACTTAATTAGTTGTATCATTAGTTGAATTCGTTATCTACGATTTATTATTTAATGTTTATGACGAAGTTTCTTCAAAATTAGATTAGTTAGCTACAAATGATTTAGATTTGTACAAGCAATCTAAAATAAATTAGAATATATCCATAGCTTTATCGCATAATCCTTAATTATCTAATGTTGATTTCCAATCATTAATATCACTTTCAGTCCAATCTCTATTCTCCTCTGATAGATCTTCAATAATGCAATCTACTACAGACTAAATTATTTCAATAGATACCTTGCATTCTTTATCCTGGCATTCGTGCTTATGATCTTTGATTTCCTACAACTATAATTAAAGTAAATTAGTAATATCTGATTTTTAACTCATTTATAAAAACAAGTTGTATTTCAATAAAAGTAAAATTTGAAAATTTTAAATTAATAAAATATAACCTTAATTCATTGAAAATATCCTTTAATATTAAAGTAATAACTAAAGATCAATAATTTTTATGATCTCCGATAAGTATTTTTTTTTTTTGCAAAATTAATTAAAATTTTTAATTAAATCTTGACTTTTTTCTCAATCTACATTCAGCAAATCAATATTAATTCTAACAATATTTTTTATTAAAGTAATAAGCTTTACATATTTTTTTATAAACCCTTACATTTTTTTTATAAACTATTGATTGATTGTTTAATTTTATTATAATTTAACTAAATATTTTGATAGATCTTTCAGTTTTTGATAAGTCTTAAACAAATTACAATCTTATGCAAGTATCTTTTTTATTTATTTACAAAGTAAAATTTGTTAAATTTAACAAAAGCTCTTTTTAATTTATTTAGCAAATTTAATTTTTTTTTTTTTTGAAAGAATACAAATTTAGTTTGTTTTATTGCACTAATTAAGGTTTATTTTAAAGAATAATTTTTTCTAACTAAATATCAAAAATAAATTTTTTAACTAAAAATCATAGCATGCTAAGTTAAATATTTAATGGAGATTATTAAAAAATAGTTAAGCTGAAAATTAAAAAAAATAATTATAATCAATTAATTAAAGTAGAAGTTATTAGTCAGTTAAGCAAATTAATAATTTTGTAAAAGATATATTTAATAAAACAAAATTTTAATAGAAATTCAATAAATTTATTCAAAGCTTACAAAATTAATAATGAATAATATCTTTTTAATGAATGTAATACTATATGAAACATAAGATTTAAAATACAAGTTAAATAACTAAATATTATCTCACATTAAAATTTGTCCCTTTTCGTTAATGCTTGTAGAAATTACTTTATGAGGAAGTACACTGCAACCATTTATGAATAATTCATCCTTTATTTTTACATCTTCACCTAAAACAGTTAAACCTTCGATTCTTACCTATTTTTTATTAAAATTTATAATCAAACCTTTCTTCAGCATACATATTCTTGTCCTAATTAATAATGATTTTTATTTAAATAATAATAATATTTACCCATTTTCCAATCTTAGAGTCCCAGCCTACAATAGTGTTATCTACCCAAGAGTGAGCTCCAACAGTAGAGTTTTTGAGCATAACAACATTTTTAAGTCTTGCACCTTCTTCAACAATGCAGTCAGGTCCAATAGTTACATTAGGGCCTATAACGGCTGTTGGTGAAATCTTAGCTGTGGGGTCAATCAAAACATTTCCAATAATATTTTATCCGGTGCTTAAAGCTGAAGGATTTTTAGTTCTAATTGATTCTAAAATTAAGGTAGTACCAATAACGAAATCTTTAGGTTGGCCTACGTCCATCCAGAACCCAGGTAAATCCATGGAGTATAACTACGCTTCTTTAGCCATGGTAGGGAAAGTATTCAACTCAAGCATATGAGGTTCAAGCTGTTAGTTTACAAAATATTTTTTGAATATAAAAATTAATAGGTGAATTATAGCTAAATGTAAGAAATTGGGAAGAAAAAGAAAAAGGATTACAGGAATTCTATCAATAACAGAAGTGTTAAAGAGATAGATACCAGCATTAATTCTGTCAGAAATAAATTATTTAGGTTTTTCAATGAAACGCTCTATTCTGCCATTTGAGTCAGAAACTACAACTCCGTACTTAGTGGGATCTTGCACTTTAGTGAGGAGAATGGTGCCTTCCTTTTGATGATTTTTATGGAAAGCGAGCATCTCCTTGAAAGGGAAATCACAAATGACATCACTATTTAATACGAAGAATAAGCCTTCTGGGTTATCTTTAACTAGATGTTCTTTGGCTAATCTTAAAGGACCACCTTTAAAATTAATTTTAAAATAGTTAAGAAATCAATTTTGCTAAAATGAAAATATAAAATCTAACCTGTTCCTAAGGGTTCAACTTCTTGAGAGCAAATAATTCTGACTTTGTACTGTTAATTGTTAAAAATTTTCTTAAAAAACAAAACAATTTTGTGGGATTCTTACTTCTTCTTCAAATTATTTTATTTTTTCAATCATAGCTTTAGGCTAAAATCCGATGGCTAATATGATATCTGTAACACCAACATCAACCAAAGCCTTAATTTAATGGGTAACCAGAGGTTGATTGGCGAATTCAACAATTGACTTAGGGCAAGAAAAAGTCAAGGGTCTCAATCTTGTACCAAAACCACCTACTAAAATAAGAGCTTTCATTTTTTTATAGCTTTAATTTTTTGTTAATAAATTTTTTTTTTTAAATAATAACTTTTAATATTGACTAGGATGATAATAGTCTGTTTTAAATCAAGCAATAATGCATTAAAAATATATATATATCAATTAATCTTAATAATACATTGTAAGTTGATGATAGTTTATCGATATGCTGTATCATATAGACATTATTTTACACATAAACACGTAATTTGAGTATTTTTTTTATTTAAAAAAATTGTCTAATCTTTTTCTTAATGTTTTAGAATTTATACTATTCTTAAATCTATTTCATTCTATTTTTTAAATCAGATATCTAAAATAAAGCTTCAAAAGTATAAACTAATTTTCGTTTAAGCAATTTTGCACATTCTTAGATATTTGATACTTAAAAATCAAATCATTTTTTGTAATTTTATAGAAATTTCTAAACCATGAAAAATTCATTAATTTTTGGAATTTTATCACATAAAATAAAAAACAAACAAATTGCATCAAGATATTATTTAATCTGTTGATTAATTAAACACAAATAAAATTTATTAGTTTATATACAAATATCTTTAAATTTTTCAATTGTCTTTTTTCTTTTTGTTTTCTTCCTTTTGCTTCTTTTCGTTCTTGAGGTCTTCATAGTATCCCTAGGCAAGAGAGTTGATAATAGAAATTAAGAAGTATCCAATCATAAGCATAATGAAGTAATCCCACAATTACCCAATCAAAGGTTTTTCACCTTCACTGACAGCTCCATTAGCTAAAATGTTCTTTTGTTTTTCTAGCATATCGCTAAGTTTTCCTTTCAAGAAAGGAATTAAATTCTCGATAAATTGTAAAGCGTGTTCAACATGTCCTTGTGAGAAAATGAAAATTACGAAAATCATCTATTTATTTAAAAATCATTAAATTATTACATTGAATAATTTAGCAAATTAATAATAATTAATTCTCCAAGTAGAACTAAAAAATAAATGATACTTTTAAATATATTTATTTTCACAAGTTAATTTTCTAATAATTTTTATTGCAAGATTTCAATAAATTAATTCAGCCAAGTAATAGAAAAATAAAATGGAGAAATCTTAATTAATTTATTGAAAAAAAATAAAAAATAAGCAATAAATAAATAAATACCTAAATATGAACTTTGATGATTGACTTGCCAATAGCAACAGCTGAGAAGAAAGTCATAAAGGGTACTCCAAAATGACCGCAAGAAATACCTTTAATTATAATTTTTATTTAGCTTTAAATAGTAAAATGGAGTATTTATTTATTTTTACCAGCAAGATCAAAAAGGGGGTTGGGAATGGAAGCACATAATAAAACAGTGATCCATGCATACTTTTGTAGATTGTTGTAAATAAGTCTTTTAGCTACTGACATCAAGTCCTTGTCATCTAAATTAAAAATAAATAATATTTAATACAAAACTATAATTTTTTTAAAATTATTTTTACTCTTGTGAGCCTCAACATCTTCTAATTCTTCAATCTTTTTCTTGCTTGCAGCTTTATTAAGTTTAAATAAAATTAAAAATAATATCAATGTAAATTAGATTTACCAGCAGCTTTTGCGATAAAGTAAGGAGGTAATTCACCAAGAGCAGTTCCTAAACCCCATAAAAATGCTTCGAATTAAACGCTCAACAAAATATCCAAAAACTAAACAGGCTTCTCAACATTTTCTTTTGATAAAAACAAATTTTAAACTAAATCAAGGATAATAATTTTTACCTGGACAATGGCTAAAGTGATATGATTAGTCCCACTTGCTAGGAACGAATTCGGGTAAAGCATTGCATTAATATGCTCTGATTGTAATCTATTTATTTTTAAGATTAATTAACCTATATTAAGAGCTTATTTAATCATACGTTTGCAATTCTGGGTCCTAAGTAGAGAACAAAAGTATGTAATCCAGTTCCAAGACCAATAGAAGAAGCTACACCTAAAATAATCCAATAAGCCATAAAGTAGCCAACCTTTTCAGCATGTCTGTAATACTTTAATTATTTATATAAAAATCATGATAAGTTTTTGCCTTATTTTTGTCAATCTTACATCTAAATGAGGTCCTTAAATGAAATTAGGAGTAATTATCACAGCCAATACAACTGAAATTACAATAATGTGCCTCAAAACGAACTATAAGCCAACTTTAACATAACTGACTAAAACTAAAAAGAAATAATAGAAAGTTGTGAAAGGATGAGTCAATATGCTAATTGAATCTTCATCCTTTTCTTCCTTAACCTCTACTTCTTATTTTTTTTGCTTAGTTTCTGAAGTCTTCTTTTCTTTTTTTGTGCTCATACCCCTTATTTATATTTTTTAATTTTTGATTTAAATTATAAAGATTTAACAAGAAATCCTTAAGCCTGTTTTTAATAACCTTAAACAAATCTTAATAACTACTATGGAAAAGTTGGATTCACACGTATTTTATTAATTAAGATATCCTTCTATTTTCATGTTAGAATTTCTTGAAATTTAGTAAAATACAAAAAATCTAACTAACTAACTATTCTATATCTTCTATTTTATGATATAGAATAAATAATTATTTTTATTCCATATCAAAAATTTATTAATTAATTACATTATTTTACTAAGTATCCCTTTTATTAAACATGTAAAAATATTTTATAATAGTATCAAACCCGTCTAGCTCAGTCGGTAGAGCGCCAGCCTTTTAAGCTGGTGGTCGAGGGTTCGAGCCCCTCGGTGGGTGAATTTTTTTAAATATCAAAAATTATATCATAAATGAATAAATTGTACTAATACCTAACATCTATTAATTATATAAAATTAAATAAACAAAATATTTATAATTTTTTGAAAAAAATTGTATAAATCTCAAATAAAGAATTCTTTTAATAAAATTTGATGTAAATGTTAAACATTTATTAATTTAAGTTTTATGCTTGTTATAAATCTATATATAAATTTTAATTAATAATTTTATTAAATTTTTACAAACTTTTGATTTTAAAACATGTTCATTTCTTTTTACATTTTATATAAAAATTTTAACAATTATTAATAAAACCTATTGGGGTTGGGGTTGGGGTTGGGGTTGGGGTTGGGGTTGGGGTTGGGGTTGGGGTTGGGGTTGGGGTTGGGGTTGGGGTTGGGGTTGGGGTTGGGGTTGGGGTTGGGGTTGGGGTTGGGGTTGGGGTTGGGGTTGGGGTTGGGGTTGGGGTTGGGGTTGGGGTTGGGGTTGGGGT